GCACGATATATGAAAGACCTCTTCTCGCTTGCAACTCGTCCTTCTGATCGTCTCACTCACATCACCACCACCAACACGACCCATGGCTCAAGCATCACCTGCTCAAGTCCTTCCCCCAGGCGCGGGCTGGGCCGTCGTCGTCGCCCTCGCCGTTGGATTCTCCGGCCTCATGCTTGCCATCATCTTCGTGCAGCGCCGCTACAGTGGTCTCACCAACGACAATGAAGAGTTCTCCTCCGCATCACGCTCCGTCAAGCCTGGACTCGTAGCAGCCGGCATCGTGTCAGCATGGACGTGGAGTGCGACATTGCTGCAGAGCGCGGCAACGGGTTACAAGGTGAGCCCGTCCTCCAGATGCTGGCGAGCGCAGCGCCCTTACTGACACGCCACGAAACCGCAGTTCGGCATCGCTGGACCTCTCGCCTACGCAGCAGGCGCCACAGTTCAAGTTCTCCTCTTCGCCGTCATTGCATCGAACCTCAAGCTCAATGCCCCCTTCGTCAATACGTTCCTCCAAGTCGTCCGAGTGCGATGGGGCAAGCCGCTTCACATCCTCCTCACCACCTTCTCTCTGGCCACAAATGTCCTCGTCAGCTCCATGCTCATCCTTGGAGGCTCATCAACCGTCAATCAGCTCACGGGCATGCCAGTCCTCGCTGCCGTCTGGCTCACGCCCATCGGTATCGCAGGCTACGTTCTGATCGGCGGGCTGCGCTCCTCACTCATCGCCGACTACACACACACGGCCGTCCTCGTCGCTCTCATCCTCGCTTTTGCATTCACTGTATACGCCGCCTCGCCCAAGATCGGCTCTTTCTCCCGCATGGCTGAGCTCCTTGAGCTGGCACCTAAAGTAGATGGCAACGCCGCGGGCTCCTACCTGACCATGCGCTCCAAGCCAGGCCTGCTTTTCGGAATCATCAACGTGCTCGGCAACTTTGCAGCGGTCTTCGGCGACCAAAGCTACGCGCAGCGGGCCATTGCAGTGAAGGGTGACCAAGCAACGAAAGGCTTCATTCTCGGTGGACTGGCCTGGACAGCCATCCCGCTCGGCATTGCGACCAGTCTTGGACTCGCAGCGAGGGCTCTGACGGGCCAAGACCCGGAGATGGCGGTCCTGACGGCTGAACAGGTATCCCAAGGTCTGCCCGCACCGGCTGCGGCGGCCGCTCTTCTGGGCAAGTCCGGCGCCGTCATGATGCTAGTCTTGCTCTTCCTTGCAGTCACTTCTGCTTCAGCGGCCCAATTGGTGGCGGTGAGCAGCGTCCTCTCTTACGACGTCTACCAGCCCTACATCAACCCCGCCGCAACCTCCCGCCAGCTCTTCTTCGTTTCGCACGCGGGCATCGTGGCATGGGCTCTGGCCATGAGCGCCTTTGGTACCATCTTCAACTACGCGACCATCTCCATGGGATGGCTCTACGTGGCGATGGGCATCCTAGTTGGTCCCAGCGTCGTCTCCATCTTTTGCTGCACGACCTGGTCGAAAGCCAACCGCACCTCTTGCTTTGTTGCGCCGATCGTGGCCGAGATCGTCGCCATCGCCGTCTGGCTGGGCTCTGCCAAAGGCCTCGAAGGCGAAGTCACCATCACGAGCACGTCAGCCGATTACCCACTAGTCGCAGGCAACCTTGTCGCTGTCCTCCTTCCCGCTCTCATCATCGTGCCGTGGAGCCTTTGGAAGCCCGAGGCGTATGACTGGGAGGCCACGCGAAGCATCAATGCTCCGTGGAGGAATGAGGCAGCCCCTTCATCCTTGACCTCGTCGTCTGAAAAGATTGGGGACGGTGACAAGGACAAGATCAGCATGCCGCGGGGCGACGACACAGCGGTCGCTACCCTGGAATACGACCGCCTCGCTACTTTGCGTGCGGCCGGCCTCGACCCACAGGCGCTCGTTGCCTCCCGTCGCCTAGCTGTGCGCACTGCGCTCCTCCTTAGCTTCATTCTATTGATCCTCGTTCCTGCCATGGCGTGCATCCCGCGCACCTTTTCACACGCTGGATTTGCGGCGTGGGGCAGCATCATCATCGGCTGGCTCTTCGTCACAGCCTTCATTGTCGTCGTTTACCCTGTGTGGGAGAGTCGCGAGTCTCTGGGCGCGGTGATCAAGGGTGTTGTCAAGGACCTGACCGGGAATACCTAAGCGTGGCATCCAAATGTAAAGCATCGTCTCAGATCTCGTCGTCCTCTCATCTATTTGTGATCTCACGTTAGCCGAAGGCGATTGATTGGACCTGAGCGCGCAGGCACCAGCGTCTGAGCCCTCATGAACCAGCGCCAAAGCGGTCATTACCATACAGATACGATTGATTCGAAGCGGCACGGTACTCGATCTCCCATCCCATCGCAATGACTAGCAGCGATAACAAGGACAACAACAAGTTCACCACTCCGCCGGGCTGGACGCCCCACCCTACCCTTCCTAATGCCCTGCTTCGGCCCATCAGCAACAATGAGAGATTCTTCTTGACATCGGAACGAGTGACGGGCGCTAGGACCTCGTGAGTTCCTCCCAGCATGCTCATACGTAACAGCTCAGCAGAGTTCCCTCCGCACCTGTCGCTCCACTCTCTCAGAATCGGTGCGTCGCTGCTCCTCGACTTTGACAGTCCCGTCGAGGCCCAAGACCTCCTCCGTCGACTCAACAAGGCCTGGCTGTACACGCGCGCTCAGTGTCCTTCTTTGGGATTCAAGGTTGCCAATGCCAACAACGGGTCGACCGGCAGTGAGGACACTTGCATGGTCTACGAAGATTTGACCAGCACAAAGCAAGCCTTCGAATGGGCAGAGCAGACGGTGCACGTCAAGCACATCAACGACCCCAGCGGTACGCTCGACGTGCGCATCCTTGAGGGTCACCACGAAGATCCTATCGTAGCCAAGACGGTGGACCACCATATCGAATGCCTCATCGCAACTTCGCCTGCCCCTCGAGCCTGGCTAAGGCTATGGCTTGATCACAACATGATGGACGGCCCTTCGTCCCGTTGGCTGCTGGCGCACCTAGTCAAGTACCTCTCACTTTCGCCAGAGAGCCTCGAGATCGACTGGGCTAGCGAGTCGGAGCAGGCGCGTATACGCTCTCGTCTGCTTCCTGGGACCGCACTGCCCTTCCTCAAGCCCGAGTACCGCGATCAAAAGCTTGACGTCAAGGCCGATCCGCAGAAGCAGTTCGCGGCCGTCACGCGAGAGGTGAGCGGCAATGTCTCCTCAGGCTTCGCAGCTTTCACTGACTTCCTCCTGCTACCATCTTGCTAGGCCTTTTCTACCTTGAAGCCCTTCTCTGGCGGCTCTGAGGTCGAATTAAGCGCAGCGAAGACTTTCACTACTCGACTCAAATTGTCAAGCGACGAAACGCGCCAGGCTCGCAACTTCTGCCATCGGCATAACGTGACTGTCACGGCCTTGTTACTCTCGACGGCCGTCGTTCGCCAGACGATTCTCCGCTCAGAGAAGTGGCCTTTGCCCGCAGGAGACCGATTCATAGGCCTCTTCCCCGTAGACTCACGTCCTGCATGGGTCGAATCGGAGCGTGGCAACGTTGGCTTGTACACAGCCTACACGGCATGCGAGATCCGAACGGGAAGCCTCTTCCAGGACGTCAAAAATCCAAGCGCTGCGTCTCCGCAGCAGGTCAGAAACGCCATTCTCGAAGGGGCCCGTCATGCCTCAGAGCAGTATCAGTGGACTAGACGTGAGCCTCACCGAGCTCAGCTTTGCGCCCGGACAGAGCAGACCATCGCCGAGGTGCTTAGCGCAATGGCTGCCGGAACCTTGCAGTGAATACGCGCAAGACGGTGTGCCCCGACTGACGCTCTCAGCTGACCATGACCGAACCTGCTTCCTTCTCAGGGTCGACGCGCTCCCGTTTTGGCTCTTCTCTGATGGTCCCGTCGAATTGCCATCCCTCGGAGAGGAGAACCAGCCACAAGTCGGTGGTGGCTTGATCATGACGATTCGCGATTACGATTTGCTAAACAACGGCAAAGGCAGCGTGTGAGTGCGCTCGAGTGTGCTGAGTGTTCCTCGCCGTTCCTCCTCCGCCGGCCTCGCTCACACGCTGACATTCACATCCCTGACTTTCCCAGCTGGCTTCGCTCCTGGATGTGGGAGGGACAGACGGTCATGAGCTTGACGGAGGGCGACTCTGGGGCATCGCGAGCGGAGATTGACGAGATGCTGCGGGTGTGGAAGGAAGACATGATGAACGTCGTTGCGACTGCGACGGAGTAGCTGCGAGTAAGGCGCGTGGCGCGTGAAGGTTTTGTCATTCAAATCTAATAGTACAAGTTGAGAGTCAGTCTGCTGCATGCTATTCGCCCTCTATGATGAGATGCCAAGATCCTGCTCCAGCGCATCGAGCCCCTTGAGGGCGTCGGCGATCTTGTTCCTCATGACCTTGACGGCAGCCGGGAGCAAGCGCTGTGGTGTATACGGCCCCGTCGACTCGATGGAGAAGAGGAAATGATCGCGCACCCTGCCGAGCTTGACCTTGCCCTCAAATTCTTTGTGCCTCAAGACCTCCCTGCTGACGGTATCCTTCCTCGGATTCTTGACATATACCTCCTCTGCTCCGTCGCTTGTCCTCTTCCTCAATCCAATGACTCCCTCGGGGAAGCACTCGATGAACTTCCTGTGATGCTCCTTGGGGATTCCCTGCGGCGAGATGTCGATGTGCGGGAGGAGTCGATACGATGCTGCAGCCACAGGGCTGTACTTGGCGTGGTCCTTTCCTTGTCCCTTTTCGCAGTGCAGCTCCATGCGCAGCTCTTGGCCTGGGCGCAGCTTGGCTAGGAGGATGTCTGGATTCACAGGGCGAGGGTCGTCTGCGCCGAACATGGAGGCTTGATCGCCCTTGGGATCCCAAGTCATGGCACCAGAGAGGACTGCGGGCGAGGTGTGAGAGAAAGGAAGCATGTCAGCTTGAGGTTGCTTTGCACACATGCTGGCCTGGCTCGCGTGCAGGATCCTCACCATTCGAGTTGATGTACTTTTTTTCCTCGTCCTTCTCGTCTTTCTTTGCCCCCTGAACACGCGAACACTGGATATTGAGGGTAAAGACGAGGGTGTTGTCCTCGGTAGCCTCGTCTCCCGGGTTCTTGTATACGATGCGATCAGGGTCGATTTGAATAGGGACTAGGCCAAGGCGATGTGCGAGCACCTCGTCCTGGATGATCGAGGTATTGTTGAAGATGTAGACATGCTCGATGGCTACGGTAGGCACCTCTGCTATGAGGATGCGCCTGAGGGCATTGGCAATGGATGCATCGACGCCAATCAAGTCCAACTCGATTCGCTCCGAGGAAAGGCGAGTGGGCTGCACAGTCAGGTTGGCGCCGAAGTCTTGGATATCAAAGGGCGCATCCGGTGGAGCAGAGACGGCACCGACCCTCTCTGGGTGTACCTCTACCAGGCGAGACTTGGCCACGGATGGCATGGTAGCGGGCGATGGCGAGGTGATGGTGGCAGTAATGAGCCAAGTGCATTCATTCACAACGTCGACTTTGGCCCTTGGACTGAAATTCCAGTCCGCCCCCCGAACAGAGTCCCGTTCCGGCATGAAATGTGACCTCAGTCCGCCCACGCGCCTGCCTCGTCCGCCTGACGTCGTGTCCGCCTGTCGAGAGATTGACCTTTTGCAATTGGCACAGCCCGCCTTGACTCCGTCGTCTTCAACGATGTCGGTTACTCCGACTGGCCATTGATTACCTCGTGGTGTGTTGTAACATCGCCTTCTCTACGCTCTCACGAAGACTGGCTCAGCTCACATCGCCTGCCTGTGATCTTTAGGTGGTCAGTCACGCTAGCACGCACGCCCCTTGCCTCTTGAACCGCCGACTCCTGATCTCGCAGGTCGGAGTCTTAAACCCCAGGCAGGGCAGCCGCGAGAGGAATTGCTTGCAAGTCGACCGGCAGGCGAGCGCCCAATCCAATCTGCAATCGAATCGAATTGCCAGTCGGCCAGCCAGCCCGCCTCCCCCCGTCCCCTCGCTACCACCCACGACCTGGCCCCTTGGAACCTGCTCCTCATCGTCACCTTGGTCCCCTGCCAACGTTGCCAACGTTGCCCGCCATGAGCGGTCATCGCCCTGGCACATCGCGAAATCGACCTGCGACGAGTAGCAATCGACAACGACCGCCCACTGCCTCCCAGCGAGGTCAGACGAGGGGCACGACAGCGGGCGAGAGCGCAGATGCTAGATATGACGAGGAGGAAGACTTGCAGGAGCAGTGGGATGAAGAGAGTGATGAAGAAGACGTCTTTGCCTACCTGCCTCGTGAGTCTGTGCGGCAATGATGAGGCCCAACGACATGCTCACTCTCACGCCTCGCGCCTCGCGCCTCGCACCTCATGCCTCACTCAGCCTCCATCGGCCCTGCGCCTACCGTAGTCGTCTCGGAGGACCCTCAGCCTTTTGGCAACAATGCCGATGCTACTCAGCCTGGTCCAGGCGGCTCACAGTCCGGCGACTACTACCTCGATGAAGCAACGGGCACAGTCTACGATGGACAGGGTCGACCAGTCGATCCAGCTACGCTCCAACAGCGACCCACCAGCGTAGGCACAATGGAAGTCGTCCATTCTGCACCCAACACGGCCAACAATCAGCCCAACAATACCACAGCTCCCCATGCTGCCATGACATCTCGTGCAGACCCACGCCTCTCGTACGATCGCAAGTCGTCGGATACATCGAGCTACTCAGCGCCCTTGGCACACGCATCCAGCTACTCTGCCTACTCGCCTCACGATCCAAACGTGCGAATGCGCAACAACCGCCTCAGTATGGGAGCAGATGGTCCACTAAGCCCAGACAGCGAGCTCAAGTTCAACCTCGATGCAGACCCACTGACTCAGCATAAGCTCATGCGATACTCGTCGGACCTCGACTCTCACAGCATGGGAATGGGAATGGGACTCGCTCATGGCATAGACTACGAGACGGCAGAGGTGGGCCCACGAGGCATCAAGATGGTAGAATTGGAGATGGAGGGCGACGAGGATTCGCCCTACCCCGAGGTGCGCGCATCAGTGTCCAATGTAGACGATACCGACATGCCAGCCAATACGGTGCGAATGTGGATCATCGCTTTGCTACTCACCACTCTCGGTGGAGGTATCAACCAGATCCTCGTCCTCCGCTACCCAGCGCCAACCCTCACACCGCTCATCGTTCAAGTCGTTTCCTATCCTCTGGGTAAGCTCTTCGCAGCTATCCTCCCCTACCGCTCCTTTGATATGCCCCGCTGGCTCGGCGGTGGCTCTTGGTCCCTCAATCCGGGCATGTTCAACATCAAGGAGCACACGGCCATCGTCATCATGGCCAACGTAGGATTGGTACAGATGTACGCCCTAAATGCCGTCGTCGCCCTCGACTCGCCCTACTACTACGGCGCTGCCAAGCCCATCGGCTTCTCACTTCTCCTCACCATCTCATCGCAGCTCTTCGCCGTCGCCGTCGCTGGACTGACGCGCAAATTCCTCGTGCGTCCTGGATCCATGATCTGGCCTCAAGTTCTCGTCTTCTGTACCGTCTTCAACACGCTTCACGCAGAGGACGATGCGCAGGACGGCTCCGTCAGCCGCTTCAAGTACTTTGTTGGGCTGAGCCTCGCTGCCTTTGTCTGGTGGTTCTTACCTGGATGGCTTTTCACGGCTTTGTCGTCCTTTGGTTTCCTCTGCTGGATCTGGCCCAACTCTTACACCGTCAACACCCTCTTCGGTACGACGTCGGGTCTCGGAATGACTTTCCTCACCTTTGACTGGCAGCTCATCAGCTATCAGACCAGCCCGCTCGTCACGCCGTGGTGGGCGCAGTGCAACTTGTTCATTGGCTTTGTCTTGTTCCTCTGGATCGTTGCGCCGATCCTTTATTGGACAAACGTGAGTTGGCCGGAGAAGGACAGCACTCTGGGTGCAACTGATTGACCATCTCCCCGTGGCACGCGCACGCAGGTGTACAACTTCTCATACCTACCCTTCAACTCGAGCAGAGCCTTTGACCGCTTTGGTGAGCCATACAATGTCAAGAGCGTCTTCGATCCGGTGACGGGAGGCATCGACATGACTGCCTACGAGTCGTACTCGCGCCTCTACCTGGGAACCACGTACTACATCGTCTTTTGGACGGGCATGGCCACGATGACGTCGGTCCTCGTGCACACGACCCTCTATCATGGTAGCGCCATTCTTCGCGGCCTGCGAGGCGTGCAGACGGAAGAGGTGGGTGCGAGCGACGAGCACGGAGCAGTATCGTGATAGCTGATGTTTTCCCCTCATGCAGGACGACATTCACGCCAAGATGATGCGGCGCTATAATGAAGCCCCCTACTGGTGGTACGGCATCGTAGGCGTCCTGTCCATCGTCCTCGCCATCATCTGCGCCGAAGTCTACGACACAGGTCTCCCGGTCTGGGCCCTCCTCATTGCCCTCATCATTCCGATCGTCTATTACCTGCCCTCTGGCTTCATCTACGCCTTGACCGGCACGCAGATCGGTGTCAATCTAGTCTCCGAGCTCGTAGCAGGCTACGCACTACCAAGCAAGTCTCTGCCCAACATGATGGTCAAGCTCTACTCGCAAGTCGGCCTCACGCAGGGCTTCTTGTGCTCACAGAATCTCAAGCTCGGCCATTACATGAAGGTCAGCCCGCGGCTGACCTTTTGGGTCATGCTCATCGGTACGGTTTGGGCTTCGGTGGTGCAAGTCTTTGTCAACCTCTTCATGCGCACCCACGTTAACGAGATATGTGAGTCAGGTGCGGCATGGCCCAAACGTATCCATCGAGAAGAGAGGAATTGACGAGCTTCCTGTTTCAACCTCCCTCGCGCCAGGCTCGGCTGAAAATGCCCATCAATTCACCTGCCCTCAAGCAAGCGTCTACTACACGTCTTCAATCATCTGGGGCGTCATTGGTCCTCGTCGCATGTTCAACAGCGGCTACTACAGCAGCATCTACTGGGCCCTTCTCGTAGGCGCCTTGGTTCCCATCCCCATCTTCTTTGCCAGCCGCCGCTGGCCCAACAGCGTCCTCAAGGTCGTCAACGTCCCGCTCTTTTTCACCTCTACGAGCCTGATTCCACCGGCAGCGGGCATCGTCGTGTCCTCGTGGTTTGCCGTCGGCTTCGTCTTCCAATACGTGATCCGCAAGAAGGCCTTCCGCTGGTGGTCAAGGTACAACTTTATCACCAGCGCGGCCATGGATACGGGCACCATCCTGTCGAGCATCATAGTCTTCTTGGCACTGGTGCTGCCGCGCGATGGCCAGATTTTCCTGCACTGGTGGGGGAACGACATCACGGGTAGGACGCTAGATGCGACTGAGGGGGCGAGGTTGAACATGCCGCCCGAGAATGGGTTCGCGCCTGCGCCCAATGGCTTGTGAGCGTGCTTTTCTCAAAGTGGCCAGCTCGTGTCAATCCTCTTTTCTCTTGTTGTCGCGTCGTGTATTGTCTCTTGCTGAGCTGGTCACCCAATTTGATCGATTGCTGCAGTCGTGAACGCTGTGCGAGGGAGAAGTGAGGAAGTAGACGCAACAGCCACGTGGGCGGGGAAGGAGCGAACAGGAATCGGGACGGGCGCGGCGGGGCGAGCGAGCCAGTCGAATGCCGGGGCATCGGTCGACCTTCGCATTGATCATCACCACCATCGATCACCAGAATACGAGAGCGACGACGTTGACGCGCCGTCACCTAGTATCTCGCGCCCGCATCGCCCTCTTCGCCCTCGTCTCCCTCCTTTTCTGACGTTCCCCGCATAGATCGATCGCAGCCATGGCGACGCACCGAGAGGCCAATTTCCCCTCTACTCCGTACGTGGACCCCTCGCCTTCCCCCTCATCAATCCCCCACGTAGACGAGGTAGGCGCCACTTCTGCTCCCTTGAAGTCGGCCAGCTTTTTCCTCGGCTCATACTGTCAAAAGTACAACGAGGACTTTATGCTTTGCAAGAGCGAGAACAGGGACCCAGAGCATTGCCTCAAGGAAGGGAGGAGGGTGACGCGATGCGCTCAGGACCTGTAAGTTGGCGCGAGCTCGCCAGACTTATCATGAAAGACTGCCTCGACTGATAGCCTATCTTTTCCGCTCTTCCTTGCCAGCATCCGTAAACTCAACCAAAACTGCGCCAAGGAGTGGGAAGCCCATTGGCAATGCCTCGAGCGTCAGAATCACGAGCTTCACTTGTGCCGCAAGCCCGAGAGGACGTTCAACCAATGCGTCTTTGACAAGCTGCAGCTGAAGAAGGAGATTCCGGGGACACCAGAAGGCAAAGAGCAGATTCACGAAAAGAAGAATCCGATTTGGAAGGGGATGCAGCGTTGAGTGGGCCAAGGAGTGCAATTGGGCGGAGGTGACGAAGGAACAGTGGTAGATGAGGGGAGGAGGCAAGCTGGTAGCGATCTCTGCCTTCCCTGGCAAGGCCTTGTATCATGTGTACGGCCTCCCTCTGACGATATCAACAGCATACAACCAAGAGATGCTCTCTCACGTGGTGGTTGCTCCTCGTTTGATCCGCTTGATCTCCTTCCGTGTTCGAGTGGCCGCTGCCTTTTCTCCTTGGATCCCACCACACCTCTGGTGGAGGCAGGGACGTCTCTATAGTGCAAAGAAGGCTACCACCTGAGCCACCTCTCTTGTCCATGCTCCCTTTCTCGCCTCCCCCACCAATCGCCAAAAATGGTCGTATCTACTCACACGGCCATCCTGTCCCATCACGCGGTCAAGCGACGGGGACCATAACCCATCGTCAGGCGCACCTTCTCTATCTGCACTCGCTCCTCTACACCTTGCTGCAACGGCATCCTACGCTAGAGGGAAGCGAGGCAAAGCAGCGTAATGCTGATCGAGTGGGAAGGATCATCAGGGTGCTGTGGAGTGTGCAGGAGTGGAGGGATGGCGAGCTTTGGAGGTTGGGGATGGAGTGGTGTTCGCTAGATACAAGTCAAGATGAGACGAGGCACCTAGAAGCAACGTCAACGTCATCACAGAACGGTGACGGGTCAAAACGGAGGCAAAGATCAGACTCAGCAGCATCCACCTCATCCTCTTCTTCGTCATCATCCGCCGCTTCATCCGCTTCATCAGACGCATCCTCAACTTTTTCTGACATTCGTCAACGTCACACACAGCCTCGACGACAGACTCACACCGACCGCGAAAGCGCAGCGCAAAGTACGCAGCATCGCATCGCTTTTCTTCGTGCAGTCTCTATACGAAGACGAGGCTTGCGTCCCCTCTTGCTAGCACAGAGGGCTCAAGAAATGATGACTTTGGGCAAATGGAAGGAGATCCTCGACGAGATTGAGCTCGTGATCCAAGCGGAGCCCTACCGTAGTCAACCAGAGCTCAACCTCTATGCTGGGCTACTCGTCGTATTACTTTCATCGCACAACAACGGGGGACTGCGCGATGCACATGCCAACGGGGACGGCCTGCAAAGCGATGATGAAGAGGGCAGAGGAGGGAGTCTCGGCGAGGAATGAAATGAGGCAAATCTTGTATTCTTAGTGGAAGAAGGAAGAGATGGAGATCGCCACTTGGGGCGAGATGAGGAGATTGAAAGGAGATCTTAAATAGGCCCTGCTCTACTGTCGCCTCCCCAAAGACCACCGACTCACACGGTGCTCCCTCCGCTGGACCCCCCAGCGCTCTTCAAGCTCTTGTCGCTGCTCTTCTCACGCAGCCCAGCTTCGTCCACAGTGCTGGCCTCACACTCGACCTCACCATCGGCATGATGACCCTTACTCTTGCCCGCCAGCTTCCCCTCATCCTCCTCAGTTGCAAGGGGCGCTTCCTCGAATCGCGTACCCAATCGCTCAGGCCCAAAGGCCAGCAGGACCACGATGACAACCACAGCAATCGAGGACACGATAGCCATCACGGGTCCATAGGCCTCAACGTGGCGCCCCTCGGGTGTGATGGTGTGAAAGCGCTCAGCAAGGATGTTGACTACCTGCGTCGTGGGCGAGGACAGAGCTGCACCGACTTGGTAGCTGAGACCAACGACCAGAGCGCGCCAGGAAGGGTGGCAGATCTCGGAGAGGTAGATGGGAATGACGGCTGAGAGGGAAAGGGTGGAAGCACCTCAGATCAATATGAGTGCTTCTTGAAAAGCCTCAGCAAGCATGCCACTCACACCAGCTCTGAGCCCAAGCCTGAAGCCAGAAGGCGCCAGCGCCAAGGGCACCCTCCGACGTGGGAATCACAGCCGCAGGAAGCACGGCGGCTGCGATGATGAGGCAGACGATCATGGTGCGACGACGTCCAAGGGATTGGCTGGTAGGAACGACGCATTGGTCAGTTGCAACGGCCGCCAGCTGCAATGCAAAAAGCAATGATACCCACGAGAAGTATGCGATCGCAAGACTGCCAAAAGTGGCCCCAAGCTTGGCATAGATGGCATTGCGTGAGGCCTGCGAGTTATTGAAGCCCTTGGATGTGACGAGGAAGGTCTGAACGCGGTACAGGAGAAGGCTGTAGTCAGAGGAGCGGCGTCCGACTCATGATGCTATCCTCATTCCCACTCACCACATAAGAGTCCTGCAAGGCGTGCCCATGGACCAGAAGCCAAGCGACCAGCACCGAGATGTACAACATGACCGGCCAGTCGACGACCATCATCTTGCGAAAGTTGCTGAAGAATGCCTTGGTAGCGTGCCCTGCCTTGCGGGCTTCGAGGTAGCGTGGCGCCTCAGGAAGGATGGCACGGAAGCAGCCGACGGCGAAGGAGAGACTGTAACGATCAAGGTCAGAGAGTCAGTGCCGGCCGGTGACTTGAGTCACAGCAGATTGCTGCTCACCCGGCGCCGATGGCAAAGAGCGTGGGCCAATGTGCAGGGCCGATGGCGAGATTCGCGGCTGCGGCAACGATGTAGCTGATGGGGAAGGCCGATTGGAAGATGCCGGAGTAGACGCCGCGAGCCCGAACTGGGATTGACTCGAAGGCCCGTGAGGCTCCGCAGCCCTAGAAAGTGCGTCGCAAAGTCTTAGCATCTGGTCGTCATCGCGAAGAGGTGGAGATTCGGCCTACCCACAAAAATTCCGCCCATACCCACGCCTGCCGTAGCGGACACCATCGACGGGTCAGCGAATCATCTTGCCAGCCACGTCCTCCACCACTCACCAAAGAAGGCTCTAGTGGCAAGAAAAGCAGGGAAGGTTGAAGCGTAGATAGATGCAATCTGCATCAGAGCCAGAAACCACAGATTGGTCGTCAGGGCCGCACGGCGCCCAAAGGCATCGGCTACGATGCCCCAGATGGCGGCGCCCTGATGGGAGGCAGGCGAACTCGAGACTAGTCAGCTCCTTCGCCCAACTTGCTTCAACGATGCGCAGCCACTGCAATACTCGCGACCATGCGGAATAGCATCGTGAGGGTAATGGCGCTAGCCATGGTACCCTTGGAGCTGCGAAAGGCGGGCAAGGAGGGGCGGGACGGCGTCGTCAGTAATTTGCCGTCTTCACCCACGGGCCGAGGGCGACCTCAATCCGCCGGCCCGATGTTGGGATCCCCTTGCTCACACCCCGTAGTAGGCAGCCAGCTTGACGATCTGCAGAGCGAGCGCATGACTTTCCAGAGTCAATGCCGGACACCCAGCGATAGTGCGAGAGAGATGAGACGCGAGGGGGTTAGAAGGCAGGCACAGACTCAGTCGGGGCTCACTCCAACACTCACAAGTCGAAGGAGTCGACGAAGGCCGCAAGCCAAGCTGTAACAGCCACAGCGGTGCTGTGGGTCGTCATCCCCTCCCAGCAGCTCAAGGGATTCGTGAAGCGCAAAGCCTGCCGCTGCTCCCAGCAGTCGACGTGCATCCCGTCGATGGGGTCCACGAAGGAGATGTGCTGGCGCTGCCAGCGAAAGAGGTTGCGGAAGGAAGCCGAGGCGGACCAAGTGGCGCGACGAGGCATGACTAAAGGGATCAGTGGGGGGGCGGGGGAGAGGTCTGCTGGTGCTCTGTGGTGAAGGCGAAGAGTTGGAGGAGGGGGTGGTTGTGCTTTGAGGGAGAAGAAGGGGCTCCCGTATATAAATCCTTCGCTCCCCTCCCTCTCGGCGGACCCACGTAGCCGCAATGTCTCGCCGTCCTATCTCTTCGCCGTCACCGCTCAACCCATTCGCAACGCTGCGGGCAGCAACCAGCGGCCAAAGGAAGATTTCACAGTAGCGAGCAGCAAGCGACAGTGCTAGCTCTCTGCTTGGAATGCCAATGAATTTAAGTGCGGAACACCGGGCCGCAATGTCTCTGTGTAAAGCTCCGTCATGGGTCAGGAACAAACCGAAGGCCGGCCCGACGATACAGCCGGCACCATCGCGAGGCGGTTCGCAACGCCTGGAGGAGCTGCGGATGCGGGCGAACGAAGTCGTCGACGTCATTGTACGCCGTGCTCATGAAGTCACTGGCGACAAATGGCGGCCTGTTGTCCTTACGAACGTTCCATTAGACTCTCCGTCGCGTTCGCCGAGGCTTCCCATGGCTGCGGGCTCAAGCGTCCCCCCCAACACGTCAACGGCACCTCCCCTCGCCCTCTCACTATCCCGCACTCGTATCCGCAAAGACTATGACGCCGACATCGCGTTTGATAGTGCGGAAGATGCTACAGTAGATCGTCGTCGTCATCATCACCGCCCACCTTCTCCTGGTTCGCGCCACCTCCGATCTCGTCCTCCCCATCATCCTCGTCCTTTTCCTCTTTCTCTTCTTCGCCCTTCTTCCCACTGCCCTGCTCCGTCTTCGCACTAACGAACATGCCGGTAGATGCAACGCCCCCACGCTGCTGCTGCTGCTGCTGTTCAGCCTCAAGCTGCGCCATAGGATCCGCCGCCATCGATGCGGCCGTCGCCATCTCCGTCGCCGCCCCCTTGGCAGCCTGCTGCGCCTCAGCAGAGATGTATGATAGGTCCGTGTTATACTGAGCCTGTACGCTCCTCTTCAGCCTGAGCATATCTCTGAAAGAGTCCTCGCTGCCCGTCTCGATTTCAAAAGTGTTCCACTCCTTCCAGAAGTTCCTGTGCGTCCTTGGGTCACAGAATTGACTCGCATACTTGTAGATCGCCCTTGCGCGGTCAATCTCGCCCAACTTGCGCTCCAATGCCGCAAAGCGGAGGCACATCTCTGCCGTCTGGCGGTCGGGAAGGACCTCGATTGCCGACTCGTAGATGGCGCGTGTGGCGGCGAGGCCGAAAGAGGCGGCCGTTTTGGCGATGTAAAAGGAGAACATGTCGAAGCGCTGCTCGTCGCCCACCTCGCGAGTCGCACGCTCATAGATCTTCATCGCCCGCTTAGCAAGGCCGTGCTCCTCCTCCAGAGCGCCGTACTTCAGGAACAATATCTTGGCGAACTTGGGTGGACAGCCACTCAGCGCTTGCTCAAAGAGGTCGCGGGCCCGTTCGATCTTGGAGCCGCCATAACGCTTGATGAACTTGGAAAGGTAAACATTCCAGATTTCAAAGGCGATTGGGTACCCAAAGGACTCTACTCCACGCTCGTAAACCTTGAACGCGTCCTCGTGATAGGAGCGCTCCTCGAGGAAGGCGGCATAGTTGATGATCGTCTGAGCATTTGCGATCTTCAGCTCTAGCACGCGATCATAGACTGCCTTGGCCCCCTCAGTTGAGCCGATGGACTCTTCGAGGTCAGAGTAGAAGGTCCAGAGCTTGAGCGATTTGAAAAGACGGGACTGCGGTGGTAGTGTGTCGTCGTGGTAGCTGACGCCTTTTGTGTGTCTTGGCGGCTGCACTGAGCGGCTCATAACACGGAGAGCCGCGTCGTAGTTGCTGTGCCGCAGCTCCATCTCTGCCCAGGAGATCCAAATTTCGGCCAGATCGTCGACTCGCTTGTAGGGTACCGCTACAGCTCGCTCGAAGATTTTGCGAGCGGACTCGAGGTCCGGTATCGGAAGGTCCTCGTCCGACGGCAGGGTAATACTGGCGTCGCGGCGCATCTGCTCGATCAGTTTGAGGCCTTCAACCCCGCCGACCTCGTAGAAGCGCGCAAAATTCAGGAAGAGCTGGTGGTGATTTGCTGTCGCTTTGCGTGGGTTGATGGTCTCGATGGCCTTCTTGTACGTCTCGATGATCTTGTCATCCTGCTCGCCGAAGAGGGCCACTCTCTTCTCCCACTCCTGCACATCATCCGGGTTGCGTCGGAGCATGACGTCGTTGACGAGGAAGGGGCGGGCCTCCATCAGCTCCTCGAATTCCTTCATTCGCTCGTCGAGCTCCTCTTCACGCTGACCGCGGTTCTCGGAGGCATCTTCTTCGTCTCCTTCCTCGAGCTCATTCATGAGGTACGAGATGACGCCTTCCTCCGACTCTGCAAAGGCGTCAAAGATGACTGAGAAGTCGCGCACTGTCATCACTTCCCGCAAGCCCCGCTGAAATGTCTTCTTCGCAAGGTCTATCTCGCCTCGCTTGAGATGGTAGGTAGCCAAACCCACCCACAATCTGCCCGCTTGATCGGGGAACTGTGGCATGTTGGCGAGGATGATGGAGCGGACAGGAAGCAGCGCAGAGTGGCGCGGATCCAGATCCCTCACTTCCACGCTATGCGGTTGCGATGCTTCCTCTTCGTCTTCATCCATACCGGTCTCCTCTGGGTATCGTTCAACGAGGTCGACCCAATCATTGAACAGCTGATAGGGCGATTTGCCCTCATTGGATGTGTAATCGCCTTTTCCTGCCTCGAGAGCCAGGCGCAGAAGGAGCTTGGCAGCCTCCAATATGCGAGGAGCGGGCGGCGCTGATTCGCTCTCCTCGTCTTCGTCTCCGCTTTCCGGTCGCAGCAGCAGCTTGGCGTAACGTTCCGTCAAGCTTGAATCGACGGCAAGGTATCGTCGCCAGACGCGAAGGCCCGTCTCGCCGCCGACCTGTTCAGCCCAGCGCAAGTAAAGTTTCCATACTCGCAGATGTAGAGAAGGAGGCAGCAAGCGCAGCGACCGATCGAATGTCCTTCTTGCGTGGGTGAGGGAGAGGGGAGCAGGGCAGAGTGGGTGGAGAAAGAGGGAAAGGTAAAAGAGGTGGAGCCGAGGCATTGAAGGCATACACTGCAGCGAGCGCTCGCAGGCCCCGACAAGGGCCGTCCACTCTTTGTAGCCTACAAGGCCGTCCAAGGCGCCGCCTTGCTTCCACTGCCATTGCCATTCGTCGTCACTGTCCTCTTCGAGGAGACCAGGGCCGACGTCCAGGTTGCGCTTGGATGACTGATTGATGCGCTTATGTAGGGCATCGAGACCGCCGCGAGGTTCTCCCAAGATGTATCTTGCCCGCGCGTAGAGATAGTTACGGTGGAGGGCGTAGCTGTTTGGGAACCTTGCCAATGCCCGCTCGTAGATGCTGACAATTCTGCGCAGAGCGGTACGATTGTCGCTGCTGGCGAGTGGACCCAGAAGTGTAGCCTCGATGGGACTGAAACGTACGTCGGGTGGCGCACGCTTTCGATAGTTTGCCGTCTCAATGTGGTCGATGTATGCACGCCATGCTCGAAGTGAGTCTTGGTTGAGGAGCAGATCCTCCTCGAGAGCAATGTCCGACGATGGGACGAGGCTGGCATCCGTCGATGGGCTAGGGATTGGCCAAGTCAGGGGCAGCTGGCTGACGACATCTGCAAGAGGCGACCGCGACGGGCCTGGAACGGCCTCGTCTGCCATGGCCGCTGGGATGGGATTCGTTGATTGGAAGTCAAGATTCATTCCGGCTTCCTCATCGCGATTGTCTTCCAGGTTGACTGGGTGCCTCTTCCGTGCCTCTTCCACGTGGCGTGCACAGGCCACACACGCCCGCACGCTTGCAAGCACACGAAAGCAACAGGCAGGCAGGCGTCTCGAGGTCTTCTTTGGATTCCATCACTTCCACTTGAATGCCAGCGACAATGGCCCACACTCATGGCCATCGTGAAGGCAGAGGCCATGGCATGATTCACGAGCACTCGCACCTCATACACAGCGAGATTTTGTCCGTGACCTCATCCATTCGAAAGTACACGAGGCTGAATGCCTCGTCGTCATCATCGGCATTCACTTTTGCATCGTCCTCCAATGCAGCCTCTTCCTCCTCGTCTTCTTCATCATCCCAGCATCAATACGTACCTCTGGGCTCCCACTCGGCATCTCTTACCGGCGCAGCGCTCGTCCATGCTCGCCGCAAGTTGGCCTCCTTTGGTGCAGACCACAGCATTTCAGCACCAGCAGACGATGGTGCTGCAGAGAGCGGGTTGCGATCTGCTCAGTCGGCCCTCTTTGCGAGATCCAAGGATTCGCAGCAGCTCACAACCGCCGACGACAATTCTGGGCCTCGACTAGAACCGACTGCACTCCTTCACGCCTTTACAGTACTGAGAGCGCAGCTCAGGGAGCATCCCGACCTCGGCACCTTCCCTCTTCCCCTTCTCCTCGCGCCCTTTCTTCACGTCATCCTCTCCCCAAGAGTGTCAGCTCCAGTAACATCGGCTGCCCTCCAGTCGATCAATCGCCTCCTTGTCTACCAAGTTGTGCCCCTTCCAACATCGCTCAACTCTCGCTCTGAGTCACCTCCTGGCCTCCGACTTGCAGTTATCGACCTCGCTCGAGCCATCTCGCACTGCCGCTTCGAGCCTTCTGAGCCATCAGTCGATGAGCTTGTCCTCTTGCGTATCTTGGCAGTCATGAAGGAGCTCGTTTGCGGCACGAAGCAGGTCGACGACGAAGGCCAAGGGCTGACGCTGGCAGACTTTTTGCCAGACGAGAGCATCTGCGAGATGATGGAGACGGCACTCAGCATGTGCTGTCAGACGAGGCTAAGCGATTTGCTACGCAAGACTGCTGAGCAGAATCTGTTACCAATGGTCAGGCATCTCTGCTCTCGCCTGCCACTCATCCCTCTAAGCGCGGACCAAGCCTACGATGGCGAAGGAGAGCATACACCAGATCACTCTTCCCTAGCCGCCGACGATGTCGAATCGACCGTAGACGCCGACGAAAAGAAGCTGCGACGGATGACTATGCCCGATCCTCGAGGCTTGCAAGTCAACCCAGCCGACGTTGATGTCGACGCTCAAGCGCAAGCCCTCAGCGTCAGCACTACACAACAGGAGGAAGCCCCCGAAGCGCAAGAAGAGGAGACAGTAGTCGCTCCGGTGGTGGGGTCTGAGATTGCTCCGTTCTCACTGCCAGCCATCAAAGAAGTTCTGCGAGTCATCATCTCTCTCCTCGACCCGCATGTAACCTCTCACACCGACTCGATGCGACTCCTTGGCCTCAACCTCCTCACGGCTGCGTTCGAGACGTCCAGCGCGCACATCGCCCGCTTCCCTTCGTTGCGAGCGCTCATCCAAGACACAGCCTGCAAATACCTCCTGCAACTAGCTCGGAGCGAGAGCTTCGCCATCAGCAGCTACGCTATCCGCTGCATCTGCACCATGTTCGAGGGGATGAAGTCAGACCTCAAGCTTCAGTACGAGCTGCTGTTGACCTTCTTCATCGATCGTCTTTCGCCGACTTTTCCCATGAGCCAAGAGCCGTGGAACGAGAGCCGCGTGGCCACTGCGGTGCCCGGACGGTTGACGAGCGCCGGGGGTGCAAGGGACAGCTCAGACAGCTCGCGCAGAGGTAGCTCTTCGGATGGCACGGCACCTCCACCTGCCCCACCGCCGCCACCCATGCCCCGCTCAAGCGACAAGGCACCTGCTCAAGGTGACGTCCGCGACTTGACACTGGAGGCGCTCGCTCTTCTCCTCGGCGTCTACAAGCCGATGGGCGCCATGAGCGACGACCCATTGCTAGAGCTCTTCCTCAACTTTGACTGCGATGTTGACTGCGAAGACCTTTACTCCAAGACGATCGGGTTCCTCTGTCGAGCCGTCTTTGCAGCGCCGCCTGGGGCTCCGCCAGGTGCACCTCCTTCTCAGGATGGTCTGCAAGTCTTCGCTCTCGACGTCGTCCTCGGCTTCGTCGAGAGGCTCGCTGCGAGACAGGAGCAGCCGACGGTGACGCGCTGGCCCGAAGACTTTCCGCCGCAAGAAAGCCTCAAGGAGTCGCGCGGCCGCAAAGACGCTCTGCTTGAAGGCGCTCGGCGCTTTAACCAGAAGCCAAAGGACGGCCTCGCCTACTTTGAGCAGCAAGGCTTTATCTCAATGAAGGATGGCTCACGCGACCACTCCATCGCCAAGTTCCTCATGGATTGTCCCCGCCTCGACAAGAAGCTTCTTGGCGACTACCTCTCGCGCCCGGGCAACGAAGGCGTCCTTGATTCGTTCCTGCGCCTGTTCGACTTCCAGGACAAACCTCTCTCCGAAGCCATGCGCGAGATGCTTGAGTCGTTCCGTCTTCCCGGCGAGTCGCAGCAAATTGCTCGGATCACAGAGACCTTCTCCAAGGTCTATTTTGCCGTTGCGCCCCGCGAGGTCATCAAGAGCGAGGACGCCATCTACGTGCTGGCGTACTCGGTCATCATGCTCAATACGGACCTGCACAATGCTCAAAACAAGCGCAAGATGAAGGTAGAGGACTATCGCCGCAATCTGCGCGGTGTCAATGACGGCTCAGACTTTGATCCCGAGTACCTGGGAAGCATCTACGAAAATATCCGTAAGCGCGAGATTGTCATGCCTGAGGAGCATGTTGGGCAGCTGGGCTTCGACTATGCGTGGAAAGAGCTTCTGCGTAAATCAAGAAACAGCACGCGACTCTCCTGCCCGCGTACGGCGGACTTTGACCGAGACATGTTCGTCAGCAGCTGGAAGCCGCTTGTCGCCTGCATTGCACACGCTTTCTCAACTTTCAGGGACGAGCACTTACTGGAGCGAGCTATAGCCGGCTTCAGGCAGTGCGCCATCCTAGCGAGCAAGTGGGGCATGGACGAGGTGTTCGACTTCATGATTGAAGGGCTAGCCCGCAGCACCGGTCTACTGGAGCCGAGCGCATCTGCACCTTTGGTCCCGCCCAACAATGCCAGCATCGAGGTCGACGGATCCAAGGTGTCCGTCTCGCCGCTCAGTGTCCGCTTCGGCATGGACTTCAAGGGTCAGCTGGCAGCCGTAGTCCTCTTCACCATTGCGAATGGAAACGGCGAGGCTATGCGTGATGGATGGATGCCCGTCTTCGAGATCTTCAAAAACCTCTTTGCCGCCGGACTACTGGGTGAAGATCTCGCACAGATGCTCGACGTCACGGGCGAAGTAGACTTGGATGGCAGCAAGACGCCGACGGCTACCCCGCGTGTCCCAATTCCATTCAAGCCAAAGAAGACGCCTGGCGTCCCGCAGCCCGATCCACGAGCGCAGGGTGGTGGGCTCTTCAGCACCCTCAGCTCATATCTGTTGTCGCCCTACTCGAATGCGGCCGATCCAGTGGCGCCTGAGGTCACGCCTGACGACGTGGAATCGTCTCTGTGCACCGCAGACTGTGTGGCCTCGTGCCGCCTCGACGAACTCTACGCGCAGCTTCTCAACCTCAAGTCGCGGGGGAGTGTGCTTTCTGCTGTGCGAGCGCTGCGTCAACTCGCCGATCGCCTCACCCTCGGCCAGTTGGCAGCTGCTGCCGCAAATCAGCAACAGGAAGGGGTGCGACCAGGCACACCCAACCAGCAGCAGGGAGCCCCCGCTGCCAATTCGCGAGGCGTGCACCAGCTTCCCTACGATCCGCGCATCGTCTTTGTCCTCGAACTCCTCACCAACATTACCTGCTCGGCACCCTCTGCCTTCATTAGTGAGGCATCCACCGAAGCGATTGCGCATCTCTCCAGCCTGCTGCAGAGCCCCAAGAACTTCCATCCCGCTCTACTAGAGCGCGCCGTCGTCTGCCTGCTCCGACTCGTCGACGTGGCTTCTGGCGCCGACCCTGCCTCAGCCTCCGCGGCGATTGAGCTCCTCCGCTCCCTCCCGTCGGACGTGCGCCCAGCGCTGAGCCCCTCGATCATTGGCGGACTGCGGCACATCCTCTCTAAACCCCGCGATCGCCCCCTGACGGCGCAGTGGGATCCTCTCCTCTCCCTCGTCACCGATTCGATCACCACCCGCACTTCCAAGTCCATCGATCTGGCCTACTCCCTGATTTCTACCGTGTCCACGCTCCATCTCTCAAGTAACAATTTCGTCAGCACGATCCAGCTGCTGCGCGATGTCGCTCAAGCGGCGGACCCCGAGCCGATGCTACGGGACGTTCACAAGCGCGAGAAGCAGGGGTATCGTCTCACGCTCACGGAGAAGAAGGAGCTCACAGAGTACGTGGAAACATGTCGCGCAAGAGGGCCTATGGCCATTGCGCGTCTCGAGGCAGCCAAGGGCAGTGCGGCTGCTATTGTGGCTCACAATGAGAAGGCGTGGTCGCAGTGCTGGTTGACTCTCACATCGGCGCTGGTTTCGCAGTGCATCAATGCGCACAAGGGCACACGGCAGGCTGCCCTTACAAGCTTGCAGAGAGTCCTCTTCTCATCGGAACTGAACCCTTCCACCTCCCCACCAAGTGGACTGAGGCAACTCTTCCTCACCACTTTTTTCCCCGTCCTCGACCAGCTCGCCGACGATCCCGGCAAGCAGGGTGGCCTCTTCTCTCGCGAGCAAGACCCTTCAGCCCCCGGCGGTCTCTACGAGACACGCGTGCGCAGCTGTGGCTTGCTTTGTCGCTTCTTCCTGCACTGCATCTCCGCAGGGTCGCTCAACGAGCGCTTGCCGGCAGCCGAGCTGCAGGACCTTTGGTTGCAGGTGCTCGACCTTATGGAGAGGTTCTATCGCGGGTCGACGGGAACTGGTCAGGGCAAGGGCGGAGGAGAAGGAGCGGGAGGAATGGCAGAAGCCGTCCCCGAGAACGTCAAGAACGTTCTCTTGGTGCTGAACGCCTCGGGTGTGCTTGTGCCACCAGGCAAGCCGGACACGCGATCTCCGGATCAGGCGGCGTTCTGGGCTGTAACTTTCGACCGGCTGGACGCTTTCTTACCAGGGTTGAAGGACGAGATCTTCCCTGCGCCGACGGCGGCGGTGGAGAAGAGCGAGGAGAGCATTCAAGTGAACGGTGCAGAGGAAGTACAGGAGTCAAAGGCAGAAGTTGGTCAGCCAGCTGCAGACGAGGTAGTGTCATCGGAGAGGATAGCCTGACCCTACGCGTGCGGTGAGCGAGAATAATTGCATGAAAGCTCCACTTGCATGGCACTCGTGCGACGAGAGTGAGGTGGCATTGTTTACGCGGTGACAGACATGGCGAGCTCTCGAATGACTGCAGCGCTGCGAGAAGCGGGGGCTGCTTGAGTGGAAAAGAGTGGCTTGGCGGCAAATGTCAACACAACGAAATCACCTCGTTTGCATCGCAATCGGCGCTTCATGACAGTGAGGGAGCGCTGCGCTGGCATCGACGAAACTCTCTGATGTGACCGATCGAACGTGGACTCGCGATGTTGGAGATGTGTGCCAGCGGCGCGAGACAGGCGCTTTCGGTCGACTGGGGAGAAGGTGATACGTGCCACGCTTAAGCCCAATTGAGGTCTTCGGCCCGCTGAATGGAGCTTGGCGAAAATGTCATGGCGTGCAAGACCTTGCAGCTTGCTCGCTTGCTCACCACCAAGATGACCTCTGCTCCTGGCTCTCTGCGCCTTGATCATCGCTGTGCTTTCTTTTTGAGCCCGCATTTGCAGTGGCGCTTGCAGTGGCCACAACCGCAGGAGACGTGGCCACGACTGCTTCCTTTTCCTTACTGGTATCTTTCGCGGGCAGCATTCCAGTGCCCGGAGGGCCAACAACAATGCGCACGAGATTGATAAAGAAGAGGCTGCGCCAGCCGTCTTGACTCTGGAAAGGTTGCCACTCATCTTCACGCACGGGTTTGAGAGAGTCTGTGCCCTCTCCAGGCCTGTAAGCCGCCAGCAGCCGGTCGTATTCACCTTGTGCGTTGCGTTGCACTTTCAGGAGTAGATGTTGAGGACTGCCGTAGGACGCCATATTCAACCGTTGCTTGTCGGGCAGGATAGTCCTTGAAGGGACTCTGCCGAGCAAGGTGCGGTCAGATTGCGTGCCGGGCAAGATCAAGGTTTTGATGCTGTCGTTGTTGGTCGATTCGAGGGCGAATCGGGCACCTCCATCTGCTAGGCGAACCGCGAGGCCCTTAAGGCTTGCAGAGATGGCCACATCTTTGTTGCAGTGGGCAATGGGCTGTTTTATGTCCCAAATATTCTCCAATCCGCCGATGAGGCCGGTCGCTTCAGCAATGAGGTGGAAGAAACGATCTTCCACCTCGTTCAGTGTCTTCGTACAAGGTCGATAAGGTTGCCACTGAGTCGGATGAGCTTCAGAGGCAAAGACGATGTGGCAATGATTCAAGATCCACGAAGCGACAGGGCTGCAGGCATGAGGCTGGACGGCGACTTCTGGATCCCACTCAATGTCGCGTAAGAACAGCTTGGCAGAGCCATTAGCGATTTTCTTGCCATACGCAGGAAATCTGAATGGCCACTGTCCGAATTTGAGGTGAACATCGCTGTCGATGACGGTGCAGGGATATCCTTCGAATAAGCGCCAACCAATGTCACCCTCCTTTGCCTGCGGAATCCAACTTGGAAATGAAAATGTCTCCCAATGGGCAAGACTGGAGTTCTCGGTGGCAACAGTGGCTCCAGCAGACCCAGCATTTTCTTGAGGATGCGATCGGCCGGTGCCCTGTCCATGGTTCAAATTGTTGTGGTCGTAATCGAGCTCCTTTCCTTCAACTGCGTCCTCGTGTACCTCAGACTCCTGTCCACTCGAGGGGACAGACGATTGGCCCTGATTCGAAGTACGGAAGTGAAGCTCATCACATGGCTGCTCTAATGCTGCACTTGAGGAGGTCGGCTGTGGCTCAGTCTTCAGTTGGCTCTGAGAAGCTTGATGCTGAACCGGTCGAGCGCCATGCTCGGTGGGAGCAGGAGGGAGAGTGATCGATGCCTCAGGCGGTGGTGACGGGACGCGTTGTGGCTCGCTAATCAGGGTCGTCTGGCTGCATTGACGAGCCTGACCGAAGAGATGCTCATCAGAGAGGCGGACGCGATGCTGTCGTCCTCCCAGCGCGAAGTGGTACCAGACGCCCGACATTCGGTGGCAGAAGGCAGCGATAGAATGGAAAGATGAGGAAAGCGAACGTTTGGAACAAGGCCCGCAGAAGGAGCAGCGGCGATGAGGGCTTGACTGCGAGGTCTGAGCGTCATGTTGCAGGGATGAACCGCTCGCGCGAGCACCACTTGTTAGACGATGTATAGAGATTAAATTCAGCCAAGGCCGTGCAAGACCATCGCAACACCACGATCTCACCGCTACATGACAGCCAAATTGATCACCGCAAACTGAAGGGGAGCCTCGAGGGCTCCTCGTTTGGCCAATTCGACCCTTTTGCCCATCGGACCCTTGTCCCCCCTCTCGGCGGCATCGCGATCCAACAGATACTCCATCAGTGGCTGCTTCATGTAGCTTCCAAGGCCCCACTTCTCTGTGAAATAGCGACTCAGCTCTCCGTCCGCATCCGTAGCTTCATCGATTGACACGTCCACTTTGCCCCAAGGTTGGCCGTCCACCTCCTTTCCTGCAGTGCTATCCGCTTGCTTGCTATGGTAAATGTCGAGGAAGACAGAGGAAAGAAGAGCGCGCGCTTGATGGCGATCTGAAGCGATGATGGGCCCAATCTCGTAGCCGTTGCGCTGAAGTCGAGCGAGGACGACGGCTACAATGCGGGATCCTTGGCGGATGAAGCAGTGCTTCGTACCGACTTGCAGCGTGACGCCCTTTGAGCCCGAGGATGCGCGAGGATAGGCGAGCGAGACCATCTCGAGAGCTTTGCGTCGATCCTCCAGACCAGATGCAGTCTGGCACAATGTACTGATCTGTGACCAGTCATCGATGCTGATCGTCTCGCCGCCCATCTCGATGCTAAGATCAGCACCCATACTTGACTGGGTGAGATGCTCCTCTGGCTTCGTCTTCAGGATTTCTTCCGTGGGCTTGAGCTCATGCCCATACGATGTCACGGTGGTGACGGCCTCAAAGCCAATCTTGGCATAGACTGGTCTGCCCATGTCGGACGCGGCGAGGTAGAGTGACGTGGGCCTCTTCTCCTGCGGCAGCGATTGTGCGTAGGCGATATTCTCGCGGATAAGTTGAGCGGCATAGCCCTTGCGGCGATGTGCATCGTCGACAATTGTGGGGCCAATAGCGCCTACTTTGCCTTGAGGGAACATACAACTTGTGCCGGCTACGTCGCCTTCTGGGGAAATGAGAAAGAACACTTGCTCCGAAGTGACGAGCTGTCTGCACGGCGGTGAAGGGGTGAATTAGATGAACAGGCTGGACTGTCAATTGGGATCGCCGTGAATACCCACTGCCATGCTGGAAGGGTGAAAGGCCAACCCAGTTTACTGATGTGCGAAGAGGAGGAGGTGAGCCGGCGCCTGCTTCTCGCGCGGCCTGATCGTCAAAGGCGAACGTACCTCGAGCGGTTGTAGCCCTGGATGGCGTCCTCGAGTGTGGCCTTGCGTATGGTAGCGGACATGCTGGAGTGCAGTTGAGAGTGATGGTAAGAATGTCAAGAATGTCTGCATCGACCTCTCGCGCTCACCAACGATGCGGGGGCGGGGCTGGCGTGACACCTCTCAGCGTCTCAGCGTCGACGTGCATACATTCATTCGTCTACCGCAGGTTCGCGACCCAGTCAGTCGGGGCAAGGAATGATGATATGCCGATGGCAAAAGCAGCCATGACTCGGTGCCATTGAATCGAAATGCATGAGTACCGAACGACGGCTTGCCCTCGATTAAGGAGTTCCGAAGACGAAGAAGTCGATGATTGCTCAAGCGTGGAGGAGAGGCAGCAAGGCGGGCGGCGTGTTCCTGCGCCTATCCGCCTCTGTCGGGTGAGTGCCTCGCTCGTCCCATTTGACAAGTGGAGCTGAGGCAGACAGACAAGGCAGACAAGCAAGGCTGGCGTCGCTCAGTCGGAGACGTGGTGGATGCGCCATCTCGCAGCAAAGGACGGCGTCGTCGTCGTCTCGTGGCCTTTCTTCCTCCTTTCTTTATCGCAGCACCACACCCTACATCACATCACCCTCTCGTCATGGCGCGCCAAATTGCCCCAACCCCTCACCTCATCTGGGCAGCCGGTCACTTCCTTACTTTTGTCTGCGGGCTGCGCTACCTTGTCTCCGTAGTCCTCTTCAGAGGGCCAAGCTCAAGATGGTATACCGTCGCCTACCTAGGAGCCCTGGTGTCCTACGGCGTCGTCGTGTACAATCGCTTCGGAGTCCCGCAGCCTAGCAAGGCGTGGCTGCAACGAGCAGTCATGGAGGAGAATGTCCAGTATTTGTTCTTGGCACTTTACTGGTGGATCAACAGGCCAATCTTCCGTGCGTGATAGCGAGGAGATGCCAATCAGTTGGGATGAGCCATCGCTGACACCTTGGCTTCCCTTTTGCTTACTCGTCCGCAGTCACCCTGGTTCCCTTTGTCACCTTTTCCCTCGTACACGTCCTCAACTTCGTATCAAAGGTCGTCATCCCCTATGCCTTCCCAAGCGCCGCACCGCCGACATCACCGGCAAAGGGATCCGCAGCGAGCGCAGCAGCACCATCTCAAACGCTCCCAGCAAAGGCGGCAAGACAGATGCAGCTTTGGATTCGCAACAACTACGAGCACTGCATGAAGCTCGTTGCATGGTCCGAGACGCTCATCTTCCTCCGTCTCCTCCTTGGAGCTATCCTGCTGCGTAACTCTCTTCTGGCGCCCCTCATCTTCGCCCACTTCCTCCGACTGCGCTTCTACATGTCTTCTTTTACGCGCACATCATGGCAGCACGTGGGTGGAGTGCTCGACAGCTGGACGAGCAAGCCGGAGTGCCCTCCGATTGTCAGGAGGGGGTACCTGACATTGATGGATCTCGTGGGCAGGTACGCAAGCACTGTCATGAGCGTGCCGCATGGTGCGCAGGGTGCGACGGCTAGTGGAGCTACAGGAACTGCGGCAGCAACTTCAGCAAGCGCAGGTGGAGCAGGTAATGGTGCATCGGCCACGGGCGTGGACCCGACAGCTGCTGGGGCCGGAGCTGCGAGGCGATAAAGAACGTAGACCTTTGAAGAAGTCTGCTGAAGATCTCTCGCAGTGGCAGTGGGTCAAAGGCGGGCCGTTGGAACACGTGGAGAGCCAGGAGGGCATTGAGACGGGGATGCTGGCGCCGCGGGGCTTGGCCATATCTCATGAATCTCCATGAGCGAAGCAGTGCCAATGCCGCAATGGTCAACCTTGACAGCCTGTCTAGGCCGACACCACGGGCCAGAGCATCTGAGGGAGGGGCAGCCTTCGCACAGGATGCAGCGTGGTATGCGTGCGGTGGTCACAGGCGAGGCAATGTTTCCCTTTGTACTATGACGATTCTGATCTCGCTCAGCCCACTTAGATATCTCCAGCCTATTGAATTCTCGTGACACCTTTCCTCCGTCATCCAATGACCTGCACAGCCCATATCAACTTGCTGTAAAACTCCGTCCCCTTCACTAGCGCATCGATGGACGCATACTCATTCACGGTGTGAATACCCCCATCTGCCCCTTTCATCCCTTTCGGTGGTGGGTTGAGTGTCCCACCGGAGAAGCGGAAGATGTTGCGCGAGAGCGCATGGTAGGACTTCGTGTCGGTGTTGCCACCCATGAGGGTTGGGATGACGGGAATCTCGCCGTGATCACGCCAGGTGGAGCGAATGACGCTGCTCAGAAGACGCCATGCTGCTGCGGATGACTCCGTACCGTCGACAATCGGAGAGGATGGCGTGGGCTCCAGCGCCGAATTGAAAGCTACGGAGAGACTAACGGTCCCCTTGGCTGACTTTGCAGCCTCAAGTGCTTCCACCTCCTCGTGCGTCCATCCAATAAAGTCCAAGCCGAGCTCCTTTGCCTTCTTCTGGACCACCTTCCCTACCCATTCTTTCACCTCACCGACGCTGGATCGCACGTCAATCCGATAATTGACGACCGCCTCGCTCTTCTCGGGAAGAGCATTGATCTTGACTCCGCCAGAAATGAGGTCCACGGCTTGAGTAGTACCGAAGAGGGCTTGCTCTTCGGCGGAAAGCTGAGGGAGGATGGAGTTGAGCAACTCTCGGCGGCGCTGTTGGTCACGGCGACGTCGCGCGCCCGGGCAGCCGATGCGAGCTCGAGGCTTCTCCTCGTCTTCGAGTTGCTTGACGAGGTGCTGCAGCGTCTTGTACAGCTGTGGACGCCCCTCCTTGATGGCAGGCGCCTCTCTCAAGCACAACAAGGGGGCGAGTGCCGGATGGTCCACATCGCTGATCCTCGGCTGAGGAGCGTTGTCCTCAATGCTTGCCACGAGGCGCGCGAGATGTCCAATGCCTGTCCGTCTTGGCGGGACGCTCGAATGTCCTCCAGGCGTTCTGACGGTGACTCGCACGTCCAGGTAGCCCTTCTCGCTCGTCGCAGGGCCGGCGTATGCGGTTCCCATGCCTCCTTCCTCTTCGGAGACGTCGGCGCCAAGGACTTCACCGCCCTCGTCTACGATCAACTCTGCTCCACCTACCGTGGGAACGTACCTCTCCACGAGGAAGGATGCGAGGGCAGCCGCAGCGGACCCCGTGGACTCCTCGTCGAAGCCAAAGGAGGCTACGATGGTGCGACTGGGTTTAAAGGTGGACGAAGCCAGAGACTCGAGCGCTGACATGATTGAGATCAGTGAAGCTGCGTGCAGTAAGGGACAGAAGGAGGTCAGCTGCCGTTCCCCTACCAGGCCGTGGCGCCCGCTCACCCTTGTCATCCGAGCTGCCCCTTCCCCACACGACCCCATTTTCTTCATCCACCGATCCAGAGAAGGGGTCGTGCACCCACTGTCCGACCGTACTCGGCTCGACCGGTACCACATCCTGATGCGCCATCAGCACCAGCGGTTTGAGGCTCTCATCTGACCCTCGCCACGTGAAGATGAGTCCATGGGAGTCAACGACCTCCTTGGTGAGCACGGAGTGAACAAGAGGAAAGGAGCGGGAAAGGTAGGCTTCAAAGGGGGCAAAGGCTTTGCGATAATTCTCACGAACCGTCGAGCTGACGTTAGGAGCATTGAGCGGACCCCATGAGTCAGGGACTGTCGTGTCTATCCGGACTGCGCCTGACAAGAGCTTGGCGTACGTTGAGGCAGGGAGAGGTGCGGGAAGAGAGAAGTTCGACTGACTTGGCGGTGACCAAGATGGGTATTGCTTGCATACGGCAAGGGCTGAGGGACCGCTAGCGGCAGTAGAAGGGGCGCTGACTGCGGGCGAGGACCAGGTACGAGGGCCACTCCCGTCAATCATGTACCAGATTGTGCCGGCGATGAGAGCGAGGAGGAGACGCCATCGCCTTTCCTGCAGCTTGGACGCAGCTGTCTGGACGCGCCTGCGTGCGTACCATGGCGAGGCCGAAATGTCGCTGCCGTCGCCATGCTCTGCCTGTTTCAGAGCCTTCTCTGCGTCCATATTGGATGAGGACGAAGCCGTGGTCGAGAAGATGAATCAGACGCGCCGTCTGGGGCTCGTATCCGCCCTGAATCGGATCAGCCGCCGGGTGGAGTTGAGCGTGGGAGGAGTCCGTCCCAACCGCCTTCCTTCACTTCTTGGCTTCTCCATCTCAGTACCTTGCCTCTCACCATACCTCTTTCAGCGCACGAAGCTATGTTGATTAGACCATCATCACAACGATGGAAAGCTGCTGTCCGAAGACTTCTAGCCGACCGTCATCTTGTGTTCCTTTCGTGCCCCACCACTCAGCAACCCTCTCTTTTCTCAGGTCCGCTGGTCCGCTCTCTTCCCGCATGCCGTCAATACGCTCAAGCTCGGGGGCCATCATCGACGACGTTCCTGACTGTGAGCGAGAGACAGCCAAGACATGCCATCAAGCCATTGAACTGCGCGATTATGATAACATCGGGACAGCGATGAGGCCTTTGTTGAAGCTTCTGCGTCTGCCAGGGATTGGCAAAGTAATGCACGTGCTAGCATCAATGCATCTTGACCTCCATGGTCCGTGCAAGCTGGCCTGAGCGCAAGCCATGAGGGAACCTTGTTGCACCCTCTTGCTGTCTTTTGCATCTTCTCATGACTGCGCAGCATCCCGATAGGCTTTCAGCGACGATGTGACACGGCTCTGTACCTCGCTCAGGCTCACGGCCGGTCATTGTTCGCATTCGACTTCCGACTCCGGAGTGCCGCGACAGCAAGAGCCAAGGTCGGACCAGCGAATGCTAAGACAGTAGCGAGCAGCGACTGAGACACATGGCCCCCCTCACTTTCATGGTGATGAGGAGGGAGAAAAGATGTCTTTCGTGCGCAACCTTATTGCTGATCATCGACCCTCATTCTCAGCTCCGCTCATCCTCCCCCGCAAGTTTGCAGCGGCTTTGCAATGAATGCAGCGCACGGACGTCGTTTTCGTCCAAGCGCCTGACGGGGATCGGGGTGAGGCGACAAGTTCTCGCTGCCTCCCTGCCTTCTTTCCCGTGGGGGACACGGGAGCCCCCACATCTGGCCCATCAGATCTAGGCCTATGGAGATGCCCGGGGTGTGGCTGGCCATTTAATGATCCACAAACAGCGTGCCGTGGTACCTTGGCACTGGACGCTACTAATTCGCCTGGTCGCGGCCATTCAGTTACAGGAACGCTAGCTTGTTCCCGCTGCTGCTGCTGCTGCTGCACACGCGCTTTGATGCGAGGAGAAGCTCCCCAACCGTATTCCATCTCGCGCGCTCGCTCATTCATCTTGTCAAGCCACGCAAGCTTCGAAGCGGGCCGTCCTGCCGTCATCGATTCGTTTCCATGAAGCGCGGGTTGCTTCGACAGCTTGAAGCGCCGCCTTTGTCGGCCTCTTTGGATACTGAACCGACCCGCGGCACCATCCATCTTTGGCCGGATGGGAATGGTCGGTCCCTTCTCCGCGGTCAGGCGATGCGATGTCATCGTAGCGAGGAAATCCTGTTCAGTGGACCAGAGAGGCTACCCGCGGCAACGGTGCAAGTCCGTCGACGGTCTCGGACCCTATCCTGAGCGCAACGTCTAGCGAACAGCTACCAGTCCCGTCTTCTTCCATTGGATTGGCACGGCCACAAGCTTTCGCTCGTCAATGTCAGATGACGCTCAGTGGAGCTAGTTGCCGCATAGCCATGCTTGCTGCAAGACGGGATCTTCGCACCCTCCTGTCACCGCCTCGCCTTTGCACTAAGGCTCTGCCGCTTTGGCCTCCCAGCGCACGAGCCTTTTGCGACCAAGCCAGTCCGGGCTCGGCAGCTCCCTTGACTACGACTTTGAGGGAGAGGTGGGGAATGAAGGCCCGGTGGACAAAGATAAAAGGCCGGTCTTGTCGACCTCAACCTCGTCCTTCTTTTTCCCCACTCACAACTCCTCCTCCCGTTTCTGACTGCAGCGACTTACCTCTCTCTACCTCAGACCCCTCAAGTCCTTGACCATCATGCTCAACACCAAGACCTTCATGGCCTTCCTCTTGGCCACCACGGCCTTTGCTAACCCCCTCACGGAGGTGCTTCAGAACCGCGCCGCCTCGTCGCGCTACGCCTCCCCCTCGGCTGACTGGACCCTTCAGGGCTGCTCGGCCGACAAGTACCCCAACGCTCGTGTCCTCGAGGGAGCCGGATACACGTCCGGAGACTCTATGTCCATCGACAGGTGTCTGGCGTACTGTGAAGGGCAGCAGGCTGTCTATGCCGGATTAGAAGCAAACTATCAGTGCTTCTGCTCTACAGATGGTCTGAAAAATGGCGGCGCCTACGGGCCCAACGGAGCCAACCTCAGGCAGCAGGCCAATGACGGCTGCAATCTCAGCTGCAAGGGCAACGGCAACCAGGCCTGCGGTGGCGACAACCACATCCAGGTGTACAAGTCCAACAAGCGCAACACGCCCACGGTCCCCACTATCGAGGGAGCTACCTACCAGGGCTGCTACGCCGACAGCAGCAACCGCCTCCTTCCGGTCACGGCTGCTTACCAGGACATGGCCAACACCAACCAGAAGTGCACGGCTGCCTGCAAGAAATTGGGTTATGATTTGGCTGGAACAGAACACCAGAATGAATGCTACTGCGGATCTTCGTCCAAAGTCAAGCTTCCAGCGAAGACGACCGGCTGCAACCAGGCCTGCTCCGGTGACTCGAACCAGATCTGCGGCGGCAACTATCGCCTGACGATCTTTAAGGTCGACGGCGTGAGCAACGGCGGCGGCACTGGCACCGGCACGACCACACCCACGACCACGCCCACTGGTACTTCTAGCTCCACGACCACCCCCACCACCTCCCCTACCCCTACTGGCCCCACTGCCCCCGCCAAGAACCCCGCTTCGTACTCGACGGGCGGCGTCGAGTACTTCTACGCCGGCTGCTTCACCGACCGATCCGACGCTTCTGGTCGCGCTCTCACCGAGTACTACTCGAGCAGCAGCTCCCGCACTGTCGAGGGCTGCCTGAGGACTTGCCAGAAGGCGGGCAACTTCATTTACGCTGGGCTCGAGAATGGTGAGTGCGCCCTGAGTTTTGGAGAAGTGGAGCCTCTGAACTGACCCAAAAACTCCGATTCTTCGACTCCCAGGCAACGAGTGCAGGTGCGGCAACACTCTCGCCTCCTTCTCGACGAACACGGGCACGTGCAGGACCCAGTGCACGAGCAAGAACGGCCAGACGTGCGGTGGTGGGTACGCCCTCACCCTCTACAAGCAGTCCGACGAGGCTGCTGCGGCCGCTCGCGTCGCTCAGACCGGCGGAAGCTCCGCTTAAGGACGAGCAGAGCGACACGCTATGAGACGTCGCTCAACACCTCAAAATGTCACCGTCACCAACTTCAAGATCCTCACGCGCCTCAATCCCTCGGAAACCCGCCTCTTCATTCAGACCAGATCCCTTCGTCTTCATAGTTGCCCGCCATGACCTTTCGAAGGTACATGGCCGTCTTGATCTTGTCCAATCGGTGGCGCGGGCCGCATCATTACGATCCTGATGTGCGCACGCCTGCCTTTATTGCCTCGGCCATTGAATCACCATTTTATTTCCCCCTCTTCTTTGTCTCATTTGCTGCATCCACACAAAGCTAGGGCAGCGAGCCAGCTTGCCGTCATCTGTGCTACCTCTCCTCTGCCAACGAACTTAGGAGTCACGAATGGGCACGAGATGTCGTCCTACCTGGGTGCGGCGTGCTCCGCGTTCTCCGCCCTGAAGCTCAGCTGCAACGTCGGAGAGAATTTTGGGTCTGGCCTGTTGGCCCGCTCCGTCGAAGCCCACGTTTGGGAACGAAGGAGTCGCCCGGCGGCGCTAGAGCCTAGCGTCTCTTTGCTCCTCACTTTCTTGCTCTTCACCATTCACTGTTCCTTTTCCAGCTTGCACAGCCCGACCATCTTATACCCCAACGAGCAAGCATATAGACGAGCGAGAAGAGGGGATTGTGTGACGAAGACGATCGACGACATCAACAACGGAGAGGTAGCCACAGCATCCCAGATACCACGCAGCCCTCCACCTCGATGGCAGTCATGCAGCGACACGCCATTGAACTCCTCTTGTCCTTCGTCCTGGCTGCCGCCGTAGCATGCGCAGCAAAGATACCGCCGCCACAGGCTACGCTGGACGTTGGCACCATCCTCACGGGCACGGCTGACACGGGCAACAACATCGCCCGCTGGCAGGGTGAGCACGCCGCGACAGAAAGGAGGAAATCCGCCGCATGTATGCTCACCAATCTCACTCCCTCCGTACCGTTCGTCAGGCGTACGCTACGCTCAACCTCCTGTGGGCAAGCTGCGCTTCGCACCACCCCAACCAATCGACAAAGCGACGCAGAACTCGGGAGTCGCCCCGTCGAAGAAGACGCCCCAAGCACATGGCGGGGCTGGCAAACACCACGATAATGCTGCGCTTTCTTTGCGGCCCATGCCTTTCTTCACCGACTCGTGGCATTACGCTCGCGGATTCATCAACGGCACGCGGCCCCTTCGCAAACGCGCTGCCTCCACGATCGCAGCTACCAAGCCTGGCCCCAAATGCGCTCAATCGGGGGACATCGACGAACAGAGTGAGGACTGCCTCTATGCAAATGTTTACCGGCCGCTAGATGCGCCGAACAATGCATCTCTTCCCGTTATCCTCTTCATTCATGGTGGAGCTTTCCAAACTGGATCGGGGTCAGACTACGACCCCACGCTGTTTATGAAGGGGGCAGTCAAGCAGAGCTTGCCCGTCGTGTTCGTCACGTTCAATTACAGGTTGAACGGATTTGGCTTTTTTGCTTCGAGCGATCTCGCGACACTAGCGGGGCTTGATGCGTCGGGGTGTACAGGAAAAGGATCAAAATGTAGTGCGAAGGACGCAGGGTCGCAGCCAGTCGGCCTGAACCTCGGCTTCCAAGACATGAAGATGGTGAGCGAGGCAGAAGCCTGAGAAAGACCGCGTGCAGGGCTGACTGTTGATCCCGCGCGTGCAACAGGCCATCAACTGGACTTACTCAAACATCGACTCATTTGGCGGGGACCCTTCCAAGATTACGATCTGGGGCCAATCAGCCGGCGCCTTCGGCGTGGGTGCGCAGCTGGTGGGCTCACCGGGCAGACCTCTAGCGAGCGGTCAAGCTCAGTCTTCCTCCAACCCGCCTCGCCCACTCTTTCGTGCCGCCATCTTCCAGAGTGGCGCTCCCTCTGGATACGCCCTCGCTCTCCCGTCCGACCGCGACCTCAGCTGGCAGCAGACGCTCACGAATCTCAAGTGCGGCGACGCTGCAGGTGGGGCCCAAGGAAGGCTCAATTGCGTGCGCAACGTGCCCTGGCAGGCGCTCCGTAACGAGAGTCTGGCTCTGTCCGCCGCGGGATCCTTTGCCACTGATGGACCTTACGTGCTCGGTGGCTACCCATGGTCTCCGGTAGCTGACGGCGGGGCTCGGCGGGGCGGCTTCTTTGACCAAGCAGCAAGCCAGATTCTTCAGCAAGGCGACTTTGCGCAGGTACCCATCATCACAGGCAACAACCTAGATGAAGGCACCATCTTTGTCCCTCACCAATTCACCACGCCTACCCAATTCGAGCGTTGGGTGCGCGAAGTCTACTTCCAGTCCTCCAACGTCACGGCACAAGACATGGCCTACGAAGTGATCTCCGCCTCATACTCCGACGTTCCCGCTTTGGGGAGTCCCTACAGCCCTGCAAATGGAAATGCATCGGATCGCTTCTGGCCGGGGGAGGATAATCAGTATAAACGCTGCGCATCCTTCTACGGGGACATGCGGTACCACAGCAACAGGCGCTTCCTCCTCCAGCAAGGATTGGAAAGCAAGAAGACGCCAGCTGCTTGGACGTATCTCTTTCAGGATCGCCCCGTGCATGCAGCTGTTGACTTGGGAGTTCCACACAGCTCTGACCTGGACATTGCCTTTGGCTTCCGACCCAGCACGCTCAATGCAGTCGTGGCGGGCCAGTACGCGAGCTTTGCGACCAATCTGGACCCCAACGGCAAAGGACTGCCGGTGTGGCCCAAGTACGACACAAAGGGGAAGATGATGTTGAGCTACAATGATGGAGAAAGAACAGATACGATTATTGATGACTACAGGGAGGAGCAGATGGACGCGTTGAACTCTGTGCTGGTCAGGGCGGTGACGAACAGGTGAGCGTAAGAGAGGCGCTTCCGTTCTTCGACATACAGCAAGTCAACAAGCAGTGGACACGCATCGAGTCTACCGACGCCTTGCGCATCCTCGGCCTACCAAATTATCAACGCTAGCAAACTGTCCCGCCAACCTTCTCGAATGCTTGCAACTTCTCGCTTGCTCTGCCGTTGCTCCCCCTCCACACTTTGTACATTGCTCCCTCCACCGCACGCTCCTTCACGCAAGCCAGTCGGCCTTTGTACATATTTGAATCTCTAGATGCTCTTGACGTTGATTGAATTGTGTGTGCTTGACGCGGAGAGTATGAGTGCGGCGGTGCAGGCAGGCCCGCGGCTGGCTGCCTACGCAAGCGGCAACATCGACCGTGCACTCGTCCTCGCCCTCTCTTTGCCCAACTTTGACTTCTTGCGCTATGCCGACAAAAGAGATGGCCCCTCTGCCGCATTCCCGTCGTCGCCGCTCTCTTCGCCCCTGTTCTGCTCGCCCGGCCCCGCCCCCGCCGCGGGAAGCCTCGTCATTGCCTACTTTAGCTCTAGCCTCTCGCCATGTTGCTTGGACTATCTACTGCGGAATGCGCTCGCATCGAATGTGCGGGGTAGCTTTTGGATCATGCGGCAGCTGGCAGAAGAAGCCGAGTCCTTGCATAGTAGCGAAGAGGTCCTTGACTGGCGGCGGGCAATGGGGCAAGAGAGGCACGTGTCAGCTCTCACAGTCGCACCACCTTCACACCTCGTCCATTGCTCACCTTCCATGGCCACATTGATGCAGTCGCCACTATTCGGCGGTGGCTGAGCCGGCATACCTGCAATGCCCGGCGCCCCACCCATTGCCCTCGCCTGACCGGGCGGTGGGGGCACTACTCTGCACAATCGCGCCTCCTGACCGTCTGGTTCGCCTTCGAGCGTGAAGCGTGCTGCCGGGTTCGAGGAGCGCACAAAGTCGGCTACGGAGTTGTGGGCGGGTGAGTCCCGCTTGGGGAGGAGATTCGACGTTGACGCTGACCTGCGCCGTGAGGGTAGAGCGGTAGGCAGGGGACGAGGAGGGGCAAAAGGTGTGAGTGAACGGTGAGACAGGACGGCAACGCGTAGCTCGACGCTGCAGGAACGGCTTTTCGTAGCTTGGTCCCGCTGCCGCCGCCGCCATCAGCTCACGCCGTACTCACATGTTAGTCGCAGAGGGATGAGCAAAGACGGAAGGAAGCTGCGAGATCGGCCCTTGCCTCGACTCGAGTCTCGTTCCCCCACATCTCCACCCAGAACTAGTGTCGAGGCTTGAGTAGAAAGCATTATATACGGACACTCCGGGAATCTGGGACATCGGAACGGAACCAAGCGGTATCGTCCCTCTCTTCGGCAAGATGGCCGAGCGGTCTAAGGCGCTGTGTTAAGGAATCTCTTCGATCCTCGACGATTCGCAGTTCTTCGGAGCATGGGTTCGAATCCCATTCTTGTCAACGTGCGCGCGAGCGCACTCCTCTTTTGCCGCCCTGGCCCCAGCTCCGGGAAAGCAAGAATAAGTACGGGACTGATGGTGAGAATCAATGTGTCATTTGCATTGCATTAAGCCGACGCTCGCCTACTTGGCCTTGCGCACAAAGGCACTTGCCTGCCCCACGGGGAAGATGAGCGTCTCGGCAACATTGACGTGCGGCTTCCTGTTGGCAATCCACACAATATCCTCCGCGATGTCCTCGCCCGTCAAGGGCTGGATCCCCTTGTACACGTCTTTGGCCTTTGACTCATCCCCCCTGAACCTCGTCACGGAAAAGTCCGTCTCGACCATACCCGGCTGCACCTCGCTGACGCGCACATTGGTCTCGACGAGCTCCTTCTGCATCGCTTGAGTAAAGGAGCGGACGGCCGCCTTTGTGCACGTGTAGATGGACCCGCCTGCATAACCCTCACGACCAGCAATGGAACCGAGCATGATGATGTGCCCACTGTTGCGGGCCTTCATGTCGCGGAGGAATGTTTGTGTGAGGTGGATGAGCCCCTGCGTGTGTGCGAGAAGGACTCGGGGCATGGTCAGTCGCTGGCGTCACTGCGTTACTCGATCACCTCGTTGTGCTGCTCACCACCACGTTGGTCTGGACCATCACATCGATCTCATCAGCGTCGATTTCTCCAACCTTGTCCACTCCCAGCACAAGCCCCGCATTGTTGACCAAGATGTCCACGTTCTTGGCCCAGTCAGGTAGACCAGCCTTGAGTCCCTCGATATCGCCCCTCTTCCTCACGTCCACAACGGCAGTGTGTACCTTGCCTCCTTTACCCGAACCACCTTCCTTGTTCGCCTGCACGCACTCCTTGGCTGCAGACTCTAGAGCGTCCTGACGACGAGCGGCAAGAATGACATTCGCGCCGAGGCGTGAGAAGAGGAGAGCAGTGCTGCGACCGATTCCTCCGGAAGCGCCTGTGATTACGACGACTTTGTCGTGCAGGCGAGAGGTGTCGAAGAAAGAGGACATGGTGCGGGCGAAGGTGCGAGGGAGTGGGGTTGTTTTCGTGTTGAGGAGCGTGCGTGCGAAGAGTGAGGTTGTTCGTGCTTGATGTCGAAGCATGTGATGACGAGGCGAGAAAGGTAGAACGGAGTGGAGTGCAGACGCGGAGTAGCCGGCCGGCCAGCGGGACGCCGATTGCCAACTCGAGTTGGGCCGCTTCTTCCGCGTGGCCCGTGCAGATGGTGAGAAGATCAGCGAGCAACATGGGTCAGTTGCAAGCAATGCGAGAATCAAATTCCATGGATAAGTGCATCATACATCAATGTGCAATGAGAGTCGTCCATCGTGGCCTGATCCCGCAACGGGAGCCATGTTCGCGCTATGTCCCGCCGCGTCTACGCTGTTCCAGGGCCTGTTGCCCTTTGTTCCCTCTCATCCATTCATCTTCGTGTTGCCCTCAACTACTCGCGGCTTCCCCTTTGTCCTCTCCAGCCCCTCAGTCGTAGATGTTCCAACTCTTCCTCCACCTCCTTCCCTTGTACTTCCACACGGGTCCGTCGATCCCCAGGGCCGTCTTGTGGAACCACGCAAACGTCCCTACAATGGCAAGCGCCGCGATCAAGAACACCACATTCTTGGTCCTCTCACTGAGCGGCCTCCTCTGACTCGAGCCGGGCACCTTGTAGCGCGCCGTCGAAGCGTTGAAGAAGAAGTGGTCCAGTACGTGCGCATAAAGGATTGTGGCAAAATAGAGCGTCGGCAGGTAGTGGTGGATGTAGCATACGCGCGCCATGATCAGGAAGGGGAGGTAGTGGAAGAACCAGCCCAAGAATCCAATCTTGCCGACGAAAACAAATTGGTTAAAGTCCGAGGGGGACAGGTCGGCGTAGCGTCGCTGCATCCTTGCCAGGTACCACAGGAGCGTGCCCAGGAAGACTAGGATGGAAATCGACGACCCCCACCAGATGACCGGATTGCCGATCAGATAGTAAGATGTGGCATTGTCCGCCCACGAGTTCATGCGCAACCCGTTCCAGAGGAAAGGCCAGTCGTAGGGCTTCGAGGCGAGAATATCCTCCTTGTCCGCGTCGGGGATCAAAGCGTTGTTGCTCGTCATCATGGCGACGTTAAGATGGATAAAGTCGCGGAGGAAGGGAGAGCGGTACAGCTTCGTGTTGCCCGAAGGGAGACGAGAGTTCCAGTGTGATTCGATGTTCCTGCGAGCGTGAGAGAGGGTAGAAAAAGGGATTGGTCAGAGTTGACTTCGTCGTCGGCGTCGTCGTCGTCGGTACACCTTCGCGAATGCTCACCAGTACGTGTGATCGTCGCGAGGATTATTCTCCTTGTCACAAGATACTTCAACCTGCTTCCAACCCCACTGCGGCAGAACAGCATTTGCCGCACGCAGGTAGCATCCCAAGTTCTGGTGGCGGAATCGCATTCGCGTTGTCAAACTTCTGATCGTCGTACCGGGCGCCACTTTGCCCAGATGCATGTCATCAACGACCTCGACGACCCAGTAGTCGTTAGAGTCGCCGATCGTGGCATTCCCGTACGCGCTGACCTCGTAATTCTCCTTGGTGACAGGCGCGGCCACTTTGTGAGAGTGCAAGTTGCGACCAGTCGCAGCGTGGACGAGACGGACCGTGTCTCCATTCGTGAGCATGCGGAGCGGGGTAGTCGTGTCTTCGGCAGGGGGAAGAGGCTTGTCCTCCCATCGTGGCGTGATGATAAAGTCATTGTTGGTGTCCTTGTAGTGATAGCAGGTCACTTGTTGCTGCTGCGATCCCACCGGGTACGTCTGGATGTGCGAGTGTAACAGACCACCACCGTAGCCCATGTTCTTGAAGGTGACCTTGCTTCCAAAGGCGGCCTCGAGGGGGTTCTGAGCAAAGTCGTTGCCGCGCAGGTGGGCTTGGAAGAGGGAGGACATCTGTGCATCTCCTGGTCCTGAGCCAGAGAGGATGAGGAAGTGCAGCTTGAATGACAGGAGGTAGACCGCTGCAGGGATGGCAATGAGGCACAACCCACGGGCGCACCAGTGACGAGCGTATGTGCGCACAGGCATCTTGAGGTCACCAAACTTGTCCCACAGATCCTCGATCGTGTAAATGCCTACCAGAGCCATGACGAAGAAGCCGACCCACTTGACACTCATCACGCAGCCGATGGAGAGGCCAGTGAAGGTGAGCCAGAACCACCATTTCTGCGTGAAAGGGCGATTCTGCTGCTGGTGGAACATGAGGAGACCGTGCACCGTCGTGAAGGTAAAGCAGAGCAGCATCGAGTCCAGTAGGATGAAGCGCGAGATGACCAGCCAGGCATTGTCGCAGAGAACCATGAGGGCGAGCAAGTGGCGACTGCGCTTGTTCCAACCGAGGGCAGAGGAGGAGCGCCAAGCCACGGGGACCATGACCACACCGAAGAGAGCGAGGATGATTCGCATGCCAACGTAATACTGGCTTTTCTCAGGGTAGGACTCCCCTGACTTGAACTCGAAGCTCCCATTGTATCCGGACATGGCTCCAGCGAGACCTACAAGCATCTTGCCCAGCGGCGGGTGCACGTCGAAGTAGAACTCGTGCTTCAGGTAGTGCGAGCCGAACTTGCCGAAGTGGGCCTCGTCCCAGATGACAGTCGAGGACTTGCCGATGCGGTACAAGCGAGTGATGAGACTCAGTACGAAGTACATGGCGGTGCAGAAATGTTCGTTGTCGAAAAGAGCGGAGATGCGGTCGAGCTGCGCATGCGGAGGGAGTGAGAATAGGCTGGGTCAGATGGACGCCAGGAACATCGCAATATCAGTTGCCCTCGCCGCTACTCACCGGACTTTGAGGAGGAGCCTGCTCGGGCAGCAAACTAGCGTACTTGCCCTTGGCTGCCGCGTCATTTGTCGCCATCACACCAGTGCCATTGCCTCCCTTGCCGTTGGCCGCACTCTCAATCGGAGCCAATCCTGCCCTCCCATAGACGCTCTTGGCGCCATTTGCCCTCATCTTTTCTTCCATCTTGCTTGATCCAAGCGTGAAAGCTCGACTGCCGTTACGAAATGCTTCTGCGTCGTCGTTCAATGGCGTCTCTTCAAAGTCGCCCTCGTCGTCGTCTTCGTTGCCGAAGAAACTGCTGGCAAGCTTGGAGTGCTGGTGGGTGGCTGAAGTCTGGCGTGTGCCGCTGTACGCGCCGAAACCACCTCCAGGAGAGGTAGGAATACGAGGAGATGTGTGCGTGCTAGCAGGAGCTCCCCACGAATCAAAGGGGTTGGAGCGATATGCTGCTGCAGGGCTGGTTGCGGGCGAGGGAAGGATATCACCCGACTCGTCGCGGTAGTTTCGCTTGACCTTGTAAGGATTTGAGCCTAGGTTGTTTGCAGAGTCGTCTCCTTGGTCGTCCCTGTCGAGGCTTCGTCTGGGTCCCGTGCGAGGAGGAGAAGAGAAAGCCTGGTGATTGGCGTGCGTGTGGTAGTTGTTGCGCAGCGAGCTCGACGATGAGACGCGCGGGGCCGACTTGCGTGTGTAGTCGGACGGCTCCTCAATGTCGTACGCCGTGTGTTGCTGCTGCTGTTGCTGGGGATCGCGACGACGCTGGTGTGTCGTGTTTGCAGAGGAGGATCCGTCTGCGCTGTGGATCGACGAGATGGACGAGGAGGAAGCGGTGCGATGGAGATGTGCACGAGGCGGCATCAGCGGGCGTCACAGAGGGCGACTCGCAGCGCAGTGATCAAAGGGGATGATTCCGAAAGAGGCGAGAGGGGAAGGAATGAAGAGGACAAGAGGGAAGACGTCGATGGTTGCGCTGCTCTGGCGCGTGCGTGCTTGTTGGCAAGTGGTGGGAAGCGATGGGCAAGGCAAACAAGCTTCGCGCCTCGAGGAATGCCTTAAGGTTCCTCCTCGTCGTCGTCGACTCGCTCGCTGGCCCGGCCGCCTTCAAGTCGCGACTTGACTTTGACCCCGTGCGTGCAGCCGCGCAGACGGCAGCCAAAGAGCGCACGGCCGCCCGACGGACGAGCGCGAGAGTGTGTTTGTTGGTTGGTTAAGCACGATGCTGGAATCCGCATTCGATGGCACAGCTAGAGGGAGAGGGTGATGGCAAAGTGGTATGATTGATGCTGGTACAGATGATGAAGTGACTTCTTGCTCGTTTTCGCGCTCATCCAACAAAGCGCAATTGATCCGCCTGCACAAAGAAGCGGCCCGTAATGGTAGGCGCCGCCGCCCTGAGTACGTCCGCCGAGCTTCCTCCTCCACCACCCCCAGACTTCTTGCCCCCGCCGCTTCCGCTACCAGGGCCGCCATTTGCTGCGACGCTATTGCTCGAGTCCCACGAGACTACCACGCCTCCGTCCCCTTTACCCTCTGGATCATTGACCAGAACGAAATTCTGGCTGAAGGCGCGAGGTAGGGAGTCGAGGGGAAGGGAGGAGTCGTAGCGCCCGCCCTTGGTCCGTGTTGAAGACGACTCGGGTGCATTCGATGGTGGAAGGGCTGATGCTGAGTTGGGTGTGTGGTGTGTGACGACGCCTGATACGGTCACCAAAATCGAGGGAGCGGCAAAGCCTGTTGTGAGGGCGAGGGGCAAGGGTACGATGCAGATGGTCAGCCCACCTGGTTTGCCCACCTGCTGATACGTAGGACTTGCGCTCTCGCGCGCGTGTCTGCTCCTGTACTACTCGTAAGGAGCATTGAATCTTTGCCTCCCTGAACCCTTTGTTGGAGCGCAGCCTCGTCGTTACAGCGAACTGCCATTGCCAGAGGCCGCTTGTTTTGCTCTTCCCCTGCTCTGCTCTCATAATGGCGTAGACGTCATGCCTACGGGCTATAGACCCGAAAGGTAAAGCTCGCAGACTTCACGCGCGCCGAGCGAGAGGCCATCAAATGAGAAGCAGCGTGACCTGCTCCCCCTCTCCCGTGGGTAGTAGAGGAGAGCCAGCTTGCGCTAGGTGTCGCTCCTCTGCAGGAGATGTGGCCATGTTCGAGGGGTTTTGTTGCTTTGTGCTCTGATCTAGTCTCGCCTCGCGCCTCACTCACCAGCCTCGTTCGACCCTCCACCAACAGGATGAGCGTCCATACTCTGCACTTCATGCTTAGTAGCCGGCAATGAATCCATCAGCTCTCCCACGCCGCCGTTGCCCTGAATCGGGTTACCATTCCAAAGGACTGTCGACGTGCCCAAGTAGAGTGTCGGGATGAGCCCTACGCGATTGCGTGAGTCGTAGGCTGAGTAGTAGAGGGAGACGAATTGCTCAGCCGCCTTTGCGGCGTACTCGATGAGGAGCTTGGACTCCTGCACGCGTGGGTAAAGAGGATGGATGGTCAGTCAAGGATGAGGAGGTATCCGTGACTCGCCCGGCGCACCCTCTGCTTGGCCTCTACGCTGGCCATCTCGTCGTCTTCGTCTCTCTTGCGTCTTCGTATGGCGGATGCAGAGGCTCAAGAAGTTGTCGCTCGACTTTGGCTTTCCGTCCCCCCCTCAGGCACCCACGTCGAGCCCAAGCAAGCGCCTTTGATCGCGTGGCTGTGACCGTGGCTTGGCTGCATACAGGTGGGAGAAAGAGCTTGGGCTGCCGGCGGGTCACTCAAGAGCTCAAGTCGCCGTCCGTATGCAGCACGAGGCAGAGGCCGAGAGCTTGAAATGAAAATCATCTGCGCAGCATCCTTCTGTGCCTGTTCGTTTCCCCATATTCCTTGGCCTATCATCCACGCTACTGTAGGACAGGCAGCGGCTCCTCTGACTTGGGGCCGGGTAACATCAAGGTAGCTCGACAGACGCAGTGCTGCAGCAGCGGAGGCCCACGTCCCGTGCCGTACGAGCGTCCACAAAGAGCAGCCAGCGCTCGCAACGTCGGTCTTTGCCCCGCGTTTCTTCTTATCACCTCGAGTCGCTCGCCTCTTGACTTCTCCTCTTCTCTTCATTCCATCTCATACCCTCAAACGCGGCAATGTCCGCATCTTCTTCCTCCGGCGAGGCTACGGCTGCGGCCGGCCCGGCCCCCGCAGGCTCCGTACCAGCTACAACAGCAGCTCCATCGACCTCGACGACGGCGGCCAAGCCAGATGTGGCCGTTGAGGACCTGGGAACGGTGGATGGCCCCCACATCCACCAGTCACGCTTCTCATTTATCGCCATTGTGGGGTTGGCATTCGCCATCCTCAACTCCTGGGTAGCAATGTCCGCCAGTCTGAACCTGGCTCTCCCTTCCGGAGGACCGGTCGCCGTGCTCTGGGGTTTGATCATCTCCGCACTGGGAGTCATGGCCATTGCCGCCTCGTTGGCCGAGATCTGCGCCGTCCTCCCCTCTACGGGGGGTCCTTACCACTGGGCCTTTGCCCTCGCCCCTAAGAAGCATCAGGTCGGGCTCGCCTACTTTGCGGGCTGGATCACAGCGGGAGGCTGGGTTGCCCTCACCGCGACCGCTAGCTCGCTGGGAGCCAGCTTCATCACGGGCATCATCTCCTTGATGCATCCCACTTTCGAAGTTCAGCCGTACCAGACTTTCCTCCTCTACGTTGCCTTCGCTTTGGGCGGCTGGGCAGTCAACGTGTTTGGCGCCAAGATCCTCGACGTGTGCAATCGCGCTGCCCTCTTTTGGTCTCTCACCGGCGCCCTCTGTACAATCATCGTCTGCCTTGCCACGGCATCCCCAACATTCCGCACTGGCAAGGACGTCTTCGGCACCTACGTCAACACGACTGGCTGGGGAAACTTTGTCGCCTTCATGCTCGGCCTGCTTCAGTCCACCTTCGGCCTCGTGGGTGTCGATGGTGCCACGCACATGGTGGCTGAGATGCCTCGCGCGCATGTCAACGCTCCCCGGGCTATGCTCCTCGCCCCTGCGATTGGAGCCCTCACATCCTGGATTGTACTCATGTCCCTCCTCTTCTCACTCCGTGACTACGATGCGGTTACCGAGTCCTCCGCGGGCGCCTTGCTCGCCATTATATACCAAGCCACGGCAAACATGGGCGGCTCCGTCGCTTTGATCATGTTCCCCGTCATCTCCATGTGCTTCACGGCCGTCGGTCTCCTCACTGCATCAAGCCGCACCTCACAAGCCTTGGCAGCGGACAACGGCTTGCCATTCCCGCGCTTCTTTGCTTCGGAGACTCCATGGGTCAAGGTACCTGTGCCCGCCATTACGATGAACACAGTCTGGGTCATCATCTTTGGCTGTGTCTACCTAGGATCTTCGAGCGCTTTGAACGCCATCCTGTCAGCCTCAGTCGTCCTGCTCCAATTCGCCTATGCGATCCCCATTCTCCTGCTCCTGGTGCGCGGCAGGCATCTCCTGGACGAGGTCGCCTTCCACGAGGGGCCCCGCCACTTCAATCTGGGCAAGTTCGGCTACCCAATCGGAGCATGGGCCGTCTTCTTTGCCCTGTTCACCGACGTATTCTTCCTCTTCCCGCCCGAGAGACCAGTAACGGGCACGAACATGAACTACACCGTCGTTGCTGTAGCTGTTGTGCTCATCTTGGCGGCTCTGAGCTGGATCTTCCACGGCAGGAAGCACTACCGCGGGCCGGTCAACTTGGACTTGGCTCTCGAGGTCGCGAGGAGGGGATTGACGGAGAAGGATCTGCAGAGGGGACTGAGCGCAAGTGCTAGGCCGCAGCAACAGCAGCAGGTGCAGGTGTCGCCTCAAGAGCAGGAGAAGATAGTTTGAGGGCTTGAGAAGCGATATCAGGCCTGCTCCAGGTCCCACTTGCTTCGGATTCGTTTGTGTACGCTCGTATCGGATAATGCATCTAGCAAGATTGTTTCATCATCTACAATAATCTGTCAGTAACGCCCGACGTCTCCTCAGCCCCCATCTCACTTTCCTTCGCCCTCTCCATCATCCCCCTCCTCCACCTCCTCTTCCTCCGCAATCTCCACACTCCAGTAGATCGGCTTGTCCGTCGTGAGCTCAACCATGCTTACTCCCTCCTCTCCATCTTCTCGCGGCGGCAGCAGATAGTTGGACGTCGAGAGGAATCCACCTATACTCTGCGGATCCTCTGCGGAAAGATCCCACTGCAGTCCCTTTGTGCTGACTCGTGCCGCCCCCTTGCTCTGGGCCCCACCCTCAACACCAAGCGGGAGGACACCACAGGCTTTGCCTAAAAGCGGGGCAGTGAGACTGCGCTTGCGCTTCCCTGGTGCGCTCGTCTCAGGAGCAGCAGGCCCGATGACTGGCAACACCAGCTTGTGGCTGCCCTCGGCCAAGAGCCAAACGAGGCTCCCATCCCCCACAACATAGCTATGCTGTCGCTTCTCTGGCCGACCACCGCGAGGGCGCTGGCCCTGCTCATTGCCATTGCCGGTGCCCACCGCTTCAACCTCATCTGGATCCTCATACCCTCCATGAGAATCACACCCCGGCGCGAGCTGCCAGAGAACGTGCAACGTATGGACCGTCTGATCGAGTCGACCCGAGAGGCCGCCGAAGATGACTAGGGTTAGCGACGTCGGCCCCTCCGGCTTCCCCTCCTGTCCACCCTGAGCTTGAAGTTCTGATCTCCGAGCCTCCCATTCTTCGTGCTCCCAGTCCTCGACGTACTGTATTGCTTTCTGCAAATCAGTGGCATACTGGCTTGGTCTCTCGGAGATTTCTACACCTCTTGACGAGTAAAAGGAGCGCGTTGAGGGGGTGAGGGAGTCTAGATCGCCGACGATTACGTGGGGGAGAGGGACAGAGTCAGTTGACGAGGAAGAAGGAGAAGAAGAGGAAGAGTGGGAGTGAAAGGCTTTGCGAAGTCGATTGGCACCGCCGTCTGCGCATACGCGTAGGGTGGCTGAGTGATGTGGTGGTGGAGAGAAGGGACGAATTAGCTCGAGTAGCAAAAGCAGACGCTGTTATCTTTGCGCGGCTACCCACCATTTCTCCAAAGCCGCGAGAAGAGGCGACGCTGATGTTGTACGATCGGCTGATTGAGCAAGATGAGAGCATATTGAGAGGTTGATGCATCTGGCCCTGACGAGACGGGCGGGGCCATCTCCGTTCCCGCGAGCAGGAAGGATCGCGGATCCCAGGTCAGCATAGTGCACGACTTCAAGGATGAAAGGTGGCCCAGGTAGTTGTCGTCTTCCTTCAGTACCCTGGTCGTCCGATTGGGAGTGACACTGCTCCTGCGAAGCTGCTGGTCCAGGGCAGCGGGCTTGCGATCTCGATTCTGGTGCTGAGGCAAGAAGAAGTCGATCAGCGGCCGTCTTCACGCCCGTCAATCAGGGTCCGTCTCAAATCCACTTCGCGGCCGCTTTCTTCTCACGCTCGGGCCAAGCCAAATCACGCAGTCCTCCACGCTTTGCGTTCATTTAAAGCTTGTCTTGCTTCTTGCTAGCAAAGAAAGCATATGATCCTGAGGCTTGAGGGAGCAGCAGGGCACCGACGAATGGAAGAGGACCGCTCTTCATTGCCGCAATCCGGAATGATGCTCCTTTCAAAGTACAAGGCGGTGTCCCGATTGTGTCCCGGGAGGACGGATCACGCTGCCGAAAGCTTGAGTTTTGATTGAACGAGTCGCTTTTGAGAAAGACATCTACTGAAAACAAGAGGAAACAAGGAAATTGATAGACCACAGCTTCTACACACGACAGAAGCATAGCGGTACTACGCGAAAGTGGGCACGTAGAACGAGTAGTAACGGTCCATGACGTCCCACAACAGCTTGTAGACCGCGTAGAGCTGCGGGTGGGTGAGCTCAGCGGGAAGCTCGATGGGTGGGGCGATCGGCTCCATCACCTTGCCCGATCGCGTCCTCAGCTGACCAGCACGGTGCACTGCCGGCCCAGACAGGGCGCGGGCACCGCCACCGCTGAGCTGGGAACCAGCCACACCCGAGTCCGTCTTGTACTCGTAGGCCGTACTGCGCTCATCAATGTCGTCCTTGTCGTTGCCCTCGCCGTCGTCGTACCCTTGGTAGGTCTCGATCTCAGGCGGATCAAACTCCCATGAGTCCAACGCGGCCCCATTGCTTGCGCCGCCCTTCTTTGCGGCACCGGCCTTGCCGGCCTTCTCGCCGCTGTTCGCTGCAGTGAGGCCTTGAGCCTGTGCCTTTGCTCCCGTCTTGAGGATGAGCTCCAAGCAGCTACGCAGCGAGGTGAGAGTCTGCCAGAAGTCACGCAGCACGTACCACCTCTCCCCTGCAGGGATACCGTTGACGGTTGTCATGGCCTCCAGACTGCCCCACTTGAAGAAGTCGAGGATGTACGAATTGCGAGGGGAACGAGCATCGTCCAGCAGGCGACCGAAGTCGGGAACCACACCGGGAGTCAGACGCAAGCCCGAGCGGATGGTGAAGAGGACGTCGTCGCTGAGAGAAGGACCGGATGAGGTGAAGGAATCGTTGAGCCCGGAGGGGGCAAGGTAGGAGGAGCGGATGTTGTGTGGCAGCGCAGAGCCGGAGAAAGCAGAGCCCGCTGACTTGTCGCTGCCGCCGAGTGTGCGCTGAGAGTAGGGCAGGGTATCCTTCTTCGCTTCCACCGCATCCTCGCCCGCCACGCTCGAAGCGTAGTCAACGAATGCGGCCTTGGCCTGTTGCGCCAGCTTCTCAATGACCTTTCTCGGCTCCTCGGACAGCGGCGGAAGCGCATCCTTTCCACCCTCATACCTGCTCGTAGGGCTGACCGCTCGGCTCGCGAAGAGGTGGCTCAACACCGTTACGAACTCATCCACCGCAGCCGGCCTGTCCGCCTCAGCGGACATGGCGATATTGTACAAGCACCCGCTGCGGAGCAGCTCCAGGAAGGCCAAGTTCGCAGGCTCTTCGGTCGCCAGATGCCCAGCAAGGCCGGAGAGGGCCAAAGGCTCGCCAGCGGAGGACATAAGCCCGAAACGGCGGAGAAACTCGACTGAAGCCCTGAATTGGTGGACAAGGGGCATCTCCTGCTCTCGGGTGGGCGGAACTTCCAGTCCAAGAACGCTGCTGAGCATCTTCTCGCCCACCTGCTTTGAGCCTGCCTCTCCGCCGGAGAGGAGGGAGTGCAATCGCAAGTTGAGCGTGGCAGAAGAGGGGAAGTCACAGTCCAGCGAGGGGAGACGCGAGGTGAGGAGACGCTGGATCTTCTTCATAGGAATGCCGTAGAAGAAGACATTTCCCGCCAGGTCCATACCACGACGACCTGCTCGACCTGCGGCTTGGCGATATTGCAGGGCATTCAGCTCGACGTGGTCGCCGACGAAGACGGAGGTCTTGGCCGGCATGTTGATACCCAATGCCAGCGTGCCTGTCGAGATGACAACGCGCAGCCAGCCCTTGCGGAACCAGCGCTCTACGGTCTGACGATATCGGAGGGGCATACCTGAGTGATGGATCGCCACACCGCGGATCAGACCGTCCTTGAGGTATTGCTCGACGTTTGGAAGCGAGTTGGCCTCAGGTCCAACGTCCTCGAGGGCGAGACCGCACTTCTCGTTTGCAAAAGTGTAGTCCGGCAGCGGGGCCTCGGGATCAAAGCTGGCCTGCCATCCGGCGTCACTTTTCTGCGCATCTTTCTTGAGCGCCTCGGCCTCCTCGCGCCCCTTGATGGCCTTGAGTCGCTTCTCATCCGCCTTCTTCCTGGCGGGCTCATCGTCCTGCCACGCGTTCCACTCTGCCACTTTCGCGAGCCATGTCTTGTTGGTGCCCTTGAAGTGCGCCTCGCCGCTGGTCAGGGTCTCGATGACGTGACGACCGAGCGTCTCCACGATGTCACGGTCGAAGTTGAAGCAAATGGCTGGCAGACCTACGGATTGATGCAGGCCGGCAAGAAGGGGCAGAAGGTGTTCCTTGTGGAAGTCGAGGTGAGAGATGCCCCCCACGCGTGCTGAATCCGCTGCGTCCAGCTTGGAGGTCAAGTTGCCCTCGAGGGCGTCAATGACCTTGATGAAAGGCGAGCCGGGGGCGCGGCTGTTCGGCTGTGACATCCAGCTCAGCGTGACCTTGCGCAGCTCTGCCTGGTATTTAAGCGTGTGCGAGCGGGCAAGCGGGCCAACGATGTCGCCGAAGAAGGTCTGCGGGTCCAAATCCTCGCCGATTGCGTAGCCTGCCTCGGGGTTGGCGTACTTTTGCATCTTGCGCACCAGCTGGAGCTGCTCGGCTGGGGTCATCTCGAGATCAGAGGGAAGAGATGCGCCCAGGGGTCGCAGAGCGGAGAAGGGGTGCAGGTGGCGGAACATTGACTTTGTGTCGAGGGGCTTCGTCACGCCCTTGAAGCTCTCGCTCGTTCCCTCGCTCTTGGGCGGAAGGAATACATGCTTCTTCAAGTCGCTGTATCGTGTTGGGTGCTCGATGACGCTCAGCTTTTGGCCATGACGAGCGCGGATCTTGCCCATCCAGTCACCGAACTCGCCGACGTTGCCCACTGTAGCCGAGAGAGCGATGATGGGAGCAGGGACGAGGGCAAGGAGCTGCTGCTGTGTGGGTCCGTGCTCCTTGTCCGTGAGAGTGTGCACTTCGTCGACGATGACGGCTTTGACGCGAGGAAGCCACGAGCCGGCCACATCGCTCGAGAGGCACATCTTGTGGAGCACTGAGGGGTCGGCAACAAGGACTTGCGCCTTGAGTGGATTGTGCACATCGAATTCCCCGGTCGAGATGCACCAGATGCTCCTCTCGAGCGCGCCGTAGTTCTTTGAATAGCGAGCCTCGAGTTCTGCGGCGATCTGGTTGACCAGGGCCTTCGACGGTGCCACGTAGACGACGACAGCATCGCTGCTCTCGCGCAAGGCTTTCTCAATGACGTAGAAGGCAATGAACGTCTTACCAGCACTGGTGGGCGCCACGACCAACAGACTGTCACGCGCGTCGACAGCGTCGAGGACTTTACGCTGCCATCCGTCAGGCTTGAAGGTGGCCACACGACGGTCAGCCTTGGAGTCGAGCTGCCTCTCCATGACGTCGCCGCAGTGCGACAGCTGGAAGTCGATGGGATCGCCGACGGTGTACTTCTTCGAGGCACGAGGCCAGTTGACGTCAAATGGAAACTCTCCCTTCTTGGCGGGCTTGCCCTTCTTCTCCTCGACCTCGTCCCATACAGCCTCAAGACCGGCATGACTAGGACCGTATACGCCCTGCAAGCCGAGGACGCGCAAAGCCTGTCCGCAAGAAGTCAAGAGGGCACGCTCATGGGTGCTGAAGCCTGAGGCAGGGGTAATGGAGAGGATCTGGCCGACTTCCGTGAAAGCAGTGACGGCGAGATCGAAGGCGTCGTCCTTCTTTTCGATGGTGCATGCGCAGACCCAGCCTTCCAGTGCGAGTCTGACCTTGAGGAGGCGAAGGTCACGGGCAGCCTCTGCTGACGCAGCGCCTGCGATGTACGGCTGAAGAGCAGGCAAGAGGCGTCGTCGCTCTGCGAGAAGCTCTGAATCGGCGCTGTCGAACTTGCTAACAGCAGGCCCAATCTCAAGCTCCTCGAGAAGGTAAGTGAGCTTCCTCTCAACAGATGCGGAAGCCTTGTCCGACTTGCGCGCTTGATTCTGGGCAATGATCTGCTCCTTCTTGCTTAACTTCTTACCAGTATCAGCTGCCTTGCCCGCCTTCTTGTCTTTGCCACTCTGCTCCTTGCCATTGCCGGCAGCGAGCTGCTTCTTGTCGACCACGACAGAAGCGTTCTGCACGCCCTCGGTGATGACCTGACGAATGAGACCCGCCGATCCCAGCAAGCTCTGCGCGTACAAAGTAATGGTGTTGGCGTATCGCTGGTCGGCCTTGAAGCGACGCGAGGCCAGCTTGTTGATGATGCGGCCGTGTGCGTCGCGAGCGACCTTTTCCTTTGACGAGCGCTTGTATTGACTGAAGGTGCTCGACAGAGCCAGCTGCGCTCGCTCGATGGCGGCAGTGACGTAGGGAATGAATGTCGATTGCTCAGAGATAGCGGCAGCATTGGGTGAGGTGGGTAGTTGTGGCAGGTCAAGCTTCGCCGAGGGGTTGTACGGCAGTAGCTTGGCTTGGCTGCCGGTCGCAGTAGGCTGAGCGTCGCTGCTGCTTTCTTTGCCGCCCGAGGGCACGCCGCTGATGCCGACTTTCTGTGCCAGCTCCTGGGCACGGCTCAGAACATCATTGGGAAGATCGGAGGCCACAGAGCCGAGGTTGGTCGCCAGGAAGGCAAAGAGGCGAGGGTCAATGATGTCGACGCTTGCTGCAGCACCTTTGAAGGTGGCAAGGAGCTGTACGCCTGCATCGTAGGCTGCTGCAAGGAAGTGCGACGCAGCGTCCGGCACTGAGGTGGCGTCGAGCTTGAGAGCGCGCTGTGAGAGAGGGATGCGTGCGATGAGGACCGCAGCCAGAATGAGGGCAATGCGATGAGACTGCTCAGCCTGCGAGTTCTGGCTGGTAGCGAGAGCGACTTGCTCTGCGAGGGTCAAATCGGCAATGCCTGATGGGGGCGCAGGCAATGACGCAGTCTCTGCCCCCTTGGGCTGCTCCTCAGCCAGCTTGAATGCCAGTGTCTGGTAGTGCTCGCTCTGCAGCTTGACCGCGTGCGAGATAAGGGGCCCAGTCTCGATGAGGAAGGCAAATATCTTGTGGTCGTGAAACATAGCCTTGTCCATCAGCACGACAGATACGGCGTATGAGTCTCCCTTGAACCCGCCACCGAGATGCTGAGCCAAAGCAAGGGTATCTCTGGCCTCGCGCAGGCCGCTGCCGCCTTGCGAGCCGTCGGTCGTGAGGATAGCGTAGGGTCGCTCGAGGTTGAGCCATGATCGCCACTCATCGCTGTCAATGCTAGGGAAAGTGTCCTGCACAAGATCAAGGCTGTCGAGATGGGCTCGTACCGCTGAGCGGATGAAGCGGCGAGAGGCGGTTTCGCAGGCTGACGAGCTGGAGGATGCTGCGGTGCCAACGGAGGCTCGGTCTTGGAACCATACGATCTTGAAAAAGAGGTGAGCGCCGCGCAGTCTCGCGAGGACTTGCTCGAGGATGAAGATGAGGGTGATTGGGTGGCTGCCCAACTGCTTGTGGCTGTCTGTGCCGGTGAGGCTGGCTGCGTAGTCGAAGCAGAGGGAGAGGAGAGCGTCTCCATCAACTGCTACAAGCTCTTGCACAGCGAATGAAGTGACCAAGTCGACGGTGACTGGCTTGACGACGGCCTTGGTGAGCCATCGGGATGCGAGGGCGCGAGCAAGCTCCGCAGCGTCATCAGGAAGTTGCTCGCCCTTTCGTTGAGCGAGTAGCTCGTTGAGGGATTGGAAATCAGCTGGCTCTGGACGATGGTTCGAGGCCGCTGCTGCTTGTGGCGTCGCCATGTTGGGCTACGACTACGATGCAACGACGATGTGACTCTGCTCTTCGTGAGTGAAAAGAGCTGAGTCGAGATTCGTCGAGAGTTGCGTGATGGATATCGAGAGGAGAAGAAGATGAAAAATGGAGCTGCGAGGAATCCACCGGCCGCAAAGTGACGCGATGTGCGAGCCGCCCCGCTGCCCTGAGAGAGAGAGCGACGTCTGCCCGCTCATCTCGACTTGACTTCGGGCGGAGAGACAAAGAGGCCGGTGAGCTCCACTCAGACCCGAAGCCAACGTAGCGAAACCAACACCGCCGAGGCCGCTGCGCTTTCTTCTTGCTGCTCCTCCTCATTCACGCATTTCCGGCGCTCAGCTGAAATGATCACGCTGGCTGCAACACCCTAGTGATGGAGGCGGCTGCCGCACCAGCTGTGGTCGAGGCTGAGCCCTCGTCCTCTACGTCTTCTCAACCACCCGTCTCAGCAGCCAGGCGCTGCAATCGAGCGCACAGTCGCTCCTCCTCCTCCTCCTCCAAAGATGGAGCAGACTCTTCGACCAGCCGCAAAGAGTCTCTAGGTGGTGCTCTTGCGCGTGCAACTCTCGGCTCCCTAGCCTTCTTCTTTCGCCTCCCAATCCGACTCTTTCGACCCGTCAAGCTCTCATCATGGACGGTTCTCGAGTCCTTTGCCAAACGAGAACAGAAGGCACTCTCCTTCGGCTACGTGCTACGGCTCCTGAGGAGAGAGAACAATTACTTCATCTTCCACCTTCTGGGCCCACCGATACTGTTCAATACCCTCATAGGATTCACGCTTTTCGAGAGCTACTCGATTACCGAGGCGAGATTGTTGAGGAGACATAGACCAGACTTGATTCAAGGCAATGAAGGAGACGAGGGGGACCAAGGAGATCGCATGCTAGGCGCTGCCGCCAAGAAAACGACATGGACCCCGCTCTGGATCGTCACAGTAGCAGGAGCTGCAGCAGGAGCGGCCCAATGCATCCTCTCCGCTCCCCTGGACAATGTCAGGCTGGTCCTCACCTCGCACAAGCAACCGCAGCAAGGTAGTAGGAGAAGCAGGCATGGGCGTCATGGCACTGGTAGCAGCTCGGCAGCTCGCCATCCCGCCCACATCTCCTGGCGCTCAATCTTTCGAGCGGCCCTCCTCCCCTTCGCGCCTGAGCAGACACGCAACAAGCTCGTCAAGGCAGTTCGGCATGCAAAGAACGAGCTGAGACCCCCCAGCACCGACGCGGCCTCAAAGGCAGCGCAGTACTTCAACAAGGAGCAGCGCCGACTCTGGCAGCAGAGGCTCAAGAGGCTCGGGGGCTCAGTGCATGGTGCAGGGCTGGTCATGTCACTCTTCCGTGACGCAATCGGATTCTCGAGCTTCTTCCTCCTCTTTGAGGTGTCGAGGCGCGCCGCCCACTCTTCCTCGACGACCATCGATAGGAGCATCGCCTGGTGGTCAACTTCTGCCACGCTTCCCGCTCAGGCCTACGACGCGGTACGAGGCCAGTCTGCCGTCTCATCCGAGAAGCGCGACGACGATCAAGACGACGACGACGACTTCTACCATACTCAATCGCTCCGAGCAGACCAGAGCTACAACGCCAGTAGAACGAAGACCGGCAGAGTAGTAGCCGCTTTCGTCCTCATCGTGGGCGGAGCAGTGGGCGCCTTCGCCTACGAAGCGCTCGGGCGTCCCTTCGAGCTGATGCGGCTCATTATCTGGCAAGGGAGACAGCAGTGGCAGAAGGCGAGGGAGGCGGAGAGGGCAAAGAGACGGGCAGGGGGTGGAAGAAGTTTGAGGAAGGCCCGATTGAGGGCTTCAAATAGGAGAGGACAGACAGCTCTACTGTCTGCGAATAGCAGCTCGAGCAGGCTGGAGAGTCTGTTGACGCTGCGTGTAGCCAACTCCGCGGGGAGCAGAATTAGCAGATTGCAGGCTGTGCTCAGCCAGAGTCATCCGCCGCACCCGCTCAGGAAGACAGGCAAGAGGATTGCGGATGTGGCTACTGCGGAGAAGAGGAGCAGGAGAGGCGCAAAGACCTCCGCCGCTGCAAAGGCTGGCGCAGGAGCTGCGAAGCAACATGCACAGGTCTCTCCATATCCACCGGGAGCCCTCTCCCTCCTTCTGGCGCACGCGGAACGCACCTCTACCCTAGCCTACACCTCGTCGAGTCGCAAATTTCGCACAGCGGTGCCGTCGTCTGTCTTGCTGCTGCATACCTACTTCGTGGCCCCGTATCTTGCGACGAGCGAAGTCACCTCCTACAACAGTGGTGGTAGTAGTAGTAGCAGCGGATTGGCAAGAGCGGCTGCTGCTGGGACGGAAGCGGTGAAAGGCGAGAACAGCACAACGGTGCTGGGCGAGCGCACACGCACAGCCTCGCCCACTACTCGCTCAGCAGCCAAACTGCTTCGCCGGTGGACGAACAGCAATCCTGTTTCCTCGACTTCCCTGTTTCCCTCTACTTCTCTCGCCTCCCCTTCTTACTCGCCTCCTTCCTCAACCTCGTCAGGCGCATCTCGCGCGCGGCTACCCCTCTCCTACCTTTTCCCCCGGCGACCTCGCGAGGCTCCTGGGTCATTGGGGACGATCGGTCAGGCAAGAAGCTGGGGATCGGGGAGAGCGGCGTGGGCGCTACGTCGGTTGGCGAGCCCGTACGGCGTGGGATTCCTGGTGTTTGCATGGATGAGTGGGGATGTGTAGCGGACGTAACATCACGGCCGAGAGGCATCGCATTGATATACTAGATTTCGTTGGATAAGCTAGCAGCGACAGAATGAAGGGGAGAGGCAAGCGATAGATATAAGCGTAAGACCGGCGATAGGCAACGCGCAGCCTTGAAGCCAGCGAGACCTTATCTTCGCCTTCACCTTGCCCACAATTATCACCACCGTCAGCCTCCCGCACGCACTTACGCACACGCTATGCTACGCTGAATGTCTCGGTAGTTTGAATAAACTTTCTCGCCAGTGCCGACCCACCCGTACTGAGACGGCAGGGTGCGACTACGTGCTTGACTCTATTGTGTATGTGTTTCTCTCTCATTGACATATAGCGCGTGCGTGTGCGGGCGTGAGTGCGAGGAGAGGACGTGGTGATGTGTCGATGAAGGGAGGAGGCAGAGTAGGGGGAAGGAGAAGGGAAAGGACGCAGAGAATACTGCGCTGAGTGCGCGCTTTGGGCGTCTGGGAGGGGAACAGGTTAGTCTAGCAAAGCCACGCATTCACGCGGGCGATGGTGACGTAGATCTTGATTGCAGCATCGTAGGCCCGCTGGTGACGTTGAGAAGTGTGTGATGGTGAGAAAAGGTAGGAAGGATGATTGTCGTCGCGACTGAAGAGAAAGACTGGGAGCGGAGCCGCGGGCCAAGACAGGCGGGCCACTGCATCAAACGGACCGGAACGGCAGATTGGACTGACGCGGCCATCTCGTGTGGAGCGACTCAGGCTTCGCAGGTTGGCTACTGTTGATCTCGTCCTTCCCGCCATCATCAGCATACAGTAGCGGCAGCAGTAGCAGCCATGCCATCAACTACGGCGGAGGTGAGCCACACATTGCAGAAGATGCAGCCTCACCTTTTCTGTCATTGAAGCTTATCATGTTCCTTCTCCCTCCCCCGCGCTCAGACGCTAGCTCTCGCGCAAACGCAGGTGATCGTCCACCCGCTCGTCCTACTCTCAGTAACAGACCATGCATCACGTTCCGCCTCTGGCACTCGCAAACGCGTCGTAGGTGTGCTTCTCGGTCAAGATCTCGGCGACAAAGTCAATGTAGCGAACTCCTTTGCCGTCCCCTTCGAGGAGGATGAGAAGGACAGCAAGACGTGGTTCCTCGATGCCGACTACATTGAGTTCATGGTCGCCATGTTCAAAAAGGTCAATGCTTCGGAGAAGATCGTCGGATGGTACCATACAGGGCCGAGACTGAGGTCGTCAGACCTGGAGATCAACGAGGTATTCAAGCGCTTCATCCCGCGACCCTGCATGGTCATCGTCGACCCGCGTCAGAGGGACACTGGCATTCCCACTGACGCATACATCGCGGTTGAGGAGATCAAGGACGACGGTACCGCAGCTGAGAAGACGTTCACTCACGTACCCTCGAGCATTGAAGCAGAGGAGGCAGAAGAGATCGGTGTCGAACACCTCCTTCGCGACATCCGCGATACAACGCAAGTAGGCACATTGTCAGAGCGAGTGGGCAACCAGGTTGACTCGCTCAAGGGATTGCACTCGAGGCTGGGAGAGATCGCCTCGTATCTGGACGACGTCATTGCGGGCAAGCTGCCGCTCAACCACCAAATTGTGTACAAACTGCAGGACTGCTTCAACCTACTGCCGGACTTGGAGGGGGAGGAAATGAAGCGGGCAATGAGTCATGCGCAGAACGATCAGAGCCTGGTGGTGTACTTGTCGAGCTTGATCAGGGGAGTAGTCGCGTTGCATGCGCTGGTGGACAACCGCAAGGCAAACGCAGAGGAGACAGGGGAGGCGCAAGAGGCGAGCGCAAATGGCAAGGATATGGGGGACAAGACGGTCAATGGAGAAAAGGCAGGAGAGGACGAGATGAAGGCAGGCGGTAAGGAGGGCAAGTCAGATGGAGGAAAGGGCGAGAAGAGAGATAAGTGAGGGCTCTGTCAGGCTCGAATGAAAAACCACGATAACCAGCATGCTCGCTCGGCTTGCATGATTGCAAAGCATGTGTTTATATAGGTCCTCGTCACTCGACTCACTGTCCCACCTTCCTCAGCTGCACCCCTTTCCCAACAGGCAGATTCACAGCCTCATTTCTCCTCCAAAAGTCGACCAAAAGCTTGGCTACCTTCTCCGGCTCGTCCTCCATCAGGCAGTGTCCCGCTTCAGGCAAGACCTGCAGCTGGTACTTGCCCTGCATCTGGCCTACCATCAAGTCCTTGTCAAGGCGATCGGTCCCCGCTAGCATGAGAAGGCGCGCTGTACGAACGCCGAGGAAGCGCTGCGAGAGACCTACGAACCAGGAGCGCCAGTGTGGAGTGGTGAGGGAGAGATTGTGCCGGAAGATGAGACGCGGTTCGCGTGAGGCGCTCTCGAGGGCATGTGTAGTGTCGTGTTCGTCCTTGAGTTCCTCCATCGCCTCGTGCTCGTCCCAGTCTTCTTCTAATGACTGTTTGAGTTCCTCTGTGAAGTTAGGGTTCACCTTCAATACTCCGGGTACACTCCTCCTCGCGCTCTCTTTATTCCTGATAGCCGCCGCACTGCCCCTTTCCACGTGCCACCTGATCGCTTCCTCCATACTGTCGAACCCTTTTGGCTGCATAGCCACAATGCCCTCCATAGAAGACAGGGCCTCAACGGCCGTTCCCTCGACCACGTCGAGTACTGCTACCCCTGCGACTCGAGCGCTCCAATTCTGCACGGCGGGGCAGAGAGAGACGACGACGCCCCCTCCCATCGAGTGTCCTACGAGGAGTAAAGTCGGGGTTCGAGCCGGATCGGGGAAGAGCGTCTGAAGCAAAGCAAAGCTGTCACCTGTCAAAGTCTCCAGCGACATCTCCTCTGGTGCGGGGCATTCCGTCCTACCATGTCCACGGCAGTCTAGGGCGAGAACCCCGACTTCACCGTTCGTGGAGTGAGTAATCGCGCGAGCAGTCAGGGCAAAGGAGAGGCCAGAAAAGCCGGCACCGTGGTGCAAGAAGATGAGAGTACCTGGGCTTGAAGGCTTGCCTGCTTCTTCTCCTTCTTCGTCGTCGTCGTCATCCATGTCCGGCAGTTGTAGGGCAGCCAAGGCTGGATCTGACGGCATCGGCGCGCCTGCGGTCGCAGATGCAGAGAGGAATGTATCTCCTGGCAGTCGTGGCGAAATACCTGGCCCTGTCCGACTAGCTGTCGCTGCTTGTTGCTGCTGTTGCTGCCGCTGCTGCCTCTTGGCTTGTTTGGGACGAGGCGGCGTGTAGTAGACCCTAAAGACTCCTCGTTCGGGCACGTCGACCTCCAATGCTTCTGCGAAGCAGTCGTCCGACGAGAGAGGAGAGAAGGCGTCTCGACTACTGCTGCTAGGCGTAGTTGCACTGTCTTGGGAAGGTTGGCGACGCTTGGAAAGGGGAGGTGGGGGAGGCATCGAGGAGGAAGTGGACGAGGATGGCAACGCGCCGATGCCGTCTGCTGCCTCTTCTTCCTCTTCCTCTTCTTCGTCCGCGGTGCTCATGTCGACTTGTTTCGCCAGAGGCGAGGGGCGTGAGTCTGGCTGTCCGGACTTGTACATTGATCTGAGCATCTTATCGGCTTGATGAGGGAGATTGACGAGATGCTGAGTTGCCTGCTTGTATGCGGTCTTGCAAGTGTTGGTTGCTCAGGTCCTCTCTCTCCGCCCAGTCTTGGAAAGTGGAGTCGCCCAGTCAAGGCTCGACTCGCGTTTCCTTTCGTATCTTCTTGAGACTCAACCTAACGTCACCATATCATGTTCTCCCTTCCCTCCCTGGGAGGCATTCTTAATCCTTCAGGAGGCCCTTCAGTAGACTCAATCCGCTTCAAGACAGATCGGGTCAATGGCATCGCCCGCCTGTACAGCGAACAAGTCCCTGCTTCGGAGCATCGCTTCTACTCTTCGATCCTCACGCATTTCCACTCCACGTCACATGCCTTTGATACTTTCTCGGTCAAGGATGCTCGACAGATTAGGGATCGACAGCCGGAGAACTTCAGGACGCTCTTGATACTGTTGACTCTGCACCTTGAGAGCTTGAAGCGGGATGAGAGGTTTGTGCCCAGACCGGGTACAGCGGCTGCGACGGCGGCGGCAGCTGCTGGTGAACTTGATGGAGAAGAGGGGGGGATGGTAGCTGGCTTTACGGCTGGGCTAGGCAAGTGGGCCTCGGTGCCCTTCGGAGGGGCAGCAGCCGGCTCAAGTCGAGTACAGCCCCGCAATCGTACAAAAGAGGCCCTCAATTGTGCCAGGCTCCTCGCGAGGCTGCTTCCTGTGCTCATGGAGGATGCTGGTGGGCCAGGCGCCGTCAAGGATGAGAGATTCACATCAATACTTGAAGAGGACGTGCTGTGGACGAGACACAGAGTCGCCGAGCAGCAAGATGAAGACCCAGCGGCTGCTGCGGTCGCCCAGCTCGCTGATCAAACGCAGGATCAATTTGTCATCGACGACGACGAGGAGGAGGCCGATGCTTCGAAAGACCCCCTCACTTCCCAGGCTGGCCCCTCATCCTCAGAAGTACAACCAGCAGAAGCGCCCCTCCAAGAGCCTCTTGCCGAACGCCTAATCCACCTCAGCCTCGACTTCCTCTTCTTCCCCGGCTTCACCCTCCCTCACCTGTCCCAGGACGAAGAAGAAGATTCGCCAGACGGGTCACGCGTCCATCCCACCATCTGGAGCAAAGGAGTCGGATCATCAGTCGACCTCCCCGGCACCACAAGACAACATGTTGCGCATCGCATTGACTTCCTGCGACTGCTCCTCGTGCTACTGAGCAAAGCGGTCTATGTGCCCCCGCCAGCCCAAGAGGGGTTCAGGGACCGCGCGTTGGAGTTTGCGTGCACGAGTCTGAGTAGAACGATCAGCTTACCGCTGCTCTGCTCGTTGCTGAACGCTGCTTGTGCGGATACTGGGAATGCGGGGGGATGGAGTCTGTTGCCTGGCTTCGCGGCAGGGGGATCACCTGGCTCTCATGAGGCAGAGGGCGGCAAGGAGATGCTCAGAGCTCTATCACTGCAACTTTTGGCCGTCCTGCTTGACTGGCAGCCGCAGCTCTCCGCTAAGGAGGGGAACAGTCTCGATGTGTCCTCTCAGCAGACAGATGGGGATGCTACATCGGACACCCTCAACGTCCGTCCCGACCTGAGCCGTACAGTCTCCACCGCGTCATCCTCCTCGACCGTCGCGCCAGCCGGAGCGGGCACTACTTCTTCCTCGTCCTCTCTGGGAGCAAATCAATTTACCTACTGGCTCTCCAAGATTCACCGGCCAGCAGACCTGTCCCTCCTCTCCTCGCGACTCTTTACCCTTTTGCGCCCAGCCGCCAGCTCTGCCTCGGCCTCCGGCTCTGGAGGTTCCGCCTTCAACCTTCCCGGCGTCATCACCGCAGCCTCCAGCAGTGCAGCAGCCTTTGTGACCGGCGGAAGTGGTATCAACTCGACACATGGCATCTACCACCATTCACCCGAGGCGCTCACGGTCCTGTGGCGTCTCCTCATGCACACCCCTAAATTCCGAACTCACGTCCTCACCGACCCCTTGCGAGCCCCTACCCTGCTCGGTATCCTCCTCTCCCACGCCCTGCTGGGGAAAGACTCCCCACCTTCGCACGGCATGGTACGGCTGAGCCTGTTCAGTCTACAAGACATTTCCTCACATCCAGGATTTGGGGAGCAAATAGCAAAGGCTGGATCGCAGCAACATTGCCAATTGCCAGGGAAGGTGGTGGGCGCCAATCCTTTGCTCGCGGGTGGAGCTGGTGGACTGCAAAGTGCCCGATCCGCGGGAGACGTACTAGTCTCAGCGTGCCACGCCTTGGTCGCGACGAGGGGCATGGGCTCCTCAGGCCTTGCGTTGGCCCCCTCGGTGCTCATCGCACTAGCCAACATAGCTCCGTCTCTGACCTCGCTGAGCGTGGCAAGTGCAGCCAAGCTCGGCCTCCTCCTCGCGCATGTCTCTCGCCCCGCATTCCTGCTGGCAGACGAGGGTCACCCGCGCTTAGCCTTCTTTGTGCTCGAGGCGTGCAACGCGATATTGGTCAACGAGGACGAAAACAAAGTCAAAGGAAATGCCAATGTGGTGTATAGCTTGCTGGGGAGGCAGAGAGAGGTAGCAAGGCTGCGTGGCTTTTCCCTGCGCAAGGGTTTGGCGGAGATTCAGGAGAGTCGCGGTGGGTTGGGCACGGACAGCGCCATCGGCGAGGGAGGAGGGACGCCGCAGCCGCTCTCGGCGGAGGAGGAGAAGGCGAGGCTCAAGGCACAAGAGGTACAGCCTGTGATAGGGCAGACGGGTGAGGCCGAGGCTGAGGCCGCTCCATCGGCACCGAGCGAGAAGGCGCTGGGTAAAGCTAGGAGCGCGGAGGTTGACGGCGAAGGCGCAACGGTGCCACAAGTCGGTGGAGCAACAGCGGCAGGATCGTCTTCACAAGACTCCACCGCAGTCCAGAGCACCGAGCCACTGTCCCACCTCTCCTCTCAGGACCTGGCCGCCCTCTGCTCATCTCTCTCCCTCTCCAATCCACGCACAGGCTTCACCCCCACAGAAGCCTGGGTAGAAAGCTGGGCCCCGCATCTTCCCCTGGGCCCGCTGGCTGCCCTGCACGACGATGCGACGCTCCGAGCCGGGATCGAAGAAAGGAGCAAGCAGGGCGGTGCAGCAGAAGCGGTTCGCTGGCTCAAGAGCGACCAGGCTGACGTGAGGGGGATTGCGCTCCGTGGGCTGGGTGGAGGGACTACAGAGGCTCCGCAGCCCGTGCGTAGACCCTTCCGCTGGACTCCTGCCGTCAGCGTCTGGCTCAGGAGCTATATCTGGGGAGCAGTCTACCTCCTGCAAGCACTGCCGTACAGCCTTTGGCCACAGGAAGGTGTCAGACTATTCGTCTTGGTGGGGCAGGGGCAGGGATTGAAGGGGGAGCACAGAGGGACGGGCAAGAAAGTAGTGACCGGGGAGGCTGCGCAGGACAATGGTGGTCAACCACCTGCGGATGCAGATAGAGAGGGGAAAGAGGGGCGCGAGGCTGATGGGCAGCCAAGCAAGGGGTCGATTGAAGTCTAAATGCCATCTTGCTTGCTCTTTGCCCTACATCTGCTCTGATTCAGTCAGAACCTCCTCTCTTTCTCACCAGCGCGAGAGTCGGAAGACGCTGATGTCATTGACCTCACGAGCAGGCGCATCATTGACGCCTTGATTTACGAAAGAGAAGGACGCAGCGCAAAATCGCCTGCCGCGTCGCGTTGAGTCGGTCGAGTCGAATCGTATAGATGAGTCTGATGCCCGCGCTCTTAATTCCTGTCCCTTGCCTGACCCTCCGTCGCCCACACTGCCTGGCATTATGGCTGGCTTCCCTCTACCTTTGCTTTCTCTCCCTCCCCGAGCCTCACGCCGACCCATTGACCGGCGCGGACTCGACCACAGGCGCAGCAGTATCAGGAGCAGGTGCGGAGTCGGCGGTCGAGTGGAGCTGTGTTGGCTCATCGTCCTTGAGCTCCGTCAAATCGCCGACATCCGCGCTCGCGCTCGCGTCCGCTGGTGCTGGCGCGGATGCTGCGCTCTGACTCCCGTTCCCATTCGTACCCTCCGTCTTCGCCTCTGCAGCCTTTGTCTCCCCAATGGCGGGAGACGCAGCTGATCCACCAGCCTGCACGGCATTCCATTTGTTGACGAGCGCCTCTGCCCTCTGCTTGAAGTGGTGAACCTCGTCGAGGGGAACGGAGGAGAGGCCAATGATCTTGCGCATGACCTTGCCGATCTTGGTGGCTTTGAGTTGCTCGGAGGTGATATCTGCTGACTCAACCGTGCTGAAGATAGTGTGCCTGTGAGGGAGCAAGGGTAAGAAGGGCGACGTGAGTCTCAAAGGACGAAGACGCAAGCTTCTTATGACTCATCGCCGCTACTCACTGGTCCTTCACGTCCTCCTCGTTGGCGGCTCGATCCTTTGGCAAGAAGGCGCGTTGCAGGGAGTGACGCCAGTTGCGCACCTTCTTGGTGTCCTCATCGAGCTCTCCGGCCTCCCCGTCATCCTCACCAGCAGCGCCTGCCGACTTGCGCGCTGCACCGCCTGAGACGGGAGCCGCAGCCTTGCTGCTTCCACTTGCCGGCTCCGTCTTTGCCTTCTTACTCTTGCTAGCCGTAGACGGCTTGGCAGGAGCTGCCCTCTTCTTCTTGGATGCGCCAGAAGCTGGCTTCTCGGGCTTCAACTCGTCATCATCCTCGAGCTGATCCTGGTTCTCTTGCGCCTCCATCTCTGCCTCTTCCCTCGCTCGCTCCGCCTCGAGAACGACTGCATCCGTCTCCTTGATCCACTCCTCTGGAGCTGAGCCGATCTTGTAAGCTTCCTTGAGCTCGCCATCTTTGCGGTGAGAGTCTTCGGCGTAGGCGCGACATTCGTCGCGAGTAAGAAGAGTGAGGTCGCGATGTCCGGGGAAGTGGCTGGGAGTAGGCGGACAAGGGGAGAGGAAGGAGGTGAGCGATGATGCACGCGCCCGATGTTTGGAACACGCGCTGGGTGCTCACTAGTCTGCTTTAGGGAAGAAGCGAATGATGAATTTGTCCTTGGGCTTCTCGCGTTGGACATCTCGCGGCACCTGTTCACCACCGACGAGCTGAGCAAGGGGGAGGATGAGGCACGAAGTCAGCATGGCGTGCTTTGAGGCCTGCATCCGCACGCGCAGCGATACTGACCACGCCAGGCCATGCTGGGAATCCCCTGATCTTGGCCAAAACTACGTCGCCGACCTTGCTGAAGAGCGCACGCGAAGGGAGCAAAGGTAGGACGCGGGTCAGCCTGGGCGCGGCTCAGCATCCTTAGGAGCGCGCAAATCAGCTCACAACTGGTGATGGTTGTTGGAGGAGCCCTTGGACGATGAGCCGCCTGCCATGACGAAAGGCGATTGAGTGGTAGGAAGGCTAGAGGTGGTGCGGAGGGTCCCTTTTCTGGAAGCGGATATGGCAATCTCTTCCTTCGAAGATTGCGATTGGTCTGCCTTGGATGAATGAGCGGACCGAGCCGGGGGGATGCGAAAGACTTGCTGCTTGGCCTATCAGGAGCAACCAGCTTGCTTCGACGCGACGTGAACTCGAGATCAGATTGTGGAGTGGTTGATTGTAGTGGGTGGATGAGAAGGAAGGAGCGAGTGCAAGTGCGTGCATCGACGCAACCAGGCCGGCACCCGCCCGCTCCGCTCTCCAATCCATCCACGCGCGCCGCGCCCCTTCGCCTTTGCTCCTGCTCGAGACGCGAGGCGCCGAGGCGGAGAGGCGGAGAGGCGGAGAGGCGGGACAGGCGGCGCATCACCAGGGCCAGGTGGTCACGCTCAGGGAGCCAGAGCCAAGACAGCCAGCGAGGAGAAAGCAGGCCAGAAGAGGCACAGCCACCGATGGTCAATGACGATCACGACGCGGCGAGGCCGGTAGCAGCTACTACGAAGATGGGCGACCCTGGATGCTATCTCGACACGGCGACCACCATCAGCTTGTGGAACAAGGCAGGAGAGACGGTCTCGCCCGAGTCACATCGGAACACAGAGCTTCCATTGCGAGGCATTGACAACTACGCGCATTGCAGATACGAGTGGGTGAAGAAGAGCAAAACAAGTCAAGAAAGCGACGCCAGCGCCTATGGATACAGAAGTCGAAGAGAGATCTCAGTTGAAAGTCCTTGTGCAGACGCCCCCGGTCAGATGTACCAATCCCTACTCGCCCTCTCCCCCTCCTGACCGGCAAAACGACTCGCCCCATGAGCGCGCTTCGGGCTCTCCAAAAGCTCCCTAGTCCTCTCATCGACCCTCGGGCTCGCACCGCTCTTGAGACGTTCCAGCTCATGCTCGATCGTGACACGGGGGCGCTGCTTGCGCGGCGTGGTGTTCATGCTGCCTTCGGGCACGGGTAGAGGGTCCGGCTGAACATTCCCCCACAGCCCTGAGCCCTTGGTGGGGGAAGAAGGGGCAGTCAAGCCTAGCCCGGCGTTGGAGCTCGAGCTGCCCGGAGGACGATTGAACGTGTGCGCTCCGTAGTACGGTGCAGAACCGATTGGCATCATGCTGCCAGCGCGGGGCTTGGCATCCTTCGATTGCGAGGGCGAGTCGACTAGGAAAGCGCTGCGTCGCTTGAGGAAGTCGTCATTCTTCATTGCGGCGCTGCGCGGGAGGGAGGCAGGGGCTTGTTGGGACGCGGAGGCAGCCGAGTGCCGAGGAGGCGTTGCTCCATTCGAGGCACGGCCACTGCTGCTATGGAGTGGGGTAGAGCCACGGAGACCCCTCGTCGCCTTCGATTTGATCGCAAGCTGAGCGGGGGTCTTGTTCTCCAGATCTGCCTCGCCCATCGGAGGGGTAGGCAGCTCTTTGCCCGTGGCGACCGCGTTGTTCTCTTCCATCAGCATCCTGATGATTTCCTGTTGTTCGCCCATCTTTGCCTGCCATTGCGCCACACTGGCCTCCAAGTCGCCCATCATGTTGCGTTGCGCTTGGATGACGGAGTTGAGGCGAGCCACCTCTTCGCGCTCGTTGCGCAGTGCAGCTTCCAGAAGAGGATCGGATGAGGCTGCTGCTGAGGAAGAGGTGGAGGAGGTGGCATTGGAAGGCGAGGCGAGGGCGAGGGCGGGAAGAGTTGCGTTTGCTGAAGAGGAGGGTGGTGAAGGAAGTCCAGGACGAGTGTAGCGTCGATATTCCCGGAGAGAGCCGCCACGTTGCAGAGAGAAGGGTACAGAGGAAGCTGCCTTGGTTGGCGTCGTAGCCAGAGCCTCCCGCAAACGGCTTGGGCTTGATGGAACGGTGACGCGAGCTTCTCGTAGCTGCTGCTCCAGCGTCGCGATCCGTGCAGCGTGGTCGCACGATGGAGGCGCTGGCATTGGCGCAGCTTCCCTGTCCTTGATCAGCTTCTCCCTTTTCGCAAGATCTCGCTGTAGCCGGTCCATCTCTTCAGCGCGAGCTTCGGCCTCGGCCTCACGCTGCTTTGCCCGCTCCTCCCTCTCTTTGAGCCTGCCCTCCCTATCGCCATCAGGTGAAAGCTTCTTGCCTGCTGCCATGTTGGGCGACTTGAGCCCGGCCTGCTCTTTTGCCCTCGCCTCGCGCACCAGCTCATCAAACTCGTTCTGCACAACCTCTTCGTCCGACTCAGGACGCTTAGACAGCTTGAGTTCCGCCTCTGAAAGCTTGCGGCGCTCCTCCTCCAGCTCCGCGGCTGTGCTGGCCAAACGGGTGGTACGCGAGCCCAGATCCTCTTCCAGGGCGCGCCGCTGAGTCTGCAGCTTCTTGAGCTCAGCATCGTGGCTTGCCTGTTGAGACGCAAGCTCTTCGCCGCCCTTACGTCGCTCCGTGCTCAAGTCGGCTATGGCTGTGGCGAGGCGATTCGAGCTCTCCCTGAGCTCCTCCTTCAGCATGCGAAGCTCAGTGCGCAGCTCCTCCATCTCTGCATCCCTGCCCTTGCCTGCATCCACAGCCTCTTGACCTTCACGGCCCAACCGCTCCACCTCTGCCCGCAGCTTCTCCTCAGCCGCCTTTCTCTCTGACTCTGCCGCTTCAAAGTGCTTCTCCCTCTCCTGAAGCGTCGTCTTCACCTCCGCCACACGGGCCTGCCACGCCTCGACCTCCTTCTCTAGCGCCTCCTCGGAACGGGCCTTGGACTCGAGGGCCTGTGCAAGGTTGCGACGAAGGCTCGCTAGCTCTGCCTCGAGAGCGAACGGCTTGGGGCGGGACGATGATGATACGGAAGGTTCCTCTTCGAGCGAGTCGCTCGTACTGCGCTGCAACTTTGAGGCTGCGCACATTCGTTTGTGTGGTGAGCTTGGACGTGAGGGGGTACCGGGTGTGCCGAATTCGGAAACACGTCCACGGGGTCGAGGTGGCGTGCTTGGCGGCATCGTTTTGCCAGCATTGTCGCCCACGGATTTGCCGGTGAGAATCAGCTTCGTGAGATGCTCCATTTGCGCGCGGAGCTCTGACTTTTGCCTCGTCATGTCCACTACTTCCTCCTCCGCGGCTCGACGACGCGCCTCCACGTCACGCAGCGAGGAGTCGTCGCTGCCGCCGCTGCTACTCCTCGGGATAGCAGCAGGCTCCTCTAGCCTTGCCCTCAGCTTCTCAACTTCCCGCTTGTACCTTCTCAGCAACGCCTCACTCGCCCCGTCTCCCTCGCCAATCTCTCCCTTCTTGGCGTGCAACTTGATCATCTTGCACCTCCTCCCAAACTTGAGCGTGCTCAATCCTTCCACCGCATGCTGAGCGAGGGGTGACATGGTGAGAAGCACAGCCACACGCGCATTGCCCGACAGTGAAGTCTGGAGAAGACGCGTGAGCTTCGAGTCGCGATAGGGGATGTGCGCCGCCGCGGCTGGATTGGCGGCGGAGGCTGAGAGTTTTGAGATGACCGATCCCAGAGTAAGAAGTGATTTGTTGATGAAGGCACCCTCTTTGCGGCGCTCCTTCTCCGTTGCGGCGCGCTCACTGCCAGCCAGATCAATGAGGTTGAGCGCACTGACCCGTACGCCGTCCCCGCCTTCCTTGCTTCGGCTCTCGATTGTGACTGTAGCAACGCAGTGACTTCGCGAGGAGCGCTCATTCCAGTCCGTAGCCGCTTGATGACGTGCCGCTTGGCCGCGCTCGAGAAGGGAGAGGATGTCCGCGGGCGAGGTGACGAGCTCCTCGCGCAGCCCTGCAATAGTGACCCGGCCAGAGGAAGGGTGCTCCTGAATGCGCAGCGTTGTACCTCCATCCGCCCGGTGTGCGTAGCCTCCTTTCGTGGGGGATGCAGGGCGATTGGTAGCAGTAGTGGCGGATACCGACGCCATACTAGCCGAGCTGGGCAGCCCGACGAGAAGGTCTCGCAAGCTCTCATTGTAGATCTCGAGGTACGATACGCGGAGCAAGAATTCGCGGTCGGCTTCTTTGCCAACGCAATCGAAGACCTCATCGATCGCGCGGCCGATGACACCCTTGTCGCCTCCTCCGCCTGACATGGTGAACGTCTTTCCCGAGCCGGTCTGGCCGTAGGCGAAGACCGTGCCATTGTAGCCTTGCACAGCTCCCTTGACTACGGGCGAGATATGGCCGGTGTAAAGTGATTCAAGAGAAGAGGTGGAGGGAGGAAGGATCGAGTCGAACGTGAATTTGTACGTGTCTTTGTCTGAGCTCTTTGGGGGCGCAGCCTCAGAGATGAAGCTGGAAGAGGCTGACGGGGCTACGCCCGGTGCAGAGGAGGAGCCGCCGCGCTTGGCGATGGAGGGGTGATCAGGAGTGGCTTCGATGGTTGAGGTGGAGTCGGTCAGCTTCCATGAGTCTCCGTCTGAGGAAGATGCCGCAGCTGGAGCAGGGCGAACACGGACGCATACAACTACGTTGCTGGCTGCCGCAGATGGGCCGGCTTCCTCGTCGTCGTCGTCGTCGTCGTCGAGGCCAAGAAGAGTGTCGTTGCCCGTCGGCGTGGCCATGCCGTCATTTTCTTCGTCGTCGTCATTGCGTGTGGTGTTGGCAATGGATTCATCGGCGACAGCAGACTCGTCGGCCTCGATCATCGAAGGCGAGACTCGCAGCGGCGTCGCTTTTGTAACCATCTTGGCGGCGGTCGTCTTGGCTGGCGACGAGGGCGCCGATTTGACCTTTGCTTTGGCCTTTGCCTTTGCCATGTTGGCAGGTGTGGATGCGAGGAAGGAAGGTGATCGGATGGCTACTCGAATGGATGCGAGAGGAGGGATGATTAGGAGCAAGACGCCTTTGATGCTTTTGTGGAGTCGCGAGTGGATTCCCACTCAACCAACACCGACCGCCTCGCGCCCTCTTCCCGCGATGCCTGCTCGACGCGTGGCGCAGAGGCAGAGGCGAGTGTTGGATTCGACCACGTGAGCGGGACAAAGGAAAGGCTTTCGCCGAGGAGCGCCAGGCCCTGCTTTGCCTCTCTTTCTTCCGACTTGTTCACCTTCGCAGACCTCATCACTGCTTCACTTTGCACCAACATGTGCAAACACATCCTCAATGCCCAAGTGACAGTCCGTGCACCCTGCTGCCAACGCTTCTTCGACTGTCCACAATGTCACGCCGAATCCTCCGACCACCCGCTCGCCAAGACTACGGAGCTGGCCTTTGTATGCAAGAAGTGCCGCAGGGCATTCCGCCGTGACTTGGAGCGCTTTGAGCAGGGCAGCGATGACTATTGTCCACACTGCGATAATTGCTACGTCATTGACGCAAGGACAGGCAGCGACGCGAGGGCAGCAAGGGAGGCTGCGGCTGCAGCAGGGGAGGAGGGAATGGAGGTGCCCGATGCGAGAGAGGACTCGTCCATCTACCAGGCGCTGGACCCGCGACAACGCTATGACCCTCGAAGAGACTTCCGAGCTGCGGCGCACAATGCTACCGAGGGAGGAGACCGCATCGATGTCGGCGGACTGCAGGGCGCCGTCGAGCAGGGGAAGATCAATGAGGAGAGGAGGCAGGACATTCTCGATGCTAGCCTGTTGGCCGCCGCTTCTGCCAATCATGGAGCTGGTGGGGCGAGCAACTTTGCAGCAATCGATGACGACCTCGACTGGAGCTGAGCGGATCCGCCGATGAGTAAGATTGGCCGCACTCAAGCGTCACACGATTAGAGATTGGACAATTGCTCCATTCGTAACCACAAAACAGTCATACCCTTCCGAGCACATGGTCCCTCTACGCCTTGAGGTACCCATTCGACTGCAGCCACCCGCGCACATCCTCCGTCGACCTTTTGACCCAACCAATGTTGGCGCGCACCTCGTCCAAGCCCTGCTCGAGGCCAGACTTGTACTTGTCGTTGTCGTGCTTGGAGAAGAATGACTCGATCTGTTGGAGGTCCTCCGGAGAAGAGAAGGAGCTGATCGAGTACTGGATAATGCGGCCGAGGGAGAAGTCTTATCGGGCGCGACGAGTGATGGAAGACAGAGGGCGGGAAGGAGAGTAAGGAAAGGGAGGAGAGGACCGTCAGAAGCAATACCAATTATCTCATCGCCACGCGCGCACTCACTTCCCTCGAAACGCTTGACAAGCGCCTCGTGCCTCTCCTGCATCGCATCTCTCAGCTGCCTCCTCGTAGCCGCATTCATGCTGAAAGCCAGCACCGGGTACATGAAGTCTTGCGTCTTGACCTCATTGCCCTCGAACGCAAAGTCAAAGGCCTTCTTGATCAGCTCTGGCTCCCTCGTCGAGCCCAGTGCCATGAGGGCGGCAATCTTGTGAGTGGGCGTGGGAGGCTTGCGGTACATGCGCAGGGCCGTCTCCCATTCCTTGGCGCCACCGTGCTTGACGGATTGGACGATGCAAGTGCGGAAGATGTCGGGGTGGATAAGAGACTCGTCTCCCTTCTCGATGACGGGGCCCATGCGGCGTTGAATCTCCTTGATCGTGTAAGGGTCGCTGGCTGCGGCTGCGGCGCCGATAACGGTCGCACGCAGCTGACGGAGGTCGGGCGAATCGTCCGCACCGAAGTCGAAGCCCAACTTCTGTACGGCTGGACGGAAGAGATCCGCACGGAACGCGTCAATGGCATCCCGCACTTCCTGAGGCTGCTCCCACCATACGCTGGCCAAGGAGCCCAGGTGCGTCGATGCGCCCAGGTTGGCAAGATAGCGGTCCTCGCTCAGGTTGAAGCCCTTGAGCAGGTCAAGTCCGCCTGACGTCTTCGCGTAGCCAGCTCGGCCCAGCGTGAAGGCGTCCGAGATAAGACCAACTCGGTCCTCAAGCGAGAACATGCCGTCCTTATTGGCGGCTTCCTTGCCCAGCTTGGCGAGACGCTCCGGCGAGTAGGCGACGCGGTACACGCCCACTGTGTTGGCGTTGAGCTTCCACTGAGCGTTCTTGGCATCCTTGAGCGGGATTGAAGCTTCACGCTCCTCCTGGAGGATAGCTTCCTGGTCAATGCCAACCGACGTCTTGATGGCAAGAGGAACGTGCCAGAGGGTCTTGTCCTCCTCGGGCTTGACGTCGCCCGTGGTCAGGAAGCGATTCTGTCGCACCTTGATTGCGTCGGCCTCTTCTTCGACAGTAATGACCGGGAAGCCCTGCTCGAGAACCCAGTTTTTCATAATGCGCGGCACATCCTTGCCCGACGCCTCGCTGATACCGTTCCACAGATCAGCAGTGACCGAATTGCCGTAGGCGAGCTTCTTTAGGTAGATGCTGACTCCTTGCAGGAACTTCTCCTCGCCCACAAGGTTCGAAAGCATGCGCAGCACGCTCGCACCCTTGCTGTAGCTGATTGCGTCGAAGATTTCGGAGATGACGGCAGCCACGTCCGGCTCACCGTTGGAGCGCAATTTGACCTCAATGGCGTGAGAAGAGCGCTTCGAGTCGAGGTCAAGAGCACGCTCAAGGTGGGTGGCGATGAACTCACTGGCCGAGTCCCACTCAGGGTAGGCCTTGTCGAGGATGATGACCTCGCCCATGAGTGTGGCGAAGGCCTCGTTGAGCCAGAGGTTGTCCCAGAAGCGCATGGTGACAAGGTTCCCGAACCACTGGTGCGCAACTTCGTGGCTCTGCACACCGGCGCACCTCTTCTGCCCGGCGATGCCAGACTTGACGGGGTCGTAGAGGTAAACGGAGGTACGCCCAGTGATGAGGCCCCAGTTCTCCATGGCTCCAGCGTCAAAGTCAGCCGCGACGAGGGTGTCGACTTTGGGAAGCGGGTACTCAAGGTCGAAGACCTGTTCGTAGATGGGCACGACCTTCTTGGTGACATCGACGGTGTACTGCGCTTGGTCAATGAAGTCCTCGGTAGCGTAGACGTTGACTGCGACTTCGCGGCCTGACTTGGGGCTCTTGAAGCTGGATGAAAGACGCTTAAATGGCCCCTCCGCCCAGGCGATGAGGTACGTCGAGAGCTTGGGAGTCGTGTCGAATTCGGTGAGGACCCACGAGTCGGAAGCCTCGTCAGCCGTGGAAGTCATTTCGGACTTGCCCTCAGTCTTGACGAGGTTGGAGCTGTTGTAGGTGGCGGGGACGCCGAACTCGCTAGTGCGAAGGAGCTTGTCAATGTCGGCGCCAGAGACATCACTGGCCTTAGTGACAGGCATGTTGGCCAGGGCCGTGTTCTCCTTGCGGTGCAGCATGCGGAATGAGACGGTCGTCTTGAGATCAGGCTCATCCCAGCCGGGGAAGGCTCGACGTTGAGCAGTAGCTTCGAATTGAGTGAGAGCAGAGATGATCTTCTTGCCATTGTGCTCGGATGTAGAGTGGTAGTAGCCCTGCGCCAGCGCGAACATCGTGAGCAAAGTTGGTTAGCAGGCCGCGCAATGACGTAGATGCCGTGACTGCACCTCTAGCTCACCATCATGCTGTTGTCGAGCTCAGATTCGAAGGCGATGGTCATCTTTCCCTCTGCACCAGCTGGCAGTGCCGTTGCGAGCTTGATCTTCGCTACCTCGCGCTTGGCATCGAGGTGGACCGAGTCGATGGTCTGCGTTGACTCAGTCTTGAGCTGCTCGCATACAACGAGGGCCTTGCCGAACTTCATCTTAGGTCCGGCGTTGAAGATGAGCTCGGATATTCCATTAGGGTCGACGACTTTGAAGGAAGCAGTGACGACTCCGGCGAAGTGGAGCGCCTTGAGGTCCGACTGGATCAGGAGGTCATAGTGAGAAGGGATCACAGTGCGGGGGAGACGGAACTCCGGGTAGTCAACCTTGGTAGGGTCAACGGACATGGTGGAAGCCGGTCGAAAGTGCGAGAGGAGAGATCGAAGGCGGTCCACCTTTGGAGTTGCTAGATGTTGCAGAGATGGAGTCTGGAAGAGGAGGGCAGCGGCGAGGACAGCGAGGCAGGCGGTGAGAGGAAGTAGCAGGGAAGACGGCGACGATGGTCGTGCCATTCGCTGGTGTTATGCAGCTTTCAACTCAGGTGCGTACCTTTGCGAGACTTGCGTGGTTGCCCAAAGGAAGAGATGCGATGAGAGATGATGCTGCGAGAGAAGGACGATATGCGGCAGTGGAGATTTGTCTCTTTGCCAACAGACGCCGAGCTAATCCGGTTCTCATCCAACAGTCTGTGAGGGCAATGAGGCGAAGAAGGTAAGTGTACCACCCTACTTTGTCGATGCCTGCTCGTGTTGCTCACCTGAACGAGGTGACGAGATCAATCGAAAAGAGATGGTGATGGGGCGAAGAAGATCAAGAAGAGCAGACACTGACACATAAAGTCGCACGACCGCTGCTTGCTCCGTGCGCGGTGAGCGGCGGCCTGCTGACCCACGCGTCCGTCTCGCCTCTTTTTCGGCGTTCAGGCCGAAGCTTCCACTCAGCGTGGCTGGGCCATTGGCAGGCCAGAGGCGAGAACAACAAGATAACGGGATGGCATGACAGGATGACTGGCTCAGTGGAAGGTTGAGCAGGCAGGCTCATAGGCTAGCATGCGGATCTCAGTGCGGGCCTTCTCTCCATCGCTCCGTTGCACGGCAAGCAACCCAGCCTCGGCGTGCGTGTTTGCGCTTTCTCACTTGGCGGCAGATATCGCTGCCTTTGCAGTTGGTCGTTGACTGTGGTTGCTCTTCTGCGGAAGCTCTCTGACGTCGTAGCAAAGCCACTCATCGCGTCCTATTCGTGCCCATTGCCCACCAATCGGGCTCGCCGCCTGATCGTCTCCTCTACGTTTCTGACAGCTCTCATAGCTCCATCCACACTGCTCAGCTGTTCGACGATGGCATCTCGTGTCAAGGTGTATCATATCAATCAGATGGAGCGTTCCAAGCACAGGAAGAGACAATCGTTCCTTTCCAGCGCTTAGAGCTTAGCCTTCTGGGCCTTGAGCACACCGTCGAGCTTGGTAGCGAGCATGATGTTACCCTTGACCTTGAGCTTGCCGCTCATGAAGGCCTTCTGGCCGTTGAGCTGACCGTCGGCCATCTGCATGAAGGTCTCGTCCGACGTGTTGATGGTGACATCGGCCTTGCCCTTTGACTTGCCCTCGTAGGCCTCGCCGCCCTTCTTGAGGTCAATGGTGTAGACAAGCTCCTCGCCGCCCTGCTTGATGTGCATCTCGAAGACACCGTTGGTCTTCTGTTGGAGTGCGAGGATCGGAGGGGGAATGGGTGGTCAGTCATGCTGCGCTGCAAGGACGGACAATGAGGAGGGTAGGCAACGCACCTTCATGATGTCCTTCTTCTCCTTCTCGCTCATCTCAGAGAGACCGCCCTTGATCTACGAGGATGCGACAGGGTGTTTGGAGCAGTCAGTATCGCTTTGACCATGATTACAGCTTAGTGCTCCTCCTCTCGTCAGCAGACGAGGAATCGGCCCTGCTGCTGCCCCTGCCGCCGATGCTTACCTGCTCGAACAATGCCTTGGATTTGAACTCTCCCATTGTGAATAGATTGGTGTTGCGGTGATGTGTGTAGAGACGTTGAGGTTACGCGGTGGTAGTGGTGGTCAGGATGGAAAGCGTGGTCGTCCGGTCGCTCACTCCTTATACAAGGTCAGCGGTCCTCGATGTGGGGGGTCCTACTACGCCGGCGCGGCCTCTCGTGCGGGGAGAAGCTTGTGAGTGCCGACCGGGTGCTCAGGCGAGCGAGCGAGTGAGAGCGACGACGAGTACAGCCCCGCCGCCCACCGTCACACACGTCACAGTGCTCGTGTGCCTCGCCGCGCTGCCAATGACCGCATAGAGCGCCTGCCGCGATTGGCCCAGCGTGAAAAGCTCGAGGCACGAAGCGCGGACTCCGCCGGCAGGCCGCAACGAAGGTAGCCATATCCGGCACTGCGAGAGCTCCAGCCTCACACACCGAGATCGACGACGATGTCGCAGCTAAGCATCCTCGAGTGGCTCGGTCTCATGGATGACAGATAGTTCCTCGGAGAATAAGACGAGCGAGGAAGAGCGAGATGAATGATTGTCTGGGGCACGACTACCACGAGGCGCTCACAGCCGTCGCCGAGGGGCTCGGTATCGTCACGACCCGGTCGCAAAGAGAAAAGCAAGTCATAGTCGCCAGGTTCCCTTCATCAGCTCGCATCTCGATCGACAGGCTCATGCTAGGGTCCCATGATGCCATTCCTGGCTCAGGCTCTGAGCAGTGTCCACCGCACGAGTATCTGGGCAGACTCAAATCGGGCCGTTAAGGACTGTCGAGAAGTCGGTCACACTTCTCACTGTTGACTCCTCTGCCGACTCACAGGCACGACTCAAGGTAAGCTCACTCGATCATGGTGAGGAGCAATCTGGGCGTGCGACGTAGAATCGCTCCAAGTCTGGTACGAGGGCTGGTCTTGGATCGCAAGGTGGAGAGGGACTGAGCGCAATGATGTCGCGCCAGGTGAAGATCGCGGAAGTGGGCCTCGAGCGCGAGGACACGAGGAGTCCAACACTTTTGTCTCTCCCCTTCATCCATCCACTCCTCATCTCGCCGCCTCCTCACTGAGCCGCAGTCCCCGAATCTGTCAGCTTGATGGCGCACACTCCAGTGACACCTCATCTTCGCAGTCGACTGTCCCATCAGGCCTCTCATTCGCCGGCGTCGTCGTCGCCGGCTGCGCAGTCACAGCATCCTGGACGGATTGTCAAGAAGCTCGTCCTGCGAGGTAATGCCTTTGGACAAGGATCACGCTATGAGCTCTTCCTTCTTGTCACCGTTCCCGCCACTGCGCATGCAGCCTCATATCCACTCTTGCCGGACACCGACGTTAAGCTCCTCTCGTCGTCGGTCGATGCTCTATCAAGTACCGGCGGATATGCGCCCCTCTCTGAGACAGCGGCCAGAGCAGCTCGTCATCTAGGCGGCAGGGTGAGCGTCGACTCGTTCGACACGGGCTCACAGCCTCGTATCACGATCTCCAACTATGCTGTCACGTTCAGCACAATGCCCAAGCATGCCGCTTCGACACCCTCAACTTCCACTTCGCCTCCACCGGCGCATACATTGAGCTACATGGTCTGCATTCAGCTCGAAACGCGCTTCAAGACGCAGCCGCCGAGAAGCCCATACGCTCTGATCCTTCCAGTGCCACGCTGCTTGCACTCGCGTATACACTTCACGTTCTCGCCCGAAGTTGTCGACTCAGAAGACGAGGTTGATGTACGCATTGAGCCGCCGCTAGGCAAGAAGAGGCCGCCGCCAAAACCTCGACGCTCCTTTGGTGGGGAGGGTAGCGACTCGCTCGACCCCAGCGCAGACGACGACGCGCGGTCGATGATCACCCAAAGCAGTGACGAGCATGCGGAAGAAGGGGAGGAGGAGAATCTCTGCGTCAAGGGCCTCTTCCAGTCGACGGACCAAGTCTCAATACGATGGGCAGGTGCAAGCGCAGGAAAGCTGCAGCGCGACGACAGTCTGGCTGCGATACGCTGTGACACCATGCAGCTACAGACAACGAGTCGCTACACGCTGGATCAGGATGGCAGAGTCCGCCTGGACGTCCTGAGTGAGGGCGTACTGCGAGGCGTCTACTGCTCGGGCCTCGATCGCATCGCTTACCTGCCGCTGGTCCTCGACTCGCACGGTCAAGCGATAGAGTATCAAGACATGACCATCGAAGACACCATAGGGCTGCGCAGCTGGCACTTTCTCAACCCAGGAGATGTACCTGGCAAGCATCCAGAGCGATCAGGCAGTAATAGCACATTGGCTAGCTTGGCGTCAAGTTCTTCGTCCATTGACGACACCTCCCTGCTCGAGGGAGATGACTTGTTGGCCACCAGGCCGCCAAGGGGTTTCGACGCCTCGCTTGACCTCAGCGCCGAGCTGTCCAGGAACAATGGTAACGGCTCAAAGGCTCTGCCCCCATTAGGGCCTGACGAAAAGTCACGCGTCATTCTGTACCTCGATGTGCCCGATACCGGCGAGACCTTCTCCTTCACACTGCGCTACCGGTTGCTGATGGACATGCAGAACGACGATCCAGTAGTCTTGCCTACGATAAAGGCGCCAACAGCTGCAGAACTCAGCACCAGTCATCACTTGGAGCCACATGCACAATCTCCACCCTCTGGCGTGGGTTTTCTCAGGCCGGCGCGCTCAAAGCAAGTACCCGACGCCGTGCAACCAGACACGCTCACCGTCGAGCATGAGAGCGGCTCTGCCTCGCCTATGGCCTCACCCTACCTGCACCTCTTCCCTTTGCCCAGTGACGAAGGTCCATTCGATAGCTTGGACGGCGAGCAGAACGCAGATTCTACTCTCCAAGCCGGGGAAGACCCACCAGCAGCGAGCAGTCCACCGCACACTCCTCAAGCTGTGTTCCGCCCAATGCCCATTTGGGACGACTCGATGGTGCTACATGACGATGAGACTTCGAGACCGTCAGTGATTGCCGAGGCGTCGCTGTCCCTCTGGATGTGTAGTCGGGACGATGGCGTCGCTGGACAGAACAAGGGTGCACCGGCTCGACCCGCGGGCCTGCGTAGAATGGTATGCGACTTACGTTGTAGCTGGCCCTTGGTCAAGAAGGATGGGCGGCCCTTAGAGGAGATGGATCTGTGGCTCCCACGCACTGCTACGATGCCGTGTGCATTTGATGGGGCCGCGGCAAATGACGAGCCAGACGGGGAAAACAGCTTCGGACGGCGCAGCCGTGAGCCCACTGTGCTGCTGGCGCTGGTGGCTGGGACCGTAGTCGAGCCGCACCGCAGCGATGCGGCAGAAAATGTTTGCTTGCATTTGCGTCGCCCGCCACAGGTAGATGACAAGTTTTCGACAGCGGCGGAGGTGCGTCTCATTTTCGAGTATGAGAGCCTGGATGGGAGCAGCATGCCGGTCAACACTGCGCTATCAACATTGCCCCTCCCTCTGCCTCTCTTTGCATCTGAAGTGCTCCTTCTACACGTGAAGGCTGAGCACGACGGAGTCGCCGTAGGCAACCTCGTGGCCCCGAGCTTCGATATCGAGGCGATGCCCAAGCAGCCTCAAGCAGCCATCTCCACAAGCCATGCAGCCATGGAGCTGCATCGCTTTGTAATTCCACCTCTCACTCCGCTCGACATCACAGCTCTCCTCGTCTCGCCGCAAGAGGCGACAAGGAGGAGCAAGAGGAGGAGAAGAAAGATGATGCAGCTTCGCGGTGGGTCACCGCAGAGGGGCAGGCGACGGCGTTGGCTCACATTTGCCGCTGGTGGTGGCGATGACGATGAAGACGAGGAAGAGTCTAGCAGCGGCGAAAGAGCGCGATCCTCCCTCTGGATGCCCGTTTATATGATGGCGGCACTCTTCGCCCTCTTTGCCATCGGCGCAGCCCTCAGCGAGGAGCTGCAGTCCATTCCCGGCAGTCACATCGTAGCTCGAGCTCGTGGCGGTGCCGACGGTCAAGCTCGTAGAAGGCCCAGCTGGACTGATTTGGAGATGCTAGGCCGAAGAGTCGAGCAGCTGGCCATGGCTGCTAATGTCGATTTTGGGGAGGGAACATGGAATGCAGAGCAGCCAGGCTCGCAAGACAGGGAAGGGGCTAGCGGACCGACCATACCGCCTTGGCCGCGGCCAGCCGCCCGCGAGAATTTCGAGGATGACAAGGATGACGAGAGCGACTTGTTGCGAAAGCACGCCTCGCATCCGACTACGTCCATCTCACATCGCCATCAGCAGCCCTCCCTCGTGACCGTCGCTGGAGTGGTGCTGCGCGTGCTCTGCTCACCGATCATAGCTGTTGGGAGGGGAGCCGCTCTTTTGCTGGGACTGGTGGCCAGAGGTGGTGGCGGTGGCGCGAGGTAGGGAGGGAATGCAAACGGGACGCCGATTCTGTTATCACATTATCAAAAGAGGTCAATGACTTCACTCAATACCAAACTCTATCTGTCACGCACAGTCGCAGTCATGCTTGTGATTATTGTCTTGCAGTGTCCTCCCGCCGCACGCTCACAAAACCAACTCCATCCTTACCCTCTTCCTCTGCGTGCTCCTATCCTTCTCGACCCCAATCGCCACCGTACACCTGTCAAACACTCCAAGCTTGACATCCTTGCCCAATCCCGATAACTCTTTCGGAATAGTGACCGTGTAATTCTCCGAGTCCAAGTCGCACTGCACCCCGCTCTTTGCAGGGAGCGTGATAAGCCCTTCGAGTCCGTACTTGTTAACGAAGACGGAGACTCCGTTACGGAAGACACGAATGACAAAGGCGTCCTCCCTGAGGCGGAAGTCCTGCCCAGCCACGACCGCCGCAGCCTTGCTGTCGCCCTTTGCCGCCGCCGCCTGCTTGGCCGCCTCATTACGCTTGGCGATGCTCAGCCCAACGAAGAATTCCACACTAGCCCGACCCGCCATCTGACCGCCTCTGTGTCTCTTGTTGACCACGTCGAGCACCCCGTCCACGTTTCCCTTGTCCGCCAGACTGGCATGCAAGGTCGCTCCCGGCCCCGTATGCCCGATGGCCGCCGCGAGTTGCCTGTGCGCCAGCACATCAGCATATCGCCGGATGGGCGAGGTGAAGTGCGTGTACATTCCGCAAGCGAGACCGTAGTGCCCGAATGTATCGCGAGGTACTGAGCCGGAGCAAAAGTACTCGGCTGACAGCATACAGCGGGTGGCCATGATCCTCACCAAGGTATTGAGGGCAGGGTTGGAGGGGTCGGTACACGTATCCAGACTTTTGGCAAGGGCCCCACTGGAATCGATGTTGAGATCGAAGCCCAGCCTCTTCTTGAGGACGTCCTGCAATCCCTCGAAGTTGGTTCTGGGAGGAGGCAAGTGACGACGCAGGACTGCCGTCTGAGGGTAGGCGGAGTAGATCTTCTCTGCCACGGTTACATTGGCGAGAAGCATGAACTCCTCTACCAGGCTGTTCGTCTCGCGCATCTCCTTCTGCTCCACGTCGATTGGTCCGGCCGCCTCGGGCGAGTCGAGGTGGATGCGCACTTCAGGTGAAGCGAGGTTGAGGGCTCCATTTGCCATGCGTTGCGCCTTGAGCTTGAGTGCAATACTGTTCAGGAGGCGGATGGAAGTCGTGATTGCATCCGTCTGCGAAGAATCGTCCTTGCGCAGCTGTGCTGCCTCGTAGGTGAATGCTGCTTTGGACGCAATGACACTCTTGCTGAACCGTACATCAACCACCTTGGCCGTCTTCGGATCCATCTCCCAGATCACACTAAATGCCAGTCTCTCGACAAAGGGTCGCAGCGAACACAGATTCGTGCCCAGCAAGTGAGGCAACATGTCGATACGCTTGTCCACCAGGTACACCGTCGTCCCTCTCGAAGCGGCCTCTGCATCCATGGGCGTAGCCGGGGCCACAAAGTGAGACACGTCAGCGATGTGCACTCCGCACTCGACGTTGCCATTGGGCAGCTGCTTGGCGTGCAGGGCATCGTCGATATCTTGACATCCAGGTGGGTCGATACTGCAGATATTCTCGTCGCGCAAGTCGATTCGACCTCGCCACGATGGGTGAGTTGCATCCTTGGGCGGTACGACCCAGGTGTCTCCCTCGGGTGGAAGGCAGTCAAGGATGGCTCGGCTGAAGGGGCGATACGGCACGTCGTGCTCCAGCAAGAGACTTTCCTGCTCCGCAGCTTGGCTTTCCGTGGCTCCCAAGGCGCGCACGAAGTGCCCGTCCGGGTATCGGCTAGTGGGACGCCAGTCGTCGAGGGCGACGAGGATCTTCTGGCCGATGAGCTCGCTAGCCTGGCGTGTGCGGATGCGGATGCGTGGTACTTTGCGGTCAACAGGGGTTGCAAAGAGGGATTGGGCGCCGAGAGCGCTCGAGTGGACTGAAGAGGCATCTACGTGAGCGACGTAAGAGCGCCAGTTGCGGCGAATGATCGAGACGACTTTGCCTGTCGGCTGACGTTCTCCACGTGATGAGGTTGCCTCCTTCTTCTCCTTCTTGTCCAGCTTGGCTTCGGCGTCGTCGACTGCTTCGTTGTCTTCCTCGCCCTCTCCCTCCCCCTCTGCGTCGTCATTCTTGAGTGCACTGTCTGCGTCCAGGACATCGTCGGCAGACGCCTTCCATTCTTGCTCGGGCAGCATCTCGATGGCCACTACGTCGCCATCGATGGCGCGATTCATGCTATCCCTTCCGATAAGAATGACTGGCTTGTCGTAGCGAGGCACCTTGACCGTCGCCTCGAGGAAGTTGAATGCGCTGGCGTTGAAGTAGCCCTGGTGGAGCAGTCCACCTTTAATGGCTGCCGTCGCCTGGCCTACGGGCAGGTGCTCAGGATAGAGGATGCCCGATCCCTTGTCTGTGCTGCTCTTTGCCTCACGCGATGAGATGAGATCGCTGAGCTTGTCCGCTGCTGGCATGCCTGCTACGTAGTCGCGTACATTCATGGCCTGGATGTCATCCGACTGAGCTCGCGCTACATTGTCTGCATCGTCTGAGAGGAGGACGACGTCAAGTGGAGAGTGGCCTTGGTACCACTTGACGGCGGTCCTGATCGCGCGATCGTTTCTGTCGTTGGGCGACTCATTCTCGCGACGAGCTACAGCGCTCTCCCTCGCAAAGTCATTGGAATAAATCCACCACCGCCTATTCTCCGCAGTCTGATCGCTTCTTCCCATTCGTGCTGCATGCTCCGAGTCCTTGACAATGTCCATCAGCCGATTGTAGAGGGGCAGCGAGCGATGGCGCACTTCTTCGACTACGGTCTGCAGGATGACGACGTCGACAAAAGACGGAAGGGCAGTTGAGGAGGATGAGGTAGAAGAGGAGGATGATGCTGAGTCTGCTTGTCCGAGCATGCTTTCGAGGAGGTCCATCTGATGCAGGATGATATTCGTATCGAGGACGAGGTAGTGCGGTGCTGTCACTTTGGTATTGTTGGTGATACCCTTTGCGCTCAAGCAGGGTTGAGGCAGGTGAGGATGTCTCTGGTAGATGTCTGCACATTCTTTGCAGCTCTTCGACCCGCAGGCAATGTCATCGCGCAAGTAGCGTTCGCGGTGCACCTTGAGGACTTTGCCTCTGGCCGTCTTCTTGATGAATTTGCGACTGAAAAGAGGGTCGCTGCTTCCATCTGGCAGCGGTAGTGGCCGCTTCTGAATGACAATCGAATCGATCGACGTCATTGCGAGGGGCGGTGAAGAAGACGTAGATGGAGCGTTGCGAAGAATTGGAAAATGTCGGGCGACGAACAGATGGCGGCTGCGAGGCAACCTGACCAAGACGGAGAGAGAGAAAAGCCAACTCGGGTGGAGAAGAGGCGCGCCCAGCAAACGACTTCAAAGTAGCTTGCCATCGATGTGGTATTGCTAAAAGACTAGAAACAACGGCCATCTATGCTAGTGACGACAATGAGTAGCACTACGGCGGAAAGTCGGGGATGGTGTCATTCACAGGGATCCCCAAGACCACAGGGCCTTGATCCGCAGGCAGGCCGGAAGCCTTCCCCTCTTTGCCCGTCCAGCTGTGCTTCAGCCCAGCACCAGGCACCTTGAGTCCAATCTGCTCATAGCCACTCGCCTGCCAACATTGCTCCGTCTTTCCCTCCCTGCCTAGCAGCCACTCCCGCAAGTAAGGCCCACTGTGATCGTACACGTTCAAATGGCGGTAATGATCCCCCATCGCGCGGCCGAGGGAGCAATTGATGTTCTCCCGACCTAAGCAGGAGAGGGCAGTCGTCGAGTTGTCAGGCAGGAAGATCTCGTAGGAAGGATGTTCAAAGCCTTCCAAGAATAGACCCATGTGAGTGACCATGTCATTTGCGTGGTGGATGTGGCGCTGCAGTTGTGAGGAGGAAGTAGGGTCACGGTCGGCATACTGCAACTCAGAGGTAGCCTAACGAACGATGGGCGAAGAGACTCACGAAGTAGATGTCGGCCTGTTCATTTCCCGCCACTTCTTCAAACAATCGCGCTCCTACCGGATTGAAGACGCGCGGCGACCCGTAGACGATGTTCTCGATCTGTATTCCCTCCCCCAAGTCACTTCTCAGTGCCATTGCATCCACCATCGCTATCGCGGATCCAAGTGAGTGACCCGTAGCCAGGATCTTCTTCACTTTGCCACTGTACGGACCAGTGAGAGCAGCACGTATCGCCGAAAGGGCAGAGGGGTACAATCGCGACCATGCATCGTAGAAGCCTGTGTGGATCGTGGCGACGCCGGAGAAGGTGTTGTCCGCCGGACGTGAAGCTCCATCCTGGGCATGCAAAACGTCCAGGACGGGTACGGCAGCGACGTGTGAGGGAGACTTGGCGTACTTGCGGAAAGTCGCAGCCACGGGCGATGAAGCCGGTACGGGGCGTGGAGTCCAGTTGGCGTCATTGTATGCTGAGAGAAGCCTCATGGCTGTGCCCTCTACAGCGAGGACGAGAGTGCCCGTCGAGGGGACGAAGGCAAGGTAGCGGTGGGGATCCCAGTCTATCGAGGTGGTAGGAGAGGCGATGCCAGTGGTGAGCTCGCTGTCGTGGCGCTAAGCCAATCGCTTTCCTGTCAAGCAGAGCCGTCCAAAGTCCTCATCATGCCTTCCATTGCGGCTTCTCTATTTCACTGCGAGCTTACGAATCCGGAGCCATATCCAAAGTCGTCTATCTACAGGCACATCCTGAACGTAGAGTCCATCCGATACAGAAGAGCAGCTCAAAGCTCAAAGCGACTCACCTCCATCGCCCGTGTGCCAAAGTAGGTCCACCTCCTCCTCGACACCGTCACAAGCTGGCCCACACTCAGGTCCACCCCAGACGCCGTCATGCACGGGTCCACGGCAGTACGCCGCAGCAGCAAAGGGCAGAGCTGCCTTGATCTTCTCGCGCGTCTCGGCGTCGATGGGGCTGGTGGGCCCATTGGAGATGCGCGAGGCGAGTGCAGGCGTCAGAGGGAGCGCAGCGTCGGCGTGGAGCAGTTCGAGGGGGAGGGTGGACGGATCGTACGATGGAGAAGAAGGGGAAGAGGAGCGCCCTTTCCTTGCCTTGGGTCGAGCATTGGACTCGCCGGTGGGCAAGCCCATCGTCCAACCCGAAGCAAGAAGGGCGAGCCCTCCTGCAAGGAGCCAAGGTGGGGAGTGCATGCCTTCAGCAGACGATGACGAGCCAGAAGAGCTGGAAGAGCCCGACGAGGAAGAGCTGGCAGTGGGGTTCGTGCCGTTGCCTGCTTTGGTCTGGGTGACGGTAAGAACTGCCACTTGGTTGTCGAAGCTGATTCCGTGGTTGATGCTCGACGAGTCCACTTGAACTGAGGTCGTGGATTGCTGGGTGGTGAAGTGAGAGGCGTCTTGGGGGGAGGTGGTGCCGGAAGAATTGGTCGCATTCCCTACAAAGTAGTTGCGGCCCAAGTTATAGCTGCGCGAGGAAGCAGATCAGCAGAGATAGGGGCGTCATAAAGGAGGCAGGAGAGGGAGCAAGGGGCAGAAGAGTTGGCGGAGGGAGAATACGGCATGGCCGGTAGTGAGCGACGGTATGATGCAATAGGAGGGCAACCGCTCCGAACACTCACCCATTGTCTACAATCATATGATTCTTTGATGCACCCATTTCCACGGAGGCGGCAATGAAGATGGCGCCGGTAGAGGACTGCCTCCACCAGCTGTGCGAGCGAAGCGATGGCGGGTGGCGATCAGATCCCGTACTAACCTGGGTCCGCGCTGTGCAGCCTCAATTGTCCCAGCGCATTTCGAGCCGCACATTGCGGCGCCGGTCTCTGAGTCTACTCACCGAAAGTGCTCGCCGCCGTTGATACTCTCTTGGCAAGTAAGCGTGCCGGAGCCAAAGTTGTCTGCGAGAAAGGCGGACGCGAGCAGGAGGTGAGCATCAAGTTGGCCACCTTTGCGTCTGCACACGCGCACTCACATCGATACAAGGCCGTCTGATTAACGACGCCCTGCCCATCATTGAGATTGGCAGCCTGCTGATCACCCAGACTGATACCGAGGCAGTTGTTAGGCGAGAAGAAGAGCGAGGAGAAATAGCTCTGCAGGCCAGTGTCCGACAATACGGCCTGGTCCGATTGGCTCGAGATGACAACATTGATCGGTTCACCGAGGTTGGAGTTGGGGATCACCGTCAGCCAGCTCTCTGGCTGGGCGTATCCGGTCCCGGAGTCCTGCCTGGTGGCGAGCTCGCGATGCTGCGAGGCAGAAGATGGACGAAGAGGATGAGGGATTGCGGAGGAAAAGGGGAGGCTGGCCGCCGCCATCAAGGCGGGGAAGACGAGGAGAGAGAGCATTTCGACTGCGACTCTTGAAGGTGTGTAGGTCCTATTGGATGAGGAAAAGGAGCTTCAGCAGCTCAGCGAAGGACAGGTGGTGGCGAAAGGTGTAACGGTGGTGCGACGAAGAGGTGATAGCGGTCTTGACAGCCAGGCCAAGAGCAGCGAATGTGATGAGGAGAGCGAGTTGACCGAGGTGGTGAAGAGAAAGAAGATAGAAGGGATTGTCTCGGCCTAGTCTCGAGACATTATCCAACATGTACGACCTCGCGAAGACGCCGACGACGTCAACGATGTCCTGGTTTGTCGTCGCTTGAGGGTCCACTCGGCCGCCGCCACCAAGCTGGACTGAGTTCGAGGTGTTATTCTTGGCAGCCTGCAGCAAGCACGCAGGCTGGCTGACTGGCTGACTGAACTGACTTCGGCTGCCTCGTCCGGCATGGGCGGCTGCTGGCTCCAAGTCGCCGGCATGAGAGATGCAGAGGCCGGCCCACAAGAGTGGCCGCGCGCGAGATTTAGATAGATGACATCTTCGACACAAAGCTCGAAAAGACGAGGTAGGAGGTTATGACGAATCATGGCTTTGCGAAACGTCATGAAGGGCCAAGACGACGTGGCCACATTACGGCGTTGGCCAGGATTGCAAAACTTCGTGGGTTGATCACCAGGAATCACAAGCAAGTCGATCCGCCATGCATGAGAGCCTTGAGGAGCCTTGTCGCTCCCTGCTCAGCCCTTTTGGATGTCAAGAGGTAGGAACTGTACACAGCAGCGATGAACGGAGGGCGCTGTAGGTGTCGTGGATCGATGAGAGTGGTGGTCGTGCCGCTAGCTCGTCGTCGTCGTCGTCGTCGTCGTCGTCGCCGCCGCCGAGCCCCGCATGCTTGGACGCGTCTCCGATGTCGGAAAGAGGGCGGCAAAGCAAAGCCAATCAATCATTCCAACGACAGGCTTTTGCTCCTTCCCCTCCAAGTCACACCATCGACTCCGCGATCTCACCCTCAGCATCACCGCCCGGCTGCGTGGCTCGCAATGCCGCAGCTGTGGTACCACTTTCAGTCCGGAGGGACCGAGCATCGGGTACTGCTACCTGGAGAACACCTCAGCCCTCAAGAGCACGTCGCCTCACAGACGACACTCATCAGTCGAAGAGTCGAGGCAATCTTCCCGTCAGACGGGGCCATGGAACAATCACGTCAAGTGTGTCAGTCACCGGATCCTCACCTCCGCAATGAAGCGTATAGCGCCCCACAGCTCAAGCAACAGCCCGAATCCACCGACACCATGACCTCCGAATCGTATCCTTCGAACGACCACGTTCGCGTGAGCCCTCCTCATCACCCTGCCAACGACTCGAACGACCAGCACGATCAAATTTTGGCATCGTCGCACCCTGCTCAGGCTGCATCTGCTCGGGCGCCTCGGCGAGCAGCCATAGTCAAGAAGCATTCTGCCGCCTCTGCCTCATCACCGGCGACGACGCCTCGTCATGCCGCGATTCCTCTTCTACTGAGCGCACGCGTCCATTCGTCTTCGCCCCAATCCGACATCCTGGAGCGAAAGCTGACCTTTCCGATTGCATACGGTCTTGACTGGAAGCACTTCACCTTCCACCAATGGAAGCCCAAAACGATCCACGAGCGGATCGCCGCTCCTCTCCTCGGTGACGGCTACCTCTGCAAAGTCGAGCATGGCGACGTCTACGTGACTTTTGCCAACGAGCTGCAGATCAGGCTGCTGGGCTTCGGTCGAGGCATCATGGAAGGCAAAGCCTCGATGACACTGCGCCGTATCGATCCAAATACGCAGAATACCCATCAACCTACAGCATGCAGTCCTGCTGCTTCATGGGTCTTGAGCAACTTTCGCATCCAAGTCGCCTCGGTCAAGTTCGTCACCTACTGGTGCACATATCAGCCTTCGGCGGGCGTCATCACGCAAGACTGGGAGCACGCACTCCACCTTATGGCAGAAGCACTCAATGTCGCCGGTCACGGCAAGCCCACGGGCTACCGCGAGAGCGCTCCGGTCGGAGCAGAGCTCAAAGCAATTGCCGTCCGTTTGCGGGAGGGAGGTGCTCGCTTCGCCCTCAAGAGCCTCGGTAGTGGGGATCACGAGCTTATCATGCCGGGTGATCATGTCGACCACATCTTCTTGGGCAGGCTGCCCCCTCCTCCTACTACCCGCTCGTCTGGCTCGGCCCATATTCCGGAGAGGTTGCGCACCATACGCATCTCTGGCTTCAAGCAGCCTCAACACCTGCTCCTCAAGGTTCATCAGACGACGCTCGAGAGAGGCTACGACCGCTTGGACTGGGTCGTGCGTGCTGCAGAGGGCGACGCTAGCTCTGACCCAGTAGCACCTACACATTGGACGCCCGTGCCAGACCAGGGGTCATGGCAGGCCCTCTTCTTTGTCAATCTCGTACGCGTATGCTTTGGACGGCCGGGGACGCAGCTACTGCCCATCGTCGAGGAGGATAAGGAGGTCAGGGACACTAGGGATGGAGAGCAAGGGGATCAAGGCGTGGTGAAGCTGGAAGAAAAGAGGCGGCTCTCTGCATCGACGACGGTGTCGAGCGCCGGTGCTAAGAGGAAGAGCGAAGACGGAAGTATCGATGACAAGCGCAGCGCCGCACAACGAAGCAGGAGGAGGACGGCAGCGTCAATGTGGGAATGATAGCGCAGGCCGCTGCGGTGGAAGAGCTCCTCTTAGCGCTCGTCTTCACAACCACTCTCTCAGATATCCATGTCACCGACTTCCTCTCATTCCGATGACAATCATCACCTCTCAATCCCGTGCATTATGCCCTTGGTTGGGACAAGATGTATTGCACAGCTCACTCAGGTCGCCACGAGTTCGAAGCATCTTGTCGATGCTCCAACATGAATGGAGGGAGCGCTGTATGGCGCCCCTTCCGTCCCGTCTCGTGCGTGCCCCTTCATTTGCGCGTGTCGCGTCGGCCGCCCGCGTCGCCTCATTCGGGCGGGCGGGCGGGCAATGTTGGACTCGCGGCAGCCGCTCCATAGTTCTCAACCTCTGATTTCCTTACCATCCCTCACACAATCACTTGACCTGGACGGCAGACGCAGCATCAGCTGCTGCTGCTTCTCACATCCTCTCGGCCAGCATGTCATCCATGCCAGCTACTCAAGCTAATGCAGACGGACATGGCTCTCTCAGCATCCAGGTGGTGCATACAGCGGGAATTACCAGGTGCCTTTACGCGCCCAAGGCTGCCAAGCTAGAGTAAGTGGGCGCGAACAAGAGGACACTTGCAAGGCGATGGACAATGAGCACCACTGACCTCGGACACTCGTCACCCTCTCGCGCAGCCGCCTCTTTACAGCAGGTGACGACTTCCTCGTCCGCCTCCTCCCACAGTCATCCACCTCAGACACCCCCGCCCAACTAATCGAAGACGCAACAGGTCCCATCACCTGGATCGACGCCGGCAAAGATCACCTCGTCGTTGCCTCGGAAGATGGCACTGTCCGCTTGTACCGCCACCATCCTGGCACTTCACCCTCCTCCGCGGCTTACGAATCGCAGCTAGCCAGCCCGACAGACTTGGCCGCTGTCCTCACCCGAAATAGTCTGCCGGCACGCTGTGCTGCCCTCGAGAAGAGCGTGGGTGCAGGCAAGGCCCCTCGAGCTGCCATCTGTGGAGATGAGCTCATTGTCAAGCTAGTTGACGTCGAAGACACACGCCGCGTCAACCTTCTCACCGGCCATGCCCGCGCCGTCCGTTCGGCATCGTGGAGCCCTACTGCCCCTACTCTGATCACATCGAGCTGCGATGGCACGGCCCGCATCTGGGACTGCAGCACGTCAGAGCCCGGTAGCACCAAAGTGCTGGAGCACCTCCCCATCACCCGGCCTGAGGACGAGACGGACGTGCATGCCGAGTGGCATCCTTCTGGGCAGAGTTTCGTACTTTTGTCCAAAGGAAACGAGCTTATCATTCACTCGGCGTCACAGGAGCAGGGGTGGGTGCGCTCGGGCGTCTTTGCTGCCTCTGCTCGCGGGACATCTGCCATTCCCCCGCCTACGGGACCAACTACAGCGCTCGCCTTTTGTCCCAATGGACGCTATCTGGCTGCAGCGACGACCGATGGGCAGGTGACTATTTGGGAAACTAGTTCTCGCATGCCCGTACGAGCGCGCAAGGCCGACTCGAACGTGACGAGCATCAGCTGGAATCCAGACGCAGACGCCCTTGCTTGGGTGGACACGACTGGCCAGCTCGCACGGTGGGAGGACGTGCTTGGGAGCAGCTATGCTAGTCCTTGCGAGCCTGTGGCCTTTGCTGCCCAGCAAAGCTCGGTAAGGGCTCGCTCTGCCGTGGACGACCTCTTCGATGGGACAGGCTTGGTTGATGAAGCCGAGGACAACGACGCCGCTGGCCGCTTCATGGACGACGAGGCAGACGATGGCGGACGCAGACGCGATCGAGACGAGGAGGATGGCGAGGGCGACGAGGACGGTCTGGACGGCTTTCTCGTAGATGACGAAGGCGGCGAGTACTCACGCGCACTTGACAAGGAGCGACGCCAACGCAAAGTCACCAAGCCGTCTCGTCCAGGCACAACGATTGCTGCCAGCAGGTCGCAGCCTACTTTCCAGCCCAACTCGACCCCCATGCGCAACTCGCGACGCTTCCTCTCTCTCAGCCTCTTTGGCTCCCTGGTATCGATCGATCAAGAGACACACAGCGTCGTCTCCTTCGAATCATTCGACACGGCTGCTCGTCGCAACTGGAAGATGGTTGATCATTTCGGCTACTCGATGGCTAGCGTAGCCACCTGCGGAGCTCTGCTTGCCTGCCCCCAAAAAGGGGACAGTAAGAGTGCCGTACACTTTAAGCCCTTCGAGGCGGCAGGGGCGTGGAGCGTGCCAGGTGCCGAGTGGGGTGTAGAGATGCCGCTGGGCGAAGAGGTGGTTGCAGTCGCCATGGGCGGGGCACCCGCGCAGCGTGGTGGGGACGAGGATGCGGAGCAGGACGCTGCAATTGCCAAGTCAGCAGCAGCCCTCACCTCGACAGCAATCGTGGCCACCTCTACGGGCTACCTGCGCTTCTTCTCTTCGTCAGGACTACAGCGCTATGTCTGGGCCATGGGTGGTAATCCGATCGTGGCTCTCGCTGCAGGCAAGCAGCACGCCATCGTCGTGCACCGATCGCATTCTACGGCGCTGGATGGCTTCCAGGACCTGAGCTACACCGTCATTGATCTCATTACCTTCCAGACTCGCCAGACCGGCACCCTGCCCCTGGGACGAGACGTCACGCTTCAGTGGATTGGTTTCAACGAGCTCGACGTGCCAGTCCTCTACGACAGCCGCGGGGTGCTGTACCTGTTGGACCGCTCCTTCGCCGCGATCGGGCAAGCACGCTGGACGCCGGTACTAGACACGAACGCACTGTCAGCGCAACGAGACGCCGGATCAAGCACCCGCACAACCTTCTGGCCTCTTGCGGCCTCCTCAACGCAACTCTTCTGCATCTTTGTGCGTGGCGCAACGAGCTTCCCAGACCCATCCGCGCCGGGTCACCCGCTCATTCAGGAAGTGGACTATAAGCTGCCCCTCCTCTCGCTGGAGGAACCAGCTGGCGAGCTAGAGGAGAAGCACCTTCGGCAATCCTTGCTTGCTTCTTCTATCCGCTCCGCCTTTGCTTCTTTGCTCGTTCCGCCTACGGAGTACGCGGCTGACGTGCCTGACCCGGCTGCGCTCGTCCATCAAGCTGACAAGGATGCTCTTCAGTTGATTCAACTGGCGTGCAAGGGCGACAAGCATGCTCGCGCCCTCGACGCGGCTCGCACTCTGCACGGCTCTCGTATGCTGGAAGCGGCATTGCAGATTTGTAGCTTCTTCCACCTGCCGAGCTTGGCGGATCGGATGAGCAGCCTGAGGGGGTGGGTGGAAAGCAGTGCAGAGCGCGAGGAGAGGATGGAGCTCGATGCCGCCGAGGCTGTCAGGACGGAAGACTTTGCTGAGGCGGCGGAGAGGGGGAGGCGAAGCGGTGGTGGGCGAGTGCTCGTGGCCAGCTCGCAAGATTCGGGACGCGGTGCTACATCAGCAACCACATCGCACGCTCGTAGGGCGTTGATGGAGGAATTCAGATCGACTGCTGCTGACGCTGGCACGCCACGTCGTTCGCAGAGAGCTGGAGCCAATTTCGACGCTCTCTCTTCCTCGACAGCCTGTGAGGCCGCAGCCATGCCACCGCCCGCATCGTCTCGCGCCTTGGCCGACTCGACCCACCTCAATGGCGACGCGACACGAAAACGCAAGGGCGACGATGACCTTGACGGCTCCCACTCGGGCGGTGAAGACGACAGTGATGTATTCGTAGGTGAAGCAGACTCCCGCCCGCCTCCGCAAAAGCAACGCTCCACCTCAAATCCGTTCAGCAAGCCCTCCTTGACGAACGGTACCGCGCGTCCTGGCAATCCCTTTGCGCGTCAGCCAGGTATGACGAGAGACAGGAGCATGCACAAGTCTAGCTCCTTCTTCGATCGGGCTGAAGCGCACCTGAGCGGGACGGGCGCCGCTGCTGAGGCTGCGAGCGGCTCATCGAGCAAGAAAGGGAAGACGAAACAGTCCACCCTTTTCGGTATGGCAGGTGCGAATGGGAGCGGACGCAGCAAGCCCTCTTCTACGGCTTCGTCGGTTCCAGCACCTACGCCTGCCTGGGGTGAGACGCAGCAGTCCGAGGACGGCGGTGATGAGGAGATGGAGGAGAGCTTGCGATTGACGCTCGATTCTGCTGCCGAGAAGGAGGCGAACAGGCAGAAGAGAGGTGGACTGGAGGAGACGCAGATGCAGGGCGACGATGATGAGGAAGAGAGTCAGGTTGAAGGGGCGGGCGAGGCCGAGGCGGAAGACGAGCAAGAGCAGTCATCGAGTCGAGACAGTGAGTGAGATGGGGAGCGATTGGCGATGGAACGACAGAATGTTGTACTGACAGAGTCTACCCTCCGCCCCTATCTGCAGAGCTCGAAGCGTTTCGACGATCCACCAAGACGGTGCCAGTAGCCTGACCCGTGATACTGCTCATCTGCTTCTCCTCGCCTCTACAACGCTGCATCCTTTCCGCCTGCTCTTGCTTTCAATCCATCCGCTTCACTTCACCTGCCACGCTCCCCATCTTTGACCTCCGGCATTGTTACCTTCTTGCTCTCCCACTCCCCCTCCAATTTCTCCCTGACCTCCTTCAAGCCCAACTTCTGCCTGCCCTTCGCATCGAAATTGTCATCCTTGAGCCAGTCCTCGAAAGCTGCGCGACAGAGCGGCCATTCGTCATCAATGATCGAGAACCAGGCCGTGTCGCGCGAGCGTCCTTTCACGATGCTGCGTGCATATGACGTGGGACGGAGGAGGTCAGCTCCAAGCATTTCTAGGTCTCAAGCCTGCGCTACTTACTAATGCTTCCTGAATACTCCCTCAAACCTGAACCCATATCGCTCAGCCGCCCTCTTACTAGGCGCATTCAGATCGTTACACTTCCACTCCCAGCGTCTGTAGCCCAGGTCCTCGAAGACGTGTCTGCCTAACAAGAGGAAGGCCTCCGTAGCGGCCTTTGTGCGCTGTAGCTTCGGGCTCAAGATGACATGACCGACTTCGCAGCTTCGGTTGTAGGGCGCCACATTGGTGAGGGCAAAGCGACCAAGGGCAGGACGTTCAGCTCCATCGGAGGTGTGTACGGCCACTTCGTCTCCCTTGGGTACGAGCGCGAAAAATGCCATGCCCTTCTGTTGGACGAACTTGTTCTGATGCTCCTCAAATCCGGCTTGGTCCACCCAAGGTCCGTCCAACATGTAGGTGTGCAGCTTGTCGTGCTCTGGGTGCGCGGCAAAGGCGCACCAGAAGTCGGTGACGTGGCGGGTGGAGGGGGGAAGGAGGTCTACGTGCTTGCCATGCAGAGGAACAGAGGTAGGAATGGGGGCGGCGTGCGTTGGTACGGAGGGTCCAATCTGTCAGGGTCGGCGTTGAGGTCAGTGCGGTGTAGTAGTGGGCAGGGCAGGTTGGAACAGCAGACCCACAGGCTGAGACCAGGCGGCGTACTCGGCGTCGCCTGGTTGATTCGCGGTGGGAAAGTCCATGCTCATCTTGATACTGCTTTCTCGTTCAGGAAGTCTTGAGGTCTCGTGCTCTTGCTCTTGATCGATGTGATGATCAGAGAGCTACAGATCCACTCTGCCTCTCGTTCGTCTTGATATATCTTGGACCCTCGGTGTAATGAGTCAAAGCAACGCGATAGCAGCGCACGCCCGCAGCCCAAGAAGATCCGGGGCTTCCTGGGGCCCCCCTTCCGCTCTGGACTGCAACTGAGCGCCACGCATCGGCAATCGGTCGGAGAAGAGTGGGTGATGGGGACGGACCAGAGGTGCAAGCCGGCGGCAAGACGAGAGAACGGGCTGCAGGGCGCCATAAAGGAAGAAGGGTCGATGAGTGGGAGAGTGTGATATCGACGAACATGCGTGAAAAGAAGATGCGATGACAAAATGGTATAAGCGCCGACCCACTCTGCTGTACCCCATGTGTCCCACCGTCCGGTGTGCCCGCTTAGTCCAGGAGCGGCACAATAGTCCACGGATCTGCTCCTCCTCCTCCTTTTCCTCCTTCGTCACCATCCTGAGCGTCCACTTCCTCGCGCATTGCCCGCCAGCCCTTGTCTTCACTCACATCCGCATTGAGTTGCGCTTTGGCTGCGGAGGATAGCGAGGGAACGACTTTGCGAGTTGTCGAGGTTGAGGCAGAACTCTTCGCTGGCTGCGGTTGCAGCGAGGCAGATGCATCGTCGTCGGATGGTGTGGATGAGGCTGAGTCTGGCTGTTCGGCAGCGCCACGTTCTGCTGTCTGTGGCTCGGCTGGTTTCCCTCGTTGACCAACCCTTGTCGATCCCCTGCCTCTTGCTTTGCCCCGACCTCGTCGAGCAATAGTCGCCTGCTGCTTTGCCCGATGGCCGTTGCTGCTACCAGCTTGAGCGCCGTTGGCGTTGCTAGTTGATGCCTCGCTTGAGGCAGGATCGCCATTGGTGGTCACGGTCTGGGACCTCTGCGTCACCACCGTCCTTGGGCTTACCCCGCTCCAAAGCAGCGCACATCTCCTACACAGAACTGTCACATGTCCGGGCAAGCTAGGCAGTCCAGCCTTCCTTGGTCCTGTTGCCTCGTTCTCCTCGTCTTCTTCGACGTTTTCGACAGCTGGCGGGCCAGCCCCGCCTACCACGGCCACTGTAGCCGCGTCGCGCTCGCACAGATTGCAGTAGCCCATTCCGTACTGATGCTCACCTGCTATGGGATTGGCCCATAGCGGGAGCGGACGGCTGAGCGCTGATGTCGAGAGGTAGGTGCTGATAGGGGTGCGGTAGGGTGGTGCAGCGGTAGAAGCCGCAGCGGAGGCGGTGGCATGCTTGTGGACGGTCGCAGGGGAAGGGTAAGAGGTGGGAAGAGGAGGAGCAGGGTCGTCCACTGTTGGCTTCCGCACCTCGTCAATGACCCAGAAATGCTCACAAAGCCCGTCCTGATGCCCGAGCCAGTAGGGCGTGTGCAGCCGTATCGGCACGCCAAGGTGGTCGAGACGCTGAGTGGTCATGGTTTCCTTCGCCGCCTTACGACTAGGGTCAGCCTTCAGCATTGCCTCCACCATCCAACTTTCTTCGTGTTCCGCCACGACTAGCCCTTCTATCATCATCGCGCATTCTCCGCTCCTCTTCCGACCAGTGAAGCGCACGTCGTCTCCCTCCTCTCGCTCCGGCAAGTCGTCCATTCGACATACCACCGCATCCCTCAGCTCCTGCAGTGTTTGAGAGCTATACAGCTGTATAATTTGTGAAGGACGCGACTGGTCGTCTTGTTCATCTGCGGCACTTGCAGGCCCGAAGTGCGAGTGAAAGAGGGAGGTCGAACGATGCGAGATTGGTCCTGTTGGCTCCTCATCCTGCTCTTCTTCCTCGCCTTCGCCTTGTTCATCGCTCTGAGCGCTGCTCTGCGTGCGTCTTTTCTTCTTCGATGACGCGCTTTTGTTGGCAGGCAAACTCTCAGGTACGTCGTGATGGCCGCGCTCCTCCCATCCTCTCGCGGCGATGGTGCGCAGCAGACCTTTTCTATCGGGTTTCAGAAGGGGACGCGAGTAGACGGAGATGGTCAGAAGCGCAGGAGGGTCGCCTTGCTGCTCCGCTTGCGGCAGAGCTGCTGAAGAGGAAGAGGAGGGCGCCACCTGTTCGAGAAGAGGAGAGGGCGAGCGTCGCGATGGCGTAGGTCGAGGTCGAGGTCGAGGCGTCCTGAAAAGGTGGCAAGGGGTCGGTCGCACGAGAGCATTCTCTTCTGACTTGATGGCGCGCTTCCAATGAAGCTTCATAGAGTCTTGATGGTGATGAAATCGGAAGGCTTTGGGCAAGCCGTTATCGCAAGAAGTCTTCGGCTCTTCATCATGGCCTCCTTCGGCCGGCTGCCCAGCCCAGACAGCAGATCTCCACCTCATTGCCCGCACCACATCCTCATCTTCCTCGTACTCTTCGTGCACATGCGCCTGCAATTCAGCCAGAAGATCGTCGTTGCGTCTTTGAACTGTCTCTGGTACCGCGAGTGGCTCTTGCCGCACTTGACCATCATCCCATGGAATTCGAGAGAGGTCCAAGGGCTCGGACGGCGTGTAGGGAAATTCGACTTGATCGCGCTTGAGCTGAGGCACATAGCGAAGGCCGTGTGGGCCCGGCATGATCAGCTATGCTCAGGTGGTGTAGCTAGAGCGCTGCTAGCCATGTCGTGACTCAAGGACCGAGAGATCGAGAGGATGGCAAGGAATGCAACGCGGCAAGGATTCTCGACGCCAAAGCGGAGGGCCGGACACGGCACGACACGACGGAACGAGCCACGCGACTCGGATTCGGATGAATCCAACACCTCGACCTCGACCTCGCCGTCCAATTTCTTGTCATTCCTTCCAATCACTGCCTGCGATATGCCATCGTCACCGAAAGCGTCGTCGTCCAAATTATCCGACGATGGTGAGCTCTCTGACTCGGAACTCTTCGACGAGCTGGAGCGGGAGCTTGATGAGGACGACCACGAGGGAGGTGGCTTCGACATGGGCGAATATAGGGAGAGGAGGATGCAGCAGTTGAAGGAGGAGTGGGTACCGCGGCCCCTGACTTCAGGATGAGCTGCTCAGAGCTTGAGGCTAATGACGTCTCGCCCTACCCCTTCAGGTTGGCCTCAAGGCCCGCTCCCACTAGTGGTTCAGATGGGCAACCCCGCCTCCCAGACCTAGGCGTCGACTCCTCTCAAGTAGGCAAGTACATCTTCCTCGACTCGGAGAAGGAGGCCATCAAGCTGCTAGAGAAATCGGGAAGGAAGGTTGTCTTGCACTTTAGCCATAAAGAGTTCCAGAGATGCAAGATCATGGATCAGCATCTTGAGGTGAGAAAGCGCCGTAGTCGCCCTCCCCCACGTGTTACTCCTTGCTCACTGCTTAACCCCTTTGTACAGACATTGGCCGCCCTCCACCCTTCCACCCTCTTCCTCGCCGTATCCCCGACAAAGGCTCCTTTTCTTGTGCACAAGATGCAGGTCAAGGTACTCCCCTACGTCGTGTGCTTCGTGGACGGGCAGGTGAAGGATCGAATTGTTGGGTTTGAGGAGCTGGGCAATACGGATAGTTTCAAGTTGCACGAATTGGAGGAGAGGTTAGGTACCGCTGGTGAGTGCAAGAAGCGCGAAGAGGTAGGAGAGAGTATCAGTGCTAATGTTTCGCTGCTCTGCCAGGCGTCATTATTCCTCGCTCGAAGCAGAACGCCAACAAACCGGTCTACGGGTTCGCGCCCCAGGGTACGACTGGGGATGGAGACGATTGGGACTAGCACTGACAGCAATGGCATCTCAAATGTACAACAGGATCCTATCCACGGCTGCACAGACCCTTCGTCACGCTTGCAAGTCGCCCACCTTCACCCTCTCCTTCTCCCTTCTGATCCTCTCCTTCTCCCTCGCCTTCACCTCCCGATTCTTCGCTTTGACCTCCCCCTCCCACCTCCTGCGAAACCCGAACTTGAGGCGAGTCAGCATCTCTCCCGCCTTGCCCTTCGTCAAGGTGCGCAAAGTCTCCTCCGCATGGGCGTCGCTTGCCCCGTCAGAAGCGATACTAGATTCTTCGAGGTGTTGCCAGCCCATCCTCTTTGCCACAAGCTGGCGCTGAGATTCGCTGGCCGGCTGACGACGCCAGGGTGCATCTCTTCTGATCAATGGGCTCTGCGGCCCGGCACCGTAGAGGACACGCTTGGTCGCGTAGGTGTCGCATGCCCTCACCGCCGCTTCGAGGGTAGGAGCGGCCGCACCTTCGCCATCGGATGTATCATTGCCCCCACTACTGGTATCACGACCGAAGATGGACACTGGCCGCCGGAAGGGGGAGAAGGATCGCCGATTGGGTATCTCAGCCAGAGCCTCATCCATATCCGCATTGCGGCGGGTGAAGGTGGCTTGCCACGGGCCTCTAGACCTGTCGTCCTGCTCGCCACTGGCGCTCGTCTCCGCCTCGCCCTCCTCAGCCACGCCGTCCCCGCTGTCGCACCGCTCAATCTTGATGAAACCTTTGCGGGGGACTTCCAGAATGTACACATCCCCACCACAGTCCACCCATGCATTCGGCGATAAGCGGGCGATGTGATCGTGGCCTTTCCTGGAGAGGAGAGCCCGCTGCAGTTCCCGTGGGGACGCATAGTCGATGTAGGTGACCTTCTCCGGGTCTACGTCTTCGTCCTCATCGCCTTCAGATTCCTCCCGTGCAGCAGCAGCCTCCTCTGCCCGCCGCTTCAACTCCTCAATGGAGAGACCCTCCATCTCCTCATCAGGATCCAACCCGAAAAGGGTCGGTGTACAGACCACCCCTCTCTCGATATTGCCAACCAAGTCTATTACCAAGCAGTCCTTCTTTCCCGTCTGTGGGCTCAATCGCAATCCTCTCCCGATCATCTGGCTGAACAAGTTCCTCGACCTAGTCGGCCTAGCAAGCACAACCGTATCTATCTGGGGCAAGTCGAACCCCTCGGTGAGAATGGCACAGTTGAGCAACACGGGATACGTCCCCGCCCTGAAGTCGGCCAGGAGCTGCTTGCGCTCTTTGGCTGACACAGAACCGTGAAGGTATCGTGCGTCGATCCCTGCTTCTCTGAATGTCGCCGTGAGATCGATGGTATGCTGGACGTCAATACAGAACACGAGCGTGCTCCCCCTCCCCATCGCGTGCGCCTTCTCCAGCCAGGTCCTTACGATCAATCTGTTGATCCCGGGAACGTTGGCGAAACTGCTCAGACTCTTTGTCTGGTAATCCCCTGAGCCTTGCGAGACTTTGACGGAGGAGAGATCGAGGTCGGAGCGAATGGAGGTGAAGCGAACAGGGCAGAGCCATTTGTCGTCGATCATGTCTAGGAAGTCGCGATGGAATACTATACGGCTGAAGATGCGCCCGAGGGAGAGGCCATCGTGACGGGTGAAGGTGGCGGAGAAGCCTAGTATGGGGACGCGGGATGCGCTTCGTAAGAGCGAGGACGAGGTGGGGGAGGTGGAACAGGTAGCATCACCAGGCGCATCTCGCTCCTGTCTCTCCTCCCTACTCAGCCCCACCTCCTCATCGAACCTCGCCAGCAGCTGGATATAGCTTTTGGAGGCAGCATGATGCGCCTCGTCGACTATCACCGCCTTCAAGCCTCGCGGGTCGAACTTCTCCAGCCTCCCCTCTCCCCGCATCAGTGTCTGATATGTAGCGACAGTTACGTCTGCGAGTCCCGAGGCCTTGAAGTTGCTTCCCTGCTCTATCTCGACGTGTAAGTGCGGATGGGTGCGCGTTACGGCTGAGGATGCTTGGAGGGCGAGCTCGATGCTGTTGACCACGATGAGGACACGGGTGCCAGGTGGGTGGGCCGAGGAGGAGGGCTCGTGTTGGATTGGTGGCAGGCGTGCGATCAGCTCGGTGAACATCGTCGTCTTGCCGCTGCCTGTGGGAGAGGAGACACCTATTCGCGTGACACCGGAGGCGATCGCTTGGAGACATTCGCTGACTGCACGCTCTTGGTAAGGCCGCAGCTGTACTCTGGATGGCGAAGGCGTGGGTGTCTCCTGTTCTTCGAGGGATGCTGGAGAGAATGGGGATCGTGCCACTTCGGCTTCTTGCACCGCCTGGATGACAGAGGCTTGAGCGGCGAAGCATCTTGCCGAGCTTGGAGACGCTTGGAAGACTCGAGGCCGTGCTATGTCGTTGCGTGCTGGTGTCGGGTACGCTATTGACGGCCAAGGAGCCCTGAACCGTATCGTTCCTCGATGCTGCCCACGAAGCGGCCTTTGCCACGCCATATTCATCCTGACCACCTATTTGCCCTTGCTGAGCCACCAGATGTGGCGGATGGAGAGGAGGGAAGAAGCGAAGGGTACGCGTGGAGCCGAAAGCGATGAGAAGACACCAAGAAGGCTCAGAAGGTTCAGTTCAAGGCTGTCACTCTTTTTGTTGAGATTCAAGAAAGCCCGTGTGATGAATGCGATATGGTACAATGATATCCGCGAGCGCAGATTGTCAGACTTGGCTCCGTGCGCCCCCCATTGGCGCTTTATTCTTCATCGTCTTCCTCCTCGTCGTCCTCCTCATCTTCGTCCTCATCCTGACCGTCATCCCCAACATGCCCTCCTTGGATTGCCTTCTTCACAGGCGCAGCGCTTGCTTCCCCGCCCCCATTGACATCCCTCTTTGCCTCAGCATCCTCATACTGTCCCACCGAGTCCTTCCACGCGCTCATGTCGACCATCAGCTTTGCCTTGAGCTCATCGATGCCATCTGCGAGCGCTCCCAGGAATTCGGATTCTGTCTCCCTTGATGAGTGGGGAATACCTGGCGTCTGTGAGAGGCTCAGCTTGAGGGGAGCACTCATGCTTGCTTGAGGTGGGAGGGTTCCTCCCGTTGATGCGGAGGTGGGAGGCGAGCAGCCTTGAGGGATCATTATGCTATACGATGCTTCGATGCTGGGTGACATGGTGGTGCTCGAGCGGTTCACGCTACCGCAGACTGTGACCGTGGCGCTCTCTCGTAGCGTGGCTGGACTGGTCCAATCGGCTTTCGTACTCGTAGGCGGACGAGGCGGTCGGCGAGGCTTCAACGAGGCTCAAGCTGCGATTAAGTCGAGGGCGCGTGTGTCGGCGTCCGCGATGTAGGCGGGGCTTTTCACACTGGAGGCGGACCAGGCCATTGAAGTTGCGTGGCTGCCCTTTGCTGCGTCATCACACACTTGACGCCCGCCCGCCCGCCCGCCCGCAAGGCAACTGGGCCCCGCCCCGACCGGCTTGGACGAAGACGAGGCCCGGGACGCCGGCGAGGCTAAGGCTGCATTCGTCTCAACGGCACTCAACTTCATCAGCCGGTGACCCTCTTTGCTATCGTCCGGATTTCAGATCAAAAGCTGGAGTCCCCGCATTGCACATCTTGCCATCTTACCAACCCGGCGATCCCCCACTCAATCACCCCTCGACGCCATCTCTTCTTACACAAGGCCAGCCGCCACACCCCTCGTCTACATTAGCTGCGAGCCGGCTCCACAAACTCCACTCTCTATAGTAGCTGTTCCATCAATCTTACCTCAAGATATCTAGACCCGTGTCCACACTCGCCACCATGTCATCCCACGGCCGATCAGAGTCCTCTGTTGGCGGACCTGTCGGGCGATCAGTAGGACGCACTGTAGAGACTATTGCGCAGGAGCGAGAGAACTGCCCCTTCGACGTGCGAAAGGTGAGCTGCGAGCGAGGGGGCTAGGTACATGACATTGAACAGCTTTGACCGATACTGATCACACTTTCTCCGTCACCTGTAGCTCTCAATCATTCAGCATGGCAGCGAGAAGGACCTACTCCTCAAGGAGAAGTTCATGCTTGAGCTCGCCCGAGACCCCATCTTCTACCTCGGCGACATTCACGACCTGACAAAGGACCAGCTGCGTGAGCGCACCTTCGAGAAGATTGTGAGTATGGCGCACAGCTTCCTATGGCCGTGTGCTTGACACTGATCCCTTTACCCGTTCACGCGCAGGGCTCCCTTGTGTACCACGTCACCAACGAGAGCATCGAGACGTTCCAAAAGCGCATGGAGATCATCGGTCTCTGCGACCCTGGCTTCTGGACTCGCTTTGGTGTTCATTACGGTCTCTTCCTAGGCGCTATCCGCTCAGGTGCTACTCCGAACCAGATGTCCTACTGGATGGAGAAGGGCGTCATCAGCTGCCAGGGCATGTTCGGCTGCTTCGGTATGACAGAGCTCGCCCACGGCTCCAACGTGGCTGGTCTCGAGACCACGGCCACCTTCGACGAGCAGTCCGACGAGTTCATCATCCACACTCCGCACATCGGCGCCACCAAGTGGTGGATCGGTGGTGCAGCTCAGACGGCCACACACTGTGCCGTCTTTGCGCAGCTGATGATCAAGGGCAAGAAGCACGGAACGAAGACGTTCATCGTGCCCCTGCGAGACGTCAAGACCCTCGCTCTCCTCCCCGGAATCAACATCGGAGATATTGGAAAGAAGATGGGACGAGACGGCATCGACAACGGTTACATTCAATTCACAAATGTCCGCGTGCCCCGCGCATACATGCTCATGAAGCACTCTCAGGTCTCGCGCGAGGGCCAGGTCACCGAGCCACCCCTCCAGCAGCTGACTTACGGCGCGCTCCTCTCCGGCCGAACGGCAATGGTAGCTGACGCAGCCAACACGGCCAAGAAGGCTCTGACCGTCTCGGTCCGCTATGCTGCTGTGCGACGTCAATTCAAGTCGTCCCCTGGCGCAGAGATGGAGACGCAGATTATCGACTACCCAATCCACCAACGACGTCTCATGCCCCTCGTCGCTCAGGCGACCGCCTTTGGCTTCACTGCGTTGGAGATGCAGCGTCTCTTCGAGGAGACTAGCTCTGCGCTCGAGTCTCTGGAGCCGGGAGACCCGAACTTGAACGAGGTCATCGACAAGCTCAAGACCACTCACGCCACCTCTGCGGGACTCAAGGCCTTCTGTACCTGGGCGTGCTTGCAAACCATCGATACCTCTCGCCAGGCATGCGGCGGGCACGGCTACTCGAGCTACAACGGCTTCGCGTCGATGTACAGCGACTTTGCAGTCCACTGCACCTGGGAGGGTGACAACACCATTCTCGCGCTCCAATCGGGTCGTTTCCTCATCCAGGCTTACCAGGAGGTGCTCAAGGGCACCACGCAGGCGGGTGGCACGGCCTACCTCAACAATATTGAGACGGTACTGAAGCAGAAGTGCAAGGGCAAGGAGCACCTCATCTCCCTGCAGGGCATTGACGAGGGTTGGGCGACGGTGGCTGCCCACGCAATCAAGAAGGCGGCGAATGACTACGAGGGATGCCTCAAGAAGGGCCAGTCCCGCGAGCAGGCCTTCGAGGTGTGCTCACAGGTACGCTTCGTCGCTGCTGCGGTGCACACTTCCGGGTTCGTCTTCCGTCAGTTCCGTGCTGCAGTGGAGCGAGTCGAGGCTGGTCCGGAGAGGGACACGCTCGAGCTCCTCTGCAAATTCTACGGTCTTTGGCAGATGGAGGAGAAGGCTGGCTTCTTCCTCCGCTCTGGATGGCTCGACGGCGAGCTCATGGACTATGTCCAGGAGAAGGTCAGCGAGTACTGCGCTGCCACGCGCAAGTTCGCCGTGCCTCTCGTCGACTCCTTCTGCATCAGTGACCACATCCTCAACTCGCCCATTGGCTGCGCAGACGGCGACATCTACAACCGCTACTTCCGCATGGTCAGGAGGAACAACCCTCAGCTAGCTGAGCACAAGTACGCGGACAAGATCCTGCAGTTCATCCACCGCAGCCCTGCCGAGATGGAGGACGTCGGTGAGGGGATTGATCTGGATGCCGAGCTGGAGGAGATGGCTGAGGAGAGAGCCGAGGCTGAGAAGGAGGCCAAGGAGGCAAAAGAGGAGGAAGAGAAGGCGAAGAAGTAATGGACGTGAGCCAGCTTCATCTGGATACCATGATCGAGACCTTGCCCCACGCCCACCTCTCCACGTCTCCTCTTCCTTTTACCTGCATAGACCCAAATCAATAGCTTCAGTGCACTGTCTCGTGCTTCAACCGATAATGTCAAAGGATCTCGTGACAGTTTGTTTGCCTGCATTCGATTGCATCTCATGACGAAGGCTTGACTTGGTAAACTTCCCCCTCCATCTCGAGCGTGCTCCTCTGGCTCAACAGCTTACTCCAAAAGAGCATGATCGGGTCCCACTCGGCCTTGCTCGATGGCATGCGCGGCGTCCCCTCTTCCCCGCCTACTAAAGCAACACGTTCCACGTTCGCGAAGGCGCGGCGCAGCTCCCTGAGATGTCGGTCGGTGGCTGCTGACTTTGGTGGGGAGAGGTAGAGCACAGGTGTAGCGAGTGGTCCGCCCTCGAATGTGGGGAGAGACAAGAGCGGGCCAGAGACGCTGATCAGGCTGCCTAGCCTTGGTGGTGGCGAGGAGGCAGCAGTTGAGCCCTCCTCATCCTCCTCCTTCTTCCTCTCGGCCCATCGCCTTTTCCGTTCCCTCGGCCACACCGCAGCACCCTCGAGTCCCGCACTCCCACCATGCGCAAAGCCGAATACGTGGATCCTCTCGGGCTTCCACCCGCACTCGTCGACGAGATGGTCTAGCAATCCAGTCCATCGCCTCAAGAAGTCCCGAGGATCCTCCCTCTCAACGGGCATCCCCGTTACCTCATCCACAACGTCCCAATAACAGCAAGCCGTCTCTTCGGGAGGCAACCAGGGTATCCTCTTCTGACCCTGCAGGGTAAGAGTGGCAGTCTGCGGGAGGATGTGCTGCAAACGCTTAGTGGCGAGGATGTGGAAGGGAGCAGCAGAATCTCCTGCCCCGTGGAGGAGTATGAGGAGATTGGTATCCACGCCGGTGGGAGAGGGAGAGAAGGAGAGGTGGGGGAAAGTGGAAGTCGAGGCGCGAGGTCGAGGCTTCTTGAGAGGTTCCGCGGGTAGCGGATGCGCCTCGAAGGTGCTGTTGGGAGCCGGCATGCTTGAGGATGTTGATGCGGTGGCTTCAGACACCATGTTTCTTTGATATGCTGGCTCAACGCTGCGCCCAGGTCCGTCGTCAGATTGATTCTTGTCTAGACGTCGTGGTAGCGGTGCATATCGTAGTGGAGCAGGAAGCCTTGGCCTGCATTTTGGCCTCAATCCACCGTGCCGTCGGCGTCTTTCTCAGCTTTGACGCCAGAGCGGGAGTGAGACCGAGGGCGCGTGCACGAACTCAAAAGTGATGAAGCGGTGTGCGGCCGGAAATGGTTTCTGGCTTTCTCGCTGCTCTTTGTCTTTATTCACTCGCCTCGTCGTCACGACTCAGCCGTACATTGCGTCGAAGCATCGCAACAAGCCATGCCGCGAGCGAGTAGAGGCTACCAGCCTTGGATTGCCTATCAAGGTAAGCTCGTGTTCTTCCCAGCACCTTACCTGGGTCACTTTAGCTCCTCACACGACAGGGGCCGGCGAAACGCAGCATGCTCATCTTCTTCTCCCTTGTCGCACGCACATCAGGCTACGAGCCGGCCACCGGAGACAGCATTGCCCGCGAGTGCGTTGATGATCTGACACCACAACGTCTCTGGGACTCGTACATCTCCAAGCGTCGCCCCTGCATAATTAAGGGATTTCCTCGCGACGAGCAGTGGAAGGCCGATGCGTGGGTGAGTAGCCGCAGTGGACAGCTTCAATCAGTCAGCTCATGTTTGTGACACTTTTTATGCTCGCCGGCAGCGAGACCTCACGCATCTGTCCCACCTTGCAGGCCACGTCCCGGTCAAAGTCGAGCCCATCCACCCCAAGCTCGGCCACTTTGGTACAGCTGCCAAGAGGACCACGGTGCCCTTCGGCGATTATGTAGCATCTCTGAGAAGCGAGGGGACTCTTGAAGGAGGAGGCGAGGCCGCTGATGGGCAATGGTATCTGACTACGCAGTATGATGAGGAGGACGACGACGACGAAGGAGCGACTAGTGAGGAGCTGGGCGATCTAAGAGATGGCAACGAGAGGAAGAGGAAGCGCTCCAGCTCTGGCAGCTCGGCATCCTCTTCATCTTCCGTCTTTTCATCGACTTCCTCTTTGGACACCAACAGCCATCCCGTCGACTCTCTACTTGGCCCCACACCCCTCGACCCACCACTGCCCTCCCCCACGCACGCCCTCGCCCACTCTTTCCCGCCCAAGCCAACTCTGATGGGCAACCTCGTCCTCCAACAAACAAATCTCTGGCTAGGTGCCTCAACACAAGGCAAATCATCAGGCCTGCATCACGACTTCCACGACAATCTCTATGCTCTCATCCGTGGACGAAAGAGATTCGTTCTCTTTCCCCCTACCGCATTCAAGTTCTTGCACCCTCGGGGTACGGTGGAAAGGGTCCACCACAACGGGCTGATAGAGTACACCCCTCGCCCAATAGACCCAGAGGAGGGCGAAGTCCTACACGTAGATGATCCGCGCTCCTCCCGCCTGCCGCTACGCCCCGACGGCCTCCCAGCAGGGGAAGCGGCACGCTGGCGCCTCTACGCGCGAAAGGCAGCACTTCGCCGAGTCGAGGAGGATGCGGCTGCCAGCTCCGGCGAGGGAGCCGTACCACGGGGCATGAGGAAGGGCAAAGGACGGATGACCCAGGAACAGGAGGAGGCTGAAAGTGCGATAGAGGAGGCGAGGCGAGAGGCGTGGGCTATTGCCCGATTGGAGGGGGAGGTTGAGGGGGAGAATAGTGAGGAGGAGGAGGACAGTGGGGAGGAGGATGGAGATGATGGGAGCCTGTTTGCTAGGCTGGCGGGGATGGAGAGTGATAGTGAGGAAGAAAGAGAGGACAGCGAGGACGATGAGGAAGGAGGGTACGACCCGGAGCTCCAGATGGCTCTCCAGGCTCTGGCCAGACGAGCAGCTCAGGGTGATATGCAGGCTGCTGAGGCGCTGCGTAGCCTCGTACAAGACGATGACGATGACGAGGAAGAAGAAGACGCGGAGGAGGAGGAGGAAGAGGACGACTCAGAGGAGCTTCAAGGTGCCTTACTTGAGGAGATTGACTCCGACGATGACAACGATGACAACGACTCCTCTTTGGCAGAAGACGACGGCGCACGACGCTCTCCACCCCTGGTTATCCCCCGCAATCACGGGCACAACCTCCCTGGCGGCCTCCGTCGAGACGATGGGGATGACGAAGGATCTGACTTCTTCGGGGAAGACGACGGCCCCATTGGCCAGTTCGATGACTTTGCCGCGAATGCCGAGCTGCTCTTGGCAGACGATGATGACGAAGAGGGTGGAGGCCAGGGCGGCATCGGAGAAGGAGGGGATGCTGAGGCCGAGGAGGAGGAGTTGAGGGCTATGGCTGCGCTGAGGGGCGAGGTGATGCGTCGAATGGCTAGGGCTGCCGGAGGAGCGAGCGCTGCCTCGCGTCGGGGCAGAGGAGCGGGAAGGAGCGTGCATGGCTCCAGAGCGTTGATGCGCATTCAGCAAGTCGGCGCCTCAGACGACGAGGACGAGGATGATGGCGAAGAGGACTTGGGCAATCTCGACTCCGACGATGATGAGGACGAGGAAGAAGACGACGCGGCCGAAGAAGAGAGGCTCGAGCGCTTGCTCGCTGCCCATCGCCAAGGGCTGGACATTGATGATGATTTCCACGAGCTGGACTCAGAAGACGACGACGAAGGTGATGACGAGGATGAAGAGGACGACGAGGACGACAGCGAGGACTTTGACGAAGCCAATCTCGACGAAGGTGATGCAGTACTCGCTGCACTTGCGGCACAAGCTCGCGGACAAGGCTACCAGGACGAGGACGACCAGGAGGACGAAAGCGAACCAGACGACAGCGACAGCGATCTCACGACGCCCACCACCACTTCCTCGTCTGCTCCATCCGACCAAAACGAACCCCTCTCGTTCTCGCTTATCCCGCCCGCCGTACTTCACGCCCACTTCGGGTTGGACGACTCCCTGGCCTCTCCCGCCGGCACATCCTCCCCTACCTCTTTAGCAGGGAAAGAGCCACGCTCCAAGCTCTACCCCCTGCGCGGTAAACGACCCCTTCCGGGCTGCCCTCAGCCGCTAGTCGCAGAGCTCCAAGAGGGAGAGATGCTGTTCTTGCCCGCCGGCTGGTGGCACGAGGTCACCAGTCAGGCTAGCTCACAGGAATCCAATGGCAGCGCCACGGAAGACGCCGACGCGAGAGTGCACATGGCTCTCAACTTTTGGTTCCATCCGCCAGACAATCTCCTCCCTTCTGATCCGCCTGCTCTCAATGGCGTTGGCGAAGAGAAGAGAGGCAGCGGTAAGAAGAAGGGTCGCCGTGCGCAGCAACAGGCCGGATCTGGGTCCGGCAGCGGTAGCGCTACTGCTCAGAATGGCGAAGGAGCCGATGGCGGAGGGTTTGCCCAGCCCTATCGCGACGTCGAGGTGTGGGATTGCTTGCGCGAGGAGGTCAAGAGGCTCGTATCTGAGGCAATCGCGAAAGGCGATGAAGGACGCAAAGCAGATGGCACTGAAGGGGAGCCGGCAGTCGGCAGTAAGAAGAGAGCGAGGAGGACGTAGATGGAAGCCAATTTGTCTCACAGCAAATATCACGAGAGAGCAATCAAGTGGGGGAGGCCAAGTTGCCTCATCTATGCGCATGTCTATTTGTCGTGAGGCTTCGTCAAGTCTATCTGTCGTAATACAGCAGCATCACCAACGCCTGCCTATCGCTCTACGGCCCAGCCGTCAGAAGCGCCTCATCTGTCCTCCTCCTGCACGCCTTGAGGAATTTGACCAAATCCGTCCCGCCCGTACCGACGGGCCCTGCCTGCTCTTTCTCCATTTCCTTTGCCCCTTCAACAATCGCCTGCGCCTCTTGTGGCTGAAGTGTCTTTGCAACAGTGCGCGCGTAATCCTCTTGGTCCTCCAACAGGGGAGCATACTCAGGTGGTGGGGGACGGCGGGCTTGCGACACTATGTAGAGTGTGGCTACGCGCATGTGCTCGTCACGGAGTGAGCGGAGAGAAGAAAGGGCTGCGTTGTATGCCTTGGGCAGAGGGTGTGTAGCAGCGTTTGGGCATGACTGCGCCAGGTGACGGATGGGCGAGGGGTAATGCTTCTCAGGCCTCTTCTCCTCGCTGTCGAGATCGATATCCATCGCCTCCTCGGGAAGCTGGGCACGCTCCTCCTCGTCAGCCGCAGCGGCCAAGCTCTGCAAGTGCGTGAGGAAGCGCCTGTGTTGACCAGGCATGTAGAGCTGCATGCGCTGCATGAAGGTGCCGTCTTCATTGCCTTCGCCCTTGGCTCGTTCTGCCGATGCAGGACCTTTGCGCTGCTGTTGCTGACCACCTCCATGACCAGCAGGGGGGGCAACGTGCCCCTTGACCCCAGCGTGATCGACATCCAGGAAGACATCCAACGCATGAATGAGGGATGATTGACCAGCTGATGGGCCGGTGAAGAGGCGTGGCTGCAACGCCTCGCTATATTCCTCCTCACGGGAAGAAGGATAAAACCATCCTCTTCCACCATCCGGAGCGGCGTCCCCTCCTCTAAACCACGGCCTGATCGCCCAATAAAAGGTTGCAGGGTCACACGCCTTTCGCACATCCTTCAGTGTCTGCTCCAGCTCGCCTACCACTCCCACTAATCTCTGCAGGTATTGAGCCACACGACGTCTGGCCAGCTCGTCCGCAACGAAGCATTCGTCGAGACTTGCCCGCATGAGACCGAGCGCGGCTACGCCTTGAAGCTCGATGAGGAGGGAGGTGAGGAAGAAATGATGCTCCGATTCCGTGCCGCTGAAGGTCTCGACGATGCGAAGGTTACCAGGCGTGAGGCCGGCAGAGGGGTTGATGAAAGTCCAGTTCCAGAGTACCGTATCCGCGTAGGTGAGGATGGGTGGCAAGTCCAGCTGGTGGGAGAGGGCGAGAAGCGGCACTGAGATGGAGGCAGGGAGGCGAGAGGCATAGTGGCCTAGTGACTCCGAATGGAGAGAGGCAGCGTCTGCAATGTCCTCTGCGCAGAGCGGGGCCGTAGAGGAGGAGGCGGCCTCGCCACCTCGACGCCACCTAAGGGCTGAAGCCAGCCAACTTGAGCTGGAGGCTGCTTGATTGGTGCTAGCCTTCTCCTGCGCTTCGTGCATTGCCCTCGCCAGCTTGGACGGCTGCGGCTGGCTATGCAGGTAGTAGTGCGCCAGAAACGTCAAGACGACGTGGCCTCGTCTTGCGAAGCGGATGTCTTGCCTCATCTTGTCGCTCAGCTCCTCCATCACCGGCATCTCCTCCCTGATAGCCCGTCGCCAAGCCCTGCAACGTCTTCGATGCTGCTTATCTACCGCTGCGCCACCGCCATTGATGGCTAGGCCGACTTCCCGAGCCCCATCGAGGAAACGCTCCCAGACTGACTCGTGGAGGGAGTGAGGGATGCGTGAGAGGGGCGCTTGCGGAGGGAGGAAGCCGGAGCGAACATCGATATCGAAGTCGGCGCCTGCTAGGGTCGATGTGTCCGGCAGAGAGGAGAGAGATGGAGCCGTAGTAGCTGCAGACGGGGCAGTAGGAAGAGGTCCGGCACTTGAAAGGAATCGAGCAATGTCATCCAGGCCGTCAGATGAGGGGGCCGGTGACGTTGACAGGCGTGATGAAGATGCTCGAGATGGTGACGATGGTCCAGCTTCGGCCGACTGCTGAGCGTGATATCCCGCGGTAGCCTTGCCCTGTTGAGCAAGGAAATGGTCGGGTGGAATGGCGAACGAAGGCTCAGCATCCACAGTCATCGAGGTCGACATTGGTGACGATGAGGACTCAGCGTCGAGCGCATGAGCGCGACGAAGCTGCTCCATCCTCTGCTTGAACGTCATTGTCGACGACGAGGAAGACGGCGATGACATGGCTACAGATGTGGTGGCGAAGAAGTGAGAATGTATGCTACGGATCCTTTGACCTTTGAATCTTGTATCGGCCCAAAGAAGTCCAAACTCCCCGCCCCGTTGACGCAAGGCGGCTTCTCGATCCCCGTCCGCCTGCTTAGAGCTCTCCGTCCTCGCCCGCATCGCATCGCCACGCGGCAATCGCAGCCGAAGTGAGCTGAGGCGACGCCACCTTCTTACGAGAGGGCCAAAATAGCCCGCCGCCACGACCCACGGGCCTGGGGCAACATTACCTCAAACACGCTTGTGGAGAAGCCTGTGGCCAAGGAGAATCGACCAATGGTATCAATGTGAGAGAAGAAGAGCGCAAGGCAAGAAGAAAGACAACATGGAGGAAGAAGAAAGGGATCGTGGAAGAAGGAGCAAGGGTAATGATGATGGGAACAAACCCATTGGCGAGTAAGGCAAATGTCCATGCAGAGGGGAATGAGGGCACCTTCGTCCTCAGATGTTAACAACGGCTTCGTCTGTCCCACGTCTTTCCGCGCCCCCTCGTCCCTGCAACAGCGTCTAATGTCGCCCGCCAGCCTGCTGCGCTCCTGCTCCCTCCTCGTGTCGCATCGCCCTCAGCACATCCATCATGGCCTCGTCGGGGAGCAAGCTCGACCGCACCGCAACGGCAGCCGATTCGCCCAGATCAATGTCCACCGCATCCTGGTAGATGGAGAGCTCCTCGCGGCGGGAGTCCCGTCGTGGGAGAGTGGGGCGCTGCAGCGCTTGACCGGCGAGTGAAGCGTCTGCCGTACTCAGTTGCGCTGGAGTCTGTGGGTTTGGGGTGTGTTGAGCATCCGTGGTCGATTCAGCGCTGCCGCCGCCACCACGGGGAAGGAGGCCAGCATTCGTTGCGGCAGAGGCTGCGGCTGCGGCTGAGGCGTCATTTTGCAGCTGCGCGAGCAGCTCATCTGCTGTAAGTCCACCGCCTTCTTCGCTCTGAATTGTGGCGCTGGTGTCGCCAGCCTCGTCGATGTCCTCGAGGCCGGTCGCTGGGTTCGCAGCAGTAACCGCATTGTCAAAAGTCTCTCCCTCGTTGGATCGCTCTCCTGCTACCGCCTCCTCGCCTTCAGCGTCCTCCTCCTGCTCACCCTCCGCCGGCTCAGGATCGAAGATCCACTCGTAGTACTGCACCATGATCTTGACCACGTTCGCCTTCTTACCAATCTGCCCAAACGCCTCTGCAACACTTGTAGCCGAGGGTGGCGGATTGAGCAGGGAAGTACCGAAGATGAGCCCAATGTTGTGCGGCAGCATCTTGTTCTTCTCCCCCTCCTCGACCACGCGCGCGAGGTGCTCGCAAGTGCGACGCAGGAGGTCGAAGTGCGCCTTGGGGAAAGACCAGATGAGGTCGCGCAGAGCGATGAGCCGATCGTCCGAGTTTTCCAGCGCTTCAGCCTCGATGATCGGATTGTAGAAGCTGAACGGAACCACTGGCTCAGGGAGCTCACGGAACCAAAGCTTGATGAGACCACTGATCGCGTGCACATCGGAGAATTCGCCGTGCTGTAGGTCAATGCTCTCAGGCGGGCGACTTCGGAAAGCTTGCTCCATCGCTTCGATCGTGGACTTGGAGCCCGAGATGCGGTAGATGCCCACTTCTTGGAGACCGCGTGACTCGATCTCGTTGAACATGCGCTCCAGGCCGAGAGGGATGGGCCGGCCTTCCCTCTCGACCAGGGTGGGGATGTCCTGACCGAAGAGCGAGGTGAAGTTCGCCGCAGAGGAGGAAGCGTTCTTCGCCATGTACCCTCCGCGCCCGGCACCACCTGCTTGACGACGCGGATCATTGCTGCCGGCCGGACGAGGACCCTCACGTACCGCCTTGTCCATTTGTGCGAGCCAGTCAGCCAGCTCTGCCTGTCCTGACGCCTGCAGGAGGATGCGTTGCCCGTCGAGCGAGGAAACATGGAAGACAAAGGAGCGCTGAGTGTTGTTCCAGACTGTGACATCTGCCCCACCAAGACTGACGACCATTGACGGCTTCTGACTGATCGGGATAGCAGAGACCAGGTCGCTGTAGGGGCGTTGCCCGTAATGGTCGGTAGCACCGCCAGACACCCCGCCAAGGGCTTGCCCTCCGCCACCACCGAGTCGAGCTGCTCCGCGCCAGAGGGAGGTCATACGGCGCGACTTCTTGTCCGAGGGGAAGCCACTACCTCCACCGCCCACGCCAGCTGGTACCATCAGCGTTACAGAGCTGCTAGTTGACGAGCGGCCGATGATCTCCTGTGGTCCCATCGCCGGGGAGCGTGACGCTGTCGTCTTCGCCGCTTCCAATGCAGAGCGCAATGTTTCGAACGCGTGCCTGTCGCGCTGTTGCTTGTCCTGCTGCTCGGACATGAGCTTCTGCAGCGGCCTGAATGCACGCCAAGTCGTGTCGCGAGGTAGAGGGGGCGCGCTGCTGGCCTCGTGGGCAGCATCGTCCTTGAAGGCCCGGCGATCCCAGACGACCCTGCGTAGCTTGGTCTGCATGACCGAAAGTCGGGCACCCGCTAGCTCAGCTGTCTTTGGATCGACGACTGTGCGCGTGTTGCCGTCGCCAGGCTGCTTGCGAAGGGAGAGGCTCGACTCGATGAGGCTGTGCACAATCTGCGAGCGTTCGAAGTCGACGTAGGAGCTGTCGGCCTGCGCGACGGCTGAACGACGCGAGAGGGCTTGTGCGATGGACTTGAGCAGCCAGCCGACGTCAGGAGTCGCGGGAGAGGAGGCGGCCGCCTGGTTGAGGGTAGACAGCGCATCTGGGCGCGGCAGCAAGTCATCGAGCCCCTCGCCCGTCCCACCTCGAGCGTGACAAACGCCCTGCCAGGCCCTGACGAACGTCCTGCTCTCCGAGGACGTCAAGCTTGCGACAATGATGCTCTCAACGAATGAACCGACTGTCAAGTCCTGTATAGGCGCAGCACCGGCGAGAGGCACCGCGTTGGCTGCTGGAGTAGCGGTGGCCTCTTCGGGCATGCGAGCGCGCAGCATTCTTGCTCTGCACAGCCAAATGGCGTCGATGAGCTTCTCGATACGGTTCTGCCTATGCTGGACACCGATGCGCGTCTCGATGATGTGTATGGCGATCCAACCTCGCAGCAAGCTCTGCGCAGCACAAGCGTCTCGCACTGAGGCTGGCATGCGTTCCCCTAGTGATGGGGAGGGGGCCGAGGACGCCTTGCTGCTGCCTTCGCTTGCTCCACCAGGCCTGAGCAATTCCAGCAATTTGTACATCGTCAAGACCTGCGGCTCGTCTGGCCCCGCATCGCGCACGATGTGCCAGCCAAGCGGATCCTGAGCTTGGCGTTCAAGTAGCTCTGCGGAGATCAGTAGATCGCGCTCTGTGATTTTGTCGAAGAATACGCCAGCTACCGACTCGAGGTAGTCGACAAGGGCGACAGGTGAGGCTTGGTCGAAGTCAAAGTCAAGGTCGCGTGCAGAGGGAGCCGCTGAGGATGACGAGGGGTTCGCTTGAGCGCGCTTGGCCATGTCTTGCTTGTAGGCGGCATTCGTCTTGAAGGCGCTGCTGCGAAGAAGGGAGGTGACGTCTTCCAAGCCTGTTACTGCTCGCGAGAAGTCGACGTCATCCACTCTAGCCGCCTTTGTGCTCGCTTGCTGTTGCTTGACAAACGCAACGATAGCATCGTACAGCTCAGGCTCGTCGACAAAGTCCTGCGTAAAGCCTCTGACCCAGAGCTTGAGTACAGCAATGACCCCGTGCCTGACGCGATTTACAAAGTCCCACTCCACTGGCTCCAATGTCGCCCCCGCCGAAGCATCGATGAGGCTCCAGCTGGGAAAGCGGCTGGCGTTTGGACCAGAGGGAAGACCAGCGAACTCGCGCCCCGCATTGACTGCTGCGAGGAAGCGCTTGCGCAGGAAGTCGAAGAGTACGAGTGGGCTGCAGGTGCTGCGGAAAGTGGCCAGGAAGGCGGCGCGATAATTCTGCAGGTCGAGGGAAAGGCGAGAGACCTTGGTCTGCGCGTCCGTTGGGCCTGAAGCGTCGTCGTTGTTGCCGCTGAGGGAGATGGACAGATCCGTCACTCCGAGCACGAGCACGTCTACGAGGCGCTCGAGCGTTCCTGCCTTGACTTGCACTTGAGTCGGCAGTACCGTCTCAATGACAGAGCTCCGCTGCGATGCCGGCAAGCTGGATCGACGCGAGACCTGCGACAGTGGCCTTGTTGCTCGGCTGCCGAAGTCCTGCGAGAAGCGCTTGCTAGTCATAGGCGTCGAAGGAAGCGACATTGGTGGGTCATCGACACTCTTGAGGATCAGCTCGTTGCCGATGCGATGAATCGTCTCCTCTTCCGCTGTAGTGGAGAGACCGCGCGTGCTCCACTCTGATATGAGCCCGAAAGGCAGAGCGCCCGCTCTCGTACCCGGCGAGCTCATAGCTGCCGCTTTGCTCCGCGACAGCGATTGAATTGAGGCTCTCATCAGCGGCGTGCCGCTGAGCGGAGACCTGACGTACTTGCTCCCCGCACCGCTTGGCCCTCGAATGGTAGCATCAAAGTCTCGCGTGACCAAGGATGAGCCCATGGCACGATGGTCGTCACTGGCTGCCGCTGCAACGATTTGGCGTCGATCGAGTAGGTCGAGGTTGGGTAAAGCCTCGGGGAAGACGAGGGGGAGGAGCGTCTTTGCGTTGAGGGAGGCAGGAAGGGGTGGACGCCAGTTACGGTCGATGTTGCCCAGCGAACGTGGCTCGAGGCGCAGCGAGGCGTCGATGTACGATGAGATGCTCTTTGCTGCGGTCCCTGACTGGAAAGAGAGGTGCTGCAGCAATTGCTGAAACTCAACAATTGGACGAGCAACAAAGATGATCGCGTCTGGTGCTACGCGGGACCCTTTGAAGGATTGACCTGCCCATTTGGTGACAGCCTCGTAGAGACGATCGGAACTCTGCGTCAGGGAGGCGATTGGGATGCGCTGCGGTTGTTCTTGCGTGGCGACCGCTGCGCGAATGTCGACCAGCGAGTCGCCCAAGAAAGGAATGCACTGCGGCTTACGCCCATCTTTGCTCTTTGGATTACGCGACGTGACGCTGCTCATCGAGACGGCGGGCTCGACTGGCAAGCTCCCGTCCTCATTCCACTGTAGCTTGGACAACTTCGGCGCCCATGAGCTAGCCAGGAGAGTGCGGTCCCCCTCAGCAACAAGGCGCCAGGTGTGCTCAAGGCGTGAGATGGCACGAGAGCAGAGAGCAGCCATAATTGCAGTCCAGGCTAGAACGTCGCCATAGCTGAGAGAGTAAGAGGCAATGGCGATCCAGTGGCGGAGTAGCGAAGCGCGATGACGGGCGTGCTGGGCGAGGGTTGCCGCATTGTTGCTGTTGCTGTTGCCGCTACTGTCGGAGCCCTCGAGAACCTGCTGGAGGATCAGTGTCGTCAAGTAGTGCGGAGAGCTGCCGCTGAAGCTAAACAAGGCTGCATCTGCAGCAGAAGGCGAGGAGTCTCCGCTCGTCTTGCCCGCGAGAGCAGACATTGTTGGCTCAGGGATAGCGAGCGCTCTCAGCCGATCGGCATGGAAGATCTGAATTTGCGAGGCCACGTCCGCCGGCTCGAATGAGAGCAAATCTGAGGCCGAGAAGTGCCCTTGAGCGAGCGAAGCCAGCTTGGGTCGCGGCGGGTCTGGCGTGTGCTTTGACCAGTCATTGGGTACAGGGCGTGAGACGCCTGCAGGCAGGGAGGAAGAAGACGAGCGCTGCTCCTTGATGGCTGCTGCGACGTCCACGTTGAGGCCTTCGGTACTGCTGACGAGCTGCTCAAGCATCGACATGGTTCGCGGGTCAATCGCATCGGCATATTTGGCGATGAGGACGTCGAAACACCAGCCTGCACGGCCTCGAACTGCGCTGTGTAGGGCTTCAACACCCTCTTCCTCTCCCGAGATCTGAAGGGCGGTGCTGACTTGAGTCGTCAGATACGAGACGAACTCTACGAGGCCATGTCCGTTAGAGAGCGCGGCAAAGAGGGTTGTATGGATCATCGTCGCTGTGTCCTGCGGATCGTCCTGAGCAAGGAGTTGGGTAGCATGAATGATCTCGTGCACAAGAGCTTCAAGGGTACCGCTGTGAATGCGTTGTGCCCAATGCTCTGGACGTTCTCGAGAGGGTACGAGTACCGATTCTGGATGAGCGCCGGGCATGTGCCACGAAGAGGTAGTGGCCGGGGACGACGTCGAAGTAGCAGTGACGCCAGTCGACAGAGCAGGTGGTGGACTGGGTAGCTGCTTCTTTGCCGGCGAGGCGTGAGCACTCCTCGGAGGTGCTGCTGCTGCCGCCAATCCACTCTGCCCGCCACTATTGGATGTCGCGTTGAGCAGATCCATTGTCCCCAGCCCGCTCTGCTTCAGCATATCAGCATCTATCCTTTGTCCGGCGTACGCCTGCGACAGTCCCGCACCGTCGCCTGCTCCACGAACCACAGTGCTTGGAAACAAGCCCTTGACGTCATCAGCAAGATTGTTTGGCGGCTTGTAGAAGACCAGGTTGTGGTCGCGTAGCAAGACCTTGTAAGGCTTCCAGCCCTTTGTGACATCCTTCTCTCGCTCCCTCGTCCCGATGCCGCCCAGCTGTGCGACCGAGAGCGAGAGGTTGGCGTTGCGGTTGAGAAGACCCTGATGAGTGCAGCCAGGGGGCAAAGGTGCCGATGAACCGATACCAGCGACCTCCTTGAGTGAGTCGGCAGAGGATGATGCTCTCTCACGATTGTAGCCCTGGTGTTGTTGCTGCTGTTGATGGATCGACGCGATGCTCCCACTGCTGCTACCACCTCTCAGCTTGTCCATAACGCTCGACGCTCCTGCTGCAACATTTGTGAGGCTGAACGAGCTTGCCAAGCTCGACCCCGTAGCCTTACGTTCTCTCCCGCCACCCTGCCCAGCACCAAAGAATCCGTCGGCCCCGACCATAGGCAGCTTCGAACCCTTGCGCTGATGGCCAACGTGAGCACCAGGAGGCGATGCGTACTCCGGAGTCGGACTCGTCCCGCGCTGGGGTGGCCACTGAGATGAAGCCGAGCTGAAGGGAATTTGCTCCGGCCTGGACCCGCTAGGAGAGATGGCTCTTGCCATCCCCGACCCGCTCGCCGAGGACTGTCGAGACTTGCTGAGCTCATTGGGCCCGATGGTCCCGATGTCTGATGGACGACCCCAGTGTTGCTGCTGATGCGGAACGCCGTGCTCACCCCATGTGCCGCCTGTGCGAGGGCTGGAGCTGTACACGGCGCTGCCACTTACGCCACCTGGTTGAGGTGAGGGGCTGCGGGGCCCCGGACCGGCTGACGTAGCTCCGCCACTGGAAGAGCTCGAGAGGGCTGGGTGATTGAGATCCTCGACGCTGCGTGACATGCCGTTTGTTCCCAGTAGACTGGGCGAGGTCAACAGGCTGGCACCACTCCTCTCGTCTGGGATTGATTGTGGCAGCGTCGGCATGCGAGGAGGTAGCTCTGCATACTGCGAGCGAGGGCTGGCATAATGCAGGTCGCTCTGGCTCTTGCTGTATGCACTCTGACCCCGCCCATAAACGCCAGCAGAACCGCCATATGGCTGCTGCTGCTGCTGTTGAGCGCCCATTCTGCTCGGGTTGGGCAACCTCGCCATCGACGTCTTGCGTTCGCGGGAGAAGAAGCTCTTCTTCGTCGGCGAAGTAGGTCCAAAGCCGAGTGAGGATTGATCTAGCTCGATCGAGGGTTTCGCCGTGACTTGCCTGAAGTCATTGGACGAAGATGATCGGCTAGCGTTGTTGGAGGTCGGCATGGGGTAAGCGCCTGGGTGTTGGAGAGAGATGGACGGCCGCGAGTACATGGCTGAGCCAGCGGCACCATCTTCTTGCAAGCTACCTAGCGATCCAAACGAGTTGGACGAGTTCAAATTCGGCACTTGCTGCTGCTGCTGCTGCTGCTGCTGCTGCTGGCTAGAGCCTGTTATGCTGTTCTTTGCCTTGGAGAAGAAGAGATTGAGTGTCGACTGGCTTCGGCCCATTGGCTGTGAGCCGCTCGAGGCCGACGGTGAGGCTGCATAGCCAGATGGCTGGGGAGGCGGCATTGCCTCAGCAGATGAGCTCGAAGGTAGACGAGGATGGTACGGCTTGGGAGAAGTAGCGGGATATCGGCTGTCACTGTTCGGCTCGGTCAACGTCGACTGTGAAGGATTGAGGAGATGCCGTGATGAGCCGTGATGGCTTTGATAGAAGGGCTGCTGCTGCTGCTGCTGCTGCTGCTGCTGCTGTGTTTGTTGCTGCTGAGGAGGATGCGGCGACGAGTGCATCGGCGATGACGAGGACGATGCCGCTCCATCGTAGCCCTCGACAAGGGGCTGGTCCCTCTTCTTTGCGCGACGAAGCATGGCAGCGAGGCCAGGAGGTGTACACTATCAAGGCTGCAGCGCTAGATTGAGGTGAAGCTTGCCGCAGATGTCTCGTTGCCCAACAGAGGCTTTGAGCGTCTCGACTGTTCTGACGTCGCGCGACGTCAACGCTGAGCGGCGTCTGTGTCGCAACCTCGCGAGGCAAAGAGGGAGGATGAAGAGACACGCCTCGCCGATCTGATGAGATAACGACGACAGAGATCGAAGATAGCGAGATTGCTGTCGAGGTTGCGAGGTCGAGATGAGGCGTCAGCGCGCTTTCTCTGCCTTGCCCTGGGCGTCTTGGAGCGGCAAAGGACGTCGGTCGGTGGGTCCGGCCCTGATGATTGCTTGCTTGCTTGCTTGCTTGCTTGCTTGCTTGCTTGACTCGCTCAATGTACAGGTGAGTTGCAAGCTGAGCCGCTGCTCGATCCTTCGACCCGCAAGTAAGATGCGAAGGGAGCTGTTGGTATGGTCAGAAAGAGAAAGGGACGAAGGAGGCAAGGTTGTCTGCCCTGCTTGAGATTGGTAGGTACACTGGGATGAGCCAGGCTACACGAGTGGCCATTGGACTGAACACGCCCAAGCCCGCCTGCCCGTTTAACTTGGCGCCCACTCCGTCTCTCCCTGCCTGCAGCCACCAACGACGGCGTTGACCCGCCCCGCCGCCGCCGCGGCCCAAGAGCAGGCTCAAGGCTAAGGCGGCCCTCGCATCTCTCTCGTGAGCTCGTCTGTCTCGCGCCTCCTGCAGGCCGGACCACCTTGCCCCGTCCGTCCTTCCGTCCGTCCGCCCACTGCCCTTGCCATCGTGTTGGACTCACTTTGGGCAGCTTTGCGCCCACGGAAAAGAGCAAAAGGCAGACAGAGGGACGGCACTGAGCCAGAGGAGGGAGCGACGCGGGTTAGGCCAGGCTACGACGGGTGAGACGCTACCACGCCTTCGAGAAGCCCATCATTAGCAAGTCAGAGCAAGGTGACGGCGACGACGGCAGCGAGGCAATTTTGCGACGCAACGTGACAGGACAGGACAGGATTATCAATGACAGAATGAAATACATGCAACACGACGCAGACGCTTGATCTGACCTCTCCGTATGAGAGAACCCCTTCTTGAAATCTCGCCGACGGTCGCGGCCAACCCGCTCAGCATCGCTCAAAGATGCGGTAGAGCTCATTGAGGCTAGCTAGCTGCACCAACGCGGCTGGAGGCTGCTGCTCAGCACCTCTCACGACAGGCGGCTTGACGAGCTGTTTTGGCGGCAGGAAGCCTCCACGCTTCGCAGCAAAGTACGGGAACCATAGGTGTGCCACACGATCTTCAGCCGACGCCATGGCGGTAGCAGATGCTTCCTCAGCACCATTATGTTGGGCTCCGGCTACCAAAGCTAGCGGGCCTAAGCGATGAGCTGCTCCTAACTCACGAGCAAAGCCATCAAAGCAACCTTGCTCGTCGTCCCAGTCCACATTTAGTGCCAGCCGAACGAGCAGGGAGGGCAGGTTCTCGGCTGGCAGGGCGTCGCTCTGCCCTGGGATAAGGCAAGGGATGGCGTGAATCGTTGCGCCTGCGACCTCCTCGCCATCTCCGGACGATCGGACGTCCAGCGAAAAGTACTCGCCCAGCATCTCACCGCGCTCAGCTAGATGGTCCGTAATCTTTCTCACCAACTCTGCCCTTCCCATCCCGCCAGTAAGCTCCTCTAATTCCCCCTCTCCCCGCGGTGCCTCTATCTCCACTCCCAATCTCACCAGCTCTTCCAGCCCAAGAGGTGGGTCAAGCCTCGTCCTCTTCACTGAGCCGAATTGCCTCAGGCAAAGCTGGTAGGCCGCCTCCTCTATGAAGTCGTCATGATTGGCGAGGTAGAGTTTAGTGCCGTGCTGAAAGAGGGAAAGGCCTCGATCTAGGTCGACCACACCTACGAAGGTGTGATTCTGGAGGATGTCCGTAAGAGCTCCGTGTCGTTGTTTGTGGATGGCGGAGCGCAGCGAAAGGACAGAGCTGAGGGTGCAAGGTGACTCGTCGACTCTGAAACGTGCCGAGGAGGTGGTTGCGACGGTAGTCTCGTTGCCCTCGTCACCGGCTTCTCCATCGACGCGGATCGGGTCTGACGAGGTAGCATCCTGGCGAACGTTCGGATTCTGCGAGAACATGCTGGGCAGCGTGCGAGTCTTTGCGTCAACTCGTACTTGATATTGGGGATTCTGAGAAGTAGCAGCAGGTGGGCGCATGGATGCTGCTCCCGATGGTCCCGCTTGCGCTGAGGTCGACGATGCACCAGGTTGCGTAGCACCAGGCAGGATGGACTGCGTGAATTGAAAGGTCCTAGTACTATTGGCGCCCGCGAGAGCGTCCTGCGCATAAGTGCAGACCGTCTCGACTATCTCGTCCTCATTAAGGAAATGAACCTCCCTCTTTGTCGGATGAACATTGACGTCCACCTTTGCCGGGTCGATCTCCAGGCTCAAGTAGATCCAAGGATGGCCACCCTTGGGCAGCATAGCCGAATAGAGCGTCTCAAAAGATCGCTTGAGGGCTGAGCAGTCGACGAGGCGGTGATTGATGAAGCACAGGAAGGTTGTACGCTTTGCAGACCAGTTGGCGCCACTGATGTACCCTGCGACTGTGAAGCCAAGCGGAGCGTTGCGTTTGGGTTCGAGGTGGACGAGCTCACGGGCCACCGAAGTGCCGTGTAAGAGGCGAATGGTGTCCATTGTTTGGGTGGCAGAGGAAGAGGGGGTGCTGAGATCTGTGGCATTTGAGCCTGACTTTTTGCACACGAATCCTACACCTCTTGACCCGTAGTGCAGTGCATACTTGGCTGCGATGTCTAGGGCTCGATTGTACTCCTCTGCCGCGCTCTTGAGGGCTCGGCGTCTCTGCGGGACATTGTAGAAGAGGTCTTCTGCGGTGAGGATGGTACCGTCGCTACCAGCGCATGGCTTAGGTTCTGAGGACTGGCCAGGCTTGGGGGGTGCAAGAGCGCCAGAGGTGTAGAAGGCTCTTTAGGAGACACACGGTCAGTCATGAGGACGTCTTATCTGTCACCCCTCTGCTCTCACTCACTTGTAGGCCAATGGATCTTGTTTCGTCTTTGTCACGACGGACATTGATGCCGATACGAAGCTGATGCTCGCGAGCGCCTCTCCTCTAAAGCCAAAGGTAGTCATCGCTGAGAGGTCATCGAAATCGCGCAGCTTCGACGTCGCGAAGCGTTCGCAGAGAAGGGGCAAGTCTCCCGGCCTAATGCCCGACCCATTGTCGCGAATCTGCAGCCATTTGAGGCCACCCTCTTTGAGGGTTATGTGGATAAGGGTCGCTCCTGCGTCGAGGCTGTTCTCAATGAGCTCCTTGAGGGCATTGGCTGGGCGGTGGATGATCTCGCCCGCGGCGATGCGGTTGACGACTGCTTCATCCAGGCGCAAGATAGGTCTGGCGGGGTGTGTGACCACATCTTCCCCTGACCCGTCATCGCCTCCCATCTTGACGATGTTTGCCTGTTACCTATCTGCCTCTCGTCGTGATGCAGGCGGTGGATGGAAAGTCAAGATTTCTTGGATCTCAGGCGCTGCGCCATTTTGGCGCGTGGCTTGTGCGTCGTCTCTTGTCTCCGTCTCCGTCTCCGTCTCAGATGGAGCGCCAGCCACTGCCAGGCGCGAGGAGGCGTAAGGCGGGCGGGCGGCCAAGAACAGCTCGAGACGTGGGCGACGGAGCGGCGAGGCGTTGTGCGGGCGGGCGGGGCCAGAGGGAGAGACGAGACCGACGACGCCCTGTCGAGTAGGACTCAGTCGACAACGACGACCAAGACGAGAGAGTCGATAGAGGCATTGCGGCTGGCCATCTTACACACCTTTACCTTGGTATCCTCCCCACCAACCTTCCTCCTTCAACCCATTCTCATCCTCTTGATCGAGCGCGCGTCGCCTGCGTCGCCTCTCATCTGCAAAGCGACAGCCAGAGCTCGAGGAGATCAGCTCCTCGGCGGCGGTGGTGAGAGCATTACTTGAAGCGGCTCAGCAGCAGCAGCAGCAGCAGCCTCTGCGATCTGGCATCGAGCCCATCTTCATCCTCTTTGATATCTTGGGTCGCTCTCGCTGCCACTGCGTATCGCTGCGATGGCTTCTACGGGTAGCCACCACCACGACAGCCAGCATATAACCAACATGGTTGGCGGAGGGGGAGGAGCCGGGAGTAGCGCACCAGATGCTGCTGCTGCAGGTGCCAGCAGGCAAGCAGGGTCGCCCAGCTACCACGCAGCATCCTATCATCACCGACAGCAACTGCGCTCACCCTTGGCTCCTGGGCCTTCGTCCACCAACGCAGGCGTGGGCTCATTAGGCTTCGATCACCTCTCAGCGACGCCCAATGCCTCCTCCTTTGGCTACGACCATCACCTCTCTGCAGGATCAGGAGCAGCTGGACCGTCCAAAGACTCGCTCGCCCGCTCCCTATCATTAGCCTACGGCTCGTCAGATACGATGCCGCATTCGACAGGGTACCAGCAACATCAGACGCTGTCCCCAGGCGCAGCACCGAGTCCATCATCGCATACGTCGCCCTACTCGCCCATGCATCCCAATCACTTCATGCCCAGCAACACACCGATGGCCTCATCCTCGTACATGGCTCAAGACGCGCCCTCGTCATCATCGCGAAACGCTGTACAAAGGGACAGCTTGCTCCCTACCGTCAACACCCACACCGGCGGCTATCAGTCGTACGCGTCTGGCCCGCGATCTCCCATGAACCCTCACACCGGTGCGAGCGCATCACGGTCTCCGCGCACATCCATGGCGCTGGGAGCGCCCCCGTATCTTTCATACGAGAACAAAGATCACGGTATGGGCTACGCAGCTGGTAGTGGGCAGCAGCAGGGATCGGGACGAGTGAGAGACTTCAGCGTCGAGATTGGCGACCTTGGTGCAGGAAGACTGAGCGGCGATTACGGTGGTCAGATGAGCGCAGGAACGCGGGACTCATTGCCATATTCGTACTCTTCGCAACCGCCGAGAGCACGGACGACATCGACGACTGGGCCAGCGTTTGGAGGCTCTACGGCTGGGCCGCCGCCGATGAGAAGACAAGTCTTGGATGGACAGCAGCAGCAGCAGCAACAGGTCAGCTCTGAGCTGTCGCGGCGAGCATCAACTAGCAGAGCGGTTCCGCCTGCCCCGCCAGTGATCAAGGAGCAAGGGCTGCGTAGAGTGAGGGACGTCAGTGACTTGCGACCAAAGCTGGACCCAGCTCAAGCCGCCCTCTCGAGAAGAGCGGACCCCTCAGGCGGCTTTGTCAGTCCACTCAAGGCGATGACGTCGTACCTTCACCACACCTACCACCTCGTGAACCCTTCCTTCATCTATGAGCTCTCCTTCAATCCAAGAAGAGTGCTCACGAAGCCGAGCAAGCCCATGCATAATCACGGGCACGACAACGAGGACAGCGACTACATACTCTACGTCAATGATTGGCTGGGCAGCGAGGAAGGTAATCGCTACCTGATTCTTGATATTCTTGGACAGGGAACGTTCGGGCAGGTGGTCAAGTGTCAGAACATGAGGACGCATGAGATTGTGGCAGTCAAGGTTATCAAGAATAAGCCGGCATACTACAAGCAGAGTATCATGGAGGTGACAATTCTCGAAAACGTAAGTGGGCGGATGCATGACGGGCTACCAGATAAGAGAACGCCGTTTGACCCGATCCTCCTTCTCGCGCCCGCAGCTCAACGCTAACTGGGATCCCGAAGACAAGCACCACATTCTGCGCCTGCGCGACACATTCATCCACGCGGAGCACCTCTGCCTCGTCTTCGAGCTTCTCTCGTCGAACCTGTACGAGCTCATCAAGCAGAACTCTTTCAAGGGTCTCAGCACTAGCCTCGTGCGGGTCTTCACCACGCAGCTCCTCGACTCGCTGACTGTCCTCAACGAAGCACGGCTAATTCACTGCGACCTCAAGCCGGAGAACATCCTGCTTCGCACCCTCCAAGAGCCCTCGATCAAGCTCGTCGACTTCGGCTCTGCCTGCCACGAGAAGCAGACCGTCTACACATATATCCAGTCGCGCTTCTATCGCTCGCCCGAGGTCCTGCTCGGCCTGCCCTACAACTCGGCGATCGACATGTGGTCCTTAGGCTGCATCGCTGTGGAGCTCTTCCTTGGCCTCCCTCTTTTCCCCGGCACATCAGAGTACAACCAAGTCTGCCGCATTGTCGAGATGCTTGGTCTGCCTCCAGCCTTCATGCTGGAGCAAGGCAAGCAGACTACTGACTTCTTCAACGTCTTCACCGACGAGTACGGCCGCAAGACCTACCGCCTCAAGTCTCGAGAGCAATACATGAAGGAGCATAACCCGAACGAAGTGCCGAGCAAGAAGTACTTTGTCGCCACGACGCTGCCAGAGATTGTGAAGACATACCCCCTCTCACGCAAGAGCGGCAAGCCAGCAGACGCGCAAAAGGAGATGGCGAATCGCGCTTCCTTTGTAGACTTCGTGAGTGGCCTACTCAACATGGATCCTCACGAGCGTTGGACTCCGCAGCAGGCGAAGTTGCATCCCTTCATTACGGGGGAGAAGTTCGTCAAGCCCTTCAAGCCGCCACGTCTATCCCCGCAGGTGGGCGTCAGTCGGTCAAAGAGCGACGCAGGAAATGCGAACAAGCATCAGTTCGGCGGCCTCCAGACCACTGCGAGCTCAAGTCGGCAGTCAGGTCCGAGAGCCTACCACGATGCAGCGGCGTATAATCAACACCTCGCACAACAGCAGGCTTACAACTCTGCGGCGGCACGGCAAGGTCAGGCAGCTATGGCTGTCAGCCACAATCCGTACGCAGCGCCCGGGACGACGGTGCAAGACCAAGCCAAAGCAGCCCATGCCGCTGCTGCGGCCAACGCGGCAGCTCAGGCCCAAGCCCAGGCACAAGCTCAACACGCTCAAGCTCACGCGGCAGCGCAAGCCCAGATCCAGGCGCAGCTGCAGGCTCAGCAGGCTGCCCAGGCTCATGCGGCTATGAGTGGATATGGTGGACCTCTACCTGGGCTGACGGGGAGCGCTGGTGCAGCGGCCGGGGCGAGGGGAGGCAGGCCGCGAAGCAATACGCAGAGCATCTCTGGCGCTACAGCAGCCGCAGCTATGGCTCAGGCTCAGGCGGCTGCCAACAAGGCCAACCTCGGCATCGGGTCCCCGCCAGGTCCCGGTGGCTTGATGACTGCATCCGCCATGTCCATGTCCCCTTCCGGCCGGGAAGAGTGGGAACGTCGTCAGGCATCCTCGTCTTCTCAGCAGTTTGACCTTCTCGAGGCAGGCGGAGGCGGAGCTGGAGGTCAATGGGGTCAGGGTGGAGGAAATCGATGGATGTCGCCCCCTCAGCAACAAGGCTCACGTTCCCCATACGCCTCGCCGCGTCAGACGTCATCAACACCTGCGAGGCAGTACCACTCGCCAAGTGGGCAGCCTTCTTCCTCCTCGTCGGGTGGAGGCGCAGGCAGTGGCTTCTCAGTAGTCGTAGAGCCGCACCACCATCAGCAGCAAGGCAGCGGCGGCTCCACCGGGCACGGCGCATCCTCGCAGCTCCCCAATCCGCATGATGCTCCACGCGCACCTTCCTCCTCTCTCGCGCCGCAGCAGCAGCAGCAGCAGCAGCAGCAACAGCGATACATGTCCACCTCCCCCTCCGGCGGTAGCGGCGGCCTACCACCATTCGACGCATTCGCCGACTCATTGACCTTAGGCATGGGTCAGCCAAGCATCGCGCAGCTCATGCCTGCATTGAAACCGCAGCAGTACCACGCTCAGCAGTCGCACCACTTCGGTGGACAGGGGCAGGGAAGCGGGTTGCTGCCTTCACATCAAGGTGGCGGTGGAGGTGGTGGGCAGAGACATTCGATGATCCTTCCAACTACCTCGCAGGGCTCTGCAAGGATGAGCCCTTACCTTCAGCAGCAGCAGCAGCAGCATGGGCAGCAGCAGCAGCAGAGTCCTTTGATACCTGGCGGCTTCCCCTCGTCGAGCGGTGCGGGTGGAAGGGGGACTACTTCGCCGTATCCTGAAGGTCAGAGCAGGAGGTACTCGCATCAGCAAGGCTTCCAATGAGAAGATCAGCGGCTGGTGGCGGATTGAGGGCTGGCGATGCGGTAGCTCTCGCGATGTGATGATCAAGAGGTCGGTAGAGAAGCGAAAGAGTGCAAAGCAGCAGAGGAGCAGTCACGTTGCCTCGCAGGATATCTCGTCTCGTTCTTCCTCATCTCCTCCTCTTCCAGCCTAGCATCCTTGTACATGGATCACCTCGAGGTATGACCACGACGTTGACGTTGACGATGACCAGCAGCAATGCAGAATGACCATTTATGCCTTGGACCGTACTGCAAAACTGGTCTGGAGACGTGCGTGAGTTCATCTCTTGCTTCGCATTGGCCCTCTACGGTACGAGCATCATCGCTGAGCCGCTTCACTCAATCATAGGAAGACGACATGGAATTGAGAGTGACGACTGAAGAAGCATTGACGAAGGAAAAAGTCAAGGTCGCCCACACTTCCCTACCGATGGGGCGAAGGAGGCGCAGCAAGACATCGAGATCTCGCGCTTTTGTCCTCCATCTCCCTCGCGATTTCCCTTGCGAGGCATATCGAGGCTAGGAGGAGAAAGGTAGGGCGCGAGGAAGAAGAAGGGGTGTAGCCTCGCCTGCGAGGTGCTCCGAAGAAGAGGAGTGGAAGTTCCTTCTACCTCTTTTGGTTCTTGAAGCGGACTGGGTTGATGAGGATGACAGAAGTGAGGCGACGTGCGTGTATAGGCGGTGATGCGCCATTGGTACCGAGAAAGGGAAGGCGCCTTCATGTGATGACGATTGGCATCGTCGTAAGAGGCAGCGGCTGTGCCTTACCCGCAGGCTAAAATTCAGCATGAGGCCAGAGATGGTCGAAGAAGCCCCTTCCGGAAGCTCGTCCCGCATCGAGCTCATCACCGCCGAATTTCGCAAACTTCGTGTCGCGCTTCTCGTTGCGGCCGTCATCATTTACGCGAGCGTCGACCTCATTGTCCTGCTCATTATCACGGGGCAAGGAAGGGCGATGGTGCGTGTGAAAGTGGCCGTACGCCTTTGCATGGTTGACGTGTGGATGCGAGTGGGACTTGGCGTGGCCGTGGTGATAAGCAGCAGGCGCAGCTGCCTTGAATTGGTGAGAGGACGAGGAGGAGGAGACAATCTTGTGCCCGTGGGTCTTGGCCTTGCCGGCAACGAAGCTGTGCTGATTCTCCGTGCTCTCGCTCGAGACTGGGCTGCCCGACGACAAGGAGACCTTGACTTTGCTGCCACTGCCACTGCCACTGCCGTGGTCGGTGTCGCCGGAAGTCGAAGGATTGCTCGAGGTGGACGAGGAGCTCGAGGTCGTCGACTCTGGGCTGTTGGACTGGGGTCCACCCGTCTGACCTGCAGGCGCAAAGAAGACGAAGCTCTCAAAGTCGAAGTGCCCTCCGCCATTCTCCAGCAACTCCTTCGTAGCCGCCCCCGTATTGTGGTACGCAGGACAGCTCATGCCCGTCTTCTTGTTGCAGCTGTCCTTGGCCCAATAGAACTCGGGCAGCCCAGCGCACTGGTCGAGCATCATGACGATGACGTGCTCAGTGTCGAGCTGTTTGGAGTCGGTGCAGGCACGGAAGGGAGGTAGCGAGAGGGTGGCTTTGCCAAAAGAGCCTGTGTTGATCGACGTTTGGGAGGCCACATCTTGCAGCACAGTTGGTGCCTCGGCTTTGGTCCAGAACCTGCAACGTGAGAAGGAGAGGTGTTGGGTGTCAGTGGATAGAGAGGGTGATGGCCAATCGTGGGCGCCGCATTGCTCACCAAGCGTTGACGGCTGCCTGGCTGCGCTCAACTGCGATGATCGTCGGTTGCTTGTTCATCATCTCCGGGATGCTCGCCGCGTTCGGATTGCCGCTGTGGTCCATGTAGATTCCGCAACCACGTCGCCCACTGACGCCGATGCGCTTGGTACACGTAGTCATGAGCGCATCGCCGTCAACGAGGCTGCTGACCTCCTCCTCGGACTTGGTGCACACACCTTGCGAGTGAAGCACAATGGCATTGGGGCGGTTGTAGCCATTAGCATACTCGAAGATGTCAATCTCGCTGCGCCACTTGGCACCCTCGTCGGACGATTGGGTGAAGATGGACGACCAAACAGAGCAACCGACGGGGACCTTGTTGATCGAGAAGATGTAGACTCCGTCCTTGTACCAGTTCTTGGATTTGAAGCGCAGTGAGTTGCGCTTGAAGGCGCGACGATGGAGCTCGCCTTCGTTGTTGGTAGCATTTGAGGAGAGGGAGCGCTTGCCAGAGCTTGAGCTTTGGCCTACGTCAAAGCCCCATCGGAAGCCCCTGTCAGCATACGACAGACGATGAGAAGATGCGGTCAGCTTGATGATGAGCATGCGTGTCAGTGTTGCCATACTCACTTGCCGCCAGTGCCAGCTCCGATCATGCCCAATTGCTTGGCCTGCTCTTCATCGACAAAGTTGACGTACTGGTGGTAGGCATTCTGCTGCGTGTCAAAATTGAACTCGGCCAGCCACTCCTCGGGCGTGGTGAGAGCAATGCGCTTGGTGTAGCTGGCCGGCTTGGCATCGTAGCGGTCGTTGCTGACGGGAAGGTAGCTGTCTGCCTTGACGACGGGCATAGTGGTGAGGGCTGTCCACGAGACCGCCAGGGCCACGAGGAGGGGCAGCGAGAGCGTCATGCGAGATGATGTGAGTGCAAGCATTCTGAATTGTGGCAGATGAGTGTGCGTGTCTTCGCGTGCGTGTGGCGTGTGGTCGAAGCGTCAAGGACCGTGTGGTTGGGAAGATTGAGTGTGGTGGTGGCGCTGCGGGCGCGACGTCCAAATGGCTCGAGCGTACGAGGCTAGGGAGGTGAAGGGGCCGGGTAGGGTCGAGGAAGGCAGGCAAAGGGGAGGAAAGATGGGTGCGATGGGGAGAATGCAAGATGCACAGCAAGCGGGTCATCGAGTGAGTTACGAGCGAGATTAGCTGGCGAGTGCGAGCGATGATGAGCGGCTGGCTACTGCACCCGGCCGAGGGCGCACCACCGCCCCGTCGGCTCAGCTCAGCGCATCATTCATCCAGCGGTGCCTGCTGCTTGGCAATACCAGCTGGAGAGATTGCTTTGCGCCGCCCCGCCAATCATTCATTCACTTCTCGACCGTCGTTGTCTTGGTCGACACCAGAGGGGCAGCAGGGCTGTCGCAATGCTTCCGGAGGCCTCGCCGCCTTGCTTTGATCCCGCCTTTACTACCTACTCCGATGAGATGCCCTGGTTGGCATGCCATAGCCAAGCGTGCGCTTCAACCCTTTACAGCCGCCTGCGCCGTTCTATCCTTCTTCTCACCATCACTTTGCTGCCGTCTGTGAGGCGTCAAGCGGACGACGCTCCAGCAACCTCGGGGCGTTGTCCAGGACCATGAAAGCCAGCCATGACCTTCTCTTTGCGGGGCGCCATTCAGCCAGCTGCGCCTTTGTGAGTGTGAAGCCGCATCGTCATCGTCCTCACGATCGCCGTGGCGTTGCTTGGTCTGCGGATCTCACGAGAAGCGGACCGTTGGGCGGCGGCGGTCCGCCTCGCATCGTCATTCTCGGCGAGGAGGCCGAACCGCCGCCTGCCTGCCATGTGGCTTCAAACGCGTAGGCCCGTGCCGCGCTTGCTCCCTTTCCTTTCTGTGCGTCATTCGACTGGGACTCGCGTCGATGTGGACGCAGGAAGCCCCTGAGCGGCCCTTCATCCGCGATCGCGTCGACGGTCCCGCCCGTCAAACGATTCAGAGGCCATGGATCGTTGTGATGTGACAGGCAGGAGGGACAGGGGTGCAAGCATAGCCAGACAGGGTTCCGCAATTGGCAAGGCGAAGGCGAGGGGCGAGTACGTCGATCTGAAGCGACTTTCAAGCCTTGCGACGGCTGAGTAGATGGAAGGAGAATTGCACCGCTCGCCCGTCACCCTGTGGTCCACGTCTTGACTTGACTCTCTTCACTATCATCATTGACTCCTTGACGTGGTACCAGCATCCGTGACATCAGCGGACGACTCTTCCTTGACGACTTGCGGCTATCACGACAGCACCACCGAGGGGACTCACGAGCAACCCTAGAAGGAACGACGAGCCGCTACCAGTGACAAGGCCTGGATGGTGAGTACCGCGCTAGCTAGCAAACCAACATCGTTCTCGTGATCATCGAAAGCTGAAACAGCCCCATCCTCTACCCTCTCGCAGCCCAACATCTCGATCCCTGCGAGGGCAAAGTCGCCCATCCAGATGCTGCGTCAAAAGTCCAACGCCAACCTGGACGTCTCGCCCAAGTCACCGGTGCCGCAGACTCGACTTCATACCATCGGCACCCCCTCGAGGAGGCTATCCGACGCCTCCGCAGCCAACACGCTGCGACCCAGTCCCACTCACCAACCCACACCTTTCATCATCCCCGGCCCCTCTCCCTCCCTCACCTTGGCCACGGGCGATGAGCTCGCCCAGCAATACGAGCTCGTCGAGCGCCTCGGCACAGGCTCTTTTGGCACTGTGTACAAGGCCGTGCACAAAGAGTCGAAGCAGATTGTCGCCATCAAGCAAATTGACCTGGAGGACTCAGACGATGACATTAGCGAGATCCAGATGGAGATTGCCCACCTCGCCGGATGTGATAGCGATTACGTGACGCGTTACTACGGCTCATTCGTGAAGGGACATAAGCTCTGGATCGTTCAGGAGTATCTCGCTGGCGGGTCTTGCCTCGACTTGCTCAAGGCTGGCCCTTTCTCTGAGGCACACGTAGCGACGGTGTGCCGCGAGCTACTGCTCGGCCTTGATTACCTGCACAGCGAAGGCAAAATTCACCGCGACATCAAGGCGGCGAATGTTCTCCTCTCTGCCACGGGCAAGGTCAAGTTAGCAGACTTTGGCGTCGCAGCTCAGCTGTCGAGCAACCAGTCGAGGCGCAACACCTTCGTCGGCACTCCATTCTGGATGGCGCCGGAGGTCATTCGCCAAGCAGGGTATGATGCCAAAGCCGACGTGTGGTCGCTCGGCATCACGGCAATCGAGATGGCCAAGGGGGAGCCACCCCTTGCTGACTACCATCCGATGCGTGTGCTTTTCCTCATTCCCAAGGCCAAAGCGCCCACTCTGGAAGGCTCTCATTTCACGCGCGACTTCAAGGACTTCGTAGCTTTGTGCCTCATCAAGGACCCAAAGCAGCGTCCCACTGTACGGGAGCTTCTGCAACATCGTTTCATCAAGACGGCAAGGCGCACTCACTGCCTGACGGAGCTGATCGAGCGGCATGCTGAGTACAAGAGCAAAGGCGCCAAGCGTGGCGGAGCTATCGTCAAGGATCATCTCCATGCGCTGCAGCCTTCCGAGTCTACTTTTGGCAACGGTGGGACCATGATGTCTGAGTGGCAGTTCGATACCATGGCTAGCGCTCGCTTCGATGACGAGTTCGACGACGCCTTCGATGAGGACCTCGATGGCGAGGAGGAAGAGGAGACCTACCGGCAGTGGGGCACGACTACTGCCCCTCGCCAGGGCTACTCTACTATCAAGGGCGGCCAGCGCGGCAACGAGGCACTGAACCAAGCATTCGAGTCGACCATCCGTCTCGGCGGAGAGCCGAACAACCGTAGAGCAAGCATCCTCGTGGGCTCCGAGGGTGAGCAAGACCACACCGAGGTCGAGGACCAAGATGAGGACGAGGAGAGCCTCGCCCAGCGCAACGCCTTCGAGCGATCCAACTCCTCCCACTCATCAGACACGTGCGACTCCTCTGCGGGACCCTCGACACCACCTTCCACCTCGCCAGCAACCACGGCCCTCCCAGCCGCAATCGTAGCCGCGGGCGTCCTCCCCGCCCGTATCCTGAGTGGAGCGCCACGCTCCCCGATCTCAGGCAAAGTGCCGCTCCGGGCCCCTTCCACTACCAGCCTCTCAGCTACCGCTACCGGCGCGGCGGCGATCTCTGCGCCTCCCAGGTCCGGAAACAACACGCCTGCCGGGATGAGGAGTAGGAGTAACAGCTCGCAGAGGCAGGACACTGTCAGACCGGCGAAGCAGAGGGATGGGCTTGGATTGGGATTGGGCAGTGCTTCCAGCAGTAATGGAGCTGCACCTGGTTCCTCCTCAGCGCGAAGAGGCTCAACCGCTTCAAGCGGTCGCGCAGCCACTCTTCTCCCTCCTCTTCCGTCGTCTCCATCAGGTTCTCCCAACCCGGCCTCGGCCCACACGAACTCGGAGCCCCTACCCAGTCGCGACGCGGCCGCTGGTCTCTCCCTGATTCGCGACGTCCTCCTCCCCACTCTCGCTCTACACCACTCATCCCCGCACACCACACCACCCGAAGCGGCCGCCCTCGCCGACCTAGCCTCCAGCTTCGAGCGCCTCGCCGATGCGAACGCGGAGCGGGCTTACCACGTTGTCGTGGATCTATTGCTGGGGATGAGTGGGCATGAGAATGCAAGGGAAAACTTGGGCAGGACGATTAGGAGGAAGATCAGGAGGGTTGCTACGAGTAGCATGGGCGCGGAGGAAGATGGGGAAACGAAGCGTGGTGGGAATGGACTGCCCATGAGCCCTGAGAGATCTTCATCAGCCCCTCCGACGTCGAACCCCTCCACGCCAAACTCGACCGTGGCAGCAGCATCCTCCTCATCATCGAACTGGTCTCCGATCGCCGACCTTTTCCTTCAGGGAAGATGGGGCGAGGCGTTGAGGAAGAGTGTGTGGGGGTGGTGAGGGGCGCAGCATATGGACATTTAGACATTGACGACACTTGACGACCCGGACGAACATGAGACGACCACGAGACGATTGAACACCGTAGAGTCGGGACCGTAATCCCTTTCAGCATTTCTCCTCACCCGCTTTCCTTTCCTCGCGCGCCTTCTTGCATTGTATTTTCGACCCTCCTCATTCTTCTCTCAATCGAAGGCAATGCCACTTCTTATTTTATCTTGGAACACGAGCAAAGCACTTCATATCGGCTTGTACACCTCTCCACCGCTCACCTACGAATCAGCCAACAACCTCTCCAGCGCCTTCTCGACCCTATAGTTGCTCTTCTCGAGTGCAGCGATCACCTTGTTGCGCGGGAAGCCCATGCCTGCCAACTGGCGTACAGCGGGGGCATCGTCTGGGAGGGCGGCTGTTGGCTCGCTACCTCCTGTTCCTCCTGATGAAGACTTGGGAGCGACACCGGGTGGTGGACCTGGTGGAGGAGCGAATGGGCCGGTGGCGCCGCCTGTCGCGCTTCGCGCTGGGACTGGCGGAGGGGCGCTGCTCGAGGGGGCATTGCTTGCGGTGGCAGGGGTAGTCGAAGCGAAGGCTGGTGCTGCTGATGAGCTTGCGCCAGCTGCTCCATCCTCTGAAGGAGCGAAAGCGTCCTCAAACGAGCTGAACGCCGAGCTTGGGTCCGAAGTGGACTTGCTGCCCGTTGCTCCAGCACCGCCCGTCGTAGACGTAGCCGCAGGGCCAAAGGCGTCATCGAAGCCTGCAAAGGCGTTGTTGTCGGCAGGCGCGGTACTGGCGCCAGGGAAGGCCGAGGATGCGGTATTGGACGCGCCGCCACTAGCCTTGTTGTTGTCGAAGGAAGGCACAAAGTCAAAGTCGGCGTCATCGAATGCATCCTCGAATCCTTCGTCACGACTGAGCGAGCCGGCCGTGGCTGTCTTGGTCGTAGCCTCCGTGCCTGCGCTTGCTGTTGAGGCGTTGGTGGTATTGGCAGAGCCGAAGTCAGCAAATGAGGATTCAAAGTCGTCGAAGGACGGTTGCTGTTGAGCAGGCGCAGTAGCTGCTGCGGGTGCAGAAGGAGCGGACGACTGGGCAGATCCAAGCGTCCCGCTCCTCACAGGCGCAGGAGGAGGCGCTCGTCGAGTCTTGGTGCTATTCGCTGGGCTCAACTGCGCTGTCCCTGCATCGTCCGCGGCAGGAGGCATGCTGGCTACGGTCGGCGGAGGAACGACCGCAGGAGCTGGTGCGACGGGAGCAGCAGCAAAGTCGTCGTCGAATCCGCTCATTCCCGCTGCTCCAGCGGTGCCAGAGCCAAAGGCGCCAGGCATGGCCGGTGTGACGCTGCGCTCCTCCTGGGCGGTAGCGGCGGGGATGCCGCTCGTCGCGCCTGAAGTAGTATGGCCGGCACTGTCCGCCGCGTCCACAAAGGCTGCATCCGTCGTTCCTGTGTTTTGGCTGCTGAGGAATTCGTTGCCGCCCAGACTGGTGGCGGAGGACGTTGAGGGAGGCATCAGGCCACCGCCAAGGGCTGCAGCACCAGCACCTCCCGCAACGGCGGCACCAGCACCAGCACCAGCAGCGAGAGGAAGGGAAGAGTTGTTGGCGCTGTCGTCATCGTCGAGCTCGGGGAAGCGCTCGCTGGCTCCAGCAGTCGTTGTTGCGGGTGGCAGCTGCTCTTCTCCTCCACTCGAGATCGTGTTAGGCTCGCTGGAAGCAGCGGTGCCGCGGGCACCACCGTGCTTGTACCCATCCAAGTCTTCTGGTCCCTCGTCATCCTCGCCATCAGACGAAGATGAGTAGCCCGCTTCGTCCTCAGCGTCAGCACCGCGGATGGGCTCCTTGCCCTTGCCCTTGGACGAGGTCATCGTGTCTCCTGTGTCGGCGACGTCAGCATCCGTCGCTACCTCGTCTGCGGTCGGTGCAGGGGCGGCAGGCTCGGCGGTTGCCATAGCGGTGGGCGCATCGACGGCTGTCTGTTCGCCAGATGCCAAGCCGCGGTCTGACTGAGCTCCAGCTGCTGGTTCTCCGCCCGAAAGATCATCGTCGAACGAGCCAAAGGCGTCATCGAAGGATGCACCAGGTGCTGCTCCTCCTACGTTCGATGCTGGAGGTGCCTGCTGCTGTTGGCCAGAGGAGGGAGCAAAGTCGTCACCAAAGGCATCGTCGAACGTGTGGGCCCGAGAGGCTGGCGGCTGCTGCTGGCTTGCCGTCGCGCCGGTGTTCATGCCGAACGGATCGTCCTCGTCATCCTGATTATTCGTGGCTCCCTTCTTGTCGCTCGGCTCGGCCAGATGCATAGCTCCGACCCCAGCTGTGGCTGCTGCGGCTCCAGCGGCGAGACCGCCAGCAATGGCTCCGCCGTGACCGCCACTGCCTGCTTCTCTGTCGGTGCCGCCACTGTTGAATCGGTCGAAAGGATTGAGGGACTGTGTGCTTCCCGCCGGGCTAGCCACGGGTTCTGTAGCGCCGGGCACGCTCAGTCCACCAGCCATAGTAGGTGGCTCACGGCTCTGCTGTTGCGGCTCCTCGGCATCTTGCACTGGCGCCTCGCTCAACTCCTTGTGCTCGCCCTTGACCTTCTCATGCTCCCCCTCTGCGGTGCTCAATTGCTTCTTCGCAATGGCAACCATTCCTTTTTGCTGTCTTCCCTCTTTTCTCAGCTTTTCTACCTCAGCCTTGAGCGTGCTGAGCTCCCCCTGCACCTCCGCCATGCGCTTCTTGGCCACGCGCACCTCCTCGCGGTCATGCATTACCTGCTGCTCAACCTCGTCCTTCTCCGCCTTCAAGCGGGAGAGGGTCGATTCCTCGCTAATCAGCTCGTCACGTAGTGTCTTAAGCTCAGCAGCCTGCTTGTCACGGCGAGCCTCGAGATCCTTGACAAGGCGAGACTCCGTCTCGTGCGTGGAGCGCACAGTCGCAAGGCGGGACTCGATTTCGGCGAGGGTACTTGCGTTCTGCGCCACGCCAGTCTCAAGGGTGGAGCGCTTCGATTGGAGGTCGTCGACTGCCTTCTGAGTACTATTGAGCTGCAGTGACTTGTTGCCGTACTCTGCGCTCTGATTTGTGGGAACGGCGCGTGAGGACCCTCCAGCGGCGGGCGTGGGGGCGGGCTTGGGGGAGGTGACACCCGCTGCGGCTTGCGTGGAGGCCCCCTTCGCAGCTGGCTGTGCATCGCTGTCGCCGCTGGTGAAGAAGTCATCGTCGAAGGGAGAAGACTTGGCGGCTGCGCCGGGGGCGGCCGCGGATACACCATGGGCGATGGGTGCGCCGGCGACGGGAGCAGCAAAGGCGGTCGCGGTTGATACGGGCAGATCGGAGGGATCATCGTCCATGAGTGAGAAGAGGTCCTTTTGGGTGTCCGTCTGCTGCGGGTCGACAGCCTGGGGCAACTTCGTACCGCGCAAAGAGGGCGGGACCAGGTTGGCAGGAAGCTCCTGCGGCACTTCACCCCCTGTCAAGGCCGCATTGATCAGATGCATGGCCACGGCGAACTCCTCCCGCGACAGCGAGCCAGACTGAGTGACGTCCGAGAGGTCCCAGATGTTGGCAAGGACCGTCTCGCTGAGCTTGCTTTGCATGAAGAAGGGGACGACGAGGTTGCCTGGCAGCTCGCCTCGGCGATCCGTGTCGAGACCATCGAAGAATTGGTCTGCTTTCGCCTTGTCCGTGGGCGTGACTGCCCACTGTGAGGCTGCTGGGTTGGGGCCTGCAGGGGAAAAGGGGGCGCCTAGACCGCCGGTACGTTGAGCTGCAATGAAAGAGGCGTTGCCGGCGCTGCCTGTGGGTGTTGGAGACATTGGAGCGACGCCCCACATCTGTTGAGGTGCGGCTGAGGCTGATCCGCCCGTCTGCTGAGCGCGCAGGGGACTGCCTGGCGTCACTGAGCCAGTGCCTGCAGCAGCGTCGTATAGTCCTGGAGGCAAGACGGCGGGGACGTTCTGAATGGCTCCACTCATCGTTGCCTGGATGAAGTGCATGCCAATGATGAAGTCGGCGAGGTCGAGGGAGCCGCGAGACTTTGTGTCCGCGAGGTTCCAGATAGCCCCGAGCTTGTCGAAAGGGAGGCGAGACTTGACGAAGATCTCTTTGGCCTTTTCGCCGTCGAGCATGCCGCCCGAGGGGCCAGCGCTGGCGAAGATGCGCGTGTAGCGCGACTGTGAGTGAGGGCCAGACGGATGCAAGATCAGCGACTGATAGCATTATAGGCACAGTGCTCCGCACTACTCACTCGATCTTCTGGCCGAATCTGGATTGCAGGCTGAGGGGGAAGGCTGCCAGTGCGCTGCGGGCTCATCGGGGACGCGCCAGCGGGAAGGTTGGGCAGCTGGATGCCCTCCAGGACAGGCGGTGGACCTGGACGCTGAATCATGGCTTCATCTGGCGTCTCACCACGCTGGGCATGGCCGATGAGGCGCAATGCAACGCTGAATGTTGGGGCAGTAAGAAATCCATTGTTGGCCTGATGCGAGCGCGAAGGTGAGGACATGGTGATGAGTCCGCCGCTATGCACCGATTGTATGCTGCGCAGCGCTATGACGCGCAGCTTACTCACCGAATCGGCAATAGTCCAGATCTGGCCCAACGTAGGCGGAGGTAGCTTCGACTTGGCAAAGAAGGGGACGGCAGCCTGACCCTGAATGATTCCCGAGTTGGAAGGGTCGGCGAGGGAGAAGTAGTGGGCGAATGCGAGTCGCTCCGCAGGGCTGAGCTGGAGGTTGGGGGCTAGCGTGGGATGTGGGGCGTAGGGCGGAGGGCAACGATGATGAGAGTCAGTTGTGAGAGCTCAGCGATATGATCTGACCGCGCTCTGCGGTAGTCTCACCTCCTCCTGCTCCTGCTTGCTGCTGGCTCATGGCGGTCGCGAGCGAGTGGGGGTGTTGGTGATGCGGAGTGAAGCTGTGTCTCTCTCGTTGCCTGTCTGTCTCAGCTCGGCCCGGTCACAAGCTGGCCGCTAATGTGGAGTCGGGAGTGCCAGTCTCACATTGTGGCTGTCTATATACGTTGATTTCCGCGTGGTGCAGCAACTGTCTCCGTGGATCAGCTGGTTTAGATCGTCCCACTCATAAAATGGCACGTCGCTCCCGATGAAATGGGGAGGCCGCGAGTTCGAGCCTCGCCGGGGACATGTACTTACTTTTTGGCGTCGCAATCTCGCATCTTTTTTTCTTTTTTCTCTTCGCCTGTCGATGATAGACTCACAGCCCTGTCCATCTTCTCTTCCTTCTACAATGGAGGCTTGTCATTCGGTGTGTGTCCGCGACTGAGGAGCGGCCTATAGCCATCCCGTCGTGGCCAAGGCACGCTCGCTCATTTGCTCACTCGCGCAGCACGACGTAGGCCGTGATAGATTGTCGTCATTGATGAAGAAGCATAGCGAGGTATGAGTGGATGGAGTCTGAAGTCATCGAACAATAAGAAAGCATATTCGTCGTACCGGTCGTCGTGGCGGTCGTCGTGGCGGTCGTCGTGGCGGTCGTCATCAGGCATCCCTCATTCCCACGGCCGTACTGCTCCTCCCCGCCGTCGGCCATCCCTTCGCCCCCACGTAGGACAGCTCCAGCTGCGCGCCCTCCGTTGCCTCGTCCTTCTCATTCATCTGCGCGTCCGGCGTGGTCGGGAGGAGCTTGACAGAGAGGTAGCGACCGATGGGCAGGGCTGAGGAGGAGGAGGAGTCGCGCGCGAAGTTGAGTGTCTGTGGGAGGGTGGTGGGGAGTAAGGATATGTCGCCGGGAGAGGGGGTTGACGGGGAGATGATAGAGGGGAAGTGGAAGGTGAGCATTCCACGAGGGAGCAGAGAAGGAGTTGCGACAGGCGATGTCGTGGACGTGGTAGCGGCAGCGGCACGCTGTCTCTGTGCTGCTACGACTGCTTCGCGTCGATCCATCGCATAAGGATCACCTAGGTCGGCTTCCTCGTCCCAGTGCGGCTCCTCATCGCGCTCTTGCCTGAGAGCAAGTCCAGGACCAACTGCTCCTCCATCGCCGACGGCAGCTGCAACGATGCTCTGCACGTCTGTCGCCGACTTGCCCTCCCACTCGCGTAGAGCAGCCTTCTCGATCGGCGAGTCGCTGACAAAGACGAGCGCTTGAATCGACGTCGGTAATTGCTGCGCTCTGCCCTCCTCGCTGAGAGGCGGCTTGCGCGTCACGGTGACCGAGAGAGACGACAGAGTGAAGAGCGGACCGAGCGGGTCACTGGTCCCTGCATTGTGGCCCTGCTGCCCCGCACGAATAGCGTCCGCTCGTCGCTGGATGAGAGCGAGGGCACTAGGCATGCTTGCAAGGCGAGTGAAGAGATGGTCGTCCTCGGCAATGGTGGAGGACAGGGAGAGCTCCGCTGAGATGGCATTGATCGCTGCCAGGTCCTCCGAGCTGAGCGGTATGGCTTGAGAGGGGAACAGCGAAGGCAGGGCGGGACCTGGCAGCGCCGCCGGAGTAATCGAAGGCGTTGCGTCATCCTGCTCTGCCTCATCTAAATGTGCAGCACCCTCGCTAGCACCACCCATCGTAGCCGCCGTGCTTGCGCTAGCTGCGAATCCACCCGGTCCCTGCGTGGTCCTCAACACGAGCCCCCTCAGCACATCAATGTCATCGCTACTCAACGACCTAAGCGCTGAGAGCGATGAGGTCCGTGTGAACGGCTGTTGGATCGGTGCACTCTGCGAGTCGTCGCTGCTTGTCCCGCCAGTCGCGGTGAAGCGTGAAAGCACAGCCACCTCTCGCGGCGTGAGATCCGGGCGACGTGCTAGGATTTGTGGCCAGGGGGAGCGACCGGAGGGCCCGCCAGAGTTGAGGGCTGTGGTTGACATAAGGGCGGCGGAGGCCGTGCCTGCTGTCGTGGTGGAGGCTTCTCGACGCTCTCTGGGAGCCATGCCAAGAGCTCGCCGACGCTCGTTGTGAGCCTCGTGCGCGTCTACTGCACCACCAGCGGCAGTGCTGCGAAGAAGGCGTGATCGTCCTGCACTCCAGGCTCGATCCTCCTCGAGCCGCGTCCTAGGGTAGGCTGTCGCAGTACTCGTCACCGAAGTTGTGCCAGGCAAAGCCGCCAGGAACCTCAATACCACATCCAACCCCTCCTGCGCGGTGAAGCGCAATCCGTTCTGATCGTGCCTGAGCACCGCCCTCGCTCCACTAGGCTGAGGCTCGCGCCGGCTGACCTCAAATCGCAGGGCATAGGCCTGCGTCTCCGAAGGTGAAGAGGCGGAAACGTTTGACGTGGGTAGCTCGGGCTGCTGTGGTGCCCAAGTAAGGAGACGCTGCCTATGCGCTTGGAGGGCGGCCTCTTGATAGTGACCTGCTCGTTGCCCTAGAGTATCGAGGGAGCGTAGCACCCGGGTCGCAAGGGGGTCAAGCTGGCTTTGGTCATGAGGGGTGATGAGACTGGGTGAGGTGGATGATGATGGCGAGGCGAAGAAGTATGTGGAGGCATGACCTGGTAAGCTGCTAGATGTGCCAGCGCTGCCGCTGCCGCTGCTCGAGCGAGAGGTGAGGGCAAGATCGTCGACCGCTCGAGGGAGCGAGGACGACGGCGCAGCGCTGGAGCTGCTTACGGCCTGTCTCTCCTCCGAATCCTTGTCCTCTCCAAGCGTTCCGGAAGAAGTGGCACGACGCAGGTGGCCAGAAGACGAAGAAGTGCTCGTCGTGGGTGGATCAGACGCCGGCTGAGAAAGCCGCACAGCCCTTGGCGCCCTCAATCCCGCAGGTGCCGGGTCTCGCAGCGTCCTTCGTCGCACAAGCGAGGAGCCAGCTGCCATACTGTTCTGCCCGCTGTCACCAGTCGTGCGTGCCTGCGAGCCCCTCAACGCTGACTCAGTACTCTCTAGCACCCTCCCGATCCTTCCCTCCCTCTGCCTCAGCTCGTCGAGGTGGCGCCTGCGTCGGGCTAGCTCCTCTCCAAGACGCTGCTGAGAGGCACGCAGCTCTGCCTGGCGCGCAGAGAGCTCCGCTTCGATGTTCTGAGATATTCTGGTGAGCCAAGGAGAAGAGATTGAGGTACTTGAAGAGGACGCAGCTGGATCGGTTGAGGCTGGAGGAGAATGCGCAGGGTTTGGGGCAGGAGTGGTCGCGGTTGTGGCCTCCCCGAGCGCGGATCGATAAGCCCTCTCTTCCCTCTCGCGAAGCTGATCGATTGACATGCTCCTGATCTCCTCGCCGACACCAGTACCACTCCCTGATCCAGTCGTGCTGCGCCCGTGGTGTTCAGCTCTGCGCACAGGGGTTGTCGATGTCCTGCTGGTCGTCATCATGGGAAGCGAAGCAGAAGACGCAGCCAGAGAAGCATTGCTGATATCCTCGCTGGCCAGGCTGCGCAGCCTGCGAGGGCGACGCAAGCTGCGGATCGAAGTTGGAGGCGAGACTGGAGCCGCAGCAGCCGATGTGGACGGCGTAGAAGTTGCGGCATTCATTTGCACAGGACTGCTGGAACCTGGGCCTCGAAGCCACATGGTCACGCCGGGAGCGCCTTCGTCGCTGGTTTCCCGCATTGGACTTGAGGGACGAGAGGAGTGCTGCTCCTGATCTTGAGGCTGCGGCTGCTGCAGCGGCGACGCAATGGGGCTGATCGCCGTCGCCGCAGGATTGACGAGCGTCCAGCCCCCTCCAATGCCGGCAGCTGTCCCTCGAGTCGTAGCCGAGGGATCTTGGTGGTCGTTCCTACCACTTGCCCCGCCCGACGCAAGGCGAAGACGGCGCGTAGCCCTCTCCTCAAAGTCCAAGCCGCGCACATACCCCTCATCCGCATCCATCTCCTCCTCCGCCCCTGCAGCCTCAACATCCTCCGTGGCAACGACCAGCGCAGTGCGATTGCGCTGACGTCGTGCCGCTCCCTGTCTCCCCTCCTCGCCCTCTTCAGCACCATCATCCTCCCTCTCCCTCGCTCTCGCGCGAGCTCTTGTAGAGCGAAAACGCCATGGCGGGATAGGATCGTTGTGCAGCTCCGCTTGCGCTGTTGTGATGCCCGCTGCTGCTGGATCACTCTCGTTGTCCGCCTCGAACAGCAGCTCCCCATTAGGATCGTCAAGAGCACGTCGGGCCGCATGAGCTTCCTGAGCACTCTCTTGGCGTGCACGTACGCCGCGATACCAGTCTGACCCAACCGCGTCGCCGTTTGGGTCGCCGAGAGGAATGAGAGGGTCCAGAGTGGTAATGTTCGAGACGTGAGAGGAGGAAGAGGGTCTAGCTTCCTGGGTGTCTGCGAGGTCAAGAGCAGGAGGTGTGTACCAGGGGAAGATGTGATACGATCTCGGTGGAGAGGAAGAAGAGGCATTGCTCCCCGAAGGAGCCGACGTTGAGGCAGCTGCCGCGGCAGCAGGTGGGCCATCGATGCCATCCAAGCTCCTCAGATGTCGCAAGTAGCTCATTCCATGCCCTTCACGTCGAGCCTGCCTCTGCTGACGATCTTGCTGACGTTGCTCCTCGGTACGTCGCTGTCGTGTCACATCTGACGCTGCATTGCTGGCTGACCCTGATTCCAGAGTTGCAGCTGCAGTCCGCGACTCCCGCCGCGCAGCCGCCATCCTGGCAACGGCATCTGTCGCCTCCCTCCTCTGGGCCTCGCCCGTAGCTGGAATTTGGAAGGCGCTCTCTGGCAGGGGCTCGTTGGGCGAGGCTGCTGATGTAGTACCTGCAGGCCTGCCTGATCCAATGGCAGCCTGACCCGTCAGAGTTGCCCTCCTTTGCTCCTCTCCTTGAGCCGCAGCTTGCGTCTGCGCAAGTACCTCTTGCACGCGTTGCCTTGCCCGACCGACATCAGGATCATTGAGGGCTTGTTGCCTCGCAGCGTTGGAGAGCTCGAGGACTCCGCGCGTTGCAGATCGATCGATGGGGCCGTTGACACCCGTGGTGACGTTGCTGTTCGTGCTACGTGGCGGCGAAGAGGAAGAGGGGGTGGAAGAGGTGGCCAGCAATTGGTTGGTAGACGTTACATTCGACGGACTTGAGCGCACGGGAGTCGCACGCCAAGGATCCGACAGGCTGGTCATAATCGCTGAAGCGGGCGTGCGGGACGGCACTGCGAGACTCGTGTTGGCATCGGCTGACACCGTCGCGGGTGGTGGAGTGGCCGTAGCGGTCGATGGCGTCCCATACTGCTGCCTCATGAGCCTCGCCATCTCGACTCTTCTCCGTCCGACAGCGTTCAGCCCGGGTGTATCGACCGTGATCCCGGTGCTGGCGGTACCCTCCCTGGTACTGGGGTCAAGCGAGGGAAAGGAGAGCATGGGAACCGCATCTGTCGATGCCTCTCGCTCGCGCTGCGTTGGTGCGCTGTCGCTTGCGGCTGCAATGGAGCGCCTCCACTCGTTGGCTACGGCTGAGGCAGGTGTCATGTTGCTCGTTGTGGGTGGCGCCGCTGCTCCCGCCGAGGCGGACGTCGATGTGTCCCTTCCCCTCCTCAGAAGCTCGCCACGCAACCAAGCCCCAGCTGGACCCGAATAGCGTCGTGCCCACCAAGGATGAGGGAGCAAGCGCGAGCCAGGCGTGTACCCAAAGAGGAACGGCGGAGGGGGAGCATGATGCGCCGAGGAGGATCCCACGTTCAGTTGCTCGCCATCATCCACGACGCCGGCTGCACAGCCCAGATCGAAGCACATCCGATTCCACGTCTCCATATCCACGTCAACGTTGCCAGTCGTAACAGCATTGCGAGGGCGAGAGGGTTGCGGTTGAGGATAGTACGAGGACGACGAGGAGCGCTCCTCTGTGCCTCGGCGTGCGATTGCACGAGGCGGGGATCGCCAAGAAGGGTGAAGCCGCCCCTCCATTTGGGCGACAAACGCTCGCTCAATAGCATCTGCGTCGTATTCTTCGCCTCCTGGACCGCCCGAACTAGAGGAAGTCGTTGTGCTTTCACCACCGCTGAGCGTCTCGCTACCCGAGTCGGAAAGGTCGATCATGCCTACGCCTGTTGATCGAGACGTTGCGTCGAGGTTGCGAGCGAGGGGCGTGTGGGATGATGAAGACTGTGTTGCGCCAGATGGAGCACGCGTGGCTGTGATGTCAACTTGATGATCCTTGGACCAATCCCACCTCGCCACCTCTGCCGCTCGGTGGAGGGAGGCCACTTGCATGGCAATTGCTTGCTCATGCGCCGTAGGGGGTGATCGACTAGGCGAGGACGGTGCAATCGAACCAAAATGGAGTGCCGAGGAGTTGACTGAGTTGGCCCACAAGGGGTGGGCAAGGGAAGGGGAGGACGAAGGGCGAGATGACGAGGCTGATGGCACGAGGAGGTCAGCATGAGGATACAGAGGGTCTGCGCCTGGTCGACTGCCAGTCGCGGGTGAAGAGGTCGATGGCTGGGAGGCCACCTCCATACTGAGATGAGCTGCTGAGCTTTGTCGTATGCTCTGAGCTGTGGTAGTGGTGATGTCGTCGGCGGCGTAGTGGCAGTGGAGCAACTTGGGATCAAATGCCAATCGAGGGCCAGTCCAGGGCGCCGCCGCCGCCCTCACATTTCGATTTGGCCCACCGCCATCGCCCCGCCCTCGCACAAGCCACGCGGACGAGAAGCGCAACCACCCAGACGATGGCGGCGAGAGTCAAATCTTTTGCCGTCAAGAGAGGGCGACGAGGGCAAGCTCGCTCTCACTCGAATGACTTCATGAAGGTGCGATGATGAGAATGGAACGAGACTGATTGACTGACAATGAAACCGATACAATGAGAGAAGAAGCCTATACCACTCTGTCGCTCACTTAGCCACCGCGTTGGGCCTGAACGTCGCAACAAGCATAGCGTGATCTCTCTCATACGGCTCGAGGGTCAATTGCTCCCTCGGCTTGAACTCGGCCTCCTGCAGCTTCTTGACCTCACCAGCGTACACCGCCTCCGGTACCGCCGTCGAGTCGATACAGCTTGCCTTGATTGAGATGACTGCGTGCCCGCCGTTCTTGAGGAAGTGGCTGGCGTTCAGAGCCACGATACGGGCCTGGTCGGGCTGGGCTACATCGGCAAAGATCGTGTCCACCATGGGGAGAAGAAGGCGGTACTTTTGCGGGTGACGAGCGTCCTCGATGATGGGGATGACGTTGGTACGCTTCTTTGCCATGCCGATGAGGTCGCGTCCAGAGCGGTGTGAGAACTCGACGGCGTAGACTGTTCCCTCGGGTCCAACGACGTCCGCTACGTGGGATACAGAGGTACCAGAGGCAGCACCGAGGTAAAGGACCTTGGATCCCGGGCCAATGTGGATATGGTCCAGACCACCGAGGACACCAGCCGCCAGCTTGGAGCGGAACGGGTTCCATACGCGGTACTCGACCTTCTGCGGGGCAGCTCCCTCCTCCGTGGGCGCCGACTCGACGCTGATGCGCTTCTCGCCGTAGACCGACTCTCCAGGGGCGATGTTGCGGGTAACGAGGAGGTGCTCCTTGCCCTCTGCGATGAAGATGCCGGCGTGCCTGTGAGGCTTGACGATAACGTTGGATCCGCCCTTGGCGCCGCCGCGGGCACCACCACGGCCTCCGCCACGAGGAGCGCCACGTCCACCACGGCCACCGGGAGCACCACGGCCACGGGGAGCGCCGCGTCCACCACCACGGCCGCCTCCTCGTCCTCCACGGTCACCACCGAAGCCTCCCCTTCCTCCGCCACGCCCGCCGCCGAAGCCTCCACGACCGGGGGGTCCGGCACGACCACCACCTCGGCCACCTCCAAAGCCACCGCGTCCGCCGCCGCCACCACGTCCACCTCGGTCTGAGAGAGCAACGGAGGAAAAGGTTGATGATGTCAGATGAAGCTCTCGTGGGGAGGTGGCCGATCTCCTCGATCGCGCTTCCTTGGATGCTCACCTCCAAATGCCATTTGTGCTAGTTGTGAATGAGTTGTGTAGGAGAAGCCCTAGTGCTGTTGCTGCGCAGCTTCTTTTGTTTGCTGCTGAAAGAAGTTGTGATCAACAGCCGAGCCCTAGAACTTGTTGATGATGAGGATTTGGTAGGGTGGAAGAAGTCGAATGCAGACGGACGACGCTTCATCCGCTTCTCTTTCTCGTCGACAAATTGCAGGCGGCAGGCGGAGACGACACAGTCTCGAGGCTCAGCTTGCCCGCCCTGCCCGCCCTGCCTGCCCTGCCTGCCCGCCTCGTTTTCGACGAGGTTTGCGCGGGATGAAGACCACGTGGCTCAGATGAGGTCGAGCCTGAGATGGCTGTCCGTCCCGCGAGGGGATCGCGACGTCGAGGCACGACGCGGATGGGCGAGCGAGTCCAAAGTCCAACACGACCCAGCCATCCTCAACAACTCAATCACCATCCTCTCAACCACCTCGATATTACTTCACCTCTTTGCTCTCCCGCGTCTGACAAATCGTCACTTCATCGCGCGGCTGTCGCGAGGAGACCGACTCATTCGCCGTCAGCATCACAGGAATGCGAGAGCTCATCACAGTGCAAGCGGGCCAATGCGGCAATTCTATCGGCTCGCAGTTCTGGGAATACCTCTGCAAGGATCATGGAATTGGGCGTGATGGTACCCTGGAGGACTACGCCGTGGGAGTCGATGCAGGAGACAGAAAGGACGTCTTCTTCTACCAGGCAGACGACGATCACTATGTCCCGAGGGCCATCTTGATTGACATGGAGCCAAGAGTGAGCTGCAAGAGCAGGGACAGAAGCGCCTTGATGCTGATGCTAATATGCTGCGATGCTTCCTTGTGCGTGTCAGGTCATTGGCGGAATAATGCAGGGGCCGTACAAGAATCTGTACAACCCAGAGAATGTCTACACATCGAAGGTAAGCCAGAGTAGCCAGCATCATCACTACTTCAGCTCGCCGCCAGTCTGACCATTCCTCATGCTCGTCCGCACGCACACTCAGGATGGCAGCGGCGCCGGCAACAACTGGGCAATGGGCTACTCCGCCGGCGAGAAAGTAGCAGAAGAGCTCATCGACATGATCGATCGCGAAGCCGACGGCTCCGACTCGCTCGAGGGTTTCCAGCTTCTCCACTCCATTGCAGGCGGAACAGGGTCTGGTCTTGGTTCCTTCCTCCTCGAGCGAGTCAAGGAGCATTTCCCCAAGAAGGTCGTGCAGACCTACTCCGTCTTCCCCAATAATCAGGAGACGTCCGATGTGGTTGTACAGCCGTACAACTCGGTACTGGCGATCAAGCGGCTGGTGCAGGAGGCGGACAGCGTGGTAGCACTCGACAATGCGGCATTGGCGAGGATCGCGGCCGATCGATTGCATTCGGCGGACTCGAGTTACGATCAGCAGAATCAGTTGGTGTCGACTGTCATGGGGGCTGCGACGAGGACATTGCGTTTCCCGGGGTACATGAACAATGACCTTGTGAGTTTTGAGAGATGAGCAGCGCCCAGTCGCAGCGAGAATGTACGCTGACCGCCTCCTTCGCGTCGCCGCCCGCAGACTGGCATCATCTCATCGCTCATTCCGACCCCTCGAGCGCACTTCCTCATGACATCCTACACCCCCTTCACAAGCGACACCATCGACCGCGGAAAGATGACGATGAAAACCTCCGTCCTTGACGTGATGCGACGCCTCCTCCAGCCCAAGAATCGCATGGCCTCAATTCAGGGCGCCAGCAAGTCGTCGTGCTACATCTCCATCCTCAACCTCATTCAGGGCGATGTCGACCCGAGGGAGGTGCACAAGAGCTTGCTCCGCATCAGAGAAAGGGATCTCGCCACTTTCATCCCTTGGGGCCCAGCGTCTATCCAGGTGGCGTTGACAAAGAAGAGCCCATTTGCGCAGAACACCCACAGAGTGTCTGGGTTGATGTTAGCCAATCACACGGGGATGGGAGCATTGCTCAAACGCACAGTCATGCAATTCGATAGGCTCAAGAATCGCAACGCTTTCCTCGAAGGGTACAAGAAGGAGGCCATGTTCAGGGACAATCTCGACGAGTTCGACGATGCGAGGGAGTGCGTGGTGGAGCTGATGAATGAATACAAGGCTGCGGAGAGGGAGGATTATATCAGTGGTGGGGGCGGTGGGGACTGATGCGTAAGACCATACCACTGCTGCGGCGCTCTGAAACGCCGTCGCCCTCTCTTGCCTGCGTCGACGGGCACCACGCTCTCTTCTCTTTTGTACTTTTAGTTTCCCTCAATGTCAGTGCTTGTACGCCACTCACGATTCACTCTCACACAGAAGACCAGAGAAGACAGATGAGAAGAAAGGACATAGCATTGGGTACGTGCATGTGACGAGAAGAAAGGAGAGTGGGTTGCGAGAGGGGAAAGGAGAGGAAGATGCAGCTGCAACTCGACTCTGTCACTATTTACGACGAAAGGGGAGAGGAGGTGATGAGGAGGGGGAGGCCAAAGGAATGCGAGGCGAAGCTCTACGAGATGCAGGACGGGTGGGTATCAGAGGATGCGAGATTGACGATATGATGCTGTCGGACGGGCTACGGTAGCCAAAGCGAAATCGCAGAGCCTACGACGAAGGGATCGCCGCAGCGTTGACGAGTCCGACAATGGCCGCCTCAGCCTGCGCAGTCGCAGTCATGAAGTGCGTCCTGTAATGTCCGTAGTTATCTTGCAAGTACGTCTTGCCCGCAGTGTCCCAGCTGACACGCTTAGCCCACGAGTCGATGATGTACTGCTCTCCAAAGCCCAGGCGGGACATGGGCGAAGTGGTGGAGAGGGACGAGGCGAGGTAGGTCGAGGTCAGGTAGCCGTCGCTGAATCCTGCCTGCTGTGCGGCGGTCACGGCATCAGTAGCGCGGCGAGCGAGGTGACCTGCGCGGGAGGCGGGAGAGCCAACACCACGACGCTCGCTCTTGGCAGCGGATGATGTGGTGGACTGGACCATTCCAACGATGGGGTTCGTCTTGTTCTTTGGCGGGTTGACCGTCTCATCAAGGAGAGGCGCAATCTTGGCTCCGGTGTCGGCGAGGAGCACGCCCTTGGAGTAGTCGTTGCTCTCCTTGTCAGCGCTGACAGCCGCCACACGAGCGAATGACGAGCTGCTGGTAGAAGACGTGGCCGAGAGCTTAGAGATGGCTGCTACGATGCTGGCGGAGACAGTCTTGCTTGCTGCAAGGTTGAGGAGGATCTTCCTGTTCGTGACGAAGCCGTTGAACCCCCACGTGTTGAGGTACGAGGGCAAGTACTTGCCCAGGGCAGCTTTGAAGCACCATCCTGCGTTGCTGTCGCAGTTTTCCATCTTGTACGACCAGTAGTGGTATCCACTCGTCGTGTTAGCGTACATGTTCATCTGCGCCGCACAGTACGTGGCCGTGTCTGCGTCCTTGTTCGATGAGCCGCTGAGCGAGGAAGGTGCGAGGGCGCACGACCACTCGCCAACGATCATGTTGCGGCGGCCGATGCCCGACTGCTTGGTGAATTTGGTTTGCAGGCTGCCCTGGATCTGCGACGTGTGACCCTGTGCGCTCAGCGATGTGTCTGACGAGGTGTAGACAAAGTACGAGTGGTAGTCCTGGACGACGAAGTCGTCGCGCTGCGAGACAAACTTCGCGCCCTTGGCCATGTTGAACGCATCGTGGAAGTAGAGAGGGAGCGACTTGGCGTACGACGATGACTGGCGCATGGCGTCCATTGTCTCGTTGTACCAAGGCCAGAGCTTGGTGTTGTCCTGCGGCTCATTGAGCAGCTGGATACCAATGACGTTGGTGACGTCGGCGATCTCCCACGACAGCCAGGTGAGAAGACCCTTGGTCAAGTCCATGTTGGTGTCAGTGTAGAACTGCACGCCCTGGCCGGTGATGCCCGAGTGATCATTGCCATTCTGCGAGCCGTACGCGCCATGCAGGTCGATGAGGACGCCAATGTCGTATTTGGCTGCCCAGCGGATCGCGCGGGCAACGTACTTCCACGAGTTGGAGTAGACGTCGGCGTAGTCTGAGAAGGGAGAGTTGTGCGTGAAGTAAGGGCCTACGGTCCAGTAGCCGATGGGGATGCGGACCGTGTTGACTCCCTTGCTCTGCAGGTACTTGAAGTCGTCTTCTGTGATCCAAGTGTCCCAGTGCTCCTCGAGGTAGTACTGTGCGCTCTTGAGGCCGTTTGCTGACGTTCCAAAGCCGCTCACCAGGCCGTACTCGGACGATTGAGTTGCGCAGCTCATGAAGTTGCCCTGCATCCATCCCTCCTGCACGAACCAGGCGCCGAGGTTGACACTGATCTGCTGACGGTAACGCATGACGGTGGCCTTGACCGAGTCAAAGTCGTCGAACACTGGGTCGCCAAGCTCGCCCTTGGGCGTGTACGTGTCCGTATTGAGGGGACACTTGCCGGGACCAACCGTAGCGGATGAGGCGAGCTTGTGTGTGCCAGTGCGGCTTGATGACGAGGTGTCATTGGTCTCGGGTACGTAGAGAACCGATACCTCACCCCACTTGGACACGTCGGCATGAGGGTTCTTGTAACCGGTGCTCTGCGTTTGGAAGCCATGGACGTTGAGGTCGCCGGCCTTTGTTGAAATGCCTTTGCTCGACGAGTTGGACGATGAGGCAGAGGGCAATTGCGGCACGGGCTTGTAGTTGGCCACAACCAGAGAGAGCGACGACGCCAACGACGTCAATGACTGCGAGTTGTCGCGCGAGAAGAGCCTCATCGCGGCGAAGGAGAAGAGGGAGAAAGTCGTAAAGAGTAGGGGGTGGTGAGGGAGTTGTAGGACGACCTGCGACCTTCCAGAGGAGATGAGGGGGGGTAAGGCTACTGCGATCGATTCAACGAGTGATTAGATGATCCCTTCAAGGGAGTCTGAGGAGGATGATCGTTTCAAGGCACCAGGCCCTGTCGAGCAGATAGCGGAGGGGGAGGAGACGGGAGCGGGTGACGAAGGACCGGTCACACTGACGCTGAGATGATGAAGTCGTGAAGGAAAGGAAGAAAGGAAGGAAGGGCGAGGAGAATTAGCTGGATAATATGTGGGTCCTCTCTGCGAGGGACTCGCTAGGCCTGCCATCGAATGTCAGTCAACGCCGAGAGCAGGCTGTCGCTGTGCTCCATCATTGGACTCCGCCGGAGAAAGGCCCCTCAGGGCGAATAAAGGGAGCAAGATGCGATGCAATGCTCTCTCATCTCTCCCAAGTTGCCGCTCCGTCAACGGAGCTGCGAGGCGTGAGCAACCTCCTCAGTCCTGACGATGATCCTCGGCGAGTGAGGACGGACAGCGTAGACGTTGTCCACGATCTCTGATTTGCTTGGCTCGCCCATCACGGTCGATGGGCGATGTCGTGGACGCGTCTCGATGGACGAGCTATGTCAATCGCCTTCTCCCGCCCGCCCTTCCCGCCACTCCCGCCCTCGCGCCGTCCAACGGCAGGCGCGGCGACTTAGCTAGTCGATGCACGAGACAATCAAGCTGCAAGCCCGGCTTCTTCAGCATCATTTGCTCCCGACAAATGATTTACTGCGATGCTGTGAGGACCTGAGAGATCAGCAGGTCGTCAAAAGAAGTCTGGTCTGGGCATCGACGGCAAATGGCAGCGACGGGCCGTTGAGGAGACTTCTCGGGCATATGCAATGCTTGCTTGGCAGGCGGTGGTAGAATCGAGGGAAAGCACGCCCAGGCACCTCAGGCACCCGATTGACGAGACGAGACGAGACGAGACGTGACGATGGAAGCTAGTGTACCAAGCTGCGTGCGAAGAGCTATCGGACTGCTTCGGCCGTTCTGGGCTGATGATCGTAGCCACAACGAAGCTGAGACCACGCGAGCATTTGCACGCCCGTCAGGAGAAGGCAGGTAAACTTGAATGTCGAGAGCGTGTCGCGTGGTCTTGTTCTCAGCAGCAGCCATCCGCTGCCTCTCATCAGGGTCCAGCCATCTCGTGGCTGGATGAATCGCGATGGCGTCGAGCTTCTCCCCCCTCGCACCTTGACGTCAAGCATGATGTAGGCTCTGTCACATGGCCAGGGTGCTTGCGCTCGAGCTCTATTCATCTTTTCTCTCGCCTTCGCCCTCGCCTCGGCCTTGGTGCGAGTTAACGTCATTCAGTATCGCAGGCGAAATCGGGAAGGCAAAGATTTCAGGGTCCTGCTCGCAGTGTGCGCCTGGCTTAGGCAGCCTACTCTTCGCGTCGATGTGGAGCAGGTCAGGAGCGATACAAGACGCCGCACCACGAGCTTCGAGGATCCTTTCTTCCTTTCACTCAGAAGACACATACACATCGCCCTTCAACAGCACAACTCATTCTAACATGACTCTCTCTGAGGCTACCCCTAACACTGTCGTAAGTATCACGTCACCGTCGCGTCCCACGAACGGCCCAGCTGACCCCACCGCCTCCTCCCATGCCCGCCGTACAGCCCGAGGCAATGGGCGACCGTCACTCAAAGATGCAGCCCGCTGGGTCCTCCGGCCCTAACAAGGACTCGATGCGCCTTCCAGACGGCGCTTCAGCCCTGGGCAACGAGATCGGTGGTGAGGCTGACGCCCGTCGTGAGCGCCTCCAAGCCCTCGCGGAGGGTGACAAGCTCCCCCCCGCCAACTCCACCCGCAACACTGCGGCCGACCTTGGTGCTGGCCAGCTCAACGGACAGGACCAGGGCATCTCCGCCCCCTCAATGCAGGAGCGCCAAGGTGCCCAGCAGGAGCGTAACTCGGAGATGCAGAGCGGTCAGCCTGACCTCTTGAACATTGCGAGGAACAGCAATGCGACTGCGGACAATGCGCCCAACAGGAACCGTGACGATGTTCAGAGCACTGGTGCTGCCAACCCCAGCGACCTCTTGAACCGGGTGGGTCAGCACCAGGGTGTGCCGTCCAGGACCGGCGCTGAACAGGATGGTGAGATCCTCAGGGACGCTCCCACCAATGCTTGAGTAACGGAGAACAAACAGAAGAAATCAATGTAGTCTTAGCGCGAATAACATAGCATGACCACACGAGTATCCGTATATTACAATCGTTGTATTGTGCGAAGGCAAAGCGCACAGATCATGCTGCCGGCGCCCCGCCTTGTCCACCTGCCGCATTCGTAGGCGCCGTCCCACCTGGCACTCTCCTCACTTCCTCTCTATCCTCGACCGGAGGCGGCGCATCTCTTGCGCCTATTCCCCTCCCTCTCGCCCCCTCAAACATTCCCTTGAGCTCCTCGTTCCACTTGTTGAACATCTTGGCCGAGTCCTCTGCATTCGGCTGTCCTGCCAGCGGGTCTGCTCCAGCTTCCAAGAGGATGGGAATAAGCTCGTCGTGCCCCTTGAAGAGGACGCCTGCCAGAATGGACTGGCCACGCCCATTGAGCTGATTGGTATCAGGCGGTGTGGGGAGGGAAAGCATGCGGCGGACGAGAGCGGTATGACCATGATAAGCGGCGAGCATCAGGAGCGTGTCGCCGCGGTTATTGGTGAAGTCTGGGCGTGAGAAAGGAGCAAGCGTGAGCGAAGAGCTGAAATGAGGAGGCGATGGCCGAGCTCACTTGGCGGAATGCCAGCCTCCATGTATTGGATTAGGGTCTCGTCGCCTTGTCTAGCCAGGTCGAAGAGCTGTGCGAAAAGGCCTGAGCATCAGCAACGAGGGCTCGCAGGGGCATGCCATACACATCCACCTCTCACCTTTGCGGCAAGCTGCAACGCCTCATTGGGCAGCTGAGAGACGCTCGCCGGCGGCTGTTGTGCCTGCATAGGATCTCCAGCGGGCATTTCCGGCAGTGGATTGGCATTGTTCTCTGAAGTGGGAACGGGTGACATGATGGCGGATGGATGGCGGGTTTGATGATGATGAGAAGAAGGAGCGGGGCTAGAGCAACACCAATTTCTCAACGTTCCAAGGCGACTCGGCGTCCCTTGATTCAATTGGTCAGAGGCGGGGAGCGGGGAGCCGGGTGGAGGAAGGGCCAGGATCATCGGAACGGAGGCATCGGCAGGACGGAAAGGCGGCCAGAGGCTAGGCAGAATTTCGACTTCGAGGACTCGGGATGCAGCTGCGTGCGCTTCTCGCGTTCTGGATAGCATCAATCAAGCAGTCAAGATGGCAAAGAGGGTACGTGGCGCTACTAATACAGGTCTTCTGACAGGCTGCTGACCATCTCTGCCCTCTTTCGCAACCGCAGAGAAGAAAGACACGCACGCATCTCAAGGGCGTGAGTACCAGGCTGTCTTGTTCGTCCACTTCGAGCGTAGCTGATTTCACCGTCGCCCCTCCCTCATTTCGCAGCCCAACAATTCCTCGGGCTCATCGAGCAATGCGCCCAAATCCTTTGTCATTCGCAGCGGCAAGGTAGGACGTAGTGTTGGCGGCCTTGTCGCCGACGTTCGAAAGACAATGGAGCCAAATACGGCCAGTCGATTGAAGGTGAGCCAATCGGTCGCTGAGCACGTCTCCTCCTCTCGTCAGCTCTCTGACCACCTCATCCTTATCACTACCGCGCTTCCAGGAGCGCAAATCAAACAAGCTTCGCGATTTTGTGGCCATGGCTGGCCCACTAGGCGTCTCTCACTTGATGGTCTTCAATCAGACGGACGCTGGCGTCAATCTGCGTATCGCTAGGTGTCCCCGTGGGCCCACTTGCACGTTCAGAGTCAACAAATTCGCCTTGACCAATGATATCATCCACAGTCAGAGGAGGCCAAGAGCGCCGGGTGGAGAGTACAATACACAGCCCTTGGTAAGCAAGCTCGTCCTCCTAAGGATAGACCAGAGATCTCGTGCTTACGCTGTTGCCGCTATCGTCGTTGGCCCGCTTTCAGCTCGTCCTCAATAACTTTGGGGGAGAAGCTCGTCACTTGAAGCTATTGGTAACCGTCTTTCAGAACCTCTTCCCGCCTATCCAAGTACAGACGATGCACCTCTCGCAGGCACGTCGTGTCGTGCTCCTCTCCTACAACGCTCAGACCGAGACGTGAGTGTATGCCCGGATCTCGCCTCCTCTGCTCCTTCTAACATTCTCTCCCTCTCTGTCTCGCTCTCGCAGCATCGAATGGCGCCACTTTCTCATCTCCGTCCGCCCAGTGGGCGTCTCGCGCTCAGTGCGTCGCGTAGTAGAAGGTACGACGAAGCCTGGCGGCAGCAACAGCGCTGCTGGTCCATCGTCTGCTGGGGCCCCCGCCAAGCGCAAAGGGGGCAAAGGTATCCCGAATTTGGGAAACGTAGGCGACATCAGCGAGTACGTCCTTGGCCGAACTACTCGTGCCGGTTCAACAGGCGCAGCGAGCGATACGGACGCCTCTGAGGCCGAGTCCGAGGTCGAGGACATGAATGATCCCAACAATGCAGTCGAGCTCTTCCAGCGCTACGTCGGCAGGGGCAATGACGCCAATAAGCAGCGCGCCGTCAGGCTGAGAGAGATTGGGCCGAGGATGGAGCTCAAGTTGATCAAGATTGAGGAGGGCATGGCAGGCGGAGAGACGCTGTACCACGACAGAGTCAAGAAGACGGCCAAGGAAGCCGCTGAGCTCAAGTCGTCTACGGCTGCTAAGGCGAAGCTCAAGGACGAGAGAAGGAAGGAGCAAGAGGCCAATGTGCAAAGGAAGAAGGCCGAGAAGGAAGAGAGGAAGGGTGCGGCCAAGGCTGAGGCTGCAGATGACGAGGAGGACGTAGAAGAGGAGAACGACGACGACGAAGCACTCGGTCTCGACGACGATGCTGACGCCGGTGAGGAGGAGGAGGAAGATGAATTCGAGTACGAGGATCGCTTCGGGCCTGGAAGCAAGTCAGCCGTCGGGGAAGACGACGATGACGAGGCAGACCTCTTCGATGAAGACGATGACGCCGGAGAACTCGACGAGGACGACGATGAGGAGGAACTTTCGGACGAGGAAAAGTCATTCGATGACGGCGACGACGAGTCCGACCTGGAACCGATTGCGCTCAATGGCGGCCTGCAAGCGTACAGCGATAGCGATGAGGCGCCGATGGACGATGAAATGGACGACGGCGATGAGGAGGAAGACGATGAGGGAGACGAGGATGAGGACGATGCAGCACCTCCTGCTCGAGGCCAAGCCAAGCGAGCCAAGGTCGCACCATCGGCTGCGCCGCCCAGGCCTCCCAAAGGCGGCAAAGGCAAAGCTGGAGGACGCCGTCGTTGATGGTCTTTACGGAGGATAGGCTCTTCCCCCCTTGTACGTGTAGGTATCCACAGGTCGTGTTCAATCGCAGCATCATCTATGGCCTTTGCTCAATTGTGGACGTGGACGCGGATACGGAGCGGTGCAGGCTCTTCGCCTCGTCTCTGCTCGCGGAGCGCGGCTGACTGCCGCCAATCCGATGCTGACGCCCGCTTTGAAGACAGGCAGCCGCGACCACGCTCGTTCGCTTGCTCAAGCAGCCCAGAGGCAGTCAACTCAGCCTCGTTGCCTGACTCGCTCCTTTACTCCTGACCAAAACAGACATCTCACCTCGACTACCTACTCTCATTCCCACCATCCCATACCCTCTAGTCGAACAGTATCTACTTCCATCAGCATCTCGACGTGTCCTTCAGCCGCGCACGCCCACTCCTCACGGCGGTCACTTGCACCATCTTCATCTCCTCAGCGATGATCGTATGCAATCGCTTGCCGCCAGCGACGGACGCGCAAACATCATCCAGATCGATCAGTACGACACTTGTCCCGCCCATCCACGCCCACGATGGTGCCGCTCAAACGCTCTCGACCACGCCTGGCGTCATCAAGGGCCGGAGAAAGCCACATCAACATCGCACGGCCGTCTCATACGCACACACTAGGTCCAGCTCCCAAGCCTCATCCATCGCCTCTCAGACCTCGTCCATCCCGTGGCCATCAAAGGAGAACCATGATCCCAGCGCAGAGCAGCGTGGCTCCACTCCTCCTTATGCGTGCACACCAGCAGAGTCCCACGCCCACCCTCACGCCACCGCCAGCACCGATGCCTCGATCATGAGGAAGAGACGTCGCCCTCCTACCCCTATAGGCTCGTCATCCTCTACCTCCTCGCCGCCCCCGAACATCTTCCGCAGACGTATCAGGTACAGCTACGAGCAGATCAAGAAGACCATCTCGCCTGGCGGGAGCAATGGGTCCACCACCATCAAGGAACGACTCAAGGTGCGTGAGCAGCCAAGGCGAGGCCAGTCAACCAAGACCAACGGCAGTCACACAAGCAGCAGCGATAGCGGTAGCGGAGAGGGAAGCAATCGATCCTCACGCCGCGTGACAGCTTGGCTCAAGACTACCACAACCACTACCACTACCACATATTCTTCTCGTTCTGCTCGCCCAAGCCCTCCACCAGGGCCAGCTGGCACCTTCGGCCCGTCATTCGGCAAGATCTTTGGCGACACGCACTTCTCTGGCGTCATGCCACCCGGCACCGTCTGCCCTACTTTCGTCTCGCCCCCTATCCACGGCAATGGTACCGGTGACGCTCGGAGCAACGATGACAGCTCTTCTACCACAGTTCGTTATCACGGCGGTGCACGTCTCTTCAGCCGTGAGCTCGTCGAACGTCAGCAGCCCAAGACGCTCACCGGTGCCGCCGACCTCAGCATGTATCTCGACCCGCTTTACGGCATACCAGAGTCAACACGCTCCCGCGAAGAGATCAAGCGTCGCAATGCCTTTGAGGAGGAGAGGCGTGGTATGCTCCAGGAGGCTAATCTGAGGGCAAGGAGGCATACGACCACGGCTGCCGCGCTCACCGACATGCCAGCAAAGGCGGAGGCGTTGCGTGCAGCGATGAAGGTAGCTACCGCTGCAGCTATGCCCCAGGTTGATGCCACAAGTTCGCATGACCGCGCACACCACTCCAGAAAAGAGCTGCCTCCCGACTCGCCGCGTCCTCACGCTAGGCAACCGACCCAACGAGCACGCCTGCGCACAGACGGGAGCACCGTAGGCAGCGAGGACGTCCAAATCCTCGCAGGCATTCCGAACTCGCTTTCATTCGCGCGTAACCCCGCTGCTACGGCAGACGCTACGCCTCGACTCGCGCCGCAGTCTCATCGTCACCACATTTCCATCGTACCACCGACGCCGCTAGCTGAAGTCGAGATGCTGGAAGCAGACCGCCCATCTCCTGCAGCCCTGTCATCAAGCATGGACTGCTACGAGCCAGAGGCTGGTGCAGAGCTCGAGGCAGCAGACAAGACCTCTTCAATCCCTCCAGCCATGGCCGACGTCGACACGGATGTGGCAATGCACACTGCTGAGTACCGCGATTCTTCGCAGGGCCACGAAGCGGTCGAGGAGCAAGAGGACGAGACGGAGCAGATGCAACGCCTTCTTATTGCACAACGCCTGATGAATCAAGTCATCGCTCAGCTCAGGGTCTCAGCGGCCGGGTCTGCGGCTACGTCTCCGCCCACCGGTCGTCAAGGGCCACCTCATGCTCATTTGTCTCGCACAAGTCTCGACTCGCCTGGCATTGGCCGTGCTCTTCCGCCCCACCTCATGTCAGAGAGTAGACGTAGTCTCGCTCGAGAGCTTGTAGGCAATGGTGATGTGGAGCGAAGCCAGGACATCTCAACAGCCGCCCTCGCCAACAACAGCAGCGGTGAGATTGCACGTCCCATGCACTCAACTCCTTCTTTTCAATTCAACATCTCCACCTTCGGGATCATCGGGCACGATGAGAGCACGAGCACGAGCACGGGCACGGAGAGTGCGAGCATGAGCAGGAGTAGGAGTAGGAGCAGCGCATCTCCTTTCCCTGGCCCGATCACGCCATCCCTCGAGGGATGCGGGCCTACTCTCCCGGCTGGATTCACACCGCAGAAGGAGGATGAGCACGGAGAAGATCCCTTTGCGTACTCTCTGCGTGATGCCGAGATGGATAGCAGCGTTGCTCCTGCTCCTTTACCAGCTGCTCAAGATTTCGCTGTCGCAGAGCCAGCCAATGCCACGAGCGAGTCGCTCCAGTCATGGTTTGACACCAACTTCGCCCACATCATGCTAGGCCCACCTCCCTCTTCATCGTCTTTGACCTCTGCGCCGGTGTCCCCTCTGACGAGATCGGAGCCGATTGCCATTCTCGCTCCGAGCCCAAGTCACGCTCACGGCTACCAGCATCAAGACGGCTCGCAATCACTCGAGGGACCACCAGTGCAACTCACCGGCTTCCTCGCACCGCTCCGCCGCAATGCGGGTACACCTGAGGACTTCGCTCCACTGGCCTCGATGACCTTGACGGGTAATATGCAGGAGGTTGCCGCTGAAGCAGAAGCCGCTCTCGCTGCTGCTGCGGCCGCTGCTGCTGGTGGCAATGCGGGAGGTGACTCGACAACGCACGAGTCGTTCATCACTGCTCCGCAGGCCAGCGTGCGGTATGGTCTCGTGCCCGAGGATGTTATGCCTGAAGCCGCTGAGCCACACGTCGAGCCTCAAGCAACAGACGACATCAATCGAGCGTACGTTACCGACCTCATTCTGGGCACGACCGACATTAGCAGAGACGTCCATACCATTACCGTCGCCGAGTGGAGCAGTCATCTCCAGGGAAACCAAGCATTCTTGCGCTATGTCAACGAGCTGACGAGGTGGGAGCGAGGTTCACGCTCTACTACACCCCCGAGCCCGAGCATGGCTCTCTACTCTCACGGAGAGGCTGGCGAAGAGCCACCCCTGCCACTTGAGATTGACGACAACGACTTGGCGATGTATGCGCGACTCTTCTCTGGATTCGCATACGGTGACGCGGCTACGGCAGGGCAGCAGCAGAACAACAACTCGTCTGCGGAGCACCTCCAAGACTCGAGCGGCACGGCAACCCTCATCAGCTCTGGTACGCAATCCTCCTTCCCTCTTCCACCCCTGCGCACGCCCTCTGGTCGCCAATGCCCTCAGGCAACGAGGACCCCGTCTCCCGGGCTCTTCTACAGGACCACGGAATCTGTGCGCGCCGCTCAGGACCGTCTTGTGGAGCTGAGGCGCTCTTCGCAAGGTGCGAGTGCGAGGGAGCATCGGAACGTGGTGCTGTCGAGCGATGGAGATGCGACCTTCGACCTCGACCCTGATAGCTTCATTTGGTGGAGACCATGGGAGGAGCTGCCGGCTGGCGAGGGTGAGACGGAGTGGCAGGAAGAGCTCGGCAATGCTCACACGCTCACTTCACCTGGCACTCTCGAAGCAGACATCATGAGGCACGGCTGTACGCATGAGGAGATGGAAGCCGTCACAGCTATCATGATGCTGGCTGAGCGCGGCGGCAGCGAGAGTGTCCAAGGTCGCGTCGAGGACACCAACACTGCATCTTCAGATGCTCTCGGTTGCTCATCTCCTTCGCCGCTCATCCTGCCATCGCCAATCTCATCCCCTTCGACTCGCTTCAGCCTCACCAGACGTCTCAGCGCCACGGTGGACAGGCTGCGTCGTCGCTCTGCCAACCTTCTCAGCGGCGGCACTTCTTCCACTACCATTCAGGAGCAAGAGGCTTCCGGCGACACCGTACTCGGGAGCAGTTTCATCCGAAACACACCACCGCCTGAGGCTTTGCGCTCGCTTCAGGCGAATACAGACACAGCTGAGGAGCAGGACAGCGCAGAACAGGGCATCGGTGGCGGAGCTCGTGGTCGTGGCCGTAAGCTTTCGCGCCTGCGACCTCTCTCATCAGCAAGGCTAAGGCTACCGCGCTCGGAACGCCTCACCTTCTTTTCTTTGCGCTCGGCTTCACCTCCTGCTCGCGACGTCGAGCAGGACGACGACCAGCAGCTGCTTCAGCGTCACAACGGCCGCGCATCCGGATCCGCCCGGGAGGCAGACGCTGACGAAGAGTCAGATGACGGTGTGCCCTCTTCTCCTTCGCTCTCATCAAGCGTCGCGAGCCAGATCGTTCACCGCTTCAGGTCATCAACCTCCCTCTTCGCTGCGGCTCGCCGTAGCAAGCGCAATAGCAGGCCGAGCTCCTCTCGGCCCCTCACGCACGCAGCAAGTGACGCGTCCATGCGCACTGCTTCCACTGCAGCTTCGCTGATGGCCGTGCCAGCTTCACCTTCTTCGCCTCTCAATCGTCTTGCACCGGAGCCGCCCGCATCCATCCCGAGAAAGAGGTGGAGCACCTTCTTCCGCGGCTCAAGCAAGGCCAGCAGCAATGCCAGTACCAGCAATGCCAGCGGAAGGCTGGATGCAGCTGCCCCAAGTCCGAGCTCGAGTCGATTCCCTACTTCATCTGCTGCCCCTGCTCGCAAACGTCGTAGCGTCAACGGATTCATCGACCCGACGACGCCCATGGCTGTGCGTATCGCTACCGAAGGGGATCTGAGGTCGGGGGAGTACGAGGGGCTGCTCGGGAGCAGTGAGAGCGGGAGTATGTTCAACGACCGCGACTGGGGCCGGGACCATTATGATGACATGATGGATGTAGACGCTGATCACGAGACGGCCGTAGGAGACGTACCCATTACTGCGGGGGCGCATGAGGCCGAAGCCGACCTCACGCCCACACGCGGCGTCCCTACCATCGGCATCTCAGCCCCAGACTCGACAAGCAGCCTCGCCACAGCCGCTCAAGCCACATGGGACGAGGCAATGGCCATGAGCGTCGAACGTCAGCCTCGCGCCACCGCCACCATCACCAATGGCCCCTGCACCCCGGACAATTCGTCCATCCCCTGGCCAACAGTCTGGGCAGATCTGTCGCCCTCTCAGCGAAGGCACTGCCGCGTACAATTGGGCGAGCAGTACACGCAGACGAGCGATTATGAGTATCATCCCTCCTTTACCGCCAACGGCGAGCAGGGACAGACAAGCACGCAGACGTGCGACTACGACGACTCTGCAGTCGAGCCTGGCACGTCGGACTACATGGCGGATAGTGGGCATCATGAGTCGGTGACGACGGTCAAAGCGGCCCGAGCAGTGGGGACAGCGAGCGCCGAGGGCAGTGCGATTGAGCTTGAGGAGGAGAGTGAAGATCAGCCGGCACCTCCTCCCCTTCCCCCTGCAGCACCACAAACACGCTCGGAGTCTGGCTTTGGGTCCATGTCCACCAGCACTTCGACCGAGTCCTCGGCCTTCTTCTGCGCTTGGAGTCAGGTCGGACTGCGTCGCTCTTCATTCTAAGAGGGCTAAGGCATCATCCAGCTGTGGCGTTCGTGGCTCATTTCATCTAGCCTTGCCTGTCGTCCGGTATCAAGTCTCGTGATCCTCTCGTATCTGCTGGAAAGTATCTTGCTCCTTTTCTCGTCTCGTATCAAAAGCTTCCGATCTTCTCGCCTCTCTGGTCTTGCACATCCAATCGATCTATTAGCTCAATGATCATTTCTCTCTCCACTACCACCAACCCTTCTGCCCATTCTTTCGCCGTATTACATCTCCCACCCAACCTTCACACCTCTTACCCTCTTGGTCCGCAAATTGAGCATCGCAACCTCCCCCGTCCTCGCAAAGGAGGGCACCAGGACCACTTCCACCCTCTCGCTCCCACTACCGCTCCTCCAAGTGGTAGAAGCGAACCGCGGCTGGTTGCCGATGAGGAAGACTTCCGGTATTTGTTCGGGGGTAGAGAGGAGGAAAGGATCTCGGTCTGTGAATGGGAAGCACCCTGAGATGAGGAAGGGGAGGGTTGAAGAGGGAAGTCAGCAAGCAGAGGCCAGTCTGAGAGGATGGGCAAGCGGTGACTCACAAAGCGTATCCGGCGCCGTCGGAGCGATGTGTCCATACTCGAGTAGTCGACAAGCAGCGACTAGGCGCTCGTCATCTTCTTCTTCCTCTTCCTCCTCCTCTTCCTTGTCCTGCCCCGCCTTCTGTGAATCTGACGGGCCGGCCATCTCCACGTCTCCGCCGGTGGACTGCTCCTTCTTACCGCTGCTACCACTCGGCTTCGTCTCCTCGGAGCCATTGAGATCGTCTTGAGATTCCTGAGCCGCCTTGATAAGGGCAGAGGGGGAGGGGAGGTACTTGAGGATATCGTCGAGGTTTTGGCCTGAGGTGGCGAGAATCTTAGTGGACCATACGGAGGAGGAGGGAGAGGCAAATTGGATCCACGAGGGATTGTTGTAGAGGTGAAGCCCGCCTGCCGCTTCTTCTCCCTTGTCATTCGCCTCTTCTGTAGCGCCGGCTTGGTCCTTCTTGTCCTCCTTCGCTTGGTCCTTCCCACCCTTGCCATCGCCGCCCTTCTTGCCTGCCCACTTGCCAGCCCCGCGCAGGACGGCGCGATGGACCGCCTGCTGTGGCAAGGCCGCGCTAGCTGGGTCGGTTGCGCCAGGCATGAGGACAATGGGAAGTGAAGCGGAGAGCGGGACGAGGTGGGACAGGAGCAATTCGGCTGGGGTTGGGGTGAGGTTGGCTGCTGCTTGGTTTGAGGATTGACGCGAGGTCTTGGCTGCTGACGAGGAGCCGGTCTTGGAGGTGGAAGGGCCTGCGGTGGGCGCGTCTACGTTCGGAGTGGTGGAGTCCGTTGTCGAGGAAGACAGGTGCTCTGGTCTTTGAGTAGCCATGAGATTGCCTGCTACCACGATGCCCGCTATCCGAGAGGATTTGCGACGATGCTGCGAGGCGCGACGATTGTGGTACTCAGTCAGCTCTCAATGATGTCTTCTCACTCTGCTGGGTTGCACTCACCTCCTCATTCCCGATCTCCCCACCAATCCACTCAGTCAACAAACTCAACCGCATCTCGGGAGCGGCAAATCCTAGCTGACCCCCATCGCCCGTCGCGCCCCCAAGGTCCAAGCCAGACATGAGCACAACGAACTCGTCGTCCTCCCTCTCCTGAACCTCGGCGGTCATCCCTTGACTATCCTCCTCCATCTGTTCTCTCTTTACTGTCGCCTTGCTCGTCTCCCTCATGGGCATACCTGGCCAACAAACGTCCTGCACATGGAACTCGCCATTCTCCCTCTCTGTCCCCAAGAAGGCGCCCACTGTCCCCGTAACAAACAGACCACGATGCGCGACGTCCATCAAGATGGGCCCAACAAGCTTGAGTCGACCAGATTCGTCCTCTAAATAGACGCTGTCTGAAGTTGCGTCGGAGTAGGAGGAGACTGGTGGAAGGGGAGGTAGATATTGCTGCGGGCGAGAGGGAGGACACAACGATCAGCACATGGTACGCAGCAATACATCATCTGGCAGTGCACACTTGCTCACCTCTCTCGATAGGTCGCTTAACACATCCGGCTTCAATCTCATCTCCACATAAACAATGCCGCTAACGTACGTGACCTCACCCTTCTTAACATCCAATATGCGCGGCGTATTCCTGATTCCAGCTGCGACTCTCTTCTCCTTCTTCCCTTCGACTCCCCCAGCAGCATCAGCAGCCGCGCTGTCAGTCCCCTCCCATCTCTCTTTTGCCTTTTGTAGCAGACGAGAGCGACGCAGCTTTCGTAGCCGGAAGTCGTAGAGGGCTGCGTACTGCCTCGAGTATTGGCGGGTGGGGAGGGGGGAGGAGAATTGCGAGAGGAGAGAAGGGGGCGTCGAGAGCACTGTCGTGGCCTGACGTATGTCTAGCCTGGAGCTCGAGGCTCCTGATGAAGAGGACATGCTTGAGGCTACGGGGTGGGGGTGGTCAAGAGTGACAAATGAATGCGAGCTCAAGTGTTGCGAAGCCTCGCAGCCTCGCAGCCGCGCGCCTCTTCCGACATCGACGTCTCGCGTCGCGGAGAGACGAGCGTCGAGTCGGACTCGTCGAGTGGAAGACAAAAAGTCGGATCGGGCGTGAGAATGTCTGCAGCGATGCTGTCGTAGAGCCGCTCGAGCCACTCAACGGCCTCTTCTCCTTCCACAATCTCAGCGTCTCAATATGCCACCACCACAGCAGCCTTACCGCACCTCACCCTCATCTACAGCCAGCTCAGCTCAAGCCGCAGCCCAAGCTGCCGCAAGGGGCCGTCGATTGCCTCCACAGCTTTGGACGACGAAATCCATGATCCTCCTCTCCACTTGTGTCGCCTCGTCGGTGAGTGTGTGACACACTGCCGCTCTCTCTCCCTGCACCGGATCGCAGAACTCATCACACATGTCCACTGCCCCTCGATCGTTCCCTTCCCCTCCTGCAGGCCTATCTCTTCGGCCTCTTCCAAGGTTTCGAAAAGGGAAAGGCAAAGGGCATCAGCGACATGACCGCCTCTGCAGCCAGCGGCGATGGGGCTGGTGCTGCTGCTGCTGCTAATGAGGCCGACAAGATGAAGAACGACCCTAGTGTGGGCATCTATGGTGGACGCTGAGACTGCAATCTTGATCGCTGGCTAGCTGGCCCACCACGCTAGGCAGCCGCCCGCTGCCTCCCGGGGCTCTACTCCCAACTCTGACAGGAGAGACAGCACGACGTAGAATCAGTCGGCGGTCAGTGAGCCCGGTCATCAAGCTGGCAGTCTGGTAGGGCACCAAAGAAAGCACGCTGCATAGTGGCACAGCCACTGCAGAGCGATGTAGCGCAGGACCGTCGGGCGGGCGTCGAGGCAGCGAAGAGGAGAGAAGTCAGCTGGACCTTGAAGGGAAACGGCCGACAGTCGCAGCAGCTCGAAGCACGCCGCTCACAGCTTGTCAGTCAGACTCAGCAGCGGCAAAGGCAGCTGTCTTTCTAAGGCGAGAAGGTCGCAGTCTGGCACCAAGTCAAGAACGACCCAGGCTGATGCTGGAGAGACCAGCTCAGCGCCAACTCGTGCTTAGCTGCAACAGCCTGTACCCCTCAGAACAGCCACTAGAGCTGCATGGTCTCTCGCCCCTTACGATTGTCCTCATAAATGCTCCGTGCAATGGAATGCCCTCTTTGAGCAAGTTGAATGCACTTCATTGCCCCCCGTCCCCGTGCGAGCGTCCAGTCTGCCACTGTGGCTGGTTCACTTCCCCCCTCGATGTAATCCCACTCTAATCCGTCAGGCGCGCACTTCGTACTGCGTTAGAAGGTCTGATATTCCTACTTCTAGAGACACAAGCAGCGCTCGCAGCGCTGACCCAACACGTTCACCAACGTTCGCCCATCTCCGAGTACCATCTCTGCTTAACCGATGATGATCTTGCCCTCGTCATCGTTGAAGTCGTACTCCGGCACCTCCAAGTTCAACGGCGCCGGTCCCTTCCTCGCGCGTCCACTCGAGTCGTAGTGGGATCCATGGCAAGGGCAGAACCACCCATTGTAGTCACCCGCCTCTCCAATAGGTACGCATCCCAAGTGGGTGCAGACGCCCAGCAGTACAAGCCACTCGGGGCGCTTGACCCTCTCCTCGTCCTTCTGCGGGTCGCGCAGCTTGGAGACGTCGAGGGAAGAGGAACGAGCATCGTCAATGTCGTCTTGCGTGCGGTGGCGGACGAAGACGGGCTTGCCGCGCCACTTGATGACGAGGTTCTTGCCCTCGGGGATGTTGTTCATTTCGACCTCGACCTTGGCCAGGGCAAGAACGTCTGCTGAAGCTGACATCGAGGCAAGGAAGTCCGTAACGGTCGCCTTGGCGCCTGCTGCCGCGACGAGGCCCATGGAACCCTGCGAGTGAGCGAGGGAAGGAGCGAAAGGCAGATCGTGGTCAGCGCAAGGATCGGAGGACAGGTCCCCTCTCTGCACTGTGCGCTCACAATGGCAAAGTAGTGAGCAGCCTTGTTCTGGTCAGTGTTGCCCGTGCGGTAGTGGCTGAAGTCGGGGACAGTGCTGTCGTTGGGCGAGGCCTGGAGAGCGCGGGCCGAGGTGCTGAGGAATCGAGGCTGCTCGGAGCGGCTAGGGAGGGCTGCGAGCGGCGAGCAAGGGCAAAGTGGGTGGTGTGAGATGCTGCTACGAAGCTGCTACGAAGCTGCTACGAAGCTGCTGCGTCCATCTGGGTATCCTTCCGTCTCCCATTCGGGCTGGCAGAGATGCCAGGCCAATCGAGGCAGGTCCAAATGACTGCAACTAGCCTGCCAACCCCCCTCCTTGCTGTTCTGCCCTCATCTCGCCACTCCATCGAACAATCCTTTTCGCACTCACAGTTGACATTTGTGCGGCTGGTCAGCGACCCCGAAAGAAGGGACGTCTTGTTCGACCATCGCGGGATGGACTGGACATCGCCGCGGGGCGCCGGGCCGTGAGAGCCTTCCTCGTGAGCATGAGGGTCAGCAGGAGCTCGAGCGTCGAAGTTGACGCCGCGGGCGAGCGGGGTGCCGTTCCATGCTGCTGCTGTGGTGGGCCTATTGCGGTAAAGCCAGGGCGAGAGAGGGGTGAGGTGGGGAGATGATGGAAGTTAGTCAGCCACCACTACGACGTTTTTACAAAGACTGGTCCCGAGTTCGAGCGTACGCACAGCGCATTGACGTAGGTCCTTTGCGCAAATCGAGCGACAGACATGGCTGCAAGTCTAGTCTGTGTCGAGGAGGAAGAGGTGAGATGAGGAGGTGGTGGTGGTGAGGAGCAATCTGTAAGAAGGTTGCTCTGGTTGGCGCCTTGTCCTGGCCTGGTGATGCCGGCTCACTCGCCCGCCCGCCTGCCTCGAGTCGAGCCTCTCCGTCGCTTTCCAATCGGGTCAAGGCGGGAGGGGCGAATCAAGTGCCACGCCGCGCGCTCTGGCTCAACATGCTATGGTCTGGCTCATTGCCACGTGGCTCTGCTCTTGGCAGCTACGAGCGACAACTGCAACTACCACCCACTTTGACGAGGACGACAGACTCAGACTGAACCTCATCGAGAGCGATCAAAGCGAAGGGAGACAACCTGAAGCATGAAATAGATTGGGGCTTGCTCAACCAGACTGGCTGGCGTGCGTCTAGCATTTCGATCCTCAAACGAAGTCTCCCTCAATGGCCTCTTATCGGGGTTGCTTTCAGTATTCGAAATCGTACGCCATGACCTCGTCCACGTTGGGGGTAATGGCTGTCTGCACGAACGAGCGGTGACCCTCATCGTCACGGTATTGCTCGAAGGCGGCCTTGTCGGCGAACTCTGGCAGATGGGCAGGACGCGACCGAAGTCAGCTCTGAGCGCTATCGTGCTCTTTCTATTGGAGCTCACTGGTGTAGAGACCGTAATTCCATCCCTTTGCTCGCTCCGAATAGACTGGAGGACCCCATGACAACTCCTGGCAGTTCGTCTTAGCGATGGGTAGCTGCGAGCCGATGAGACAGGCGGGGGTCAGCTCAGGTCTGCCTCTTCCACCTGTCATGCTCCACCCACCTCCTTCAGGCTGTCCAACTTTGCGACGAGCTCATCTTTGCCATTTCCCTTTTCAAAAATGTCGGCCTTGACCTTGAGGAGCACAATATGAATGAGAGGCATCGTGGGCGAGGTGATGGTCTGGTGAGACTGAAACTGCAGCCTCCACGCGTGTCTGGACGGGAGTGGAGACGACGGAGAGGGAGAGCGAGAGAGAGAGAGCCAAGTTGGGGTCCGCGGAGAGGCGTTCGATCGCTCTATCGTACCCAGCGTAGCCGTCCGGTGCAAGCTGCTGACCAGCGTGAAGAACCGATGAGCCGATGTCTCGAGCGGCTGCTCAGCATCACAGGGGCGAGATTGGACGTCCCGAGGGCAAACGACGCACTCAAGGAAACGGATCACAAAGCGGCCCAGTGGAAGCTCAGGTCAAATGCAACGCCGTCGCCGTCACTCCTCGCCCGCAAGTCCGATTCCAAAAAAGTCACATTGAAGGAGCGTCCAGCGAATTAGCATCTGGCATGACCACGAGCCCCCCTCCCTCGATCACTGTTGCACACACACCGCCCCGCCGCTTCTCCCTTCCCTTCCTCTCCCTCCATCCCATCTCGTCCTTCCCCCCTCCCCCACCTTCCCTTTACCAACTTTCCTGCCACTATCTTCTTCTTCGCGTAGAGCACTTGAGGGCGGCATCGTGGACTGCTGCCCATCAATCTGCCTGTCCACCTTGCCCGCCGTAGGCTGCTTTCTGCCACGCCTTAGGCTCCATTTTGCCCTACTTTCTTGCCCGTGTCTTTCCCTCCTCTACGACAAGCAGCGTTACTAGGTTTTCCTTTTTTTTCTTGTTACTTCCTAAGAAACTCCAGCAGCCCCGGACAGCTCTCAAGCGCCTGTCGTAGCCACTTGGAACAAGTCACCGCTACCTCCTGACTCTCCACCGCCATGACCTCAAACACAGTCAATAACGCTCGACCCGAGACGCCAAACACCATGGGAAGCGCGAACAGCGGCGTCGACCTCAGCACGCCCACTCGCCACCAGCGTGGCCCCTCTGCTGCTCCAGACAAATACGCTGAGCCCTATCGCAGATCGTCGCTCAGCACCCGCGAGCAGCTTGACGACGAGCAGACTGGCGAAGTCCCCAGCATCTGGCAGCCATCTCTCTCGACGACTCTCTTCCAGCGTCGACGCGATGACATCCAGTCAGCTCAGCACAATGTAGTCTACCCTCGCTCATCGACGCCGGCCCCGACTGCTGTGGTTCGCCACGAAGTCAAGACTTGGCCACCTCCCCCTCTCGTCCCCGATCAGGAAGGAGGTCCATGCAGCAGCCAAGAAGGCACCAGCTTATCTGGCAAATCAGCACCTCGCATCTCTGACTCGAGCACCAGAGCAGAAGACTTCGTCATTCCCAGCTCTCCACGAGCGACCGAAGTCAAGGCAAAGCTACTCTCCTCGCCTGGCGGCCAGCGTGGCGTTACCAGCTCCTTCTTCGAGGATATGACCAGCTACCGAGCAAACCAGCATCCCATGGACCAGCCGCTGTCCGCCTACCCCAAGCCCATTGGCACTCAGAAAGGCAGCTCCGGTGTCGGCGACAATGGCTGGCCGCCGCCGACTGCCAGCTTGTCTTCACCGTCTTCCGACGCTTCGTCATTCCAAAGCGCCATGAGCGAGACATCGCAGGTGCGCGGGAGCCGTGCATACATGCAGCCTTCGTCCTTGATGCTGACTCTCTGATACCTCTCTGTGGCCCCGACCCCTCAGCTGCGCACTCAGCTTATCGTCCAGCAAGTCGAGAATGCTCGCCTCGCCAAGCGCTGTCAAGAGCTCACGGACGAGAATCAACGCCTCACGGAGACGATCCAACGAATCGAGGCCGAGTACTCGTCTTCCATGTCTTCTTCTTCGCTCACACCTTGGAACCAGTCGAGCATGCACCGCGTGTTGTCGACAGACAAGCTGCATCACCCAATCATGTCTGCCCACGGCCCTGATGCTAGCCCTCATGTTCAACGTGTCAAGCACAGCGGCTACTTTGACGAGTCATCCCCGGCCTCGCTCAACGCAGACCATGCAGGGGACGAGCTTCTCCAGCAAATCCGCTACCAAGCTCAGGCAGGCTACGAAGTCGGACGTCAAGCCTTGGGCACCCATGAGCTCACCCCTCCATCTCACCAGTACAGCCACGCACAGAGCCACTGGCCGGCTTCGCCCACTCAGCAACTCCTCCATGCCAGGCAGCAGCAGAACTACCTCCAGCGAGCTCGTGCCTCATATCACGGAGACCAGTCTCTCCCTCTCGACCTTACCTCGTACCCTTACATGCGCGCGGGCTACGATCAGCGAGCCTTGCCACCTCACGTCCCCCGAGCACGCTCTCACTCGCCCAGCACACCCTACGTGAACGCGAGTGGACTGCCTGCTCAGAATCATCATCACCATAGCGCGCCTCCCTCGCCTGCCTCGCTCATGCCCGAAGTCCTCGTTGCCAAAGCACTGACTGGTCGCAGTCAAGAGGCCAGCATCGCGCTGCAGCAGCAGCTCAAGTCTGGGCAAGTTGACCTGCAGCAGAGCATCCTTCGAGCGCTTGAGCCGCACCTGTTGCAACTCTGTGAGGACAAGCACGGCAATTTCCTCATTCAGCGCGCTATCGCCGTCAACGCGAGCATTGCCTGGAAGCTCAAGTGAGTGCGCGAGCCCAGCACGCAGCCATTGTCATGGCAATTACTGACCACCATGACTGACCCCTGACAGAGGCAACTTCGCCCACCTCACCACCTCGCAGTACGGTTGTCACGTGGTGCAACGCATCCTGGACACGAGCGAAGACCTACAGCGCCAAATCGTCGATGAGCTTCTCAGCAACGATATGTTCTCGAACTTCACCAGCCGCAACTGCGTGCATGTCTGGGCCAAGATCCTCGAGATCAAGTGGAGCGACGCCGCCTTTGGCCACCGTGTCTTCGAATCAATCAATGGAAGCATGCGTGGTCGTTGGCACCAGCTCGCTACGCAGGAGACGGGAAGTATCATCGTCCAAAACCTCTTCGAGAGTGCTCGAGAGGAGGACAAGGCAGAGTGCATTCAAGAGGTGCTGGATCGTCTCCCCGACTGTGCTGCGAACCAATGGGGAGTATGGGTCGTGCAACATCTGATCGAGCACGGCAGTGCCGAGAACCGCCAAAAGGCCTATGATCGGTTCGTGGAAGAGGCGCCTCGTCTCTCCCTCTCACAATACGGTCACAAGGCGATCATGACCGCGCTCAAGTGCAAGGACTCGCACTTCCTCAAGGGCTACATCAACAAGCTCGTCGAGGGACAAGAGGAAGGCGGCATAGCACAGCAGCAGCGCTCGAGTAACGGCCATGTCCCTTCCCACTCGATGGGCGAGAAGAATCGCCGCTCCATGCTCGTCGAGGTTGCCTCTGTCCCGCAGGGTCTACAGATCGTCACGCAGCTCCTCACTACGGTTGGGCGGGAGGAGCGGGAGCGCATCATCAAGGCCGTGCGCAAGAACTCGGTTTTCCTCAAGGGCAACAAGACGGGCTTGAAGGTTCATCAGATGTGCGAGAGGGCAAGGGCGTATAGCGGGTACTGAATGCGGTAGACGAGCTTCGAGAGGACACGGGAGGACAGTGGCGCCGGGGACTTTCAAACTTCTTCAATTGCACCGCTCCGATTGAGTCGCTTCTCATCAACTTCGACGTCGCTACAGGAACATAGAAAAGGCAGCATCAACATCTCGTCGCCTGCAAGTCGCGACGCCACCGCATGCGAACTTGACGACCGCGCCGACAACACCATCAATAGATCATACCAAATCAGACAGCACGTCTCCGCCACAACCAATGACCATTCCAACACATGCTCAGATCTTTCCTCGCCTCCTAATCGTTTCTCTTACTCTCCCTTTTGCTCTCGCTCTTGTCTTTGTCCCTCCTCTCGCTCTACTTTTGATCAAATTCATTCCTAGATTCCAATCGAATCGGTCCCTTCGGGCGGGATGTCGTAGAGCACTGATGCATGAGAAGGCAGGGGCATACGTGTCTCGAGATCGAGAGAGTGTGTCCATTGCAAAGTCGGCGACGTGAGTCTGAGGCTTGACAGATGCGCCGTGCGATACAGTGGAGAGCAGTGACGGTAGAAGGAACAAAGAGCGTGGTGCAGAAAGTGCGCTAGCAGTGAGGCAGGGCAGGAGAAGAAGCGAAAGCAGCGAAACGAGTCTGGACTGTTCAGAAAGGGGCAACAAGACGTCTACTGGTCGTTGGCGGGGAGAACGTTCTGAGTGTACTGGCCGGCGTACTGAGAGCGAGAAGGGAAACGATGTGGTTGTCAGCATTGGATCCACAATTGAGCGTCCCTTCCTTGATGCACTCACGTTTCCAGCGGGCGAGTACTCGCAAACAAGGTAAGAAGCCGGGGTACCCGTGGTGCTGCTCAGTCCCAAGTCCTTGGCATCGCAAGTAACGATGGCGCATCCGAGCTGCTTGCTGTTCTTCCAAACAAGCTGAGTGAAGTGTCCAGTGGCAGAGTTGAAAGTCGTGGTGCTGTAGTCGTAGCCCTTGCCCTCGTCATACCAGAGCTGGAAGAGGTCCGCGCTGCTCCATGAGGAAGCGGGCGATCCGACGGCGAGATTCTCACCGTAGGGACCCTTGGAGTGAGCGAAGACGCACTTCGAGCCGTAGGTCTGGGCGTAGTCTGCCAGAGTCTGGTTCCAGGTCAGGTTGGGCGTGTTGTGGATGGCGCGCTTGGCGTTGTGGAGAGCGAGCTGCTGGTAGGCGGGCGAGGCGGTGTTGACCGGGTTGGCCGCGCTGGACGTGCTGCTCTTGGTGGTGGTGGGCAGCGTCGTAGGGGCAGTAGTGGGCGCCGTGGTGGGGTTGCCAACAGCGGAGGACTTCTTGGTCGTGCTGGAGGTGGCCTTAGCAGTGCTCGAGCTGGCCTTGGCCGTGCTTGAGGACGCCTTGGCTGTGCTTGAGGACGCCTTAGCTGTGCTTGAGACGGCCTTGGACGACGACGTGGGGTCAGCAGCAGCGCCACCTGTGCGGGTGGAGGAGCTGGAGCTGGAGGGCAGAGTCGTCTGGCCGGCGTCAGCCCCACCGTTGACGGTGACGGTCTTGGTGGTGCCTGCGGCCGTCACGGTGCGCGTAATGGTGGTGCGAGCGACGGTGACGGTCCTAGTGACGGTGCGCCTTGCAGGGTGGGGGTGCGGGTGGGGGTGGTCTGCGGGAGCGGCGGTGACGACCGTGGAGACCATGGCGAGGAGGACGATCCAGGCGAGGCTGCTGAAGGAGGTCTGCATGATGGGCGAAAGAGAGTGGCGGTGTGAGGTAAGAGGAAAGTGGCTTGGGGAGAGGTAGGTGGAGGGGAGGGGAGAGACGATGTTCTCGATGGTGAGATGAGGGAACGCTTTCGGGGCTCCCCTCAGCTCCCCTCTTATACAAGAGCGGACCCCTCATGAGATGTACGCACGCCGACAGGCCGACGCCCAGATTAGATGCTCCTCCTCCGCTTGCTGTCCCGTTGCCTACAGCCTGCATACGTTGCGCTGCTCCTTCTCACGCCTTGCTTGACTCCGCAAGAGCCGGCTAGCCGCTGTGGGAAGCTGAATGACCCCACCTCCAAATGTCTCGCAACTGGAAGCCTCCTCTGTAGATTCATGCCCAGCATGTTTCCCACCTCTCGCTACTTGCTAGCAAGCAAGCACCGCCGGGCAGGAACGACAGACGAAAGCGGTGGCGAGCGACCGTGCAGCACGATCGTGCGTGCATCGTAACTATACCTCGTCATTCCACGGGGACCATCTGAGCGTGATGATGCCGAAATTGGGTGGCGGGGAAGCAACGGATGGCGGGTAAGAGCGCTCGACGCTGAAGTTTGATCGACGATGACCACGTCTTCCGAACCTCCGCCAGCCGCGATGCAGTGACTGATCGTCCGCGCTTCCATTGTGTCCAGGGTCCTGGCCCCTCGTCACGCAGCACTAGAGGACCGACATTTGCCCTGTCCCTGCCCCTCACATCGCAAATAGCCTCGGCCTTCCATGCCAGCGCCACGCCGTCAAATGGGCACATTCATCGAGCTTGAGCATATTGTGCACAGAGCATTGGAGCGCCGTGGCAATCTTGGGGCCTCCCAAAGTGCCAAGTGAAGCTCTGTGGCTCGCTCCCTCGCTCGTTCCATTCGTTCATTCTGTGTCTCACTCTTGAGCTTCTGGATCAATGACGATGACTGGTCTCGCGTCGGCTCGGCGTCGATGTTGAAGTCTAGGCTACCATTATGGCTCTGAGACTGCCCAAAGATTTGGGTTTTAGAGAGGAGCGAGCGGAGTCGGGCCAGACTCACCGGTACCAAGGAAGACGACGAGACGCGCCGCCCGAGCGGAGACTCAACGTTACCTCCGCATCGAAGGCAGCCAAGCGTGGCCGAGTGATGTCGCCGATGTGTGGCTTGGATGGAAGTGACCCATCAGTTCCGAGCCGACGATGACGACGATGTCGGCGTCGCCATCGTCGCCCACCTTGTCATCGTCGGAAGCGAGGGTGCCTTGCGACGCAGGGCAATGAGGCAGTAGCAAGGGCAGGCTTGAATTGCTTGCTTGCTTTCTCGGCAGCCGCGGCGCAGCGTGCGAGCTGACGCATGTAGAACGCCGTCGTATATTTGCCTCTGATTCCCACGTCGTCGTCGCAAGCCTTGGCCCACTACCGTACAGATCGACATCAAAGCATCGGTTTCTACGAAGATCATCATCAACAGAGAGAGAGCCTCGGCCCACATCACACAAACGAGAAGCTTCATGGTGTCTCACTGCCACACTGTATCGAGCTTGAGCACGCCACGTCCAATTTGCTGTCGTAAGTGGGTCTCACCCGGGCAAAGTCGTGGTGATCGGTTGCCCCGTAGCGGCTTGGTTTCCGATCATTCGCCGCGCTTTGAGTCAGCGTCATGATGATGAGGGTGGTGATGCCAAAAATGATCCCAATGCGTCGAGCCGCGGAAGATGGTCACACCTCTCCTCCGCGGCCGAGCATCAACAAACGGAAGCGCTCGCGTGGCTCGCCCGTTGCCGGCGGTCCGAGGTGTTGGATCGACGGCGGAGAAGCCGTGGCCGGCAATCAACACCCCCTGACTCAATCGCTCCCTCCTTTCTTCGCCATCAATCCCCTGATACTCCTCCGACTCCAGATACGACCACGGTCTTACAGCTGGCAGCTACGCCTACCTACGCTCTTTGTTCGCGGCTCACTCTCCTGACAGCTCTTCACTCCTGTCCAGTTCCCATCTCACCATCACTCTCAAACCCGCAGCTCACCCTCAACACAGTCTTGACGCCTCACACTCTTTTCACAACAGCTCATGATGAAGTCATACCTTTTTACAGCGATCCTCGCGGCCGTTTCTCTCTCGTCTCTCGTCCTGGGCGCAGATAATCCGGACGACCCGTCAGGCAAAGAGGTGTACGTGGTCAGCCCTTCTTGCGGCTACTACAAATGCAAGGTAAACTGGGCAAGAGGCTCAACCCAACATGTCACATGGTGGAATGCTCCTGCTGGGGGGCTCAACATACATCTCGTCCCCACCAAGGGCTCGGGCAAGAGCTACACAATCACGTCCAAGGTCGGTTCAATCCACGACCAATCGAGCTGTAAGGCGCAAGCGCCCAAAGGGGAGAGCTGCGGAAGCTACGAATGGAAGGTGCCTACCGATGTGGCCCTTGGGGAGTACACGGTAGAGGCCAGGAGCGTGGCTAAGCCCAAGGTGGTCGGCTACACGGATACTGTGGTGATCGGGAAGACAAAGGGCAGCAAGAGGCAATAAAACGTTGACAAAGCGGAGTGAGAAGATCGACCACGTCAATCGCTGCGGCGCTACGCCCCACAATCAGCACGCGCGACCTGTCCCACCGCCGAGATCAGCAGATCCAGCCCCTCCTCCGCCGCAACGTCTTACTAGGGTATCATCAGCAATCCGCAGTCGATGGGCTCTCAGCATTTCAAGATCCTCCCTCCCCCCACTTCAATCGCGCTCTCACTCTCCCCTCGCTCCCGTCTCATCGCTCAGCATCATTCTCAATCCTGCTCCTAGTCTCTCTTCTCCGATACTTTGTTTGCGCTACATCGCTTCATCATAATTATCTTACATTGCTCATCGTTCATTGCTTTTTCTGTGTGCTTTTCTTCTTTTAGAGAGACAGGAGAGAGCTTGACGAACCGGGAAGGACAGGAGACGACGAGACGCGACAAGGCTATGAGGCGATGGTAAGGGGACGAGGCCAGCTGACAGACCCAAAGGCGGGGAGGTGAGGATGGAAAGCAAAAAAAGTAGACGAGCCGAGCGAGCGAGCGATTGACGAAGCCGCTAGACGGGAGGAGTGAGCAGGGTTTGAGACCACGCTGCCAGCTTGGAGAGGCGAGACACGAACAGCTGCTAGCTTACCAATGGCTCATGCGTACCCGAAAGCAAAGAGAGGATGGCGATTATGCCTTGCGGAGGACATAGTGACTCTGCTACCAGGCTGAAGGCGCCAGGGTGGGAGCCATGACTGGCGGCGAGGACGGCGGCATACCCATTGAGCTTGCGGAAGCAGTGCCTACGGACTTCGATGAGCTCGGCGCTTGCACGAAGCGCGCAGGTGGTGGCGCCATTCCTAGGTGCGGAGAAGAGGCAGCGATGCCGGGTGGTGGGGGCGGTGGAGGTTGCGGTCTTCCGCCCTGAACAGCTGCTGCTGGCTGCGGTGATGGTGCCGCTGTCGCTGCTGCCATCGCTGAGCCGCCTTCGTGACGCTGAAGGTGAACGAGGGAATCGGACTGTGGCGTCCGCGGCAATGCCGTGCCCGTTACGATGCCCATCATTGTCTGCGTCGGGGGAGCGAAGGTGGACATGCTGGCCCGCTGTCTCATGATGCCTGGCTCAAGCGATGTTGCTGGTGCGGGAACCGTGCCAGTGGGGACGTTGTGGAGACCCGAGGTGCTCGACTCGCGCACTTGTCCTTGCGCTTGTAGCTGTTGCTGTTCGACATAATGATGCTGCCCGAGGGCAGCCTCATGCGATCCTCGTCTCGGGACCCATGGCAGGAATGGGGTGGCATCGGCCTCGACGTGCGGTGTGGTAGGCACTGAGCTTGTTGACCAGTCTTGGTGATGTTGCTGCCCGCCAGCCTGGATGACGTATCGCGGACGCTCTCTTCGCTGCAGCTGATGCTGTTGGTACTGCTGTTGGTGATGCTGCTGTCGCAGCTGCGAAGGCGGAAGCACAGCTTGGTACGGTCCGCCAGCATGCTGCATCGGCGGCGACACCGATGGCATGGTCATGGGCTGCTGCTGCTGCTGCTGCATTGACAGCCTCGCTCTCGCCGACACCGGAACAGATGTCATGGCCACCATCAGCATGCCATCTCCAGCAGCGGTGCGTGTGGGAAGCTGCGCCTGTCCAGTTCTCGGCATCGGCTCTGAGACGGCTGCTATTGGTGAGGGCGTGCTCGTGGACGCCGATGGCGTCGTAGCCCGGCTGCTCGATGTTGATGCGTTGTGCTGGCCGTAGTCAGAGGGGACGTGCAGCTCAGAACGGGCTGTTGTTCCGGCCAGGACTGGTAAGTGGGGCATCAGCATTGGCTGCGGCGTCATAGCCACAGCAGCGTCGTGTGCAGGTAGCGGCGAAGCATCAGAATGTCGCCTGACCCAAGGTTGGGGACCAAGAAGGACCGGTTTCGGACTAGCGCTGGGGCCTCCTGCTGGCCCTCCGGGCATCGAGCGAGCATCTACACTCCTGAACGTTGCAGCAAGGATGGCCGGGTCGTCAAAAGGGTCGCCATCAAGTGTGGGAGGCCCGTATCGAGTTGCAGGAGACATCGCCGTTGGCCTCGGAGTTGAGAATGAGACAGACATGTCAGACGGCATAGCTCTCGCTCCTCGTTGGCCGGAGTGTGCCCCTCGCCGTGACCAGAAGCTGGTGTGCTGATGACTACCAACGCCTACGCTCGTGTACACCTTCTGCTGCTCTTGCCTCACGTAGCCATCTTGATGTCTCGGCGGCGTGGGCTCGAGCCATGGAGGAGGGTGTATCCCATCGGCACTACCGCGCCTAGAGACGTGATCGTGATTCGAAGCAGCGTCGGTATCATCCGATTGACTGTGACGGTAATGGTGGCTCTGACGGCGCCGCTGCTGAAGAGCATACATGCTCTCGAGCTCCAATTGTTGCTGACGAAAGGAAGGGGTACGTGTACGAGGGGACTCAGCGGATGGCTGACGCTCAAGTGGCAGTGGTTCTGCTTGACGTCCACGCGCCTGCTCCAATTGCCGATTCTGATGTTGGTGCTTATCCCGCGCCAACTTCTGCTGCACCCCCTCTGCCAGCTTTGGAATGTCCGGATGATAAGCCGCTCCTGGCGGCAGGCGTCCAGGAGAACGGGCAGAAGCAGTGACAGGCCTGCGCGGGGCAGGTGCGTCCCACGACGAGGCCGTATCCTCCGGTACGCCAGAATTGTGAGGCTCCTCTCCTGGCTGTAGGCCCAAAGCGATGTAGGAGCGAACAGCGTCGACGAGAAACTCGATGTGCTCCTCTTCATCCTTCGCTGGCTGTGGGAATGGCGCACTTCGTCGCCCTTGAACTTGCTGGGGCGGCGCCGCAGCATGAGAGCGACGATAATGGTGGCTGCCGTACGATCGTGAGTTGGAAGTATGCGGCCCTGGCGTACTGACGGCACTGCGGCTGCCACCGAGCAGCCGGTCACGCACAGGCAATAGAACGGGTCCTGCTGGCAAGCTCGCAGGGTCGAGGTCTTGAAGCTGCTGGCGTTGCTGCTGCTGCTGCTGATGATGATGACTCGTCGTGCCGTTGCTTCGACGACCGCTGCCGCTGCTACTTGTCTTGCTCTGACTAAAGATGGCAGCTGATGCCGAGAGACGGTCCTTCGCCGGAGCTCGTGGTGGTGATCTAGGGATGGAGAGCGGCTGCTGGTACCTGATCTCTGGGCTACCGGTCATGGGCGTTCCAGTACCGCTGCCCTCTGCAGAGCCTTCAGTCGATTCACCGCTCAGAGACATCCTGCTGGCCACAGCGTCGCTGAGAGGAGCAAAGGGAACCAGCGGTCGATAGCATAGGTCAATGAAGGCGGTGCATGGCTGCATCGGGAAGAATGACGGCGCCGTCGCAACTCTAGCTGATGCTTCCGGGCTAGACGAAGCTTCCATGTGCGACGGAGCTAATGTCGTGCTGGCCTCGTCTTCCTCTCCAGAATTCGGCAGCCAGCCGCCGGCATTCTGTTCCCACGCTGCGGACGAGTAGTTGATGAAGTGCTTGATCCCATCTTTTTCTTCGCGTTGCATAGCCTCAAGCCGATCGAGCCAGGCAAATCGCTTTACGTGCGGTTCGACGGTGGGTGCTGACGTTTCTTGATGAGGCTGGACGGTTTCTGTGTTGGTGAAGGCAGGACCGTGCCCGACGTTGCTCATGCTGCCCGTTCCGAGGACGGTAGTAATCTCTACGCTACCTGACGATGTGTCCTCCGTCCTCGACGTATCGGGACTGCGCTCGGCGGAGGTGACTCGTCGTGGGCGGCGACTGGTTGGCGTGTCCCTGTCTCCTCGGCCTCGGCGTCTGGCCATGCTGTCCTCATGATCGCGAGCAGCGCCCTGCACCTCGCGCCTCCAAATCTCGTAGATCTCCTTGCAGCGATGTGCTGTACGTTCAAGATCCTCGCAAGGGTAGCGGATGCTGTTGAGCCGATGGCCAGGAGCAAGAACTGAGTGGGTGCGCCAGCTACGGTGCACCTTGTAACTACCGTCACGCAACTGCACCCATCGCCTCGTCTCCACGAAGCCTTCAAGATCGCACCAAGCCAACTTGGCTAGACGGTACTCTCTCGCTCTTGAGCGGCGCTGATGCGTCTCCTCAAAGGCTGGCATCTGGGAGACTTGGGCGACAAAGATGAGGTGAGGGTGCGCAATCTTCGTGTCCAGCCAACGATCCGGCTGTGCGACGAGCCAGGCAGATTCGGCGTCAGCTGTACAGCCTTGGTCACTGCTCCCGGCTTGCGTCCAATGCGAGGCAACAAATCGATGAGCGAGTGGATCTGGATGGGAGGGGCTTGCGGGCATGGGCGCGGCGTGTTGGACATTCTTGCGCGCCGGTGCAGCGAGGCCCGGGGGAGGAGCCTGCGGCAAATGCGGAGATGGGAGAGCCATTGGGGACGATCCATATGTAGCATCTGATGGGGAAAGTGCAACGAGCGGCAAGGGCGCAAGATAGGCTGCTTGACCTGACGACGTTTGGGCCTGAGCGACGCGAGCCTGAGCTGGGGCAGGCGCGGTCATGGTCTTGAGCTGACTGCTCCATTCCCGTGTCCTTTCCAGCCTTGCTGCTTCATCCTTGATATCACGATATCGGTATTGCCCATGCTTCGTACTCTCCATTGCCCGAAGTGCCGCGACAGAATCGTCACGCAGTTGTGACTCTCGTCGCAGGAGCCACGGAGCGGTATGAGCGGCGCCTCGTGAATGAGAAAGCTGCACAGTTCCGCCATCTTGATGCTGGCCCGATACTGCGTTGCTGGCGTCAGCTGGCAGTGCTGATAATGGAGCTGCTCCGCGCTTCGACTCCTTCTTCGCCTTGCTCGATCGTGAGTTGTGCGAGGCAGAAGAGTGCGGACGCTGAGGGGACCGTGACGAAGGGCGAGGTGACTTGTCCTTGCGCCCCTCGTTGCGCACTGTTGAGAGGTAAGGTGATTGATTGCGGGGCAGTCGTACGTTCGGTAGCAGCAAGGTTGCCTCGCTATCATGCATCGGCAGCTCCTCTTTAGCCATAGAACCAGCGTCATCGAATGATGCTGTCGAGCCAATGACGCGAGGGGGTGGGCTGCAGATGGTGGCATCGGGATCGGTGGTCACGCCAGCATCTGAAGTCGACGTCGGGCCCCATGAGCGGCTTGACTGATCAACAGCGTGGTCGAGCATGGTCATTCCATCGCTCGCTTCGTCTTGTGAGCTCGTGAAGTGGTCTCGCACGCCTTCCTGACCAGGAGAAGGGGCGATTGGCAGACTTGACGAAGACTGACTGTGCATTGCCGTGTGGAAAGAGGCCTCCGTGTCTGTTCTCGATAGCCTTCGTGACCACCTCTTGCAGTCGCTTGCCTGACGAGACAAAGGTGACGTCGAGCCAGCTGTGACGAGGGAGGAATCGATAGAATGGTGAGAGCCGCCGGAGTCTTCCGTAGCCTGCCCAGGCGCAAAGACTGGGGAATCTGCGGCGCTGAACGATCTGCCAACCGAGCTAATGCCTGCAGAGCGGTCGGAGCTGCTGTGTTGTGGTGCGAGGGGGGAAAATGGCGACGGTGGCGGCTGTGTTGACGTAGAAGTAGGCCCTATCTTGTCGCCACGCTCAGCTGCGGCCACAGCCTCTGCAATCCGCCTGCTCTGCTCTTCTTGTCGAGCCTTCGCCTCCCGCACCTTGATCGCGGCCTTGGTTCGCTCCTGCCTGCATTTCTTGCTCGAGCTCGCTTTGTTGCCGGTTGTGGCAGCTTGCGAGAGAGAAGCTCCAGGTACTGCGCTGACCCTGTCCTTGTCTTTGTCCAGAGCAGCATCGTCTGAGCGATTGCGGGCGTCGGTAGATGTGGAATCCAAGTCGGAAGAGCGCGAACCGAGTGGGGAGGGTTGGCGATGCCACTGACGAGGATCTGGTCGGGGTGCGTGCCAATGATTAGTTCGTCGATGGTGGATTTGAGCTTGACCATATCCACCTCCATGGCCGTTGGCATAGATGTGCATGCGAGGAGCACGAGGTGGCGAAGGGATACCGGGAACCTCGCCATTTGGCAGCAGTGAGATGGTGGGACGTGGAGCAAACTGCGCTGGAGGCCCAGCATGCAGCGACATGGCCCTGTGTGTGACGGCATCAACACGATTAACGTCGTTGGAAAGAGGCTGAGGCTGGACTTGAGAAGGGTCAGAGGGTGCCGGCAGCGGCATCGGGGCAATCAAGGGCTGCGAAGGGCTTGGCGATGATTGCTGAATGGCTTCGATCACGGCTGGATTACTCGCTGTTGCTGCTGCTAATGTCATTGATGGAGACGGTTCTGCTTCTCTCCACCCGAAGGGGTGGAACTGCATTGCTTCCATCTCGACGGCCTCAGACGATGCGTCGCTCAGGGTCGTCATTCCGCTCGACGCGCGCGAGGGAGCTCTTGAAGGATTGGATGAGCGAGCACTATCTCTGCTCGCCGTCCTGCCAAAGCGACGCCTCAGAGTATCATTGCGGTCCTCTCCTTCGGAGCGTGACGTCGTTCTGCCACCAGCCTCCGAGGGTGATCTTGGCGATGCTTGCCTTCCGCTTCGGTCGAGCTGTGGCGGCGCGAGATAGGGCGACGACCTGCCGTCTATCCTATTGGAAGCCCGCGACGGCCCGCGATTCTCGTCATTGCTGCTGGTGATGACGACCTCGGAGGGAGCATCGTTCGGCGCTGTTGAGCCCCGGACATCTCCATCGACGCTGCGAGATGTTTGAGCTTTCCTCTTGCCATGCTTGCGGGACGTAGATGACTTTTTCCTCCTCTTGCCATTGCCCGAGGAAAAAGCAGGATCATCATGCAGTGTAGCTGTGGGAGAGAGGAAAGCATGCTCGACACTGCTCTGCGTGCGTGATGGCAGCTCTGAAGACGGGTGCTCGACAATCCTGGGTGTAGCTGCGTTGTCGTTGCCTCGTTGGAGCCCGCTGTTACTGCTGGCAGCATCTAATGCCTCTTGTTCGGGTTTGTTCACCGAGGCGAATAAATCTTCTTTGTTCTCACGAAGGGGCTGCTGCTCATCTTCATGTTGAGACATGCTGGCCTCGTCTTGATCGGCCCTTGTGCGCTCGAGATGGTATCTGAGACTCGACGCCGGGCAATTGATGAAGACGGGAATCGCGTTGCAGCCAAAGATGCGCCGGTTCTCCTCGAGACGTCGCTCTCGCGCGATGAGCGACAGCCGATCTTTGATCGACATCTCTGAGCGCGAGGAGATGGAGCGTTGGTGATGATGGGGGTGGGCGTGGTGATGCTGCTGAGCACTTGGCTCTTGCGATCGAGACGATGACGAAGGTGCTTCGGTCAGTGGACCTGGCTGACCCCCATTGAGGATGACGGTGCCACTGCTTGCTACCGCTGCCTCTCCCACGTTTGCCAGCGGTGTTGATGAGCCGGAACCACGGTCGACGGATGATGAGGTAGAGTGCTCGCCGGACTTGAGACGTCGTTTGAGCGCGGCAGGAGGCGAGGATGACTTGCCTGGACTGCTGCCTTTCTTGATCTTGCGGAGACCAAGGCCAGACGGGATCGTCATGGCACAATCAGAGGCGCTGCGACTGGCCGTCAGCTTGTTTTGAAGTATCCGTGTAGAGGCGAGGGAGCGATGAGACTAGGAAGGAGCAACGGGCAGCACCGGTCAAGCAGAGAGGATTGGTCGGATATGAGGAAAAGGCCAATGGGGCATCAAAGAATGGTACTTGCTTTCGATGTAGGAGGGCGGGGGAGGGCAGAGGAGAGAATAAGGGGGGCAATGCGAGGAAAGGTAGAGTTGCGAGTGCTGGGACGTATGCAAGGGCGGAGTCGAGGTCGACACCGTGCTGCTGAGCTGGGTCTGCTGTTGCCGGCGTGCGGACGATGGTACTAGTGCTTGTCTTGCCGTTGACGAGGAAGGGGGTACGATGCCAGGTTGTCGAGGCGCTAAACACAAGATGCCGATGCTGGTGCCGATTCGGTTCCTCCCTTGAGTGTCTTCAATGGTCGATGCCTGTCAAGCGGTATTGGGATAACGAGAGGGGGGCGGACTTCGTTGTGCTTGTGGTACAACGTCAAAGACGGGAAGTACGGGAGCGGCCAGTTGGCAGAAGGGGAGAGGAGGAGAGAGGGGGCAACAAATTGAGTGCGAGGGGAAGGAAGGGGAGATCAATCAATGAGATGAGAGGTGGGCAAGAGTGGAGATTGGGCAGGCTCTGCCGGAATTGCTCTTGCCTTGTCGCCAGGGCGGGCCAGGGAGGGAAAGGAAGAGTGCGGCCCGCTGAGCACCGACAGCGAGACAGTGAGTGAGAGCCAGAGTGGGCGAGGAGAGCGTGTGGCTATGACAGGCCAAGGCTCGCGTGCGTGTCAGGCCGCTTGCCATCCACCCGCGCCGCCTCTGCCTCCGCCTCTCGGTCACCTACATTTCCACTCAGCCTTCGCAGCACCGTCAACGATGTGAGAGCGTCATCGCCTCAGGGCTGACCGGGGTCTACAATTGCTCCGGACCGGACGCAATGGTGGTCATTGACCTTCTCTCATCAGCGGTGTGATCAACTCTTGACCTCATTGCTGCATCTGGCTCAAGACGAGCAGCTCTTCCGCGCAGAGTGGCATCTGTCAAGGGTCATCATGGATGAGCAGGTGGTGAGCGAGTGGGTAGATGTGAGGGAAAAGAGAGGATTGCTGCCCCGCCGCCATCCACGAATCGAGAGTCGAAAGAATATGTCGATAGAAGTGAAAGGGTGTGGATGGCTGGCTGGCTGGCTGGCTGGCTGGCTGGCTGGCTGTATGCTGCGAAGCGATGCATCGCCTTGTCAGCTCCCCGGCTCGCGGGAAGGCCATAGTACATGGTGAGGCCATTCATCATCGGTGGCTTGCCACCACTACCACAAGGCCAGTCGTGAATGACATCGGACACTTGCCCTATTGCTACCGTGGACTTCTTGTTGTTGTGAGAGAAGAGAAGCAAGTGGTCACGCGCTGTGCTGCGCTCGTCGTCGTCGTACGAATGGCCCTCGGTCATGCCCCTCGGTCACTCCTCTTTTGGCTCTGCGCTGCGCTTGGACTTGGACTGGCTGCGAGAGCGGACTTTTGCACGATGGCCCCTGCGCCTTCACTGAAGCAGCCCAGTCGGGCTGTGTGGCTCATTGGCGGTGAGAGCCATTTTGAGTCCGCTTCGTCTCCTCCGCTTGCCTTGGCTCCCTCTCACGATCTGCCTCTTTCTCACACTCGCGCCACTGTCCCTCTTTCCCATCCACCATCGATACCCATACCGAAACTACTTGTATAGCCTGCTAGCTACTTTGTCGTCGTCGTCGTCGTCGTCGTCGCCGCCGCCGCGCCTGGCATGTCGTCCAGCCAGGCCAAGCTCACTCTTCGAGCACCGCCTCATCGGCAATTCATCACCGGGTGGCCTGGCATCCCAGCTGGCCAAGGCAGACCCGCTGCTCATATCGCTGGAGAAGTCGAGGTCAGACTAGGAGGCAAAGGGCTCAAGGCATCATGGCTTCGCATCGAGCTGCGCAAGCTCGAAATGACGCCTAGTGGGGAGAATTGGGGAGAGCTCATTGGCAAGGGGCCAATCGAGGTCTGGAAGGCAGAAGGTAACGCAGAAACAGACGCTGAGGGAAGATGGGACCTTATTCAGACGGAGGACTTTCCCTTCAAGATCTTGATACCCGAAGGTTTGCCTCCCACTGCGAGACTGGACAAGCAGATTGGCATCAGCTACGAGATGGTGACCAGCTTGTGCGTCAAGGCAAAGAAGTGAGTGTGCGCGAGAGGCAAAAAGCAGCGAGGGGAGTGTTGCCGAGAGTGACTCTCACTGACTTGACCGCTTCGATTGGATTCGCCGTAGAGGCCTGCTGCGAAAGGAGGACACATCTAGCATCATTCAGTCAACCCACCCCATCTCCATTGAGAAGCACGAGCTGCATTCAACGTGGCCCATCTACTCTGTTGCCGACGATCACGAGCTCATGGCCAACCAAGTCATCGCGCGAGTCTATCGCAAGCAGACTTGCTTCGGTCCTGGCGACAAGGCAGAGATCAGAGTCATCCTCACCTCCAAGAATGTCTCGCCCGTCAAGATCAAGTCGATCGCCTTCTCGATTCGCGAGACCGTCACTTTCAAGGGCAACAAGCGGCAGAGTCGCATGATGGGAGGCGCGACAAAGACTGGCAATCAGCGTACTGACAGTATTGTGCAAAAGGCTCAAAGTCTGGGCATCAAGCTCTACAAGGGCGACGTCAAGACGTACGATATTGCGCTCACCATCCCAAAAACGCACTCGCTCATGACGATCCAGACGGCCAAGCACATCGAGGTCGCATATACGATGCGAGTCTATGTCGACACGAAGCAGCCCATCATTATCGACCATCTGCCGATGACCATCACAAACGTGCCTCGTGCTACCTCGGCAACTGTTGTGCCAGAGATTGGCTTCGTGCCCGGCCTCTCGGCGCCCATCAGCTCAAAGCAGTCGCAGTCATATGGCGAGAGCATCCAGAGGCCCATGTCCGCTGGAGCAGGGGGATCGGCGCCTCGACGTACCCCGACGCAGTCGACAGGCTCCACCGTCAAGCCTGGTCCGCAGCGCTCCTTGTCCTTCCTCAGCTCGGCACCCTCACACAGGTCAGGGGACTCAGGCTATGGCTACGGAGGGCCATCTGCTGCCAACCTCGGGCGACGAGACACGATGATGACCACTGCATCAGGACCTGGCATGGCAGGTCGCGGTGTCCCCGGTCAGATCTTCAGCTGGCAGCAGCAAGGCGACCAGGTCTTCACGACAGCCTTTGGACAAGCTCACTCCGGTCCCAAGCCTGCCTTCGCAGGACCAGCCAGTATCTACGAAGGTCGCGAGCTTGCCCCCGAGGAGAATCGTGCACTGTTTCACCACTCGTTCTCGACTCCTCTCGGTCAAGTCTTCGAGGGACAGGAGGCGGTTCCTGCAGTCAATTATGACTTCCATCATCAGCAAGAAGGCGGTGCTGGGTACCCTCGCACTGGAGGCACGTCCTCCGCTGCTAGCTCTTCGCAGCATTTGCGCCCTAGCAGGCAGTCCCACGATGCGGAAGAGGACGTAAGGCCAGTCAGACCAGCATCTAGTGGGCCGCAGTCGCATGATGCGGCCGAAGCAGAGAAGGAGAGATTGTACCAGCGGGCAAGACAGCAAGCAGAGAAAAATCAACGTCGAGCTGCTGAGGCTCTGGCGGCTGCGGCTGCGGGCAGGAGCGCAGGGACGCCAACTGGCCACCGAACCGTGTCCTCACCGACAAGCCCCACGACGCTGAGCAATGAGAAGCAAGTGCTGTACGAGCGAGCGAGACGAGAGGCAGAGAGATACCAGGCAGGCTACGTGCAAGGCGCTACCTTCCCGCAGGATGACTTCTCGTCGCCAGAAGAGGTACCGTCGCCGGGAGGATCAGGCAATGGCAGCAGCTCCAGCAATGTAGCTACCTCGTCTGCTGTTGCGAGCCAATCATCGGGAGCAAAGCCGCAACGCCACTCGCAGCAGGTCACTAGCTTCCCCTCAGCGGCAGAGGAGAAGGCTCGACTCTATGAGGCAGCCAAAGCGGAGCGAGACGCCCACCTCGCAGGGTCTGCTAGGCGGTCTCCAGCCCAAGCGAGCCCGGCAGTAGGCTCGTCTTCCAGCCAGGCAAGGCCGCAGTCGGCGTCTGTGTACCCATCAGCACACGAGGAGAAGCAACGCTTTGCAGCCGCACAAGCGGAGCGCGATGCCTTCCTGCGAGCGCAGCAAGGTGCAGGTGGCCTCTCCTCCTCATCGTCTGCATCAGCAGCACCGCCTCCACCTGCCTCATCGAACGGGCACGCCAACTCCTCACACGGTTTTCCATCGGCCGAGGACGAGAAGCGGCGCCTGTACGATAAGGCCAAGGCAGAGGCTGATGCCGCGCAACGGCAGTCTCCACCATCATTCTCTTCTGCAGCAGCTCCTTCGGCCTCAGCCTCGCGCGGGTCGATGCCACCAGGGTCATCTTTCCCCTCTGCAGAAGAAGAGAAACGTCGTCTCTACGAGCAAGCCAAGGCCGAAGTGGACGCCCACCAGAGCGTAGGCGGTACTATGATGAGCGCGAGCGCGAGCAACTCGTCTGCCGCCTCCTCGCTCGCCTCCCCATCCGTCGCCTCTGCCGCGGCCCCGATGACTCCGGCGGTGATGAGCGCGGAAGACGAGAAGACTCAGTTGAAGCGCTACTACGAGGCGCAAGATGCCGTGGCTCAACGGATGGCTGAACAGCAGAGCCTGATGGACCATGGCTCTTCTTCCTCGTCAGCCGCAGCGCCTCCTCCGTTAGCCAGACCGGCTGCATCGTACGCATCGGGATACTTCAATGGCGGGCCCAGCCAGGCAACGCCACCGATTGCTGCCTCGTCTGCTGGTAGATCACCAGTTCCGGCCTCTCCCTCACACCACAACGCTTCCTTCGACAACACCCACGACCTCGATGACTCGTCAAGCGTCATCTCCATCCCATATCGCTCCGCCTCCGTTCTCGCAGGCAAACAGCGTTCTGCACCTTCCCCTACCTCTTCACCCCCTCCGCCAACCTTGCCTACTTTCAGCTTTTCGAGTCTGCAGAGCAGCTTGCCCCAGAGTAATGGTGGCGCTGTGAGCGGTGGTAGTAATGGGTTTGGGAGCTTCTCGACGCTCGGCCAACCAGGACCTCCTACCCCAGGGTCGGCCAGGTCGAGCATTTATGCGCCCAAGATGGCGCCGATTGATTGGCATGAGGAGGAGGAGTACGAGGACCGGAGATCTGCGACTGGGTCTGCAGGAGGAGGGGGAGGAGCAGCACCACCCCCACCGCTGCCGCCCAAGACACCGCTATCCCCTGCTGGAGGGACGATGCCCGGTGGTTTCCGTTGATCTGCAGGTGAGGGAGCACGCCAATGCAGCAGATGATGATGGTGTCGCGATGACAATGGACGATTATGATTCGATGGAGGCAGAGAATGAGTGTATATCGCGGCTCGTGAATGTACAAATACAGAAAAGTGGAAATGATGATACTTCGTCGTGGCTCGCCCTACTCAATGTCAACCCAAGACGCCTTCCTCTCCCACCTTCTTTCTCCTCTTCCCCTTGCCCGTCTTAGCAAACTCCCTCCACCCTTTAACGCGCTCGTCTCTCGTGTCCTCCCACTTCTCCTTCTCGACTGCCTTCCTCTTGCGCTCCTCTGCCGCAGCTTCGCGCTTCCTTTCTTCCTCTCCTTCAGCGGCATGTTGGGCTCGCAGACTCTTACGACGACGAAGCTCATCATCGATCATGAGGTCGCGAGTGGCCTTGCGGACTCGCTCTTCGAAAGTGGGTTGAAGACCTTGCAGCCGTTCATCCTCGGAAGGTGTACTGACTGGCAGACCTAGGTGCTCCTTCAAAACCAGATATCTCGCCGAGAGGACCGTCTCATCCAATGCCTTTCTCTTCTCCTCGTCAAGTAGATGCGTGCTCGCCTTCTTGAGCAGATCGAAAGCCTCCACTGCACGCGGATCATGCTGCACCTTATCTGGATGGATGAGCAGAGACTTCTTGCGGTAGATCTTGTGGATGGCTTTGCTGTCTGCTTCTAGGGATACTTCGAGTACGTCGTAGGGATTGAGGCGGAACGAGGAGAGAACACGCTCGATTTCCAACTCCTGCCAGAAGGAGGAGACAGTTTGAGGTCGGTCTGAGGAAGAGGCGTCTGCTCCTGGTGCTGGTCCGGGTGCTGGTGGTGGTGATGCTGCTGAGGGCGGGGGAGGTGGAGGACGGGAGGGGCCCGCCTCGGGATTGCTGTGGCCGTTGATCGAAGAGGATGAGCCCGCTGGTGGTGGTGGCGGCGGAGGGGGTGGTCCTGGCTCTGATGAGGGTGGCGGTGGGGGAGGAGGCTGCGAGTCGCTGGGCGGAGGCGGTGGAGGAGGCGATGCTGGAGGTGGTGGTGGGGGCGCAGCATTCTCTGCAGGCGGAGGCGGCGGCGGTGGCTGTCCTGTCCCATCGCCATCATCAGGCGGCGGTGGTGGTGGCGGAGTGGCTGGCATTGTTGACCAGCGGCTCGTCGCAATGCTCTCTGTAGCTTCCTTGATTGATTCTTCGATGAGTCGGAGGAGCGGATCCAAGATGGACGAGATGCGCCGCCCATGGACGGACAGAGAGGGCTCTCAGCCCGCTCGACGGATCTGAGACCGGGCGCGTCGCTTCATCTGAGCCGGACCAGTCGACATGGACTGGCGGCCAGGTCAAGGGCGAGCGCAACGGGAAGGACCAACAGGGCTGGCATTCTCTCATCTCTTCCTCCTCTGCTCTCCAACTCATCGCCCTCACCTCATCGTCCTCGTCGACCATGGCAACCGTACGACGCCGGGCCTCCTCGGTGAGCCAAGCAGTCGACGAGGTGACTTCTCCTTCGACGGGCACCTCGGGACTCGTCAAACCCGCCCCTGCATCACGACCGACGTCGAATTCCAGTGGCCTCTTCAAGGACCTCTACACCATGCGCTGGATGACCACTCCTTCCTCTTCCCTCAAGATTGCCTTGGTTTTCATCATCGGCTACACAAACTGGCGTCTCGTCACGCCCCATGTACGCAACCCATTCGAGCCATTCCTCTTCCTTTCGCATCGCGTGCCCGTAGCACAGGTCTTGATGGCCGAGCCAAAGGCTGCCCTCACAGGAGACACCGTGCGCTACCAAAAAGGATACTTTGATCTTTGCTTTTTGGCATTCTACATTGTCGTCTTCAGCTTCATCCGTCAAACTACGACCATCTACCTATTCAGGCCTTTCGCCGAGTGGTGGGGGATCAAGAATGAGACCAAGAGGGAGAGGTTGACCGAGCAGTGTTATGCTATCCTCTACTGGTAAGCGCGCACAAGGCAAGAGCCACATCTCAATATGTCGCTGACCACAGCTCATCGTCTTCCATCTTTCGCCGCCGCGCAGGGGAACTTTCGGCGCCCTCGGCACCTACGTCATGTCTCATCAAGAATCCTGGTGGTTCAACCTCGAGCATCTCTGGCTCAAGTATCCTCACTGGCAGATGCGCGGAGAGCTCAAGCTCTACTACCTCCTTCAGTTCAGCTACTGGCTGCAGCAGGCCCTCGTCATGATCCTCAAGCTCGAGAAGCCCCGCAAGGACTACTACGAGCTCATCGCTCACCATCTTGTCACGCTCTGGTTGATTGGCTGGTCCTATCTCATCAACCTGACGATGATCGGCACAACGGTCTTCGTGTGCATGGACATTCCGGACACCTTCCTTGCGCTGAGTAAAGTACTCAACTACCTTGCGCTGGACAAGCTGGCTACCGTCGTCTTCGCGGGCTTCATGTTCATCTGGACCTACTTCCGCATCTACCTGTCGAGCGTCACCCTCTGGTCGGTCTGGAGCCAGTTCGACCTGATCCCTGCGCATACCCGCGAATGGAACCCGGAGAAGGGATGGTGGCTTGTCCCCTGGATGAAGTACCAGATCTTCGCCCCCCTCTTCCTCTTGCTGCTACTCAACCTCTTCTGGTACTACCTCATGTGGCGCATTTTGTTCCGCGCTGTGAGGGGTCATGTTGCTGATGAGAGGGAAGAGGGAGAGTATGATGAGGAAGAAGAGGAAGCGAAGAGGAAGACGGAGGAGGTTGCCGCTGCGGATGCGAAGGGAAAGGGGAAGAAGAAGCAGTAGGTTTGCGGGGCTAGAGGGGGGGAGATATCACGCTCCGATGACGTCTTTGTCACAGGATCCGTATCCTTTGCATATCTCGAAACGTTCGGGCATTTGTCGTCTCGCGCTGGTAACGAAGGGCTGAGCTGCGAGCCATGAGAAGCGCGAGTGCCAAGGCGCGGAACTGGTCATTGCTCCGTTTCCGTGCTGCGCCTGCTTCATCAATGCGCCGAGGTTGCGTGTCGTGATCTTTGCGCCTTTTGCCTACCCACCACCTGGATACCAACAGCTCAAAGGTGCCTTTCTCGACCCTTTTCCCCATTCCGAATGAACCTCTAATCTCGTCCATTTCCTTTCGATCCCGCCCCTCTTCATGCCCTTCACGCTGACGTAGAGACATAGCAATCCGCAGCACAGTCCACTCCTTCCCTCACTCTCACCGCACGATCGACGATCATGGATTCCCCTCTTCCTTCATCTTCGTCTTCTTCAGGTCAAGCATCCCCTGCTTCGCGATCAAGACGCAAGCTCCGCGTAGCAATAGTAGGTTCCGGCCTGACAGGCCTACACGCGGCACACGCCCTGGCCACGACCTCCTCCCCAAGCCTGGACATCGAAGTGCACCTCTTCGAGCGAGCGAGCAAGATCGGCCTCGATTCAAACAGTATCGATGTACCTGCGGGTAGCTCAGATGATTCAAAGGGAGAGACGATGCGCATCGACGTCCCCATGCGAAGCATTAATGCGGGATACTACCCAAAGGTGGCAGCTCTTTATCGCAAGCTGGGCGTTCCGTTACGAAAGTCGGACTTCACGTACTCGTTTGCCACGGAGGCCACGGGGCTGGCGAAGGCAGCTGCTGTGGCACAGAAGGCCTCAACGACCGATGTCAAGCTCCCGGCGTCTAGCGTGTCACGCGTCCCCTGCCCTTCGCTGCTGTACGAAGGCTCCTCTGGCATCCGAGGATTCAGCCTCCCTTCTTCTCTCAAGCGGCGTCCGTCGTCATCCAGCTCACTCAAGGACAAAAGAAGCGCTCAAGCGTTCGTACACGACCTCTCCATCCGTTTCGAGGCGTCGCGCGTCTACCTTTCCTCCATGGCACTCTTCGCGCTGGGCTACTTCTACCTCCTCATCGTCTCCCTCTGGCACCACTACGCGGGGCATACACGCAATCCTTCCCACCCGATAGCCCGTCAGACTCTTCAGGATTACTTCAGCGCTTCTCCTTCCAGCACCGGAGGCATCGAATCTCTCTTCGTCCCCTCACGTCCGACGCTGCAACACTTTCTCCACTCCATCCTCGTACCACTATTCAGCGCAATGATGACCGTCCAAGCATCATCGGTCTTGCAGGCCCCAGTGGCGGATATCATGGACTATGTGGCCCTGACCTTCGGCCGCAGCCACTTGACGGCGGCCGCTGGTGTGCTCGAGGTTGAGCGAAGAATTAGTGCGCCGCTGGAAGAGGGAAATGTGCATGTTGATTGCTTGGTGCAGAGACTGGCGCGCAAAGGCGGCGAGGGGAGATTATGTATCGAGGTGATCGAGGGGCAGAACGGTTCGCAGAGGGCGTACGAAGGTTTCGACCATGTGATTCTGGCTACGCAGGCCAATCAGAGTGCGGGCTTCGTCGAGTCGCTTTGTGACGGCGACAGCAATGGCGAAGGTGACGATGGGCTACGTGAGATGCTCGACAGACTACGATGCTTCACTTACGAGGACAGCCAGGTTGTCAACCACACGGATCGCTCCCTGCTATCGGAGAGGGAGGACGATTGGAGGGACCTTAATCTCGTGAGCCCAGCGGCTGGGGCGGTGGTGACGGGTAGAAGCGAGAAGGTCAATTCGACCTCATCATCGCCGACAAGTCGCTCCTCCTCACCTTACTCGCCGTCGACGCTGCAAGCAAACACCCACACTATGGCCTCCCATCTGCTGCTACGCCGACTTTGCCCTTCTACTGGCGAGGACCAAAAGGAGGAAGTCCTCATTCAGACCACCAATCCTCTGTCTCATCTCAGCCCGCACCCGTCGACCATTCTCTCCTCTTCGCACTTCGAACGCGCAGTACTGACCATGTCAGGCAAGGAGGCACAAAGAGGGTTATTTGAGTGGAGACGGCGAAGCTCTGGCAGGCTACTCGGTGGGTGGAATGGCTGGGAGCTCGAGCTTGGTGAGCTCCAGGGGAAGGTCAGGGTGTGGGTCTGCGGATCTTGGAGTCCGGGCATCCCGCTGCTGGAGGGATGTGTTGTTTCGAGTGGGTTGGTCGTGAGGGAGTTGGTGCGTGCTGAGGAGGAGAGGGCCGAGAAGGATGCGAGACGAGTAGAATAGATGCTTGCCAACTTCTACACAAATGTCACATGCACGACTCGTTTGTCATATCCTGGTCGCTCGTGAGTGTTCGCGTGACGGGTGCTCGCAATCACCCACGTCCGCACGAGTCTTCAAGTGAGCGGCGGGCCGCGATTGCTCGGAGAATGTGCGTCGGAGGCTTCTCTTCCCACCATCACGACCAATCTCGAACGGACCTGACCTGCTAGTTTGCCTCGACCAACTTACAGCCGTCGTCGTCGTCGTCGTCGTCTGTGTCGGTCAATCAAGTCTGGGCCCTCCTTCCTCATACGGCTCCCTGCCGCCCGACCCTCGTATGTCGCCTGCTACGACTCGTGCCTCTGCCTCTCCTTCTCCCTCTTCTCTACGATCCGCACCTCCTTCGCCTGTCCAATCCCTGCTAGACGGTGCACCAACTCCACCTTCACAGCAGTCGCTGCCACCGCCCTTACTCTGCACGCCAGAGCGCTTCATCGGTGGCGCTCAGCCCGCGCAACCTCGTAGCGCGCCGGCTACCATCAGCGGCGCTCGAGCTCCAGCTGACATCAAGAGGATCAAGATGGAGCAGCAGTCAACCCCGACGAAAACTAAAGGCAGACCGCCACAGACGTCGGCATCACCTCGTTCGACTAAGGCAACTGCTACCGTCGGTGCAACGGCCGGACAGGCAGTCTTGGCTGAGACAGCAACTACCACATTGACCACAAGGAGTGCTTCAGGGAGCGCTCAAAGCTCGCCTCGACGCAATCGTCCAGTTCACAAGATCCCTTCACGAGATGTCGCCCTCAAGACATCTGTGTGCCGTACAGACTCGCTGCCCACGCCTGCCCTCACGCCTTCGGGGGATAGGGCTCAAATTCATCACCGTGCAACCACTTCGACTCCAGGCAAGAGACCTCGCGATGGCAATACTATCTCGCAGAGTTCACCTTCGAGCAAGCGACTGCAGATCGACAATCCAGCACAGTCTGCGTCTCTCCCAGCTCCTGCGGCCACAAGCGAGCGCCGCCCCTCTGCAACCAATGCAGACGCCGTAAGGCATCTCTCCACTCAAGACGCCAGCAGCAGCTCAGCTTCCTCAAGTCCGGCACCTCTCGAGATGAGGCCCAAAGCGAAAGAGGCATCAGCAGCTACCTACATCTCACCCATCTCCGCCACGGCAACGCCTGCTCCAGCCTCTGGGGCGATTGCATCTGCGGAAGAAGCCGCAGCAGCAGCTACGGCAGCCTGGGCGGAGGCTGCTCCTCCAGTGGCTTCGCCGGCACAGGAGGGATCGGCCTCTCGTGATAGAGCACGCACAGGGTCGTCTTCCTCTGCCGCTTCGGAGGCAGTCGCGGACGGTGCAGCACAGATCTCTTCCGCCAAGAAGCCTACTGACGCTGATAGATCGTCCGCAGCTTCCTCGAGTCAAGCAGCGCGGGAGCACTCGGAAGCCAACTACCTGGTCACTGTTCGAACGATAGACGGCAGTGTTACTACGACAGGCAAGCGGTTCAAGGCGCTGCCCGAGTCATTCAGAAGCGCTTTGATTACTCTGAATGCCAGCGGTCAGCTCACAGCGGAGGGTACCGAGATCACTACGTCATTCTTCCTTGAGGAGACGAAAGAGACAGTAGTCGCAATACTGGAATGGTATCGTGCCAGAGTCCGTGAGCAGGCAAGATTGGTTCCATATCGGACAATTCCATGCTGAACGCCCACTGTGCCTCCTACGTCGCTCGCAGTTCCCAATGGTCATTCGGCAAGAGACGCCTTACGCGGACGGGCGGCCAGACTCGTACTCAACGATCTCGTGCGAGCGATCCACGAAGCTCCTGCATGGGAGAGAGACCCTGCCATGAAGAATGACAAAATCCAAGAACTCGAGGCGACTCTGATCGAGCGTTTACTCGGCTGTGAGCTCGGAAGTTTTACGTGGGCAGGCGGAGATCAAGACGGCGCAGATCTCCTCGATTCATTCCACAAGACGGCAAAGGGTATCGAAAGGTGGCTTCACAGGGGCAAGAAGACGCCGTATCAGCTCAAGTGGACGTGAGTACGTAGCGGTAGCTCAAGCGAGAGGCATTCACTCATTCTCACGATGAATGGCACGTCGCGTCGCGTTGCAGGTCAGTTTGGGGCCATCGCACATTGTTTCCTTTTTGGTGGAGCGTGCAAGGACCCGGCGACGGTTCGAGCAAGTGGGTCATGGCAGATGCTAGGCCGACGTTAGCAAAGGCAATCCTGCTTGAGGGTCAAACGCCGCCTCTTCAGCAGCTGCAGCAACAAGGTGACAGCGAGGCCGACGCGGCCATCGATGACAATATCGCGACTGCGAAGGACGGCAACGAGGATGACGACGAGCCACAATGGATCGACAAGGCCCTTCGTCTCGGCGATCTGGTTGACGCCCTCGCCTATCGCCTTTTGCGCAACGGCGTGAGGCTCGACGAGGTGAGCAGCAGGCGAAAGAGGCCGTGAGCGGTGGTAGTGCGTACTGATCGCCGTGGCTGCTCCTGGCTTCGCTTGACTGATCTCGCTACATCCAGCTGCTCTTCATCCACGTGGGTCTCGAGGTTGCCGTCATCGTGTCTCGTGAAGGCTCTCGTGACTGACACCACATGCAATCTCCATCGCAGGCTGAGCAAGAAGTGTGGATTACGGCAACTCCCTTTGCGCCTATCGCGCCTTGACTTCTATTCGATCGCATTTTTGCAGCACATCTCCTCTCCTCTGAGTCTCTCGCCAAGCCTCAGCCGTTTCTCTCTCTTCGTGTCTCGGCGGTCCAGACTGTTCGCCGGAATGAGACAGCAAAGACGACAGCGATCTAGCACGTTCCTGTGTCACGTTGATTCACCCAACAATTCCCATCAAGGTCTTTGACGGCTAGTTGTGAGATGGAGAGCGAGGGGTCAATTATGACCTCGCGATCTCCTTCGCCCAAAGCTTGTCAGAAAGGGCCTGCCCTGCTGACAATCTTGACGCCCATTCATGGGGTAGGGTGGACCCCATCCCTCACAATACCCATCATCCCCGCTCCCTTCATCATGGCAACCGAATGCCGCTCCTACTTGCCGCCGTCATCGGTGTTCATTTCTTGTCAGTAGTGGTGACCCCTGGAGCCCCAAAGTTGAGCCCGATCTGAAATAGCAGCAACGAGGGCGCCACCCATCCTTCCGTCGGCCGACTTGCCGCCGGTGCAGACGGGGTAACCCGGGGGAGGAGGTGGGAGCGGGTAGGGAACCGGCGCAACCTCATGATCGCTGCCCGTCCCTATCAATCGCGAGCGGCGTCAATCGTTTGTCATTGCTACAGTACAATGGCGTCGAGCCTCCCCCTTGCCCCCTCCCCTTGTGAATACCGACCACCTGGCAGAGGGAGGAGGCTTTGCCCCCGCCGGTCTAGTCCCCTTGCTGGGGGGACAGGCCGCTACGGCGTTCTCCTGCGTCTATTCTCGGTTCCAGAGCGGGGTCCCTGCTCCACACAACTGAGATCTTCTTGCGCTCGGTGACTAGATTTTGCCTTTCCGGCGCTACATGACCTTTTCACAGCACACCCGCACGAACGCGGCGCTTTTTGTCCGTCGTGGTTTCTCAGCGAATTCCGAGCGAGCAGATCAGACGGATGAACCGTAGTGGGATAACTAGCGACGGGGCAGAAAGCGGGGCAAGACGTTGAAAGAGCAGCAAGTCAAAGAGGGCCGAGGGCAAATAGAAACACGGAGAAGATGAGTCGGCCAGGGTCCAACCTCCTCGCTTGTGTCTCGAACCTCGCGCTCACGCCGTGGGTTCACGGAGGCTCTTCGGCGTCTAATGTAGCCAGGTTAAGGGTGAACGAACGATTCCGACACGAAACAAACTTGCACAAACGAACAAACGAAGCGATGGCAGCTCCTGTACCTGCGCGAAGAAGAAGGTCGGCGATGAGCGGGCGGGCGACAGGCGTGCGTGCGGCCGGCGTCGGCGCATCAACGTTGTCTGAATTCTACCCACTCTTCGTACGCATCGCCGGCGCAAGCTTGTGAGTTCAGTTGACCGAGCGTGCGTTCGGAAGAGAAACAAAGAAGCGAATGAGGGTACCGGTCCCTCGTACAACTCCTGAACGGCGATGGCTGGCGTCGCCGATCCTTGCACCCGTCATCGCCAGGCAGGCCAGACGTACGGGCAGCTGCGAGACCTGATCTCCCCCCGCTGGCTGAACCACAGTCGCGCAAAGCAGACTGCCCGATGCCTTACGGAGTGGAGCATGGACCCTCGTACAAAGACTTTGCAAATTAATTCACCCAACAGAAAACAAAGGGCCTGCGCCTGTCGTCCCTGACGCCCACCAGCGTCGATTGGCTGGCAGGCGGGCAGGCCGAGCTGCGTGTACGTGATCCCCCCCTTTCAAGGAGAGCCGCAAGGGCGAGCGAGCGAAGGTGCAAGATTGATTGGCCCGGCATCGTAAAACTTCCAGCAAGCTCATTGGCTTGCCAATGAAGCGGTCGGACCTCGCGGGGGAGTAAGAGGCTCGAGAAGGTATAAGAACTGGGGGCGATCGAGTATTGTCCTTCTTTCCAACAAACACACTCTCCTCTCTCACACGTCTAGAAGACTCTCACACCACACTCACACCCGACTCACTCGCACACATTCTTACAATGCGCTCCTTCGCTACCCTCGCTCTCACCCTCGCCCTCACCGGCGCCTCGGCCATCGCCGCCCCCGCTGGCTCCCCCAACACCTCCAACCTTGAGGCTCGCTCCAAGTCCGGCAAGGCAACTTTCTTTGAGCCCGGGCTCGGCGCGTGCGGATGGCAGTCTGGAGCCAACGACATGATCGCGGCGCTCGCTACCAGCTCCTACGCCGGCGGCTCCAACTGCGGCAAGTGGATCACCGTTCACCACAACGGCAACTCGGCCAAGGTCAAGGTCGTCGACGAGTGCCCAACCTGCGTCTCGGGCGACTCCGTCGACCTCTCCCCTGCTGCCTTCTCTCAGCTCGCCAGCAAGGACCAGGGTATGGTCGACGTTACCTGGAACATGGCCTAAGTCTTTCCAGTACCCTATCGCACGCCAAGCTAGAAGCGGCAAGCCCGCCAGGTCGACTTTAGCCATACATAGAGCTTCCATCCTAGCACGTATTTCACCCATGGCTCCGATAGTTCGCCGCTCCCATCACGTTCACTCCAACCTTCTCTCCGGTCCCTCATTGCAAAAGCGCTCCTCACCGTAGTCGACGCGCGCAAGTCACACTCGCTCTCCAATTTGCTTCCAAGTGTCTTTCTGTAGCATCACCACACACCTTCTCTCTCTGGGGCTCACATCGGCACTCATGCTCATCACCATCATCTTGTCCACGGATGAAATGTATATTCACCCTCATTCCTCCTCACTCACTCATGCTTTCGTGTGCTCGCGATTCTGGCCTGCGGCGTCTTTTCGGCGTTCAATCCTTCTCAAGGCCGCTCGGACCGCTGAGCGCATCGTGACGCGGCTTGAGCTCGAGAGCTTGAGCAGACTTCTCTCTCGTAGAGAACACGATTCAACGGCGGGTAGTTGCGCTCATGATCCCTCATTGCTTCGTTAATTGCTCGTCAAGATCAATTCTATCGCAAAGATGTCGCCCTGGCACGAGTCAGCAACCCCCCGCAGCGTTACCGCCAGGCGCTCACGCGCACCAGCTTGCCGCGAGGGAGTGGCTTCGCAGGGAGGAAAAGAAGAGGGCAAAACGCAACCTCCAGAGAGCGGCTTGCGAAGATGAAAAGGCCAACATCGTTGCTCGTCATCATTATCGCCGCTGCCCTCCCGTCGCACAGCATCCTCCTCCTCCTCGCCTCCTGACAGCGCGGGCGCTTCCAGCTCCAGAGGAGCCGTTGGCAGCCCTGCCGCACAGAAGGATCGCGAGAGGCGATAAATTTTAACTGGTGGGCAGCTCCAACAATGCGAACTACGAGGGCACGCCTGCAACGCTGGCCGACTCCTTCGAACTGCAACCGACTCTTCTTCCCCGTCTTCTGAGGTTTGATCTTGGTGGGCTATGACTCAAACGCTGGCCACGGGATAGGAAGAAGACGCCGAAGCGCCGACTTCCCTCCATTTCCTCATGAAAGTGGAAAAGGCACAGTGCTCTTAAGACCCATCGGGATTGGGAAGGAGTGGGGAGGGGGAAGTGAGGAGGGAAAGGGAAGGGAGATGGGGAGCAGGGAAGGCGGATGGGAAGGAGAGCAGGCGGCAAGGGGAGGCGTTGGTGATCATGGTCGAAGGCTGACTGGTATTGATACACGTTGAAGGCGAAGGTGACTTGAGCGGTTCTGAGGCATCGAGGAGGGAGGGAGGGCGACGTGGCGTAGCGTAGCACCTATCCTTCCTTCCATTGGTGTGAGCACGTCGAGTTGGTGCAGCGGTAGAAGGTCGTCACTGAGAGCAGAGGGAGCAGATCATTGTTAGTCCAGCCACAATACCATCCCGCTTGTTCCGTTCTCCGAACTCACTGGGCTCGTCCGCAGAGCGAATCTGCAATTGCATAAAGTACGCCTTGGGGTTCTCGCACTTTGGGCAGGGCGCGTCGGTGGAATCTACATTCTTCCAGCTCTCCTCTCCACCCATGACGTCGTCGACTTCCTTGCGCTTGAGCTTGGTGCGGGATGTCATTTGCTTTTGGATGGGGAAATGGTAGGGGCAGGTCGAGCACGCCCACTCATTTTGGCCCATGTCATTGCGCGCTATGAGGAGAATGTTGGCGCAGGTGGGGCAGAAGAGCATATTGGGCGAGAACCAGGCCGGTCAGAGCTCGAGTGATGGGGGGGAAGGCGCCGTATGGAAAGGCGATTGGAGCTGTGGTCACGAGGCCATGAGTGAGAGGAGGACGGGGAGGCCACAGCTGCTAGGGACGAGACTGCTTCCTGCGCGACGAAGAGGAGAGGTTTGCATCGTCAGCGATATTCGCTCCTCCTCTTGGATCTATGCGCGTGGCTGACGGCTCGGACAGAAAGTTGAAAGCATCGTCCAACGCGCGCTGATGCGCCTCTTTGTCAAGAGGTGAAGAGCGGGTGAAGGACTGCAATTAAGAGGTGCCAGTTATGAGGAGCGCTAGCTCAGTTACGAGCCTTTCCATGCGCGATCGTCATTGCCGTCGTGCCAGCGCGAAGTTCTTGTTGAATGCTCACCTTCCTTCTGACGACGATGTGGGTGGTGGTCGTAACGCGAAGAGGGACGTCAAAGAAGGATCAAGTCAAAAAGCTCACAGTGCGGACTGCTGCCGTGGGCCGACGCCGTGGGCGGACAACTTTTGACGCCCTTTGCCCCCGTTCCGACTTGACGCCTACGAGTGCATGGCATTGTATCGTTGGCCAGCTTGCCAGCTTGGGACCGAGCTTGGAGGCGTCGACGAGTAGTAATCTCGTCCTCCATGTGCGAGGCGCTGATAGCTGTCGCTGTCAAGGCTGCATCCCTCACTCGACCTACACGTCGGCCAAGGCGAGAGCCACGACTCTCGCCCCGACCTTGCTGCACTGAATTGCGCTCTTGACCTCGACAGATGCTTCCATGACCTAGTCAAAAGCCGTCCTTGTTCTTTTCCAGCCTTCGACTGCTGCATTTGGGTTTTCTCTGACTGCTCTACGGCTTGATGGCCACCAACCGTCCAACGTTTGAGAGAGGGGTATCCCCCACTGACTGCTCGATGACTGCTGCTCGCTGCTCTCCTCGTTGGGACGGGGGGCCCAGGCACTTGGCCACTGCCTGTGTTGCTCTCGTGTGCTCGCGCGCCCAGAGCGTCGTCGACTCGCAGGAATTGCTGTGCGACGTTGAGAGTCGACGGACAGGCGACGTGGGGGAGGGGGCAGCGACGAGCAGGCTGAGGCTGGGCTAGGAGGCGCCTGCCTGCCTGCCTGGCTTCGTCGTACTGCCACTGTCACCCACTTGGCTGGCCACCTCTCCTCGCGGCGACCTAACCTCGCTCGAGCACGACGACGTCAAAGCTGAGAGGGCGGGGACAACGGCAACGCCTTTTCCTTTCCACATTCATCCTTTCCCTCCTATCAACACACCCGCCCTCCTCTCTCTTGCCACTCTTCCCTCGCCTTCATCTCACTTGACCGCCTTCACCCGCGAATGGGTGAGTAGGAGAATTCACGCTCGGTCCTCTCTTTGACGCCACAAAGGTGCATACACTCACGTATCTGCCACACCACTCTTCTTCACGCACAGCTACGACACAAACACGAAGGCCAACCCATCAAGCCAGGTCAGCGTCACACAACAACCTCTTAGCAGCCCTTGACGGCGTGATTCAGGTCACTCCCACCAAATCATCTCAAAACAACGCCAGTAGCCGCGCAGCAGATCGCTCAGCCGCCTTTGCTGGAGCCACACCCACAAGCAATCTCGACTCACACCCCACGAACCACCACAACGACATCATGTCCGACCCTCTTGCTCCTCCCGTGCCTACGGACGGCAAGCCCCTTCCCCCGTCCAAGTCCTCAGGAGGGGGAGGCGGCGGTGGAATGGCCGGCCGATTCGCAAATGCCTTTCGCCGCCAAACGACCGAAGAGCGTGAAGCACGACGTCGTCGTCAGGCAGAGGAGAAGAACAAGGGCGTCGGCCGCAGCAAGACGATGAATAGTCGCATGGACATCATTGACCAGCTGGACATCAGCGGTATCCACGGCCAGACGATGTTCCACCACGATTCGCCCTACGATGCCTGCACTCCGCACGCCAACCGTTCCTCCAAGAAGGCTCCCGTGAATGCTTTCGACCCCAATATCGACCAGATGACAGGGTTGTCCATCTCGGAGCGACAGCAGCAACAGCAGCAGAGGGCCGCCTCCGCTGGAGGAGGCAGTGGCAGCCGTCGAGGGCTTAGCCCCTTGGCTGCGTCTACCTTGCAGAAGATGGACCTCCACGACGAAGACGTCAAGGATGGCGCACGACGCCCAGACATGTCCGGCGGCCGATCACGTAGCGCCACGGCCCCTCTAGGCGTGGTCCCCACCCTCTCCCAGACTGGACGAAACGCCAGTGCCATGACGACTTCGACAGCCGGCAACGGCGTCAATCTCAACGACTCGGCGACGGAGCTCTCCTCTACCGACGGCGACGCAGACGCAGACCGACGCTACCAGCCCAGTCGCGGCTACTACAACCAATCCCCCAAGAAGGCCTCGAACCCTATGGCCGACGTGTGGGGCGTCAGCTCAGAGCCTTGGCAGGACTTTGCCCAGCCGGCTGCCGCGTCCAGCAAGCCTCGCAAGGCCTCGGGCGCGAACAGTGCAGCGAATGGAAGCAATGGCAGAAATGGAGGCAAGGGTCTCAGCCCCTACGGTCATGCCAAATCATCCCGAGACGGTCCTCCTTCAGCAGCTAGCTCCGTCCTGGACATGGAGTCGGTCATGACTGGCAAGACGGCGGAGCAGCGTCGACGTGAAGCGGCAGAGGCTGCTGGAGACATTGGTGGCGTCAGTCCTTTCCCTGAGCCGGACTACGATCGTCTGGGCGGCGGTGGGAGCCCAGGCGGAGGTGGGAGTGGCGGAGAAGCAAGGGAGGGTGCACCGAAACGTAGCAAGTCGCTGGTGAAGAGGATCAAGGCCGCCCGACAGTACGGCAATGTGCCTCCGCCAGACGATGAGGTGCTTGAGCTCTCTGGGCGTCGTCAGCAGGCTGCTGCTGCCGCGCGAGCGCACAAGCATTCTCCGTCTTCTCCTGTGTTCGAGGTTGGGCAAGGCAACGGAGTGCGAGATATGAGCGGGTCGGGTAGCTTGGGACGTAGTGGAACGCGCAAGGCTACGAGGGAGGAGCAAATGAGGTCCATCTCTTTCCAGGGTCAGGGCAACGGCTCTGGATCTGGTGGGTCCGGCTACGGCAATGGCGGGAGCGTAACGCCAGGCTCGACAGGCAGCGGTGCGGGTTACGGGTACGTGGACGCTGTGCAAGTCAGCAACACCTATCTCTCTCCGCCCGAGGATGCGGCTGATATGGCTCGAGGCCGCAGTAGCAGCGGTGGAGCCAGCCCTACGAGCCCGGGTGCCGGTGGGGCCAGCGTGGGCAGGAGTGGATCCATCTTCGGCCGCTTCTCCAGGAAGAAGAGCAGCGACAATCGCGTGACGTCGTAGGCAGTCGCCCTACGCAGCCTTGCCCTCGGCCGTCTGCCCAGCTATTGGCGCTCGCACCTTGTCCCATCTGTTCATTCCCTCTTTGACTACGGCTTCCCACCTCCATCGCTGCTACCGCGTTACGACACGCGCGGCCCCTACCAGCTCTCTTCCGTCCTATCTGTCTATCGCCCTGCCTCTACTTCTATCGCGGCACACACACGCGCGCGCTCACAGGTCTGCGACTCAGTCGGGATTGGCCTTTTCGTTTCGAATAGTTGAATCGATTGACTTTGCGTTTTGAATCCTTCGCGCGAGTGACTTGTGCTTGATGAGTCGTGCAGAAGACGGCCGCGCTGATCGTCGCGTCTATGTGAGAGGTTGTCGGGCGGCGAGGTGAGCCGGTGGCTAGAGGCTGGCATGACAAGCGTTGACGCTTTGCTCGAAGAAGTCGAGGGGAGACAGGCGTTTAAGCGGGTATCGTTTCCTCGATGCGATCAGCACCAGCAGATTTGAAGAAGTGGTGGCAAGCCGTCGACGTTGCTGTTGTCTTTGTCTGACTGAATGCATGCCCATCACGGCACGAGCGTCGACGCACCCGCTCCGCTCTCTCCGCGCTCCATTCCTTCCGCGCTCACCTTGCCCTTTCGCGCTAACGACCACTTCCTCACATGCTGCGATGTCAGACGCTCACTCATGTCACGATTGTTGTTGTTGTTGATAATGATGATGATGATGATGATGGATTGGAAGGAGAAGAGAAGAATTGAGATTTTGTCGAGCACACTCCGCGGCTCGATCTTCGCGGGCGAAAAGGGTTTTAGGCGAGGAAGGAGGGAGAAGGAGGACGCGTCGCCCGTCTACGGTAGGAGCAGTCTATCTAGCAACACACACCAGAGGTGGTGATGAGGACAAGACGACGACTACTACAGCAAAGAGAGGTAGCTACACGATTCCCCCACACTCCACAATCCAAATCCCACCGATTTGTCAAGGAGACAAGCGCAGAAACGCCCTTACTTCTTGCCAGCAGCCTTCCCAGCCTTCTCGGCAGCCTTAGTGACCTTACCCTTTCCTCCAACAGCTGCCTCGACGCTCTTAATAACGCCCACAGCAACGGTCTGACGCATGTCCCTGACGGCGAAACGGCCAAGGGGGGGGAAGTCCGTAAAGGCCTCCTGCGTTGGCGCGATCGTCCGAGGGGGTCAGATTAAGCTGTTAGCGCCGAAAAACGCAAAAACACGCAAAAACAACTCTCTCGCGTCTCTGAGTACTCACGACACACATGGGCTTGGAGGGAATCATCTTGACCATGGCGGCGTCACCAGACTTGATGAACTTGGGGTTGTCCTCGACGGACTTGCCGGTACGGCGGTCAATCTTGGTGGTGAGCTCGGCGAACTTGCAGGCAATGTGGGCCGTGTGGCAGTCGAGGACCGGTGCGTAACCAGCGCCGATCTGGCCAGGGTGGTTCATGACGATGACCTGAGCGTTGAACGAAGCGGCCTCGGTGGGGGGCGAGTTCTTGGAGTCACCGGCAACGTTACCACGACGGATGTCCTTGACGGAAACGTTCTTGACGTTGAAGCCGACGTTGTCACCGGGAAGACCCTCGGAGAGCTGCTCGTGGTGCATCTCGACGGACTTGACCTCAGTGGTGACGTTCGAGGGGGCAAAGGTGACAACCATACCGGGCTTGATGACACCGGTCTCGACACGGCCGACGGGGACCGTGCCGATACCACCGATCTTGTAGACGTCCTGGAGGGGAAGACGGAGGGGCTTGTCGGTGGGGCGAGTGGGGGGCTCAATGGCGTCGATGGCCTCGAGGAGCGTCTTGCCCGTGGACTTGCCAGCCTTGGTCTCCTTCTCCCATCCCTTGTACCAGGGCATGTTGGTGGTGGCCTCGATCATGTTGTCACCGTGCCAGCCGGAGATGGGGACGAAAGCGACCGTCTTGGGGTTGTAGCCGACCTTCTTGATGAAGGTGGACGTCTCCTTGACGATCTCGTTGAAGCGGTCCTCGGACCACTTGGTGGTGTCCATCTTGTTGACGGCAACGATGAGCTGACGCACACCGAGGGTGAACGAGAGGAGAGCGTGCTCGCGGGTCTGGCCATCCTTGGAGATACCAGCCTCGAACTCACCGGTACCACCGGCAATGATGAGGATGGCGCAGTCAGCCTGCGAGGTACCGGTGATCATGTTCTTGATGAAGTCACGGTGGCCAGGGGCGTCAATGACGGTGATCTGGTACTTGGGGGTCTCGAACTTCCAGAGGGCGATGTCGATGGTGATACCACGCTCACGCTCAGCCTTGAGCTTGTCGAGCACCCAGGCGTACTTGAAGGAACCCTTGCCGAGCTCAGCAGCCTCCTTCTCGAACTGCGCAGAGAGAGGGACGGGGGGGTGTGTCAGGCGCATATACGGTGGCGAGAAGCGCACGACTCACCTTCTCGATGGTACGCTTGTCAATACCTCCGCACTTGTAGATCAAGTGACCGGTGGTGGTCGACTTGCCGGAGTCGACGTCTGAGGGGACGAGAAGGGAAAGGGGAAGAGGAGGTCAGGCTGCGTGCTCGAGAGGGGAGAAGCGGTAGCCACGAGTGCTACTCACGTCCGATGACGACGACGTTAACCTGGGAGGTACAGAGGAGGGAGTAGAGCGAGCGTATCGATGGTCAGCCATCGTGACCGCTGCCAAAGGCTTCGCAGCAACAGCACCTCTCCCCCATCGCAGAGTAGAATCCACGCATGATTCGCTGCAGGCAATGGTAGCCAGCAGAGCAGGAACGCAGCATCTTCTCCACGATGGCAAGAGGTGATCATCGCTGAGCCATCGTGCTACTCACGTGGAGCTTGTCCTTTCCCATTTTGTGTAGTGTAGTGAGTGTAGAGATCTAACGATGAGGAGAAGAGAAGAAGTCGTTCGCAGCATCGGTCGCCCTTTGTGTCTCGAAATCGCTGGCCGCCAGCAGCGCGCGCTCTGCTCTCTCTTCGCTCTTCGCAGCGACACAAAAAAACCAAGCCTTGCTGCAAGAACGCACGGCGTGGGCGAGAGGGCTGTCGTGTCGGGCGGCCAACCGGGCGGCCGCCTCAATGTGCTCAGCGAGCAGCGAGCGCACACAGAGTCGAGTCGCCAGACACTGGCGCCAGGCGCAAGGCAGCCGGGCGGAGAAGGAGACCGAAACCAGCTTGCCCGCTTGCGCTCGTGGCTCTCGCCACCCAAGTCGAGTCGAGCCAGCAACCGGCACTGGACCAGAGGTCTGACGTGGTGCGCAAAACCGCCGAACAGCCATGTGGTCGTCACAGCCAATGACGCCGCGCCGCAGTCGACCCGCCCACGACCAACATCATCGATGGCCATGACCGCTCAGATACGGGTCCTTGATGGACGACTGACTAGAGAACCAGCGTGGATCGTGCCACATTCAGACGACGAAGATCATACCGCTGCTAGAACATGCCGCCAGCTGTCACGCCATCTATGCTTCACGCCCGACGCCGTGGCTCATACGCTCACTGGATGTACATTCTCGCTTTTGCACTGTGACAGTTCCGCTCACACCGCGATCATACTACTCAAATGCCCAACAAGCACCGCATCCAGCCCAGGCGTAGCGAGCAGGTTCACCACCTCCATCTCCTCCAGCGCGAGCAAAGGAGCCTTCGCCCCCCCACCACCTCTGGTCCGAGCGTCCTCTCCAGGACTACCCGCTCCCATCGCACCCGGACCGCCATCATCCTCTTGACCAGCGAATGCCAGAGAGGGATGCTGGTCAAACATATCCTTCGCCTCGTCTACAAGCTTGAGCGTCTCTACCATTCGGTAGATGAGACAGCTGAACGGGTTCTGCGTAAAGTTCTGCCCATCTGGTCCACCACCACCAGAACCACCGCCAGCCGCCTGACCTCCCTGTCTCGCGGTGCGCTTAATCACCCTCCATACACTCCCGACCCAGCCAGCCGTCCCGTTTCGCAGCTTACCCTTCAGCCGACTCGAGGCCATGAACACTACATTGTAGAGACACATGGCGATGTGCTCCGTGTAGGCCAGGCGAGCCTCCGTCCTGAAAAGGCTGAAGTCGATATCGCTGCAGGGTAGCATGCGGACGAGGGTCTGAGCTAGGTCGTAGAGGGTAGACTCCGGAATGAGAGTGGAAAGAAGACGACGATTGGAGTCGGGTTGGGCGAACCGCGCAAACGAGTCGAGGGCCCTGTGAGAAGAAGAGAGGGAAACGCCGATCAGCAACCGTTCCAAATCTCGCAATTTCCCACGCGCGAACTTACATCTCAGCATAATGCGGCACTCTGGCGGCCCACGGCACAGGGGCAGGTCTCATTGGCGGCGGCATGCCCGGCGGACCCGGCGGTGGTGCCGGTGGATAGTCGTAGATGAGCCCCGCAAGCTCCTCGATAGCAGCTCCATCGACCATAAAGGAGCAGAGCAGGTCGAAGAGGGAGGCCACCGTTGTGACAGGTAGCTCTGCGAGCTGCAGATAAGGTCCAGCGATGCTGGATAGGATGAAGAGGACGTCCTTGCGTACTCGAAGGAGCTCGGTGGTGGTAAAGACGTGCGAGTGTGGCGACGATGCACGGGCGTTTTGCTCCTCCTCACTGTCGTCCTCGCTGCGGTTGCCAGTTGACGGCGGCCTTTCAACCAGCTTTCCCAGCAACACCAGCAGCTGGCCATGATCGGCAAGCAGCTCAACGTTCTGACCCATCGAGGCAAAGTTGCGCAAAATGTCGACGACTGTTAGTGCCACATCGGCTTTGCGGCTCTTCTCGCGCTCTGCGAAGAGAGCGGTGGTGTATGAAAAGCCATTAGAGAGACCGTCGAGGCCCGCAGTGTCGAGTTCGCCGTCGCGCACGCCAGTAGTGGGCGCAGAACCCGAGCGACCATGCTTCACCCGCTTGAACATCTTTGCCTCTTCTTCCTCCTGCAGGGCATCGGCCACCCAGTCTACGTGTGTCGACCGGCCCGCGATGTCGAAAGAAGGTGGCTCGGCGCCATTGACGGCGGTATATGCACTGGCATCTTCCCCTGCTTCTTGAAATGCGGACCTCTCAAGCAACCCAACCAGCTCGTCCACCAAGTCACCACAATGCGCCAAGCTCACGTGAAACGCATCCGCCCTCACTCCACTCCCGGAGCTCAGCACCAAGAGTTGGTTGAGCGCAAAGCTCACCTCAATCTCGAGGCGCGACTTCAACGAGAACACCAGACTGGAGATGTCCACTGTGCCGAGCTCACGAACAGAGCGTGGCTGCTTGCCGTAGCCTCGAGCGAGAGGGGCGAGCTCACTTTCGACGGGATCTAGATTCCACGTCGCGTGAGTGTCCACATCCCGGCGGAGGGGAAGGTACTCTACTTTGTACTTGTTGGGGGGATGCACGACGGGCGGGGGAAGGGCTGGAGCGGACGGCTGTCTCGCTTGCTGCTGAGCGTGAGGCGGGCCACCGTCCATCGACTGCTGACCGAGCGGAGGAGCGTCAGGCGCCTGACCTTGCGGTCCAGCAGAGCTGGGTGGCCTTTGAGCCTGCTGCGCCTGCGCATTTGTCTGCGCGCTTCCCGCCCTGACAGCAGCCAGCGCCGCCGCCTGTTGTGCCGGATTGAGGTTGCCCTGCTGTAGCATCCTCATTGCCGTCTTGGGCGTGAGGTGAGGTGCAGCCGAGGGCGGTTGCGGCGGCATGGCTGCGGGACCGCTAGCTGGCGTCCCCGGGGCCTGCACTGAGCCTTGGCGACTGTGAGGTTTCATGTCGTTTGCTCCGCTGGCTCCACTTCCTGGCGGCCCTTCCAGCTTTGGCATTTTGGGGGTGGAAGTCTTGCCTGCTTTGCCAGCACCAGCAGGCGTTGCTGCCTGGCCCCCACTCTTGCGCGGTCGCTTTTTGCTGGCTGAGCTGCCCTTCTGGTCCGTAGACTCGCTCGTCGTGCTCGCTGCGGGGGTAGGAGCTTGCGCCGGTTCGCTGGACGGTCCCGCTTGAGGTTGAGGCTGAGGCGGAGGCTGCTGTTGCCCGCCTGGCGTACCGGCAGCCATCATCATGCCAGGTCCCTGCGGCTGCTGCTGCTGCTGCTGCTGCTGCTGCTGCTGCTGCTGCTGCTGCGACTGCCCTCTGATAGCAGCCTGTGCCTGCATGAAACGATTCCTCGCATCCTCGCTCGAGATCTTGCCCTCTGCGACACCCCGCTGTAGCTGGTGAGCGAGCTGCTGGATCATCTGCTGTTGTGCGGGGTTTAGAGCAGGTTGCTGCTGCCCTGGCTTGCCTTCTTGGCTGCCTGAAGGGCCCTGTCCTTGCGTTTGCGGCGGATGCTGAGACTGCTGATTCATTTGGACTTGCGGTGGCGGCTGCTGCTGCTGCTGACCGGGCATCATTTGCTGGCCGGGGTACCCCTGCTGAGGCATCCCATCGGGTCTTTGCTGCTGCTGCTGCTGTTGCGGCTGAGGAGCAGGACTTGGCTGTCCACTCTGCTGCCCTGCTCCTCTCGACTTGTTCATCCACCACTCCTCAAACGGGGCCAGTCGCTCCCTGTACCAATTCCTCAATCTCTCAGGTGTCTGCGCCGGCGTAGGCACCTGCTCTCTATTTCCCTCCCCTTGCGGATCAGGATTGGCCACAGCGAGACCAAGCTTGTTAGCCAAGATGATCCAGCCCGTCAGAGCCTGCGGCACATTGGATGAGGCGCCGGGAACTGTAGTGGAAGACAGCCGTCCGGAGCCGCCCATCCCTATGACCGATGCGAAGAGGGCGTTGAGCTCAATGTTGCGCGTGCCTTGGTCGCCGCCATTATTGCCTGAGCTTGGAGCGGGGCCAATGAAGGTGTGGGAGACGTTGGGTGGGAAGGGCGTGCCGCGCTGCGACATGAAGGAGCTGATGATCGCGGTGAATTGGGAGAGGTTGCTCAGACCGGGAGGAAGAGCGGAGGGCTGTGAAGGTGTGACTGGTGGCTGAGACTGCTGCTGCTGTTGCTGAGGAGGTCCTGAGGGATTCAGGCCTTGGCTTTGCTGCTGCTGATGACTCGACGAAGGCACGCTCTGCGGGGTAGCAGGTCCTCGCTGCTGCTGCTGCTGTTGATGATGGTGCTGAGACTGAGATTGCTGTTGGCGTTGCTGCTGTTGCTGGGCAAAAGCCTGCAGCGCCGCCAGCTGCGACTGATGCTGCGGAATGTCACCGGCGCCAAAGGGCATGCCATTCGCGCCTCCAACGGAGCCAGGTGTACCGGGGAAGCCTTGGTTCTGATTCGAGCCTTGCCCTTGGCCCATTCCCATCCCACCCTGACCAAACGGATTCATACCCGGCATCGGACCGGAGGAGGACTGATTCTGCATCTGGGCTGAAGGTCTCTGTTGTTGGCCTTGACCTTGCTGATTCGGTTGCTGATTCGGCTGCTGCTGGCTGGAAGGGGTGGGCGCGTTGGCCTGCTGAGGAGTAGCTGGCGTCTGCGGCTGCTGGGAGCCCTGCTGCGACCTCCCCATTTGAGCTTGCTGGCTCTGACTGCGCAGCATGTTGACCAGCTGATCATGCATCGCTTTCATCCGTCTCATCTCGTTGGCCAGGCGTCCTTGCTCCTGCTGCTTAGCGGGGCTATCTGGCTGGGAGCTGACGTTTGACCATTGCGCTTGAAGGTTGCCCATGTTGCTGCGAAGGGCCTGCAGCGGGGCGGAGAGCGGGTGCAATGGATCAGCGATTCATACTATGCCAATTGCGAAGCCCTCGCGGCGCTCACCTGAAGCATCGCCATGCCATTCTGTGGGGACAGACCAGCGGGGAGCATGCTGGGCTGGGATGATGATCCGTCGTTGCCTCCTCCACCGCCCCCTCCTGCGCTTTGAGGCATATTGTTTGGCATCCCCTGGGTGGACTGCTGCGAGAGCAGCGCCGGGTTCATCGACCCGCCCATTCCCATCATCTGGGACTGACCCTGCTGCTGCTGTTGCTGCGCCTGGCCGAGGGCAGCTTGGAGGGCTTGAGGGTTGATGCCAGCGGGGAAGCCATTGTTGCTTCCGCCGCCGCCAGCATTGCCGCCTGAGCCTTGCTGGTTCATGATACTGCGCGATCAGGCTGCGTTGACCTTCGGAGTACGCGAAGTGCTGGCTGTATGCTATGCCAATGCTACTGATCCTCGCGGATGCATGCGACGCGTTCGCGACGAGATGGCGTCCGCGCCTCTTGCAGGCTGATGGCGATCGTCCTTCTGCGCGACGAGGAGGCCGATGTGAGGACAAAGTAGGAGAATACGACACCACGAAGCCCGTCCTGCTCAATCTAGTGGTGCAAGAGCAGGCGCGGTTGATCGAGGATCGTGAATGCTGGAATGAGGGGACGGAAGGGGACGATGCGATGGACAGACGGAACTGGCCGCCTTCCTTGAGCCGCCCTGTGCCCGTCTGGCGCGACGCCGGGTGAGCGACCTCAAATGATCAAAGGCATTGCAATTGAAAAAGTAACGATACAAGTACAGATGTTCATTATAGGCAGCTCACGACTCGGTCATGCAAGTCGAAGGCTCGTACGGATAAAAAGCGTGCTGAAAGGGTATTGCTGCAGCTGACCGTCGTAGAGTGGGATATGCCTGTACCCTTCTCGCATGGCGCCGAGGGAGAGGATATACGATGCGAGTGCGGATCCGCTCGGCATGGGGGATGTCAAGGACGCTGAGGTTGATCGGGTGGATGGGGATGTGGACGAGTGGGCGATGTGAGAGGAAGCAAGTAAGGGAGAGGCGGGAGGAGGTGCGGCGAGAAGTGGTGATGAGGGCAAGCCTGCAGATGAAGAATCGGTTGTCGGCATCGTTGCAGACAAGCTGGAGGAGCTCGACGAATTTGGCAGTGGGGAGCTCGATGGTGACGGCGAAGGCCCATTGCCAGTCGCTGCGCCTCCAGGTGTGGCGTCCGCGCACACCTCAAATCGAAGAAAGGCTAGATCGAGCAAGCCTCGCGTCAAAGCCTTGACTCTCCCAGGATCGCTCGAAGACTCGACATCTGGGAGCTCCGACTCGCCTGCCGGGACGTCGATGCTGATGTTGAACGCTTCGTTCCACACTGGACTGAAGCCGTTGCCCTTAATGACGCTTGTTCTGAAAGTTGGTGTACCGCCGCCGGCATCGCTGCGGGATTTCTGAGGTGATGGGCTGTTTCCTTCGCCGGTAAGGAGCGGTTCGAGTTTGCTGTCGCTGCGATTCTTGAGGAGAGTTACGTTCGATGCAGGCTTGATTGGCGTCGTGCTGACGGTCGAGGACAGAGGCGCTTCGCGAGACCCTGGTCTGGCCAGCCCTGCTTGCTGCTCACCCTGCTCCTGCCTTCCCCAGCTCTCCGGCGTCAACAGCGATACACTTACAAACGGGTCGAGCACGTCGCCATCGCTTCTCTCCTTTTCCTTCACGACGTCGCGCATCCGCGGAAGCTGCTGCGCCGACACGATAGTCAGCTCGAGCACAACCCTGATTGACGATCTCGCGGGTCGCTTCTTTTCCTTCACCCTCAACGCCTCGGGCTTGCGCACGTATCCGACGCCAGCATTACGCGTAAACAAGGCCTGGTTGAGCGCGAAGCCCAGGTCCAGCGTCTGCCAATTGAGCGCAACTAGTTGGCACCCAACAGCCCACATGTGGTGCGGCAAGTAATTTGCACTCGTGTGCAGTCGAGCCAAGGAGCTCATGGAGGGATAAATCCTCGTGAGATGCGTGCGATTGTGCTTGATGAGATCCTCACGCGCACCAGATCGGTCACGCACGTACTTGAACGCCGTGCGCTCGCTCAGTGAGATCATGTGCTCTGGTGCGTAGACTTCTTTCTTGCTCAAACCGCGGTGCTTGACGCCGACCGTATAGACGAGGAGAGAAGCCAACTCTGGGGCGATCATGACCTTCTTGCCCCGCGATGCAGCAGCTACAGAGGGCGCTGAACCTACAGAGGAGGGAGAACTGCCGTCTTCGCCGCTGTTGCCATTGGTCCCGCTCGAGGAGCGATGTCCTGCTGCGGCAACGGACCGCATCAGGCCGCGAGCGTTGGCGAAGAAGCCGCCGTCGGATTCTGAATTAGTGTCCACGCCTGTTGAGCTGGCTGAGGGGTCCTCATCTGCTCCAAGAGCTTCGATGGAGCTCGAAGTTGTGTCGCTGCGCATGAAGCGGTCTGGATCGGTAACATCGATGTTCTTGGCTTTGATGAGGATCTTGCCTCGCAGCATCTCCGGTGAGGGGAGCCCGTCGTCGACGTTCGAAGCAACTCGCTCTGTGAGAAGCGCTGCACCTAACTTCTCACGCAGCATCTTCGCCATGACTGCTTGCTGCGATAGGTCTGCGTGCACTTCGAGGGAGAGGATCAAAGGATACGGCGAGGCGACAAAGGCGTACCTTGCGATAGTTGCCACGACGTCCGCAAAAGGCACCTTGGAGGTAAGAGTGCGGCCGTGAGTGATCTGAGGCTGGCCGTTCGGCCCATCCCAGCAGTCGAGCTCGACTGAGCGAGCCCCGGCTTGCAGTGCCCGCGCGTAGCCTTCGACGGTGCTGTCGCCCTTCCATTGACCTCGTACGAGATAGGTATTGTGGCTTGAGCTGATGTAGTACTCGCTGAGGGGGCGGCTCATGTCTTGCGGTGCCACTCGCTGATGAGCGCTGGAGGAGGTTTGCACAGCGAGGAGCTGCTCTGCAGTCTCTGCTTGGGCTCGTGATCGCGACGATGACGTGGCAGGCTGAGCGCCGGTGTCGCTATTTGGTACGACCATCGTAGCATCTCTCAGCACGATATTCTCGGAAGACTGTAGAAAATTGGCAAAGCCCTCGAGTAACATCAAGCTCTTGTCGCCCTGTCGGCTCGAGTACTTGCTGAAGGTCGAGGCTGTCCAGTCTGAAGCATGATCATGCTGGCGCTGCTCTTGTGTAATGAAAGTGCCGAAGGCTTCAAGAGACATGGCCTTGGAGGCGATGCCGCTCGATGGCTGAGGTTCTTCTGGCGCACATTGAGCCGAGGTCGCTTCGACCGGTTGAGGGCTAAGCGTCTCTGTGTCTGCCCAAGTGAGGAAGATATCCTCGATCTCTGGCCTCCTTTTGAGCACGGCGACGAAGCGCTGGAAGTCCTGAAAGTCGAGGTAGCCGCGTTTCTGCCAATCAGCAGCATCAAAGCTTCTGCGGAGGTCGACCGCGTTAGACTCAATACCCAGGCGACGGCAGAGTCGGACGACCTCGTTGAAATCCAGCTTATCGTCACAAGATGAATCAGCGATACGCCAGTTCTGCCGCAGCCAAAGAGCGTTTCGCTGCTCTAGCATCCCGAGTCCACCCAACAACTGCTTGCGCAGACTTTGCAGCTTCTCCAGGGTATCGCGCCAGCGCTGCAGCGACTCATCCGATAGAGCGATGAGGTGCAGACTCTTGTACGCTGCGCCCTGCTGGTAGATGATAGAGATCCATCGCGGCTCATGTGCAGCCGAAATGTTGAGCGAGATACGGAAGGAAGCCCCAAGTGCGCCAATGCGAACCTCCCTGATGGCCTCGAGGTTGATCTTGTTGCCCTTCTTGCTCGCCCAGAGGATCTGTCCTCGATCGGCGTCGAGTCGAAGGATGCGCTGCATGACCTTTTTATGGGTGACTTTGAGCATAGACTCGCCATCTTGCAGGGAAGTGGATACATCTAGTGCTGCGAGGCCCGGTGAGTCTTGTGGAAGGCTCGAGGTGCTCGAGGGTGGTGACGAAGCGGGGTTGCCGCCTTCATAAGAGCTGGCGCGGCTGAGGGAAGATGACGGCCGCTCGTTGGGCGCTGAGTTGGAGGCTTCACTCGTAGCGAGCTCGCCATCTTTGGACTGCATCTCCTTGAATGTCTGGCTAGCTTGTCGCCTCAGAACGTACGCTGACTGTATGCTAGCCAGCGTCTGTCCGACGGAGCGACCGAGGCTTTGCGGGCTGCCGCTGTGCGATGGCGAGGCTTCATCACTTGTCGCCCTCCTCACAGGAATCGGTCGCGATGGTGCGGTGCTGACGCCAGTTGGCCCTGACGTACTTGACGTACTTTGGGAGACATCGCTCACTCGACGACGATGGCGCTGAGCAGCATCATTGTGTTCCTGCTGGTGCGAGGCGGTCTCAGAAAGACGCTGAGCACTGCGCCCGCTACCGCCGAAGAGATTGGAGAGCCAGCTTGCCGAGTGTTTCTCTCCAGTCATCTGGGCTGGCTATGACATTGTTGGCTGAGCTGAACGAGGGTGTGAGAATGAAGAGCAACTGAAGGAGCGGGCAGTGTCCAAAAGACTGAAAGCTGGAGGTCCAAGTCCGTTGCGCAGGTCGGCCGCCGAGACAAGACGTGAGTGATGCACGGGCGCATGCGAGGCGAGCTGAGCATCAGGGCGGCGGCGGAGGCGGCGAGTCCAGCTTGAATGCTTTGCCATCGCTCCCATCTCTCCAACCCTCTTGCTCACCACTACCTCTGCAGGGATCTGCCACAGCTCGAGATGTCGTCTTCAACAGCACCAGCAACAGCAAGCGCTCCCGCCGCTTCCTCCACCAAGCCGTTCCAGACCAAGCTCGTCCTTCTGGGCGAGGCTGCCGTAGGCAAATCCTCCGTCGTGCTCCGATTTGTCTCCAACGAGTTCGCTGAGAACAAGCAGCCTACCATTGGAGCTGCTTTTTTGACTCAGAAGTGCAGACTGGAGGACAAAGTCATCAAATTTGAGATTTGGGACACGGCAGGGCAGGAGCGCTTCCACTCGCTCGCGCCCATGTACTACCGTAATGCGCAGGCTAGCGCTGTCATCTACGATGTCACCAAGGCGGTGAGTTGAGCAGCGAGCTTGGCATCATCTGCCGTGTTTCATCCGTCTGACAAGGCGATCCTCCCTCCCCCCGCGCAGAGCTCGTTCGAGAAGGCCAAATCCTGGGTCAAGGAGCTGCAACGCCAAGCCAACCCGAACATCGTCATTGCCCTCGTCGGCAACAAAATCGATCTTCTTCAACAGTCCTCGTCGTCCAGCAATGAGGAGGGCGGCGGCGATGACACAACAGTCGAGGCTAACGCCGACGGCGCTGAGGCGACGCCTGCTGCCAGCTCGTCTGTGGTTCGGGCTGTCTCCAAGGAGGAAGCCAAAGCCTACGCAGACGAGAGCAACCTCCTCTTCTTTGAGACGTCGGCCAAGACGGGCGAAGGCGTCATTGATGTCTTTACCGAGATTGCAAAGAAGATCAACCCGCAGGATATACAGCAACAGCAGCAGACACAGCAAGGAGGACGAGGAGCAGGGCAGGGAGCTGCTGGTGGAAGGCAGCAGGGTGGAGGCAATGTGAGCTTGCAAGATGGGCAGCAGGGAGGCAGGAGGCAAGACGCTTGTGCTTGCTAGTCTGTTGCGGCCCTGGATCAGGTCCTCGCCGCGCCTCGCCACGTCATGCCTCAGCTACGCCACGATACGATACGCTCCCATACCGCTATCATGCCCCCTTCCTTCATTTGTTCATGCCCTCGCCTCGTCCCTTTTCATCTCCTTGCTCGCTTTCACTTTGGTGCTCTCGATGTGTCCATCTTCTAGCCTCGATGCGCGGCATATATGCTAGTCGAATCAGCCAGTCATTTCCTCAGACGACGTCTTTTCTATTGCCAGACTGCGTATCAGTGCTCCAGCTCTACCCTCTTCCCGGGCGCCCACTCCCTGCACACCTTGGCGATGTTCGCCCAATACCTCAGCTGCGTCGCAAGCACCCTTGCGCCCTTCGTGTCCCCCTGAGCAAAAGCGCTCTTTAAGCCCTCACAAGCCTCATCGTACAGCTCCTGATTGGCCACGCGCACAGGTTCTACCTCGTCTTCAGCCTCGGCCTCCTCCAATTGCTCGCGCATCTCCATCACTTGCATGAGCAGCGAAGGGTCCTCTAGAGACTCTGCTTCATCCGGGACCGCCTCGCCTGCGTGTTCGAGGAGATAGTGGGCGCGCAGAAGGGGGTCACGAAGAGTCTCGTAGGCCTTGTTGATCAGGCTGCTCTGCGCTGCGGCGGCGGCTTGCTCGGACTCGGGCCGGGAGTGAAGGCGATCTGGGTGGAAGAGAGCTTGCTGCTTGCGCCAGGAGGCTTTGAGCGCTGCAAGGTCAACGCTCCACCCTCCATCGGGCGTGGAGGCCACGTCTCCAATGTCAAGTAGGGCAAAGTAGTCGGGCTCCCCAGTCGGGCCGCGAGGTATCGTCTTCTTGTCACTCGCTTGCCTTGCAGAGGTCGAGAATGATCTTGTCTTTCCACCACCAGGAGGCAGCGGCGGAGCCCCAGAACCGCCCATCGGGGGTGCAGGGTTATCTGCGTCCCCGCCTAGCACGTCCTTCAAATTCTGCTCAGCGCTTCCCCTCTTGAGCGGCTTGGGCTGCGACGGGTCAGGCTTCCATCCAATCAGGTAAATGATGCCAAAGGTAGCCGGGACAGTCCCGTCTCCGTCGACGTTGCCGTGCAGCGCCCGGTAGATTGCGTCTGCAGCGAGGAGGGTATCACGGCTGAGGATGGGCCGGCGATTGATGACTGCATTGCTTTCGCCCATGTCGCGGAGGTCGTGGATGAGCTCGAAGATGCTCGGGTACGAGACAGCTACCTCGTCCACGTCGACTGTAGGGATGGAGAAACCTGCGCGTGACAGTAATGACGCACAGTCCCTGCTATCGGTCATGGGGCTCACTCGAGGAGAGATGCCGCCCTCGCGTTCTTGCTCGGCGAGCTGGAGGCTGGTGCGCAGTTCGAAGAGGGTATCGCCTCCGAGGAGAGAGCCGACGAAAACGCCGTCTGGGCGGAGGGAGCGTTGAATCTGAATGAGAGAGCCCGGTAGATCATTAGTCCAGTGCAGAGTCGTGTTGCCTACGAGGCAGTCGACGGAGTCGGGCTCGAAGGGCAGCTCTTCCTCGTCGATTACGTGGCGCTCAATCTCGACTGGCGGCAACAGGAGACAGGTAAGGATTAGCTGATCGCTCATGAAAAGGGGACGACGGTATGTGGCTTCCAACGTACAAGGAAAGTGGCCATCTAAATGCTCATCGCGATAGAGAAGCTCTCGGCTCGTATCGCACATAACAATCTTCTTGCAGCCGGTCCCTTCCTTGTCCAAGAAGTGGCGCAAATACCCGGGCCCACTTCCGAGCTCCACTATAGTATCAAACTGCCGTCTGATATCCAGAATGCGCTCCGCGAGACTCTCGGCCGCAGCCATTCTCACGTAGTCCACTGTACGGCTTGCTGAGCCTCGTTGTCCACGGTCCTCTGCGCTCGCGCTTGCTTGCCCGCCGCCGACCTCAAAGCTCTCCCGCAGCGCTGCACGCGACTTTTGCAGCAGCTTGGCATTGCGGTCAAAGATGGTGAAGGGAGACCCTGGCTTGGGGGCGCCTGGCGCAGGGTTTGTGCGCTTCGACGTGGTGGCATCGTCGTCGGCGAGCGGGGACGACGACGAGGAGGACGTGGCGTGCCGGCGTGGCGGCAAGAGGGAGGCAGAAGCAGTCGCGCTGCGCCTTGGTGTGCGAGCACGGCGGCTGATGAGGCGCAAAGCTGCGCTGCTTGAAGCTGAGGGACCTGCCATTGCTCCTATCTCGATGGATATACGAAGGCAAAGGGGAGTTGACGGGACGAGGAGAAGAAGCTGGGCCTCCGTCGAGCGGGAGTGGAGGCGCAGCGCATCTTACATTACACGCCGTTCACGCCTTCGCAACTTACTCCTTGTCGCCTCAACGCACGCCGTTGCACTCGCTCGCCCCAACGATGATCAAAACAACCTCAAGTGTGAAGCGATTGCAATCCACTGAATTGTGCTTCGTGGGCGCCATCAGAAGATCATCGTCGACTCTTGAGTAGAAGCGGAGCAAAAAGAACCTACGGCGGGACTCGAACCCGCAGCCTTTGCCTGCCCCGCAGAAAAGAAAATAGAAGGGCAATGCGCTAGCCATTGCGCCACGCAGGCCATCACCGTATTTCGCCGGAGGAAGCTATCCTAAACTGCAGCTGAACGCGGCGTACTGCCGCGGACCCTCGCTGGATGGCCCGTGCTCGAACCGCAAGAACTTCCCGATTGAGAGTCGAGTGCGTCGCCCAATCTTGCCTTGTCTTGCCGCGAAGGGCCGGTAGAGGAGTGAGAGCACAGCCCAGAGTCAGCTTGCTCGAGCGCTCTCACATGACGATGACGATGACCTACGCCGCCTTTAATCGCTGTTCTTGACCGTCTTCGTGAGGGCTTCCTTTGTGCCGTCAGAGAGACGCTAACGTCGCTTCCACCTTCCGAGTTCCGGCCTTCTTTGTTGGCCTCGAGGACGATGCTCCGCGACAGACAATGCAATGACCTCGTGAGACACTCACAATCCATCGAAAGCAGTGCTCTTCGCCCTCGCCTTCTCGTGCCACCACACGTCGCGGCCGGCTAGACTAAGTTCAAGCGCTTGTACAAGCCGCCGTACATAGGCCTCTTCATTGTCCCCCAGTCTTCAGCCTCTCGCCTAGTAGCCTTGCTCTCACTTACGCGCTTGACGCGGCTCAATTGGACGACGCGGATGCAGTCCTGTCGGACCAGTCGACGCACTCCGATCGCGGGTGCGTTGCGTTGCGTTGCGTCTCGTCGTCTTCTGCTCCCGTCCCTCCAGAGCTCCCTGCCTCCTTTGCTTCCCTCACCTCACCTCTCGACGACTCGACTCGACTCAATCCGCTCCCTTGTTCCTTCTCCTCGCACTGCTCAGCATCGACGTACATATCTCTCCTCCGGTGCCTTCACTCCATCCTCAGCATACGCGCGAATACAAAAGGGCGGGCGTCGCGACGACTTCTCCCCCACGTCACGCAGCATCGTCGTCCCTCACCGCAATCTGGGTGAGGATTGAAGAGGAAGGCACAGCATCCATCCAAGCATCAAGACCCCGATTGTTCAGCATCTCGCACGCACGCATCCGCACACACGCATCCGCACGCACTCGCATGTAAGCATCGCCCTCCCTAGGCGTTGCTCGCTACCACCCTGTCTAACGTCGTCTTGCCTGCTTGTCACTCGTGTAGCCTAGCCTCTCTCGTCCGCCCGCAATGACCCCCGCCTCATCACGCACAGGCGGCCTCGCCTTCGGCATCCCGGCCCAGACGGGCGCACGAGCATTCAACGCAGAAGTGGCCGAGCACTTGCGCATCTTCCGCGACCTTATCGAGAAGGGAGAAGCATGCGTGGCCCGTTTTTTCCATATGGGGGCGTGCCCGACGGACTTGGGCTTGCAGCCGCTCACAACGTACCAGATTGCATTCCAAAAGACGGTGCGTGGTGCGAGGGCAGAGGCGGAAAAGACTTGGTGCTAAGAGGCTGACGTCGTAGTACCCCTTGGCCGCATCGCCCGCAGGCCTCAGTCACGAACCTGACCATCAAGGGCAAGCACGAGTTCCTGCCCGGCTCACATCTCGCAGAGGTTGCAGCAGCCAAGACTCCGCGACGTCGCAATGCCTCTGAGGGCAAGCTAGCTAAGAAGAGACGTCTTCAAGCCATCCGCGAAGAGGGAGAGGGCAGCGCTGGATCGGGCAGCGGTCAGCAGCAGCAGCAGCAGCAGCAAGCAGGCGAAGCTCAGGCGGACGACTCGGGCTTTGATGCTGATGCCTCAGGGGAGTACGACGGTCAGCATGGATACGAAGAATACGAGAGGGAGCAAGAGCAGCAGGACTACGTCCGCAGCATCAAGAAGCATTGTACTCCGCACGCCCGCGCAGCGAGTGAGGCGCCATACGAAGAAGGCGGATACGAGGTTGCTCACGACGACGGATACGTCGGCTACGAGGGAGACGAGTCCATGAACAGCATCGTTGTCAATCTCCACCCGCCTACGCCTCGCAAGCCGAGCAAGGTGAGTAGCAGTGATGGGGAGCATCAGTCACTCGTCCCATTCCCCTGATGGCTCAATCCTTTCCTCCACTCTCGCCGATCCGCAGCCGTCCTCACGTCGCCCGGGCCCACCCCGCTACTCCGCCCGCTTGCGCTCCGGCTCCATCACCCCTGCGACGTACGGCCTTGACGACCTGCGAGAGCCCTATCCCTCGATCCCGCCCTCAACAGCCGCGCCCAGCGAGTACTACTACGAGGACGGCGACGAGACATCCAGCATCGCTGCTGGCAGCGAAGCTACGACGCGCTCCAACATGACGGTCACCCAGGCGACGACGACCATGCCTGCTGGTGGCTGTCATCAAGGGTCACGGAGACGCTCTAGCCGACTCGCGAGCTTGCCTCCAGGCACCCTTGAACAGGACCCCGTACTGGACGCGGCCTACCAGCTCGATGGAGTGGCATTGGACGCAAACCAGAGCAACAGCCTGGAGGACATTTCCTACGAGCCCATCGACGATGTAGACATGCTGTCTTCGTATGGCGGCGGGTACAGCATCGCCTACTCCGATCCAGAGGAACAACGCCTTGCTCTCGAGCAGAACGCGGCAGAGGCAGCGAGGAGGGAAAGGGAGCTCAGGAGCCTTCCTGGACCACCAATGGATATCAGTGGTAACTTCGACGGTGAAGCTATGAGGGCTTGGCAGGCTGGGCTGGCCGCAAGTGGGGCGCAGATCAAGAGCGAGCCGGGCATTGGGCTCTAAGCCAGGATGGAGCAGCATGCCTTACCACGGTCAGGTCGTACACGCAGCAGCACACGCAGATGGCATTTACATCACTCAGCATCTAGTCTCTTCATTCACGTTCTCGCATCCTGTCTCGTCTCAAATCGGCGCTCGTATGACGCATTCAACTCTGCATATAAACTCGAACAAAGGAAGTCTCTTGGCCCGGACTCGTAACGCCTCACACCGACGCAACCACACCATGACAGCAACTGGCTTGCTTGCTCGCGTCTTGTCTGCTCGTATGTTTCGCTGTCGTTCTTGATTGGAATGAAAGTCTCCCTCTGTTGGTAACGAACAGGCTTGATATCGAGCATTGATGAGGATCGTAGATGGTGTCGCGCGACGTAAGCGGGAGCAAAGGAGGGGGGCCCGAGCGGACGGGAAGGGGAGCAAGCAACACCTCGATCCGATGCAGGTTGCCGATCTCTCCATTTCACCGTCCAACGACCGCACAGAACGGAGCATCGGGAGCCTCGAGCTCATCGCTCCTCATCCATCGCATCCATCGCATCCAACATCATCTAGAGCATCGACACATCGACAAGCGGGATGGAAGTCGCCTCCAGCACGCCCGCCATGTCCGCGAGCCCATCCTCTTCATCTCTCGCCCCTCCTCCTGCGACATCGTCATCACAGCAGCGAGCTTCTCCGCCCGCATCCTCATCTTCAATCTCCTCGAAGATCAGCTCACCGGCATATCGCCCCGGATGCAAGCATCTACGCTGCCTCCCGCCATCAGAGCTCAAGACGATGCTGAAGCGGTATGCTCTTGGCGTCAGGTGGGGAAAGAAGATCAGGCAGGGCTTGGTGCAGAATCTGGAGTTGGAGGAGGATGAAGATGAGCAGCAGAATCGTTGGGGATCCAGTACGCAGCAGAAGAAGGTGAGTGTTCCATGTTGAGACGCATCAATTCATCTTGCCAACCGTCGTGGTCGTGCTCACACGACTCACACTCTCCTTCCTGGCTTGCAGCTGCTCCCCCACCCGCTCTGCTCAGCTTGCTATGCAACGCTACACAAGCCCTATCTCTGTCTCTCCTGCGGCTATGCTGGCTGCTTCTACGGCTCTTCCTCCTCGTCATCGGCGGCAGTCTCCCAAGGATGCATCACGCGGCACATGACATCGACAAAGGGTGGCCACGACTATGCGATTGAGCTTCATTCTGGCCTGTTGTACTGCAATCAGTGCCAAGGAGCAGTACATGATCCAAGGTTTGAGGCCATCTACCATCGAGAGAGGGCGCGAGCTGCAGGGATTGGTGGGAGCAGTAGCCGTCATCCTCTTCTCATGGACTACACCGACAACGACGCTGAGAGCAGTCCGGCAGTCACTTCGCTCCCACAGCATCCGATCTCGTCGCGAGTTCCCCGAGGCATTCACAATCTTGGAGCCACCTGCTTCCTATCGGTCATTCTTCAGAGCTTCGTGCACAATCCTGTGCTCCGCAACTATTTCCTCTCGGATCGGCATAACTCTGACTTGTGTGGGCATGCTGCGGGAGGGGAGTCCTGCGTAGCGTGCGAGATGGATCGGCTATTCAGAGACGTGAGTGGTTGTGACAATCTCCTCAGAGCAGGCCGACACTAAGATCCTCTCCTCCCTTCATGTACGCAGTTCTTCAACCACGACGCACACCCACGCACCACCCTGCAGCCGCCAGCTCCATCCCCATGGACACCCAACTCCTTTCTTTACACCATCTGGCGCGCTCAAGCGCAGGAAGGCTCCCATGAGCTTTCTCAAGCAGGGCAACAGGACTCGCACGAGCTCTTCATCTCTGTGCTCAATGCGCTGCACACTGCCTTAACAGCCTCGGGGAGCGACCCGAAGACGAGAAAGGGTGACGTGCCGAGGTGGAGGAATGAGAACGATCGAGCAACGACGGACAACGGGGCGAATGGCAGTCACGAAGCCAATGGGCAGCACCATCATGCCTCTGGCCCGTCGACGGGCTTTGCCTCCCGTCTATGCGACTGCCTCATTCACCGCACGTTCGCCGGTGTACTCCAGTCGGACGTTCGTTGCCTCGTCTGCGGGTATCGCTCCTCGACGCACGATCCTGTCCTCGATCTTTCCGTCGACCTCAAGGGTCCCGCGTCGACAACGTTCAGCGGCTCAGATGGAGGTGCACTCTTCGACGATGCGGACCCGCTTGATCTACTAGAGGGACCGGCGAGCAAGAAGAAGAAGGGACCTGGGGGCCAGGCGGCTGCGGTGCTGAATGGCGGGGCGGCAATGAAAAAAAGCAACTCAAAGCAGGGCTCTCTGCTCCCTCCAACAGGCAGTACGTCCTCTCCGTCGCGCAAAGTCTCCCCAGTAGGCGATCTGGACGGCCCACCAGCGCAGGATCTACTACACTGCCTGCGCCGTTACTGCACGTCTGAGCGGCTCCCTCCCTCATCCTATTCATGCCCGCAATGCGGGCCAGTCGAAGCGTCCAAACAGCTCAGCCTTCGCCGTCTCCCGCCAGTGCTCTGCATCCAGCTGAAGCGCTTCGAGCATCACTTGCTCGGGAACAGCAGTAAGGTCGAGGCCAGAGTGCGCTTCCCCCTAGGACTGGACGTGAGAGAATTTGTTACTCCGAGCGTACTCGAGAGAGGAGAGCGTGCTAGAGATGGTGGGAGGAAGGGAGGGGGAAGAAGGGCAAAGAGAGAGGGCAGTGCGGGTGGCGAGGATGATGAGGGGGAGCGCAGTGCAGAAGACGAGGAAGAGGACGACGATGGAGCGTCAGACGATCCGCTAGCTATCGAGTAAGTGCACGAGTTCGGCCTTCGACGAAGCATGACCAGAGACTGACTCTTCACCCTCTCTCGGCGTACCCGCAGCGACTTCCTCTACTCCCTCTTCTGTGTCATTGTGCACGAGGGTACGCTCAACACGGGCCACTACTGGTGCTTTGCGAAGTGGCAAGACAACTGGTATCGCTTCAATGATGCTGAGGCGCCGAGAAAGGTCAGCGTGGCGGAGGTGGTTGCCCAGGAGAAACAGGTGTACCAACTGGTTTACGTGAGGAGGGGGCTTGAAAACGTGCGGTGAAGCGGCAAATTTCGCCCGTGAGATAGGAAGAATAGCACTGCATTAGTACGAGTCAAGGAAGCCTCCAGGGTATTGAGATAGAGGTGGAGGAAGACAGGAGCGCACCGAGCCAGGTCCTCACGCTCACTTCGTCTTCTCCTCCATGAGCTTCACGCTGAGGTTCCACAGCTGCTCACCAAGCTTGTCATCCTGGCTCAGCTTCGTTTGAGATGACTTTTGCCCAAATTCGGCTCGATAGACATCCCAGCTACCTTCCTTCTCCACCTCGGGGCTAGTAGCGCCATACAATGGGGAGAGCGCTCCGTCCTCTACGGGCTGGAGGACGTACTTCTTGAGGACAGAACGACCTGGCGTGTACTTCCACAGTTCGGAGTCGATGACGCCCGGGTGGACAGCGATTGCGTGGACGCCCTTGGCGGCGTAGCGAGCATTGATCTGGCGTGCGTGGAGGATGGCGCAAAGCTTGGCTTGAGAGTAGCGCATCCACGTTGCGCTTTGCTCGATTAGCCCGAGCTTGCGGTTGACGGTGGAGAGATCGGAGAATTTTGGGGATTGGAAGGGGTTAGAGGATATCATCTTGTGGGCGATGGAGGAGAGGAGGACGATGCGCGAGGCAGGGATTGAGGATGCGTCTTGGGTGGCACGCGCCTTATGACCTGCTTCGAGCAGGGGCAAGAGCTCTTCAGAGAGTACGAAGTGGCCCAGGTAGTTGGTTTGGAACTGGGTCTCGACGCCATCCTTTGTGAGCTCGTACGGACAGGCCTGTGCGCCAGAATGGGAGACAAGGGCTCAGCGCTCGTTCGGGTCGCGCCTCTCGGTACTCACCATTAGCCCTGCATTGCAGACCAAGATGTCCAACTTCTGCTCCTTGCTCGCGACCTCGCGCGCTCCATCCCTCACACTCTGCAGATCGCTCAAATCCACCCGAACGAAATGCAGATCCAGTTCCTTGCCTGCATTCTGTTCCTTGAGCTCCTTGATGGCCTTCTCACCCTTTTCTGGGGAGCGCGAGGCCATGTAGACTTTGGCCCCATGCAGGGACAGCTGCTTGACTGTTTCGAGGCCAATGCCGCCATTTCCCCCTGTAACGAGGGCTGTGAGGCCGGTGAGGGAGGGGATGTCGCCGGCGGTGAAGTGATTCGAAGAGGGCATGATGACAGAGTGGGTCTACAAGAGGTTGAAGAGGAGGGAGTTGTACTGAAGTGAGGTGTCCTTTTTAGAGCTCGGGCGTCGAACGGGATCAACGTCTGTCGCTCTTTCAACTCAGGGTCCTTGAATTGAACGCCTCTTTCGTCACAGTCCGGAAATGGGCAGGGGATGAATGCTCGGCTACGGTTGAAAATTGACTTTCTCTCCGCCGACCTTTCGATTGAGATGAAGTGGAGGAGAGATGCAGCGGACTCCGGATGACGCTCGACACTTGGCCCCGAATGCAGACACGGTTAGTGGGACAGACGACACAAGGAGGAAACGAGCGGGCTAGCATGCACACTAGTCTAGCGTTGGTCGCCAAGAAAGCGATGTCAGTGATGGACCACAAGTTGCTCATCTCCCATGCGCTTTGTTCAAATGACAGGTGATGGGAATGACGACGGGCTCTGCTTTCTGTCCTGGTACTCAGCCCGACGTCTCCCACATCGTCCACCTCTCCCTCTCGCCGTCCTCACTTGCCAAGACCAGCGGGTGCACTGTTGCTCCTCTGCATCCCAGCGGCCCTTCTGTTCGCATCTGAAAAGTCGCGCACGATGATATCGCACGAGACAAGATTGCACAGCTGCTTTGAGGAGGTCTTGACCGTTGACGGGAAGAGATTCAGGCCGGAGGCTCGCTCGACTGCCTCAACTGCGAGCGCGAAAGACGAATTCCAACGGTTAGCCTTCAGACCTTCATCGTCTGATCATGATCTGGGACTCACCTGGTACCACAAAGCTCTTGAGCGGCGTGTCGTTCGATACACGGGCATTGGGAATAACAAAGGCGCCAAGGCCAACCCACTTTTCTCCAGCCAGATTGCCTGCCAGGCCTCTTGGTGTAAGATGGGTTGTGGAGCTCGAAGGAAGGGCCCCCTTGACGTCGCTTCCTGGCTTGCCCACGCCCAGGACTACCTTGGCGAAATGGGTCGGGACGCCAACGGAGGGTGGAGAGCCGATTACCCTGCGGCCGCGATGCAAGAGGGCGATTAGCCATCGGAGTCACTCCTGCCGCAGCTCACGTCGTCGTACTCACTCGTAGCTGACTCGCCACTTGCCGTCAGAGTCTTGCTTGGGCAGGTAGAGCGGCACAGTAAAGCAGTAGACGTCCCTGAACTGCCCGGTCAATCTTCTAACGAAGTCCTCCGTGTGTGCCCAGTAGTCCCGATTGAATCCCTCGCCGACCTGAGGCGCAATATTGGTCAGGTAGAACGTCTCGTCCATTGCCTGTTGGGAGAACTTGGCATCCGCCGCAGCCACCATGTGGCCGCGATCGTAGCCGCTGCGGAAGTAGTCGGCGAGGTGAGCACGAAAGAGGTCAGGAATGCGAGAATCCTCTTTAAAGACTGAGTTGCTGCGATCACCCCGGGGTGGCGGAGGCGTGCCCGGCGGAGGAGGGACCTTGAGGAGGGACTCAGCTGTCATGTGGCAGGCAACCTGTAGAGGGATGCAGAGGGACAGGTTAGCTTCTATTGGTAACAGGCAGTGGTGTTGGGTGTACGCACCCAGCTAGGATGTCGTAATCGGCGATCATAGCCGGCGACGTAGGCGGTGTTGACGAGAAGGTCAGAGACGGGACCTGGCGTGAGGATGAGACGGGAGAGTGTAAGTATATGCGCTTGCCTCCGCTCCTTTGCTGCTCACCTGGGTATCCCGACGCCTCGATTGCTCCTCCTGCCGCCTGAGCTGCCCTTGCGAGGAGCCTGCGGTCAAGAAGATCAGTGTCGAGAAGGTTTGAAGTAGCGCCAGGCGGTGATGGAGTAGCCCCTGGAGCAGGAGGTGCGGGCACACCAGTGGCAGTCGTCTTTGTTGGCGGCACTTGCTGCTGCTGCTGCTGGTGTTGCTGCTTGTCCGACTTTTTTGAATCAAAGAGAGTAGCAATGACGGCTCCCGTCAGTCCTCCCAGACCAAACAGGCCGACCAGAGTGGCCGTTCTAGTTGACGCCATGAGGTCAAGTGCTGAGGTCAAGGGAGAGTCAAGGCGGAACGAGGACAGTAAAAAAGCGAAATGCGAGTGGCCCCAGCGAGCCGCGGACAAGGCGGAGACGGAGACGGAGACGGAGGAGCTCGCTCCCCCCGCACATGACTGAGCGTCAGCACAACGCCGAGCTCCTTTCTATTCAACCACACATCGAACAAAGCATCTTCACCATCAGACCTCGGTCGGGTGCTCTCCGCTTTGATGTCACGCCCACACGCGCTATCAGCCTCGCCATCGTGACGGGCCCTGCCGCGTCGACCTCTGACTTCCCCACCGCCACCCGGGCACTATGTTCGCCCTCCCCACCTTCCTTGGCGGATGGGAGCTGCCCACGCTCTCGTCCTACACCAGCCTCTCCTCTACCTTGCAGAAGCGCATCTTCTCCTTCGTCTTGCGACGGCTACTGGGCAGGTACGTCAAAGAAGGGCAGCTCGACTGGAACCAGATCGAGGCCGGCATCACGCGGGGCAGCCTCGAGATAAGCAATGTCGAGCTTGATCCTGCAGCAATCAACCAGCCTCTGGATGGTACGCCGCTGCGGGCAAGTGGCTTGGTCGTTGGGAGTATCAGTATGCAATTACCTCTCACCAACTTGCGCTCGGGCGGCATCTCGATCACAGTTAAGGAGCCGCGCCTCCGGCTTGAACTTGCACCTACCGTCGCCTCACGACAACGGCCGGGTCCGAGCAGTCAATCGCCATTAGACGCACCAGAGTCATTGGCAGACTTGGCTGAAAGCCTTTTACATGACGACGTCGAGGGCAGACAGCTTGAGCAGTCTATTCAAGACTCAATGTTGTCTGAGGACGACACAGCGATACCCGGATCAGTCGCATCTGGACCGGAAGCGCAAGACGCTCCTCAGGCGGGTGGCTTCGTAGCTGCCATCATTGAGGGCCTCCTTGCTCGCCTTTCCGTCAGCATACAGCGACCAAGTATCGTTCTTGAACATACCCCTGCAACTTCACAACTCGGCAAGGTGACTTTGGACCTCACAGCAGACAATATCGAGCTACAAAGCGAGACGAGCGAGGAGGCCGCAGGCGTGGATGATGCCTTACCTGTACGTAGCAAGATGAGGAAGCTTGAAGTCTCAGGTCTAGCACTGTGGTGCACATGCTCTCCCACAGAAACAGGCAAGAAGCCGCGTCCCCCCTCCTCAGGCTCAGGCTCAGGGTCAAGCGAAGATGATGACGACGAGGATTCAGAAGGGATGATGCAGATGAGCCAAGCCGTGCAGGATCTCTCGCTGAGCACGGCCTCGGCCGTATCGCATTACAGTGACGCCACTGCTGGGTCGGCGAGCGTATATGAGAGCGCTGAACTACCAGCCGCAAGAGGGGAGGAAGCTGTTCGACATCGAATCCTCAGCTTTGGAGAGGAGCCTATCATCGTTAGGATGACGACGCAGAGGCCTGTCTGTACTGTTCGAGGAACAGGCGCAGCATCAAATGCGACGGCAAGAGAGCCAATTGTGCGCAACATCGATTTGTCAATCGAAGCTGGCACACTTGCTGGCTTGGTGAGACCGCAAGACGCCTGCGGCATACTGAGCCTCGTCAATGAGCTGAACTGCTTAATGGAAGGACAAGGGCAGCATCGAGACGGAACAGCTGCGCCAAGGTCCACACAGCCATCCACGGTTGCACTGTCGGCAAAAGTATCCCTTAAAGCCGCGCATCTCCTGTGTGCCTACGGCATGGTAGAAGCAGACTCGAATCGTCAGACCGGGCTGGATGCCTTCTGGGCTCGCCCTAGTCGAACGCAGCCGCCGTTGGACCATTTGCGCCTCAATTTGTCCTCTTTACTGGTTTCATTCACTCAGCAAGCAGGACTGGAGTCCAAGTCCAATCTAGCATTGAGAATTGCCGATACTGACCTGATGGATCACCACCTCTCTACCAAGTCATCTAGTACGATGGTCACACTACCCATTCTCATCTTCGAGCCCTCGCTCGGCGAGGAAGCTCCGTCATCTCTACTCGATTGGGTACAGCTCGCCCGCGAGTCAGCGTTCAGCACCAACAAAAGCTCCTTCCAACCGTATACTCGCACCACCTTTGGCGAAAGGGCCTGGCGTCTCAAGCCTCGACATCGTCGAGGATCGAGCAAGACGGCGGAGACGACGGAGAGCGGGGCGGAGAGTCCCAAACACAGTCTGGCGGTTGATGGAACATTCTCTACCTCAGAGCAGCTATCTTACTCGGTTCACTTGGGCGCCATGCAGTTCTTCGCGGACCTCTCGATGGTAAGCCGCATAATGCCCTTACTTCACTCGCTTGGGTCGGTCCATTCAGCGAGATCGCCGCCGCCCTCATCGATGGGCGGCAGCAGCTTGATGAGTTCGATCGAGACGTTACACGCTGAAAGGATAGCAGACGATGACGTGCAGGCAAAATCGCCAGTCGCGCTGACGCTCAATTGTGAGCTGATCAGAACGCATGTCCGGGTGCCGAACAAGCATGGCCGTGAGCAAGATGGGCACAACGACGCGACGAGTCTTCGGTCTGGTCTCCTTGCAGTGGACATTGCGGACGTTGGCTTCGTGCAAGGGGCACCATCTGGAGTTGCAGCTACGCCTCCACCTACTGGTTTGCGCGTGCGGTACGCAGAAGATACGAGACCAGCTGAGCCCTCAGCAGAAGTTTCAGTTGGACACATAGCCGTCCACTTCCAATCCAGTGTAGCGGGCGCCACCGTGAGCACCATCGCGAACGTCGGCCAGCTCGGACGCCAAGACGAAGAGTCGACCCCACGGCTACGGCCACGCATTCAGCTACCGGATGCAACATCGAGCATACGCAGTATCACCCGAGCCTTTGTCCCCCTCTGCACGGCCAGCATTAGCAAGCCCACCCTAGATGGGCTCGCCCTCATGGCGGACGATGCAACGGCGTGGTCCGCCGACCTCTCGCGAATAGGAGAGAGCTCGCAAGACGAACAAGACGGCCTGCGCATCCTTGGTAGCCGCTTCTTTGGCTCGCGGGTTGGGCTGGCGTCTCCATCAATGAGCAGCGACTCGATCAACACAGTGCAAGACGCTGGGCAGAAGAAGGGAGCTTTCGAGCTGAATATGACCGAGGCGGAGGTGACTTTACTCGTGCCGAGACAAAGCGCCCGTTCCGCCGGCCAGGAAGCATCCCCTCGCCAGCTCGATGTGATTGGCAGAGATATGCGTCTCTTTTTCGATCCCTCGCACGAGAAGGACACTGCCTCCCTCACTCTGACGCTTCTGGCCCTCTTCATTAAGCAGCGGGACGCTTCCCTGCCTCTCCTGACTCCAACCATGGAGCAGTCCCTCACACGCGGCGTCACGCCCGTCCTTTCGCTCAGCATGGTTCTCTTTGCCGACTCGGCTAGCTCACGGAGGGAGAGCCGGATCGAGCCTCTCGTCCGCGACCTGACGGTCAGTGTCACGGAGGACCTCAGCCTGTTCGCGGATTTGGGAGCCTTCTTTCAGTCTCCGGCCGGAGCATTTGAGAACGTGGAGCCGAATGAGTTGACGAGGCTCATGGTCAGGCTGAAGAATGTTTCGCTCCAGCTTGCACCAGCCACGACGCCAGCACGCGCTGTTCTCCTGCTTGGGGACATGCAGCTTCGTAGCCGGCTCGTGGGTGATTCGCCGAGGAGTAGCTATACCTTTGCCTTTGCGGAGACGATTGTACTCGTCGTCGATGAGGCAAACCCGTCAGTGGAGGAGAGACGCTTTCGCATCAAGCGCCCCTTGGATCACTGGGTGGCGCAAGGGTTTGCGAAGGTGCTGCGAGTCGATGATATACAGGGCAGTGTGACGATGAGTAGACTGACCTTGCCCGATGTGGATGTCAAGGTCTCCCGGGTGAGGGCTGAGCTGAGTGCTTGTGCTGATACGGCACTCGCCTTTGAACCTTTAGCTGCGGCATTCAGTGCTGGGCAAGCCAGCCAAGGCATGGCCAGCGATGCGGAAGAGGCGACTGGGGACACCTCGATGGACAGCTTCGACGACGGCGACGATGCAGAGCGGGGAACAGGGTCAGCCAACATCCTCGACAGTCTGGATGAAGATGCCTTTCGCGGCAAGGTCCTGCCATCGGCGGCATCTATTCCGGACATGCTTGACGACGATATTCCGTCACATCCAGCATATTATGGTCACGAGCCACGTCAGCCCACAGTTTACGTGGAGACTCCCTTAGCAGAGGACGAGTTTTTCGGCGCCGAGTCTATTGCCTCGATGGTAGAGACGGAGGCTGCCTCTGAAACAGCCAGTGGTCGAGGCGGCGAGCGATCACAGGCTCCTGTCTTATTCTCGTCGAACATCGTCACCATCCGGTCCCTGGACCCTCGTGGCATCCGCCCCACACCTGGCTACTTCAGTCGTTCCGACCTCACGCCTGCATCGCGCAACCCATCCGCCAACCTCGCCAGCACTCTCCGCATCCGCGTATCGGACTGCGACATTACTCTCAAGCTGCATGGCGGATATGACTGGTCGTCCACGCGCATCGCAATTGAGGATGAGATTAAGCGGGTCCGTCGACGATTGCAAAAGATCAAGCAGCTGCTCGACGAGGGACAGCAGCCTGACGACAGTATTGAGGAGGCCACGCAGGGTCTGATGGAGTCGATACACATCTCGGCGCCATTCGATCCGAGAGGGGCCGAGGTGGGCCAGGCCCTTGGGGCATTGAATGCTGAGTTGGAGGAGGAGCAAAGTGAGACGGCGAGCTCGACGAGTACGTGGCAGCCGCTGCCACGTGGACAGCAGCGAAGCGCAGCAGGGTCGGGTGCCTTCGCTGCTACTACGGCCGCGGTCGCAGCCCGCCGCAAGCGCTCCAAGCTAGAGCGGTCCCACTCTTCGCAGATCGATATCGCATTCCGCGGCTTTGCTCTGGAGTACGACGTCTTTACCTCAGGCTCGCCTCTGACTTCCAACCTCGACGCCAGTGCAGCGTCGGTGCAGATCCTGGACAACCTCAAGACGTCGACTTGGCACGCTTTCCTGACGGAGATGAAGAGCAACAAGCATCTGCCCGAGGCCAGCAGGCGAGGCGCGAAGATGCTGAGGGTCCAGGTGCTCGGGATGCCGACAAGGAGGGGCCGAAGGCGAGGAGGGGAAGGCGGCGGTGAGCAAGCCTCATCAAATCCTTCGGAAGTCGAGCTTCGCGTTCGCGCCAAGCTTTCCCCTCTCCGTCTCCACGTAGACCAAGATGCGCTCGACTTTCTCAAGAAGTTCTTCGCCTTTGAAAGGCGCGGCACAGTGCCTCCAAACTCATCACCGCGCCGATCTCCTTCAGGCAGTGCACTTCCCTACATTCAATATGCGGAGATCCTACCCATCACCCTCTGCCTTGACTATAAGCCGAAACGCGTCGACTACTCCCTGCTCCTTCGACAGGGCAAAGCCATCGAGATGATGAACTTCTTCCACTTCGATGCGGCCGAAATGACGTTGCGCCATATCAAGCTGCGAGGCATTGCTGGCTGGCCACGGCTCTTCGACACGCTCAATGATATTTGGACGCCGGACGTCAAGGCTAATCAGCTTGCCGATGTCCTGGCGGGGATTGCGCCACTGAGGAGTGTGGTCAATGTCGGGGCTGGTGTGGCGGACTTGGTGCTGTTGCCGATCGAGCAGTATCAGAAGGATGGTCGATTGGGCAAGGGCCTGCAGAAGGGAGCGAAACGATTTGCCAAGGCCACGGCGCTCGAGGCTTTTAGATTGGGGGCGAAGCTGGCGACTGGCACGCAGGTGGTGTTGGAGAGGGCGGAGCATGTGCTTGGAGGAAGAATACAGGGTGTGGCGGAGAGTGGTCCGGCGACGAGGAGGGAGAAAAGGCGGGACAACAGGGGCAGCGACCGCGGATCGAGCGACGAGGAAGACGATGACTACGAGGATGGTCTGGTCTCAACGATCATCGACCCCTCGGCGACCAACTCCTCAGCATCCACGTCAGCTCAGCCTCTGAGCAAATACGCCTCTCCACCCGCCTCAATGGGCCAAGCTCTCTCTCAAGCCTACACAGGCTTGCAGCGTGGCGTCTCCTCGGCGGCGCAGACGATCCTCGCTGTGCCAATGGAGGTGTATGAGAGTGGACAGCCGGGTAGCCCTGGAGGAGGAGGAGCAGGTGGCAGTGGCGGTCGCACAGTGGTCAGGGCAGTGCCTATTGCCGTGCTGCAGGGAGCTAGAGGAGCTAGCGAGGCCGTCAGCCGGACAATGATGGGGCTGGCGGGGGTGCTCGAGGGTGGCCAGCCATCGCAGGCGCGCAGCGATTCGCAGCGCATCAAGGAGAGTGGCGGCATGAGCTCGCGTATTGACGAAACTTCGCGACGAGGCGGCGATGACCCAAGGGCGATGGCTGGGAAGTACAAGCAACGACAATCTTGAGAGGCGGTCGAGCGCTGCCCAAGGAGTGGAGGCGAGTTGAGACCAGACTGTAGCATCACATCACATCACATCACATCACATCACTTCCTGCCTCATCCACGATTGCAAATAATGATACATTGCCCCACGCCACATCTCATCTCGCTGCCCTATTCGCCCCGGCCTCCCTCTGCTCTCTCACCAGCGCCTCGAGCGCCGCATCGTACCTTTCCCTCAAGGGCTCCAGCTGCTTCTCCGTGATCCTTACCCTCTTGACCCTCTCCAGCCTCTTGAGCTCATCCCTCAACAGTCCCTTGAAATGGCGGGCTTCCTGCTCTTCCACCAAGCTCCACGCATGCCCCTCCCTATTCGCACGCGCAGTCCTACCTACGCGATGAACATACTTGGCCGCATCCACCGGTACGTCATAGGAAACGACGTGCTCCACATTGGGGACATCGATACCGCGGGAGATGAGGTCAGAAGCGACCAGCACGTCCACTTGACCGGACTTGAAGGAGCTGAGAAGCTCTCGACGACGAGCCGGGGGTAGATCCGAAGTATAGTTTGCGACTTTGAGGGAACCACCAGTGCCAAAGAGCGTAAGGAGACGGACTAAACGATGCGCCGAGTCGACGGATTTGGTGAAAATGAGCGTCTTGCGCATAGGCTCTGGGTGTTGATGGAGGAGCAGGTGAAGGAGGTAGAGCGGCTTAAGAGCCGTCGTGACGACTATCATGTTTTCGCGCAGGGAGGCGGGGAGGGAGAAGCGAGCCGGCAACGTCGTCGTCGTAGCTGCAGTTGAATTCTCACGTTGCTCCTTCTCGGCCTGCGCGTCGTCCCTTACGTCAATGAAGACCGGGTCGCGAAGGCCAAGCTCGGCCAGTTTGCCTGGCTCGCGAGTCAGCGTAGCAGAGAATAGGAGCTTCTGTACCACGCTCTGTGGCGCGATCGGGTCATATGCTTGTGGGTAGACGATGTCCTCGTCTTCACCGGTCAGGTGGCCCTCAATACTCTCTCTCAGCCTTTGCGCCCAATTATGGAAGCTTTGCCCGAGTAGACGATCGGCCTCGTCAATCACTAGGAAGCGAAGATGACGCAGTGTGAAACCCTCGGTCTCGTCTAGGTGGTCGATAAGTCGACCGGGCGTGCTGATCAGAATGTCCAACTTATCCTCCCTTCCCACGAGGGCCTGCTCAGATGAAAAGCTCTGAGCACCAGTGACGCTTCCCACCTGTAGGCCAGTGCCCTTTGCCAAAGCTTCGAGAGTCTCACGCACTTGCAGGACGAGATCTCGCGTTGGTAGAACGATGACTGCGCGTAGCCTTGTAACCACTCGAGACTTCAAGTGGGAAATGATGGGTATTGAGTAGGCGAGCGTTTTCCCCGATCCTGTTGGGGCGGAGACGCACAAGTCTCTCGGTGGGGAGAATGGTGAGGGGAGGGCGGGCGTAGAGAGCAGGTGTGGGATGACCGCCGTCTGCACTGCAAACCAGGAGGTGACGCCGAGCGAGGCAAGGCGGGTTACCATGGCGCTGTCCAGGTGTGCGCCTAGGGAGCGCAGGAGTGAGGATGAGGAGTCGTCTTGGGCCTCGACTGCGCTGGTCGTGCTGGCCCCGACGATCTGAGGCTGGACCATTCCGCGGGGTAGACCTTGGACGGCGAGGGCTTGTAGAGCTTCGGCGCTATCGACGTTTGTCTCTGGGTTTCGGGTGAGTGGAGCGAGGAATTGCAGACCGGCATCGACGTCGCGTGAGGTCTGGTCTGCAGGGGTTTCTTCCTCGGAGGAGCTTGAGCTCGCGCTCGAGTCTGAGTCTGAGCCCGAATCCGAGTCCGAGGACGAGGACGACGAGGATGAAGAGGATGATGAAGCGGCTGCCTCTGCGGCTGGTACCACCTCCTTGACAATAGGCTCCATCTGGGTGGGGACAACTGTAGCCGGCGCAGCCTCATCCTCCTCGCTCGAAGAATCATTATCGCTACTCTCCTCCTTCTCGTCCTCACGCGCGGCAACTTTGGCCTCCTTCTTGCCTCCTCCCACCCCAGTCGCCTTCTGTTTTGCCTTTCTCCTCAATTTCTTCTTCTTGAGATATCTCTGCTTGGCTTTCGTCTTTTCTCTCGCTACACCGGCGGCTTGTGCTGCCTTTTTGACTGAGCGGGCAAGGATAGGTGCTTGCGCGAGACGGGAGGGATGTATCGAGGGCATGGCTGATGGCTGGTTGGCTGGTGCTGAAAGAAAGGTATCTGAAGATGAGCCAGCCGCAGTGGCAGGGGCGGAGGAGGAGGGTGAAGGGTCGGAGCCATCCTGCGTATCGCGTTTGCGCTTGCGTTGCGCTAGAGCGGCGAGACGTGATGATGATGATGATGATGATGATGACGCAGCTGGTGCTGATGATTCTCCAGACCCGTTCGGCGCCGCTGTGGCATCGAAGCGATTGAGAGTGAGCATCCTCGTTGCCCGGTGTGGAGAGGTGAGGATGATTGAATGCTAAGTTGTGCAGCTTCCAAAGCCACTGGCCCAAAATTCAAGGAGTTGCAGGGCGTCGGAAAGGGCTTTGGGGTCGGAACGGGACAAGGGATGAGCGGAAGGCGGACGGACGATGGAGGATGACGATGATGGCGGCGTCAAAGTTATTTCATTCATTCATTCTCACACTCGTACTCTCATCTCAATTAACCATGGCAGGACGAGGACAAGACGGATTCATGTAAGTGCGATTCGAGATGCACGAGTGATTCCATCGCATTCAAATCTAATCTCTTTGCCCCCGCTACACAGGCAACCAGGCTTCCTCAACGGACCCGGGCGACGAGGTGGACCTCCTGCTCCTCCTCGCAGCTCCAACCCAATTGCCCGCTTCTGGGCCGAAGAGATTGTTCACCCCGAGAAGCTGCCAGGCAACATGGCTATCGCATACGGTACAGCGATCGCTGTTGCGGGCGTGCTGTTCATCAGGACGTTGGGCAAGGCGGCGTTGGTTCCCTTCTAAACGCGAAAGAGGCGTGGAGGACTTGGTTGGGAGAGATTTGAGCAGGGTCAGATAGGTGATGGAGAGGCGAAAAGTGGCGTTATCTGAGCGAGTGATATTCCGGTTCGGCTTTCACGCAAATGCAGCGTCAGATGCTTTGCCGTCAATTCGCTGCTTGCGTACAGCTCATTTACACCCACAGATGCCCCGTGTGAATGGAAAGCTTAGTACACGTCCATGTACATCTCGCAACCGCCTGCTCATGGCTTTGACAGAGGCAGAAACTCCTTTATTGGCTGCTCATGCTCACTCTGGTATCAATTGCACTCCTACCCAACAGCGGGCAACACAGGAAATGTAGCCCCCTGCCTCTGCACAGGCGTAGAGAAGTCTTCCCCCTCTTCGCCCCCCACTTCCATTGTATCATCGCCAGAGACGCTGCCGTCGTCGTGCGACGATCGTGCATCGCTCTCCATCTCTAGCCCCGCAACGCGTCTCGAATACGGCGTACTCGATCGTGAGACCCCCGCACCCGGCAACGCTACGTCGCTACCTGCCGAGGTGGCGCGACTATGAGCTGCCCTATTTCCCTCGCTGACGCCTCCATCCAACGTGCCATCACTTTGCCCCTCTCTGACCGTCGCGACTGAGGAATCGTGCGAATCCAGGCTCGCCCCATTCAGGCTCGTGGCCAGGGTTTGGTCCTCCACTGAGCCTCTTCTTGCCCAGTTGCCATCCCGATCCCCATCAGCAGAGTGCGTTCCGTCCGTATCAGAGCTCTGCGCTCTTTGCTGTCGCGGCCTAGGCGGAGGAGCCCATCCGCGCCTATTGGCCCGCTCCGTTTCGCGAGTTGGGAGAGCCGCCGCGGTGGAGAAGGACATGGAGCTTGGCAGGCCAGAGAACTGGACGCTGCCTGCATTGCCACCGTGTGTGGACATAGTGCCATTCGTCAGGCCAAGCCCTAGTCCAGCGGCTGCGGAGGTATTGCTTTGCGAGGGTGGCACGGGAGATCGCGAAGAGGACGCCATCGTCCTTCCCGCCGAGCTGACAGGTGTTCCCGGAGGATGTGAGGGGCGACTCCACCCAACTCCACCGCTCACACTCCCACCTTGTGTCGACGTGTCCCCCGTCATGGTCAATGTAGCCCTGCCAGCCCCGCCGCCAGCGCTACCGCCGAGTCGCAGTGCTCGCAACAAGCCATCGACAGCCCGTTGCTGCTCGTCACCCGTGTGTGCCGACCGGAGGATGTGCGTCATCTGCGTGAGGCGACGCACCGTATCCATCGCTCGATCGCTGTCACCCGTCCAAGAAGCTGGCGCTGCGCCAGTAGCGTTGCGTTGTGTTCCCTGCCTCGAAGTCCCGTCTAAGCCGCCCTCACCCTGAATGCCCAGTAATGCGTGAATCCTGCCCAATAGCCCGTATAAGGTCTCAAAGGCGGGCAAGACCAAGCAGTCCCTGAATGCTACGAGTGCCAAGCGACGGACATCGATGCGTTGCGACCGCAGGGCAGAAGGGCCGGATGCTGCTCCTGGAGCGGGGATTGAGCTACCTGTGGGAGGTAGCGGAGTCGTAGGCGGTTTAGGCGATGCGCTTGAGGGGAGTGGTGCTGCATGGCTGAGTGGTGAGCCCGGGGGAGCGCTGTTGGCTGGTGGGACGAGTCTAGTGGAGCTGCCGAAGGTCGACGATGCCAACCCCGAGCTCGCAGTATCGGACGAAGCCGCTCCGGCAGGAAAGGGCAGTGGAGTCGAAGGTAACTGCGATGAGCCACCTCCTCCCCCGCCCGCGTGTGCACTTGCAGTCCCGCTACCCCCACTTGAGAGGCTCAGCAAGACAGGGTCGGTCCCCATGGGTAAGAAGACCGCCTCGACCCAGGGTAAAACAGAGGAGAAGAAGGCTACCCACGCTGCAGAGAGGCGATGGAGCGTTCTTGCCTCTTCCGCCGCAGATGAGCTTGCGCTGGTGGAAGGCTGGATAGCCAGCCTGCCAAGGCCATTCACAAGGAGGGCGCGCAGATCAGCAGTTAAGCTAGCGGTGGCTCTAGCCGGACCTCGCTCCAGGGCGCGCCGGATGTGTAACGCCACATAATCATTTAGCTCTTCGACGGGCAGGCTAGGGAAAGGAGCAGCCCCGCTGGAAGAGGAGGCCATGCTGCTTGTGGCGGCAACAGCTGCCGCGTCAAAGAGGGGCAAGATGCGCGAGCAGACCGTTTGCCATCCTTCGCTACTCGCACCGGGTGAGGGGGTTGCCGTTGGGTGAGGAAAGATGAGGCGATGCGATCCTGCGCCTACGGCTCCGGAGATTTGTGAGGATGATGGCTCACTTACATCGTGATGAAAGCCGTCCAGCGCATCATTGCGTAGGCCGAGCCCCGAGCCGGAGCCCATGGCCATTGCTCGACTCATGAAGCTGGCACTGTACTGGTTGTAAGGCTGCGGCGCCTTGCCCTGGATGGGCTTAGCTGGTGGTACGGGTGGGGCAGCGCGTGACGTCTGGGAGGAGACGGGGCGACTCGCTTTGCCTCCAGCGGATGATGAGGGACGCATCGAAGTAGGTCTGAAAGCCCTCAGGTGGTCGGACTGGTTCTGCGGCCCGACCAATCGGACGAAGACGTCGCTTCGTGGTGGAGCTGGATGCGACTGGGCGTCTACCTCCGACGGAGCAGGAAAGCAACCCTCTGCTGCCTCCTTTGCAGGCACACTGACCTGCAAGCGCGACCAAGAGGTATGCTCCATATCAACTCTCTCGTAGCTGGCGCGCGGGTCAGGCCATGGCTGCCCAAATGCGCTCGCAGGGTCATGATAGGAGAGGAAGATGTCCAACAGAGCAGCGATGGCCGCTTCATGAGATACGACTACGACGTGGGCGTCTGCTGGGCCAACGTGGATACTCTTGCTGCGCAGAGCCTCAAGTCGAGGCAAAATGAAGCGACGGATCGAGGTGCCCAGTCGTGCATTTGCTTGCTGTGTGCTCTCGGCCTTGTCGTCCTGTTTGGTGGCCTGCTCTCTCAAGCTCTGCGTCTGCACAAGCGGCGGAGGAGGGATGGTGGTATTGGCCTCGAGGAGCTCATGTGCCGTCTGTGATGCTCGCTTGATGTCTGATGAGTAGATGGCATCTATCGGTGTGCGGGCGAATGCAGTTGCGAGGGCTTTGGCTTGAGCGAGGGCTGACGAGTTGAGCGGAGCATCGCGCAGCGTAGCATGAGGCGGGGGAACCACAGCTACCAGGGTGATGTAGATGCTACGCAGGGGGAGCTCTGCGTCGTCGAGCATGGCGGGCGGGATTGAGGCCTATTGCAAGGCTTTGCTCGCTGCTGGATCTAGCTCATTGAGTCGACGAAGGCGTGACGGCCACTTTATGGATGATTGCAAGTCAAAGTGTTGCGCCGCCTGTCCGCCCGCCCTCGCCTTCGCTGCTCCCTCGTCTCCACGTCGACGACGCTCGGGCCGCCTCGCTTTTCGCCCTGAGCCTTTCCTCCGCTCCTCATCCTTTTCTCTGAGCCGCTCGCCGCTCCATGGCCCCTCCTCATCCTCATCACACCGGCTAGACTGACGTCTTGATTATCTCCTCTGCACGTCACCATCGCCGCCTGCCACCACCATGCCGCCCGCTACCACCTCCCCACTCGCGCAGCACCGCCTTGCCCTCTACGGGTCGGCATCCCTCGTCGCCACGTCCGCCGTGGTAATGCGAGCCTTCAAAGAGCGTGCAAACTTCTATGCCGCTACCGTCTGGCTAGGCAGGAGCAATGGCTGCATCCTCGTCCTCGTCAACTTCGGCATATTCTGCACCATTCTGTTCGGCAAGTTCTGCCAGGCCGTGTTCTTTGGGCAGCTCAGGCCGATTGAGGTCGAGCATTTGTACGAGCGCAGCTGGTATGCGGTGACGGAGACGCTGTTGGCCATGACGATCTTCAGGGATCAATTTGTGCGTAGCCGTGCTCTAGCTTTCAAGCGATCGCCTCGCTCACGCTCACGCTCACCACCCACTCTCCCGCCAGGACGCCTCCTTCATCATCCTCTTCGGCACGCTCCTCTTCCTCAAAGTTTTCCACTGGCTCTGCGCCGATCGCGTCGAGCTAATGGAACAGTCGCCTAGCCTCTCCCGTCTCTTCCACGCACGCATGGTCTCCGTCTTGTGGACCTTGTTCTGCCTGGACCTCTTCCTCGTCGCATTCGCCATCGAGGTGCTGATACTGGAGCAGCAACGAATGGGGATCATGATCATGTTCGCCAGCGAGTTCACGATCCTCACCGCGACGCTTTGGAGCACCATCGCAAAGTATGTCCTCAACTGCGTGGATCTGAGGAGCGACGAGCCCTGGGAGGGCAAGTCGATGTACGTCTCTGCGGTGGACCTCGTGACGGACTTCCTCAAGTTGGCGACGTACCTCTGCTTCTTCTCCCTCATTCTGACGTACTACGGCCTGCCCCTCAACATCGTGAGGGACGTTTACGTCACGGGGCGCTCCTTCTTTGGACGCATTCGAGACCTCCTGCGTTACCGTGCTGCCACTCGCAACATGGACACGCGCTTCCCTAATGCTACGGCCGAGGATCTCGCCAGGACGGATGCAACGTGTATCATTTGCAGAGACGAGATGGTGGCGCGTGGCGAGGGCGAATTTACGCCGCCTGGTGCTGTCAATGACACGCCGAAGAAGCTGGCGTGTGGGCACGTGTTCCATTTCAACTGTCTGCGCTCCTGGTTGGAACGACAGCAGAGCTGCCCGACTTGTAGGAGGACGGTATTTGATACGCCAGAGCAGCAGCCGGCGGCTCAACAACAGGTGCAGCAGCAGCAGCAGCAGCAGCAGCAGGGAGCTCAAGGTGGTGGTGGAGCTGCAGCCGCAGCGGCCATCGCGCCGTATCTTGGGTTTGGGCAGGGTGGCGCAGCACCGGGCCAGGCAGCGCCGACACCTACAGCTGCTCCTCAAACGCCCCATCCTGCTCAGCTAGAGCGAAGTCACAGTGGCGGAGGAGGGAGCGGCGAGCAGGTCTATCCCCAGCACAGCGCCCAGCAACAACGTCTTCAAGCTCTGCTCACCCAGGTCGTGGAAGGGGCGCCAATGGCAAGGCAGGGCCCGCTTACTCCTGCTACTGCAGCAGCTTGGGTCCCGCCGCCGCCCGACGCGCTACGTCCGCCCGGCTGGGCAGCAGCCCCGACCCCAGCTCCAACCGCTGCGCCCACGTCCGCAGGCCCTTCCTCCCCTCTCCCCACCCCTACGATCCCGGGCTCAGATCCAACCGACCCACGCGCAGCAGCACGAGCAGCGGCATTGCGACGCTTTGAAGCTCTCGGAAGCGGCAGTGGCGGAGCAGTAGGCAAGAGGGTAGCAACGAGCCCATTCCCAACTGCCGCTACGGCGAGCTTGGACAAGAAGGGAAAGGGAAAGGCGAGAGAGGTGGAAGATGTAATACGGGAACAGGACGACCCAGCCGCGCCTCTCTCTACCGGGCTCAGCAGCGGGACGACTCCTGCTACGACGACGAGTGGAGCGAGCAGTACGGCGGCGCAGCGTTCAGCGGTTGAGGAGCACATGAAGGATCTCGATGCACTAGGACGAAAGGTGTGGGAGCTTCAGTGCGAGTTGGGTAGGGTCTTGAGCACTATGCCCGCTGCGGGCTCGACAGGAGACGATGATAGTTCGGAAGATGCGGACAAAGGGGTGTCGCGCTCAACGCAAGAAGAGCGCGGATCTGAAGTCGCTCATCAGGAGGGGCCCGTGCCTTCCGGTGAAGAAGGGGCTCACCTTGATTCAGAATCCTACTCGTAGTTACCTCCCTCTCTGTGCTTTGTCATAATATCGAGCTGCTCGCCTCCCTACCAATCGATAGAGTTTATTTGTCTCTCACGATGCGACTGAAGCCCGCGACAAAGACTGTGCCTTGAGCGCGAACCACGCCGCATCGGCCGCTGTGAGTAGGGGTCCCCACTGCTTCAACCTCCATCACTGACCTAAGCATCAGACAAGGCAACGAAGGGGGATAAGGTTGATTTGATGATTTCTTGAACCCGGACAGAAGAAGACGCAAGACGAAATACCGTCACCGCTCAACTGGTGGTCGCGGGGGTAGGAGGGAAAGCCGCAGCTTAGTTCTCGTAGACCCACTGGTCGATGGCGCGCTCGTACTGGATGCCGGCAGCCTCCTGACCGAACCAGAGCTCGAGCTGTGCAGAGGAACAGGAAGTGATGAGTCAGTCGAGGGCTGCGGATCGAGCTGAGGGCGGAAGGAAGGATAGCTCACCTCCTTCTTGGCGGACTCGACGGCTGCGGGGTGGGGGAACGAGAGAGAGAAAGAGGGTCAGTCTGAGCAGCACAATGCGTTGTTGAGATGCTCGTGTAATCACCGTCGCTGCCATGGCAGATGCTACATTCGCGAAGTAGGGGATGAGGAGGGTGAAGAAGGAGATCGGCTGGTGAGCGAGGCGTCGCATTCAGTCTACTGAAGCTGCTGTCACTCACTTGCGTCCGACGTCGATGGCGTAGTCCTGAGAAGCGCAGATGTGCGGGCAGGGGCGGAGAGAAAGCGAGAGATGGCTTGTCAGTCATCTTGGATGATGCAAGGCTTCGAAGGTGCTCAAAGTACACTCACACCACGGATAGTACCGGGGGAGCTTGCCAAAGGGTTGGTAGCACCGAGGAGAATTCGTCCTTGCTTCACGACGTCTTTTCCAGCCCAGCACATTGCGACAACAGGGCCGGAAGACATGTACCTATGAAGAAGAGAGAGAGGTGTCAGAGGTGTCGAAGGCAAGGTGAAGTCACCATGCTCACTTGACAAGGCCGGGGTAGAAGGGCTTGCCGGCGAGGTCCTCGTAGTGCTTCTCGATGTGCTCCTTGGAAGCGTGGACCATCTTGAGGTTGACAAGCTTGAAGCCACGGCGCTCAAAGCGGGAGATGATCTCTCCGGTGAGTCCGCGTTGGACCTGTCGAAAGGGGAATCGAAGGTCAGTAGAGGAGCGGTAAAGTTGACAGGTCAACGATGAGACGTACGCCGTCAGGCTTGACCTATGGGCGGAATAAAGAGATGTCAGCAATTTTGTGTAGTTTTATGGAGTCTTTCTGGTCTCTCACCATGATGAAAGTGAGCTCAGATGCCATTTTTGATGATGCTGCAAAGGGGTATTGGGAATGAAGAGGAGGTGTTGGCAGTCCAGTCGAGTCCACTTTCGCTTGCTCCACGTTGGCCGGCCGCCCACTTCTTCCCGCGCAGCTGGCTGGGCTCGCGTGGATACGCCTCCGTTCCGATTGCGGCTCGAGATTAGAGCTCGCCCTAACTCCACGTCGATTTGCTCTCGCACTGACCTCTCGATGCACGCGTGCAGATCGCAATCAATCCAGTCGACCTAATCAATCCTCGCCCGTCGAGCATCCTCCGCATAGCCCAATGATCGTCTCGCCGCCCCTGTCCTCACTTCCCTCTCTACGCAATCATCGCGCCTCCCCCCATAACCCAAACCCCATCGACCTAGGCACCCTTCGTTCTACCCACCCTTCGTCCTCACACCGTAACCTCGCTACACCACGCCATTCTCGTCAAGGGTCTGAGCGACGTCACCACTGTGACCTCGCTCGGACCCCCGCCATCGCCGTCATCAAGTCACGGAGCCCACGAGGGATATCCGGAGCTAGGGTTCAATTGCTCTGCAATCTCTTGAGCCCGCCACTCTCACATGGCCGTGTGATTACCTGCACAGCGAGTTGATGTTGAAGACGGTCTCAGGGTCGACAAAGAAGCGAAATCGGATTGAGGATAAGGTGGGGCCTTCGCCTATGTGAGGTGCCTTAGATACTCCTCGAGACTTGACAGATCGTAAACATCACCGTCTTCACTCATCATCATTGAGCAAAGGGCATGCCGGACCACCAGGAAGGAAGGCCTGGCCGGGCGGTCCGCTTAACGGCGTGTACTGTCGGGCCGGGCCTTCCTTCCTGGTGGTCCGGCATGCCCTTTGCTCAATGATGATGAGAAAGTCGGTGCTGGCCTGACGGCGGCTAAGAGCATCTATCACGCGTGCCTGCCTTTCCCAGATGAGCGAGAGCACTGCATCCTTCAGCCGACAGTTCGATGTCAAGACCTTGGTCTAGCGCGCATTTCAGGAGACAAGCAGCTATCCTATTGGATGAGCTCGCGTCGCCGCGACGCCCCCATGCCTTCCCAGAGAGTCCTCATCGCCTACCAGCGAAATACGGTCCTGCTCCAGCTGATCAGGATCCATTACAGCTTGAACCGCGGTGAGCGAATGGCTGGAGGCTTTGGAAGCGGTATGCACGAGAAGGGCCGCCGACCTCTGGAGTCGTCACTCGCGGCTCAGTGCGGCTGAGTGGCAGTCGAGGGGGGGCATTGGACAACCTAAACGAGGTGGTGCCCAGCGCTCGAGCTGCTGACCTTCGAGCTGCAAACAAGCAGGTGAGTACAAGTGATGACATCCCGTTGCCTCGGGCAGATAGCAGCCAAGCCCTGCTGCTAGTGTATACATGCTGACGCTGCGTGGTCCCTGCCGTCATTCTTCTGATCGCAGCTGCGCGCCTCAACCAGCCTCCATCCCTCATTCATCAACGAGCTCGACGATGTCATTGCTGGGCGAGCTCCCGTGTCGCTGCCATTCCCCAACCTCGAGCTCTACGGCTCAGTCTACTCTCTGGTCCGCGACGACGCCAGGGAGAAGAAGATCTTCTCGCGCGGCTTTAACACAGTCGTCGCCCGAGTATAAGAGCTGTTCGAGGCTATGAGGTCAAGGCCGGCTGGCGAGCGCGCCGCGCAAATTGCCGGCTACTACACAAAGGGGCAGCTGCGCAATCTCTTCCGGCACATCACGTCATATGATGCTGGGAGGCAGATACACGAGCGGCAGCTGGCAGTGTACAATGGCAAGAGGCTAGGGGAGCTCTTTGCCACAATGACGCTGCAAAATAGGAGGGCAAGCGAGTTTCGCCTAGCAGACATCCTCGAGCAGCAGGACGAGGATGCCATCGCCAAGCACTCCGCCGGTCGCAGCGACTATCTCCTTCATACCGGTGTGCCAACCAATCCCGCGTACAAGATCGTCAAGGACGACGGATCCTTCAGCAAGAAGCCTAAACCGACCAAGGTGCAGGCACTGGTGAAGACGCGGGAGAGGACGGCTGTGGCCCCGATCAGCAAAGGCAAGATGTCGGCGGAAGAGAAGCTCGAGAAGCGCCAGTCAGTAGGGAAGAGATCGCCAAAGCGCAGTCGTCCAGAGGTCTGACGTTCGTCCTTTCACGTCCGTACTGCAGAGAATTGCGCTCGGGCGAAGGCGCCCGTGATCTGGAGAAAGGGGACAAGCCTTGCGACATCTGCACGGTCGTCCTCACCCACGACATCCTCACCGCAAGGATGCCGGGAGCCGTGGCGAAGGAGGGGTATCGCATCGTCTGGCACAACGCCAGCCTCGATGCGATCAAGCCGCGGCATCTTGGGTTCGACTACGCCAACAATGCCGGTTGGGTGAGTTTCAACGATGGAATCTTACCGATACGAGCAAGCATCAACTGACGCCTGTGTCATCATCTGGCTCCTGCTGCACGAAGCTGTGCCATGGCTGCAATCTGCTCAAAAGTCGTAGGCCTCTCGCATGGGCCAAAGAGCAGATTCAGCAGGTCGCTCTTGCGCTCATGATCGTCGACCAGGACGGCTTCATGGCGACGCCTCCGCCGCCTAGGCGAACTCCCCTCTCCGAGAAGGAATTAAAGGCAATCCGGTCAGTTCGTTGTTTTGGCAATCCTGTTGACGTCAGCTCACTGTGGCCTCGAATCTCCGTATTCGCAGTGGACAAGCAGATGTGATCATCCATCACATGGAGACCGCCATCGAGCTTGAGCCGTGGAAGAGGGGAGACATAGACAGGCAGTGGGTCGAGGAAGAGTTGGCGAAGAGGTGACAATCCTGCACGGAGCTTCAGCGCGTCCAGAATACTTACACGCTACCGTTGCACGCCACAACCTGCTGGCATCACGCAGCCATAACTTTATTCTACGTAGAGAAGACGTATATCTCAGGTAGAATAGCACGTTCATAGGCATCAACACCCGCGTCATTCGCATCGATATGAATGAAAACATCTTACACGGTTGGGCGCTGCGTGCGAGTCGTGAGCAGGTGAGAACGGCTGGTGGGCGCACCCACATTCGTCTGCCTGCCTAAGATCTGAGCTGGTAAAGCCACGGTAAGAACTTCAGTCGCCAGCCGCTCTGACGTGCCTGCTCAGCTGATGGAGATTGAAGAGACGAGTGGGCAGGGCCGCAGCGCCATGATCAGTACGGCTGGTGTCAGCGAGCAATGAGAGAGCCTGGGAATCTCACTGACAGCGACCCGCACTCCACTCATGCACGAAGGACGGAAGGAGCGCCCCCAGCCACGTGGTTTTCCCTGGCCGTCGAGCTCTCCCGCTCATCCCGTCGTGCGTCCCCTCCATCGATGCAGCTCGTTGACACTCTCCTCACCATCAACTTCGAGGTAACGACGACTCTGACTTAACGCAAGACTGTTCTCCCTCTTGCTGCTGCCATGGTCGTGGACGCCTCGTCCATCGAGGCCAATGTCCTCTTTACGACGTCGGGCGCTCTGGTGGATTGCGTAGACAAGAAGATGATGGCCATTCTGAGAGATGGAAAGAAGCTCATCGGCGTACTGCGATCGTACGACCAGTTTGGTGAGCAGGCAGGGTGGAGGTGGTGACATTGGTCATTATACTATACTGAACACACCGGAGTGACCGCGCTCTGCTCGATCAGCCAACCTCGTCTTTCAGGATACCGTCGAGCGAACCTACGTCGGAACCGACTATACCGATATTCCCATGGGAATCTATCTCGTGAGGGGAGAAAACGTCGTCATGCTTGGAGAGATCGTAAGTCTCTGCGTTCGCTGCCCTCTCTCGGCCGTCGAGTCTTACCGTCTCTCTGTGCGCTGCCAGGACCTCGACAACGACCCACCCCCGGCGGTTCGTCCCGTCCCTGCTGAATCGATCTCACAGCTCATGATGGCCAACAAGGAGCAGCAGGCTCAGAGGAGAGCGAGGGAGAAGAGGAAAGCGGAGTTAATGAAAGAACAGAAGGGCTTCTGTGAGGAGGGGGCCGAGGGAGATAGCTACTGAGATGAAAAGGACGATGGCACGAGGAGCCTCGCGGGGCAATGCCAAATACTTTGCACAAGAAGAGAACGTCAGGAAGACGGGCCCGTCACGCGCGTCGCACTGCTTCACAAAAGTCAATTACGTCAACACAGGATGGAAACAAGAAGGAAGATGGGGCACAGCGAATAGAGAGAGAGGGGGAGCGTGACAAGGCGTGCAGGTCAGTGCCTGCCTCTATGCCAGTCGCGCATGGAGTGGACGTTGTGGTTGTACATCGACGTTGCTGGTTTGTCGCGGGGATGCGGGCGAGCTCGTGACCATTGAATGAGGGGAGCATGCTGAGTGGAGATGTTTTGAAGTGCCGCGTCGCTGCGTCTAAGCCGGTCCGAGATCCCTCATACCTTCTTTTGCACCTTGGTATCATCCGCACCCGTACCGCCCTACGCCTGCGCCTGAGCGTGGCCTGGCGCCGGCGACGAGGTGACCGCATCTCCACCCGCACCGGCAACCCCGATAGCCGCGCTGCCTCCCAATCCACCACGAATGTGGTCCAGCAATCCCTCGATCTCGTTGGGCATGCCCGGAGGCATCTGGCAGCGACCTTGCGCATTTCCCCTCAGCAGCTCAAAGACGCTCATGAGCAGGGCCCACGGGTGAGGGCGAGTGACCACGATCCTCTCCAAGAGCACACGCAGCACTTGTCCGCGAACCTCGTCCGTCGTCTCAGCGTGGCCAAAGATGTGGAGAATCGCCAGACTGAAGTAGGCCGAGTGGCTTGATGGGTAGCGCAGCTGGTTTGCACAGGCGGAAAGGACGAGGTAAATACCCTCTGGGTCGAGCGTGAGGATAAGACCGCGAAGCAAGGCCAGTGTAGCATCATTCTCCGGGCTGCCAGTGAGCGCGTTGCTGCCGCCCTTCTCAAGAGTGTTGATCGCCGACGTCAGGACGAGCGCATTGACCATCGGCACATCGTAGCGGGGCTCCCACGAGCCGTCACCCATCTCTTGCTCGTCGCCAGACCCGGAGCGCAGGAGCACATCCTTGAGCGAGGCCGGGAAGCTGCTAGGCGATCGACTCTGGCCCCACAGTGCCAGCGCCGACTTGAGCTCGGCAGGCAGCGCCCCTTCGTAGTCACTGAGCACAAGGGGCGGCGACGACACCTCGGGCAGGCGGTCGATCTTGAGGTTGGGCGCAAAGGGATCCGGCAGACGACGGTCTCGAGGGAAAGCGCTGAGCACGAGGTTGCGCATCTGCGTGCACGTGTAGGGGACCAAGTCGCACAGCGAGTGATGGTACGCTGCGAGGAAGTCGGGGAAATCGTGCAGCAAGACGAGGAAGATGCGTAGAGTCCCGCGGTAGAGGGAGCGCGACGTGTCTTGCAACTCGGCCTTGCGAAGAATGGGGCCCAGGAAGCGCAGCAGAGAGCAGAACAAGCGGTGGAACGCCGCCCAGCCATGCTGTCTGTTGGCAAGCAGCTTGGGCATGAAGAGGCGGTGCGAGATGAGGCTCATCCACGAAAAGGTGAATCCGGGGAAGAAGCTGGGCTGTAGCGTGTTAAGTGTGTTGCTGATGGCGAGGAGCGACTGCTGGTACGTCGTTTGCAGGCTCGATTCGGCCACGTGCAGGTCATGAAGCAAGGTCGAGAAGAAGCGGAAAAATGGCTTCTGCTGGAAGTGTGGGCCAAGCTCCTCGTGCGACTGGGCCAATACCAGCACGACGATGGAGAGAATTTTGGTCAAGTAGTGCACCTTGGCCTGGTCGTGATTGACGCCAGCCGGATCCGAGTGGTACTTGATCATCAGCACGACCATCTTTGAGAAGGCGTCCACCGGCGAGAAGATGCCCGTGGCCAGCGATCCACCTGCAGCCTTCTGCTTGATGTAGGAGTCGACGCCCACCTCTGTGCAGACGCGAATGAACATGGAAGAGATTTCTTCGCCCTTGAGGATACCCTGCGCTTGAAGCTGAGTGACAAAGTCGATGAAGGACTTCTCTGCGTTGGGCGAGTGCTGGAAGAGGCGGACCCACTCGGCGAAGCAGAACGAGAGCTGCTCGCGGAGAGCGGCGTTGCCCACGTCAGCCTTGGTGCCCTTGAGCCCGTCGAGCTCCTCGAGGAATTGCGTCGCCGTAGCCGTCGCCTTGCCCTGCTGAGCTGCGCGCTCGAGCGCCTCGATGATGTTGGAGAGCTGGCCCCGAGTGGCACAGGGGGGATCGCGAAGACACTCCAACGCAAGCTTGGCCGCAAAGTCGACCATCGCTGGCTTAAAGTCGCGCATGATCAGCTTGGTGAGCTGGACGTCCGTCTCGGCAATGTTCATCAATCCAGCACGGACGAGGCTGACAGTGACGGGGACGTTGAACTTGCGCTCGTCCTCGGCGTACACGAGCCATGCCGTCACTTCCTTGGCGACCTTGATCGAGACCTCGCACAGACGCTCCAAGAGAATGACGTAGACGTCACGCGCCAAGCCCGTCTCGCTCTTGAACAGCAGCTGAACGACCTTTTGCGAGAATGCCAGCGCAGCCTCGTCGCGGTTCATCGACTGCGAGGCGATGACAGGAACCTGGCGCACCACGTCGCGCAGCTCGTGGCCTTGAGGAAGCGTCGTGATGCCCTCATCCGGCCCCGCCTGCGCGAGTAGCTGCTCAATCTCGACGACGCACTGATTAAACTTGTCCAAGCTCTGCTGAGCGGTGAGAGCCCCGCCCTCTTCGTACGCGCCATCGGTGATTGCCTCTGGCCCGCCCGTACCACTCGCCGCGCTCGCTGCTGCCGCTACTGCAGCCGCGGCGGCGTGACGCTCGTCCTCTCCGCCTCCCATCGACGGCGTCCTTGCAAAGTTGCCAAAGTCCTGGTACACGCGCAATTGCTGTGGTTGCAGGCCCTCGTGCTTGAGGCGAAGGCCCTCGGGCAGCGTAGCAGCGTATTGAGACGTCGTGAGTGCGCCCGCGTCCCAGAAGAAGCCTCGCCCGCGCTGGCGATGCTCACGGCGAGAGCTGTACGCATTGGCCAAGCCATCGTCCACTTCAGGCATCGCCTTGTCCATCGCCGCCTTCTCAATGACCGAGCACGCCAGCTCCAAGTTGTCTTGCATGATGCCAATGACAGCCGGCTCAGGGAACGTCTGCTCGGTGAACCCACTCTGCAAGAAGAGCGTACGCGCATTACCGACCATGCTGGCTCTGAGTGGCTCCTTGCAGGTGACCAAAGCCAGACTTCCCGCGAGGTTGGCGGCCATCTGGTGTGCAGCATCGCGCATCTTGTTCTCGTCGCCCTCCATGGCAAAATCCTTTGTGACGAGCTCACGCGTCGATATGGAGGCGATGGTGACGGAACGCTCCACGACGGGAGCGACAATCTCGCGGATGGCGCGGTCGATGGCGACGTAGACGAGGCGCTTGATGGCCGAGTTTTGAAACAGAGCCAGCTGCGGATTGATCTGAATGTAGTGCGGCAGGTTTTGCAGCATTTGCGAAAGCGATTCCGTGTAGGCACCTGCGGCTTGCATGGCTTGCTCGCTGGGCTGCTGCTGGGGAGGAGGGCGGCGTTGATCTCTGGCGCCGAGAGCAAGTCGCTCCATCTCCGAAGTCGGTGGCGCACCCTCGATGGCCTGCTGCTGCTGCTGGAGGGCGAGGTGAGGTTGTTGCGCTTGAGGAGGAGGAAGGAGCTCGCGCGAGCGGATGATGGACGACGGTTGAATGTCCTTCAGATCGACGCCGAGACTCTTGCAAAGGACTTCGATCTCGAAGCGCAAGTTGAGCTTGAGCTCCGGCAGCTGGTAGAGCTCGGCGAGCACGCGCAGCACAGCATTGAGCCAGGGGTTCGGCAGCTTGAAGACTCGTGACTTGCTGCACTGCTCGAGAACCTTGGCAACGAACGGAACAGCGACGATGAGACGTCCCGAGTCGTATCCCTCAATGAGCAGCAGCTTGAAATCGATGTTCTTGAAGCGGATAGGCCTGTCCCGGGCGAGGGTGATCAGACCGAGCCACGATCCAATGTTTTGCAAGGCCTTGCGACTCTGCAGCGTCGAGACAGTCGACTCCGAGTTGATGAGGCGCTGCGCCAACGCCAACGTCTCGCGGAGCACGTAGGCATCGAGCTTGGCGTCTCCGACTGCCTGAAGGAAACGCAGGTAGAGGCCGTGGAAGTTGGGCTCGAGCTGACAGCGCTCAAGCGTGAGGTAGTGGGCGAACCAGCGGAAGATGCGAGCCGTCAGTACAGGCCGGACGTCGGCGAGCTTGCCCTCGAGGTTAGAGGGCGAGAGGTTGTTGATCGCGAACAGGACCTTGTCCGACGCTTCCTCATCAGGCTCGACTTGCTCTTCGCTGCCGAAAGGCTCCGCTCCTGGGTCGACGGCAGTGAATGCGGGCCGATTGGCGCCATTGCTGTCAGTAGTGGCGACCGCCTCTGCCGTCACTGGGGCCTGGGCCGCGCGGTTGAGGATAGCTGTGACCTCCGAGTGAGGCGGCAGAGCCTGCAAAGCTTGGGCCAGCTGCGGCCAGTCCTGCAGCCGCCCCTGGAAGCGTTTGAGAGCTTCGAGGCCAAACTCAAACATGGGCGAGCCGGGCTGCGTTCGCAGGGCGTCGAGACAACCGCGAATCGCGATACCGAGCGCGACGTAGTCAATGAGCGAATGTTGGATGAGGTCACCAAACAGGTGAGCCGTCAACCTGAGCTCGGTCGGCGGGTAGCTCTTGATGTACCGCTGCTCATCAAAGAGCGTGTGGACCATGCAGGCAAACAGCTCCGTGTCTTGCGTACGCTCCGAATTCTTGAGGCGCTGCAGAATGGCAACGACGTCCTCGACGCTGAGCTCCTGCTTGTACATACGTCCGAATGTCTCGTCGCACTCTTCGTGTATTTCTTGGGCGAATGAAGCGACCTCCATGCCTGGTTCCTGGCTCTCAGAAGCACGGATGGGCAGAAGACGAGGGTGAAGCTGCAGAGCCAGATTGCGTACCATCTTGAACGCCTCGATATCCTCCGCCGACATGCTTTCGCCGTGCGTGCGGAGGCGGCGCAGAAATGTAGCGACAGTCTGCACAGAGGGAGCGACGAATTGCTGTTGCTGTTGCTGACTTGCATCCTGCTCCTGCAGCGCCAGCTCCTCCTTCAGCTTCTCGCTGAGAAAGTCCAGTGTGGCCCGCATGAATGTCGTGCCATGCTCATGTATCAGCCGCTCGAGGAAGAGGTCCGCGTTCAAAATCTCTCTGCGTGAGGCCAAAGCCGCCACGTCGAGTGCAAAGAAGAATGGCTTGGCCGGGTCTGCTCGAGCTTCGAGTAGAGCAGGCAGAGCCTTGAGGTCTTGGGCAACATCAACGATGCGCGTCACATTGGCCGGGTTGTTGAGATAGCTGCGGACGAGGCTCTGCAGGACGAAAGTCCGGTTCGTCTGGTAGGAGATGTGGAAGACGAGCTGGTGTCCCGGGGCGCTTGAGAGGAACATGCTCATGAGCTTTTGGGAGAGCTCCATGTGGATGGGGTTCCAAGGCTCAGGAATCTGGACGAGGCCGATGAGAAGCAGCTCCGGCGCCTCCTTGATGAAGCGCTCCAGCAAGTGCGTCACGCCCTGCTTGACGTCTGGCTGCTGATCCGCTGCGAGCAAAGCCAACGTCTCTACGAGGTCCAGCGAGTTCCACGTCGCACGCTCGCAAGCTGCGACTGACTGACGAATCGTCGTGCTCGCTCTCTGTACATCAGCAGACGTCACGACGCGCCTTCCTGGTACCGCTGCAAACGAGAAAGTGTCGGCGTCGAGGCCCAACAGGCCTGAGAGTATGGTGAGCTGAAGAATCTTTTGGTTCCAAGGGCCCCAGAGACCAGTGACTGCCGGGGCCTGAGGCGTCGATGGCGCGTCATAGGACGAGGCGAGCAGCGCCGCCGCAAAGCCTGACCAGTCGGCGTTGGCCAGAGGTCGGAAGCCTTCGAGGTCATCCAGCGCTCGGATTGCGCGTGGCCAGGTGACGGGTCTGAACGTTGAGATTGCTCGCACAAGGAGCGACCAATTGGTGACGTTGTCGCGGCCGAGATCGTCCGGCGAGACGGCGAGGAGGCCGGCAAAGAGGTGGGCGACGGCGTGCTCGTCCGGAGGAGATGACTCTGTGAGGCCAAAGCGCGCAAAGATGGCGCGAACGGTCTCGACGTTGGAGATCCCAGTAGGGCCCAGGTCGGCGAGAAATCCCGGCAGACTCTTTTTGATCCTGAAATTGGCCAGCGCCTCGATGAGGGCCCGAGAGAAGGCTTCTGACCCAACACGCTCTGCGGCCGAGGCTACCAACGTCCTCCTCTGGGTGCGGCCAAGGACAGGCGCATCCGCACCATCGCCGTCGTTAATGAGCTGCTGTAAGAAGATACTGAGTTGCTTCGGGCTGAGTGGCTCATTGGATGTCGGTCGAAGAGCATTGAGCGCAGCGCCCAGCACTGCGGAGCCTGTGCCGCCTCCTCCATCTGGAGGGGCTGCGGGCTGATTGTTCATCCCGCTGCTGCTGCTGCTGCTGCTGCTGAATCTGGCCGCCCACTGGACGGCAAGCCTGTTGCGTCTCTCAGTCGCTGGTGAAGTTGGCGATGTAGGAGCTGCGAGAGCCCAGAGGAGCACAAGTCTCTCTCGCCTGTCGAGATGATCAAAATCCTCGAGGGGAGGTACGTCGCTGCACTTTGCGAGAACGTCGGCGAGTAGAGATGCTGACCGCGTATCCTGTGAGCAGGCCTTAAGCTCAAGCGCTAGCAACTGCTGAAGGACGCTGGAATTGTCAGAGGTAGCGCGAGCGTCGAGGAGCTTTTCGAGAAGCGCGACGTAGACGTCAGGACCGAAACGTTGGCAATGCTGCGCGAAAGGCGTGAGTGTGGTCAGCGATGGGCTGTAAGCTTTTGCTCGGTGCACTCTTCGCCATCACTCACCCTCCGAAGCTCTTCCTGGTATGCTGCGAGATTGTCTGGGGTGACTGTCGAGATGAGAAAGTTGACCTGACTCTTGACGACGGTGAGATCGCCAGCCTTTCCTTTCTCGGTCTTGCTCGCCTGTCGTTCCTGCTGTTGACGTCTCTGGTGCAAAAGAGCCGAAAAGCCCCTTCTTTGATTAGTCGAAGCCGTCGTTGCGTTCGTCGTCGTCGTCTCGTTGGTGGTGCTGGTAAAGAAGAGGATGCGTATATGCGCGACGACGAGGGCGACGACGAGGGTGAAGCGAAGGAGAAGCTTGACGAGTGTGAAGAAGAGGAGAAGAAAGGTCGACGAGTATGATGCGTTGCACACGGCAATGCAATGGCCGCGAATACGTTGGTGATGAGGAGGAGGAGCAGGAGGAGATGGTGGATGGATGCCACGAGGTCGTCGTCGTGCGAGGAGAGGGAGGATGACGAGGATGGATCACCCGCTGCAGCTGCTGCTTCTAGACGCTCTTGAACTCTGGTCTATGGGCTGCGTCTCCGTCGTAGCAAGGGCGAGTGCGCCTCGACGATGATGGTGGTAGTAGTCGTGAGACTTAGTTAGGTCAAGGGTCGTCGTCGGCTGGCTGCTGCGTGCTTGCTTGCTTCCCTTCAAGTCGATCTCGTCTCGTCGTCGTCTGTCCCGTCTGCTCGCTGCTCGCTGCTCGCTGCTCGCGCTCAGAGCGGAGATGACGCTGTCGCCTGCCTGCCTCCAGTCTCGAGGGGGACCGAGTCGAGCCGCTTAGCCCGCCGCGCACTCGCCCACGCACTCGCCCGCCTCACCTCGGGCTGAAATTGAGACTGGCTCGACCACCGCCGCCGCGTGCTTCGCTCTGTCCGTCTGTCCGTCCGTGGAGGCGCCAAAGAAAGGACGACACAGAAGCAACAGCAGCGGCGGCTACTTCTGCCTCTAAACACGGCAAGAAGCTCGAGCTAGCATATGGCCTCCTCAGCAATGGCCTCAACTCCACAGAAGCCGCAGCCGCCGCCTCGGCCTCCTCTGCGACAGCTCTTGGCCCCCATCTTCCTCTTCACCACCGTCGTCTCACTGGCATTCAATCGCGCCCGCCTCGCGCGAGATCGTAGCGAGGAGCATCGTCGGCACCTTGTCGCCTACCACCTTCTCGACGATGAGCTGCGGAGACTGACGAGGGGGCGAGGAATGATGACGACGCCTCTAGAGGACGAGAAAGCTTTCGCCAGCCGGTGTGCGAGAGCTGGGATTGACTTGCGAAGACTAGGAATCAGGAAGGAGGCGCTGCCGGCTGGATATCTAGATCGAGACCAGGCAGCGATGGCATCATCTTCTGCCTCTACGGCTGGTGTGACGTGGACTCAAGCTCTCTTTGGTGGGCAAGGTACCACTGAGAGGCTCAAGGAGGCAATCTCGAGAGCTGCCTCCTCTCTCAAGGCCAGCTTTGCCGGCGCAGCAGGCGGAGGCGCTGCCGTGGGTGGGCAAGGCAAGGGAGAAGTCTCTGAGCAGCAGCAGGACGAGTGGGAGCAAAGTGAGCGATCAAGACAAGAAGCGTAGTCGCTACTCGAGAGTCAACTCGCTGACCTGTCTCTCTCTACAGCCTTGCTGGCCTACGCAGCTTCAGCAGAACGAGCAGAGGAGGCTGAGAAGCGGCGAAGAGAGGAGCAGCAGCAGCGACAAGCCACTCTGCACGACACTCAACCTCGATCATCGCATTCGACGTTCTCAGCGTCACACTCGACTTCCTCGTCACCTGCAATGATACCCAGTGATACCCCGCTGTCAGGAGACAACCAAGGCGCGCCACGACCGCCGCCCACGTCAGCTGGCCAGACGGGGGGACGACGATTCTTCGTGTAGTCTCCGAAAGCAATCAAGGAAAGCATTGCATTTGCATCGATGTCTGGATGAGGGGTACAGCTCCTTTTCCGCAGCAAAAAAGCGAGTGAAGCATCGACGAGAGGACGATAGACGACGAGGCCAGGATGGATGGAGTGAAATGTGTCGGAGAAACTGGTATGGCGACAGGAGAACCCAGGCCGCAAGGCCGACGGAAAGCAGCGGTGAGCATGCCGAGGATGCTGCTTGCTGCTCAAATCGGTGCATGCAGCAATCGTGCCCTCCTCCTGCCCCTTCCTCTCTCGCCTTCTTCCTCTTCCCTCATGAACGATGCAGGCCCAGACGTCCCCCTCGCCCAGACCTCTGTTTCAACCGCTTGAGCCCCAGAACCACTCCTTACGAGCATTTGATCCAACGCTGATCTTTCGGACGGCTCCGTCACGATGATCCTCTCCGGACCCTGCGCAGGCAACGTGTTGGGTGGGGCCGGGAAGCTCGCAATGGCGGGCAGCATCGTTTGCCCATCTGCGAGGCTCGCCATCGTCGATGTAGACAAGGACTCAGGCAGTAATGGAGCCTGTCGGTCAGGTAGCACGGGCGTGGCGATTTTGGGGTGCGCAGAAAGGGAGAGATCCAAGATGATCGCTTGAGCTTGGACATGACCTTGCGAGTAAGACTGGCTGGAATTGGACTCAGTGGAACGGATGGAAGTGGAGCCAGCCACAGTCGGGAGGTAGTACTGGCTGCTCAAGATCTCGGAGAGCGGCGAGGATGAGCTGATGGGGCCCATCTCTGGAGTTCTGGCCGCCGAAGAGGGCACGCTTCCCTCCTCCGATGAAGAATGTGCAAGCAGTGGTCTCCTCTCCTCCCGCCCGGTGATGCTGTCCGTGTCTGTCCATACCTCACCACTCGTCGAGATTTCGCGAGGATCAATGCTCTCGGTGTCTCTTTCGGAGTTCGAGCCACGACTGTAGCGATTGTCAGCAATGGCAGCCGTCTCCTCCGACACCTGGATTAGGGCGGCAGCCGTCGTTGTTGTAGGGATCTGGGAAGTGTGATGCTGATTCTGCTGAATAGAGGCGACGGAGGCTGACTTGCACCGATTCACGGGAGGGCGCTCTTGATCTGAAGCGTTGGCGCTTGCGTCTGGTCCGGACGAGAGCGCTGCGGTGCTGCTGGTCGTCGCCTCCTGTATCTGAGGGGCGATGCCGCGCGACTCGCTGCGATTGTGGCGGGTAGATAGTTGCCATGGGGACAACCGGATTGTCAGATCGCCTAGAGATCTCCTCCAAGCAAAGCTCCGCCTCTCGGCCCTTGCCTGTGCCTCGCGCTCTCGCACGCGACGACGCCGCTGCTCCTGACGATCGTTTTCGCGCTCTCGAGCTGCAACAGGGTCACGCCCCGCCATCAGCTCCCTCATATCGGCCCTCTTCTGCTCCTCGTGCCTCGCTCGTTCAAGGTAGCACGGGCGCTTAACGACCGCTCGAATCTTCTCGATGATAGCCTGCGGGCTGTGAGCATCGAGTTGCTCGACTGAGCTCGCGACTTTCTTCTTGTAGACAGGCAGGTCGTGGGAGGAGTAGGAGCCTTGTCTCTTGGGTTGCGACCTGAGGACGTCGACAAGGGTCGTGGTGATCGGAGTGATCGGGCCGTCTGCGACGGGAGGCGAGGTAGGAGGGACATTGCTGGGAGGAGCGCCGTGGTTGGGAGCTGCACTGTTGGCGGAGAGAGCGTCGTCGTTGGGATAGGCGTCGTTGCTGGCAAGAGCACTCTCGTTGGAAGGACCCTCGGCATCATCACCTGGCGAGCGGTTGCGTGGAGGAACATCAGGTGCAGCTGCTGGGACGGCATCCGGATCGTGATGCGGATCCTGGTCACGCCAGAGCCAGTAGCCTGGCGGCAGGCCGTCACGGTCAATAGAATCCGCATAGGACGGCACGCCCGGTTGTTGGCTCCCACGATTAGCGATGGCGAAGTCGTTGATGCGGAAGAGAAGTCCAGACGGAGTGTAGGCCAGACCACTTTCAGCGTGCGGCGGGAGAATTTTGGGCATCTGAGTGTCGACCTGGATCAGTAAGTCATAGCGGACACGCAGATCTTTGAACTTGGTAGTGGGTTCAGTGCGATGCTGCGGGCTTTGAGGTGTCGCTGCTGGAGCTTCTTCTGCTGGTGAGCATCGTAACGGAGAGGTAGTGGGAGTAGAGCGCGAGAAAGCGGACTTCGTGCTTGGCGAAGAGGATCCCGAGGAGCGGGAGAAGAAGGGGAATCCCCGCTGCTCGTTCTGCTTCTTCGCATCATGCTTCTTCATGTAGCGATCGATGACAAAGCTGCCCTCCCAGTAGTGCTCAAACGCCCTTCGCTCACTGAAAGCGAAGGATCCAGGCTTCCTGTGCTTGAGCTTGAGCTTCACGGCGCTTCCCCAATCGAGAGAAGCCATGAGGGTGGGAGGAAGGATGACTATCTCTCCTCCCGGACCCTGGGTAGAGACGCTCTTGAGGACGTTCATGCGCAGGTTGCCGTCCACGAACAGCCCCGCGAAGTGGGGAAGATTGATGCCAAAGCTGAAGGGGTACCACTCGCCCGTTGTGAAGCTGGTATGGGCCCCGGTGGTGAGCGACATGTAGGCAGCGCCTTCCGGCCGCCCATCGTAAAAGTTGGTCAGGCCTCTTGCTACTCTTCTGCGTGCTGCAGTGGGTCGAAGTCGCCGAACAACAGGGGGAGCAGCGAGGCAGAAGGTCTTGGCATCCCATGGGAGACGAAAGGGCTGAGATTCTTGAGGCAGTCGCCGACGAGGATCGATCTCCTTGACATTAGCCACATCTTCATAGGCGTTGTAGCTACACGTACGCTCGAGTAATACTGGCGGCGGGCCTTCTGGAGCAGCGGGTGGAGGCCAGACTGGCACTGGCTCGCTGGGCTGAACGACGATGATTGAGGTGGCTCTGTACGTGCATGCATGCAGCAACAAGAAGGAGAGTGGTGTCAATGGGATCGGGTCATTTTTCTCCTCCGACGCTAGCCTCCGACCCTCACGTCTGGTCATTATGGGAGATCGGAATGCCGCAGGGCATTGCCTTTGTCGGCAGCCATCTGACGGTAGCCCGAATCTCGTAGCAGATGGTAGCCTCTCTCGGCGTGCGAAAAGGGGAGTGCATATTTGCCGCATATTTGAGCAAGCCCGAAGACGATGCTGCTGGCATCTCTTGCGTCGTGATCGTTGGAGGTAGGTCGAGGGGCACATCCTCCCCTCCTTGCCTGCGGGTACTGTCCATGTTCCTTTGTCGGGCCCTGCGGGTAAAGGCGTACTTTGTGACAGAGGAGGGGATCTGAGTAGTGAATGGGAACGTCTCCTGCCAGGCAGTGCCCGGCGGGTCTAGTGACTCTGACCAGTCGATTTGCTCCAGGCTGGCGCACTGACTCTTGAAGCAAATGCCTCGGTGTCTCAGGAAGTCGATGCCGTTATGGAGAGTGTAGGCTTCGTACGACGTATCCTCCCTGACGACGTCCTGACTCTGCGGTCTGAGGTTGCAAAAGTGCCTAGGGAGAGGGCACAGGCACAGGAGCGACCGCAGGTCAGCTTGAGGGCGAGGCAGTGCGCAACGCATCATCGTCCTGCGCACCTCTTGTAATGGCCAAGGAGCCGAACGTCCACCATACCCAGCTTCCAATGATCCCTGCTCTGCGATACAACACGAACGGTGCCGGTTATGGTGTCGCCCGGGCGGTAGATTCCGTCGTCGTGAACAGCCTTGTTGACCTCCAGGTGAATGTGCTTGGGGTCCTTGTGCAAGGCATCGTCCGACCATTCCGTGAGTTCAGCGCTGGACTTGCGTCGAGCGTCAGGTCGGAGCCAGGTAGAGAAGCTAGAGAGACGGCGAAGACGACTGCAGGAAGTCGTTGTAGATGGCGAGATAGCAGGGCCTGCCTGCGCCTGCCCTATTGATGTTGGTGGTACGTGAAAGCCAGCGCCATCCATATGAGCAGCTGCCGGAGCTGAGGGATCGGAGTCGGAGGTCGTGGCGGCCCGGCCAGGACGAGTAGTAGCGACGGTCAAGCAGCTTTGAGGCCTTTCTTGGCCATCAGTGGCACGCCGACCTCGTATCCGCTGAGCAAAGTTGGGCATAGCGTGGAGGGAATGAAGTAGCCTGGTTTGGATGCCGGAAGGAGTGTGCAATGCGGGCGATGTGAGCAATAAGACAGGGAGCAGCAGATACGACGATGTGCAAAGGTATCAATGGTGGGAAGCAAGGATGGAAGGTCATTGACATCGAGCGTGAGAGCGAGTAGGCAGCCGCCTGCCTGCCTGCCCGCCTTGCCCTCTGCCGCTGCCTTCGCATGCTTGTCGTCGCCCTCGAGGTCAGTCGTGTGCGTTCTGCGCTGCTCAGTGGAGCGTCACTGCGTCGTTGCAAGCCGTGCTCGTCGTTGCTTGTTGCTTGTGTTGCTTTGATTGGCTCTGGGCTTGCTGACACCTCGAGTCTCAGCCGAGTCGTCCTAGTGTTGGACTTTTCGCTCGCCCTCTGCACGGGCCCCGGCCTTTGTCGCTTTGCAGCCTCGAAAGCGGGACGGCAGGCAAGGGGCGGGCGGCACGGCGGACAGAGCAGTCGAGGGGGAGTGAAGCAAGCAGCCAGCTTGCAGTGGGCTCCAATCACCACTTCACTTGACCTCCTCTCCTTTGCACTCCATCATCGTGCTCAACATCATGTCGGTCGTGCCAACCGTCGAGCTCTTTACGACCTCAATTCTCAGCAACCATAAGGTCCGCCATCGTCACGAACGCTACCTCGCCGTCTTTGCCGCCAAGCGCATCGACTATGTATATCACGACCTCGCCTCCGATGAAGACGCAAAGAAGCGTTTCAGGAGAAAGGCAGCCGATCCTCAGATACCTAACATACTTGTTCATAATGAGTGGCGAGGAACATTCGAGGAATTTGAAGAGGCAGTCGAATTTGGAGAATTGGACCTGTTTCTGCGCATAGATCCAGCCAAGGTGGCAGGCCCGAGTCCAGTGCCGGCGCCAGCAGAGGCACCGACAGAAGCAGCATCAGCAACGCCAGCCACGACCTCAAAGCTACCACCGGCACCGACCGCAATGCCAAAGATGGCTCCCGCAGGCTCCGGCGCGGGTCCCCGCCGTAACTCAATGGACGACTTCCTCGACTCACTCGAAGCTTGGAAGCCTCAAATGGACTCCATGTCAGACGCAGACGTCAGTGCTCTCCTCGAAGAGGGAGAATCCTCAAAGGCTCGTCAAGCCCACGCCGCCGCACCCAAAGCCCCTCAAGATACGCGCGACTATCCTGGGCACCGCAAGCCAAGCGCAGAGGGAGCGGCGGCGCAGCAGGTCAAGCGAACCTACTTTCCTTCAGAGAAGGCGGGGACCAGACCATTACGCTTACCCAAAATGGGAGATGGAGCTCGGGCTGCTTCCTCGCCGGTCCTCAACAATTCGTCCTCCCCCAGCTCGAGCAATGACACGCCTATCTCGCCTAGAAGTCCAGCAGGTCATTCACGCTTCTCCGTCAGCCAGAACTCCTCTCGCGCCTTGGCCGCAGAAGCGTCTGCAAGCGCATCGCATCGCACCTTCTCTGCTAGACAGCTGCGCTCCGGTCTCGACTCGGGCAGGATGTTGCAGGACGTCATGGGCGAGCTGAGGGATTCGGCCTCATCGCGAAGGATGTCGAGACATGGCGGTGTTGGCGGGGAGGCCGATGCCCTCCTCGAGGAGCTGGGCCTCGCCGATCTCAAGCTGACAGAGGAAGAGGCAGAAGCCTTCCTATTGGACGGTGCAGTGCCTGAGGGCTTAGAGCTTGGGGGCTCCAGATTGAAGCGGGGAGGCACAAAGGCACGCGAGCATGAGGCGGCAAGAGATGTCGCCGAGAGGGCTAGAACGCTTGCTGACGAGAGGAGAGCAAGTGCGACTGTTGCCAAGGAGAGGAAGGAGAGGGAGAGGGCAGACTCGGTCGAAGGAGCGAGTGTCGATAAAGTGCCCGCGCCAGCTGACATGTCCAAGAAGACGAAGGAGCTTCTGGAGAGAGCCAAGGAGAAAAGGGCAAGCAGGCAGATTGCTGCTAGTGCTGTGGCGCCGTCGGTGACCGGCGATGCGGATGGCGTAGCAGGTCCGGAGGCCTCGGCGAAGCGCGAGTCCTTGCTACCTGCGGCGATTCTTGAGAAGGCTGCGCAGAAGGAGGATGCCGGAGAAGTTCCGCCCGAGGATGTCCACACCAAAGAGAGCGGGGAGGCCGACGAGGAGCCATCGTCAGTCACGACTGAGGCTGATCCAGCAGAGAAAAACGGCGGAAAGCAGACAAAAGGTGATGCCGCGCCTTCACGCGAGGAGTCTGAGGAGGTAGAGACAAGCAAGACGTCCGAGGATGCCACGCCCGACATACCTACGCCAGCCGCTGAGCCTACCATAGAGTCAGCAGCATCAAGCGAACTACAGCAAGAAACGCCTCCGCCTGGTCAGACGGCCGCTGCTTCGAGCTCCAACGTCGATCAAGCAAACGACTCTCCTTCTCCTGAGGAAACGCCCAAGGTCCGACAACCCGCCCTTCCCGCATCCACAGTCGCGCCGCCACCTCCAGCAGCACCGGACTTTGCCACCAACGCTCGCGCCGCGACAGCAGGCGAAGACGAGGAGATTGACGACCTCTTTGCGAGACTGAGCGGGCTGGGTGAGAATCAAAGGCTCTCGGCTGTCTTGGGCCCTTCCTCGTCGTCTGCTCAAGACAAGCCGACCAGCGAGGAGAAGAGTGGTCTGAACGGAGCTGGATTGGAGAAGGTGGATGAGGAAGAAAGCAAGGCGGATGAGCCTGCTGACAAGGGCGAGGAGCGCGGGGCGAGCTCTACGGCCCCTCGAGAGGCGGTGACGCCTGCCTCGCCATCAGCAGGCCAAAACCCCTCAGCAGCACCAGACAGCGTCACCTCCCCAACCTCCTCCGCGCAACCTCTCTCCGCCGCAAGCATGAATCGCTCCGTCAGCAGCACAAGCAATGCGAGCGGCACCTCATCCTCCGCCTCCTCCTCTGCCCGCAAGGCTCGACCAAGTGAGCCAAACTCAGCAGGCTCGCGCAAAGGCATGGACCTCACCCGCCGGCCATCGTACAACAATCTCGCCTCTCCGCCGCTGCGACCGAGCAATGTTAGCGGTGGCGCACCGAACTCTGCCCCGCCCGAGGGATACCACAGTCCTGCCTCGCCCACGTCACCGAAGAGTCCGACACTGAAAGCTCGCCTGAAATCATTTGGCTCTCTGGGCAATCTGAGCGGAGCGAGCAGGAAGAGCTCGTCCACCAGTGGTAGCAGAAGTGGGACGCCTGCGTCTCCTCCTGGGTCGGCGGGGAGTAAAATGTCCTTCAATGGGGATGCAGTATCCCCTTCTTCAAGCTTAAGGAGCCAGAAGACTTTGAGTCAGATTCTGAGGGACGCGGATGCTGCTATGGCTGGGGAGGATGACGATGATGAGGATGGAAGTGGTGTGGGACCGACAGAAGAGGATGAGGCGGATGATGGTTTGGGAAGGGCGGAGATACGTATTTGAGCAGAGCAGGTCAGACGCTGCGCCGCGCCGCGCCGCGCTACTATACCCCATCAGCGACCTCAGCGACAGACATTGTAGCATCGCTATGCCATTGAAAGCTATTGTACATTGCAGCGAGCCGCCGGGCCTATCCTCTCGGTCCAAAGTACTGGTTCCTGAAGTCTTTCTGGTCAACGTTGCCCTTGTACCTGCCAGTGGTTGCATCGAATTGCGATTGGCCTTCTGAGCGTCGCTGCGCCGAGGAGGCATCGCCGTCGCCCGCTGTGGCGGCCTTTGCTTGGCCATCGTCGACGGCTTCTGCTGCCCCTCTCGGCTTAAGCTGTAGCGTCACCAGCCTTCTAGCCCATTTGCCAAAGTCTTGCACACTGACAGCGATCAAATCCCACTCGGGCCCTGTAGGGACCGGTGCAGTAGACGCCTTGGCTTTTGCTCTCCTTCTACCCTCCTCCGGGCCCTCGCCTTCTCCTAGTTCCTGCTCCATCTCCTCTTCGTTCATGACCGGCATCCAGAACACCAGCCTGCCCCCTTCCTTCAGCATTCTGCTCGCGAAGCTCAGCAGATCGTCCAACAGATCATTCAGAGCGTACGGCCTCGTCGGAGGTACATAGTCCTCTTGCTCGTGGGAATAGCCGCCCTTTTCCTCCAGCCAGTAGGGAGTATCCCTCTGCCGTGCCACGTCCCGGTGGCCGAGACGTTTAGCTCCTGCACGTACTCCGTAGGGGGGATCGGCTATGATGGCGTCGAGGAAGGCCGGGCGTGAAGGCCCTGCGCCGGATGAAGATGCTGCGCTGGGATGGAGGAGACGCCATGGGTGCTGGGTGATATCGCACGTCAAGCAATCTAGGAATCTCCCCTCCAACCCATACTGTCTCGCCGCCCTCAGCACGCCCGTCTCCTTCCAGCACCCTGGGTCTTCCTTGACCTCCTTGCCTTTGCCCCTGATCATCCGTCCATCGATGTCTGACCCCATGACGTACGCGCCCAGCGCTGCTGCTGCTACCACGAGGGAGCCTGTACCGACAAAGGGGTCATAGATGATCTTGCCTGGTGCCGACATGGCCATCTGCGCCATAGCGAGGGACATTTCGCTCTCCATGCTCGTGTTGCCTATATAGCTGCGCTTCTTGAGATCGAGGCGATCGATCCAATCGCGAGCGAGTGTTGGTGGTTGGCTCTTCGACCCAGAAGCTAGAGGGGGCTCGGCTGTAATCTTCCTGCCCACTACGACGAGCCGCAGCGCCTGTGCCTGACTTGCATGCACACGATCAGTCATATGTGCCCCTTCGATGCCCCAGCGCTCCTCGTACCAGCACCACTCGAAGTCTGGTTTGCTCAGGTTGATCGGCCCTTCAAAGTCGAGGAAACGGCATGAGTCGATGATTGATCGCTTCTCGTCTGCGGTCAGGCGTAGGCCAAGTGAGGCTACGTCCGCCTTCCAGCTGAGTGATGGTGGCTGAAGGTGAGAGTAAGACCGCTGTGAGGAAGAATGCTGTAATGCGGATATTGTGCCTTCGCGAGTGGTTCCGACCGACCAGAGGTGGATGATGTTCCGGATTGCCGTGCACCGATGAAGGAGGGTGGAGGCGGCTGCATCTGAGGGAAGGGCTACGATGCTGAATGCTCTGCTGATATCATTCTGAGGGTTACATGACGAGTCATGATGGGCGAGGATGTCGGCATAGGACCATGCGGTGTCGTGCGACGATGAGTCCGGCGGGAGAGGGAAGAAGGTGATCGGGATGTCATGCTGTTTGGCTACTGACTCGAGGACAGGAATGCGGAATGTCGGATGAGAGAGGGGGTAGACGATAGCATACAAGCGCATTGCCGATGTAGATGGATCAGAGCCTTGGCTCATCGTGGTTGTTGATGCTGCCGCTGATCACGAGAACTTCGACAAAGATTGAATCAACTTCGAAGGACAAAATCGCCCTGTCTACTTCCGTCCTCCTCTCTCGTGCGACGGAACGGGAAGAGGAGAGAGCGACGAAGCTGGCAAGACTGAGCGTCGTCGTCTGGCCCGCTGCTCAGATGAACGAACAAGGGGCAACGCAACGCGGGGAGGCGAGGGGCCCGACTCGACGAGGGGAGACGGAGAGTGCAACACTCGCTGCCCATTTCCCTTGGCTTTGCCTTTTGCCATCTCACCGCGACTTCTTCAACATCATCATCATCCTGCCGCCAGACCCACGCTCCTTTATCTCGCTGTTTCTCCTTTCACGACATACTAGACGCCAAAGCTTCCTGCCTCCTTTTGCCGCCCCCGCCCCTAGTACGCTATCATCATGGGAGGCTCACTCTCCAAGGCCATGGGCAAGATCTTTGGCAACAGGGAGATGAGAATCCTCATGCTCGGACTCGACGCTGCGGGCAAGACGAGTGAGTCTAGTCCATGCGTCCAGCCGCTTTGATCATCTTGCTCATACGCCCCTGTCCCCTCCGCACAGCCATTCTCTACAAGCTTAAGCTCAACCAATCCGTCACTACGATCCCCACCGTAGGCTTCAACGTCGAAACCGTTCAGTACAAGAATGTCAAATTCAATGTCTGGGATGTGGGAGGACAAGACAAGATTCGGCCACTCTGGCGACACTACTACACCGGCACGCAGGGTCTGGTTTTCGTCGTCGACTCGCAGGATAGGGACAGGATCGATGAGGCGAGGCAGGAGTTGCACAAGATTATCGGCGACAGGGAGATGAGAGAGGCTCTGTTGCTCGTCTTTGCTAACAAGCAGGATTTGCCAGGGGGTGAGTGGGCATGGAGACGAGATTGAGATGCTCATAGCCTTGGGGACACACGTCGCTGATCATCATATCGTCGCCTCTTCACTCGCTCGCAGCGATGTCACCCGCAGAGGTGACAGAGAAGCTGGGCTTGCATCGTATGAGGGATCGCAGTTGGTTTGTTCATCCTAGCTGTGCGACCAGTGGTGAGGTGAGTACAGTGTTGACGGCACGTATGATGGACAGCCGGGGACACTTCTGACTTCTCCTCTTGGTCGCTGCGTTTAGGGACTCTTTGAGGGACTGAGCTGGCTATCGGCGAACGTCAAGAAGCAGCCCAACTGAGCGATGGCGGACACGAGATGCTGCCTGAGATGTTCTTCGTCTCGCACTCCTTACCCTCCATCGCGGATGATGGTCCACATCACTTGGTCGATGACGCCGATGACCTGCAGGCCAGTGCGATCTTCGAGCCACTGCTCTGTCCAGCACTACCTGTCCCCACTTCTCGACTATCACGCCGGCACCGCTTCCAACACCTCCTTCGTGATTAATACCTCTCCTCCCTTTACCAGCCCTCTACCCCCCTCGCGCCGACTCACCGTCTGCCCCATCTTTACACGCCCACCTCCTCCCTCTCATTTCCAGACTCTCGCCCCGACGCCCCGACGCCCCGACGCCCCGACGCCACTACGTCTTTGTTATTCACTCGCGAGCCTTGCAGACGAGGAGGAACGGGAAGGAAGCGAGGAAGCCACAGGCGAAAGAAGAGCAATCAATACCCTACACGAATCTCGTTCTCTTGAGGAAGCTCGCGTCGCGTGACCAGGTCTCTCCCACTGGGGCATTGAGCCAAAGAGCTACGAATCCTGCAAGAGCAGCCGTTGAGGGGTCGCAGCCGTTGTAGGTTCGCAGCCTTTTGGGGCTTGCAGCTGCCGCTGCATCTGACTCGTCGCTGTAAGCACTGCCTTCTCTCACGGTGGGATCGCGGCACCCACACGCAGCACCCACCATCGAGTCACGCGTCGCGTTCGCAGTCTCTCCCAATTTAACGAGTCCCATTCGCGAGTCGAGTCGCCGACCGATCCCCGTCCATAGCCTCAACACTGCATCTGCTCGCTCCATTGCATCGCCGTCGCCTTGCAGACCAAGGCGAAACGCCCCTCATCATTCATGCTGGCATCGGATTATCTTATCTTATCGGCCCGGGCGGCTAGCCTCGAATGACGGCCGGGCTTTCTTGGCCCCCCCCAAAGAAGCCAGCAATGCAGCGCGCTGTCTTGCGCCTCCTCCACTTCCCACCCTTGCGCCGCACCTCGCCTTTCAATCCAACCCAATGACACGAACGACGACGCACGACGCAAGTTGCTGCTCTTCTTCGCGCACGGCGAATGAGGAGAGGACGCGTCACGTTGCTCGCCGTTCAAAGTGGGGGCTATTAACTGCGTGCGAGACTGGAGGCTTGAATGACGGGATGGGAGATGCGTGTTGTTCGATGATGTGCCTGTGTGGAGCAAGGACAGATCAAGATCAGACAAGGCAAAGACGACCTTTTGGACGATGCAAAGAGGCTATATAGAGTCGGAACAATCTCCTTCATTTCTCTTTTACTTTTGTCCCTCCTCCTGCTCGATCCTGTCGTCTACTCAGCCTTCAGTGACACAACGTATCCTTTCGTTCAACATGCCCGCCTCGTTCCTCCTCCGCGACCTCACCACTCACGCCCGCGACCAGACTCAGTGGCTCAACGCTCGGCGCCAACGTGCGGCCTCCGCCGCCGCTGCTTCTTCTTCCTCACCCTCTGCCGTTGAGTCAAAGCTCACAACAACGAATCTCGTGGCTCAGCAGTCTGGCTATACATCAATCGGCAGTATGGGCCAGATGACAAGGAGGTACAGCAGCGATTCGAACTCGTCCAGCGAGTCGGGGAGGAGCGCAGGACGCTGGTAGGCCTTCCGTAACAAGGGTGAGTTCGATAGGGAGAGTGGACTTCTCCAAGATGTGAAGCAACGCTAACAGCCCGTCCGCCCTGTCTTCCCAGCCTCCGTCGCATTCCTCGTCTCCAACAAACATAAACACTCTGCCAGTCGCAATTCAGTATGGTGACCCTGCCTCGCTCATCAGCTTCGACGCCCTGCTCGCCCCTCCTCGATTCCATGTATACCTCTGCGCTTCTGAACTTGGAATCGAGCACCAGTAACGCCATGCCTGAAGCGCCTATAGCCTCTTGTGTCGAGCTGACGTAGATCAGCATCACGAGATCTGAGCGAGTAATTGTCCTCACATACGCTCACACGGTGTGTAGCGACTGAAGCTGAAGCAATGGATATTAGACAAGAAGCGGACAATTTGGAAATACAAAGAAAGGTAACAAGGTCAAGTCTAGATACAGAAGAAGAGAGTGAATAGAAGAGGGCCAAGGAACGCATTGCAGCGGTGAAGGTGTCGGTGACGGCAGTATGGTTCAGTCTGACCGACATACACGTATCTGGACATTTGAGGACGTCCGACGTCCGCCGCTATGTCGTCCGCTATTCCGGTCCCCGTAGAGGCGAAGAAGGGGTGCTTAGTGTGACTGTGAGTACCATTGCTGCTGCTGTTGGGAAGCATGATGCTGTTGTTGTTGCTGTTGTTGTTGCTGCTGCTGCTGGGATTGCTGACGATGCTGTTGTTGCAGTTGGTTAATCTCGTCCGTGGATAGATTCCAAGAGGGATCATGCTGATCTGGAGCAATTACTGCAGCACCCATTGGCATCCAGTGTCCTTGCTCGCCGCTCTGCGAGTTCGCCAACATGGTCATCCTTTGGATGTCCCTGTTTGCGTGCTCGCGAGGGCCGATCGATTGGTATTGGTCCTGGTAATGATGAGGGGCAACAAGATGCTGCTCGAGCGATGCGCTCGTGCCCGGACCCGCTGCCGAGTCGCTCAGAGTCCTGAGTGGTGCTGCCGCGCTTGCATCCCGGTCACGTAGCGTCATCATGAACGGACGCTGTTGCATCATCATCGTTGGTGACGCCCGCGCCGAGACGCTGACGCTACTGTCACGGCTACTGTTCTTGCTGCTGGCAATGGCACCTGAGGGCGGGTCCATGCTGGTGGTGATGTTGCTGAGTGCCGGACCGCCTCCAAAGACATCGGCCTTCGCGGCCCGGAAGCCTGTGACGTCAAGGGACCGTTGTTTGTTAATGCCTCTGAAGGACGGAGCATTCGCAGACAGCATATCGCCGGAAGACGACGACGGGAAACCGACCATTGCATGTACTTCGGACGCGGTGCTCGGGCGCGTGCTGCCAGCGCCTCGACTTCCACCGCTGGCGCCGCCTCGCTTTGCCTTGGATCCAGGTCCTCTTGCTACGCACCAGGGATCCTGCGCCGCCGTTGATCCGATGGCGGATAGCGATGATGAATTCGAGGACGAGGCCGAGCTGGGACGGTGGCGCTGCTGTTGATGTTGAGCCGTCGCACGAGCCGTGGCCGCAGCGGCATTGATGGCTGCTTCTCGCGACGCCTCGTCGTTTGCGGACCTTCTCCTGACCCTGCTGGGAATGAAGTGCAGTCCCTGAGCGGCTAACAGCTCCTTCTCCTTCTTGCTCGGTGGGCCCCGCTTCCTGAGCGTATCAGTCGTAGCGCACTGCTTGCCCAACGACAGGCACTTTCCGCAGGTGGGTTTCTGGCGATCACAGCGAATCTTGCGCTTGCGACAATAGTCACAGGCCGCCACACCTTCCTTTGAGTCGGAGGAACGACTACGGAGCCGCTTGAGCATCTCGTCTGCTCGGGCTTGGTCCGAGAGGGGGTGGAGGGATGTAGGTGAGGAGAGGGAGGATGACAACGACGTGCTAGTCAAGTCCGGGAAGTGCATGTCGCCGCTTTGTGATGTTGGAGAGGGGTCGACGCTGTCTATGCTGCTGCTGTCGTCCATGAGGTGGCTGCCGGCTGATGACACTCTTCTGATGTGAGGAGAGTTCGGGTGGGATGGGCCGGTGAGACCGCTGAGGGTCAAGCTAGGCATACTGTTGCCGGAGTCCATCGAGCGGACCAGGGCAGGGGCAAAAGAGGTAGGCAGAGAGGTCAGGACTGAGCTGGTGGGGACCGTAGCCGAGGCGGGAGCGCTGGAGACGTCGCCCATCCGATAATCTTGCATGCTTTCCATGTCGAGGGAAGGGCCATAGTAGGGCGAAGAATGCTGGCGTAGCAGACCGTCACTCGTGCCGTGGCTGCTGTGCGGTGACGGCTGGTAGCTGTGTGAATGGCCCCAAGTAGAGGGAGGCGCGGGAGCTGGTGGCGCTGCGATGTTGGTGCGAACATCATGATGCGGGTGATACCCTGGCTCTCGCATGTCATTCTGCTGCATTGCCGCGGTGAAGTGCAAAGCTGTGGGCGATGGTACGGCCGTACCTGACGAGGCAAAGTGCGACGGAGCGTACGGTGCCGGAAGGCCCTGGTGTGAGTCGTGATGCCAACTGTCATGCTCTTCCTGGTAGAAAGGGAACGTCTCGCTCTGGTGCAAGGGAGGGAAGGCATTGTGAGCGTGCCCAGCAGACGAAGACGTCTGGGCAGCCGTGCCAGCCGTGGCTGCACCGCCGTGTGGGTGATTGCGAGAGGACTCAGCTGAACCTGGCCAGCCAGGGTTGCTCATCCTCCCAACGGCTCCAAAGGCGCAAAGAATGACGGCGAGAGGGAGGTGCGAGCCGGTTGAAGGCGGGCACGATATGGAGGCGTTTGCGTGCAATGAGTGTACACCACCTCCTTTTCGGGGGATGGATTTGAGAGCGAGACCCGGCCGAGTCGGCTCGACGCGATCCTTATTTGGACCTTGGATAAGGGTAAGCCTGCGGGAGTTTGAGCAGCGCTGAAGTTGAGCCTTCGTTGTTGCTAGAAGAGAGAGAGGAAGGGACGGTAAGAAGTGCTCGCTGCGTTTGGCAACAACAAGGAGGGCGCCTGTAATTCTTCGCCTGCCCTGCTCAGGGTTCTGGGCAGACAAGGGGACAGGAGACTGGCTAACGGCCGGTCGGCGAACGGACCGAATCTTGACAGCGAGCTAACCGCTGATAGCGAGTAGCCGGTCAGCACGCAAGCAAAGCGAAACGCAAAGCGGTCCCGTGGTCTGGACAAGTGTGAGCCGGCGATAGTCTGGATTGGGCGTGCGACGATCGAGGTAGGCTGTCAAGAGCGAGGAGGGACAAGCAGAGGGCGGGGTACGGAGAAAGAGAGAAAGCGCCCGCTGCAAAGCGGGTCTCTGGTCTCTGCCTCTGCGTGTAGTTCGTACATTGTGCCCGTGCGCTAAGGCTAGCTAGCTCCGACGGTCTTCGCAGTATATGTCTGGACGCACAGTAAGCTCGGCGCTCTCGCATTGCCGGAATGCCACGGGCGGCTAGACGATGTTCAGTGTGCCTTCTTTCTTTCGCCATACGAAGCGAGAGGAGGGAAGGCCAAAGGGGGGTCTTTGGCATTGCGCGAATTGAGGCGCGACTGTACGAGAAGCAGCGGCGGCGCCGCCTGCGTCGCACTTGTAGTTGGCGCACCTGATCGAGCAATCGCCCCGTGCACAATCAAGGGTTGGGCTGCAAGAAATGACACGATGGAGAGAAAGGCGCAGTGACCTCACGAAGCGCCTCCCCTCTCGTGTTTTCTCAACTCAGGTTTCAGACTGCGACGTTCCGATGTATCTTCCGATGATTGCCGCTGCACGAAGTAGCCTCTAGGCGAGAGGGCGCAGGTGCGACCCGCCTGCAGCGGGCTTCGCCGCTGTCTCCAAAAGCCGCGGCCCCGTGGCTGCAACTGCGCCCTTGTCGCCTCGATTGGCGATGCAACGATGGTCTCAAGACGCCAAGGGCAAGCTCACTCGGCATCGTCAGCGGAACTACAACAATGGCTGAGCCAGCGGGCTGTCATGGCTCGTGAGCATCAACTCAGTGCAGTGCTCTGGCGGCCAACACGGCTGATGCTGAGAAGGAGTCGCTCTCATCTGAGCCATCGTCATCAATGAACGTCGAGATCAGCCAAGTCAGCTCGCGAAGGGGAGAAAGGCAGGGGAGCGAGCTAGCGAGCCCGCAGCTGGATCAGCGGGCCCGCGATACCGCCAAGGCGAGTGCCGAAACGAGGGTGAGAGCGAGGGTCATAAGCGGCGGAGCAGCGGAGTGACACCATCTCACGACCCCTGTGACGACGACGATCGAGCGTCCGCCTGTGGCGCGACGTCTTTGCGGTCTCCCGCTCGAGAACCTTGTGTCGTTCAACACAGGAAAAACAATGAGCCGCCCATTCCTGCCGTGCGCACCGCTCTTTCGTCACCAAATGCTGATTGGACGTCTCGGGGCCGTCAATTGTCACCCCCTTATCTGGCTGGCAGCCTCAGTGGCGGTCGGCAAACACGGAGCGAGAAGAACAGAGCAAGGCACGGCCCTTTCTCTAAGCGTCGCCGCCTCGCAGCATCGATGCATCGCAGTTTCGTCGCCTACGCCCAAATGGCACCCGTCCACTGGACAGGCTTAGGAATCGCCGTGTGATGAAGAGGGCGATTGGACGAGGACGGAACCAGGGATATGGATCAAGGCATCACCTGCGTCTAGTGCATGACATGACGACCGGCGGCGATGATGGTGATCTGGCCATTTCGAGGAGTGGCTTGCTGACTCTGGCAGGCAGGGTATGATGAGGCTTTTCTGGGATCTTGCAGCTGCGTCGCCCTGCCCTGTACACATGCACTTCCATGCGATTGATTGCATGGGAATATGCGATGCGATGACAAAGGCCCGGCCATATCTGAAAGCGCGCCGACTCAAGAGTTGCAGGAGATTCCGGAGCGAAACAAGCCGGAGCGGCGATTCGAAGAATCTTGGCTCCGTTCCGTGCTCTCAATCGTCAGTCCGTCCTCCCTTGACGCCGCCAAATGAGATTTCGACGTTGCGGCTCGCAGCACAATTCGACATTTCCAATAGCCCGGCGACGACCAAGATGGCAGGCTGCCACGACGGCAAGGACGGTACGAACGGCTGCGGCTGCTCAACATCACAAACGAGTGCTTCTGAGCCGCGACGACGCTTCGCCAAGGCTGCCTCGACCTCGGCTGCGGTCCCCGCCGACATCCTGGAAGATGAGGCTCTGAATGCAGCAATTGCCTCGATCCTCCCGCCCAATTACAACTTCGAGATTCACAAGACAATCCACCACGTTCGTCGTAATGGTGCGACTTGTGTAGCCCTGCAGATGCCCGAGGGTTTGACTCTCTGGGCTACGGGGATAGCTGATATAGTGGAGACATTCACCGAGGCCACCACGGTCATCATGGGGGATGTGACGTATGGAGCGTGCTGCGTAGACGACTACACCGCCATGGCGCTAGGATGCGATATGCTGGTACACTATGGCCACAGTTGCTTAGTACCGGTGGATCAGACGGCCATCAAGACGCTGTACGTCTTTGTCGAGATTGCAATCGATCCGGGACACTTGGCCAAGACGGTGCGCGCCAACTTTCCTAGTGAGAGGGAGGCATTCAGGGCAAGAATACTGGGAGGATCGCAGGGTAAAGAGGGAGAGACACAGCCTGACGAGTCTGCATTGAATCAAATGGCAAAGGTCCAGATCGGAGTCGAGGAAGAAGGAGTACATGCGAGGATACAGCCTAGCCAGGGAAAGGCTGCCGATAGACCAACACACTTGGCTCTCGTTGGGACCGTGCAGTTCATCAATGCTCTGCACAGCTTACAAGACGCCCTCGAAGCAAGCATCGAGCCAAATGACAGCGCCGAGCAAGCGCAACGTCTGCTCTTGACGTCTGGCGAGCCATCGGCCGCCTCTCCATCAGCCATCCCTTTCCCCCTCCCTGCTCTCGGCCGCTACACGGTCACCATTCCGCAAATCAAGCCTCTATCACCTGGCGAGACCCTAGGCTGCACCTCTCCGCGCTTGCCTTCAGATGTGGACGGGGTCATCTACGTAGGGGACGGACGCTTCCACCTCGAGAGTGTCATGATTGCCAACCCGCGCCTCCCGGCTTTCCGATACGACCCGTATACCAAGCGCTTTGTCAGGGAGCTGTACGACCATGCCGAAATGAGAAAGACGAGGGGGGAGGCAGTCAGGAGGGCGAAGGAGGCACTACCCTCCGGAAAGCAGGACGTCGTGGCGCACGGGCCGGCAGAAGCAGAGAGCAACGGCGACAAGAAGGTGTCAGTCATGTCTGCTTCAGCACCCGAGGCAAATGCCTGGGGCTTAATCCTCGGCACCCTCGGACGACAAGGCTCCCTCTCCGTCCTCTCGCACTTGTCCTCCCTCGTCGGCCCACGCGCCTCCTTCGTTCCCATCCTGCTTTCCGAGCTCTCACCCTTCAAGCTCTCCCTCTTCAACCGATACGATGCAACGTCCCTCTCCACCTTCGTTCAGACCTCCTGCCCTCGCTTGAGCATCGACTGGGGGTCTGCATTCGATCGACCTCTGCTCAGCCCGTATGAGGCAGCAGTCGCTCTGGGAAGGACGGAAGGATGGGAAGTGGAGAAGGCCGAGAAGCGGAGACTGGGAATGAGGAGGGACGTTGCCAAGGCGCAGGAGGAGGAGCAAGAAGAAGAGGTCGGACGAGAGGAGGGAGGCGACTACCCGATGGACTTCTATGCTGACGACTCGAGAGGCCCCTGGACTCCCAGACACGGGAGGGGAATGGCAGCGAGGAAGAAGGCGCCTGGGGCCACGTCGAATCGCGAGCTGCTCAAGGCGAGGATGAGGGAGGCACAGGCCAAGAGAGCGGCGGCGGCGGCAACGGCAGCGTGACCTCTAGTCTCCAGCACGGACCCACATCATCTTGTATATCATCAGAGACATCTCCATTACGAATGCGCACGCCTGTACATCTCTGTTTGCTCACGAAGCTCAAGTCGCTCAGGCAGTCCAGAGCTTGGCGCAGAGCTCTGTGAGTCCGACATCGTCTGGGCGAGAGGAGAAAGAGGGACGGCGTGAGTTGGGCTATAGGCTATACCTGCCGACGCACAGACACCTGAGCACTTACTCGTCTGCATCTCGTAAAGACCCGCAATGGCGCCCACTGCGGCGACACGGATGCCCCAAGGCCAGATACGGCCGGCGATGGGGAACTTCCTCTTGTGCAGGTAGTCATTGAAGATGGAGTCGAAGCCTGCAGAGTGAGGAGAGGGAGAAGGTGAGAATGTAAAGGTCAGCAAGAGATCAGGACTGTCATGAGGTATGGGAAGGTGCCTCTATCGTATGGCAAGCGTGCTGAAACAACAGGAGACGGTGCAGAAGCGGCCTCATCCCTGGACGACGTGCTTCGCAACGTGCCTGCTCTGCATCTCTTTGAGCCTCTTCAATGGCCATGCCTTACTCGCTCACGAGAATGGCCACTGCCACGTCGCCGCTAACAACGCCCACGTCGCCGCTTACAACGTCTCGCCATACTTACCGATATGACTGTGCGCCACCAAGCTCAAACCAAGCGCAGCGTCCAGCACACCGCTCGCTCCGTGCTTCGCAAACGCAACAGCCGTCAGGGGCAAGAGTGCGACTGAGATGGCCCTCTCGACAGCCCAGTGCTGATGACCATGAGTCGCATTAGGCGGCGGGTACGTCGTGGGGTCGTTGACCGTCCCCTTGATGTAGGAGGATGAGGCCGACGCAGAAGGGTGAGAGGCGGGCAGACGGGTGGTAGTCTGGAAAGGGCGGATCAGGAGGCGCGATGATGATGAAGGGGCCGAAGTTGAGGCACGAAGCCCGAGCCCGGTACGGAAGGACATGATGGGTGACGGGTGAGCGGTGGTGGTGGTAGTGTTGGTAAGTTGTGTTGAATGCAGCAAGCGACGATGATCGATGTCGTCGAGGCAGGCGGAGCGCGGAGCACGGAGCCCAGGGCGGGGCGGGGCGAGGCGAGGCGAGGCGAGTGGGCAGCAGAGCGATTGATCAGCAGCGCTCCTCTCCCGGCCACCTCCCGCCCTGTCCGCCGGGCCTCGTTGGCTGGTCCGGCTTTGGCCGGTCGACGCGAGAGCACTACCACAGCAGGCGACGGTTGCACTCTCGTATTCAAAGCCAATGCTCATTGTTTGGGAGTCTGAAAGAATGATCGTATGATTGACAAGGACGCAATCAAAGAGCCGATTGAGGCGTGAACAGAGCAGATCTGGATACGATGGATCGCTACTACTGCCTAGGGCAGGCTGCTACGACGAACCGCTTCCCCCTCCTCCTTGCCCAGCCCCGGTAGGCGTGAACACCCTGGTATGAAGCTCGGCCTGCTGTCGTTCGTACTGATCCATGAGATCCTGAATGGCAGCGTTACTCTTCAACCTCCTCATCTTGGGCCTAAATGAGTTCCCACCAGCAGCAGGATCATGGAACCGGGCGAGAGCTGGCGCGCCTGATGACTCTTGGGCGCGCATTCCTGCTTGAGCACGTTGTTGCGCCTCTTCGAGGGAAATGCTGAGCGGGAGCAGAGGGGCCGACGTAGAGGAAGAGGCGGCATCGTGACTCTTGCGTCGCATGGGCTGCGAGGGTGATGCTCCTTCAGCAGCTTGCCCAACGCGTGTTGAGCCAGCCGCGGCGTCGGCTGCCTCGCGCCTCTTGTCCGTTGCAACGTCGTCATTCTCCATCTCTGTCACGGCAGAGTCGCCCACACCGAGCGCGGCACCGACTGCTTTGCCTGGTTGAACAGCTGCCGCCACCTTTGAAGAGCGGCGACGATCCCCTTCTGAAGAGCCACGGCGATGAAGCTCCCAGTCCTCATCCGAGTCGTCGTCTCCACGACTGCCAGGGACTTTCTTGCTGGCTGTCCCTTCCTTGCCGCTTTTGACTGCAGAGCCGCCGCCGCCGCCAGAGGGCGTGTCTACCTCTGTGTCACTCTCAGGCTTTCCCTCTTTCCAATCTCCCCTCCTGACTCCAGTGCGAGGCTCGACCTTCTCCCCTTGCGTGTTGCCCATATTTTCTCTCATCTCCTGATCCATCCTGCCGCGCGCATCCTTGCCAACTTCAGCAGGGGCACGCCCGCCCACCAATCGCTTATCAAGAGCGGTTCGCACAAAGTGACGACAGCTCTGCAGCGCCTTGCGCGAGGCATCGAGGAATAGGAAGGCCTGGAAGACGTGCACGCAGTCCTCGTAGAGCTCGTGACGGACCGCTACGCCTGCAAGAGAAGCCTTGTGCGCTAGCAGGGTGACCTCGTCGCGGAGACATTCAGCGTCGCCGCATTGAATGAGTAGCGGGGGCAGGCCACGCATGTCTCCAAAGAGCGGGGAGGCGTAGGGGTGCGTGATGTACTTGTCGAGATTGTCCCCCAAATAGGCCCGCACTGGATTCATGTGGTCGTGCGACCCGGGTACGACGAGGTAGTCGTAGGCCGAGTTGGTGTCCCAGCTGTCGCATGACATGGTGAGGTCAACCCATGGACTGAAGAGGATCGCGCCGGAGGGCAAAGGGTAGCCGTTGTCGCGCAGGTAGTACATGAGGGCCGTGGCGAGCCCACCGCCTGCCGAGTCTGCTCCGAGGACGATGTTGCTGGCGGGGATGCCGAGGTCGTCTGTCAGCCGGAACCAGGCGGCAACGCAGTCGTGAAGTGGACCAGGGAACTTGCAGCCGGGAGCAAGGCGATAGTTGATGGCGAAGACGCCTGAGCGAGGAGCGAGGAAGAAGCGTGTCAGCGGTTGCTCTTCCGCCCTTGATGTCGTCGCGTCGCGTACTCACGGCACTCGGTGTACTTGGACAGCGAGATGGTCACGGGCCTATGCGTCACAGCCGACATGACAAAGTACGCCCCTCCATGGATGTACAAAATGACCCTCTCTGTCCCCTTTGCCTTGCCACCACGCCACTCAGCCTGCAATCGCCTCCAAGTCTGCTTTCCCACGACCCACTCTCCGGTCAGCTCTCTGCTGCCATCCTCCTCAGCGTCTACGTCCTTGAGAAAACCCTTCAGGTTGCGTTTCTTCACCCTGAAAGTCACCGGTGTAATGAGTCCATCCTTCGGCACGGGCAGGAAAGACGCAAGCTCAAAGAAGCGCTGCATACCATCGACGGTAGCAAATTGCGTGTAGCTGGCCGTCTCGCGGAGCAGACGCGTGAAGACGGACATCTCTATTCCCCAAGACTTCTTTGGCGGTCCGTAGATTGCATGCGAGGCAACGGCCGAGCCGATGGTGATGCCCTGACTTACCAGCATGGGCAGATACTGCCAGGCTTTGGCGATTGTCATCGGCTCGCGCTCTTTTGGTGCAACCGTGGTGTCGGTGCGCGCTGATTGCGGAATATTCTGGCCGCGGTATTGGTCAAGCATCGTGGTGAGGGCAGAGTGGAAACCTCCACCGCCGCTGCGCTGCTTGCGAGACGCTGAACCGGCCGCGGCGCCTGCTGCACCTGCTGGGCGTGTGGTAGCATCTGAGCTGGCCGATTCGGCACCAGGGCTAGAAGGTCGTGCCGTCGTCTCTGAGCTGGTGCTGGCGCTACGTGAGACGCGCGAGTGAGGCGCGGTTGACCCGACAGGCGGCTGATGAGCTCCACCGCCGCTCGTCTCGATGCCTTGCGCAATGGCCTCCGTACCGGGCATACCACGGCGAGGTACGTCCTCTGCACGAGCAAAGTTGCGTCGCCCGCCTCGTCTGGGACCGCCACCAAATTCAGGCATGACGACGAGGTCGATGGACATGGCCGAGTCGTCCTTCGTCGCCGCCTTCTGGCGGTTGCGCTCCTCCTCCTCCATACCTTGCGTGCTACCACTCGCGCCGCCGGTCTTGATCGTTGCCTGCGATGCTGCAGCCAGATCGTCTTGTCGCACCTCGTCATTTGCCAGCTCCTGCTCCGTCGATGAGAGGTGTAGGTGCGTCGCAGCTCGAAGTAGCCTGGACAGGTGGTCAGTCGACGTCTCGTCGGCAGAGTGCTCAGTGCGCAGGTCGTGGAGGCGCTGAAGATAGTGGACCGCTTCAATGGCAGTGACGGCCTTTGCGACCTTCTGGCGCGCCGTGAGCCCCTTTAGAGCGTTCTCCTTCAGGCAGGCGCCTCGATGCTCGTCTTTGACGTTGAGCGGCGGCAGTTCGCGTAGCCACGGGTGGGCGAGGGCTTGCTTGGCGGTCATGCGCTTCTCGGCGGGACAGAGGCATTTTCGGATGAAGTCCTTTGCCGTATCGCTGATGTCACTCCAGTACTCGGGCTCGAAGACGACTTTCATCTTGACGATCTCCTGGAAGAGGGTAGGCTGGTCCTCGCCATAGAAGGGCGTGTAGCCAGCCAAGAGGCAGTAGGCGATGACGCCGCTGGACCAGATATCGACTGCTGAGCCATAGCCTTTGCCGAGTAACACCTCAGGCGAGACATATTGAGGCGATCCGCACGCGGTCATGAGCAAGCCCTCCTCGGGGATGAAGCGCGACAGGCCAAAGTCAGAGATGGCGATGTCGCTCGGGTCTCCCTTGTCTCTGAGCAAGATATTCTCCGGCTTGAGGTCGCGGTGGATGACGTCGTGCTTGTGCAGATAATCGACGCCTTCGAAGATCTGCTTGACGATGTGGCGTGCGTCGAGCTCGTTATAGTGCACCTTCTCGACGAGGCGATCAAAGAGCTCGCCGCCGCGACAGAGGTCGGTGACGATGAATACGCCTTCCTTTGTCTCGTAAAGGTCCCACATCTTGATGATGTTGGGATGCTCGACTCGTTCAAGGATCTTGATCTCCTCTCTGCGGCACGAGTGAGCGATGTTCAGTTCAAGGACAGGGTCATGCGATTGCACAGTCTCGTGCCGCGCACTCACTTGAGCATGTTCTCGCTGTTCTCCTTCAAAGGTCTCTTGGCGATGATCTTGAGCGCCCTATGCTCGCCCGTGGCTTTCTCTACAACTTCCTTGACGACGGCGAAAGATCCTTGGCCTAGGACGGTCGACAAGACGTTGTACTTCTTAGACAATGGGCCGGGCAAGACGGGAGTGCCATCGCTCTCGGTCTGGAAGGGAGGGGCAAGAGATTAGTGAAGGCCCCGCGACTCCGAAGTATGATGTTGCACTCACTTCTTTGAACCAGCCTCGAAAGGCGTGGTGAAGATGATCTTGCAATTGCTGCCCGACCATTCTGACACGCTCCCTACGTTGACCTCTTACGCGGTTGCTCGTCCTCCGTCTCAGAAACTGGCCAAGCCCTCTAGATCCTTTAGGTTCGAGATCTGCGGCTGCAGCTACAGCTTCGTCGTCTGATTCGTCTCGAGGTACGGAACGGTGAGAGCGGTCGTAGGCAGGAGGCGAGGGCGATCTCCTGTCGCGAGATCGATGTCGTTCTGGTGCTTCGACCTTCTCTGACTCCCAGACTCCTTCGACTCTTCTAGTAGCTGCGTTGTTGTTGGATCTTGGAGAGTCTAGATTGGAGTCAGTGTAGTGAACTCGGCTCATGCCACAGACGGCCACAAAGTAGGATTGAGAAGGGGGAGATGCAGGACCTGCGGTGGCTAATGTCTCGGCGGTCTCTTGCTCGTCCTCGTTGGGAAGAGAGGTTGTCGCTCTCTCGCGAGGCGACGGCCTGCGTACGAGGAGAGGGATGTAATAGGAGAGGGATGTTGATCAGCATCACTCTCTACACGGCATCGGATCCCATGAGAGCTCTCAATGGCGGCGAGAGGGTACGAATCTTCCGCCCGCATGTCAGGGAGGAATCTGCCTGCCTGGTCCAGACAATCGTCGCCGCGGCCAGCCTGAAGCTCCGACCCTTTGCTGCGACGACGGTATCCACTGACGTGCGACCCACTCACCACCAACTACTCGATCGTGCTGCGCGATCGGACAAAGGCCAAGCGTGCTACGCTAGCTAGGCGTGAGGCTGGGCCGATGGTCTTGAGAAAGCTGCCTATGTACGACGTGGATGTACAGGTCGTAGCTAGGAAGATGAAGATGAAGTGCGAGATGGAAATGCAAATGCGGTGTTGGTTGTCAATGACGACGACGGACAAGGCTGAAGCGTGCGTGCGGCCGCCCTCGACCGGCCTCGACCCAGACATTGCTCTCCACTCCAGTCGGCGGCCCGTGGCCGTCGGTCGCCCCTTCCGCCTCGCCTCCTCTTCGTCAGCGAGGCGCGAGGTTGACTGGGCTGGACCCGTGGGCGTGGCTTTGGTCTCGATTTCACGCAGCGCCGGACGCGGCGCGAGCGGCGGCCACCAGCGAGATAGACGCAGGCGCGTGGGGGATGCGCGAAGAAATCAGTCCTTTTCAGAGTAGACTCGACAATGTAGGGGTGGCATTGCAGGGCTCGCAGAGAATGAGAATACAGATGGAGGGCATGCGGCGGAAGAGTGGCGATGACGACTCCAAGGACGCTTGCTACGGCTGCTGATTGCCAGCTGCCTTTTGAGGTGCTCACGCTCAACGAGCACCAGGTGGACGGTAAGCGCCGGCAGTCCTCTTGACCTCGGTGAAGCCGTCACCACCACCTTGCTGCTGCTGCTGCTGCTGCTGCTGCTGACGAGGAGCGGCAGAGGGGGGCGTGGAGGCACCGCTACCTGCACCACCGGCAGCCTGCTTCGCTGCCATCCTCTCTCGCCATCCACCAGGAGCAGGAGCTGCGGCCGGGGCAGGAGCGGCAGAGGCAGCAGCTGGAGCGGGACTCGGCGCAGGGCTGCTCGATGCCGCACGGCTAGGGGGCTCACTCATGCCAGCACCGCCAGCCTGCTTAGCAGCCAAACGATCACGCCATCCTCCGGTCTTTTGTCCACCAAAGGCAGGTGCAGGTCGCTCCTCGCCACTCGCCGCAGGACTGGCGTTACGCGCCGAGGCAACAGCGCCAGCAGGGGCGCCACGGCGCCAAGTCGAGTCACCGGCGAGAGTCGGGCCCGCAGCTGCGCTCGCAGCCCTCTTCTCATTGGCACGTCGCTCCTCGATCTCCCTCTCGCGCTGACGTTGCTTCTCAGCCTGCTCCTCCAGCTTGGCCTGCCTAGCCTCAATCTCGGCCCGCTTCTCAGCCTCGAGTTCGGCCTTCTTTGCTTGCTCAATCTTGCGCTGCTCGGCGGCACGCTCCTCCTCTTCCGCCTTAATGCGCTGCAGCTCTGCCTCTTCCGCAGCACGACGCTCCTCCTCCTCTTCACGCTTGCGACGCTCCTCGCGGGCGGCGGCAACCTCCTTGCGGCGTTGCTCCTTGGCGGCCTCGATCTTGCGCTGCGAGTCAGCACGCTTCTCAGCGAGCTCCTTGGCGCGCTTGCCCTCGATGGACTTCTTCATGTCGTGGTAGTCGGGCAAGATGCGAGTAAGACGCTTCTTGGCTTCGACGTCCGACTGGTGCTTCTCGCGGGCGGCGTCCAGGGCGACCTTGCGAGCGCGTTGGTTGTACGCGAGGTCGTCCGTCTTCTGACGCTCGTAGTCCTTCTCGAGCAAGGGGAGCTCCTCGCGACGGTAAGCACGCTCGAGGTGGTCCATACGGCGGAAGATGACGCGCAGACGCTCTGCGAGGTCCTTCTTCTCCTTCTCGATCTGAGAGACTTGCAGCTGCACGAGCTTGTCCGTGTCCAGGTTGGCATACTCCTCTTCGGAGAGCTTGAGCCCACCCTTCTCGCGAAGCGATTGGGCCATCTTGCGCGTCTCCTCGGCGCGGACGGCTTCGAGCTCCTTCTTGATACGCTCCTGCTCCTTGAGACGCTTCTCTTCGGCCTGGCGCTTCTGTTCGGCTTCGGCTTGGGCGCGAGCACGCTCGGCCTCGGCCTTGGCCTCGTCGCGGGCACGCTCGTGAAGGAGCTCCTTGTGGCGGGCGAGGATGGCCTTGCGGGCGAGAGCGGCCTTGTGCTCCGACTCGGCGACAGCCATGGCGCGGGCAAAGACGTCGCGCTTGGCCTTCTGTGCCTCCTCGACGACACTGGGGTCGATGGTGCGCATGGTGCTGTCGAGGCAGGTGGCTAAGCGAGTAAGCTGAGTGCGTACAAGCTCTCCAGGCGTGGCTTGGAGACGGACAGAGTCCTGGTGGCCGCTGGACGAAGCAGCAGGGTGTGAATCGGCGCTGAAGACGTCCTCCTGGAAGGTGATGGCCTGGCTGACGTGGTCGACGCTGATGTTGAGGTGACCACGCTTGGCGGCGTTGAGGCAGAACTTCTCAATCTCCTCGCGGGTGTAGGCGTAAGGGGCCTTGAAAGAGCTGACGAGCTCCATGACCTTGTCAAGCTTGACAGCGTCGTAGACCTGGCTCAGCTGTTGGAAGAGCCTGGTGAGGATGACCGAGTGAAGCGGCTTGATGTACTTGGCCATCTCTTCATTCTCAGCGATTTTGGCGATGATGGGCTCGATCTTTGCGCAGATGGAGAGAGGGTGGAACTCGACCTCGAGGATGTCGTAGAGCTCACGAATCTCTGGGCGAACACGTTTGAGGACATTGCGGGAGAGAGCCTCCTTGAGCAGACCGGTGCGGGTGGGCGTGCGACTCAAGCCTAGGAGAGAGGTCAGACGGCCAGTGCGACTGATGGTGTCCTGATCGCCAAGGAGAAAGTCAGACTTGGACTTGTTGAGGTTACCAGTGCCGGGAGCGCTGGACGAGATGACAGGGACTGCGAGGGAGGACAGGAGGACCAGCGACGAGAGACGAGTGAGCTCGTCCTCAGTCTTGATGTTGCCACGGGCGAGAGCATAGTAGCGGCTCCATGCGGCAGCGTGGAAGAGGTTGTTGTCCGAGACCATAAAGATGCGGGAAAGCTTCTCGTAATAGTTCGCCATCATGGACGGGCGAGGCGCCTTCTTGGCCATGGTGAGCAAGTTGTGGACATCCTCGACGCTGCGGAAGGCCTCTTGCCACAGCTCAAGCTCAACGGCGGCGTTGAGTTGGGCAAATCGTGTGTCAAGGTGACGCTGCAGGGTGTCGGGGTCATTGAGGTTGATAGCATGGGTGTGATGCGACAGCCTGGTGACATTCTGCAAGTGAGTGCGGAGAAGGTCACAGAGGCGACGGAACTCAGTCTTGCGCTTAAACTGCAAGCAGAAGCGGAGGACCCTAGAGTGGGGATGGTCAGAAGGAGGGAGATATGGTCAGAGATGGGACTGGCTGACAGTGAAGCGCCGCGCCCGCGCCACTCACTGGTGAACAACCTGCTGGTAGGGCACTTCGAGACGAGCGTTGTTACGCAAGATGTCGAGAGCGGTACGGTAGGCCTCCCAGAGGAACTTGAGGCAGGGGGTAACCAGAGCTCGGTCGGCACGGTCCTTGTTCTCGTCCGAGGTGACGGCACCGAGAAGCATTCCTTCGGGCGTCTCGCTCTCCTCGAGGTCATCAACATCAAGGTCGGCAGCGGCGGCCTCAGCCTTGGACTGAGCATCAGCGACGCGAGCCTCTGACAGCTTGATGAAGTGCTTGATGACATTCTCAATGGACTGAGGCTGAGTGTTCTGCGAGATGTTCTTGTACTGCAGAAGACCGTCCTTGGCAGTTCGTCCGCGACGGAGCTCGACGCAGAGATCGACGAAGCGCATCATGATTGGCTCCAAGGATGCAATGGGCGCCGACTTGAACTTGCGCGAGGTGATGACCTCCCCGAGGGCCGTCAAAGCGGCCGAAGACTGGCCGACATTGATGAGCTCCTCGCTGCGCTTGAGGATCGTCTCTGGGCGGGCTGTGCGAGACATGTTGGGCAAATCAGATGGGGTGTAGGTGACGACGAGGGCGTGGTGTTGATGTGAAGCTGGGCCTAAAGACAGCTCGCAGCTAGATTTGCCGTCTGCTGGTGGGGAGGTGGTAGCAGAGGAGGCGTTGAGGGAGGAAAAGAAGAAGAGGCGCGGCGGCCGCGCGAAGGAGGCTCAGCGCAGGGCGCAGGCCGTCGGGCCGTCAGGGCGGAGCGGAGAAAAATCGCTGAGAGGCAGTCGACGAGACGACGGCACACGAGTCGAGGAGGCTGAGTGGGGGGTTGAGGAGACAATTGCCATCGAGCAAGCGTCGAGAGGTGTGCTGTCGAGCCATGTGGGAATGCAGACCGTGAGCTTCACGCCTATCGACATCATCACCACCACGAGCATACAGCGTCAAAGGAGTTGCTCTCGCAGAGTTTAGGCGCGCCTCGTCGACGATCTCCTCGTTCCGCTCGGCCGACTCGGACGACGATCTTGGATCGATTCGAGGCACAGGCCAACATCCGCCTCTCCTTCCGACACCATCTCGATCCTCGTCGCTCATCTCGCTGCCTCATCATGGCCGCTCCAGCCGCTGCCGCAGCCGCTGCTCCTGCTCCCAATGGCTCGGCAAAGGTCAATGGCAGCAAGGGCGATGCTCATCCGAAAATGAGCAAGAACGCCAAGCGCAGAGCAAAGAAGAAGCAGGAGAAGGCGGCTGGTGCAGATGAACCCGCCACATCATCAGCGGCGGCTTCATCATCTGATCAAGTCAATGGCATAGACGACAACGATGCGAAGCCTGAGGTATCCTCATCGTCATCACAGCCCGTAGCATTCGCCTTACCCAGCGAGGACGACGAGACATTTGCGCAATTCAAGGACATCTTCTCCAAGTTCGCCGCTACAGACGCAGATGCCTCTCAAACGGAGGCTGGCCCCTCCTCATCGTCCAAAAAGGGCGACGTCATCTACTCGGACGATGAAGACATGTCCGACTCACAAGCCTCGGATCGAGAAGATGGCGAAGCGCGTGCTACATTGTCCAAGCGCAAACAGAAGAAGCTCTCACGGCTCAGCGTCGCCGAGCTGAAACAGCTCGTCAGGAAGCCCGAAGTCGTCGACTGGTCAGACGTGAACGCTACGGATCCTACTTTGCTGGTCCACATCAAGTCCATCCGCAACACGGTCCCTGTCCCCGCGCATTGGAGTCAGAAGAGGGACTATCTCCAGAACAAGCGAGGCATCGAGAAACCGCCATTCGAGCTGCCCGCCTACATTGCGGACACAGGCATAGGCACGATGAAGGACGCCATCAATGAGAAGGAGGCAGAGCAGTCTCTCAAGACAAAGACGCGAGAGCGAGTGCAGCCCAAGATGGGCAAGGTTGTCGTCGATTACCAGAAGCTCTTTGACGCTTTCCATCGCTTCCAAACTAAGCCACCACTGAGCAGCTACGGGGAGACGTACTACGAAGGCAAAGAGTACGAGACGAAATTCAAGGAGCGCAAGCCGGGCAATCTCTCACAAGAGTTGAAAGAGGCGCTGAGCATCCCTCCGCTCGCACCTCCACCATGGTTGATTGCGCAACAACGCTTTGGACCTCCGCCTAGCTACCCTTTCTTGCCCATCCCAGGTCTCAACGCTCCGATACCAGATGGAGCGCAATGGGGCTTCCATCCAGGAGGGTGGGGTCGTCCGCCCCTCGACGAGTACGGTAATCCGCTCTACGGCGATGTACTAGGCGCGGCGGCTCAGGCTCAGGCGCAAGGTGCGAACTTCAGCATCGCAGCCGCGGCGGCACTGGCGGGTGAGCAGCCTGCGATCAGAGAGCCATGGGGCGAGTTGGAGCCGGAGGAGGACGAGGAGAGCGAGGAGGAAGAGGAAGAGGAAGAAGAGGAGGATGAGGACGGTGAAGCGATGCAAGAGGACCAGGCGGCCGCTGGAGGGTACTCAGAGCAAGATCTCCCCGCCGACGGACTCGAGACGCCCGGCGGTATGCAGTCTGTGGCTTCCACTATCCCTAGCGGGTTGGAGACTCCGGACTTCATCGAGCTTCGCAAGCAAGGCAGAGGCGGCACGGCCACGCCTGCCATGGAAGATGTCCGACCGCAAGCGCAACGCAGCCTCTACCAGGTATTGCCGGAGAGAGAGACGCGCATCTCTGGCTTGATGGGGAGTGAGCACGGCTACGATCTCAACAGCGGCAGCGGAAGTCGCCCGCCACCAAATGCGCCCGTGCTAGGCGCCGAAGACTCACCCGCTCGCGGCAGCAAGCGGTCTGCAGCTGGCAACGTAGAGGTTGCTCTGGACCCTTCAGAGCTCGAGGGCATGTCCGAGCAGGAGCTTCAGCAGCGCTACGAGGCCGCGAGGGCTACGCGCGGGGGTGGTGCTGATCCTGGAGGCGTAGGCGGTGGTGAGGATTTGAGCTTGTTGCGGGAGGAGCTGAGCAGGAAGAGGAGGCAGACGGAGGAGAGACGGCGAGAGAAGGGCAGGGGAGGAGAGGACGGTGGGAAGGGCGGGAAGTTCAAATTCTGAGGGTGAAGAGCCGCCATTGTACAACATTCCTAATCGTAAGCTGGTTGCAATCAGCACTGTCGTAGCATTGTCTCCGCGCAGCCTCATGAACACCAACCTAGTCCCATGAAGGACGACCAGATCCTACTATGAGGCTGAACGAAGACATGAGCGTCAGGATAAGGCGTGGATGTGAGCGGGGCTTGGTGAGGGAACACTGCGGTAGGGAAGAAAGAAGGCCTCGAGGCGGGGAGCGGCGACGGGACGACTCGCAACGACGACACGCTACGCAGCCCTCGGTCTCATTCGGCAACATCCATTGGCGGATGCGTGCTGCCACGCTCGGAAACATCTACAGCTGGATGATCTTTGAAAGCGGTCCCGTAACACTACCTCTGCACAAGGGTTCATCGGAGCTGGATAGCCTCATGACCATGACCTCGAGCCTATTCAACTCCCGCCAATGACGACCAGGTCTTCCTCCTGGACTCCGAGATAGCCGGCTCCACGATCCGGAAAGGGCGCTTCGGACTTTTCATTGGGCCGCCTCTGCTGTGACGAGATGAAGCGGCTGTCGCTCTCACTTTCTCATTTTCTCTCTCACATGACCACATGATCAAGAACGTCTCGCCCGCCCGGCCCACACACGTTCGTCAATGCCGTAACGCTCGCCATTAGCACGCAATCAAGTCCGCTCGTGTCGCGTCGCTGCGCCCCCGCACCCTCGCAGCCCTCAGGCGCAGTGCCCGCCGTGCGGTTCACGCCCCGAAGAGGTCGTGGCCCGTGCGAAGGCAGCATCTTCAATGTCGCCATTCGAAGATCTTGCAACTGTACGGGCGAGGGGCAAAGACTTCGAGAGACTTGGAATCGAGGCCGACCGCGTATCTTTCTTCCTCACCATCATCACCATCAAGCCTCGATCTTGATCGTGAATTACGGACAATAGCCCTTCCTTTGCCTGACGCCTTGCTATACCACCACCCACTACAACTTCTTACCCCCACCCCTTCTTTCCTTCACCACAATGGCATCCAACTTTGACACCCTTCAGCTCCATGCTGGCCAAGAGGTCGATCCAGCCTCCAAGGCTCGTGCCGTGCCTATCTACGCCTCAACGTCCTTCGTGAGTGGCGCGCTGCACTGCACCTTCTTCTCCCGATCTAGCTCCTCAATCTGACCTTCCTCCCCTTCGCTACAGGTGTTTGACAACTCAGCCCACGGCGCCGATCTCTTCGGCCTGCGCAAGTTCGGCAACATCTACAGCCGTCTAATGAATCCTACGAACGACGTCTTTGAGAAGCGCGTAGCGGCCCTCGAAGGTGGTGTGGCCGCTCTCGCTGCCTCCTCCGGACAGAGCGCTCAAGCCATGGCCATCATGGGCGTGGCCGCTGCTGGGGACAACGTCATCTCCTCATCGAACTTGTACGGTGGTACCTACAACCAGTTCAAGGTCTTCTTCCCGCGTCTGGGCATCCAGACCAAGTTTGTGACTACGGGCAAGGCAGAGGACTTTGCCAAGGCCGTCGACGCAAAGACGAAGGCGATCTACATCGAGTCGATCTCGAACCCCAAGTACGAGGTGCTGGACATGGCTGCAATCGCGAAAGTGGCGCACGACAACAAGATTCCGCTCATCGTCGACAACACCTTTGGCGCCGGGGGCTACTTCATCCGTCCCATCGACCATGGCGCTGACATTGTAGTGCACAGTGCGACCAAGTGGATCGGTGGGCACGGCACCACCATTGCAGGCGTCATCGTCGACTCAGGCAAGTTCGACTGGGCCGCATCTGGCAAGTTCCCGCAATTCACTGAGCCTTCAGAGGGGTACCATGGCCTCAAGTTCTGGGACACCTTTGGCCCTATCACATTTGCTATCTACCTGCGCGTGGTCATTCTCCGCGATCTGGGACCGGCTCTCAACCCGTTCGGCTCTTTCCTCCTTCTTCAGGGACTCGAGACCCTCTCACTGCGAGCTCAACGCCATGCTGACAATGCCCTTGCACTGGCGCAATACCTTGAGAAGCACCCGCGCGTCGCATGGGTCTCTTACCCCGGTCTCGCCAGCCACGCTTCCCACCAGGTAGCGAAGAAGCTCATGCCCCGTGGCTCGGGTGGTGTTCTCTCCTTCGGTATCAAGGGCGAGGCGGCCGCTGGTGCCCAGTTCGTTGACCAGCTCAAGCTGGCCTCCAACCTCGCCAACGTAGGAGACGCAAAGACGCTGGTTATCTCGCCCACGGCGACTACTCACCAGCAGCTGACGGCACAGGAGCAATTGGACTCGGGCGTTACGCCTGACTTGATCCGTGTCTCTGTGGGGATTGAGTACATCGATGACATTGTGGCGGACTTCGAGCAGGCTTTCAAGGCCACGGAGGGTGTGCAGGGTGATGTGCCCAAGGGTCAGCATAGCGTAGCGCCTGGCTTGGCTGGGGCTGCGTGACGGGGCGAGTGTATTGTAATGGACTCGAGTGGTCGTCGAATGCTTCCATTTGTCTATCTGCCTGCGTAGCTTCTTGATCTGCAGCTTGCGTGTCATACGAGAGATGGCACGGATGTCCAGTGCTTCTTTCGGCGCCTTTGCCGTCCAGCGCGACGCGGATCTGCAGTCGAGCGGACCGCTCGGCGCTCGAGCCAACGGGCGACGGACCAGGACAGAAAGCTCGCACGCTCCGCCTTGCCTTCTCTCCTTCACATCCCTAACCAGATACCCACCAAATGGTCGCCCTCGTGGCCACCTTGATGGTGTCAACCATGTCGGCCCTGTCGGCTATGGCGCAGGGAGGTGCTCCACCCTCTGATCCCTCGCCATCCCCCGCGCCAGCCCCACCACCACCAGCAGAAGAACAGGAACGCTTCTCATCCCTAGCCCTCTTCCTCGTTCTGTCCCTCCTCATCTTCTCCTTCTTCGCCAGCTACTACCTGCGTGTCAAGCGCATTACCGCTATTCACGAGACCATTGTGGGCCTCTTCGCCGGCATGCTCATCGGCGCCGTGCTGCGTATCGGACCAGGCCAGCAGGTGCAGCAGATGCTCAGCTTCAGCAACACGATCATGCTCAACGTACTCCTCCCACCCATCATCCTGGCCAGCGGCTATGATCTGAGGCAGGAGTCCTTCTTCCGCAACTTTGGCATCATCCTCGCCTTCGCCTTTGCGGGCACCTTCATATCAGCAATCGTCATCGGCGTCCTCGTCTACCTGTGGTCCCTCGCAGACTTCACCATCTCACTGAGCATCTTAGAGTGCCTCATCTTCGGCTCTACGCTGAGCGCTACCGATCCAGTGACGATCTTGTCCATCTTCAACTCGAAGAAGGTGGACCCAACGCTTTACAGCATCATCTTCGGCGAGTCGCTCCTCAACGATGCCGTCTCCATCGTCATGTTCGACACCCTCTCCACCTTTCGCGGTCAGAGCATCGGAGTCTACTCCATATTTCATGGATTTGGGCTCTTCCTCGTCGTCTTCTCCGTCTCTATGGCACTAGGCGTAGCCTTTGGCCTGGCATGCTCCCTCATGCTCAAGCACAGCAGGCTGGCCATTTACCCTCAACTCGAGTCGAGCTTGGTGGCCTTGATTGCCTACACGAGCTACTTCTTCAGCAATGCAGTCACCATGAGTGGGATCGTCTCGCTCCTCTTCTGCGGTATCACACTCAAGCACTACGCCTACCATAACATGTCGCGTCGCACGCAGCGGGCCACGCGCTACACCTTTCAGACCCTGGCCAGCCTTTCGGAGAATTTCATCTTCATCTACCTGGGGCTCAGCTTGTTCACGCAGGAGAATCTGGTCTTCAAGCCACTCTTCATCGTCGTTACGGTGGCAAGCGTCGTCTTCTCCCGCTACGCCGCCGTGTTCCCCATCGCGAGCCTCATCAACCTTCTGCGCCGTGTCCGCAACCAACGAAGGGCGCGCCGCACAGGCGGAGGCTCAGTGCCCCGAACAGGAAGGGAAGACGAGCTCAGCCGCGAGTATCAGATCATGCTCTTCTGGGCTGGACTGCGAGGGGCCGTCGGCTTTGCGCTCTCTGCAGGTATTGAGGGCAAGAATGCCCCAGCACTCCAGACGACAGTGCTGGTCACTATCGTGCTTACCTTGATCGCCTTCGGGGGCACGACGGGCCAAATGTTGGACGTGCTGGGCATCAGGACTGGTGTGCAGGACGATGAGGGCGAGTCGAGCGATGAAGAGGGAGTGGACGCCGATCATTTTGGCATGGGCGCTCATCGACGCTCTGCTGGTAGAGGGCAGGGAAGGCGACAAGCCAAGCGTGGTGGCGGACGCGGCTCCTCGTCAGCATACAGAGATGACGAGCAGGGCTTCCTCTCCGGTGCAACGAACAAGTCTCGCTCTGGTGGAGGGCAGGCATCGCGCTACTCGTACGACGAAGACGCGTCAGAGACCAACGAGTTCTCACCGCCGGATCGTAGGGGCGCTAATGGCGGCAGCAGGAGTGCGATGATGCCCATGAGTGGGCAAGGCTCGAGACAGAGCTACGAGTTCAGCCCGGAAGAGGAGGACGACGACGACGGCATTCCGTCGACAGCCCCACCGGGCACCGTCCTAGATGCCACCTCCTTCCTAGGCTCCAACCGAGCGTCAGGAAGCGCCCGTGCTCTCTTGGAGCGTGGCGCTCTCATCATGCGCGACGGGCAATGGTTCCAACGCATCGATGATCGGTACCTCAAGCCGTACTTTTCGAACGCGGTTGCCTCTCGCAAGCATGAGGAGAGACGGAGCGCACGGGCGGCGAGCCGATCTTGGCAGCAGAGCCAAGAGCAGGGCGAAGGAGAGGAGGGAGGAACAGGTGAAGGAGGCACAGCTGCGTTGTGGGAGGCAGAAGCTGCTGCGAGGGAGCCCGATGCGGAAATCTTTTCGGGGCCGTTGGATGAGGAAGACGATGGTGCGGTGCGTAATCTTGGGGCAAGAGATGGATCAAGAGCCACTACGCCTGTTGGTAATGGGAATGGGAGGACAACACCACGTAGTCGGTCTTCGATGGGTTACCACCACAGTGCGCAGGGCAGCTCGTCGAGTGGGATTGGAGGAGCCTTTGCGCCATGAGCTGAGGACTTAGATGGGCACTGCGGCGTGCCGCAGACACAATGTTGATACACAAGCACGAATGCAATCGTCGTGGTCGTCGAGCTGCAGCGACGCAATGAGAGCAAGTGAAGTGCGAAACAGTCTATTGAATTCCTCCCTTCGCGCCAACTCGCTCAAGGGTGGACAAAAGTCAGCACCTCCTCACTGAACCTCCTAAGCAACTTTCGTACCTCTCGCCTGCTGATCCCCTCTCTGCACACCACTTCATCGATAGTGTGTCGGCCGTTGAGATAGGGCAGGAGACGAAAGAAGGATTGACGAGTCGCTTCCCCCATCTCATCGTCCTCACCTTCACCGTCTGACGAGCCACTGTCATCGTCTCCTGAAGGCGACGAAGCGTGGGCGCGCGTGGAGACACCAGCGTGGAGGGAGAGCATCGCATCTATCCAAGCATTTTCCACTCTCGAAGCGCGTGAAGGGTCGGATATGAGAGACGGGCGATGAAGGTCCCAATTGCGTGGGTCTGTTGAGCTTGACGACGAGGATGATGTGTACCCGTTTGAGTCGTCTTCGCTCGAGTCCTCGTCAATGTCGAGTGTAGGGCGGGGCTGCGCTGGCTGAGTGGGAGAAGCCAAAGCAGCAGAGACTTGCTCGACCGGCTTCGCGGCCTCATCCCCACTCCCTCCAAGGGGCGAAGGTGGCTGCGGGCTCTCCTCACCTACCAAACTCAGCCGACGTGGGGGAGCTGTGGCCTCGTCGTCCTCACCCTCCTCGTTCCCCGCAGCTGCTCCCATCCCTTCTCCTGCCTCTTCGTCGTGGTCCAGTGCATCCTGCGCCGGCTCTTGACCCTCCGCCCGAGCAACAGCGCTGCTCAGCGTCTTCGCGACCTCGGTCTCAGCAGTAACCTCCAACCCATCAACCCAAACCTTCTCGTCCTCGCCTCCAAATCCACTCACCCTCATACGGGCTTGCGATGGACTACGCGAGAAGGTACGAAGGGCGAAGCTAGGGGAGGGTTTTGCCGCTTCGAAATGGGAAATGGTGGCTGACCTTCCCGCTCGAGTACTCCCATCGCTCGTAGCTCCACTGTCTCCGCGTCGTCGCCTGCCGCGAGTCGCACCTGATGAAGAGGCGATCGGTGGGTGGTCTGTCGCTTGCGGAGCGCTGCTCCCTTGTGAAGGGGAGGTGCCACTGCTCGTCAGGCTGGGCCCGCGTCTATGTTGTCCCACCTGATGATGCTCGGCAGCGAGGATCTGGTTGGCCTTCTCCCTCGACGAGCTTGCCTGAACGCCGCCACTTTGAGTAGATGCGACGCTCAAACCGCCACCGGATCCTTTGCTACCTGCAGCGCTAGTCGATGACGCAGCGACGGCAGCTGCAACAGAAGCGACTGCTTCGTCAGACGCTCCTCCGTCTGCACTGGGTACGATCGGCAGCTCGACTGCTGCTGAATTAGGGCTTCGCGACCTTGAGACGTGCCTCCGGTGGAATTGAAGGGTATCCGCAACCTCTGGATGTGAGGCCTCGACGCGGAGACCCGAGGACGAGCCCGGCCTTGAGCTGCTGCCACTGGTCCTCAAGAGGTGGCCTGAGGCAGCTATACGCCCCAGAGGGGGTGGGTTGCGTGATCGTGATCGCGAATGAGATGAAATGCGTGAGGCCGCACGACGTGCGTGGTTGTCGCTATCCGGCTGCGGCTGACCGAGCTGCTGCTCTTGACGGTGTCGAGCTTCTGCGGACCGGGATCGCTGCCTTTGCCTGCCCCTCCCTTGCTCGTCCACTCCTACCTGTGAGATCCAAGGCGCTCGCGCCCTCACATTGGCCGCAGCAGCAGCGGCAGCAGCAGTCCCATCCCCAGGCCCATCAGGCGCACTCTGTGCCACCAGAGGGACTAATGCTCCCTCACGTCTCCTGGGATCAACCCCACGCTTCAAAGCTTTCCTCTCCCTTTTCCACTCTCTCCTCTCTTCCCGTCTTCTCCTAGCCTCGTCCCTCTCCAGCCGACGTTGCTCGTGCATCTTCTTCGCTTTGCGCTTGACTGCTTCCGTTGCAATGAGGCGGAAGCGCAGGTGCTGCTGGAGGAGAACGTCGTGTCTGAGCAGCCAGATGAGGACGGAGAGACAGCGTCGTTCCCTTGCTTGGGCATTGATGCTACGACTGGACGCCTCGCCCTGCTTTGTCAGGTTGGGCTGGAGTGTTGTCCAATGTTGGATGAATGGCTGGAGGCTTGCGCCCAGTATGGCCAGCAAGCGAATCAGCGGCGGCTGGTCAGGGAAGCGCAATGCGAAGCTCAACGCAAAGCGAGGTAGGTCTCCCTCCATATCGAACAGAGGGCTGACGGCGTACGTGTTCTGAATGCGCGGCACATCAGCCACTTTTGCTTGCTTGTAGTAGACGAGATGTCGAGCCATGGGGTACACATCCCGCTGTAGGTCCCAGTCGAGCAACGTGGCAAGCTGGGCGAAAGTAGGTATTCCAGTCAAGTTGGTGGGAACGAGGTGCGACGTGAACTTGCGTGACCACACCTCTATACCTGCATCGCCTTGCTGTTCCATTGCGTCGCGGGCGCTGACCTGCTCGCTGACTTCGCTGGCCTCGTCGTCCACTTCCACAACTTCCCCGCCGATGGAGCGATAACGTCGCGCCTTCTCTCTTGCATCTCTCTCGCCTTCCTGCTCGTGAAGCAGCAGGAGCGTCTTCCAGGGAAACAGTGGCGGCCCCGTAGCTCTCGTCCACTCATCCAGCGGGTTTCCAACTGCATCGTCCGCCCACACATCCGGATCATCAGCCTCAATGCTTGGACCAATCTCCAGTATGCTTTTGACCATGCGCGCCGGGTCGGTTAGGAGTGGCGGCAGCTGAAGGTGCACCTCAAGCGAGTCATTCAGCACCACAAAGGGGGCAGAGCGGTGCGTCGTTGGCCGAGTGAGGGAGCGGAACATTTGCCGCAAGCTTCGGGCGAGGGACGAGGTGAGGAGCACATCGGAGAGGTGATGTGCGTAAGATGGACTGGCTCCACCTCCGGCCGTGCCCCCTTCGACTGCTCCCCAAAGACGGGAAAGAAGGGCCACTTGCTGCGAGACGTAACCGCAGCGCTGCTCTTCTGCCCAGAGGGCTGCCGTCATTTTAAAGGTAACATTGTCGTACCACAGACCCAGCCAGGTCGTCAAGTCGAGGGTGGGCGTAGCGTAAGATGGGTCCGGGGGTTGGATGACGAGAACGAGGTGTAGCATCTCGACTGGCGGGGCCGGAGGGGTGGCTGATGCCGATGCTGACGTGGGAGGCGTGGTATCTGAGCTTCCGCTGCTATCTTGGGGTGTGCCACCGTCATGACTTCTTGGCGGGCGACCTCTACCTGCTTCATCCTTGGGCTGTTGATCAGGATCACGAGCGCGTTGGTAGACCGGATGGCCGACAAAGGCCAGATCGTCGACGACTAGCTCAAAGCGTTGATTGCACATCTCGCTCTTGGGGGCGATCATTTCTGCAAGAAACTCAACCGGATACCCCAAGTAGTGTGAGAAGGCCTTTGCGTTTCGAGCTCTTCTGGCTGGCGAGTCGTTTGATCTATGCTGCTGCTGCAGGTTGGCGACTGTCCCTCGTCTCATCGATGGTTCGGGCGAGTCTAAATCTCGGAGCGACGATGAGGCCATCGTTCTCTTTGGACCTCTTGATGGGCTTCTGCGAGGTCGCGAAGCTGTAGGGGAGGACGGCTGATTGCGCGAACCATGCCTCGAGGACGATAACGGCTCAATTTCCCTGGTAGTAAGCCGGCCTAATCGACTCGACCTGGCTCTGCTGCCGTTGGACGAGCGGGCGGTGTGTGTAGTCGACATTGCTTCTGATGCGCTCTCTGCATCTGTGACTGCCGAATCGCTGCCTTGACTGGTATCGCCATAGTCATCGTCGCCTTGATAGTAGGAGCTGTCCGTCGATGACCCGCTGCCCAGGCTGCTGTCATCCTCTTCGTCGTCGTCTCCGTCACCTGCCCGATTGACATTCTTTGCTGCGTTCTCATCCGAGTCTTCTCCTTCCTCGTCCCACTGTGCTCGATCCCTGAGCTGCTCAGCAGCATCGTGTTGATCACCTCGACCGCCTTGTTTGTGTGGGGTATAATATCGGATTCGAGAGAGGCGACGCAGCAGCTGGGGCTTGCGAGGGTAACGAAACACGACTTGAGGTCCACGAGATGCTGTCGAGGCCACAAAGAGGATGGCGACGAGGGGTGAAGGCTGCTGTTGCTGCTGCCGCGAGGACGATGCCGCCGCCATGGCAGGCAGCTTTGTGGGAACAAGAAGCCAAAGCCAAAGCCAAAGCTGCCAAAAGTGCCAATTGGCGGCCACAGGCGGGCGGGCGGACGGACGGGAAGGCAATCAGTCCAATCGAGGGCGACGCGCTTCTTGACTTCGCTCTCACATCCACTCGCCTCGCTTCATCGTCACCCCAGCCCCTTCAGCATGGCTCAGGCATCAGGAAGAGATGCCAGGGACATCCTCGGAGTCCCTCAGCAGCGAACAGGAGAAGCATCGTCGTCATCCGTGTCAACTTCGGCCCCTGCACCTCCTCGCCCGCCCACTGGCCCACCTATCCTCAAGAAGACTTCGCACAAGTCAAAGTCACGACAGCGTCACGATGGCATACACAAGGAGTTACAGGCCTTGCTCGGCGACAATGCCCCCAGTCTAGCGATAGCGCATACCGAGGCGAGGGCCATGCTCGCCAGCCAAGAAGCGGCACATGGTGGCGCCGCGGCAGGGGGTCCCCTACGACCCAAGTTCAGGCGAAAAGAGAGAAAGCCTCAGTCGTGGAAGTGGCAGCCATTCGAGAATCAAGCACGATCGGATGGGCTCAAGCTCAGCCACTGGGCGCCGCAGCAGAACGATGACGATTCCACGCCGTACCCTTTCGCTGCCTTCAACACCTCCTCTGGCATCTACTCCTACTCGAATGACGAGTACCAACAGCATCTCAAGGACGATGACTGGACCAAAGAGGACACCGATCATCTCATCGATCTTTGCCAGGCTTACGACTTGCGCTTCGTAGTCATTGCAGATAGGTGGGAAGCGAAAAGGCCGCGCAGTATCGAGGACTTGAAGGCGAGGTACTACGCGATCTGTCGTCGTTTGATTCGGTCGAGGATCTCAGTCGAGGATATGGATTCCAGGCAACAGTTGCTTGCTACGTACTCCTTCGACAAGCAGAGGGAAGTAGAGCGCAAGCGCCTAGTGCAGAAGCTCTTCACTCGCACTCCGGCCCAATTGGCAGAGGAGGAGGCCCTGTATGTCGAGGCAAGAAGGTTGGAGCAGAATGAGGCAAAGTTTGCCGCAGATCGGGAAGATCTGATGAAGCTGCTCGGTGGGTGGGAGAGGGTTCCGGACAGCTCGCCGAGGCTCATTGCTGAGGCGGGGGCTGGCTTTGGGGTTGGCAGTGCGGGACCTCTGCCTGGTACACCTGGGGCAGCGTTGGAGGAGGCTGCTGCTGGTGAGAGGGATAAGAAGAGGAGGAAACGTGCTGCCGGCGAGGCTGGTGCCGGCGTGGAAGAGGGAGAGGGGAAGACACCTGCCCTTGCTAGCAGTAGCGCCATGGCTATCACCTCCGCGACCAAGGACGCTGGCGCTTCCTCCTCGACTACCACCCTCACATCAAAACAGAAAGCCGAGCTCAAGCAAGCCCACTCGGATGAGCTGCAATGCATCACCCGCTTCGACCCGGACTCGCAGCCGCTCCTGCGGCCCCCTTACCCCTTCTTGCTCGGCACCCCCTCAACTGTCCCGCCCGTCGCTCCTTCCCCTCAAAATCCCACATCATCTCACGGAGTTTACCTCCGTTCCACCCGTCTCCTCACCCCACGCCAGCCGCAGCTCAATCGCACCATGCAGACGCTCAGCGAACTGAATCCACCCATCGGACCTAGGCTGGTGTTCCCCAATAGGACCAACTGCGAGAAGTGGGAAGGCTTGCTGGGCGCTGTGACGAGTGGCCTGGAAATGAAGAAGATGACAGATAGGGTAGAAAGCGAGTTGAGGATTGCGAAGAGTCGCTTGGCATCTCTGCAGGAGGCGAGGTTGGGCAAGCAGCAGGCGCAGGGCCAAGCCGGTGTTTCGCAGGCTGCGACGGCTTCGGCGACGGCATCAGGAGGCGCTGGGTCAAGCGGCACTAACAGACGCAGCGCTACTCCTCGCGCGTCAGCCATCGTTGGCGGTGACCCATCCGCGAATCCCACGTCGCGCTCCAACTCAAGGACGAGCAGGAGCCACACGCCTGCTGTCCCTACGGCAGTCAAGCCCATCTCCCAAGGCGACGACGAGAAGATCGGAGACAACTCATTCGATGGGTCTGGTGGAGAGAGGAAGAAGCGTCGTCGCTCTTCCGGCCTGTCCGACTTGGATGACGACGACGACGACGATGAGTGGAAAGATGCAAGAGCTGGTGCTGGTGCTGAGGAAGGCGGCGAGGCTGACGAGCAGGATGGCAGTATGCAGGTGGACGATGATGATGACGACGATGATGACGATGGGGAGGACGGGGAGGATGATGAGGACGACGATGGAGACGATGACTAGCTGCCGCAGTCGAATACAAAGTCTCGCCACGAGTCATGCAATCCTCACTCGTACTGCACTGCACTTCTTAAGACATGCTGATTGACGTCTGCTATCCGACCCTTCTCATGCCGGCCCCGCTTCTTCAGATCTACTGCACCCCAGCCGTCTTCGCAGTCTGAACCTCCTCCCCTCCCCTTTTCGCCTCCTTCCTCTTTGCCCTCTTCTCCCTCTTCTTCAGATTACGCTCCAGAGTCCCTGCGCCCTTGTAGCTCTCCATCTGCCCCTTGCCCGCCGTGGCGTCCTTCTTGCTCGCAGGCGCTCTCGCCAAGTCTAGAACTGAGAAGCCCGCCCTTCCGGCTACGCTACTGACGCGAGCTCCACCCTTGGAAGGAGGGATAGAGCCTGAGCCCTTGCGCTCAAATTCGCGCTCCCGCAGGGCTCGCGCTGCAGTCGCATCCCGCAGCTGGGAGGGAGCCGGCCCTCCTACGGGAACGGAAGCTCTGCGCTCTCTCTGGACTGCACGTTCCTCCTCCAGTGCTTTGGTCAAGGGGCTCTCATCCATCTTCGAAGCAGAGTCAGCCCCCGCAGCAGCCGCTTCTTCATCTAGCTGCTTCTTTGTCCGCTCGTCAATCTCCACTATGCGGCCAAGGGAAGTTGCCGACGGCTTCGTCTTGGAGTCGGCGGGGTGCGGATCATGCGCTGTTGCTGGAGGCGGAGGAGGTGGGGTAATGCCCGTGCGGGGAAGAGGCGAGGAGGGTAGAGAAGTTGGAGACCCAAGCAGGCGTTCCATTTCTGACTGAAACTCGGTTTGGAGGGGTACGCGCTAGAGGGGCACAGAGGGGAAAGGGAGGAAGAGTGTCAGTAGGAGTTCGCTGAGAGCTGGTGGTGGTGTTGGTTGCGCTGATCAGAAATCGTAGTGAGTTGTAACCAGCAGGCCTTGCAGCCCAGTCTTCAAGACTAATCGAATATTTTGTTGTATCTCGTCCTTTGAAGCTTCGGTGTACGCTCGCGCCTGATGCTCACCTGCTGTTGCATTTCACCCTCCAGCGCCTTGAGTCTCAGGATAGCCAAAGTCCTCTCCATCGTCAGCCCAAAGGTACCCGACAGCACGCGAATCGAGTTCTTCTTCGGGTCTGCACTGTGCAGCGACCACATTCGATCACGAATGCTCTGCGATACTGGTGGAGGAGGCCTGAAATACGGGTTGAGTGGGAAGGGCTGCGTAGCCAGGGGTGGATGAGAGCAGGTCAGCGACTGAGAATGACTTGCAGCCTGGTATCGCGAGCTGCTCACCGTCTCACCAATCCAATGCGGCCCATGCCCCTTCGGAGGCTCTCCAAAAAGCTGCTGCCCCTGCCCAGTCACCCACTGCTTGAAGGGCGGCATCCTGGTGAACATTCTGCCATTAACGGCACCGGCACGTCCGCCGCCGGCTGCGGACGGCCTGGCTCGTCGGCCACGAGTGGGCCGCTGCGATGCTGATTTTGCTGATGACGCTGAGGATACTTCGGACCCGGTGCTCTTTTGTGAAGTCGAAGCTGAGGACGATGCCTCACTGTTCGCAGCATCATTGCCGCGAGGCGAGGAAGAAGAGAAGGAGCGCGAGGTCGAGGGTGCATACAAGGAGGATGAAGAAGAGGCGGCTGCCGAGCAATGTGGCTGGCTGCTGCCATTGGCGACCGAAAGCTTACCCAGCCTCTTGACGAGACTGCTGGCGTTGCCTCGTGTCATGCTGGTGGTGATGCTGAGGGTCGTCGCTGTGATGGTCGTGGTCGTGCGATGAGGTTTTGTCAGGTCAAGCCGCCGCCGCCGCCGCCGCCCTCCCGCCTCCCGCCTCCCGTCCAAGTCCGAGATCTTCTCGCTTGAGCCTGGATTGAGAAGGCCTTCTCCGCCCGTGGAGCCTCACACAGCTTGGTCAGCCAGGCGCGATGAGCACGGTGCTCTCGACGTTCACCAGCTTGGAGACAGTCTACATTCACCAACACTTGCTTCATGATCGACGTGTGTGCTGCATTCTCGCTTCTCTGATGGTGCAAAAAGACCAACATGCCCGCCTCTCGGGCTGGGTAAAAAGCATACCAGCGTGAAGCAGCCCAATAGTGATCACTTCAGCTTGAGACTCTGCTACAGCTTCTTTGTGAAGACCATGTGATCCCTGCCCGCATCACAGCGGCGACAATGGCCCGCTCTGTGCCCGCCATCATCTCGCCATCCTTCGCCCGTGACACCCTTTTGCTTGTCTCGCGGTCCATTCGTCGCTCGCGTGGCAAGTTGCCCTCTCTAATTGAGTCGAGCCCGGAACCGCGGCAGGACCAAGAGGAGCGCGCGCTGGTCTCTTTGGAACGGAGCGGGGGCAGGGCGGCCCAAGTTGATTCGACAGAGGCGAGCGGGCGAGCGGGCAGGGCAGGCAGGGCAGGCGACGGACGACCTCGACGACGAGAGCCAAAGGCAAGCAAGCAAGCGCTCCGACTGCTTTCGTTTCCTCCATCTTTCTCGTCCTTTCACCCCAATCGACAAACAGACAGTGAGTATCAGCGGCGGCAATGCGAACAGGAGTCAGGGAGGATATGAAGACACGAGAGGGAGGCATGGACGGAGAGAGAAGTTGCAGCACCGTGGTCGATTGGAGAGGGACAGGAAGGTCATCATGGCAGGGAAGGGGAAGAAGTGGCGGTGAGACATTGGGTCTTCGCCTTCGAGGTTGAGCTATTCGGCTCAACGGGGAAGCTGGGGGCGATGGAGCTTTGTCCATCTTGCACGCCCGCTCTTTGGGCAGGGTCGCTGCGGCTAGGCCTGGGAGGAATCGTGGATCGCACCTTCTCCAACTCCCTCTTGCGGCATCCCATGCTCACACGCTGCACACTCTTCCTTCTTCGCCACTCGCAGAGATGACCAAGAAGAGAAGGAATGGTGGCCGCAACAAGCACGGCCGTGGCCACGTCGGCTTCGTTCGCTGCTCCAACTGCGCCCGTGCCGTCCCCAAGGACAAGGCCATCAAGCGCTTCACCGTCCGCAACATCGTAGAGGCCGCTGCCGTCCGTGACCTTTCCGACGCCAGCGTCTACGCCGAGTACGCCCTGCCCAAGCTCTACATCAAGATCGCATACTGCGTCTCGTGCGCCATCCACGCGCACGTCGTCCGTGTCCGATCCGCCGAGGGCCGCAGGATCCGTACGCCCCCCGTTCGCGTGCGCTACAACAGGGATGGCAAGAAGAGTGAGTACCGCAGCGTCTGCAGCAGCGGCAAGACCAAGAAGGCGATGGAGGGCAGCAATGGTGTGGGTCATCGATGGGCGTCTGGGATTAGGCAAGTTCCAAAAAACATGTTAGACTGCCGACCCCTTTTCGGGATGACGAGGCAAAAACCAAATCACCATCTTTCGAATGAGACACGGCGACGAAGAGGAGCAGCAGGGCAAGGAGGGGAAGGGATGCGATGGATCACGCACGATCACCATCGACATGATCAGCTGATACTGACCCATCTTTCTCTTCCTCGCACTCTCAGTCAACCCTGCCGTGGCTCAGGTCCAGAACTCCGGCGTCGGTCCTCAGGCTGGTGGTGCCCCCGCGCCCACTGTCAGGGTCTAAGCTTGTCTCTCTCTCACAGCCTTCAATATGATTGAACAGAGTTGCGAGCCCATCATCCTGTATTCCTGATTAGCCTCGGTCGATGTTCTCGCTACGAGTTCGCGAGCATCTTGTGCATTACGATCCACACACAATCTCAACATCAACAAAACCACAACCAGTGCGGCGTGACGCAGCGTACTCGAGTGTGCTGCACGGGTTGTCCTATCTGAGCCGGCCGTCGTGTCGTTCCCACCAACCCGACCAGGGGGCCAACGTCTGAGGCAAAGCCAAAGGAGACGAATGATTGCATAGTAACGATACAAGTACAATGAAGAGGACGCCCGCTGCTCGTCCGATAGCCTGCGCTCAAGCCGCTACAGGCGTAGCCGCTATCTTTTGCTTCTTCTTCTTCTTCTGCTTCTTCTTGCCCGGCGACGCCTCATCATTGCGGGCCGTAGAGGAGATCTTTGCCTCGATGGGCCCTTGCTGCTCGGCTGCTGCGCCATTTGCACCTTCCTCTTCGCGGCTGCGCTTCTTGTCCTTCTTCTTGTTGTCCTTCTTCGTTGACTCTGCTGGCGATGCGGCGGCAGTCTGAATGTCTGCACCGTTCTGTTCAGCCGCTGGCTCTGCATCGTCACCATTTGCAGCCTCGTCCTTCTTATCCTGCTGTTGCTGCTTCGCCTCCTTGTTGGCCTTACGGCGCTCCTCCTTTGCCTGCTTCCATGCCATTTTGTTGGCCCTCTTGCGCTCCTGCCTGGCCTTTGCCTTCTCTGATCGCCCAGCCTCTGCGCACTCAGACGGCGCTGACCCATTCTTCGAAGATGCTGGCTTTGAGGCTGGCTTTACCTTCACCCTCGTAGCCTTCTCCTTTTCCTCTCTCCTCATCTGCTCCGCTTCCATCTCCCTCACAATAGCTCTCGGATCTGCCCCTCCAGTCTCGAAGTCATTTTCCCTCTCCGTCCTGGTGAGCTTCTCCCTCACAAAGGTCCTGTAACGGTCTAGTCGACGCTTATGTGCTTTGCTCCCTGCATGTACGTCGACTTGCTGGGTTGACTTGAGTTGTGCGAGTGGGCAGCAAACGCATGATGTCCAGGGTTGACCGGCTTTGAGGGGTGAGTCGGGGGATGTGTAGAAAGGGGAGGTGAGGGAGGTGCTGATGCTGATTGGCGGGACTGAGAGGCCAGAAGAGGCATCGGATGCGGCGTCTTCGTCGTCATCGCCGTCTTCTTCATCTTCCTCATCTTCCTCTTCGGCCTCGACTTCGAGCTCCTCCTCGTCATCATCCTCGCTCCCACTCTCGCTCTCGCTCTCACTATCCTCGTCCTCGTCCATCATGGTCTCCGGTGCAGCATCTTGGCTAATATCGATGCCCTTCTCCTCATCCCTCTCCCTCTGTCGCTTGAATTTGGCCAGGCGCTTGAACATGAAATCGACGTTGCTTGCTGGATTGGGTTAATTGATGGTGGTCGAGGCAACGAGCGAGTGAGCCCAGTCCGCCTTGCCTTCTCCGATGCCTTCTCGACGGACCAAATTTCGAGTGTCGTCCGCCCGCCTGTCCGCCTGACTTCACGCGTGGCCTCCGCGTCGAGAGGAGTCCGAGTGTTTATCCGCCCGCCCGCCCTCCCGCCTACGACTGGTTCGAGGTGTTGGTTGCGGCGACGGCGGCCGCTGCTGCGTCACCTTCCATCTCCACTCACTATCCCCTTTTCTCACCCTCCTACGTCAGTCATCATTCTCCCTCCTGTACAGTGATCAGATCAGTGGTCTACTAGGATCACGCCAAGCATGGAGCAGGCAAGACCCACTACCTCAACAAGGGCTCCGCTAGGGGCCCGCAACCTCAACACTCACCACGAAAGGCTCACTCAAGACGGATCCAATACCAAGAACCATCGTGCTTCGTCGCCCTCATCTTCGCTCCTCATGGCAAAAGTCAATGCCATCAGAGCTCGGGAGAATGTCAAGTCAAGGATGCTCCAACAAGTCGACTACCCTACTCCACCTCCCTCCAGTCAGTCGCCCGCTCGATCGCAGACATCATCAAGGTACTCTGCATCTGCTTCTCCAAGCCCGCTGACCCCAGCGAGCAAGGCAAAGGACAGCTACAAGAGAGATCGAGAGATCACCAGCCCTGTCATAGCAGCAAGAACGCAGCTCAAGGACGATTCGCCGAATCCTCGCATGAAGAAGAGAACCGATGAGCGACCTACGCCGAATAGGAGACCAGCGACTGCGCAGCCTCGGTACAGCGCTGACAGCGACGCAGACGATGATGATGAGGCGCAAAATGCAGGGAACAGTCCAAGACGCAGCAAAGCTTCATCAGGAGGTTCTCGCGTCCTCGATCTTATGTCCATCCGCTCAGATCCTATTCCTAGCGAGACGACTGCTGCCAACATTTCGGCCTCCTTCGACAGCAGCATTCGTCGATCAGGACGAGCACGAACTCAAGCGCCTGGCAAGGGTATCGCAGCCGCTTTGGCTCCTGCTCCATCCCGAGCTGGCGATCGCGCGTCCCCAGGAGCCTCTTTCTCAACCGGTCGGCAGCGCTCAGCTACTCCTCGTCAAGCCAACTCAGCGTCTCCCGCCTTCGTCAGTTCTCCTGCTCCTCCAGCAGCCATAGAATCCGAAGCAGAGACGTCCGACCCAAACGAACTGTTCTCGTCCAGCGACGAGGACGAGAACGAAGCGCAGTACCACTCTCAGCCTATCCTCAAGCCCGTTGCCAAGCGCATTTCTGGCTCTCGCGGTCGTGTCTCCAACTCTCAGCCTCTTCCATCTTCCTCCGGCAAGTCCAGCAGCGGAGGACGACGTTCTGTTCCTCCTCCGCAGCGTCGTCGCGCCAAATCTGCCCAGCTCGGTACGGCCAAGACGCCCGCCAACGGGGGCAAGACTCCGCATGGCAGCAAGAAGAAAGCAGCGACGACCGTCAAGCGGCCCCCACCTATTGGACCTAGGGAAAAGCTGAGCCCCTTTGTCCCGCGACCAGCGAGCCCAAGTGATGATCCGTTACTGCTCAAGGGACGTGACGGGTACGGTAGGCGGGCGGAGGAGCAGGAGCAGGACTACGAAGATGGCGAGGTCAATGATACCTTTGCGGCGGTGGGAAGGCAGGGTAGGCGAGCCGCGCCGGCGGACAAAGAACAGTCTTCCTCGTCAGCTACAAGTGAGCGAGTCTCGCTGCTTGATCCCGCCCTGTCAGAGCATGAGTACTCCTGCGGGCAAGCCGACAGCAGCGAGGACGAGGATGAAGGTGCCGATGACGATGGTGCTGCGATGGAGCAGGAGCCACAGGGAGCCCACTCTTTCAGCAGCGACTTCTCGCGCCTCGCAGCAGAGATGCGGGCTGACCTTGGCACGGAAGAAAATGCCGCTGCCGAGGAGATGGAGCAGGAGGAACCCGAGGAATACTCGGTCGAGATGCATGATGCGGGTCACGACGGCCTCGACTTTGCTTTCGGCGCCGATAATCATCACGACGATGGCGGCTTCTACATGGATGCGGCTGCAGGCGCTGACAGCGATAGCGATGACGGCGGCTACAGCGCCTTGCAAGAGCAAGAGCAAGCGCAAGCGCAACACGTCAGCGGCTCAATGCAAAATCTCGAGACATCAGAGGACCAGAAAGTCGACTTCATGGAGTCGAGAGTCAGTGAGGACGTCTCTGATGCGACCTGGCCAGACGAGCAGGACGACACCCGCGTGACCGAGCCGGCGGCCAATTACCGAGACGAAGAGGCTCATATCGCTGCAATTCAGGGGTCACCGAGCCGCTCCGCCGAGGCAGACATCAGACAGGACGAAGATCTCGCTCCTGAGCAACCAGTCAGTGAGGACGAGGCTGTGCAGTCGGTTGACGAGGAGGTGGGCTCGGACCTGCATGAGCCAGCGCCACTCGCACCATCTTCTGCGATTAGGGCAGTCGTCGACGACGAGCGCGATGCAGCCGAGGCAGAGGAGACGCTCAATGGCTTCGCAAATATGAGCGTCACGCAAGACGAGGGCGAGGACGAAGAAGAGCATGATGTCAAGGCTGCAGAGAGCCTCTTCAAGCAAGTCACCGGGGCGCCAATTGAGTCCACGCCAGCTCGAGCACCGACAGCGGCCACGGCTCAGCCCAGCCTCTTCTCTCAGTCCGTCATACTCCCCTCGCCCTCGACCACGGGCATGGCGCAGCGCTCTCATTCCCACCTCGAGTCCGATTCAATGCGCTCGATGATGCACTCCCTGCATCGTCCCACACCAATCGTCGAGGTCATGAGCTCTGACGCTCAAGCCGCAGCCCGTGCGGCAGCCATCTTGCGCCTTCACCACAACTGGATTCATGAAGGCACGCTGACTACCACGGCTGGTCATGATGGTGCCGAGAAGACCTTCGTAGGCAGCGTTCTCACTGGTGGCCATGACGATACGACAGCGCCTGGTGACAATGAGCTCCCGCAGCTGCTCAAGGACGCGGAGGCTGAGCTGGCGAGATTGGGTGTTGCAGAGCGGAATCAGGCTCGCTCCAAGACTCCCGATGCTGTCGCCGACACAACGCCGGAGGCCAACTATCCCGCCGCAACGGCTGCAACCCCCCTCGCCAACCAAACGCTTAGTGCCCCGACGCCTCGCGTGCCTGGCGCTTGGTCGTGGTCACCCCTCAACCTCTCCTTCCTCGCGCCTTCACTGTCAACGGCCTCCTCTCGCGCTCCTTCTCGCGAGCCAACGCCGCTAAATGGCAACGCTCTCTCCCAGGCGCTGCAGGCTGATTCAACGTCCTTCCCTCGCTCGGCTTGGAAAGCGCTGGAGGGTACTGTGAAGGGAATGGTACGCGAGGCTGTCGGCGAAGCTCAAGGCGGGGACAAAGACAAGGCGCAACGTGCCGCATGGCGTACCCTCTCGCTCTCCACCGCTGTGGATCGCTTCATCGCCGCACACGACATCGACGCCTCTCAACTGCGCGACAGGTGGAGTCGTAGAAGCCTAGAACGCTCAGTGCTCGCCTTGCAGCGTCAGTACTTCTGCAAGCTTGAGAGGCGTAATTTTGGCTGCTTGACGGAAGAGGAGGCACTCCTGGCCGAGCGACCGTTGGGGAGTGAGAGCACAACGATTGGACAGATCACTGCGCCGGTCGATATGACGAGCTCGCATTTGCAGACGCCCATGGCTAGTCTCAGTAGGGCTGTCCTGTCTGGTGCCGAGCCCTCGCCTTTGATGCGGGCTGCCACCGCTTCGCATTCGACGCCGCTTGATCCTCGCAGCGGGTCGAACATTGCCGCAAGCCGAGCCAACTCTGCGGCACGCGCTGTTCCTCTGGACCCACCTACTCCACTCGCAACACCTAGTCAGCCTTTCCCGTCGCCTGCACCTGCTGAGGCGCACGACGTCGCTGCGACACCAGTCCAGCAGCAACGCGAATCCAGCACGGAGGGTAGCTTCATGCAGCGCTCTTGGTCGCTCAAGAAGAGGGTTTCGCAGCTCTTCAGACGGGGAGAGGAGGCTGAGAAGGAGCAGGAGCAGGACCCGCCGCAAAAGCAGGCACAAGAGCAAGAGGGCCAACCGGCAGAGGAATCGACAGAAGTAGTAGTTGAGAGTGAGGCTTCTTCTTCACCGTCGGAAGAGGAAGTCGTCACAGCCGACGTCGAAGAAGCCCTGCCTTCTCCACATTTCTCTCCTCGATCCATCTACCCTGCTGTTCCAACCTCGCCCATGCTCTCGTCCGCCATGCCACCACCTCCGCCACCCGAGCCAACAGCCGCCGACCTCTCATCAGCAAGCGCTCGCGAATTGTCCGCATCCTCCGTATCAGCGCGTCCTCGTGGCCGCAGCAGCATCAGCTCCACGACAAGCAGCTCAGCCGACGACTCTAACAGCTCGCTCCTCGCGCAAGAAGCAGCGGCAGCCGCGGCCGTCATGCTTCAGAAGCGTCAGCTCAACCGAGTCAGCCGGACTACGGGGCTTGTCACGGAGTCGCCGAAAACAAAAGGCGGCAACAACAGCTTCATCATCAGCAATAGTACGAGCACCTGGATCTCGCCGCGCGTGCTGCGCAAGGCCAGGGCCAGCCAAGCTGGTGGCGAAGGGGCAAGGAGCCCACTGGCAAAGAGGACAATCGTGACAGCCGCGGTGGACAGGTACAATACCTCGCGCGCCTCAACATCGCTCCTCTCCCCTCCTCGGGCGCGCAGCTCCCTCTCACTCGCGCATCGCTCCAGCTCGTTCGTCCGACCTACTGCGGTGCTCTCCGCAAACAGCCCAGCCAAGCGCGCCTCAGCCCCCGTCTCCTTCCCCAGTCGCAACCTCGGCACGAGCGGAGGGGGAAGTCGCGGAGGGTCCTCCTTCGTGCGACCCACCGTTCTCGCGGGACTGGGAGACGACAGTCATGTCTCTGCGCGCTTGAAGGCTCAAGCTCTTGCGAAAGCCAGAGAAGACCGCACATGGTTGAGCCCCCTTGCTAAGCGCAGAAGAGCGGAACAGCTTGAAGCTCAAGCGGCCGGCAGGAAGCAAAGTGCGAAGGGTGTAGACCCAATCGCTGCTGCTGTCGCGGCGAAAGCGGCTGAGCGTAGGGCGAGAGGTAGTTGTGCTTCACCTTCCTTTTTGAGCAGAAGGCGTGCTCAGGAGGAGCAGAAGGAGAACAGCTTCGACCAGTCTGCGGAAGAAGGCAGCAGTAGCCTGCAATTCAGACTGCCCTCAACCAGCGGTAGTGCGACTTCTGGGCGGCTCTTTGCGCCCAGGCGAGATGCTAGCAGCGGCAGTATCGTGGCTAGGCAACTGTGAGGTAAATGAGCAGGGACCCTCAGTGCTTAGCTTGTGGATTTTGTTAGTACGGCAGCGGTGCTTTTCCCTCTTCGCTTTCTCTGCGCGCTTCTCGCGACATTGCATATCGTATCGCGTAGGTATTTTGATTGTTCTCATCCCTTTGTCATCTTGCGCATTCATACCACTTGCTAGCAATGATCGCGTGTCGCCGATGCCTGTCGCCCTCGCCCGTTGCCCAGCCTCCCATCTCCTTGTCGGCAGGAGAAGGGGCTATGCCGTGCGACTTTGCTCGTAGCCAATCTTTGCGGCCTGACGATGCATTTTCGCCGTACCTCCTCGCTGAAGAGCGACCTGATGCTTCCTCACTCTAACCCATTGCCAAACAAGTACGGCCCCCTGTGATTGAAGACGGCAAAGTTCGTCCTGGCATCGACCTCATCGATGGACCGCTTGCGCATCTCTGCTGCCCACGTGATCTCCTTTAGCGGTTGAGCGGACCTGATGAGACCCAAAACGAGCAGCACCAGCGACAGTATGGATTCGATGGTGATCTGCACCGGTAGATGGACGTCAATGAGAGGATTGTCGATGGGAGGAGTAGACGAAAGGAAGAGAGAGGGCGATGGTGAGCTCAATTGCCGGTCACGTCTCTTCCGTGCAGTGGTCATGAGCTCACATCAAGCGGCACCTTGGGATGGCTGATCCCTACACTCTTGGAGATCGAAGAGTGCTCATAGGTGGAGTAGGCCGAGTGCAGCAGGAGGACTAAGGGCACAAGAAGATGGGGACCTCGAGGTCAGCCTTTGGCCACGACTCTTCGCCTCTTCAACTTTGCGCACTCACTGGTGCCAAGGATGATCAATGGCCTCCCTATGGCGCTCATCTTGGAGATCGAGGCTGCTCTGAGGCTTGCTCGATCAGTGAATCCGTGACGATGAAGAGGATGCAGGGAAATGAAGGCAAGAAGCTCTCGCAGCCAAGACCATCGCCGTCGTCGTCTCCGTGTGCCGCCACGCGAGCCGCCTGCATGTGCTCAGGCCAGGCAATTTCGACCGCGATGCACGCACCCGGGATGCCAATCACTCGTCGATGTTCGCTCATTCGAAGCCGCGACCTGAGAAGACGCAAGCACATCGACGGTCCGTAAGAGGCAGCACAGCGATCAGGTACAAGCAATGCTCATGGATGGCGGACGTGAGGCGGGACGCGGCGGCCACTGCGTGCCAATGACCTCGTAGATATCACACAAGGACCGGCAGGGGCGGCCGGCTGAGCGGTCGACAGCTCATGGCCCGTCTAGCGGCCGAGCAGCCAAACGAAGAGCGTCGGTTGTGGCCTCAATGACTTTTTGTCCTTCTTTCCTTCGTCACCATCTCGCTCATCACGCTCAAAGTCGAGGTCAGCATCGACTGACTGACCCTTAGCCCGCCATCATGGTAGCCAACGACGCAGGCCAATTCGCGTCGCCCATGGCACCATCTTCTGCTCGTCAAGTCAATGGCTCCGACCCAGCCACCGCCGCCGCTGCCCAATCTCCCGTCGTCGATCTCGCTACGGCCATCAAATTGCTCTCCGCCGTCAACATGGAGAGAGGGCTGCTCATTGCCGGCGCCTCAGCCCTCCGTAGGCTCCGCAATGACATCCTCGGCGTTGAAGGTGCGTTGTTGCATCCACAGCATCATCGAGCGGCTCCTGACTACTTCTCTCCTCCCATGTCACCACCAGCGATCCAGAATCTCATCCTCGCCGGCCACTCTCCTGAAGCCATCAAGTACTGCCTCGCTCAGAGCAGTGTGATGCGAGAGCAGATTCAAGCCAAGCTACCAGACCTCGTAGGGAACTTCGCCCTGGGCTACGCCATATCGACGACGTCAAGCCAGCTCAAGGCCGCTATTGCCACCAGCAATAACAGCCCCAAGCAGACCATCGAGATCATCCTCAAGACCATCGACGAGGCACGCAAGACCAAGCCAGCGCCTTACCAGCCTGCCGACGAAGTGATTGACTACGCCCCTCTGATTCAATTTGTCGATTACCAGCGAGTTGAGGTGAGCAGGACGCGGTGCTCTAGTTGACCAGCTCGTGATCTGACGCTCCCCTTCGCTATCATCAGGGCGTCTTGTTCGAGGACCCTGCTTGGGCGGATGGCCGCAAAGCCAAGGACCGTTGGGACGCCCGCCTCTCGCATACCATCAAAGACATGAACTTGCGCTTCAATGATGCCGTTGCTGCCCTCGACTGGAAGCAAGCAGGTCTCAATGTCACGCTCATTCTCCAAGCAGCTCAGCCCAGCGACGCCCTCAGCATCGTGAACAACAGTGGCACCGCTCAGGTAGTTGCCGGTCCCAGCCTACCCAGCAAGGCCGCCGCTGCTCCTGATTTACTCGGCGTCAGCGACAAGACCCTAGCTGCTCATGGCCGTGTCGTCCGTCAAGCGCTCGTACGCACTCTGTTGGAGAGAGCAGAGGCCCATAGCAGCATTAGTATCTCCACGATTGAAGAGGGCTGCTTACGCAGCACCATCAATGACAAGAATATTCGCACTTTAGGCACCGTCAACGGCACCACCGCCACAGCAACCACGAGGAATGGCAATGGCCACACACCTCATGAAGCAAGCGGTGAAGATGAGCGTTTGTGGCATGCGCTCCTTCAAGCTGTCGGGATAAAGAGCGAGTGGGCACTTGCCTGGGGCGCAGCCCTACTCAGTCTCGATCGGTGAGCCTACCAGAGGACTGGTCCAAGCAAGCTTTCGTGCTGACTACCTATGCGTTCTTGAACCCGTACAGAAATGAAGAAGCGATTCAAGCCTTCAGCATCGCCATCACGACTTGCGGACAACAGCAAGCCTCGCTCAGCGACAGCAGCAGCTACACTGAGCCACTCTCGCGCAGTCGCGATGTTACCCTCGATGAGCTCATTGCTCAGCTCACAATCAGTCATGATGACGACGAATCCACCAGCGACGACGAGGTTGAGGAAAATGGTGAACATAAGGCCACCGGTTACAGCATTCCCGCGCAAGCCATCTCAAAGGAGGAGAGGCGGCTCGCTCATGTCATTTTCCGAGCGGCTCTGCTCCTGAGGGCACTGGCTCGTGTGCGCCTGCTAAGCATCGCTCATGACGATCAGGCTGGAGGCGTCAGCAGCAGCGGCACCGTCTCAATCCCCGAGTCTGTCATCACTAGCAGCAACAGCAATCTCCGCGGGTCATCAGCTCGCGTGGGCGATGAGGCGACCAATGGCATCCGCAGCAGCAGCAGCAGCAGCAGCAATCACGACGAGGGCAGTGTCAACGACACTGTCTCGACGTGCGAGAGCGTCACTACCCTCGCAAGCAGCGTCGAACAGCCCGCCGACAAAGCTTTTGCGCCTGCCTCGTCACTCGCCAATGGCAAAGTCGGCGGCGCCAATAGTATGGATAGCAGCAGCAGCGAGCTCGTCCGCCTGGCCAGCCTTGATCTCGAGAGACTGGTCAAGATTCAGCCTGGACACAAGCATGCGCAAGCTCTCCTCGACGTCCTCTGCGGCTTGGAGGCGAGGACCGGCAAGGATAGCAGCAGCGAAAACGGCATCAGCAAGGCAAACGGCGGCGATGCCGCCACGTCGGCAGAAGAACCTGATAGCAAGCAGATCGAGATGTGCGAGACGAGCAGCAAGAATGTAGAGGGCGCTGAGCCTTCCCCTGCTGGCCAGGGAGTGAATAGGGTGAAGGTTGCGCGAGTGGAGGACGAGGAGGAGTGAGTAGCCGAGGGAAGAAGGAAGTGGAGAGAGTGAGCGGGCGTTGCGCCGCAGGCGGTGCGAGCTTGCCAGTGGCTAGCCACGCTCTTGTGTGAGAAGGAGGGGATGTGAGAGGGAGGCGGAAGGCTGATGGTACACGGGTACCACTACGGCAAGGACGACGGCGAGGAAGGGGCTGACGTAAGTCTCCTACCGTCTGGGGACGTCGAGGGTGAGGGAGCATGAAGGGTAACACTTCACTCTTCTTCTTCGACCTCGCGAGGTCGCGGCCCCCTGATCTGCTTTCGGCTTTCCCTTTTTTCACTCTCCAATGATAAAAGTTGGCGATTGATTGGATGGGATGATGATCGTGGGATTGAATTTGAGACAGCGCAGTAGAGTCCATTTCATGGTGTCTGAGGAGAACGCGACGGCCATAGAGTACAGCACAAAGCTTCGTCGCCAACATAGCCTCTCTAGAAGCTCAGATGGCTACCATCGTTTCCCCTCTGCTGTCCAATCACGGAGCCATGAGGTGTAAAGCTGTAGCTGAACTGGTTACCAGCAAAAGAGTCCCCCTTGCGGTGGCGCACGTACTTGATGACTGGACTGCCGTGTGCGCCACGCTCGAAAGACCAGGTCTGGAAGAGCTGGCCGGAGTCGTCACTGAGGGAGCAACGCCTTCCAGGGTGCGTGAGGAAGGTACTCGAGGCGTTGTCTAACCGGAGGAAGGGGGGGGGGGGGGTGAGAAGGGGTCAGAGGGAAATCAATGGGCGATCGCTTTGACATCTTGGGGCCACTCACCTCCGTCCTGACCGACCAGACACTCCCCATTGGCCTTGACCTGAATGTGACCGTACTTCTTCTTGTCCGTGCTCTTGTAGCCCAAGAAGGAGCTGTCGCTGCATTGCAAGAACTCGACGGATGCGTGTGCCTCCTTGTTGTTGAAGCGGTTGAGCAGACGAACGTCACTTGTTCCGGCGTTCGAGAGGCCCAGTGCGGTACTGTTGCTACCGGCACGGGCGGGTACGAGCTTGAGGGTGCCCGAGGCCGCCAAGCTGCACTTGAGCGAGCCGACCGCCTTGTTCGCAGGGGAAGTGACGGGTGCTGGTGCTGAGGATGCGAGGTAGGGCGCGAGGGCTAGAAGCAGGCCGAGCACGGCGAGGAAGGGAACCTTGTTGAGAAGAGACATGCTGAGAGGAAGCTTGAGGTGTGAGAGGTGGAGCAAGTCGAGTGTGCTATGATGGGCTGATGTGGGAAGAAGGAAAAGTTGGTGGAAAGATGGACCTCTTATAGCCTCTGATGTAGAATGCAGTAAGGCAAGGTACAGGTTTGGCCATCACGCAGGTCTGTCTCGACTGCGACTGGGTCTAATGACTTTCGCCGCCCGCGGAGTCGCGATGCTCAATCGCGTCGTGGTCGAGCCTCTCTGTGACAATGGACCTGCCATATGGCTACAGCCGGTTTGGATTTGCTCCCAACACGATGTGTGTGTCTTCGAGGATCGAAATTCAAGCGGAGTCGATGCCATTCGTGGCCATCTCAGTCCTTGACGTCAATCGAAGGCGGGGAAAGGAGGCGGACCTGACCTCGCTTCTTGCGAGTCGACGTCGCCGATTGTCCCGCTCCACCTTCTCTGGTCGACGCGACCCCGCCGTCTGATGGAGCCTACGAATGCCTTGATTCCGCCTTGGGTCTCTCTGGCTTGACTAGAAAGGACGCGATGACGAACGAAAGCAGCCACGTGTGATCGGACACTGGTTGCCCGTGCCTCTTGCCGCAGTGGCGTTTGCGGTCCGACGTGGCTAGGTGGTACCTCATTGCGGTGTGCGGCTCTAGATGGCAATGTGATGGTAATGAGAGAATAGAAAGGTGGCGATCGTCTTGCTCGAGCAGGGCTCAGGCTAAGGGAACATCGAGCAGAGAGGCACTTGCACCACTCGTCTCGTCATCGCCATCAACTGACCATCCCAACCGCGACCTTGCTACAATGCCCAAGGCCAAGGTGAGGAGCACCTGGCTCGTTCAGAGATGGAGGGCAGCATGCTAATTGTCACCATATGCCTCTCGTCACAGCGCAAGGCTCAGTCAGAGGGAAGTGACGAGGGTAGCAGCGCCTCGAAGAAGGACACCGGTGACTCGCCCAAGTCGCCAAGGAAGTCGGGCGGCCAGCAGCCTGCGTCGAGCAAGGCGAGCAGGCGACTCTGACGGTACTAGCGGCTAGCAGGAATGAAGTCTACTTACATTGCACCTCTCCCGTTGCTGCACAGGATTGGACGGAGGCTCACTGGAATATGCTCAACAAAGCCATCGAGCAGATCGCGGTCGATCACGTCGCCCAGATCGTCGAGTCTCACCCGGACCTGGTAAGTTGAGCTGGGACGGCGGTGGTGATGCTGAGCTCGAGCATAAGAGGGGTCTGACCATACACGCTGGCCACATCACTCGCATCAGGCCCCATGGAAGCCCAAAGGACGCCTTCAGCCCAAAGTACGCCAGCTCATGCGTACGGCAAAGGGAGCAGGCAAGGGCGGTCATGACAGTAAGGATGATGATGGAGGTGTGGGCCCGTCCACTCCACACAAGAAGGCCAAGCTCGATCACGGCGAGGAGCAAGGCGCCAATATGGCTGATGATGGCGACAACGAGGAGGCTGGCCCGTCTACTCCTGCTACTAGCTCCAGCTCTAAGGCGAAGCGTAAGCAAAACTCAAGCAGCAAAGGCAAAGGGAAGCAGGCGGCGGCCAAGGAGGAAGCTGTTGATGATGAACAGGAGGCGGACGAAGGGGCTGAGGCAGCTGAGGAGGCTAATGAGACGGAGCGTCAGATGCACGGCAAAGAGCAGAGCGAGGCAGACGCTGATGTCTGGGACGAGCTCACCGCCATTGATGATCGCCTCGACGGGTGATGACCAGCACCACGCACACAAGACAGCTACGAGGCAAGATGCTGCCATCGCCATCCCACTAGGTGGCATGCGCAGCTATCCCTTCGGGCCCCACCAGAACATCTCACCTGTCCTATCGACCGTCGCGTCTCTCCATCAATCGTGCAGCCTCGCACACGCCAATGTAGCCTTCACAACTCGCCTTCCCAGCTCGACGGCGTGGGGTGAGGTCGACGGTCGAATTGCTTTATGTGGTGATGTGTGTGTGTGAGCTCGAAACAGAAGAGTAGTACATGAGTAAGAGAGGCAGCCAAGCGTTGTTGCACCATGTCTTGCCCTCTCCAACCAAGAAAGGACGAAAGACAATGACGCAGCGAACCGCTTAACGGTACGACTTCTGGCGACGAGCACGCGCACCCTGACCACCGAACTTCTTGGGCTCCATGCGGCGAGGGTCGGCGATGAGGAGCGTGCGGTCGTAGGCGATGAAGAGCTGACGGAGCTCAAGAGCAGAGGCGGCGTCGTAGTACTTGGCGTAGTAAGCGACGAGGGCCTTGGCGATCGCCTGACGGATGGCGTAGGTTTGCGAGGTGTGTCCACCACCGGAGACCTTGACGCGGATGTCGACGGTCCTATGAGTGAAGGCAGAAGAAGAGAAGTCAGAGTCGATGAGGGAGACGTGGGTGCCAAGCATGGCAAAGTAGACTCACGAGAACTTGTCCTCGCCGACAACGAGGATGGGCTCGTAGACCTTCCAGCGGAGGATCTGAGGCTCAACGAGGGAGATGGGCTGGCCGTTGACACGGAGGAGACCCTTGCCCTCCTTGGCGTGGGCGACAGCAGTGGCCGTCTTCTTCTTGCCGAAGGTCGACACGGATTGAGGCGCCGACATGCTGTGAGAGAGAGTGGGTTGGGAGGACAGAGGTGTCAGCTCTGAGCTGCTTCCGAAATGGTGAACGATAGGCGTAGGGGCAACGTAGAGAGCCGTGCAGCAGTCGTCGTCGTCGTCGTCGTCGTCGAAGGGTGCTCCTCATTCAAAGCGACCCCACCTCGGGGGCCTGCAACCTCGAGTCGTTGCAAACCAATCCAGCTATGCCATCTCGACTCGCTCCTTCCTCCCCTCCTACGATTCTCTTCTCGCTGGAGCTCTCGCATCGCCACAGATGCGCAACTTATATGCGACTGCTTTTGCTGATGCCCATCGACTACCGGATTGCACTTTTCCCTCCTTCGAGTCCAGCCTGGCTGGTCCTTCGATCATCGACATGGCTCCAAGTTGCCTGCACTTGCAGATGATGATGTATGTCCGTGATTGGACGACGACGGCGACGACGATGCTGCGTAGCTTCTCTGCGTGTCCGTAGTGTCACAGGATCGCATGACTGATGCTTACCTGTGTGGTGATGTGATGAGGGAGAGGTGGAAGGGGATTCGTGAGGAAGAAGCAGGCAGACGTCGAGGATGGCAGCGTGGTCGAGACGAATTAGCCCGTTGACCCACTCGCTCTCTCGCCCGCCCGCCCGCCTGCCTGACGGGCCTGCCTTCTCACTCTCCCTCCGCCCGCCGTCTGCTGCGAATCGTCAAATCACGTGACGGGAATCGACGGCAGGGCGGACGACGACGACGGCCTGTCGATGCGGGCCAGGGCTTGTCTGCTGCTCGACCTTCTGAGCTCAAGTCCACCCCACCCCTCCTTTCACCCTCATCACCACACATCATGTCGACTCAAATCTCCAAGAAGAGGAAGGTGAGCGTCGCAGCGAAGATGAGAAGGCTGTCGTAGTCAGGGTAGAAGACGAGCAGAAAGCTGCAGACCGTGTGCAGCAGCATCTTCGGAGTGGCGAAGGATGACAAAGGGATCGATGCGCAGCTAGCATAGCAGGGAGGGAGGCAGCATATATATCCATCATACCTATCGAGCACGCACTCACACAGCCAAATCTTTCTTCTCTCTCCACCCCTCCGCTCACAGTTCGTGGCTGACGGTGTCTTCGCCGCCGAGCTCAACGAGTTCTTCACCCGCGAGCTCTCCGAGGAGGGATACTCCGGCTGTGAGGTTCGTGTCACCCACGCCCGCACCGAGATCATCATCCGTGCTACCCACACCCAGGACGTCCTCGGTGACAAGGGCCGTCGCATTCGCGAACTCACTGCTCTCGTCCAGAAGCGCTTCCGCTTCCCTGAGGGATCCCTCGAGCTCTACGCCGAGAAGGTCCAGAACCGTGGTCTTCACGCCGTCGCCCAGTGCGAGTCGCTCCGCTACAAGCTCCTCGGTGGTCTCGCCGTCCGCCGTGCCGCCTACGGTGTCCTCCGCTTCGTCATGGAGTCCGGCGCCAAGGGTTGCGAGGTCATCATTTCGGGCAAGCTCCGTGCCGCCCGTGCCAAGTCGATGAAGTTCACCGACGGCTTCATGATCCACTCTGGTCAGCCCGTCCGTGACTTTGTTGACGAGGCTGTCCGCCACGTTCTCATGAAGCAGGGTGTCCTTGGTATCAAGGTCAAGATCATGTCCGGCTGGGACCCGACTGGCCAGGCTGGCAAGCCCTTCCCTCTCCCCGACGCCGTCACCATCCTCGAGCCCAAGGAGGAGGCACCCATCACCGCCCCCATCTCCGAGTCTCGTCAGCCTGCCGCCTCCGAGGTTGTCCCCGGCCAGGCTTTCCCTGGTCAGGACAACGTCGCCCCTGCTGTCGCTGCTGAGGCACCTGGTCTCCAGGCCGGTGCCCCCGGCGCTGCCTACTAAGCGGCCAAGCGGCACGTGTTGCACTAGCATGATGACGACGGCGATGCGCTAGCAGTGTCATTACTTCTCTAGCCTTGTACTTTCTTCTCCTTTCTCCTTTTCAATGTTCACGCCTGCGATCGTCGTCGCATCACACGATCTATCCACGCGCCCCTGCACCGTCTGCCCTCAGCGCTGCCCTCAGAATGCGAACGAGGGAGCGAATCTTAAGTGAAAGCGAAGCACGCTCGTGGTGGGAACGAGATCATCCATTTCGATTAAGGATCGACTGCGTGGCGGGCTCGAAATGTCGATCGCTCCAGATGGTGTTCTAGCCGTACCGTATGGCTGCGTCGTCTCTTTTCTTCTGCGGCGCTGCAGTCGCTCCCAATTTTGCTCTCATTGCAGAAGGCTGGCTTGGCTGGCTTCTTCTCTGCGCGGCGCGGCTCTGTGCTCGCCTTCCTCAGCCCGAACTGCCCGCGTCAACCGGGCCCAGCAGCCCACGCATTGAGCGCTCTGAGCTTGGCTTGCACTTGCACTTGCACTCGACGTCGTCGCATGGCTCTTTGGCTCGCCGCCCGCTCCCTCGCTCGACTGCTCGCACCCGCACCTTCCTGACTGCCTGCCTGCCCTTTCGCTGCCAGCTCTGTCCTGTCCGACTTCTCTACACTCCCACCTTCTAACAGTGAGAAAGAGAGAGAGCTTCGACTCCCTACCACATCTCGCACTACTATCATCCAAAGGCAGAAGAAGAAGTCAGCTCCCAGCTGCTCCTTCGCTTTTTCCCTTCTTCCTCACTTTCGCAATCTCGTCCTCTTCGTTGGCGGCTTCTTCCTTCTTCGGGGAGCCTCTCACACAAGAAAAGCTCGAATAGCTTCACATTCGAGCTCAAAACCTCTCACATCTCGCAAGCTCTTGTAGCCCGACCTCTTCAAGAGGTCTCACAGCCAAAGATGGCCTTCTCGAGCAAGAACGCCTTTGCCCTTCTGGGTGGTGAGTAGGGCGCAGCTGCTGCAAGTCAAGCCTGCGTCTGTTTGGTCACTCACATGAAGGTCCCTCTCCTCCCTCCCCTTTCTACGCTCAGACGACGACGGACCGGCGCCCGTTGCCGCTGCTCCCAAGGCTGCCGCCCCTGCTGCCCCCGCGGCCGCCCCCCGCAACGTCGTTGGTTCGGGACGAGGTGCTCCCCGTGGTGGTGCTGCCGCTGCTGGCCCCCGTGGTGGTCAGCGTGCGCCAAGGAACGCCGATGCTGCTGCTGCTGGCGGCGCTGAGGACGGTCAACAGACCCGTGATGCTCGTGGTGAGTTGCAGCACAGAGGGCAGCCAAGCTGCGCAGCTCGTGCCCGTATGCGGCCAAGCTGCGGATGTGACAAGTTGGCCGGCTAATGCTGCGAGAGGACCGCATCGAATGCTCATCATACTGACCTCAACCTGTGTCCTACTCTCGCTTGCAGAGCCTCGCAAGGGACGTGGTGGTGACGGCCGTGGCCGTGGCCGCGGTGGCCGCGGTGCCAAGGGTGGCCGACTTGACCGTCACTCTCAGACCGACCGAGTGTGAGTTGCCGTGCCCCAACGCTTCTTTTGAGAGTACACGCTGACCAACTTCACACTCTATTTCCGCCAACAGCGACTCGGAGAAGAACATTCACCAGGGATGGGGCGGTGACGATGGCAAGCGCGAGCTCAAGAACGAGGAGGACGCTGTCGCAGACGCCAACGCCGAGGCCACCCCCGCCAACGGCGCTGCTACCCCCGCTACCGTCGAGGGAGACGAGGCTGCCCCCGCTGCTGAGGCCGTCCCCGCTGAGGAGGTCGACAACACCAAGACGCTCGACGAGTACCTCGCTGACATGGCTGCCAAGAAGGCTACGCTCGGCGGCAAGGCCGTCACTCCCCGCACCGTAGAGGGAGGCCAGTGGGAGGGCTTCGGCAACAAGGTCGTCAAGTCACAATCGGGCGGCGACGAGTTCTACGCTGCCACCAAGGCGGCCAACGAGCGCAAGCAGCGCGAGAGGAAGGAGAAGCAGACCCTCGACATTGAGCAGACGTTCAACACTCCCCCCGTCGCCTCGCGCGGTGGACGTGGTGGTGCCCGCGGTGGACGCGGCGGTGACTTCGGTGGGCGTGGACGTGGTGAGGGCCGTGGACGTGGTGCCCGTGGTGCCCCCCGTGGCGCTCGTGGTGGAAACGCCGGCCCCAAGGTCAACCTCGAGGACACTCGCGCTTTCCCCTCGCTCTCGTAAGAGGCGAGCCCAAGCAAGCTCACAAGCAATGTGTCGAGGCCGAGAGAGGGTCGGATAGGCAGGATCGGCTTCCGCAGCACGTCAGCACGTCACCCTTCTTTTCACTCCCTAACAAGCACCGACCAAACAGCCAAACACCCCATCAGCTCATTCTTTCAAAAACAAAGGGGGCGCGCGTCTCGACTCGTCGCCTCTCCAAGATCCGCAAACAATCGAATCGTCAGTCGCCTCAGTACTTGGGTCTCGTTTCTCCTACTCTCCCTCTACATCCATCAACCTTGTCTTCTCTATCCTCCTGCGGCAATTACCTGACCTTCTCGCTTTGCTACGCAATCAAAATCTGCTAAGCAACTTCGACAGGGCGACGTGCGGGCGACTGCTGGGCCTTGGTGCTCATGTGTCTCTTGACGAGCTTTTCCCAGGATCGCCCACTGACTGGAAGCTCTCTCTTGACGCTGACATCACCTCTCGCCCCCGTTTCTAGCAGGCAGCCCTTCTTCGTCGCTGCCAAGCTACACAGGACTTGTCAGATGAAGAGATTGAATTCATTGAGCAACCTTGACCCTGTTACACGCATCCGTTCCATCCCAACTCATGCCTCTGCCCCAGGTGCGTCACCTCAACGGGTGGCGTATCCGCCACACGCACCACGAGCTTCCTTCCACCTCCACCACCGCTGCCGCCACCGGCAGAAGAAGCGGGACCCGCCCTCCCATCCTTGAGCATCTCTAATCCCCTCCTCACCCCAGCCAAGCCATCTGGCACCACTTCTGCCTCCACGGGTCGTAGGGAGCCTGAGGCGAGGAGCTCGTAGATGGAGGATAGGAAGGAGGCGGTCCACAGGCGATCCTGGTAGAAGGTGGTGCTGAAGGAGATGCGGGGTGTGATGACATCTCGGTGGCCATACTTCGTGGCCGAGTCATCCTCCTCTTCGCGCGGTCGCTTGGGGTTGCCTGCCAGGCAGATGAGTTGTGCAGGCTCCCGTCGAAGCTCATCGTGTGTACCGTGACGATTACGCCTCCACGCCTCGCCCTCAGCCAGTGCGCGAGCACAAAGTGAAGCCGTCGCGCTGCCCACGCAGTCTAGGCCGTATTTGAGATCACCCTCTTCTTCCTCATTCATCTCCCCAACACCTCCGCACGTCGCCGTCCAGATATCCTCCAGCACCTGCTCCGTGGATCCGAACCGGTCCACGCACGCATCCACCCTCACGACTCCGCGCAAATACTCAAAGCTGGCAGGTGAGGCTACACTGACTACCTTAAGACCGGAGAGACGGGCAAGCTGGGCAGCATAGATGCCCGTCACGGTTGCGCCCCCGTAGATGAGCAGCCAGGGTTGCTTGCTGCTGCTACGCAGACGAGAGGAGCGGCGAGGCGGTGGAGACGGTACTCTTACCTCGCTTCGAGGGTAGAGCCCGCCGCCGAGCTCTGCTGCTCGAGGCAGGTCGAAGAACCAGTGCAAGGCCACGCCTGCAGTCACCAATCCTGTGCCTATCGTGGCCGCCTGCTCGTCGCTCACCGTAGCTGCGATGTCTCCTTGAGCATCGGGCAATCTCCCCACAGTGAAGGCCTTGCAGACACTGTACTCCTGATATGCCCCTGCCCTCCAGTCCCTCGCCGAATCTGTGCACGTCCACACCCTATCCCCCACCTTGAGCCCTGTATCCCTTGCCACCTCCCCACCCAACTCCTCTACGACTCCGCAGACATCCCTGCCCAGCACCCAGGGCAGCCTGCCGATGCCGAATCGGTAGAGCAGAGACTTGAAGTCCACGTGATTGAGGCCGACGCATACATTGCGGATGAGGACCTCGTCTGACGATGTGATGGTGGGGCGCGCATGGTTGCGAGAGAGGGAGAAGCAATGCGCCCAGCCTGAAGAGAGGGTGGGGATGAGAAGAGCCGTTTGAGTTGGTGGAGCAGGCGGTGAGAAGGAGGAAGAGGAAGCAGTGACGTCTTCCTTGGTGTATGGAAGCTCGCCCAAAGGTGAAGAGGTTGCTGTCTCGCTGACGCTGCTCCTTGCGCTGCTAGAGCTACTGCTGCCAGGTGCTGACGATGAAGAAACGAGTGGATCGACTTCCACATCTTCTGGCTCCCAACCGAAGGAAATATGCCCGCCGCTGGCCGGCATGAGGTCGACTGGGAAGTCGTACGAATGGGTGTGCTTAGCGGTGCCAGCAGTTCTGGGCTGCCAGCTGGACGCTGGAGATGCTTCGGCGTGAGCCATTGTCGCGTGAGGGCAGTGAAGGGGTCAGACGATCAATGATGGGTATGAAGATGTCTATTTTTCTCTTGATGGCTTGTGCGTTGCCATAGCTCTCTCGACCACGCTGACATCGTCTTCCCGTGACGTCGTCGCATCCATTGCTACTCGCTCGACATCCTCGCCATCGCCCATACGTGATGATCGCCAGAGCCGGCCCTCTTGCGTGCTTCGCGTACGAGCAAGCACGCGCACCCTCGCACGCGCCCGCAATCTCTCTCGCCCGCTAGCCCTCGCCCTGCGACCCTTCCCCGGCCGTCCGACAGCATTTACTGGGACGAGGGCGGCCGAGCAACCTCGCTTGTCAAAGGCCGTCTTCGAAGCCAGCCTCGTGGTTCTCGTTTTCGGACACTTTTCTCTATTCATCGATACGGGGGGCACGAGAGGGGACCTCGGGCCCAAACGGACGGCTTCGCGGCATCCTCGTCGTCACAATTGTTTGATGAGCCAGGCCGAAGATGCATTGATCGCGGCCAGAGGAAGCTTTTCCCCTTAAGCCATGCCATACCTCTGTCCACGTCAGTGAGCGCGGAATGCAGAGATGTGGCCCTTGGTCAATCGCCGCCTGGCCGCTGAGGAGGCGCGGAGCAGGGAGAGTCGCGGAGTGAGTGAGGGCGGAGAGCGGGGTCACGCAGGACGCTTGGCTTGGAAATTGACCGGGCAGAGTCGGAGACCCTCGCCGTCAATGAGTCCAATATCACTCCTTGGCAATCAGACCATTCCGTCAAAGAAAGCAGCCTATCAGGACAGGGCAGAACACTGGTCCTCGTCTCCCTCGCCGTAGCGCATAGCATACAAGGAAGGCAGGTTGTGGCTTCTCCTTTCTCCCTCTTGCACCAACCCCCTTCTGACATCGACATCGGCGCGCACCACCATGAACTACGCCTCGCCCTTCTCGACGACGCCCCTTCGCGGGCCCTTGCCTGTCCTCAATCGCGCAGAGTCATCTTGGCGCAGCGACCAGGATGGTATTCAGATGCTCAGGCGGCCCTCGAGACCTGGAGACGAGGACGATGCGATCGATGTCAAAACGAAGACTGCAGACGATCCTCAGGATGGAGGAGGAGGACAACCGCCAGGAGCAGGCAGCGATAGCGGCATAGCCACCGTGCTTCGTCGAGGCCGAGGGGGAGGTCAGCAGCAGCGGCAAGGAGATTCTGCTCGGTACTTAGCCGATCGCCCGCCAAAGGGACGATGGGACAAGTTCAAGTGGTTCCTCAAGATGCAGCTCAAGTATCTCGGGCCTGGTATTACCATGAGCGTCGCATACTGTGATCCGTGAGTAGGCGCCATACCAGCATACACGATGACTGCTAGCAGCGCAGCATGCTGATTATCTGCCCTCTGGCTCGCGCTTCGCAGCGGCAACTGGTCGACTGACCTACAAGCCGGCAGTCAATTCGGGTACCCGCTCCTCTTCGTCATCCTCCTCACGGGCATCTTCGGTATCATCCTCCAAGTCCTCTCGCTCCGAATGGGAATCGTCTGCAACGAGGATCTCGCTGTCCTCACGCGTCGCTGGGTCATGAGCATTGGCAAGAGCAAGAAGCCCGTAGCCATCAATCGTGACCGCTCTCAGTCCCCCTCACCCTCGCCGATGACCGTTGAGGACCCTAGCACATCCACTTCGACACGTCACTCAGTGTGGGCGCACAGGAGCCGAGTAGGGCTACTGTGGACCCTCTACCTCGTAGCAGAGGGAGCTATCATCTGCACAGAGCTGGCCGAGCTAGTCGGCTCGGCCATCGCTCTCACGCTCCTCTTCCCCAAGCTGCCTCTCTGGGGAGGCGTCCTCATCACCTCGGCGGACGTCTTCCTCATCCTCTTCATCTACCGCCCAGACACCAAGGGACTCCGAGCCTTTGAGTTCTGCATCGGAGTGCTGGTGCTTATCGTCATCAGCTGCTTGGTGGCGTTGGTGGTCAAGGTCGAGCCGCACTGGCCCGACGTCTTCCACGGCTATCTGCCCTCGGCCGCCGTTGTGGGACCGCAGGCACTGTACGTGGGCATCGGTATCTTGGGAGCTACGTGTATGCCGCATGGCTTGTTTTTGGGTAGTCACTTTGCCATGTTCGAGCGAGAGGAGCACACAGACAGGGAGGCCGAAGTCACTGCCGCGCAAGAGCGCAGGGAGCGTCGTCATGACCATGACACTGCGAGCAACTGCGAGGCACAGCGAGAGGCCCAGCACGTCCTCCCTGTCCCATCCTCAACGTCTACGGTGGCGGACAAGGGGACAAGGGCACGTCGCCTCCGCAGCACCATGCATCGCCTTGCGCGTCGTATTCCTGGAGTCGACCCTTCAGTATTAGGGATCACTACGCCGGAGGAGGAGCAGGCGGCTGCCAAAGCCAGAGGTGCCACGCCACCCCCACCTCGCCCTCCTCCGACTCTTCGTTCCCTCAATAGGCGCCTCCTCCACTCCACCATAGACGTCACCGCCTCGATGATTCTCTTTGCCCTCACGACTAATTCCGCCCTCCTCATCGTGGCAGCCCAAGCCTTCTACTTTGGGCTGGACGGCTCACCTGCCAACGAGACGCACGGCAACGTGGTAGTTGGCGACCTATTCGAAGCCTTCGATCTCCTCTCCTCGCGCCTCAACCACGCCTCCGCCATCCTCTTTGCCGTCGCCCTCCTCGCAGCAGGCCAGTCTGCATCTATCACCGTCACGCTTGCAGGGCAGGTCATCTCCGAGGGAATGATCAAGTGGCGGACGAACCCATTCTTGAGGCGCTGCTTGACGAGGGGTATCACACTCATCCCCAGCTTTGTCGTTGCGGCGGCAGTGGGGCGAGGTGGACTCGATAGGATGTTGGTGGCTAGCCAGGTGGCATTGAGTATGGCGCTGCCCTTTGTGCTTGCGCCGTTGCTTGTGATCACGGCGCAGGAGAAGTGGATGGTGGTGAAAATCCGGGATGCGGGCGAGGCGGGCGAGGAAGATGACGCAACTGGGCAGCACGAGGAGGCTGCTCCTCAAGCTACGCAGACGACAGATGGTGCAGGTGTGCGGCAGAGCGCAAGCTCGTGGTGGACTCGCCTCACGCGCGGCCGCGGTAAGCCTCAGCAGCGCCGTCGTCTCTCCTTCTCGCTGCGACCTGAACATACCCGCTCCTCCTCGTCACTCTCGTCCTCTTCATCTGAGGACGAGCGCGAAGGGCGGGAAGCACTACCCGCTGCCGCCGTCACCGGTGCCCCGTCTCGCATGATCACGGTAGTCCACTACGCGAGCAGCTGGCCCCTCGTTGCGGTCACGGCAGCCATCTTCACCTTGATCGTCCTGTGTGACGGCTTTGTACTCATTACCACGGCGCTAGGCACAGGGGGTGCCGCCTGATCATATCTCGTTCTTTCCTCTCCATTGTCCTGTATCAATAGATTATACTCATCTCTTCGCTCTCGCAAAGGGCGTCCACGCAGTAGCAGCACCTCAGAAGGGGGGACGCACACGTTAGCCGTTGGTCACGTAGCAGTAGCAGAGATCATTCAATAATATTGACAATGTACTTGTACATCATTGCGCGCATGAGTCCGTGGGGCGACCTTGCGCGTCTTCTGCTGCAGTGCGGAGGTGATGGTATTGCCTGGTACTACCTGCGCTGCTCATCCATCATCACGATGATCATCAATAATGCTCTCTCAAGCTCTTCGACCTTAGATGTCTCGATGACGCGACTACTTGCGACAGACAAAGAGCATCATAGGGGTGAAGAGTCCGGACTTGCCTCCCTCTACGAGCGCCGCACCAGCAATCTTCAGCTGCTCCCCAACGTCGTGCGTACCCTTGGGAGCCAAGCCGATGCGCTCAAAGACGCTGACGGCGGTTTGCGTCACCCAGGTGCCTGCGCGCGTCATCCTCCAAGCCGTGAAGACGTCCCAAAGGGACTGGCATTGGCGCAAGTCACCTTGGAGAGGGTAGTACCACGGGAGCGGGTCGTCGCCCGCCGCCAGGTCCTCGTCGCGCTCGACTTTAAATCCAACCTCCTTGAGCGCCGCACGAGTGACCTTGATGTCTCGCATCTCAGGAATTCCATCTCCCACCTCGATACCGTGAGCGATCCTGCGGTGCTCCGCGTTCGTCTTGTCGTAGCTGTCGGTCATGCACCACTCGTACACGCCAAAGACACCCTGGGGCTTGAGGACCTTCTTGATCTCGCCGTAGATGCCAGCGGCAGAGGGGGCGTGGCAAGTGGCCTCGATGGCGTAGACTGCGTCGAAAGCGTTGGGGCCGAACTGCTCCTCGAGCTTCATGAAGTCGCCCTTGACGAAGGAGACTTGATTCTCGAGGCCAGCGTCCTTGGTCATCTTTTGAGCGAGGGAGACCTGGTACTCATTGTTGTTGAGACCCACAACTTGGACACCGGCGAAGCGGGCAATCTCGCGGGCAGGGCCGCCAACGCCACATCTGTGGGCGTAGAGAAGAAGAGAGAGGTCAGCGAAAAGTCTTTGACGATGCCCCTCGGCGCGTTTGTGGTGCTCACCCGACATCCAGCACCTTCATACCAGGCTTGAGCTGCATCGAAAGGGCGAGGTAGTGCTCATGCCTCGCAAGGGCCTGCCTGAAGGGCTCGCCCTTGAAGAACTTGCAGAAGTGGAAGCTGGTGCCCCATCCGTACATGTAGAGGCTCGTGGCACCATCGTAGTAGCCGTTGACGACGTCCTTGTACTGGTTGAGGCGCTTGGCCATTTCACTCTCGCCGTCGTCCTTGGAATCCTTCTTCCAGAACTTGGAGTAGTCCTCGATACCCTTGAGGTTGCGCTTGCCAGCGACGGTGGAGCCATTGGTGTTCACCGAGGAGCTGGTGCCGGTGGCGGTGGGAGCCATTGTGAAGGAGTGGGGCTGCGGGTACAGAGTGAGGGGGGAAGGGGGCGGGGCCGGGCGTGTGAGCCAGCCTATTCTGATTGACGCTTGCTTTTATCCTGCTTTGCTCGTCGCTTCCTCTCGCTCTCGCTCCCGCTCTTTGATCAGGGACTTGAATGGGATATTGGCCTCCACGAAGGGAGAAGCGCGACCCCCTTCACCCCCGAAAGGGCAAGAGGATCGCACCCCTCCTCCTGGTCAGGCAAAACGGTTTGCAGACCTTTGTGTTTTTTCATCCTTCTAGAGACTGCCTCTACCAAGCTTTGTCTTGTCGTACTCACAGTGTTGGTAGGGAGCGTGCGGGTTCGAGGGAAGAGGAGAAGGGAATAAATTGGTATCGACGAGAGGAAGAAGTTGGCGCACGGCTGAACCTCAATCAATCGTCTCCTCCGCCCCTCTGGGAAGCAGTCGGTCGCTCTGTCTCGCTGCAGCCGGGACGAAGAAGCCTTGACTTTCTGTCATGCAGCGGGCAAAGCAACACAGCCTCGCTGCCGCCCGCCCTGGATGCGGCTGTGGCTGCTCTGGGCCAGCTTCCATGCTACGCGATTCCGCCCGCGAGCAGGCAGCGCGAAATCGTTCACCGACGCCTAGCCTGGCTCATCAAGGTCAAGGCAAGACCTGAGATCATCAATGCTGTTCAACGTGACCGCAGGAAGAGGTAATATAGCGTTGAGGAGCAGACATAGAGCCCAAAGATCAAATCAAGACAGGCTGTGGTTCGCCACACTAGCGCCTTAGAACGTCGCCCCCGCGTTAGCCGTGCTCGCGACACCACCCCACAAGTTGAGCGGCCAAGACGAGAAGTAGAACGTCCAGCGTCGGTTGCTCAAGCAATGATGCGTCAGATCCTCGAGATCGAACATCTCACCGATGGGCATTCCCCACATTGCGCTGTGGCGGCGAAGGAGGATCAGAAGATCAGCCTTTTCATTCTTCTTCATCGAATCGGCGCCCGAGGCCGCCTCACTCACAGGAGCGTCTCGTGTAAATGGGTCTGGCCCAGTGGGCAAGGCCATCTTTCCAAAGCAGGCGCGTCACTCGCCACAGCAGCAAAATGATTGTCCCACAGCCACTCGAGCATCGCATCGCCTTGCTCGATGCCGACGTACCCCTTCTTGCCCGTGGCACCATCGCGACGCTCCGCGTCTGAGGAGTTGTAGTAGCGGTACGTCCAGCCAGTGCGGATGATCAGGATGTCGCTGCGGGCGCCGGAGAAGATGAGGCCTCGTCAGCGCCGCAGGACGGGATCGTCTCGTCAACAAGTCGTCTCGCGCACTCACCCTTGCCTGAACCTTACGCCCTGCGCCCTCGCGCAATCCCTCAGCTGATCCAGCGTGATGGCGTTCGTAGTTGCAGGATCATAGGGCGGCTTCCCCTCATTATTCCTACACAGATAGCCCCAAACATCCAGGAGCACCCCTCTCCCCGCGATGCCCTTCTGCGCCCATGCCTGGATCCCCAAGTCAGGTCCTCTCTCTCCTCGAGGATCGACCGGGCGATCCGGGTTAGCAAAGGAATCGTGAATCTCCTTGCGGCTCCGCCCACCATAGTAGCAATTGAGTGACAGATGACCAAAGTGGCTCAAACCATCCCACTGAGATCCTGCTTGCAGGTTTAGCGCGATCTCATCGTCCGCCAAAGGCATGCCCTCCTGATCACTACGATCCTCGACGGCTTCCCCCGCCACGCGGCGCTCGTGTAATGCCGCCTCCCTCCTCTCGGCGTACTGCGGACCCTGCTTCCCCCTCGCTGTATGCTCCACGCCCTTGCGGCCGAAAGCAGCATGAAGAGGCAAGTGCATCGGCCAGCTCAAGGTCACACAGACACCTGTGCGAATCTCCTCCTTTGCGGCTCTCGCGCGCACAGGTGCTGTCAGCATGTTTAAAGTGCCCAGCTGGTCCCCCTGGCCCCAGACTGACCAGGCACAGCCAGGGAAGCCTCCTTCGGAGGGGAGGTCACGAAAGCGAGGGAGACGCTCCCACTGTTTGGCTTCGGCGTGAGGGTGGGAGTGTTGCCCGCTGTAGTTGTTCTGCGACGAGTGTTGTCGGATCGACGTCGGAGATCCGACTGCGCCGCCTAGCTGGCGGGAGATACTTAGCAGACGGTCGGCTGGAGAGGAGGCGTGAGAGGAGGAAGGAGAGGATGAAGTAGCCTGCGAAGGGGTAGAAGACGTCGGAGCGCCTACGCGATAGTACTTTGGAGTCATGCTCGCGCCGAGGGCGCCAGCGATGCGTGAGATGCGATGTCGTGTGGATTCGTCGTGATGGTCATGGTGGCTGCCGCTGCCGCTGCCACCGCTGCTTCCTCTGTTCGAGCTCATCTTGACGACGACTATCTTGATGGTAGGGTATGGTACGGGGAGAAGGACAAAGAGGAGTAGGCTGCTCGGCTGACTGAGTCGCCGTCCATTATGCGTGAATCCGGCACAACGCTTGTAAAACAGACGGCACGGCCGTGGAGCGGAGCCCCGCACTCTGGGCACATGCACGGACCTGAGACGCGCGACACTCGGCGCTCGATGTTCCTCCCCTGTCTCGAACGACAGCATCCCCCATCTCATGTCTCGGGCCCTCGACGGCAAGTGGGACGGTGATGACGAGAGCCGAATCGAAACAAGGGGCTGTCATGACCTCGTTGTGGGTATTTGGATGATATTGCCGAAGCGAGAGGATCTACACGACAGAATGAACAACATGAAAGGGGATCGATCGACAAAAGGACGGCAAAGAGCTGTGCTCAGGCCGATCATTCAGCTCGGAGTAGAGGCACTCGATTGAAGTCCCGCGATGTACTATTCGCCATTCCCCCAGCTGACCCTTCACTCCTCCCTGAGACCCCAGAAAGTACTCTTACCACTGGCATTTCCTGTGACAAGCGTCGCTCCCCTCGTAGGATGAAGAGCCGTGACAGCGGGCACTGCGCTAACGTGCTCTTCATCGTACAAGGATCTGAGCAGCTTCCCATCGGCGCTCCACACCTCTGCACTGCGGCTCATGGATCCAATGGTGAAGTGCGGAGCAAGTGAGTCATTCTGACTCCAGCGAGCGCGGAGGAGCGTGAGCCATTTTCCCGTCTGATTGTTATGAGGTATGACCAGAGGCGAGGAGAGGATGTCCGCTGGAATCGTAGCAGAGAGGGGCTGATCCTTGGTCTCCTCCTTCTTGAAGTACTGCATCAGGCCGCCTTTGCGCTGACTTGCTCCGTTGACCTCCTTCTTGGGCGCCGCGGCCGCACCGTTGCTCTTCCTCTTTGCTCCCCTCGCCGATGTGGTCGGCACCTCGTCATCTGCGCGTAACCAGCCACGCTCGACATCCCAGACCTTGACCACATTGTCGTAGCTTACGCTCGCTAGATGTCGGCCATCAGGCGCAAAGTCTACGCTCGTGCTAGCCTGCTTGCTCTGTTGCCACCCTAGCTGTGCGCCACCCTCGTCGATTGTTGATTGGACATCGGCAAGGAGGTCAACGTCGACCATCTTGTAGTTGGCGGGAACGGCGAGCGTCGGCTTGATGCCAGAGGACAGGCGACGAACGTCGAAGAGGCGAACGGATTGGTCGAGGGAGGCTACGGCGAGGGCAGAGGGTATCAAGGGATTGAGGGAGAGGCCACCGATCTGTACACGGCATCAAGAAATGATCAGTCAGAGCCGTCCTTACTAGGGCATCGTCCCGCTCGCGCACGCACCTTCTTCTCGCACAGCTGCCAACGATTCCATCCCGCCTTCCAGCCTGGCTTCTCGCGCGTGTCTATCCTCACGACACCACCACGATGGTCTCCGCACCAAACCACTCTGCCGTCCTCCGCACCTCGCTGGAAGTCAAACACAGACAGCAGCGCTCCATCTCCGTCATCATCCTCGCCGGAGAAGGCAAAAATGCGCTCTGAGACACCCTTCTCCAGGTCGACCTTGCGGAGTGTCGAGTTGTACGACGAGTAGTATACTGTGCTGTGGTCGAGAGGCGGGACCTTTACGCACGAGATGGGCGACGAGTCTTGCGGGACGCGCAGGTTGAAAGAGATGCCATCGTCGCCTGTGATTCCGCGATCACCCTCGTCTGCAGCCCCATTCTCGTCGTCGCCCTCATCACCGCCTGTTGCTGGGCGAGGAGCGAGGGGTTCCCACACACTGAGATGGCCTTCCTTGTCTCCCGTCAGGACGAGCGTTTTGGCCGTCGTAGGGTGGAAAGCAGCGGTGTAGATGCGCTTGGGCGTGACCTTCTTGACCGCAAGGAGCTCCATTTTGTTAAGCATTGACGTAAGCTCCTTGGTTGCCTGGCCGGACTTCTTCGACGTTTCAGTCTCCTCTGCCTCGCCAAGGCCACTACGTGCCTTCTTTGCTTCTTCGCTGCCCTTGTTGGCCGCAATGACGCGCAGAGCCGCTTCAAGCTGCTCTGCCTTTTCCCTGCTTTCCTCCTCTTGGGCACTGCCGCCTCCAGTGAGCAGCCCACGGAAGTCGTGGTCCTTGTGAAGTAGTGCCTTGGCCTCTTCCCTCTTCTGTATTGCCTCCTGCCTCTCCTCCTCTGCCCTCTTGTTATCCTCCTCCATCCCAGCTGGCGTCCTTCCCGCCAACCTCGCACTCGTCCTCTGCGGCCCAGCTGCTACCTCGTCCACCTTCCTTCGCTTCCTCTCTTCTGCAGCTTTTGCTCTTGAAGCGGCTGCGCGCTTCTTCTGACGCTCCTGAGCTGCGGCATCGAGCTTCTTGTTGCGAGCGCCCGTGGGATCGACGATGGAAGATCCGCCTGATTGGAGGTCGAGGGAACGCAACAGAGCAGCATTCTCCGCTCGCTGCTTGCGGACGTTCTCTTCGTACTCGTCACCCGAGTCACCTGAAAAGTCGGGCGTGGCGCTCATGTTGGGCGCTTCGAAGGGCCCAAGGGTGATGGTGGCGGTGAAAGGTGGTAGCAATGCGTTCAAGGTTGACCGGGTGGAGAAGAGTCAATCTCTCTCCGCCGTTGCTCGTCCTGCAACCTGCTTGAGTCAGCCGCGCTCGCGTCGCGATCCGACGCGCTCTTGACAAATTGCCGCCGGCCGCCAGCACCCACGCCTCTCTCATCGCCGTCCACCATGGCATAGTCCAGCCATCTGATTCTCAAGTCGCTGTTCTGGGCCTTGAAAGCTCGCTGTGGGTATGGACGCGCTCTTTCTTGGGTGTCTCGCGCCGTCCCGCAACATTGGGCGTCAATCGCGCCCCGCCTGCCCGCCCATTGAGACATATCGACAACGGCGACTTCTCGACGCGCGAACTGAGAGATTATCACTGAACAATGCCTGAGAGGGCAAGCAGCGATGAAGACGACGTTGAGCGGCGATGACTGAGATCAATGAGAGTCGAGCGGGGCTCACTTCTCTCCTCCTTACCATTCGTCACCGCCACCTACTCCTCCCCGTTCCCCCCGATCCCCCCATCCCTCCGCGTCGTCGCCTTCTCTGTGAGAGACGACTGACTGCCTCGAGATCGACGTCTGTCTCTCCCGTATCGTGCTTCTTGTCCCCATCGCGCTTCCTCAGCCTTGACGGCTAGGAACGACAAGTGCGCTCGCTATCTACCAGACTTCGTCTACATCCTTGCTCCACTGGTTGGACAAGAGGTCTCGAATCCATCACTCCCACAAAGCTGAAATCGCTTCAGGCAAGCGCATTCATCATCACCCCATTCATACCCACCACAATGCCGACTCTTCGCCGCACACTTGCCGGGCTCGCCATCTTGGCCGTAGCCGCCCATGCTGCCCCACTTCAACAACAGCCCTCGGAGGATCTGGCCGACTGGACTCGTAACTTCGCAGGACAAGACGGCACTGCGCACCCGCTCAACCGTCGTGCCAGCCGGCTCCATGACACCGGACGGTACAGGCTTGTAGGAGCGCCTCACTCCGCCGACGACTCGGTCGATGCTCTGCTGCTGCCTGTGCCGTCCTCGTCGACGCCAGAAGCTCGTCTTGACGCTCCCGAGAAGGGCGACGGAGGACGTTCCTACTTGGGCAAGCGACAGGCTTTCCCTGCCGCTGGCCCTCTGGCTGCCGCAGCTTCCTCGCCTGTTGCTCAGGCTGCAGCTGCTTCCTCTGCGGTAGCCGGTCCTTTGGCTGCTGCCGCCGTTACCAGCCCAGCCGCTGCTACTACAGCCGCCGTCGCAGCGTCACCAGCCGTCGCCGCCACGTCCAACCTCGTAGCGGCTGCCAGCACACCCGCAACGACGATTGCTAAGCCAACGACGAGCGCAGCAAGCACGGCGCCCAGCAGCTCTGCTAGCCGTCCTGCTAGCAGCAGCAGCAAGTCAGCCAGTTCTTCTTCATCGTCCAAGTCTCCCACCTCTTCGCCGTCAACGGGCTTCACCCTCACCGACGTCAACAACAAGCTCTACCCGCTCTGGGTCAGCGTTGTGGTCTGTGGTGTCCTGTTTGCCCTCTTCTTCATCCTCATCTGCATCCGCTGCTGCTTCTTCAAGCCCCATGAGCGCGAAGACCTCGACTCTGTCCTTACTGGAAGCAGCGCTGGTGCGATGAGTCGCAAGTCGACGCTCCGCAATGGTGCCAAGTCGCTCCGCAAGGCTCTCACCAGGCGCAAGCTGGCCGGCAGCTCCTTCGTCCGTCGTCAACAAGAGGGGAGCGTGCTCCTCGAGGTCGGAGACGAGGTCTTCGCGGTGCCACCGAAAGTCGCAGAGGAGTACAACGAGGCCAAGCGCATGTTTGCACCCAGGAACGGAGTCAATGATGCTACCAAGTGGAACGGCAAGGCCTATCTCGCGCAGTGCCTCGTGCGACATGAGAACCAGCGCAACGGTGTCCCGCCCATGCCCTCTCGTCTCATTGGCGCCCAGAACGACGGGGGTAACGATACTCGTGGATGGTCTCGCTCTTCGCTCGGATCTACCCTCATAGGCCACGACGACGAAGACAAAGAAAAATCAGCCTACGAGGCCTACATGGGCTTGAGCCGCACCGACAGCCAGAAACCCAAGCGCGGCCTTAGTGCTCGCATTGCCGAATCGATCCGCTCCCTCCGCACGCAAGGCAGCAGCGAAGACGAGATCGAAAAGGATGACCGACTGGGCGAGCCTACGCGCACGACGGACTTGACTAACTTCTTGAACGGCAGCAACAACCACGGCGCCAACACGGCAGGCTGGGGCATCCAGGTGCACCAGGACGCGGATGACAGCATTACGATGCCTCGACCGGCCGCCACGGACTACCAGCCCGCACGCAACAGCATCGTCTCTACGCCTCGCTCTGCTCCCATTGCTGCCTTCAACGCCAGGTCACAAGACCAAGGCCGTCGCCCCGTTCCCGCCGCCATGAACACTGCACCTAATGCTCGTGGCGGATTTTCCCTCGAGGATGCCCCCAGCCCTGCTGCTCGCGCCCGTGTCACGGAGAACAAGCGTCGCTCCGCCTTGCCGCCTGCCCCCATCAACTCTGCTCCATCGGCGGCGCCTGCCCCATTCGCTGTGCAGCGCAAGCCCCTCCCGCAAGACCCCGTCCTGCCTCGTGACATTCCTACCGTCCAAGAGCAACAACAGCAGCCCGCTGGCGCCCCCGCCCAGGCCCCTGCCCCCATCACGGACCTGACCAAGCAGCAATCTCGTCACCAGCGCGCCGTCTCGACCCCGCACGTCGCCTTCGCCAGCAAGACCAAGCTGGACAGTAAGGATGATGATGAGGAGGCGGTATTCCTCCGTCGCCACCCTACGGCAAGCAGCGTTTCTTCCTCCTCATCCGCCTCATCGCAACTGAAGAGGACCACAGGCACCACACGCCGGGCGAGCAGGCATGCGAGTATGGCCTCTTCTACCACCAGCTCGCGCGACCGTGACGCGGTTCAGCGCTCTGCTACTATGGGCATGTCCTCCTCCGCATCGGCCCCTCAGGGTCTGGCCAATCTCGCTAACGCTGGCCCACCTCCTGCCGGACGTGACCGTCTCAAGGAGATGCGCCTCGCTCAGTCGCAAGCCCGTGCTGGTGGACAGCAAGGTAGGCGGCACGTTTCGGCTGCTGTCGTCCCTCAGCAGACCGGTACCAGTGCTGCGGAGGGCCTGAGCAGGTCGAGCACGACTGCTTCGCCCTCGAGGCATAGGGACCAGAAGATGCCTAGGAGGAGCGTCGCTGGTGTAGGCGGGGAGGAGGTACCGCTTGCTCGTGGTGTTTGAGTAATCTAGTGCAATGACTCGCGCTCGTTTGTCTATATGATCAGCTTTGCAATCCTCATTTACCCCTCTTTCCATTCTCACTGAACGCATGGTGCTCGACTGTGTGACGCCGCGTGGTTACGATGACTTAAGTAGGTGTGGCATTGTGTATGGTCGAGCGCTCCTCTATTCTGCCGCTTCCTACGCTTGGGCCACTGCGGCCGCAGCCTCGGCCCGCTGGATCTCATTGGCCTTCCCATCCTCGTCCTCTTCCTCTTCCTCATCTTCATCGTGCTCACCCTCACCACCCTCATCCCCTGCCTTCCTCTTCCCACCCTCCGTCGTATCATGAAACTTCCTCCCTGGCAAACCCCTCGCAAGAGCCTCACTCCAACTCGGTTCCTTCTCCTCCTCTCCCTCAGGCGTTTTAACTTGCTTCTGCTCCGTCCAACCAAGCAGAATATCCAGTACCTGATTGACGGTCAGCACCTTCCTACTGCTCATTGCCTTGCCCTGCGGCAGAAAGGCTGCATCAATGGGAAGACGAGCGGCAGTGATACCTAGAGATTCGGCCTTGCGAAGGCAGAGATTCTTGTATCTGTTTCGGTCTACGAGGCCGCCGATGACGTAGGTCTTGGTGGGGTCGAGGGAGTGGATCGTGTGGCCTGTGTCCGCCGTCAGGTAGATGACGTCGCTGCGTGAGACGTGTGGTGGGGGTCGTGGGAGACGAGGAGCGGAAGTTGACGCGGAGTCGGGCGCTGCGGAGTCATCGTCTTGTCGTTCCTCGGCGTCTGCACCTTCCCTTCTCTCGTGCACAGCGGCGGCAGCTTCGTCTTGACCATCAACCGCAGCATCCTCTTGATTTTGCTCCGACTTCTCTTGCCAAAGGGCCTCTAAGCCATCCTTCTCAATGATATCAACCTTCTTCCATCGCCTCCACTGCTTGTCTCCAATATTGTCCATCGCTTGACCCAGTCTACTCTTGGCGAAGGGAATACTTTTTCCTTCTTTCGTAGCCTGATCAAGCCTCGCTTTGTACCCATCCTGTACCGCCGTCGGGTTAATTGTGTACTCCTTGCCCTCCTCATTCCCCTCCAGCAGCGGGAGGGCCGGCTGCTTTGACGGACCCGCCAAGATGAGCCTGGCAAAAGGGGCAGGAGACCGCTTCTGCGATGAGTAGCAAAAGCTCAACTGCGAACATATTGAGAGGATTTCCTTATCCGTCATCAACTCGTCAAAGGCACAGTCGATGACCACATTGGCGCCGAAGGGACCCTTGCTCTGCCTTCTCGCGTTGATGTGCTCTAGTCGTTCCTTCGCGCTAGCCTCCCTAAGAGCTTGGCGCTGCTCGGGGCTCATGGCTGCACGATCCTCCTTTTTCGAGCGCTCTTTAGCTTTGCGCTTCTCCTTGGAAGCAGCACGGCGGTCCGCCTTGCCTGCTTCCCAGGCTTCCTTGCGACGTTGCTTCTTGAATGCGGACTTGGTCATGCCAATGGGGATGGGCGTGCCGTCACCGAGGAATTGCTGCTGCTGCTGCTGTTGTTCTTGAGGGCTTTCACTGCCACTCGCGACAGGACTGGCTGCTGCAGCATTGTCGTCGGCCATGCTGATAGCTGACGGCTGAATGTATGCTATGCTGCGCTTGCTGTCGAGGGATGTCAAGTAGGATTCGAAATCAAGCCGAGCAAAGTGTCTGCTTTGAGCTGCTTCCGCGTTTCTCCACTCCCTTTCTTCTCCGCGTCTGAGTTGCTCGTCGGTCGTCGTCTCCGGTCCGGCCTGCTGGCGAGGGCTGCGAAACGGAGCAAACGGCTCGACGACGAGGGAGCCAAGGCAAAGGCCGCTCAGTCTCTCAAGCCAACTCAACCAACTCCCCACATTGAACATTGAGCTAGAATCGGCGATAGAGGCCATCGAGTACCACCCATACACTCACTTGAAAAGATGGCATCATCATCAGCTTCCTCTTCCTCAACATCATCAGCCGCTGCAGCTGCAGAACCAGACGATCAAGCTCAACAAGCGCATACACAGCCCACGCCGGACGCGTCCACCTTCAAGAGGAAGCGTACCCTCTACAATACTTTCCTCTCACCCTCGGGATCCACCTCCTTCTTCACCACCTCATGGTTCGAGTCGCGGCCCATCAAAGACGGAGACGGCTCTGCTTCGTCCGCGGGCGCAGAAGGGCCGGGCAGCGTAGGCCCATCAGCCGCTTCCACCGCAGCGGCCTCGAATCGCAAACGACGACCGAGCTTCGAAGAATCTCGCGCGCAAGAGCCTCCGCAGGCTAGATTGATCAGGCTGAGGGGGCTCTTTGATGTGTTGATGGACAAGGACCAGCAGGAGGCCCTTGCCGGTGGGCGTGCAAAGGAGGCGTGGCAGGCAACAGCCGGCCGAGCACGGTATGGCGCTGGAGGTCGGCTTGCGCGGGGAAGCTTGGTCAAAGCTGAACAGAGGGAGAAGACCATGAACACAAAAGAGAAGGAGCTCGATGCGGATACGGTGGCGGGCAAAGTCTCCTCCTCTTCATCCTTGTCGGACCAGTCTGAAGAGCCGCCAACTCCTTCACCGCCCAGGCAAGGCTATGCAAATGAGCTACTCGCCCAATGTAGACAGTGCAGGCAGGAGCTCGACAAAGAGCGAGAAAAGCATGAAAAGGCCATGCAGGACGGGACGGACACCGGAGCGAGCTCTTGGATGAGCCTCTCTTGGCCCTTCGGTTCAAAAGAGGAGGAAACCAGTAGTAAAGAGGAACAGAAGGAATCGACTCTGAGCTCAATATGGAATAGCGTATCGGGATCCTCGTCGTCATCGTCGTCCTCGTCGTCCTCGTCACAAAGCCAAGATTCCTCGCCGTCCACCTCGCAGCAACAGCTCTCCTTCGCAGCAGACTACGACGGCGAGTCCGGATATGCAGGCTCTGGAGTCTGGGGACTGAGCGCCGTCAAGCATGGCTCGCGGGACAGGCAAAGGCAACGGCTTCAACAGGAGCAAGAGCAGTCCAATGAGCAAGCATCGGGCATCAAGGCTTCTTCATCGCCGTCACCGCCGCCAACCGCCCGGCAAGAAGCCGCGAATCAGGAAGAGGAGGGCGACAAGAGGATGATGATTGAGTGGGAGGGCTTTCTGAAGTATGCCGAGACGAAAGAACGAGGTGTGTGTGCCACGAAGGAGACGTCAGAACCTCAGCCGTATCAAGAGCTAATCTATCTTCCCTTCCATTCCCCCTTAAGAACTCTACAAAATCTTCACCGAGCTAGACCGTAATGGTGACATGCGCCTAGACGTCCAAGAGATTCGTCTTGCCCTCGATCGGGCAGGCATAGATCTCCCTCCCGCCTCTCTCGAAGACTTCATTGCTTCCCTCTCTTCCTCGACGCGCATCTCCGACCCTCACGCGCACGGCACAACGACTTGGTACTCTATCGACCCGCCAACGGCAGACTATGTCACCTGGCCTGAATTCAGGGACTACCTCCTTCTGCTACCGCGTAAGCCCTCTGTGAACGAGATCTTCCGCTTCTACCAGGTGCGCAAGGCTTTTGGGCTGTTTGGCGTTGGCGGAGTCTTTTCTGAGTTCGGGAGCAACTGGGGAAGTGGAGATCGACATGGAGCCACTGCTATCACGAGTGATGGTGATGTCAGTATGGCGGGGGAGGAGAAAAGACGCAAAGGGGGAGCGCCGGCTTCTGCTGCGATTGATGAGAAAAAGAAGGCGACTAGGGAGACATTGGTAGAGGGTGAAGGAGGAGAGGGCGGCGCCGAGGCCGGGAGCTCGGCGGCGGCGTCGGCGGCGTCATCATCAGCGTCGGCCAACGTCGTGGGCGCTAACTCAAGTACCTCAAGCGACTCCTCATCATCCAGCTCAGCCACGATGCATGATGATCACTCCGCTGAGCACGAAGAAGAGGAAGACGACAACGATATGATCCACCTGGACGTCGCGCTCAAGTTCCTCCTCGCGGGAGGGATAGCAGGCGCGGTTTCCCGTACAGCTACCGCCCCCTTCGACCGTCTCAAGATCTACCTCATCACAGCCTCCCGCTCAAGTGAGACTGCTTCCGCTGCTGTAGCGGATACGGTCCGCAAAGAGGGCGCCACAACTGCAGCAAAGGACGCCGGACGAATTGCCACCAAGGGAGTCGGCGTCATGGCAACAGCGATGCAAAACCTCTACCGCGAAGGGGGAGGGCTGAAGGCCTTCTGGCTGGGCAATGGCTTAAATTGCATCAAGATCTTCCCGGAGAGCGCCATCAAGTTCCTCTCGTACGAGACGTCGAAACGTGCGTTCGCCAAGTACGTGGACAACGTCTCGGACTCTCGTGACATCAGCGGAACGTCGCGCTTCATCAGCGGAGGAATTGGTGGTATCACCAGCCAGCTGGCCATTTACCCCGTCGAGACGCTAAAGACTCGCCTCATGTCTTCGCAGGGCGAGAATGCTCCGATCAGCAAGACCACAGGGCAGAGACTGGTGGGCAACGAGCTTCTTGCAGCGACTGCGAAGAACATGTGGCAAGCCGGAGGCTTGCGAGTCTACTATCGTGGTCTTACCGCCGGGCTGGTCGGTGTCTTCCCTTACTCAGCGATCGACATGTCTACCTTCGAGGGCATCAAGCTAGCCTACATGAGCTACATGGACAAGGATGAGCCAGAGACGCTCGCCCTACTCGCATTCGGATCCATCTCCGGCTCTGTAGGCGCCTCAACCGTCTATCCGCTCAATCTCATTCGTACGCGCCTCCAGGCTGCGGGGACGCCTGCGCATCCGCAGGTGTACAACGGATTCATGGACGCGGTCAAGAAGACGTACGTCAAGGAAGGAATCGTAGGATTCTACCGCGGTTTGGTGCCTACGCTTGCCAAGGTGGTGCCCGCGGTCAGTATTTCGTACGTCTGCTATGAGAATTCCAAGAAGAGGTTGGGCGTTGCGTAGAGTGGGCGTTGCGGTGGGCAGACGGGCCAATAGGTTGTCGCGTCTGTCGATTTTGTTGTTTTTTTCGGTGCTGGGGTGCCCCTCTATTCTCTCTGTAACAAGACACAAGCAGCATAGACAAATCTGTCTTCATTATCATCATGAACAATCGGTCGTTATGCGCCTCCGTCCGCGTTGGGTCTGAGACCATGGTATCTTAAATGACGCTTCCTCCTCTGCCTAGCCAGAGCCGCCACTTCTCTCCACGAGGAATGGTACCACCCTCCGTCGCTAGGGTCCTGTCCATCATGGCGCTTCCCCCATCCCCGAGACCCCAAAGTAGGACAGCCCTCGCGATCCTCTTGGCCGTAGCGGGCGGCACATGCGGGCTGAGCGTTAGGTAGACCTCGTACGGGGACTGGACCGCCGAGCTGTTGGAGGCGGAAGAGGAGGTGGGTGGGCACTCCACGTAGATCGCTTCGTGAGATGTCCGGAGGTAGTGCGTATAGATGGAAGGTGACGAGGAGGTGATCGCCGAGCTGGAGGCAGAGAGGCTGGGTGGACGCAGTGCCTCGGGAGGCGGCGGTGGGAGGAGGTCTGTAGGTGCCGACGGCGCAGAGCCAGGAGCAGCTCCATCTTCACCTTCGTCTGCGTGATCGCCGTCTTGATCATCCTGCTCGTCAGCCTCGGCGGTCACCGGGGCTTCTGATGCTGTCTCTTCGCTATCTGCGCCGCTCACGACGACTGTGGGCGATTCACCACTTGCACTGGGTTTGTCCGCCTGCCCATCCTGCTCAGGTATCACCGCGCTTTGCTCCTTCTCCTCCTTCTCTCCGCCATCCTTCTCCTCCCTCCCCTTCTTCTTCTTCCTCCTCCTCCTCTCTCCCTGCGCCCACTTGGCCCTTAGTACACACAGCTCCCTGGCTCTCTCATATCCCCTCTTCACCCGCTCTCTAGCCAATATCGCTTCCCTCTCCTCTCCGGCATACCCCTCTTGCAGCCACTCGCTCCACACAATCTGCAGGTCATCCTTTTTCTTGAGCACAAAATGCCAAAGTCCAGGCAAGTGTAGGGAATCGGGGATAATACGAGAGTTGGTGCTCCTTGTGGAGGTGAGAAGTTGGTTGAGCGGAGTGACGGGAGTCGGTGCCCGAGGGGTGGGGGCGAGGGGCAGGGAAAGGAGCGAGAGGATACAGTCCCTGTACCGCGAGACTTCCTCAAAGGATTCGCGATCTGCGGTGACGATGACTAGGGCGCAGGGTGCTGCACCATTACTCCGGCTAGACAGGGTTGATGAGGTCGAAGGCGTCCGTGTATGTGTGGTTGACAGGGTCGCATCATGAGCTCCTCCATTGCCGCTCGGCACCGCGGCGCCAAGCCAGGAAATGTGCGCCTGCACCATTCCCTGCGGGGCAAAGCGAGGCAGGCAGATGGGCACCCAGTTGACGGTTCCTGCTTCCCGTTGGCCACGTCGGCTCATGCCTGCAACGGTGTTGATGAGGAGGTGCAGATCCAGCGGGTAGGCGGAAAGACGTCGCGGTCTGACGAGCGTGACGAGCTCCAGCTCTGGCGTGACAAGTAGCACGTAGATGAGGTCTTTTGGCCTTGCCGGCATTCGTTGAGAGAGGAGCTGCTGAGGATCGAGGGGCTTGGAGGAGGATCTGCTCTGCCCAGAAGACGATGGCGACGAAGAACGTTTTGTCGCCTCATCACCTTCTGCGGCACTCGCAGCTGCAAGCGCCTTCCCCAGTGGCCGTCTCTCCCATCTCTCCAAGCTGAGACATGCAGTCAAGTCCTCCCTCAACTTCAGATCGACCCTCATCGGCCGAAGGCAGACCCCACCACCTCCAGCACCGAGGCTGAGGCCGAAGTCGGCCTGCATCCTAGCGACGAGGCTCTCGACAATACCATCCGTTCCCTCCAACATCCGCCTGAGGTCGAAGTTGTGCCCCCGAGCAAAGAGGCGATGCAGCTGCGCCTCCGAGATGAGCGAGACAATACCCGAATACAGCACCTCCAGGTGTGCCTTTAGGGTCGTGGCCGAGTCTGAGTACAGGTAGCCAGCCCCATGCCAGGTAGAGGTGACTGCGAGGTAGAGAGGCTCGCGAAGCAGGTACACCACGCGACTGGAGCGGGCTGGGAGCTTGAGAATCTCGATTGACTTGGATTCGAGAGTCTCGTTGCCGTGTGAGGCAAAGTTGGACACCAGAGCTTGAAGCACGCCGACTTGGACTGCTGACTGCTCTTCGTCTTGATCAGAGGCGAGTGACTCGAGGCGGCGCGCTTCCTCCTCCGCTTTGCGTGCCTCTTCGCCTTCGGACGTCAAGCGTTTGCGCTCCTCCTCGTCCGCCGTGCTCGTACCTAAAGAAGCCAGCTTCTCATCCCTTTCACGCTGAGTCTCCCGAGCCTGGCGCAGCCGTGTACGAGCGGCATCTTCTCGGGCGAGGCGACGTTTCGCCAAATGGGAGAGAAAGACGGGCTTGCCCGCCTGCGTGAGGACGTAATACCGTCTCGAGGGCAAGGCTCCTCCCTCTGGCGATCTCTCCGCGTCTGGCCAGTCGGCAGGAAAGTCGAAGCAATTCATGTCCGGTGGTATTGAGGGAGCTGGAGGTTGCTTCTGATTGGTACTGCTGCTAGAGCGCGGCGCCGGTGAGGCGGAGCGTGATGTTGTTGGAGAGGGCTTCCTGGATGGAAGGAGGAAGGAGCCTGCAGAGGCGAAGAAGCTTCCACCTCCGCTGCCGGCACTTCGATCTGGCGGGGCTGCGGTTGCTTTTGGGTGCTGCCTCTGCTGCTGTTGTGTCTGCGCACGAGTCTGCTCTTGTACTTGCCGTCTGCGCTTCTCTTCATTCTTGGCCCCAAGCCGCAGCGAGTCGGCCGCGGAGCGTACCAGCGTGGCATCATCATCGTCATCGTCATCATCTTTGCCGACGGACACACGAGCCTGACTGGTACTTCGTGAGGCATTCGGTCGAGACGAAGAGTTTGATGCTGGTTTTGGGGAGCCCGATGCTGATGTCGACGACCCGGCATTTGGCGCCTCGCTCTCGCCCGCGAACGCTCCACTGATGCTGCGAAAGGGAACAGCGCTGGTACGTAAAGCGGTGCCCAGCCCGGCGGCAGTTGCGTCTACGCCTTGTCTGAAGAAAGACATGGAGCCTGTAGCCGCGCGTGATGTCCATTCTCCGAAGCCAGAAGGGGCAGCAATGGGTGAGGACGGCTCCTCTGACCCTGTTGCCTCTGACTCTGCGGGAGGAGCCGCCACTGGACCATGGACCGTATCTGAAGAGGCCACATTTGGCATTTGCTCCTCGCCACGATCGCTGCCTGCTCTTGATACCGAGCCTTGCGCGTGTGTGTCCGATGCTGATACAGTTGTCGATGCGGTCTCGAGAGATGCCAACGTGGGGAAGTTTGCATTCATTGCGGAACCGATCCTCGTGCTTAGGGACATGCTCTCGTCGTGGTTTGCGGACGACGATGCTGAAGAATGAGAGCGACGGCCTCGACTGCCGTGAGTCCCCGCAGAAGAGGAACGAGACATAGCTGCGCCCGCAGTCATGGCATCGTCATTTTGCTCTTGAGGTCCTCGTGATGCAGCTGTAACGCTAACCGTCGTCGTCGATAGCGCCGACTTCTGTGGCGACAGCGTCGAGAGGAAGCGCGGAGCATGCGGTGACGATGTTGAGCCCGTCGAGGCTTGCAATCTCGGCGAGCCTGGCGCTGACATTGGCCCCTTGTCAAGTGATGTCGAGAAGGATGACAATGGGCGCAGCCAGGCACCGGCGGAAAGGGATCAGACCCAACTCGACTTGAGAGCGGACGGAGAGCAACACTTTCAAGGAATCGAGAAGCGCAGAGTGCCGCTTCCCTCACATCTTGCTTCCCTTGTTCCCCTTGACAACCTCAATGCGACCATGTCAGACGTAGGCGCCGTCGCAGGACCATCGCGACGATCAGTCGACCCGGTCGAGAATTCATCTGGACGTTCTGGCTCGGCGTCATCGTCATCTGAGGCGGCAGTGGAGGACGGTGAGCCCCTGGATGCAACACAAGATGAAGCGACAGACGCAGACGACGGCGAGAGTCGCATCAAGCGCCACGCCTACCCTCCCATCTCTCTCGACTGCAAACGACTCCTCATGCGCCTAGTGGATGATGGTCTCCTCGACCTCAAAGGCGTAGCAAAAGGCGGGCCAATGTCCCTTCGCACAGCCCGTCACCTCCGCTCCCTCTGGATAGCAGGCAACCACTCCCTCGCGGAGCCCCGCAGGCAAGGTAGGCCACGCAAGCTCAGTTCTAAAGCATTGGATGCGTTGCGCACCATATGTCAGCAAGACAAGAACATGCCACTGCAAGATATGCAGGACAGTATGCACGCACAGGGTTACGGCACCATCGACAAGTCGACTTTATCCAGGACCAGGAAGCACTTGGGTCTGGCTACCAGGTCCTTCGTCAGGGCCAAGAAGGGGCAACCCTCCATGAGCAAGAGGGTCATCGAGAAGGAGAAACGCGCGAGAGCCAAGGCGGACAAGGCAGCTAGTGCACAGGCAAAGACGGTCGCTGCGGCTGCGGTGGCGGCTGCGGCTGAGCAGGAGGAAGCAGCGACTGCAGCAGCGTCGCTGGGCGCTGGTGTCAGTGCCACGAGCGATGCCCGCGCCAAGGATCCTGGCCGGCGTCAGCAACATCTGCCCGACTTGTCTACCCAAGTTTTCTTCCCAGCTGGCCTTGTTCAACCTCCTCCTCCAAATCACCAGAGGACAGATGGAGCGAGTCATCTTCAACGTGCTGCCAATGCAGCGTTCGATGCCTTCTCGGCGACTTCCGCACCCGCGCCCAATTCAAGCCAAAGCCTCCCCTTCTCGTAGTAATCGGCCTCGAGTAAACCATCTTCACTTTCCAAGCTTCAATTTCAGCATCTTTGTCACAAGCTCTTGATCCTCATGGCTCAGATCCACTCTCCATCCAAGGCATCAGGCGGGTTCTCCGCACTGCTCAACCTCACCTCCTTCAGCACATCCTCATTGGACAACCTGCCCGCATCATCCTTTGCCAGCTTCTCCAGCGCGACCTTGTGCGTCTCGCCCATTCCTAAGTCTCCCTCCTTCTCCTGCTCCTGCTTCTTGATCATCAACAACTCCACACCAGCCCGGTCTAGCAGCTCGATGTTCTCTGGACGCGCGTAGCGTGTTCCTTCAGCATCAGCCTCCCCTCCGAAGGTTTTCTGGATCTCTTCATCGCTCATCTGCACCCTCTCGGAAGGCTCGAGACCAGCAGGCGGGGCTCCAGCCCCGGTAGAGGGAAGCGTAGGGTTGCGCATCTGCAGTCTCACGCTACTCTCCTTGTTCAGGCCAAACTCCTTCTGGACATCGCCAAAGCCGGCCTCGTCGTGTGGGTGAGAGAGGACGTAGGAGAGGCGCACCTCACGCGACGAAGGTGGCTCGGTCTCAGAGAGGGTGAGGATGTACCACCCTCGCCCGACAGGGCGGGCGCCTCCGACTAGACGCTCCCCTGCTGTTTTCGTCGTGTAGCGGCGCGAGGCCAGAGAATCTTTGAGAGAGTCAAAGCTTGGGCTGAGGCGGAAAAGTGGAAAGGTCCTTATCTGTTCAGTCTCTTGAATCTCGTCTTGTTCATGTACCCGTACCGTCGACCAATGTAAGCTTGTACTCACGCTACGTCCGAAATGACTGACCAGATCGTCTCAGCCGCATCGCCTCCAATGCCTCCTGGCTGGTCTCCGCGTTCGATCGCAGCTTTAGGCTCTGGCATTCTCTTTTTGCCCAGTCGAATCATGCGCGCACCAACACCACCCTGTTTGGCCTTCTCCCCCGTCTGCTCCGACTTGTTCTCTACGTCGCTCGGTCGCTGCGACTCGGGCTTGGCGGGCGCGGTAGAGCTCGAGGAGCTGCGGGGGAGGAGGAGCAGGTGGAAGTTCTGAGCATCGTCAATCGATTGGACCGAAGGATTTGAGGTGTCCTCCTTGCCGTCTTTTGGGGCTGGTTGGACTTTGGGACGGTAGAAGAAATAGATGCTGCGCGACGGGAGGCCGGAGGGGGGGAGGGGGGAGAGCCAGGTCAGAGAAGATTCAATGCGTGAAAGGATTCATAGACCCGTAGGACTCACTGCCCGCGCTCGAGGACGTTCCACTTGATGTCGTCCTGGTTGGAGCCTACAGGGCCAGTATCCTCGCCGGCGGCCTTCTTTTCTGCTTGCGAAGAAGGAGGGGCCGGCTTCGAGTCTGACTTTGTTTCTTGAGTGCCGTTCTTGGGCTTGTCATCTTTCGCCGCCTGCTCGTTCTCATCGCCCCCATTCTTCTTGTCCTCGCTGTCATCCTGCTTAGCCGCCTTAGCAGGAGGCTGCTCCTTCGCGTCGTCCTCCTCCACTTGGCTGCCTTGTTCTTCCTTCTTGCTGTCGTCCTGCTTCCTCTTCGCGGTCACCTTGCCCTCCCCTTGCGAGCCGGCGTCGACTTCCAGCTTGGTCTGCTTCTCGCTGGTGCCATTCTTTGAGCTACGTGTGTTTGCCATGATGAAAGTGATCAAAGTAAGTTGAGGAAGAAGAGAGAGAGAGACGCGAAAGACGCGCGAAGGGCGACGCGAAGGTGGACCCTTTTGCTGCTCTGCTCCCGCCCTTGATGACGAAGCTTCGCAGTCATGTCAGCCTGAGCGAGACAATTGCTGCACGGGCCACAAATGATCGAACGCGTGGCTCAGATGGCCGCGTCCGGAGAGGCGGCAGAGACGCAGCGGGAGACGGAGGGTCGACTGGCGGCGGCGGCTGACGATGTCGTCTTGTGCTTCTCCTCCTTCTCATCGTCGCCATCCCTCGAGCCCTCGCCGCGATGCAGGTCATCACACACCTTCATCAACCTTCGGCTCAGCTAGGGTCGCTGTCGTTGCCCAGCTTTCTGCCGCTGCCAACTCTCTGCATCGTCAAGCACTCCACGCTCGAATTTCTAGCACTCCCTTCTCCCGGTGGAGAGGATGAAGCACCTCTACTGGCCAAGGTCGCTCAGGCCAACTTCAATGCTCGAGTACTCCAGATTTCGCCTTTCAGCAATGGCACCCGCCTTGCTGTACTGACAGATCATCACAATCCCAGACTCATCGTCCTCCAAGCGGGAGATGCCGCTGAGCAGGCGGCCTCATCATCATCATCGTCGTCAACGCCCCGCTTCAACATCGTTTGTGACCGCTCCATCCTCCTCGATGAGATGACTCGCCCGCCTGCAGAGCTCGGCTTGGGGGTTTGGACCATCTCTGCGCCCAATGATGAAGTGATTGTGACGCATGTCCACTCGGGCGTCCTCAAAGTGCTCCCGGTAGGAAAGGCTAAGTCGAAGGCAGCATCCTCGCAGATGGCGCTCAACACTTTCACGACAAGGTGATTATGCGTCCTGAAGCCTGAAGATGATTTGAACACGTGCTGACTCGCTATTGCGCTCTACGCCAGACTGCCTCACCCCACACTCCTGTCTGCGACCCCCTTGTCTTTGGATGACGATCGCCTCGGAATAGCCCTCTTGTCCATCAACTCTACACCCTCGCGACTTCCAGGCTTGGGAACTCAATGCCTCCCTGTCTTGTCCTTCCACGCCGTCGATCAAAAGCAGCAGCAGCTCATCCCGCTTCCTTGGGGACCAGAGCGCAAGGTGCCACCAATGGTTGAGGAGGCAACGGGCGAGTCGTCCACCACCTCGCCTCGTAGGCGATCATCGTCATCTCAGCAGCAGCAGCAGCAGCAGCAGCCTCAAAGCTCCTCTCGCTCAGGCAAAGGTGGACCACAAGCAATGGGTCGCACCTTGACCGTCGAGCAGGCCAAAGCCCGCGAGCAGTCTCTCGCCAAGTCAAAACTCACCCGAGCCCACGTTACTCTGCCGTACGCTGATGCGCTTGGCGCCCATCTCATCACCGCCTTGCCGAAAGAAGCTGGGAGCTACGTACTCGTCTGGAGCGAGACGAGTGTGCTGATCGTCTCGCCTCCACCGTCCTTGGACGACGATGACGACGACGAAGAAGCCAACCGTGTTACATCGTCCAAGTCACCCGTCTCATCGGGTAAAAGACGCAAAGGCTCGATGAGCACAGCGGCAGCAGGGGCTTCAGCAGCGTCCGCATCGTCTCGCAAGGCTTCTATCTCGAGCGGGAAGCAGGCAGACAACGGAGCAGGATCGACAGACGCATCGATGCTCGCCACCTCGCCCACTTCCACCGCCAACGAATACGGCAAGCGCCGTCGCGGCTCAACCAAGACTTCTGGCGCCAGTCAAGAAGATCCCTCGAGCATGGACGTCGACGATGCTGCCCCGTCCAAGTCGGCCAAGTCTGGCTTCTCCGGGCTGAAGATTCTGCGACTTAGCCTGCCACGACCTGTTCAGGTAGCAGCAGCCGCTATCGTCCAAGAGCCAGCTGCTTCCAGCGCGCTTCAAGTCGACGAGGCTGGCATGGGCGCCTCTATCAACGTCATCTTCGGCACATCGGCGGGACATCTCAACAATCTCGAGGTCAGTCTCGCCCGCGACTCTACCAGCAAGCCCTGGTCGCCCAGCAACATGCGCGTCACTCGTGTTGGCGATATTCCTAGGCCTCAGGGTCCCAACTCGCTTGCCTATCTCGGAGAAGGCATCATCCACGTCGCAAGCGCCAGCGGTGACTCCGTTGTGGTCCAGCTCGCAGCTCCAACGTCCGACGAGACCGAGTCAGCAGGAGCTGATGTCGAGATGATCCCCCTGCCAACATCTCCTGTCGCAACACCGCGTCGCAAGGCATCGGGCGCCGCCAATACCTCCCTCGGATCAGCTAGCGCTGCTGCCGCCGCTTCCAGCCGAGCCGCGTCTTCGCCGGACCTCCCCCTGTCCCCTCACACGATCCAAACTGTGCGCACCTTCACGTCTCTGGCGCCCATTCTCGACTTTATCATCGACGGCAATGCCCTCGACGCCGGTGCTGGAGGAGGAGCGCAAGGTCGCATTGTTGCAGCCTGTGGCACTGGGCCGGACGGTGCGCTCGCAATCGTCAAGAATGGCGTCACGCTAAATGAAGTTGGCTCACTCGATGTGCCCGACGCCAGGCGCGTGTGGGCTGCTCCTCTCGCTGATGGAAGCTTTGCGCTCGTCTGCGGTTTTGCCGAACATACAGGGGTGCTTGCAATGGGTGGAAGTGGCGTTGAGGATGTGACGGACAAAATCGGGGACGGCAGCTTGGCACAGAGTCGCACGGTTGGCGCATACGCACTGAGCGGAGGCGACAGATGGATTCACGTCTCTGACAAACGCCTGGCTGTCATTGATGCCGCATCTGGGCAGCAGGTGACGGAGTGGGACCCGTCAGCGACGACGGACGCTGGCTCCGCTGCCATCCTGGCCGTAAGCGTCGAGCGAGACGGTGTCCTCGTCGGACTCAACGGCGGGCGTGTCGTACTGCTCACCGTCGAAGGCGGAGCAGTCCAAGTCGTCGGCTCGCTAACCCTGCCAAACGAGGTCTCGTGCCTTCACATGGTCCACGGCCTCGCTGCCATCGGGCAATGGAACACGAACACCGTGCGTCTCTTCTCTCTGCCCAACTTCCAGGACGTGACGCCAAGCAGCATGAATAGCGAGTCGGGACTGGGAGCTCTGCCTCGTAGCTGTCTCATACACCGCTTTGCCTCCAGTGACGAGTCGACGGCATCCACAGCCCCACTTCATCTTCTCATCGGCCTCTCGACTGGCGCCGTCCTCTCCTACATCATGTCTCTCCCCACGCCCGACTCCTTCTCTAAGACCATCGGCCTCTTCGACCGCAAGACCTCCGCACTGGGGCGACGCCCTCTCTACCTCACTCCCTTCCAGACGACACTGGGCAAGGACGCCGTGTTGGCGACGAATGGCGAGTCTTCGACTGTCCTCTGGGCCGGGGAGGGCGGAAGGATGTCCATGTCGGCGCTTGCATATCCGAATGTTCTCGCAGCTGCACCGCTGAATGCTAGTCGAGCAAACGCAGAGGCAGCCGCTCTGGTGCTCTCCCTGCCTACTGGCCTGCAAATCAGCTCGGTCAGCGAGATCGACCAGCTGGATATCAGCAAGGTACAGCTCGGCCTTGACAATCCCAATGGAGTCGCTGGCGTTCAACTGGATGAGCGCGGTGTTGCACAGTACTTTGCCGTCACGACAACCCCCTACAAACCGGAAGGCTCTGCCACTCGTGAGCAACGTGCCTCTAAGCTCCTTGTCTACGGTGCCGTCGAGCTCGATTGTGTCGCGGAACATGCCCTTTACCCGCAAGAGCGCGCCAACTGTGTCTCATCTATTGTGCTGGATGACCAAGAGTACATCGTCGTGGGGACGGGCTTCGTCAAGCCGGACGAGACTGAGACGACCGATGGGCGTGTGCTCGGTTTCACACTGGATCGCGGCTCCGGCGGCAAAGCTCCAGTTCTGCGCAAGGGTTTCGAGCACAACGTCAATGGCAATGTGTACGCGCTGGCGTCCGCGGCCGGCAAGCTGGTTGTTGCCGTCAACTCGGAGGTGGTCACCTTTGGCTTCATCGACCCTGCGCCGGACAATGAAGAGGACGACTACGCGCAGGAGTACACGGAGCGCCTCTTCCGTCCGCTCTCCAAGTGGGGTTGCGCATTTGTAGCCTGTACCCTCTCCCCGATTCGGGACCAGCCGGACCGTATTGTCGTCGGCGACGGGTTGCGCTCCCTCTGCGTGTTGCAGGTCGATGCAGGCTCCTCCGCTTCCTCTACCGGCACGAGCAAGCGCCGCGCTACGGGCCGCCTGACAGAGGTGGCGCGTGACTGTGATCCCTTCTGGACCACGGCCGCCTCCTCCCTCGATTCTGCAACCCAGACCTTCATTGGAGCGGACATCAGCTTCAACCTCTTTACATCGCAACGGGCCAAGCTTTCTGCCGAGACGAAGAGAAGGATCGAGCGCGAGGCCGAGAAACGACGGGAGAGGGCTGAGCGTGGTGACTCGAGTGCGCGCCTCGCGAGCTCCAATCAGGCGCCTCTGCCTAATTTGGTAGACGAGGAGGGGGATTGGAGCCATGTCATGGAGAGGAGGGGTGGGTGGCACTACGGTGATATGATCAATCGCTTTAGGGAGGGAGCACTGGTTGTGCCCGCCGCTGCCTCCTCCTCCTCCTCCGCCGGCGCTCCAGCATCAGACGAAGGCGGAGCTGCCTTGCCAGCGCCCATCAATCCCCGCCTCATCTTCGCGACTAGTGCCGGTGCCATAGGCATCATCTCCTCTGTCCCTTCTCCCGCAGTGGGCAAGACTCTGACAGAAGTAGAGCGCAACCTTCGCAGCGTACTTCCCCTCCCTTTGGGCGGTATCCCCTACGAGGAGTGGCGCACGCTTCGCACAGATCATCGTACGAGCGCACCGGCGGGCTTCCTGGACGGAGACCTGCTTCTGCGTTACGTTGGAGCAGAGCTGGGCAATGAGGGCAGGAGGAGGGTACTCCAGGGTGAGGAAGGGAATGGTATAGGCAAGGTTGGGGCTGAGGCGGACGAGGTGGAGAGATTGTTGGATGGATTGGCAAGGGTCTGCTAGACATGGTCCGAGCTTGAGCCTTCGCATCTGTGTCTGTCGAGAGAAATCATGCATCCTTTGTCACCATCATTGCCTGCGCAGGAGACAGGCGCGATGTAGCCATCGACCACGTGGTGCAATGCGATGTGGCCCGAGCGCCTGACGATGTCGCTCGAGCTGACGAGGCGGACTCGGGATTGGCTGGTCCGATTGACCCTTTGCAACGATTCCCCCACCTCTTGCTGAGCGCATCCAAAGCTGATTGCTCTGTTGCGGCCGCAATGAACCCCTCGAGCGTCGCTCCAGCCAGCGGTGGCAACGACGGGGCTGGAGAGTCTTCCTCCTCCTCCTCCTCTCGTCCTGCGATGCCGACCCTCCAGACGATGGACGACATCGTCCAGCTCTCCGTGCAAGCAAGCTCGAGTGCCGACCCTCGTCATGAGACGATCGATGTGCTCCTGCCTGCTCTCGAGGATCTTTGGAACACCAAGGGAGGGTTTCAAGTCTTCCTGCAGGGAAGCGCCGATCGTAAGGATCCGCTCAGTCTGCTTGACCCGAGGATGCATACTGTAGCCCATCTTTACATCTTGTGGGCATGACGAGGAGTTTGCGTGCGAGTCCAAACATGAAACAGGCTCGCTGACCATCTTTTCTTTTCCTCTCGTGATAGGACTGCCCGATTACAGCACGAGGTCTACATAGCACAGCAGGCTGCTGCTGGGCAACCTGCGGCTTCCTCGTCATCGTCGGCTCCCGGCTCAGCAGCGCCAGCTTCCCTCTCATCAACCATCGTTCACGCTCTTCAGAACTTCATGCCGAGCCCAGCAGCCAACCTCATCCTTCTTGGAGGCAGTGGCGCTGGAGGTGCCAAGCTGACTGACCTCGCTCGCGCAGTCGTGTCCGCCGAGAATCATGGCCTCCTCACTGCACAATTCACCTATGGCATGATTCGCAGCATCTCGCTTTGGCTTTTCCAAGCAGCGCCTGTTGGTTGCTTGACGACGCTGCACCCTATCTTCATCCAGGTAAGTCGTCAAGTTCGCTCCCTTCCCCTCACCTTTTCGACGGGAACTGACGCAATCTCAATGGCGCACACGCAGTCCATTCGCCGAGGTGCCGACTCGCCCTCTGCATACGAAGAAGTCCTCAATTTCAATCTCACCAAAGTCGACCGCAGCATCACCCCTCTTCGCCCCTTAGACGTCATCGAGTACTTCTTTGCAGCTGGAGACGCCTGCCATCAACTCGCCAGCGGCTCCCCTGCGCGCATCTCTGCCTTGCTGGAAAGGTCCAAGCAAATGTTCGAACAATGCCTCACGGCCCCCGTCCACCGAGTACCTCACGACCTGCAGATTCGAGCAGCCGCTCGCTGGACGTTACTCGTGCTGGGAACCACTGACGAGCCCAGAGTGGGCGGTAATATTTCCCTCCCAGCGCACACGAGTATCGCCGTTCAGCGCGCCTGGAAACGTCACAGTGGGCCCTACGCCGGTCTCGAGGACCTCTTCACCTCACGCAGGCGAAGCGCCGCTGCCGTCAACGAGCTGCGCACCTACGTGGTTAACAATGCGCAGGTTTGGGAGAGGGATGGAACCCAGGGTCTGGTGCGATGGCTGGTCGAGGCTAGGCACCCTATCGTGAGGGTGAGCAGGTTGGGCGAGACTTTCACTAGGCTGAAGGTCAAGGATGTGGTGCAAATGCTGGAAATTGGGGCACGGGAGAGCGAGACGCAGGAGGCGCTGGCAAAGAGGGTCAGGGAGATGATCGAGCATTGGATTGGAGAATTCCAGCTCAAGGGCGCCAAGCTGGACCCGCCTTCCGTGGCTGGCAATGGAGAAGCTGCCATGGACGGCCAAGCTATTCTCTCCTTCAACGTCGCGCCTGTAGGTGAGAGCGACTACTACTCCTCGCTCTCCTTTCTCGATAATCTGCAGCGCCAGATGGAAGATCTACAGCGCTGCAATGCCCACATCGAGTACAAGGAGCGCAATTTGGCGCGCAGCAAGGGCTTTGTGGCGAAGATGCAAAGTGGGGCTGCTTTGGGAAGGGGAGGCAACGGGCCTGGTGGCGGGATGATGGGGATGACGGGAATGGGAATGGGTGGCGGAATGGGAAGGTTTGACGATGATGAGGGTGAAGGTGAGTACAGGAGCGGAGGGATGGTAGGAAGGAAAGACGACGCTGACATTCGATCCTCGACTTGATTTGCACAGATGTCTTTGGCCCGTAGAGCAGCGCATCGACTGGCGTAGGGGTCAACATGACCGATCCTGCATAACAGCTTCTCTTTCTTTCGTCCACCTTGAGCGTCTGAGCAACACACAGTCTCATCATCCCAGCCATCGATGTCAATCCATATCCTTCTCTCCGCGCGCAAACGACCGAACACCTCGCATCCGTTTGTGGTCTAGTCTAGCTTTGCAAATTGTGGCACGGAGAGAAGAAGAGATACAGATTGGCCGGAATGCATTAGGAGGCTAAGGGACGAGAATGTGATCTAGAGATCGCGTGTGAGGCTGCGGTCGTGAGAAAAGGGAATAAATGTCCGTTGCGACTCTTGGTCGTCATTGAATCGTGTTCAGGTGTCTTATCCGCCACGCCCCTGTTGAGTCATATAGCCCAGGTCGTACCAGCTTCCACCGGCATCACCGCCCGTCGTGCCATTACCGTCATCCTCCGGACTCAAGGATCGCTTTTCTTCGTCCTCTTCAGCGTTTGCGTCTCGTTGGTCGCCCCTCTCAAAGAGGGACGAAGTCGCCATCGGCCGGAGCGGGGAGGGCGAGATGGATCTGGTCGGCGCCAATCCTTCCCTGCCTCTGCTTGGGCTACCTTGTACTCGCGAGGGAGAGCTAGACGGAGAGGAAGAAGCCTGCCCGCCTCCACCAAGGAAGTGACGCTGCCTCTGCCCCGGCGAGGCGGTGACCGAGTGACCCGTGGACGAAGACGAGGAGCCCCCTTGCCCTGCTGCACTCCTTCCAGACGCCGAGGCTGCTGAACCAGAGCTGCGCGCCACGACGCTGACGCGGCGCATCATCTTGCCCCACGCCGAGTCGCCAAACTGCTCCAGCTGGGGAGAAGCGCGACGCTCCAGCTCCTCGAAGGAGGGACCGGATCCCACAGCCAGGGAGGAGCTGGTAGCGTTGAGGTTGAGATTGTCGTGCGAGGATGAGGAAGGCGAGAACAGTAGACTCGTCGACGAGCCGCCCATACCCGCTGCTCCCGTGGGACCTTCGGCGCCCAGGCGATGGCGAGAGGGCGAGGAGGGTAGACTGCCGTTGCCGCTTACTGAGGAGGTGTCCAGCCTAAGGCCTGGTTGACCAGCTGAGCGAGCCGTGCTGTCCCTTTCGTCGTCATCGTCGTCGTCGTCGTAGTTATTATCATCGTCGACCGTGATGATGGGCACATTCTCTGACCTGACACTATTGTGACCCACCGACGACTTGGCCGCAGCCATCATCTCGGCGCTGGCCCTCTGCCTCTCCGCCCGGAGCAGGTTGAAACGGTAGCGCAGATACGTCGTCGCCATGACGCCGCGCACCCTCTCCAAATTGATTCGATCATCAATACGCTCGTTGATCACCCGTCGATCCAGCAACTCCTGCGGCCCCAGCGCGACATCATCGTCGATGAGCTTGTAGTGAGCGATCAGCGTCAGCATGTCTTGGAAGGAGATGCATCCCGCCGATGCCCCGCCATTGGTGTCGGCAAGGATGCATGCCTCATGGTAGATGCGATTGAACCGCTCGCGACGCTCGTGTAGGTCTGTGGCGTCAACCGTGTTGATGAGGTGGTGTAGCCGCTTCACATTAATGCCATCAATGCGCCGGGCATGGTCATAGCCAGCTCCCAGTCCTCCCTTCGAGCCAGCAGGCGGCCAAGGGAAGGCAGAGCCAGAACCCGGCTCCTTTATTGGGCTGACGGCGCGTAGCCTACTCATCATGCCGCCCTTTCTCTGCGTACTCGCCAAGCTCGTCATGGACGCCCGCTCGTCGCCTACAGCCGCTTCGCGGAGCACCGGCAGGGCAAGCTCGTCCGGGTACATGCGTAGCTCAAACTTGCCCGGCAGAGCAGCAAAGAAGGCCGTGAGCTTGTCCTTTGGCAGGTAAGCGCTTGTGCCAACCACATCGAACCAGGCTTTCTTGAAGCCGCGCATGTCTTCGCGTCCGAGGATGGGCTTGCCACCGAGCTGGAAGATGTACGAGAAGTTTTCGACGACGGTACCAGTGAACACTGCGCAACGGAAGGAGAACAGGGGAAGAGAAGTCAGCTCGGTGTGAGCGAGTGTGGATATCGCGCCACTCACTGTTCAAGAAGATATACATCGACGTGACGTTCCAGGCAATGAAGAGGAAGTACGCCCATCCCGTGGATCCACAATCCGTCTCAAGATAGTTGGCCGAAGGGGTACAACTTGGTGGTTCGACCGTGTAGTCGTGCATGTATCCATTCCACCCTTCACCCGTACTCATCATCGAGAGGAAGATGAGCGTGAGCGGTAGGGAGGAGAAGTTCTTTGCGTACGACTCCGGACCGATGTACCCCCACTTGGTCAGGCCGAAGATCTCGACGAACATGATGGCGAAGAAGAAGAAGAAGCACAACCAGAGGCCCAGGAGGGAGACGATGGCCGGAAGACCGGAAACGGCCGTCTTGAGGAGCTGATTGAGACCATTGTGCTTAGCGACCAACTTGAGGGTCGCAGCGGTGAGGAAGACTTTCTGCAGCTGGATGTTCGCTTGCACCGGCTGCGAGGTGCTCAATAGCGGTATGCTGTTCGCCACGATGCCTACGACGACAATCGAGTCGAAGATGCACCAGGCGCTGCGACGGAAGGAGTTCCATCCTAGCCCTGCGAGGCGGATCAGTACGTCGATGCCGTAGACGATGGCAAATACGAGGTAGATGCCGTCACGGATACGTTCGGCTGATGCATCCTGATCGTAGGCCTGCGTGCAGAGCGTGACGATGTTCAGGATGTAAAGCATCGTCATCATCCTACTCCACCAATCATGTTTGCGCGTCGCGCGATCGTAGCACCATTGCCTCAGTCGATCCGTTGGTCTTGCAGCTGGCCGTTTGGAGGGCCTCTGCCTCGAGATGAGCCGTTTGAGGTCAATCCACTGCCTCTGCTCCGTGGAAAAGAATGCTGCGCCCGTCGCCGACTGGAAGCCCTCGATGATGACGCTAACGAAAAGCGTGAGGACAAAAATTGCGCCGATCAAGTTGTAGATGACGAAGAAGAGGGCGTTGACCTGCCTCGCGTCCTGTTGGGGCTGCTGGTTCCTTCCCACGATAGCCATCGCTGCGGTCATGACGTCTATCCAGCCTTCTAGACTGACAATCTCGAACAAGATGAGCAGCGCAGACTTGAAGTCGTCGAACGAGTAGCTCGACCCCTCGACAGGGTTCTGCCACACTCGCGGAGCGAGAAAGGTCCATTCGGAGGGCGAAGCATAGTACTCGCCAACACAATCGCTCTTGAAGAGGATCGCGTTGCTCGTGTCTGTGCAGCCATAGAGGAGGCCAGAGAAGAGGTTCTGGCCCCAGACGGCGAAGGGAATGATGTACAGAATGGCGAGGATGGACGCATCGACGAAGCGACCGCCTCCAATGATGAGGTTCTCGAAGGTGGACCGCATACGGGCTGACAAGTTGATGAGGCGCAGAGCTCGGAAGGCTCGGATCGCTCGCGTAAAGCGGCTCACTCCGCCGATGACGACTAGCTCCGTGGTTACGTTGATGACTAAGGTGGCCAGGACCAGCAGGTCGAGCAAGTTCCAGGGCGAGAGCAGGTACGCATTGGGCGTGAAAGCAAATCCATCTGCCACGACCTTGATGGCGAACTCGGCAAAGAAGACGAGCGAAAGGAAAAGCTCCGCCAACGAGAACCACGAATCGCGCTTGAAGCCGTGCCTTGCGTACCACTCCTTACGGTAAAGCGGTGAGGCGACGCCAGCAACGATGACGGACGCGACGATGGCCATGAAGATGATGATCTGCGTAATGAAGAGACGCCGTCGACTGTGCTGTCGACCAAAGATACGCTCGCCGTGAGCTGCGGGCACCATGCTCTGACAGAAGCGCCGGAAGCGGCTGTGGTTGCTGAAAAGCCAAAGCGATTTGTCGAAGGACGGGTGCTCATTGATCGCCTTCGCCATGGCTATGCGCGGATTCTCCTCGTGGTGTGCGATGTGAGCTGCGTCGATCTCTCGTTGCGTGGGCTTTTCGCTGAGCAAGCCGAGATCGGAGCGCATCCTGTTGAGCTGGCGCTCCCTCGCAAAGATGCGAGCGGCTGCATCGTCATCTGCGGCTACCTCGTACATCGAGGGCTGACGAGCAGAGCGACGAGCTTGAAGCATCTCATTGCCGTGTAACGAGGCGCGAATGGCGCGCTGCCGAACCGTGTCGAGGGGCACCGAGCGATCCTCGGGAGCATCGAGGCGGAGAATGCGACGCACGGTGACGAGCATCTCACCGCCACGGTCAAGGAAGCGCTCCAAAGCCGTGAGCTGCTTTCCCATCTGCTTCTTGGCAAGTCGAGCGCGTGCGCCAGCGGACCGCTGAGCTCGTTCGCGAGAAGGAGCGTGCCCGTCCATACTTCGAGCGATGGCCTCCGTATGCGAGTCGACCGAAGAATCATTTGCCACTGACTGGTTGAGGATGGCAGCATTGCGGGCCTTGAGGTAGCGGTACGGCGAGAGGCTATGCAGCAGGCGCCCGGTCAATGACGTCGACTTTGGCTCGATACGCTTGAGGTAATGGTCCAGCTGTTGGCGTCTTCGCTCCGCCTCAGAGAAGGAGAAGCCTTCATTGATGACAGCAATGAACATCTGCAGCACGATGAAGTTGGCGAAGAGGAACCATCCACCAATGAAGAGACCAGCAATGACGGCTTGCTTGAACTGCGACTCATCGGAGATGACGTCAAACAGGACATCGTTCCAATTCTCGCTCGAGAAGATCTGATACATGGCAAGGTAGCCATTGTAGATCTGCTTGAAAGTCATCTGGACCGATTCGCCGTCGCTCTCTGCCTGAATGTCTCCGCGGAAAAGCTGAACGGCGACCAATGATGCCAGACCGACCATGAGGAGGAGAAAGACGATCATGTTCAGTAAGCCGCTGAGGGATCCGAAGACACGGAGCAGCAGTCGCTCCATCCTAGGCACGGCGATGATGACGCGGTAGAAGCGCTGTAGCTGGAAGATGGTGAGCCACGGATAGACGGCCGACATCTTGATGGCGGGGATCTGGATAATTGAAGTGATGACGCAGAGACCCAGATCGACCTTGTTACGGCCGCTGCGGTGTCCATTGAAGAAGGAGCGCCAATCGTCGTCGAGAAGGTAGCTGAGGAAGCGGAGGATAATCTCGCAGTCAAACGCGATTGTGAAGTAGAGCTCGGCGGTCACGACCATTTGTGTCGCTTCGGCTGTGTTGTACGACGCACCCGTCGCTTGAAGACCAAGACTGCCAATGATGGCTAGGAGCCAAATGTAGTACGTGTAGCCCCAGAAGCGCTTGTAGACATTGGCAACCTTCTTGCGACGTAGCCTCGACCTACTCTGCTCCTCCTTCGCCTGTACAGCCGCAGCCTCGTCAATGTTCTTGTTGGAAAAGGCCGATTGATGAGTCTGCGACGAAATGGTGGCGAATGAGTTGGTGATCACCGCGACGAACAGATTGGCAAGCCAGAAATTGAGGAGGATGAGACCGAAGATAAAGAAGAGGCATGACACGAAGAAGTCGGCATCGATCATGTCGTACATGACGCCTGACCAGCCGTTGGACGAGATGATGATGACGACCTCGAGGAGGGACGTGAAGATGTTGTCGAAGGACTGGCTGTTTTCGTTCGGGTTCGAGGCAGCTTCGATGCACATCTGGCCGAGCGGGCAAATGAAGCCCTTTGCTCCGATTGGAGACTGTCGTCCGTCTGCTTGGATGTGATTGCGCTTGGTCGCGGTTTCATCGTACCAGCCACCACATATCTGGCTCAGCGTATAATTCTGGCCCGGCTCGGAGTTGATGCCCTCGTTGAGATCGCCGACCCACACGCAAGACCGACGATACGACCCCTTGAATGACTGGATGCCGATGATGGAGAAGAGAATCATGGCGAAGAGCGTGAAAAAGAGCACGTTGGAGAGGAGCGGCGCTGCTAGCTTCAAGCTCTGCAAGATCGTTGATGTGCCCGATGTGACGGTCAGGAGGCGCGCTACGCGGAGCACTGAGAGGGCCTTAAAGATGTAGATGTGATGGCTCGGCGTGCTCTCCTGGCCAATGATGGCGAGGACGAAGGAGATCCAAAAAGCCACAACGGCAATGAGGTCGACTCGATTCCAGCTGTGGCGCAAGTAGGCGTAATTGTTCGTCTGCGCTCGCTGTACGATTATGGCCGACGAGAATGGGATCGCCTTCTCTTTCATGCTGCGCAGAATCTTGGACGACTCGCGTGAGGCGGGCTCACTGGACGCAGCTGTCGTTGACGGCTGCTGGGGAGCGGCTGGCACCGTCTCCCTGATGGGGTCCAGGACGCTCATCTTTCCCGACACCATGGTACCTGTGCGATGATGACCGCTAGGCTCATACGCACTCAGCCTGGTCGTCGAGCCCATCGTCGACTGGCGCGTGGGCATGCGTCGATGGCCTGCCTCACCCGGTTTGAGCACCTGCTGTGCACGGTTCTTGAGGCTGCCTCCGAGCTCTGTCCACGCATCGAGTGTATTCGACTTTGACATCCTTCGGCGATGTACGCTAGCTGAGTCTTTGGCTTCGACTTCCTCCGCGATGTCGACCTTGCTCGTATTTGCTGCCGGCTGGTACAGAGCGGGTGGATTGATGATCAGGCCAGAGACGACGATGCGTGCAAGAACCTCAATCGTGTAGATGCCGAAGATGCCTACGAGGGCCATGTCCTCCCAGTAGTAGTACTCGGGCATGCGAGGATGCTCAAAGACGTTGCGGCTAGACTGAATGACCAGCATGACCAGGTTGGCCACAATCACCACGAGCAACAACGGCTCGACCCACCAATAGCCAAGCAGCTTAGCCATGAATCTTCTGAAGCGGTTGTTGGGACCCATGAAGCCGAGACTCCTGCCACGAAGGCTGAATGGGTCTGGGTCAGAGGGGGGTGGCCGAGGCGGAGTGGGTGCTGCAACTATGCGGTCGTCGTCATCATCATCGCTGCTATGATCATCCACGAGCCGAATATGACCTGGAGGAGCGCCGCCACCTGCACCACCTCCGTTCTGAGCTGCTGCTGCTGTCGAATTGCCCATGTCGACGACTCTTCGACTGATACGACGCATCGACTTGCTGATACGGTTCAAACCAGCTTTGGCATTTCTCATCGCTGGGGTATCACCGCCTGCAGTAGCCATGATCTCAGCGCTCGATCGACGAGGCAGCTGAGGTGAAACATAGTCTTCGGCTTCGTCCTCGATGTCTTGAGTAGGAGAGGAGAACATTTGGCTATGGCCTGTGAAACCGACAGCGGGTCCTGGCGTCAGATCGACTCCATCTGAATCCTGCCGTCGTGGCCTCAAGACTTCAGTCTCAGAGTTGCCTCGAGCGACGAATCTATGCGGACCGACAGGCGGTGATGGGCCAGCGACGTCTGACTGGCTCGAATTCCAAGCGCCATTGCCCATCATCGCGAAGCTGCGAATGCTAGGCGCAGGAGTGCCGCCGCCGCCACCAATGGACCTTGGCGCTGTAGCGAAGTAGTCGGAGCGCTGCAGCTCCTCTGGACTGGCGAGGATGAGATCGGTCGCCGCAGGCTGAACGCCGATGCCGTCGTCGCCTCCGCTGCTGCCAAAGGAGAGGTCGAGCTGATGTTGCCATGAGCCGAGGTCTGCACTCGGGACGCGTCTGTCTACTTGATGGGATGTCGTTGGGTCGCCCAGTCTCGAGCTTGTATGCTGTGGGGTATCATCGTTGAGGTTGATGCTATGCGGCGTCGGTCGCGCCAGACGCGGGGTACCAAGAGGGGAAGGTGTATTCGATGGGCCAGCGAGGGCTACGTCTTGACTGTGCCTCGAAGCAAAGTCGCCGTCATATCTTCCGTAGTAGTACGAGCCGACGTAATCGTCTCGTAGGGAAGGGTAAGCTGAAGCTATGCTGGCTGTCGATGGCCGTCTCGCCGACGAGTCCTCAGTGGCTCCAGCTCCAGGAGGCTGCAGCGAGGCATTGGTAGCAGCGCGATTGCGCGGCGAGGGAGGGGTTGACATTGTTGTGCGCACTGATGACTGAGTGACGCTACAGATTACTATGTGGGCTGGGAAAGATGAGCCATCTGAGCGGGCCGTCCTTCTTCTTCTGACGACGACAGAGGAGTGGTGGTTATGATGATGAACGAACCTCGTGGCCCACACTTTGGATTCAAGCGTCCTATGCACGAACGCAGCAGCCTCCTCCCGCCTCCTTGAGCCTCAAGCCGCGCCAAGGCCACCGCCCTCCAGAGAGGAGAGCGGGTCGAGATGCGCTCAAACTTCTCCGCGGCTCCACTTTTGACTCGGACGACTTCAATTGGCTCTTGCCTGCTCTCCGCTCGCCTGATTAACGCAGCTTCACTCAACTTATATTCATCTTCCAATCAGCTTCATATATCTCTCAGCTTCATCGCCAACAATGGCGTCGCCCTTCCCAATTGCTCTGCCGTCGAGCGAGACGAGGAAGCTGTCAACGGCCTCGTCGAAGCTGCTCATGAAGACGACGGAGGCAGACGCTGAGGCTGGAGTCAAGATCCTTCCAAGGAAGGGAGAGGCAAACGTACTCGTCACTTCAGCATTGCCATACGTCAACAATGTCCCGCACTTGGGCAACATCATCGGATCAACACTCTCAGCAGACGTCTTTGCCCGATACTCGAGGTCAAGAAATCGCAACACCCTCTACATCTGTGGCACTGACGAGTACGGTACAGCTACAGAGACAAAGGCACTCGAGGACAATGTGACTCCGCAGGCATTGTGCGACAAGTACCATGCTCTTCATGCTAGCGTATACAAGTGGTTCCAGATCGGCTTCGACCACTTTGGCAGGACGACGACCCCAAAGCAGACAGAGTGAGCAGCGAGCGCTGAGACGTGTGCCCTACTCTATATGCCTACGATCTCACCTCACTTACGCTTCTCCCGCAGAATCTGCCAGGACATCTTCCTCCGACTCCTTGAGAACGGTTACATGGAGAAGCGTGTGATGACTCAGCTCTACTGTCCCAAGGACGATCGCTTCCTCGCTGACCGTTACGTCGAAGGAGAATGCCCGCGGTGTAGCTACGACGATGCTCGTGGAGACCAATGTGACAAGTGCGGTCAGCTCCTCGACGCCATTGAGCTCATCAAGCCTCGATGCAAGATTTGTTCGACACCGCCTGTGCCCAAGGAGTCGCCGCATATGTTCATTCGCATCGACGAGCTGCAGCCGCAGGTGGAGGAATGGGCCAAGAAGGCTGCTGTGGAGGGCGGGTGGAGCTCCAATGGGAGGATCATTACCGAGAGCTGGTTCAAGGAGGGCTTGAGGCCATTCAGCGTAACACGAGATCTCAAGTGGGGCGTCGACGTTCCGAAAGTAAAGGGGACAGAGGACATGGATGGCAAAGTCTTCTACGTGTGGTTCGATGCACCCATCGGCTACCCGTCAATTACGGCCAATTATACCGATGAGTGGAGACAATGGTGGCAGAACCCGGACGACGTCAAGCTCTTCCAATTCATGGGCAAGGATAACGTCCGCTTCCACACCGTCATCTTCCCTTCGTGCCTTCTCGGGACCAAGCAGCCATGGACCCTCCTCAATCACATCTCCACAACAGAGTACTTGCAGTACGAGTCGGGCAAGTTCTCCAAGTCGAGGAACATTGGTGTCTTCGGCGACAAGGCAGGAGCAATTGGCGTAGCCCCCGCTGTCTGGCGCTACTACCTCATCGCGAACCGACCGGAGGGCAACGACACGCACTTTGCCTGGACGGACTTCATCGCGAGAAATAACGGGGAGCTGCTTGCCAACTTGGGCAACTTCGTCAACCGTGTTCTCACTTTCTGCTCAAAGAAATACGATGGCGTCCTGCCTGAACTGCCAGAAGGTCAGGGTCTGCAGGTGGGGGCCCCGCTAGAGGGAGACGACGAGACGGTCAATGGCCGCTTCATTCGCGATGTCAACCGCATCATTGCCCAGTACGTCTCGGCCATGGAGGCCGTGCGCATCCGTTTGGGCCTGCAGACCATGATGGCCTTGTCGGCGCGAGGTAATCTGTTCCTCACCGAGAGCGGGCTGGACAATGCCCTCTTCAACAATAAGCGCTCAGAGTGCGATGCGGTCATGCTGCTAGCTATCAACCTCATCTGGGTCATCTCGTCGCTCGTCCACCCTTTCATGCCAGAAACAGCCGACCAGATCTGCGCACAGGTCGATGCCCCCGCGAGAGTGGTGCCCTTCGTCGACGATGCTTCAGCAGAGGGTGTAGAGGCAGCGACAGACGAGGATGCCAACGGCTCCGCAGCTGCCGCCTCAACGTCAAAAGCGGCTCAAGGTCGCGCCGTCTTCTCTCTCGACCTCCTCCCTGGTCACAAGATTGGCAAGCCGGCTCACCTCTTCAAGCGTATTGACGAGGCCCAAGGAGACATGTGGCGCTCCCAATTCGGGGGCGAGTCCTCAGCCAAATCTGCTGCGTTGGCCGATGCGCCTGGCAAAGCCCCCAGCGGAGTAGGAAAGACGGGGGCTGGGCAGCAAGATGGGCAGTCGGGTCTGAGCAAGAAGGCCATGGCTAAGCTGGAGAAGGAGAAGAAGAAGGCTGCTCAAGCCGCCAAGGAGGCAGCGATGCCTAAGGTCAAGACGCCGGAGATGATTGAGCTTGAGAAGAAGGTGGAGGAGCAGGGTGCTGCGGTTAGGAAGGCGAAGGAAGCTGCGAAGCAGGGCGGTGGCGGCGGCGATGTGGATAAGGAAGTCTCAGCGTTGCTGCAGCTCAAGACGGAGCTGACAGAGCTGACGGCACGGGTAAAGGCATTGGAGGTTGAGGAAAAGGTACAGCCAGCTGAGGCTTGAGCGAACAGTGGGTGAGCGGGTGCGAGAGCGCAACCTCCCTCGACGCCGTCGTCGTCATTGTCATCCTTGAGGGCTCTACATAGCTTTCGGCAATCACAATGGCGCGTGCCCTTGTCGTGGTTGCGACAGCGATCCGTGCAAAGTCCCTGCTCTCGGTATCGCATTAGATCAGGCACGAGTGTGGGCCAGGGATACAGCCCCGGCGAGATGATGACCTCGCACATCGCACGTCGATGGGACGATCCATATTGCCTCCTCCTCGAGAATCTTTCAGTTGGCTACGGCTGAACGTTGTCTGAGCAACCATCAGACTTGCCGCGGACCCTCTCATAGCTACGGACATTCTAAGCTCACCCAATCGAGGCAAACGATTGACCATTCACCCTATTCAGCCGTATCCATCGGATCTGTCGCCCGAAAGAGGATCTGAGCCCGGCTGTGCCTGGCCTTGGCATGGTACGACTGCAATCCCGCGCGCTTCTCTTTGCTGTGTGGACGCAGATGACACGATGGCGTTGAGAGATGCGGAGAGATGGCGACTGGGTGAAATCGGTCCGTACGAGAGTACATCATGTCCAGGCTGCGTGCTCTTTCTCATCACACCTCGCACTCCTGAGTTCCCTATCACGTTGCGCAACATCGCCGGTCTTGTCGCGAGTCTTCTTCACTTGCTGCCCGGCGGCATCCTCGAGCAGACAGGCGCCCGCAGGCAGACGTCTGCGCCTTCGCTTCCCCACTCTGGCGCGTGCGTTCGTGCGTGCCAACATTATCAACCCTGCAGCTACGCCTTCGAGTCGAGGCTTAGCTCTCGGCTTAGCGCTTGGGCGCGCCAGCGTTTTGTCACTTCTGCTTCTTCTCATTACGACTGCCCCCCCTCACAAGGCGTGGTTTAACGCTAGCACGATCGACGAGCTCCTCTCGCCCGCCGGTCTCTGTTGGACACGCGCGCAGCATCCACTGCGAGGAGTCATTCTTGTGGGCTGTGGCTGAAGGTGCTGACGTGTTTGGGCCGGGGAAAATCTCGCAGCGATTTCCCACTCCGCTCGCTGGCTCATCGAAACTCGACAAGCCCACGCAGCACAGAAGAAAAGAGGGTCCACCTGCGACGACAGAGCGACTCCAAGATCGCAGAGTGGGTGGACTGGTCACTGCGAAGATTCAACTTCAAATAATTCAAGCCGGCTGGAACTAGTTCCGAAAGGACCAAGGTCCGAAGTCGCATCACCTCACATTGCATCGCAGCTCGCGTCGTCGCCTCCTTGGTAGGCCAGACTTGCTCTACGCTACCCAGAGATCGCTTGTTGCAAAACGGAACCAGCTCTCACTTTGGGACTCGCTCATCACTCGTCGTTGCCATCGACCTCGCTTGCAAGACAACATTGTGAAGGCCGAACCGTGGGCACAGAGAGGCATACATGGCGGAGCTGAAAGAAAAGCATCTGTTCCCAGCCTCTCCATCTCCATCTCCATCTTCATCTTCGATACCATTGCAAACTACGCCCTCTTCTGTTCTCGCTAATCATCGCCAAGTTCAGGAGTCGACGAGTCTTGTCGACGCATCACTTTCGCTCCCGTCTTCGCCTCGCTACCCGCAAAGGGAGCCAGAAGGAGACCAAGACCAAGCTGCGACTTCAGCGCCCGGAGCCAAAAACGATTGCAAAGACGACGCCAACGACAGACACATACAAAAGGCCCCGAAGGTGGACGCGGACCCTTGTCTCCCCTCTCACACATCGTCCTCCTCCTCCTCCTCATCATCATCATCAGCGTCCCCCGACGCAATCCCTCTCCCCTCCCCTTGGATGGCCTTGGAGCGAGGTGATATCAACGGCAGCGCCTCGCCTCCGACCAGCAACGGCGCCCCCCAGCATCCTTCTGCACTTGTAGAAGCCGCCAACGACCGACCACTTGTCAGCCGCCTTCAGATGAGCTTCGTCAATACCAGCACCCCACTCGTGGGGCCTAGTCTCTTGACTCCGAGCGGCTCGAATGGCAGCGGTCAGTCAAGACCTATCGCAGTAGCTCCTCCGCCGCTTGCCCCGACGAGCTCATCGATCAGCATGGAAGGATGGGGACAGACTACGTCGCAGCATGGGACCTCGGCGGACGCGTCCACAAGCACGACAAGCTCTTCTTCATCGACGTCGACGCAGGCAGCGGCGGTTGCCAGATCCCAGAATGATGTGGGCTGGAGACCGGCCCACTCAGCGCCATCGAGGGTGCGACGCCTGGCAGAGGAGAAGGCAGCGCGAGATCATCAAGAGAAATTGCGTAGACAAGCCGAAGCAGCTTCTTCCTCGTCATCTCCGGTCTATGAGCAGCACAGCATGCACCGCACCGACAGCGAGAAGCGACGACGCCTTGATCGCGCCTCGTCGCCTACGTACGCCTCCCTGAATTCAGGCTCAATACCACGCGCCCCCACTCTGCAGCCTCCCCCTGTTCCTGCTCGCCTGCGAGACTTTTGCGTCATCGGTACCCTGGGCACAGGAACATTCGGCCGCGTCCTCCTCGTACGCGATCGCTTGCACGACCGGCTTTTCGCGCTCAAATGCCTCAACAAGTCTCACCTCCTCCGTATGCGCCAGGTAGAGCACGTCACCTCAGAGCGGGACATCTTGCTCCATACCAAACACCCGTTCATCGTCGGTCTCCATGCCACCTATCAGGACTCACGCTGCATCTACCTGCTCATGGACTTTGTCGTGGGAGGGGAGGTGTTCACCTATTTGCGACGCGCTAAGCGCTTCCCTTTGGAGGTGGCCAAGTTTTATCTTGCGAGCATCGTTCTCGTGCTGGCGCATCTGCATGGATCAGACATCGTTTACCGTGATCTGAAGCCGGAGAACATCTTATTGGACCAGCAGGGCTATGTGAAAGTCACCGATTTCGGTTTCGCGAAGCAGCTTGGCGGCGGCAGCGACACCAATACCACCAAGAATGGTGCCCATTCCTCACGCGACGGCAATGCCAACCGCACTTTCACCCTCTGCGGTACACCCGACTTCCTTTCCCCGGAGTCTGTGCGTGGCACAGGCCATGGCAAGGCAAGCGATTGGTGGCAGCTGGGCGTCCTTGCGTTCGAGCTCCTCGTTGGGTACCCGCCTTTCTGCGGGACCACGCCGTACTCCACGTACGAAAATATCCTGGCTGCAAGCCCTGAGACGATCCCTTTCCCCGAATCGGGGCCGTTGGCCGGAGAAGGCGGGGCGTCAGCAAGAGACCTGATCAGGTCGCTGCTGACGCCGGACTTGACGAAACGGCTCGGTAATTTGGCTGGTGGAGCGCAGGACATTATGCGTCATCCGTTCTTTAGGGGAGTGGACTGGGATGCGCTACTCAGGCGAGAGGTGAGGGCGCCCATCGTGCCTGCCCGACCTGCTGGGCACGGCGGGCCTGCTGGCGCCGAGCATGAGGTCGCGCCGCTGAACATTGCTACCGGCGCGGGGCAAGGGAAGGAGTACCTGGCTAACTTTGCCCGATACCCTAGTCCGGAGAAGGAGGAGATGCCTGCTCTACTTGGCGCAGGTGAGGAGCTCGGGCTTCAAGGGAGTGCAGCGGCCGCAGCGACGATGAGCAAAGTCACCGTCGCGGGAGGCGTACGCATGGTCAGTGCCGAGTGTGGGTCTGCGCAGCGAGGAGGGACCAATTTGCCAAACCCGTTCGAGGGATTCTGATCCGCGGCGCGGTGCGGGGGCGTCGAATATTTTGCAGGACGAGGCTCTACCTGTCTTCCCTGTGCCGACGCCCGCATGCTTCTCCGGTCGTCAAAACACGTTCGGCCGTAAATGAAGCAAAATGCGCTCCTGCGAGGAAGAAAATAGCCTGGACCCAGTCCGTCGTCATCAAATTGAGTCAAGGATATCGTCATTCCAGCTACCATGCTGAGGCCTACATAAATGCCAGCAGACAAGATGCACGCGTCCAGCACCCGTTGCCCCACTGTCCTCTTGGCGTGATCCCTGCTGCTCCCTATGCGCCCCTCAAGCTGACCTAAAGTTGTCATCGTAGATCTTCTTGTACTGCTCAAAGAACAAGAAGAGCAAGGTAGTCTGAGGCTGCAGCCTGAGCCACGAGGGGAGCCAACCGCGGAAGAGGGTGCGTGGGCCTTCCTTAGCGAGGAGGTTGCGGACGACAGTGGCCACGCCTTCCCTGCTCTTGGAATTTTGGACACTGTGCCACAAAAAGGGGGACGCGAAAGAGTCAGAATGCTGAATCGAAAGATAGCGTGCACGTAAGCACACTCACCGTTGCTTGACGACGTCGAATGGGCAGACGAGGGTGACAGCCGTGGTTCCTGCAGCAAAGGAGGCGAGGAACTGCAGACGCGGCCCGTCCTCCATCTTGAGGCCAGACTGGATAACGCCCTTGAAAAGGTCATACTGTGGCGTGAGATAGCCCGATATGCAAGGATGTGGGGGTGCAGCAGCATGTCAGATCTCCATCCAAACACTCAACCGTCGATTACGGTTTTATCGGCACCATACCGGCGCGATGACCATTTTCATTGATGATACTCACGGCGCCCAACTGTCCAATGTTCATGACCACTGAGCGCGCCACATTAGGCCCCAGACCGAGGAAGAGTCTGCCTACACCTTCGTCCTTTGCGATCCTGGCCAGACCATTGAGGCAATTTCCGTATGCGAAGCGTTCTGCGGGGGGCTTGTTGAGGTCGCCGCAGACGCGCACAAGAACGAGTTCGGCGGGGTTGCCTAGTCGCGAGGGAGAACGACGCATAGGGATCGGCGTGTTAGACATTGAGATGCAGAAGTCCTGGAGCCGCAATGCAGCTTTGTGGTATGCGGGACTTACCAATGACACCAGCGACGGTTCCCGCCGTAGCCGCGCAAATGGCGAGCTCTCCTCCCGTTGGCTTCTTTCCCGTCGGGTGTGCAAGGGAGGGGGCTTCTGTAAACCAGGTCTTGGATTCTTCGTAGACTGCGAATCGTGCGATGGAGTAGGTGAACTGCGGGATTGAGCCA